TACAATCACTACTTGATGACTAAGGCAGACCCTCCCATTTCATTTCTGATTGTATTTCTTAGCAAAGGCCGCCACCCCAGTCCTTATGCTCTGAATCAATTGCTCACGCCCTTCTTCATCATCCTTTCAACATGCATTAGTTCAAACTCTCCAACGATGTTATCTAGAGAAACTTACTAAGTTTTTTACTCGCGTAGCAGCTACTGATTGGGGGTTTGGCGGTTGGCCGGTTGGGGTTTGGCGGGTTTGGGGTTGGCGGGCTGGGGGTTGGTCGTTTGCCTATCGAGCATTCAGTACACGCATCTCCGTTCGATACGTGAATACACATACAGCAAGCAAGGCAGCAAAACCAGATTCGATGTTGATATTGTTGGCGTCTGGGCCCATGATTATGGCTCTACATCTACCGGCAAGGGTTGAGCAGTCGTTGACGTAAGACTGCCACAGACCAGGAAACTCGATCTTGGGATTCTTGAGGTCTCAGTGCTACGTCAACGAGATCGAGGATACTGCACACTTACTGGGGACGACATGCTTGTTTCAGTTGACGTGATGCAAAGCAGAAGGTAAAAGTGTAGACAAAAGAAGACAAAAGAAGGTTGACGAAGGAAGGTTGGTGGGTGGGGGACGAGGTCAAACAATTCGAGGGTGGGGGACGAGGCTAGTTCGTTAGCGCGAGACTAGTCCGCTTTGCGCTTAGTAACGTCCAAGCCTGGATACATTTGTGAAGAGCATGCGCAGTCGAATCATGATTATCGAAGCTCATAAGTATTTCATTGCAACTAACTATTGCTATGGAATAAGACACATAGACGCTAACCCAGCGTAGGGGGTTTGCGCAAAGCACAGCAAAGGGTTTGAATTCTTCGCCCAAATCTGCTAATGGTGTGGATGATGAAGTTCTTCCTCGTAGTACTTGTAGACAGACAAGGGTGAATGATCATGCCAGCATGGAGAGAATCTGCATTGTTCCCCTCTAGCGAAGTAGCCGCAGATGGGTTTCACATGCACGTAGTCGGTGTCCGGAGAATGAGAGCAGATCTTCCACAGCAACTCATCAGTTTTTGAATAGTGTACAGAGTGGATGGATCACTTACTTTCTGGGCGCAGACCTTTCTCTCGAATGGACACTCCATGATATCCCTCCCCGAGTATTGGCACCTGTGTCCACGTACGATGCAAGGACACAACCATGAAGAAAGAGGCTGCCAACATCCGAACCAGTCCCAGACGTACTCTTCCGACTCGAATGAAGTGCGTTTGAGGTTTGGTCTGAGATTCGGTTGCCCGAACTCAGTGGGGTTTGCCAAAGCAAAGGGCGGAGCATCCATTATAGTAGCATACAGATCGGCTTTCAAGTTGGGTTTGAGGGGGTGGCCTTTCAACCTTTCCAGCACAATTTTCACTCCTGTGCGATAGCCAAATGTATTTGTTGACGGTCGAAGTTTGTGCTCCTTTTGCGGGGGTTCAAGGGGTTCAGTCCTGAGTTCAAGGCCGGTGTTCCGAGCCGAAATGTACTGTAAATCCGATGAGTGTGTAGCAAGTATTGTGCTGGGTATCGCGTGCCTACCAAATCTGGATGGTCTCCCAGCTCTTTTGAAATGATCTTCGGTTGCTGCCACGTCGGTGCATCCATGAGGAGGGTTTGCATTTCGATGAAGTTAGTTTGATTCATCGCTGAGAGAGATCCCTTTCTTCGTCAGTCGTCGTAGACTTCAAAAGGGGACACTCTTACACTACACCACGCGACGAGGCTAGGGTTATCATGCTCGATTCGTTCAAGTTCCTCATCCGTTGGCTCTGCCGTTGGATAGCTTGACTTAGCGATGACCCAACTACCAGCCGGGCGGACTCGATTGCTCATAATAGCTGAGTACAGAAGTTGGTGATGTGTCGGGTGGACGGAGCAAAAAGTGAGAAGTGGTATTGATGTGTTACGGGCTCGGACTTTGCGGATTGACCGAATGGCCGATTGGTTAGGGTCAGGTCGCGTGGTCATCCATCCGCTTTGGGCGAGTCGCGTCTAAACATGGAAACAGGATTTCTTGTTGACACTTTTAGACACCTTCGTCATCTTTTTTCCCCTCCATTCGCATCTCACTCGAGACGTAAATATCAAACTACGTTAAAGCGGCTTTGCGTCGCCTTCACGTTCACCCCATACATAGAAGAACCCCAAGCAAGCAAGAAGCAAAAGCAAGGAGTCAATCGACGAAGAGCACAAAATGGAAGCTACTCGTCATCTCAGACTCGAGCAGGACGAGGTTCAAATCCTCCACACAGCAGATCTGAGTAATATCACTTCCGAGATCAAACCCGGCGTGCATGCAGCCACGACCTTGCTGGTTCTCCTGGATATTGGCCACTCGAGAAAGAAAATCAGTCGGTACTTCGGGGAATGGGAAGAGATTAGCAGAATTCGTGGCAGGTACCATTGACTAATGGTCTGCTTTACAGACACATGGCCTCACTCTCCAAGACATCTTGAAATATTGAGAAACGGCATTCCGCGAGAGAACACTATACAAATAGTAAGCTTTCCAGATAGGCTTGATGTTCAGGACTGACCTGCTTTCAGCCCAGATGGCATGCTTCTCCCTCGAGCAGCAGTCACCTTTCGTCATCTAATGCATCAGGCTATACTTGCTAATAAATCCCATTTGGCACAAGAGGCCGCGGGGAAAATCCAAATATTCATGCTAGCAACCTATCTTGCTTCTGTATCCGTTAGATCGGAACGACGTTAGTCAAACGAGCGCAGTCGATGAAATACCACTTACGAAACCAGGCAAGCAGAAAGACTAGTTGCCAGACAACGAAGGAAGTGAAAAGTGGCAAGTCGAAGCTTTTACTTTAGTGCGAAGTCCTGCATCAAACCCAAGCTCAGATTAAACTAATCCTGTCCGCAAGCCCAGACATTGGAGTTGGTCACGTAGGAAGCATAGTCTTTGGTTTCATAACCCAAAGCTTTGGCTCCAAACGTGCAATACTTTGACAGTACCCAAGGTTTTGCTAATACGTCCTCGACCATAATCGCGGACAATGCAGCTATCGATTCCAGCCTCGATGATCTCTTGATAGAGCCACCTAGGTCAACTTTCAAATTTGCCGCTATCGTCGGCATGAATGAACTCAGGAAACGACTCTCATGTACGTTGAAATATCGCTATGTTCTCCACTCAAAACGTCAAAGCGAGCTTCTGACAGGAATGCTGCTCTTTGGAGAACCGAGGAATGAAAAATCCGTACCTGTCAGGTTGCTTGCTCTCGAGAACGACTGAAATTTTTATTAGATCAACGGAAGGGCTTTACTATCGAAATACGTTGGTGACACAGAGAAGTCTGTCTCCTTTCGCGCAAAAGAGAGACAATAACTGATATGGAATGTGTAGAGCTATCTCTAAAAATTTTCAGGAGAGCGGCAAAAACAGATTACACGATTCTGTTTTTGGAGGAATGAGATTTGATGCTTGCTAGGAGACCGGAGTCTCAACCCTAAAATTCAAACCATAATCCTATCTCCCATTTACAAACTAATTGGGACGAGGTAACTACCAGGGGGGTAACGTCATCATCGTGGGATCGACGAACAAACCATGGGACATCGATGAAAGTCTGATAAGCCGCTTCAGTGCTCGACTTTGGGTGCACAACCCGGATTTCGAATCTCGTTGCCAACTGCTGGAGTTAATCTTGAGAGACTTTGATCATGACATTGCTCATGAAGAAATCAAGCTTTTAGCAAGTCAGACGAATGGTCGATCCGGGCGAGATCTTCAGTCGGAAGTTCTCTCGCTTTATGTGACTTACTCGTTTTCATCATTAATCAACTCCGAATCTTAGCCTAGTGTATTGATTACGTCACTAAGGAAGCCCGAAGGGGAATTGCGAATGCTATGGTGTATGAGGTTAAGGACCCGGAGGAAGGCAGGATATTTGCCGTCTTTTGGTGTCCATTCTATCTTTTGAATATTGGGGACACTGAGGCCCGGACATTGCTCTCTAAACAGAGTTGTTACAGAAACATCAAGGCGCGCTTGGTCGGTTCGAAAACATAAAATCCGATCTACACGCCGTTTTTTTGATCGCTGCGCCCATTTGCTTGACTTCCGTGGTATTGATCTTACCAAGCGTAGGTGGCATACCCCTTGTCATTCACTCTTCTATTGCGACTCAACGCTCATGCCTTTCCTAATTTGGCTAGGCTATAGAAGAATCGAACCTCACTTTTGCATTCCTCACTCTTACACCTCACTCCTCCTCACCCACCCCATCCACTACACTATACTCTTCATACCATACCCCATACAGAGATCTCTGGATCACTGCTCTACAGAGCCAAAGCTGCATCACGTAAGTCCTCCAAAACACCATGCTGCATTATCTACACGACGCAACCAAAGCCCATATTAAATGAGATTGATGTGACATGTGACATCTGAATGAGCTGAGCCTGTTACACCCTTCCAAACATCCTGAGACCTCCATAAAGCCAAACATTACCCCATTACTCTGTTCAAGCCTGTGACGAGATCACGACAGATCGCTGACGACTCATCAGGATCCTCGAGATGGCCCCGCAAAGCAACAAACGCATCGCTTGTCGCGAGGCTAAGGTCTCCGGATACCTCGTATGTTACTTAGTACACATATCACACGGCCCTGTTGACATCGGGAAGACGAGAACGGCCAACAGAATCAACACGGTCGGCAAGAACAACGCTGCCTTTGACTACAAAGGCAGACGACACATCAAGATGGTTGCTCTTAATAGAGCTATAATTCGCGACTGCATGGTCCATCTTCCAGGTCTGACAGTGAACGGCAACATCGACCCATCTGTGGCAAGCGGCATTCTCGTCCCTATCAATTGGGGGTTGAAGCGGCAAATCGTTGAGGTTGTTTGCCATCGCAACCGAGCGGGGTATTAGCTAGTCATTAGACCACGTAGCTTCTTACTCTTCAGTACAACTACTGTTCATCATCTCCATCATTCGACAATGGCCAATAACGCAGCTACGAGCAACAATTCCGCTGTGAACCTTCCGGCCCCTTCACTTGCCGTCCATGCTTTAATGGCCAACATCTCCCAGCTAAATGGTTTTCTGCCTCGAGACGATAAGCCAAAGGGGCGTAAGCTCTACAACTTTGAGCAACCAAATCCGCTGCTGCTCGCGGACGACCCAATGGTGGACTTTTTCAACCGGGAGATTGACATGGGCCACCCTGACCAAGACTACCGGACAATAGGGAAGGTTATTTTTTTCAGAAACCATACCCTAACACCAGACGAGATTCGCCACTTCTGTTCTTCCAAAAAAATGCTCTCCCGAAGCCCCAATTGGGAAATCCACAAAGCGAACATGGGCAATGCAAAAGACGATTTCCAGCACCAGACGTTTAAGGCATATCTGGAAGGGCTAGCTGGGACCATTAGCCTCGTCGGAGGGATGGAAGTGCTCTCTAACCTCTCGTCACATGAGCGAATGGTCTTCTACAATGGGCTTGTAGCCATGAACCCATTAGCAATGGCCCACGTCGTGCTCCGGATTCTGGCCTCCAGTCTCGATCTCGACAATCTTTTTGCAGCATATGACCCACTTCGCGCCAAATGGCAAAATAAGATACGATTGGAGACGGTGTGGGCAATCGAAGATGTCTTTTCCCTTCGGTTTATGTCAACCACAAAGGCCGACAAGGATCTCTGCTTTGATAAGTGGAGAGACATGCCCCGCGACCTCGCTTTTGTTTCAATGAATCTTGGTGGACTTGGTGAAGTCCCGGTCAATGCCTCGGGGACATTGAGCCGTGTTGCGAGGAAGGGTAAGAGGGCGTAAGGCGAGCCACAAGGGATTTAATATTATGCAGACCATGGTTATTATAGCTCACCGGCTTTAAATTGTCGCCAACGAAAGCCAAAATAGGCCTTGGGGGCAGTTGCATGAAAATGAAATTTTATAAGTTCCTCATTCCAGAGTTCTTATCGGGCAGAATCGGTGACGCTGCAGCCTTTTCGTGGAGTTAGCCGCCTGTACTTCAATTGCTGTTTTGCTTAACTGACGATTGCAGGACAATCTGGCGCTATGAATGGAGACTTCTCAATCGGGCAGAGAAACATGGACCTGGTTAGTGGTGCAATCTGAATCGCACTGCCGGCCTCTAGCTGTACTTTCCGCTTTGGCAGGCTGATATTTTTCCTGCCAAGGCGTCTTTGCGTCCTCTTGCAGAGAATCTATCTCTGCTATCGGCCCGTTATCTTCCAACTCTTGTTGCATTTTGCCAATTTCTAACTGGAAAACTTGGGTCCGCGCCTTCGTTGTTTGTCCGTACCCGAACGCCGATCCTTCTGGGAGAGTGCTCGCTATGCTAGCTGTCGGGCGTTGATCAATTCTCAATTGCAGGGGGCAGCCTTTTAATCCTCATGCTTTCAGATGGAGGTTGCAAATCAAATGCCTCCTCAGATGCGACTGCAGTAGCTTTTGGATATTGATCTCCCGCTCATTGTCGGTTTTTCCGACATCAACGATAGCCTTTGAAATGGTTGTAAATTTCGTAGCCCAATCCTCATTCTCACTTCGGTTTCTCGCGTGACGGATGGCTTTGAAAGAAGGAAGCTTTCCATCAACGATTATGCCTTGAGCGGCTTGAGTTTGACACGCTTCTTCTCAGAACAGAGCTTTTTCACCGTCGTTGGAAGCTGTGAAGGTCGGGTATCCAATATTCGCCCTTCTGATCATATTGCTAGAGGGACGTTAGTCTGTCCTGTGGGTGAAGTCTTCGATGTGCTTACTAGACCGAAGCGCTTGAACTCACACGCTTTTGTTTCTGCACTGATGCGCGGGTTCTGCAAGCCTTGTGATCACGATGAGCACACGAATATGATCCACATTGGGGGCCAATGCTCCAACATGATGTCACAGGGCCAGTGCAAATACGACGGACCCAATGGATGTACCTTGAATCACAGCCCAGCTCTGCTGTACAAGTCGTATGAGCATGATAGGTGCCATCATCGGCAGCTAAGAGATTAATGGCCCACAAAACGGTGCGTGGCAGAGAAGTAGACCTACACATGAAACTGGGCAACGAGGAGAAAGACCTACAATCATGTCAATTGCCAACGACTTTTTGTACTAGCAAGTCAACACTGAACAGCTTGAGCAAATCATTCATTGTGGTAGCATTCCAAATTCTATTGAAACGAATATTCATAGGGCGTATGAGCCAAATAGAGAATAGTAGCTCATCTTTCAAGGATTTGCGTACGCACGTTCGTATTGATCAAAAGCTCGTAGCAGCCTCGTACCCGCGAGCCCGCCTCGTACCCGCCTCATGATGCTAGCGCATGACCTCGGCCGAAAGATAATCCGACGCTAAAGTCTTGTCAACACCTCTTCCTCCAACTCATAGCATCATCACAATGTCCAGCCAACCCATCCAAACCGATCATGACTGGCCGCGGCTTTAATTTGACTCGAAGGACGCGTACGGTTCGATGACAGATGGACTTGAACCCTGCACCACAGCAGCAGCAGCTCGCAGATGACCAACTACCACACCCCATAGCTGATTTGGCCTACAGCAAGCACGCGTGACAGATGATCCACCACTACGTCAAAGAGATTATTCTCCAGCGCCACGCCGTCCTGCAAATTATCCAAGAAACATCACCACCGGAATCAATGTGTTGCTGTTCGACCGAGGACCTGTAAGTCTATTTTTGAAACGCGGTCTCCATGAGATGTTGATGTCAAGACAGCCCACATCGCAAAGGCCAGGACTTGACCGCCCTCCAGAGATGCTGATGCTTCCTGACCGTGACTCACACTTCTCTGCCCTCTATGAATTTGCCTACACGAAAGATGAGGACTGGAAATGGGATATACGATCCTGGACAAAAGCTTCTCCCCAAATTTTCCAACCACCACCAATTGCCACACCTACAGAGACAGATGACCCACGACCGACTACCTCTGCTGAAGCCATTGAGCAACCACCACCACCACCAGCTGCTGCTGCAAATGTCGGGGAAGGTGTCCCATTGACTCTACAGGAGGATTTTGATCGACAATTTGGAGTGAAATCACTGGATAACGTAAGCGAATACAAGCGTGCACATATTCAAGAAGAGCAGTACTAACCTACGACGGTAGGAGGACAAATTGGCCCGCAGAATCGACCATGCGCCGGTGGCTGCTTCAATCAAGGATATTGGCCTAAGATACGCTCCTACGCCACGCCTTACGCGGTTCACCCGTGAGCCACAACTGTCCATCAGCCCCCCATTCAACGCATCTCCTGAGCTACAACCCAATGTGGCCTTAGCAGCGCCTAAAGCCCCAATCGTGCCCGCAATGCCTCAGAGGCAGACAGCACCTGAAGAGCAACAAACTAGATCTTTCCTGTCGATAGCACAGGAGCGTGCTCTCGCGGCTGGAGCTCATCTATTTGAGACAAGGAAAGCAGCTCTGATGAACGAGGACACAGAGAAAGCGGTGATCGAATATGAGTTAGAATTTGAACCAACACAGATAGCAGATGTTGAGCACCCTACGCTGTTACCGGAAGAACGTCAAGAAGCAACGAGGCACAATGAGCTACAGCTTGGCACATGCGATAAGGTGCAAAGATATCTCTGCCCTTTTGCGCTATTTATGGAGAAAGAATGCCCGGACAGACAATGCTACTACGTCCACTCTTGTCCAGAAGAACGTGTTGTGAGCATCGTCACTGCGCGTAAATCAATTACTGAAAAAGCTAATGTTCTCTAGACATGCAAATGCGGAGGCATACATCCCGGGCACCCATGCAAGCTCAGCGCCAGCACTGGCTGGTGCTCGAAAGCAGCTTGCTGCGGTCAGCACAATGCCCTACTGAGAGTTAAGTGGACGGAGCTGGCCCACTACTACGGGCATTTCATGTCACCGTAAAGCAGTTGAGCCACAGCAAAGACCCCGCAGTTGGCAATCGTGTACGTAGAAGCGGCCTAAATAAATGAATCATGTCAAGAAGTCCGTGAGTATATCACGAATCGTGTTATGAACAAGTCTTCATTTGATAGTATTTTGTGGTGAGAAAGAAGGCTTTGGCAGCCATGAAAGCCATGCTCCTTCGGCGAAGTTCAAAATGGGTGTTGCTTTTCATGACCTCGGTGTAGATGGAAATGCGAGGCACACAGATTGTCAACCAGCGCTTTGATCCGATCCTTTGACTCTGCCTATTCGCATGTTCAACGCGATGAGACATGAGCTAGAAGCGAGCGCGGACATTCTCAAAGATGTCGAAGGGGTGGTGCACACCGGTGAGAAGCTTTTAGTACTCAGAAGGTCGAGCGCTGGGTGCACAACGGTACTCAAGATGCTGGTAAGTCAGACTCATAGGCTAAGAGTCGGCTAAGACTCAGTGATAAGCGATCAAGATAAGCGTTGATCACAATGTCCTGGGAAAGAGGCTGACTCATTAAGACCTGCGCCCGAACGAAGTGCATTCCCAATTTCGCGAATAAGCGATCTATCAAGCAGAGGCTGAAGTTCATTTTTTCGCTCTCTACCCTCCATCAAACCCTCTCTCTCGCAGCAAAATCAAGCACTCCGCGATTGTCAGTCGCAGTAGTGTCGTCATCAGGATGCGAGCCAAAATGCAGACAGTCAGGTCCGTTCTACACGGACTTGGACTAGATCCTGTCTTGTACACCATGTGTGATTTGGCTTAACTAGTTTGGATTGCATAGTGTTAATGACTTGATAAAATAGGAAGCTGTCTAAGAACATGATATAGGAGCAGAATCGGATGCTCTTCTCTGCTTAAATTACGAGGTCACCCACGTGGAGATCTTAACGCCTGCCCATGGAACTATCATTGTAGATTTCTAAAGAAGTAATACGAGTCAGATCTTCGGCGACGATGCCACATGGCTCACATGGCTCGACCGAAAGCCGGTGAAGTTAAGCGCCATGATTCAGAAAGGTCTATCAAAGTTTGTATGCTGCTTAGATTGCACTTTCACATAAGTCTCGTTTGTTCCGCGGTTTGCTAGAGTCTCCCTCGCACGAACTATTTCCCCCATTGAAACCATTGCTAGCCCAGCTTTGTCTTCCCCCATCTCCTCTTCATATTGCCAACGACCCCATCTTTCTCCTAAGGCGGCGCAGCACAGACCCCACCCACCATTGGCCCGCAACTAGAAGCAGTCTGTACACAAACATTCGCCAGCGCCTTCCCCCGCTTATCCTTCACCTCCAATAACGTCCCATAAAACTCACCACCCCCAACCCCACCCCCACTCTCCCCACTAACCTCCTCCATCCTCTTCAAAAGCTCCAGCGCCTCGATCTCCTCCTCGATATGAAAGTCCGCGCCATCCTTACTCCCGAAATTGATGCACAGCCTGTCATAGCAAGCGTTGGGATCGTATGGCTCGGTCCTGTTCATGACTACGCACGATCCAGTGCTATGCACGGTCGCTCTTCCAGGGCCGGCTTCGTTGTCTTCGATGTACTTGATGCATGTGTATAGGAGGTCGTCGGTGGCGTTTCGAAACGCCGCCGCGGGGATGGGCACGGTGTTGATGTGGATGTTGAAGCGGAGGTTGGAGCTGCGAGAGAGGCAGACGTTCTGGAGAGAGCTATCTGGGTCGAAGGGCGGTGGAGCGGTGATGCAGGCTGGTGACGGGTTGTAGGGGAGTGGGACGTGGGAGGATATGGGGTAGGAGGGGAGAGGTTGGTAAGGGGTTGTGTGGTTCCTCGGCTGAAGCAGCGAGAGAGCTGAGGTCAAAGTGTGGAGGAGGGAGTTCATGATGAAAGGCGAAGTGGTTTTTGTGTTTTCGGTGTCTCTCAACGAGCCCTTATAGGACAACAAAGGGTCACGCTTGTTGAGTGAGTGGAGCGACGAGTTTTGCGCACTAATGAGCGATTGTGCCTGGATTGGAGTCTCTGTTTTCCTTCAAAGTAGTTGGATTGACATGCTTCTTTATAGTACGATTTACTGTGCATTCCAATTCTGGGTGTAGGCGAGTAAAGCGCAGCCTGAAACACCAGGCGGATGAACTGTGGATAAGGGTAACGGCTCGTTAAACATTTCGTGACGAACCTTCTGTTAGACGAAGAGACATCATGCAGTTCAGCACACCCTCAAAGATGGATTGACGGCGACTGGTCACCCTATTGTCCGGGTTTCAAAATTGGTCATTTGCGATGTGTTTGCCAAGGTGATGCTCAGCCATCAGGACCACTGATTGTTCCAAACACTGCAATCCTATAATTAGCCTAGGCTTCTGAGTAGAACATACTGCCAAGTGCTGGCAGAATGCCTGCAATATCTAGGTGGTCAAACCTCGTAGTATTGCCGTGTGGATTTCGAACCAATCGTCGCATCGTGGACTCACCGACCGCCAAGTCCCAGACAGAATGTATACAAGCGAGCCATACCCTTTGCTGTTGCGCGTAACCGAGAGGCAGAGAGCTGCAGGCTACCCACGGGGTCTTTCGGCATGCTTTCTATGCTTCTTAACCTTCGTGCCGAACACCAATACCAAAGTAAACGGCATGTAGAAACGCTTCTTGTGCACATGCTGTATAGACAGGCATAGGTGCGAAGGCTGGTTTAGGAGCTCCGTAGAATTATATATCCACGAGCATGGAGTAAATACTTATCCCGCGGTCCTTATCTCCAATCCATCCCCTAGTTGAAGCTCCGGATTCTTTGTAATCCTCCACCGGATTGGGGTGACTTAATCTTTGCCATTGATTAAGCTGCCACGAAAATTGCAGCCGTGAAGAAGATGAAGGAGGGAACCTGTTCCTGGTCTCCAACATGGGCTGCTACGTCATGGCCGATGACGTCATATGGCAGTGGTAGTGTTCAGCTCCAATCCTTCGCGGCCTCACTCGCTTCAGAATGACTCACGCATTCCCTTAAATTGAATATTGAAGCTTTTTAAGGGGTATCTGTTCCGCAACCCAACTTCTAGCAGCCCCGAACAATCAGCGTTGGCAACGGTTTGGACTTAAAGGTTAAGATATCAAAGCCTGGGACCTAATCTTTGTCTTACAGAGCATTATATAAAGCCTTGGCAAACTATCAGTCAAACCAATTCAGCCGCTAGCAATCCAATTTGCCTTCCAAACGGATTAAAGACTGTCAATTTTGCCACTGACGCCTTGGTTTGAGCTCAAAAGCAAACGGCTTAAGCGGCTGCAAACACTGCACACAATGGCAGTAGCACCCCCAGACAGCAGCTCATCCGCCACGCCAGCCCCCCGAACCCTCCCCCTCCTCAGCCTCCCAAACGAGATCCTCGCTTTGATACCGCAGCACTTCGCCAACATCGAAGATTTCAAAGAAGCCTCATCCACGCGCAGCACACTCCGAGCCGTCTTCTCCCAGACCGACCCGAACACAATCCTACGACTAGCAGCCTCATCATCGCGCATCTTCTTCCGCCCAGATCCCTATTTCCTGGTCGCCGCGACCGTGGATCAAGTAGCTGCCTGGGCGCTCCGGAGCGAAGACAACGTGCGCGCGCTGCGTCGAGCGATCAGAGATGGGGTTGAAGGACTGTTTGCTTTATGTCTTGAGGTAGCGGGGTTGACGATGCAAGATATCCGTCGGTGAGTGCGAGCGAAATGCTACTTACCTAACCCCCATATTCTGAGTGAGGCGCAAGTGAGCTGAGTGTCGTGCAGGCTACACATCTCGCGCTTCCGGATCTTCAACCCCGTGATTGACGTCGTCGACCGGTGCGCGGGCAAACAGTGGTACGCGGTGGATGATTTCTGGAACGGGGGGCGGTCCGACGCCGAGACGATCGACTGCGAGCCTGGGCGCTCGCTCTACGAGATGGCTATCTATGGTTCTCTCTTCCGGTCGACGCTGGAAGCTAATCTTCGCGGCGACCTTGGGTTCGATCTGCATACTAGACTTGATTTTGTCAAGTATTGTATTCCGGACTGGTATTGTAGGAGTTATAAGGGTTTTGAGGTGGAGATGGTTGGACCGTACAGGAATGGTAGGGATGAAGTGATGCCGCGCATGGATCAGTACGGTATCAGGCATATTCTGAAAAGCAGTACCTGGGGGCGTGAGTGGGAGAGGGTGCGTGATGAAGTTGGTCCTGCTTTCGATGATGATGTGAAACAAGAAATTTGGGAGAATGCGGTGCAGATGCAGGGATTGTTCGGGTTTGAGATGCTCAGGCCAGGAGGTGCGGAGAGCTGGAAGGAACGTGTGATCGAGCTAAGGGAAAAGGTTGCCATGGCCGATTTGAGGAAGATGAAACCCGTGGAGAAGGACGTACATGGTGAGATTTCGTGGGTTGGTTGCCCAATGTTGACACATGAGGTTTATTTCTGCGTGAGAGGCATGTGGCCGGTAGGTGGCTGCTAAAGACCCTCTCACGATGAACACTGCTGACTACCTATTCTAGGGATATGATGAGATGTAGCGATCATAAAATAATCATCCATGCTTCACGGTAGTGCCATTGACTTCGGGTCGTCTTATCTATGACAGTGAATGCTCTCAGAGTCAATTTTGAAGTCAGAAAACTCGGGGTGCAGCGCTTGTAATAGAAACCAACACTGAGGAGAATTGATTCATGATGAACCAGGACGCACAGCCGCGATGTGGCAAGTCCGTCTGGGTCTGGAAGTATTGAGCGCCTCTATCCACTACTGAGTCGCTCGCTCTTTTACATGGCATCCACTGATAGTCGAGAGCAGGACCGGCTTCAAACGGCAAGGATGAAGTTAAAAGCAGGCTATAGTTATCAAGATTCTTAAAACTCCGCAAAATGCTACCCAGACCTCAACGCCTTGTATCACGTTCCCCTAACGATACTCAATGACCAGAAGCATCCAACTGAAGATCCTGACCACTCGCTTCAGCAGGATCATTGTCCGCACTCCCCACCGTAACAACCTTATTGCAGCGCTGGTTCCAGTATTCGCCTACAACATTCTAATTAGCCATGGACTTCACCCAATCCAAAACAACGCTCCAATATCGCAATGTTCGATCTTTGCCAGGAAGGAAGCGGCTCACCTGCGACCACGAATGCAAGATTGTCAGCATTCTCGAAAGATAACTTGGGGTCACATCGACCCTTAGGGCCATTGGGGTTGTTCTTGTCTGGCCCGCATCTGACAGAGTCGTGATAACCCCCTACTAACGCTGAACAATCTCTCGCACCATAGGCGTAGTCGTCGGCTCTGTACTCATGTGGTAAGTGAGATGCTTTGGTTTTTGATGACAAGGGCACATACCTAGGAGGCTGCTCTACCCCTCCTGTGGGATATTTCGTGTGCATCAGCTCATGGACAAGGGTAAATGCTATTGCAGTGTTATCAGATCAAGTACCAATCGTTTCAGTGGCAAGGTGGTTGCATACACTTCGTAGCTTTGAATTTCCCGATATTGAACCAATCATCAGTCTTGTCGCTGTCTGGCTGGCACTCATCAGAGGCCACTGACGACCTCTTCTTGGTATTGTCATCCCACCACAGCGGGCATAGATTCAAGATATTTAACTCCGCGATCACAAAGGCAACAGTTGTGGGGTTGCATAGGTTGGCATCGCATGTAATCTTTACCTTACCGTCGGTACGTGTAAGGATCGAATATGCGTTCCTATACTTAGTGTTGACTTGGAGCTCAAACCCTACTTGGTTTTTCACTGCGGGAGAAAAGTAGACCTGGTAGAAGGCACTCGCTGCTTTTATGTCGATGCCCTTTTTCAGGATGTCTGTTGCTGTCAAAAGCTCGGTAAATAAGAGTTCCAGGTCGTCGTCACTATGACCTTGGCAACTGTTTACAAATTCAAAGGCGCCGTTGTCAGGCGCTGACTTTGGCCACGGGCTCTCCGGAGTCGCTGCAAGAGCATTTGGGTCGGTAGGACCCCCTCCAGCGGTGACAGCGCCGGGGGTATCCGGTGCGACGGGATGGGCGGTCACGCTGGGGTCGATACCAGGGATGTCGAAAGGGGTCGCATCAACAGGGACGGCGATCAGACCCGCGGTCGCAAGGAACGCAAGATTGAGTAGCATGATGAGTTGAGATCTCTGGTATCTTGCCAAAGTATTGTGTCAGGTAATTACCTGGTGCGGCTTCTATATATTGTCTGCGAACCTCCATGGTGCCGCTTCCAAGGCGCAGCGCAGTCATTCTGACATCCAACTTTTGAGGATTCCTCAACTTTTGAAAATTCCAGACGAAGGAACATCAGCCTCGAGACTGGTTTGTATATAGAACGCTGCTATTCAAAGAGGATCCTTGAGCACAGACTTTGAAGCAAGGAATCAATGTTGGTTTCGTATTACAGAGCACCACGAATGTTGTCTCGAGCCTCATAAGAGTCAAGCGCTTACTTTCATGACCCTGTTATCTGTGTCACAAAACAAGCTAGGCCTCGTGGGATTGTGTTTCATAGCCTCATAAGGCGGACTATCAATTCCTGGCGCCTAGCGAAGGATCATTACGAGTTAGTCTCATGGCGGCGGTGGTCTCGTGGCCTCGGATGTCTGGTGACTCTGACCTGATATCTCACACTTTTTGTTCTGACTCTCTTTAGGTTATGGTAATTGAAAAGACAAGACAGGTTCAACTTCACAAGAAAGGACATCCTTTCATTTCGACATGATCAATCCCAACCCTTTCGCTGAAGTGCCTTGCAGCCTTGCAGCCTATGTTCGATGGTTCATCTGGACCTGAATACTACTTTTCCAACCAACGGGGACGTCTGCCATTGGCTCTCTCTAAATCCTGTCAACCTGACATATCAGACTAGGAAAATATTCTAGACGGCCCGCACATATCTACGCGCCCAGCTAAAGAGCCCTGATCCTAGGCTTTGTTTCATCATTTCCCACATGATGTGAGAAGATAGACACATGGCCTGAGCACAGCCTCGATTTCTGCTATATGTGTGCTTACTAGCCTTACACAGCCCCAGAGACTAAGACCGAAAAGGATTCTCACTCGCGGAAGGTTTCCGTGCACCTCGCCGCAGTAACATCATCTATTAACTGTACATGACAGAGGGAAAGCAGGATACAGAGCAGGCAAGACGAGAAACTTGCCACACCAGTGAATCTCCAATATCATGCTCCAAACCCTCTCTCACCGACTCATCCCAATCCCCCCATTCAACAGCGTTCAAAAATGACCACTTCGGACAAACTAAAAGACCTCATCGAATCACACCTCTCTCTCAGCATAAGTGGCCCATCCTCCTTCCCCCACTCCACGAACGAAACCGACAATTACACCCTCACAGTCACCCTCAAGTATCACGCCCCCTCCCCCGCTCCCCATAGCCTTGACCCACCACCTCCGCTCCTCCCCGCAATAACGATCAAAGAAGCCTTCTCGCCTCTCTCCACGCTCTCGTCGCTCCTGGGTCTTTACCGTCTCTACCCTGTCCAATCTTCCACCACGCCTTCCAATCCTTCCAATCCTTCCATCAACCCTGAGACAGGGGTTAAGCACGAAGCTAGCGCCGAAGTCCCAGTGCACTTCAGCAAAGCCGACATCGATCTCGATATCACCCCCAAGCCCGTGACGGAGGATAACGGCTTCACGTGCTTGCACCCGGGTGAAGAAGTTGTGAGAGATGTGGCGATGGTGCCGATGTGCCATCGTGTTGAACAGGGGGAGAGGTATGTTATTAGGATCGTAGATGCGAGCGGGGAGGGGGTTGAGGTTGGTGAAGGTGGTGGGGATGGAGACGGCCTTGTTGAAGCAGCCGTGGAAGGTTCTGGGGAAAAGGCCAGGAAGGGGGAGTGGGAGGGCCAAGGGAAGGCATACGGCAGAATCGAATGGTGGGGCGTAGGCGAGCTGTCCGCCTTCGAAGGGGAAAAGGTCGCCGTGACGGAACGGAGTAAGGATGGAGGATTGATTGTGAGGGATTTGGGGGAGGGTGTGGAGGTTGTCGTTGAGAGTGCTGAGGAGGAGAAAGCGTAGGGGGGTGCAGGAGGGGGAGGAGAAGGGTGCAGAGAAGGGTTGGAAGGAGTAATAGTAGGGGTATGTGATTGGAACTGTCTTGAAACGGGAGGAGGAAGGGTTTACGCGGTGGTGCTAGTGGCGTTGAGAGGTGGAGGGAGATTCGGTAGAAAGAGTAAGGGTAGAATGAGTTATCGGCTCTTGTCTTCTCATGTATTCCCCACTCTTTTTATTGCAAGAATAGTATAGCTGCGGGTAACGTAAAAACGAAGGTAGGTACTTGTACGTATTTCTTCTTCTTCAAATTGTCACAAGACTAATGCTGCAAGAAATGAATTTCTTTATCGAGTTTACGGCGACTGTCGATTCAACCTTCTTGGGCTGGTGTTTGATCGTGGTCCGGAGGACTGTGGTCCATTGCAGCTTCTTCACAAGACTCTCGCTCGATAGTAATTCCTTGGAAGATGATCTTTGACTTCTTTTTGCAGGTATCTCGAACCTTCTTGGTGTCAGCCCCAGAGGCGGGCTTGTTCCGAGGCATCATGGCTTGAAGAGAACGGGATTTTGTTTGTCTCATGTTATGGTCGCTTACCTCAGCATGTGCTTATGCAGTTGGCGGTCCGGTTTGGCGATTTTATACATGACACCAACTGTACGCCTATGGCGCGCGAAATTTGACTAATGAGTTGAGGGCATAGTCAGTTTCCTACTTTATTGCATCATTGATGCTACCACCGCATCGCGTGTTGAGGCTCAATGGCTGATGAACTGTCGAAGTGGCAAACATTACCTTGCTCAAATCCAAGAAGCCCCACAGCGTTGAATCATGTGAGGGGTAAAATGCAGATCTAGACCAATGGTACTCTGCCTGACACGTCCAAATTTGAGGCGGATAAGAGCGGGCCGATCAAGAGACTGTGTTGATTCTCCACCAGTGCACGAACCCATGGCATGAACATGTTTTCGACCATACAGCACCCCCATCATAACGATTTCATACTCTCAAGGTGGTATTCGATATCTATCGTCGGCGACGATTCTGATGATGGGCAGAGGGGATGGCATTTTCACGGGTGGCAAACGAGTCGAGTGTGTATTACCCTTTTAGGCAAATACTGAAATGTTGAGGTGTCATGGCAGACTTCCCCGCTCTGCTGCTTATCTCCCCTGCCTCCTTCTTTTTGCAATTTCCTCTTGTCTTCTTCCTTTCAACTTTCAGACGAACATCACCCTTTTGCTACTGTCACCATTCCACTGCTCCTTTCATCTTACCACTGCTACCATCATCAGTCTAGTGCTAGAGCCACACGTCTTCTTTTCCTTCTTTTGCAAAAGACAATACGCAATGGAGTACACGGATCAGGCGTATCTGACAGTGAGTCAGAATGTCATTGTGATGGTGCAATGCTGACTGTCGTTACAGCTGGAGACAGTCGTGAGTCGTATTCGGGGGGCTGGGCCGTACCCTCTGCCCGATGAAAACACCATCATAGATGCGATGATGGCAGTTTGTATGAATCGAACCAAGGAAGAGAACAGTCGAAAGGAAGCGTATGACGCGGGGGCAGAAGCCCAACTACAAAGCTGCGAGGTGGCAGCGAGAAAGATCAAGCAGGAGGCTTATGAGCAGGGTCGAAAGTACCAACACGAGGCTGATATTGAGCAACTGAAGAGCAAGGAACGGGAAATCAGGCAACAAGCGTACAGCGAGGGCTGCGAAGCCCAGCGGCGAAGTGACGAGGTTACGGGGCATCGAATCAAAGAGGAAGCCTACAAGCAGGGTCGCAAATTTCAATGTGACCAAGACAATGACCAAGTCAAGCCAATGTTGAAGCAACACGAGGAGAAGGTGGAGACTTTAGAGACTCGGGTAACTGAGCTCGCAACTGAAAATGCTCGTTTGATGAACCAGAATCTTGCATTGGCTCTAACTGTCAAGAATCAAGAGGAGGAGAACGCCAAACTTGCTCAGGATATTTCACACAAAGATGGCATAATTGAAAATATGCAAGCGAGCTTGAGTGCTCCCATTGACCATTCGGCGTGCAAGAACAAGATAGGCGAGCTTGAACAGCAAGTGGGAACTCTCTTCGGACAATTTGGAAAGTTTGTTGACAAACTTCGTCTTGGCCCAGTGGTTTGCATCAATGGCGATTACACCGTCCATAGGTGCGACCATAGCACATGCGACCGACAACTCTCGGAGACGAGAGAACAGATCGGCAAGTTTGAGAAGGCCCAAAGCCTCCACAAGGAGCAGAAGGATCACCTCAAAACGAGGTATCGTCGCCTGGAGGACCAGGTTCAGGGCAAAATTGACGCGGCCGTGGCGGCGGTCAGAAACCGCGTCATCTTGCCAGTGAAGCCGAAGACCGTGCCGAATGCAGAGGCTGACAACACAATTCTGAGAAACCAGCGCAATGGGCTGAGTACTCAGCTCAAGTCTGCTCAAGGGGCACTCCAGGCGACCAATGTGGCCACTCGCGGTCTCAAGCGTGAGCTTGACGATTATAAAGCCGACGAAGTGACCCGGAAGATGAAGAAGATGTTCAAGCCGAAGAAAAGCTCGGCCGCCAACGATGACGACGGCATACGTTAAGAAGGCCCCGGGGACCCAAAAGGGCAAGAGGAGGTCACGGTCGAGTTGCTCAACCTCCTCTCCTGCCCTGCCAACGAAGCAAAGTGACATGCACGCAAAGTGACATGCACGACCAAATTCACTGCTTCTATCATCTCACACCAATCATCTCTTGTTCACTTCGTCTCGGCACTTCTCGTTGCTCGCTTCTTTCATACACACATCATCTGGCAAAGCTCTCTTACCAAATGCTACATCGAATCCTCAACGATCAGCAATATCTCCGCTTCACCACGCTCTACAAAACTTCCTCTAGATGCCAACAGGGACGCGTCGATGGCGAATATGCGCCTCCGCGCTCGAACAATCAAAGGGCTGAGAGAAGTTGATAGATACCGTTTTCTTTCGCATGCCTGCCGATCTTTACCTCACCACTGGTTCACTCCACCACTTTGGGTGATACTTTGCTCTTCCAAAAGTCCGCCTTCTCACGACACCATCTCCTGACCGACTCAAATTACTTCCTTGACCAACGATAGGCCTCCTCATCAGCATTGAGCTCACTTTCACCCTACTCACGAATCTCAACCGCTCACGCCTGGCTATTCTCACCGATATCATCATTCGATATCTCTTGAGGTCACTATCGAGTCGCTCAACCTCCTTCATCTACTTCATGGCCAATGAAGCCAAGTGACATGCACGACCATATCACTGCTACTTTCTTACAACTCCGACACCTAGCGACATCTTCTCCTGCTCAACTTGCCTCATTTTCATCACCAAAGTGTTGAAAACTCCGATACGCATACAGCACCAAGCTTACTCTGACTACGCCTACGAATCCCGACCGCGCCCACGGCTCGCTATCCTCCCCGATGTCACCACCTAAGACCTCTCCATCTCACCAACTCATTATCTCAGGTCGTACATCCTTCACCGCCTCACAGCCTCGTTCAGCGACCAATTTCCCCATATCTACCTCGGATGCGCTTACCAACATTGCACAGTCGCTTCACCGATAGTCTGTTGGTAATAGCAGTGTCTGGGTGATTGAGAAGGAGGCGAATTACAGATCGTGAAAGGGCAAAGTGTTAGAAATGATCACGGGTCCATATAGGGAGGGGCCGAGAGGTTTTTCAGGAACGCGAACGAATCCCAACCACTCACGTCTCGCTATCCGCACGAAGATTACCACCTGAGACCTTTGAAAGCCATCACATCAAGTCACTATCTCAGGTCGTACATCTCTCTCTACCTTACAGCCTCACCCTCTGAACCTCTGGTGGACTTGACCTAGCAGACCTTATTTCACCACCCATTACTCCTACCTAGTGATGGACTTGACGCAGCATATCATATCTCCAGCGACCTTTACTCCCACATCTGCCCCGAATGTGTTACCAACACTGCACAGTCCCTTCACCGACGGTCTGCTGGTGACGACAGTGTCTGGGTGTTTGAGCCAGAGGCGAATTACACATCGTGAATAGGTAAAGTGAGTCAGACTTGCTAACGATTCAATACAGGCGGGCGAGGGGAGGAGTTATATTTTAGGAACACAGACGAATCACGATCCCAAGGATCCTATCGAAATGGTTGGCAGCCAGGCGCATCGAGCCAAAAAGGCACCTCCCATCCCTTCACATGGCCAAGGGCATCGAGCAGAGAAACCACCTCATATATTCCCCTATTCACCATCTCCACCTCCCTACCGACATCCTCGCTATCCCCATCACCCATCAACCCACCCACCAACCCCTCAACATCCAACCCCACACCTCCAGGTCCAAGCCAACTTCCACACAACTCCATCAACCACCCCAATACCACCCCAATCCCACCGCCGACCCATCACATCGAAAGATGTCCCCAATCACCCTTCTCACCCCCTATCTCAGTCGCAGCTCGTTTCCGCGCTGGCTCTCTGCTTATGCTAAGCTGCCGCGCGATGTCGGCTCCTGATGATTTGGTGGGTAGATGGGTGAGGGGGGAGAGGGGTCTTTGGAGTGAATCGATGTGGGCAAGGGGGAACGGTTAAAGGGGGAAGGCATGGATAGGATGGGGAGGAAGGGGAGGAAGGGGAGGAGTAGGTGGGTTGGAGAAGACGATGTGATGAGGCAGGCATTCGAAAGAAGCCGAAGGAATAGGTATGGTAACGAAGACTGGATACATGGTGGACGGAGGAGATGATATAAGGGGGAAAGATATGGAAAGAACGAGGAGGACTAGCCGGAGCAGAGAAGAGGATGTAATAAGGCATTCGGGAGAAGCCGAGGGAATGGTCGAGCAATAAACAGAGCTCGCGGTAACAAAGGGGGGATACAGCGGACGGAGGAGACGACGCAAGCGATCTCTCGTGTATCATGCTTTCAAAAGTGATTTTCTATAGTATTACGAATATGCACTTGTCTTGCATGATACCCAAATAAAAGAATATTTACCTCTTGAATCTTCCCAACCTCTCTCCACCTCCGACAACGCTCGGCCGCATCACCGTAGCTCCAACCACTTCCAACCACGCCCCGCTCCACCAAGCCCCAGCGCTCTCTCCCTCTCATGCATCACCCACGTCACCCACGTCCTCCGCCGCTGATACCCCGGAACTCCCCCCGCCCCCCCTCTCCCCACCTAGCGAGAAGTTCCGCTGCCATGTCGACCGGCCGGCCTTTGCGCAACTGGGACGACAATGGAAGCTTGATTTGTTTGTTTATTTCTGCCTTCTTGGGCCTTGTGCTTTGCAATTTCGCAATAGCCACTTGGTAGGGGAGTCGAGAGTACGGCTGGCGGTATGAATGTGGATCGGGCCGATTTGAGGAAAGGGAGGGAGGGTTGGGGGAGCGCGACTACTAATTGCGATGGCGGTTGATGCGCAGGATATGTGTTTGCTGAGTTGATCGGATGGGGAGAGGGGGGGGGAGGGGAAGAGGGGGACGGGCGTTATGCTGGTTGCATGCCTTCTGTTTTTGGAAATGGTGTTAAGTGGGTAGGAGATTTCTTTGAGGAGCAGAAGCAGTAAGGGAAAGGGGGAGCATGGTTGGAATGTGAAAAGGAGGGTAGAGAAGGGTGTACATAAGACAGAATCCGTTCGGCGGAGAAGGAGTTATCCGGGCAGGGAGACGCTGTATCAATATCCTCGGAGTCATATATGCTGTATGAATCCAACTGGGCTACCTCGCCTTCATGTACCGTGTCATACTTTCACATCCCGCGTCGTGTGCAACCCACGTTTGAAATTCCATGATTTCGCTTCCCTCACTCCATTCATCTACGACAAACAATCCGTCTCCCCAAAGCTATAATAAGAGCTAAGCGCATTCGAGCCACCATCAGCATCCGTCGCTTGATGGCATACATTCAACGGCATGGAGTCATCCCCTCCCGCACAGGCATCATACGTCACGGGCCCTGCGCAGGCGTTCCGAGAATAGGCATTCAGTCGCTGCCCCTCTCCTCCTTTGGTCGTGAGTTTGAAAGATTGGAAACCGCCGGTGTAGGCGCACGTGTTGTCGTAGACATTTCGTTTGGCGACGGCGCCCGTGCAGCCTTTTTTGGTGTACAGTTCGGCGACGTAGGCTTGGCTTGCTGTGATGAGGCTGGTGCCGGTGAGGAGTGCGATGAGGATGTTCTTCATGGTGGATGGGGGAGGTTGGGAAATTTGTTGAGTAGGGTTTTGAGGGTGTGATGGTTGTTCTGGGAAGACGATGAGAGTGAATTGGGTGTTGTCCTGAGTTCTCAAGAGACGTTTACGATCCCTCCTTATACATCAAAGCCATGGATGACCTCGGCTTATGCGACGTAACTTCATGGCTATTCTAAAGTCAATATTCTGAGAATACGCTCTACAGACCAATTTTCGGACACTTTTATGCCATCTTTCGTGTTTAGTCACCAGCTTTGTGTTATGAACCTTCCTAGATATAGCTGAATGCTGCGCTGAGTTGAAGATATCGTGTCGCTAGGTCGACGCCAGTCTAGTCAAGTTTCAGGCCTCGTCGCAGCTTACGACCTAACTAGGCTAAAGCAATCTCACGCTCAATATTTCGATTGGCGGGTCAGGATTTTTACCGTTAACTCAGTTGGCATTAACGTCAACAGAAGACATCCGAGAAGTCAGAAAGCTCGGAATGGAAATTTCAGTAACATTATTGCTGGACTACTACGCTGTTAGTAATGCTCCTAAGTGGTGCTTACCGGGAAGGGTACTGAAATACTCGGCACGCAGCGCTCGAGCTTGCAAAGCTCAAGGGACACAGGGACAATCGCGAGAGTGTTGTGAGGGCTTCCATGTTGATAGTGTGGCGGAAGTAAGCTTTTATGAAATGGTGGTAAAGTTGATTGGCAGGTACAGAGGCATTAGTGGACGTTGCTGGTCTCCCATCGGCTTTGGTTGTCTCTTTTGCACCATTAGCGAGTCTACCAAAAGAAAGTGACCTAATGAATTGCGAGAGAATATCAGGATCGTGGGTCTCATAATGTGACTAGAATACTAGTATCATCCACTTTCCTCCTCAAGTTTCTGGCGTATCAGGCATGCCTCGACGGATAGGCGGATTGAGCCCGTAGATTGAGCCCGTAGAGGCAAAAGAGTGGCAGTGGTCATCAATCTGCCGTTTCTTCACCTCCTTGATTACTCCTCCATTTAGAGCTAGGCATACCGTCTAGATGATCATGTGACGGCACTTATCGAAGAAGACGACCTAGTAACACCGCAAAGCCTTTGATCAACCTCTGCAAAGAGCCTTTTTCGGTGATTAGGTACTCACGTGTTGTCCAGCTCTGCCTCGATAAGGCTTTCAGTACCCTGCTCGTACGTATAGATCCTTGTGATCTTCAATCCCGCCTGCGCCAGCAGCTCTCGCCACTGTGCCTCGGTTCGTTCTTTAACGGCACCCAGTGCCAACATGAGCCAATCCATTGACGTGATTGAAGATGCAGCGCCCTGATCAGGTACGACGTATTCGTTGATGAGAATCTTTGAGAAGCCGGGTTTGAGAGCCGGGACGAGGTTTTTGAGGATCTTGAGGCATGAGGCGTCATCCCAGTCGTGGAGGACTGAGTGGAGGTAGTATGCTCTTGCTCCTATTTGCATCATCTTAGCAGTTTTCTTGTCAAGTTGCGAAGGATGTCTACCCTGAACTGGCTGTGATGTAAAAAAATCGTGAGCCATCAGCTCGAATGTCTTTTGGTCGCTACCGACCTGCTTGATCACATCCGGCAGATCTTGCAGCACCAGAGTACCTGGAAGCGCGGGATACTCTGATCTTAGCTCTTCAAGATCATGCCCAAGGCCGCCGCCGACGTCAACGAGCAGGGTGGATGCTGAGTCCACGCTTAGGTGGGTCTCCAGCGGATAGAAATCTGCATCGCACCAGCTCTTTTTCCCTTGGCGGTACCCACTCATGTAGTTATTAAATTGCTGTGCCAGCTCAGGGTTTTCTGCAAGAAATATGAAGAAGGGCTTTTGCGTCTTATGTGCGAACTGGAATGGTCCGTCGGCGATATTCGTTGGGTGCTGATAGTCTGTCTGCTTCAAGTAGTCTGGAATGCCGTGGAATGAGGGTCCTGCGACGTTGCGACTTGGAGTAATCTCATGAGTCAATGCCTCCAAAGCGGTGTGGTGGCAACTTACAGATACGTGATGCCATCGCGGTACTTGGGCTCGACCAACGCGGTGCTCAATGACGTGGCTTTGTATTGGTTTGCAGCACTCTCGGAGATCATATTTGTTGCGGCCAGATGCTTGAGTACCCGAGCTGGTCATGTGATCAGCACTTTCAGATGCCTTTCAGCGAGACCCGCATGGTAGAGTGGCACATACATAGAAGTGTAACATCTTTTCCCGTCTGCTGCACGATTTCTGCAAGAGTCACAGCACTAGCACTTTGTGCTAGTATGCCGAAAATGTTGAGATCAATGGCGATTTGCGTGCAAGCGAATCGAGCAGGCTGCACCTTATGAGCATGGTGCTCTACAATCGCTTACGGGCAGTGAAAAGACGAACTTCTGTCCAGCCTATCCTCTGAATAGCGTCGCTCGGTGTTTCGAGGGAAGATCTGAGCTGCTCAGACAGCCACAACAGCTTCTCTCGCGTGCCCTGTTGAGATGGAAAATCTTGCAAGGTTGTAGCAATCTCATGCGAAATCTCTGTAAGAAAGACCTTTTGCTGCTGCTGCGATAATGAAGTCATGATTGTGATGTGTAGGTAGCCTTCACAGATGACAACGAAGGGTAAAAGCTATGGAGCAACATGGTGGACGTCAAAAGCATAGGAGGAATAGCATTGGGCAACGTCACTTCGGGGTTAAAATTTATCTCCGCCAATTCGTGCCAAGAACTCCACACGCATTTGACGCGTGGCTGTTCAGGAACACAACATCATCATCCATCATCATGCATTATCATACAGCGTGAAGTTGATCACGTCAGAAAGAGAGAGGCACAGCCCGTATTACATCAGCATCATGGCTGCAGCTATGTCAGCCCCTCTCCATCCTACAGGCTGCAGCTGTGGGCTGCCTCTCTGCCGTACGAGGGCTGAGCCATTGCCTGGATGCTACTACATGCGCCAAGTGGCTGATTGTAACGAGATCTATGGCTCTATGTATAGGTGGAGACTTTCAGGCATGATCCGTTAGAAAGTAAGTACTCAGGCGGCTGTCATCGCGATGAGACACTGCTGATCTACCGCCTACAGGGCAGATCTGTCATCCAATCAAGCCCACTGACTACACATCGTCCCACTCCAGTACTACATCCGTCGTTTGTTTGACGCCTTGAGATGGCCTCGAGCTATTTTGACTCGATCGATCATCTCCACGGGTGGTACACTCTACTGTGCTAGTTCCGGGCTGCATCTGTCCCAAGGCCAAGGGTGTCTTGCTGCCATACTCCATGACATCTGTCGACCGCGGTTGACGACTTCCTCGGCTGTGTTCTTTCAGCGTTTGGGTCATGCTGATCGCAAAAGGCCTCAAGCTTGGGATGCAGGCGGCAATGATGATTACGTTGGCCTCCACACTATCGATTCGCACGTAAATCAGCTTGTGACTTTGTGAAAAACATTCAAGGTACATACACAACCCATATCAGAAGGTCAACGGTGGCGTCTGTCATGAAAGTCAGCAATCTGCATGTCTCATTTGCGGAGACTTTTTCACATACAGGTGAAGTCAGCCAGATTGGCAAGCTCATTCAACTTGGACGTCTTAACGATGGCACAGATTGCGGCACTACAACCAGTCAACACAGAATGCAAAAGGTGCTGAGTCAGAACACACAATAAGGTGGTGCTCATCAGCAAGCACAGACCAAGCTTCTTCTGCGTCCTCAGTTGAAGCTTCCAAAATGCGAAGGCAGGGATGACCGCCAGTAAGACGTCAGTAAAGGCAGAGTATGCTACAACCTCCCGTGAGCAAGCAGAGATACATTGATTGGCACTCCTCTCACCTCCAACAAAGTATGAGTAACCTGTTATGACATCTGGAGAGAGGCACGTAGCCGGAATAGTTGGGTCCCACAAGAAGCGCGATGGGTTGCATTGAGCAAACAACAGTACACATGCTATCCCAGTGATGATGCTCTGGGCAATAGCGACACTGAAGAGGGCCCATTTCTGTAGTCGGGGGAGAGACAATATTCTGTTAAGAAAGATTGCAACCGAGATATTGGGAAGCGAGTATGCCATTATGCCAAATGGATTGGAAATGTAGTTGAGCTTGGTGGCTCTAACTCTTTGATGCGGAGACAGGAATACCGCATGCCGCCCCATCCCCTCCCCTACACTAGCAGATATGATTGAGGTACAGATGATAACCAGAGTCTGGGCGAGCAAGAAATGGTCAGCCGAATCCAATGAATCGATCCAAATGACGAATTGAATAGCTTCAATACCAGAGAGATGACTGTAAACACATCATCCAGGGCAAGTTCTCTCAGTATCCTCGCCCGTGTGAATAACTTGAGGCCAACCACTACAATGGCTATCGCCGTGAAGATCCATGTGATGGCCACCAGCTCAGGGCCTCTGCTATTATCATCAAATGGCACAGCAACGTCCATCTTCAACACTCGAATAAACGATATGGGTGCACTCAAACAAGGCTCCGAAAGACACGCTGTGATGGTTGAGGCTTTGCGAAACGACACACGCACACGAGTCACTCGACACCACAAGAAGAAGCAAACTCAGACGAAAATCCAGCGGCGAGGCACACATGATAAGCATCAGCAAACCGTCACCGCCCTTGCGGTGGACTTATGCAAGGTATCGCATCGGACGTCCAGTCTTTTTGAAGTTATCCTACCATGAGTCTGCGGCTGCTGACTGCGTGTGGACCTGATGCTCGTGTGGTCATGGCGAGGGCAAAAATCCCCACATCCCACATACCAATGGGAATCATGCAGGAGGCTCAGGATCCCGGCGTCGGTGTCCGAGAGGGCGTGGACGATGATTGGTGCGCAAATGGCGCAGATCCTGCGATCTGCGGTCAGCATTACTCCGCTCCCGGTTCCTTTATGCACAACATGGGTAAAGGATTGGCGTTAACGAAGCTGACAGCTGCCATCCCACTTCAATTGGCAAATGTACGATAAGATTGGCGTGGAAAACAGGCAGCTGCATCGATGGAGGCTAGAACCTGTGCCAGGGGGCTGAGATCTGCGTCTCGGCCGGAGGGTCCTCCCTCTAGGCTGCATCCTTCGGATATATAATTTCCTTTGAGGCATACGGATCAAAATAGAAGCATCCTCCGTGTGAGCAGGCTTTCAGGCATAAGACTGACTGAGACGTGAGTTTCATGACAAAACTCAGCCGTCGAACCTCACAGCCATGGACGGCTTCCAGGGGTGGCATTACCATTATGGGTCGTTGACAGACCTTATTGGCTCAAGGTCCATACCCTACGACCCTTGCGTTATCTTTAAACTATCGCCTAGGCCCCAAAAGGCTTGTCGGGCATCGGGCGAGCCACGCTTTCGATCCCCTGGACGTCCCGATCGTTGCACGTGGAAGAAGTCATCGAACGCGAACTGTCATACTCATAATCACGATAAGGCGAAGCAACACAGTCACAACTCCTTCTTGAGCCACCTTCCGGGGGAGCCAACCAGGGTGGAGAACGAATAGGAGCCTATGACATCAGGCGATGGTCAGCTCTATGGCAGTGGCCTTTGCCATACCTACGCCAGGCTGCCTGGAACCATCAGGGGACGGGCTGCCACAGGCCTTTATTCATATAATGGACTCTCAACGTCGGAAGCCGCTTTGCGCTTTCATCAAACTTTTACCGCCAGGAGTGCATTTTCGCTCTCTTCCTTTGAACCCGACGCGTATACAGGAGGCGACCATTTTGATGAGAACCCTCATTTCTCAATATGCTTTCGGCTTACTATGTCTATGCCTGTGCTCTGGCTCCGCTCTTCTTCATCCTCAAGGGCATCTATAACCGGTATTTCCATCCGTTGTCCAAGTTTCCGGGACCCTTCTGGGGAAGCGTGACCGATCTCCATCTCTTCCTCGCCATCAACTCTATTCCCACCAATGGTCTAGCGCTTCATGAGAAATACGGTGCGTGGCCTAAGCTTGGAGTCTTCACCGCTTCAATCATACTAATACTAAGCGTGTAGGGGACATTATTCGCATTGCCCCAAATCTTCTTTCGTTCTCCGATCCAAAACTCTTACCCGAAGTCTACCATACACAAGCAGACAAGACTCCCTTCTACAGCTCATGGCTATTTTCAGACACGGTTGGCATGTTCCAGACATTGGACCATCGCAAACATGCTGCGTTGTTCAAGATCATCAACCCATGTGTAGGTTCACGTACTCTTCAGTTTCCCGAGTTAGCTGACAATGAGTCTTAGTGCTCGTTGAAAGCGTTGAGCAAGTTCGAAGGCAGGATTGATGAGCAAATAGATGGTCTATGCGCTCAGCTTGGACAGAAGTGCAAGACGGGGAAGTCCGTCGATTTTGTGGAATATGTGAGGTGAGTCAGCCGCTCAGCTTACGCTTCTCCTGAAGACGCTTGTGGGGTGCATGGTGAACGTGTTGCGCCCAAGCCGCCATCACAATTCACTCCATCCGAGGTCCCATCTCTTCGTGTATGTTTCTGACAAGTCGGTCAGGTACTGGCTCGCGGATGTATACAGCCACATCGCCTACGGAAAGCCACTCGGCTGCGTCGATCAAGGGCGTGATGTCGGCGGACTCATTGATGCGATCCAATCCATCTACCCGATGGTCGGCACCGTAGCTGTGTTGCCTCAGATATTCATCCCAATCTTCAACAACCGCTTTTGCAGACGATTCATAAATCCGCACCTCAAGCCGTTTAGAGAAATCCAGAAACACTTTGATGTAGGTACAAGTCTCAATCAAGTCTTCACCCAGCCATCTAACATCTGACCGCCATCCAGAATTACGCCCTCCAGACCCAACCCCCCCTAACCGGTACGACTCCAAGCCACCACCTCCGCGCCTCTTCGACCCCCTCCGCTCCAACCCATCCGTATCCCCCGATCTTCTCCGCGCCGAACACATCCTCTTCACCTCAGCGGCGCTCGACGGCCTCGCGGCCTTCATCGCGCCATTCATCCACCACACGACCTCGTCCCCTCGAATCTACCACCTCCTAACCTCGGAAATCTCCCAAGCAGCAAACCTCTCCTCCCCGGTGGCCACCTACGAAGAAACGCTTTCACTCCCCTACTTCTCGGCCTGCGTAGCCGAAACTCTGCGCTTCGAAGCGCCCGCGCAGACGATTCTCCCCCGCTACGTGCCGCAGGGCGGGCTCATGTGGAAAGGGCGCCTGATCCCCTCGGGGACCGAGATGGGCGCTAGTCCGTTCATCATCCACCGCAATCGCGCGGTGTTTGGGGACGATGCGGATTGTTTCCGGCCAGAGCGGTGGTTACTACCCGATGATGACGACGACGACAACACACGACTCGAAAACGCAGCCACCTCACCCAACCCCAACCCCAATTCCCAGAAGAGCGAAACTCGCCGCCAAGCTCTCCACCGGACCAAAACAATGGAAAAGTACGGCATGTGGTGGGGGTACGGCACGCGGGTGTGCGCAGGCAAGAATCTGGCGCAGATGCAGATGCGGAAGGTGTGTTTGGAGGTGCTGAGGCGGTTTGACGTTCGCGCTGTGCTGGATGGGGAAGGGAAGGCGTTTCGCCATGAACGCTGGGCGGTGGGCATGTTTTGGGACCAGAGAATGGTTTTTGAGGAACGGGAGAGGGGGAGGGGGGAGGGGGGAGTAAGGAGCTTCTGTAATTGTGTGTGTGTATTTGCATTATTGGCATTGGGGGGGGGCACGGTTTTTCTTGAAAATTGGGCGGATATGGTGTGGTTTCGGGGAAACGTTTTGAGAGCGCAAGGCAGGCCATCACATCGATGAGTGGACGCCATTAAATGGTGCGTATAGTTTAATCTGCTGGTTGTCATCTAGTCTAGAGGATACAGACTCAGCATCACACGCCTTCCCCTTTTCCCTGTCTCGTTACTTCTGGCTCTCCCATCGAGGATCTCGTCACGGTAATATGATTTTCGTCCTACTTCTTATCGGGCGGCTTTGTGTGTAGATATTCTCCAAAGTCCGTCAAAATGCCGCAGAAGGGTAAAATGATAGAATACCTAACTGCTGTTTGTCGCAGACCCTAAAGTATCACTCTGTGAATGATGCGCTAAATATAACCTAGCGGCAATTCATATCTCCATAACCACCTGATAAGACAAATTATTGATCAAGTGTTCGCTCTTCGCGTTCGCTCCCCAGACCCGTTCTCCCTACCCGCCTCTATCGTCTCTCGTTCATGTGTTGCTCCTGAAAAAAGTGTTGCCCAGGGCCCAATGTAATAGTAGTATATACGCATTCATCCTAATTTTAAGCCAAGTTTTCTCTGCAAAATTGCCTATCTTCGACCTTCCATCGCGCACTTCGCCCCTAGACGCCCGATTTTGGCTCTCTTTCGGTCTGTATGATGTTTGAGTGTTAGACGAAGGGTTGCCGCGAACGTAGTTCGAATATATGTATGCAGATGAGGTTTCAGGTTGCGAGGGGGTTTCAAGTCTTACGAGTTGATTGCCTGGATGATGCATAGGTAATTCTGAATGTGGTTACAGAGCCTGCCTGGGCGCTTCTAAGGCTGCTGTAGGAAAGATGTCATTAAACTGTCGAAAAGATTTTCCGAGATCAGTCAATCCGTTTTAGCCTCATGTACGATGCCATGGTGAATGAAGGCAATCAACGACTTTTCCCGCTTTGTTGCCTCTATGTACCACTTCTTGACTTTCGGTCAAGATTCCTCTCCATCAAAGCTGATGACGAATCGATATATCATGTCGCTGTCTAATTTCCTCTGCAAAACCCACAGCAAGTCCATGGTGTATCGCTCAAGTCTCTTTGGGCTCAGTCACATACCAACATGACTTCAACAAAGCACGTATATGGCCGGTCCGTTCTCGCGCGGCGTTAGGAGGAAAGGCAAGGAAACTGGTTGGCTGACAGACCAAAAGGCGCTTTCAGGAGTACTGGGATCTCTCGTGTCAATCCCAACAACGAAGGCAATTGCAGAAGACTCGCAAAGGATGCTAGAATATTGACCTGAATACTGGTGATAATCCGTGGAGTGAGAATGAAATCCATCCTGGGTGCGGAGACTCGAGTATGAATATATATAGATAGGGAGAGAGAGATGAGGTAATGTTGCAGCGCACAGGGCTTAGGGAGGGACTTGGTCTCTGTAGTGGTTTCTCAGCCCTTGAAGAGGAGAGGAAGTCAGAAGAAGGCCGGGGGCAGAGAGGGTTTATATACCGCAGATAAGACCCTAGTGATTTGAGAATGCCGGGGGGCGATGACGCAACTGAGAGGGTCAGGACTATTCACCTCTGCATAGAGTTATACATCAGACCGGTGGTAAAATGCGTAGTGAGACTTTCCCCCGATATTCGAGCGCTCAAAAGTGAATAAAAGGCAAAATGAACTTTTTAAACCTTTCTCTACGTCCCTATTATACGCGCTACCCAGCCTCGGACTGGCACAAGATCAAACGTCATGACAAACGTCGTGACCTCCGCCAAAATTTCATTCGTCGCACAATACCTGCCTGGACACAACGTACTTCCACCGCCAAAAACGGAAAGCAGCTGCAGCTGCAGCTCTCTTCCCATTCTCTGTTTGCGGGATGTAGTCGCGCATAGAGCGCCGCGGTATGAAATCATCGTCCCAAGTTGCAGCATCGCGGTGAATGACGCGCTGGGCGTCTGCACCGCGCGCTTTTGCGCAGGAGATTGGTGTTGTTGAGGAGGGTGTCGGCCATGGCTTCGCGGACGGAGGAGTCCATGGAGGGGACGCGGAGGCCTTCTTGGGAAATGAGATTGAGGAGAAAACAGGTGGCTTTGAGTTTGGGAATGTCGAGGGTGTGAGTGCGCTTGTCTGTCGCGTCGATAATGGTCTTGAGGACATGGCTCATTTCTGCCCTGATGTCGTTGAGGAGATGATTGTCAGGATGGGCAAATATGTGCAGAAGCATCCAGAACGCGGCTGGGGAGGTGTTCGCGACCGTGGCGATGGTGAGCGCGGTCTCGGATTTGGCGGTGTCGGCAAGGGGTACGCCGTGGCGCTGGTGGGCGAGCAAATTATCTTGCTTGAGCTCCAAGACACTCGAGGCGTGGCCGTTGCGGTAGTATTTATCGAAGCCTGCGGCTAGGGATGAGCGTGCTGCAAGGATTTTGCGTCCGAAGATGGATGGAAGAAGGCCGACTAAGAGAGTGCCGAACTCACGCTGAAATTACCTGGTTGCCGTTGATGAGTCAGTCCGGATATTTTGACAGACAATGTTCAAGAAGGGTGCGTACATGAATGATGCATCGCAAACTTCATGCACTCGGAATGGGTTGCCATCATACAGACACTCTCCGCCGTAGCTTTCACAATTACTCTCGCCAATCACCCCAATAGACCCAATCTCATCACACCGTTCTTTTTCATCTTGTTCGCTAGACTCTCTAGCGACTCACCCACCTCCCTCACCATAATCCTGTTCATCCCATCCAACCCCCTGCCTGGTCTCAATGCCGCCTTCATCGCCGCGTGTGCCTCAAAAGTAGATCCCCACTCACCCGTGTATATTCCTTGTCTGAATGTGGTGCGCCTCAATCGCTGATGCCGCAGACTTTCTGTATGAAGTCCGCAGCCACTGGCGGGAAAGCGAGCGCTCGTGGGAGCTTTTGGACGGCTTGGAATAGGGTAGGAGTGAAGACGATGTAAAGATGTTTGCCGGGGAGACTGACGGTGAAGATGGGCGCGCGAAGACGCTTGCTAGTGGATGCGTAGAAAGGTCAGCAGATGAATAGTGTAGAGAGAAGGCTTGGAAGGTAGGAGTGAGACTGGCACGCTAGGAGAAGTTGCGTACCTCAGGGTTGGGTAATACTCGAAGCCGTGTTGGATGAGGCTAATGATGTGGCCAACGAACGGGATAGGAGTAGGCGCGGCGGAGGAGCACAAGAGTCTTTGGGGGACTTTATCCACGAGGAAAACAGAAATGTCGCTATAATGGGCAGCAGTATGGCTGTAGTTGGTAAGCTGGGAGTCCAGTATGCCATGGTGTCATTGACGCTGGTGTTGGCTTCTTGTAGTTGACCTGTGTCCAAGCGAGAGACTTTTATGCAGATTTACAACTTTATATTCACATCTCGCGACGACAAAGCCTTAACTGCAGCGACAACTTCGTTTGTGGCACCAGGCAGGAATACACCTTTACCAGCGGACCTCCAAGCATTGTCTCCCTTTCGATGGTCAAGGGGGCAGTAAGAGGCATACATTGCTAGGCTCCGCACATGGCTACCTGCGAATGAAAACATCGGTTGCTCGAATTCGTGGTAACAGCGGACAGTGCTCATTCATCGTCATCGTCACAAGAGCAGGCCTTCAAAACGATACTGGAAGTCCTTGCGCGAATCGAGCCCAGTTTCTTGAGCTTTGTCTGGTCTAGCGTGACGTTATTGTGCATCGTGCATGGTATTAAAGTTGTGCAGATCCAGATGGATGAGAGAGGCATAAGATGTATATCGAAGTGTCGGAAAGGTGTCCCGATTAGGCTTAGTCTTGCCCTAGTGGCAAAGGAACAGGGGGTACTTGAGAACATCGACATCTACGACACTTCGTGCAATTGCTTAGTCCAGCATAACTGCAGCAAACATCCTGGCCCTCAAATCTCGACTGGACATGCTTGGGATGAGATGCGTGCTTCCAGGACTCAAAGCCTTCAAGGCGACATAGCTTGTCGAGGCAGAGATCTAGCATCGTGACAGCTTTAGCAATTTCCTTGATCATGCCTGGGAGAAAGAAGAACTCGCGAGGTGATGCCACTATCCTCGTTGACTATTCGTGGAGGTATAGAATATCGATAGACGAAGACTCAAAAGACTGGACCAGATGCTAAAGACACCGCGCTGTATTCCCTCTTGCACTCTTAAGCGAGAAGGTGCAGCGGCATCGAGCTTTCTTGGCAAGAAACAAAAAAAGCTTCTACTATCACCAGCATCAGCCCTGCCATTTCCTCGGATTTTTGAGATTACTTCGTGGAATTGAATTTCTTTCGAGCATCAAGATGACGCACTCGTGATGAGACAAGCGGGATGATAGCTCAGGAGGGGTTGACATAAGTGCCTCAATGGAGTGTGTTCATTGTCTGCCTATTCCTGAACCCGGGAATAGCGCTGGCGAAACCAAGATCGCGCCTTTCTTTTACTAGTCCGAAGCTATCGTTCTGCTTCATGAATCCTTTCAACAGGCTTGCTAGGGGGATTAGTGCAGAATATCATTGAGCCGAGAAACGTGGCCGATGATCAGACAAAAGAAAAAATAAACTGGTGCCTGGCCCCTGCAATGAAGCCTAAACTGGATGCATCCTCAGAGAAAAATGTGATTTCGTTTAGCTGTTCTAGCCGAACTCTTTCAAGCAGGCTGAGAAGGATTCCAGGTCAGCTCGCTTGCGGCGCATAATTTAGGATCCTTCCAAGCAGGCTGGACGTAGGTAAGATTTTGACTGTGGTGCGCAGCCTATAAACTAATGCATTTACATCTAGGATGAGGATCCTTCGCGAGTGGATCCTGTTTCGCAGCACCGCGATTTCATGCACGAATTTGTACGGAGCCAGAGAGCCTTCTACGTCACATTAAGCCTTTTACCGGTGCAGGTACTCTAGGATCTGCCACACAAACCACGAAGACGAAGTCTGACAATAATAGTCCGCGCAACTACCTTTAACCGCTGTCCGGAAGGGAGGCACGCTCTCCCGCCCGTGCCTAAATTGACACATGTCTGTTGCCCAGACACGACGTACCTACAGCCCATTCGATGATGCTATTATCGATCTTGGCAAGACTTTCACCCGATGGATGAATACCATGTCATGTACTGCAAGAGTGGGTATTTCTCCGCAATTTTGATTCACCGCCCACGCATATCGACCTCGCTTGGCCCTGCACTCTGCCGCATGGCCGATGCAAGCCCCACTTCCACCATCCACTCAATCCATCAAATGAGCATGCAGGTCCGGACGTGCAGCTGAGCCAGCACCATTGGAGTCTTTGATCGGCACGCAAAATTCATGAAACAACCACAGGTGACACAGTAGTGGAGGAAGAGTGGGCGTGCAGGCACAAGCGTCTGACCTGAGAACTTAAGTGGGTTCCCGGCTTTCTTTGTCTGCATCGCATGTGACGCCTTATGGTCGTCACGCCGTATGCAACCGCCGCGCGTTGTACAGGCGTTCCTATGACTTATTTACTCGTGCAATGTTTCACGCTTGGGATCCTGTACTTGACTCTGGTGCGTCCATTTAGACTACGACTTAAGCTGAATTCCACAGAGCCTGTGCCTCCCAAGAAATAGTCCAGCGGCACCTTGCCTCGTCAAGCCTCCAGATGTCGGATCCAGTAAGTCCGAACCTCATCCTTTCCATCACCTTGCTCTCGCTCCCAACAAACTCAGCCTCTTACTCCCGTCCAATGACTGACTCAAGATCCGCACAGTGCGCCGCACTTTCCAAAGTGCTTCCTAACGCCGTCATTTTTCCTTCGGATGCATCATACGCCACATTCTCCGGCTCCTACTGGTCAAAGCAGGAGGAATCCGTCAGCCCCAGTTGTGTTGTGCGACCGAACAGCGCCCAGGATGTTTCGACCATTATCAAAACTTTGACACAATGCAACGATGCTAATTCAGACCCATGCTCGTTCGCGATACGAGGGGGCGGTCATACCCCATGGGCCGGTAGCGCGAACATTGAGGGTGGCGTGACTATTGACATGAAGGAGATGAATGAGATCGATGTCAACAAAGACCAGGCAATTGTATCCGTGGGCGCTGGAGCCATATGGGGGGAGGTGTACAAGAAAACGGACTCGCTTGGTCTTTCCGTTGTGGGTGGTCGGGGTGCGAGCATTGGAGTTGGGGGACTTCTCACTGGAGGTGAAGACTGCATGTCCTATGTTGTGCATCGTTCTCGACGCTGAAACTTCGGACAGGTGGTATTTCATACTTCTCCGCTCGTAAAGGGTTTGCATGTGACAATGTCGTCAACTATGAAATTGTCCTTGGGGATGGTCGCATTGTGGACGCAAGTGCTGAATCGAATCCAGATTTATGGCTTGCATTGAAAGGGGGTTCGAACAATTTCGGAGTTGTGACGAGGTTCGATATGCGCGCCTCTGAACAGGGCGATTTCTGGGGTGGATCGATAATCTATGCCGACTCAGTGACGCCTCAGCTTCTCCAATCTTTTGCGACCTTGAATGATGCTCATTCTTTTGACGAATATGCAGCTCTCATTTTCAGCTTCTCTTACACCTCAGCCTATGGCTTCCTGACTGCCGCAAACATTGAATATACTAAAGCCACACCCAATCCGCCAGCCTTTCACGACTTTACCGCTGCTAAACCTCAGCTTATGAACACCATGAGAATCTCCAATCAGACAGACTTTACTACGGAATTTGTCCAAAGCCAGCCTAGTGGCCGTAGGTGTGTAGCGTCTAGCCTTGTTCACAAGAACGGTAACCTGACTTTCGTCCGCAGACAGCTCTATCTTACCTCCACGTTCGGTAACGACTTGTCGTTTCTGAACTTCGTCTACGATCTATTCAAGTCCATGCCATTTGCGCCACTCGGCACCATCCCAAATCTCGCCATATCAGTCACAATTCAGCCAATGCCACCGGCCATAACATCCAGATCGGGTCCCCTGGGCGGTAATTCACTTGGCCTCAATCTTGCCGATGGTAGCCTTGTGCTTTGTCTGCTTTCTGCAACCTGGGACAGTGCCGCTGATGATTATCGCATCAGGAATGTTGTCAATACTTTGCACGATGGGCTTGTCGCAGAGGCACGAAAGCGTTCCTTGCTCAACGATTGGATCTATCTCAATTATGCAGATAAGTCACAAGATCCTATTGCAGGCTATGGCTCAGAAGTGAAGAAAAGACTGAGGGAGACTAGTGCGAAATACGACAGTGACCAGATATTCCAGAAGATGGTTCCAGGTGGTTTCAAATTATCTTGATCAATAGAGAAAGCATCTGTTTTAGAGGGAATAGAAAAGAGTGCAAGATAAAAATTCTCAAACCATCGCCAACCTTTTTGACAAGCTTTTTGCTTAAACGCTACTGTTTGTCTGCCACCTCAGGGCTGATCAATACAAAAATCATTCGGAAAGAATATCTTTTTTGCTCAAACCTCTCGAAAGGAGCCACTCCCCTGAAATGCTCTATCACTTAGCTTAATCCACGGTCTTCCCTCCGTCCATTCATCATTGATCACCGGAAGGTTCTTGATATCAGGCTCACGCGTGTGCAAACGGCTCGATGACGATGTATCTTCCCCCAATACTGGCTTTTGCGACGATTTTGAGGAGCGAAAGATCGATGAAAAATAGTTCGCCAGAACTGAGACCTGAAGTATTCGTTTCGGGGAGTGGCCCCGGAGCAAAGGTGTTATGACTGGCATGCAACTACAGATGATACCGGCGGAAGTCTCTGCAGCACTGGGATTATGGATCAGAGAGAGAACTTTCAGGTGTCTTCTTGTGGTTTTCACCTACCTGAACATGTAGACAGATATGCTGAACCAGGTTTGATCATGAACAGATAGTAGCTTTGTCCTGTATACTAAGCTCCCTAACGAACAGGCGACCGCTCTGGATGTTTAAATTCGTCAGCAAGCCTCTATTAAGATAGACTCGGACCCGAACCAAAAGTTGCTGGTAGAAGACTAGACATACATAATTCCTATCATAAAGACTGCACTAACTCCCATCTTCTTCTGGAGAGAGAGCTGTAACTGGAAGACCGTTCGAATCGGTATCACGAGAAGGTAGATATCGCTGATAGTACCAAATGCTCCCTGGGCGACTGCTAATCGCTCCGTCGAGACGGAGCATTTTTGCTGAAGCTTCAGCCAAGCCGTGCTGTCGCTGGGATGACCAGGCCGTGGCACGCAAAAGACGCAATTAGCGATGATGCTCGCGGTATAGAAGACCGCGCACGTGACGATTCCAGCGTAATTGAGCCAACGTGTGGTCTTGCTCGGTTTGAAGAGTCGGAGGTATAGGAGGAATAAAGAAAACTTTACAAAACAAACGGCTGCTGCATAGAGATTGACCGAAGATATTGTTATCTACGACTCTAGTCAGCCCTTTTCGCATCCTTGATTAGATCAAGGCACTCAACCGCGAAGTAGACTGGTGTTAAATCAACGATCCGCACGTCCCAAATATGCTTCCCTAAACCTCCACCATGTGGACGCATCACTGTTTCATCAGCAAAGGCTGGGCGGCCGGGCGGCTGCGAGTCACGCTTACAGATGAAGGAAAGAATGTCGTGACCCAAGATCAGGGCCTTATATGCCAGCACATCAGCTTAGCCGTCTTCTCGCCGATGAAGTAAGGCGTACAAAGCCCAAAACACAACTCCCTAAATTGTTTGAGCCTTGCAAAATTCGTGCATTCAACAGACCTACAATCTTCAATATACCAGTTGCGCGAGATGGTACTTTTCACGTAGATCCTCAATGCAAGAAAGATCGAACTTATTGCAATACAGACACCCATACCCACATGAGCAGCATATGCGCGAGAGTGTGGGTTTTGGAAATTCGGCTGCACTCCTGCCGGTGGTGTACCAGCGGGCAGATTGGCATACTCAGCCGGGCTGATACCTTGAGCCATCGTGGAGATGAGCGCACTTGAGATTTCTGGAGCTTTGGGCAGTCAAATCAGAAGTCTTAGGGGCTTCAATCAGTAATTGAAGTCGAAGGGATGAACACGAGCCTTAGACAGGCAGAAAGCGGACTTTCAAGGAAGCGCTTCAAAAAAAAGACTTGGCCATTTGCAAAACTGCCCGATAGGTACTGCCTACTCCCTGCACAGATGTGGCACTGAATCCGTGCATATCTCTAGCGTAGGATCATCAGCCCATGCAAGGTTCGTCGTGCGTTGATGCGCATTTGCGAGACGCAGTGAGACCTGTTTTGGGGAAGTGAGCTTGTCGATCCGACCTTCTCTTTTCATGTATCTTACTTAACAAGGCTACGTCGCTTTGTGAAGGGCGTGCCACGGGCACGTCATGCATATGCACCAAGGATTAATAAAGGGGGATCGTCAACCGTCGCGGAAGTGGTACTGATTGGTCTGCACCTTGACCACACAAGTGAATCTTATGTGCCCTGCCACTCTGAGAGACTACCACGATTGGCTCCCGGCGTTTCGTTTCTAAGACATCGAGATGGGCAGTCGTAGAAGCGATCTCTCTCACGGCGGAGGTGGTACTCCGCCCCGTCAAAAGCACAACTACCGGATCGAGAACAACCCGTGAGCGAACACCAGATACAGGCAACAACAACGTCCTGACCACTCCTCAGGTACTCGGTCTTATCAGCCTGGTTTCACGTCAAGAAGCTTGGTAGTTTGGGCACAGCCCGGCCAAGATTTTGTGAGCTATCCTTCAGGATCTCAGCTCGAACTACATAAAGGCGGGTATTTAAACACGCTTGCGCCGGGAGATTGACATGTCACGAAGATGTCTTTGATCTTTACACATCGCACGAATAATGGCTTCCATTCTTACCTATCTCAAAACCTACGCTGGTAAAGACCTGGGCGGTCTCATGGGCGGTCTTGGTGCCAAAGACCTTCCTATCCTCTCGGCAAGCCTGTTCCTGCCTCATGGAGCGGCAAATACTTATACCGTCAACCTTTACCAACTTGTGTGCTTATGTCTCTCGCAGGGAAATGCATTCATAGGACGAGCTTTGAATGGATTGAAGCCAAGCACAGCATTGGAATGGCTGGCTCTTCTGGTCTGCTTGACGATGCTGACCTCTCTGATCACTATATCGATCACGGGAATCCAGTCAGCTTTGGCGGTGTCGAGCTCGAAGAGTGGAAAACGGCCGCCAATGCTTCCTTATTGGATTCCTATCGCTGGCAGCATTTATCCTTTTCTCGGCGACGGTCTATCGTTGATGAGGAGATTCATGTAAGTCGCTATCAACTTTCCTGGATTGTAATTGTCACATTATACCCCCCGCGTGATTTATTTGTACTTGAGACTATATCGATAGATTATAGGATGGGAAGTACTAGAGCTGAAGCTGAATGATTAACCAGGCAAAAGTATGGATACAAAGTGCCAGCTGGACTCAAACTCGGCACCACGACGCTCTATTTCGTCAGCGATCCGCAATTCGCGCCCATCTTTTTCAAACCCAGCCCACAAATGGGTGCTAATCCGGTTCTACTGTACTTCATGCAGAATGTTCTCGGAACACCGCGTCGCGCTCTTCCCTTATATGCTGAAGACAACTCAGGAGGGCACCCGACTCCGTTTCCTGGGAGTTGTGTGGAACCCGAGAATCGCATCAGGTTCCATCACATGCAGGCGGCTCACAAATTCCTCGCTGGGTCTCACAATGGTATTCAGCTTAGCGAACGGTACACAGATATCCTTCGCCGCAATATATCCGCCAACGATACCGTCCAAGACGATTGGATAGACTATCCAGATTTTTATGCCTTCCTTCGAGACATGATGTTCTCAGCATCAACGGAAGCTCTATGTGGCTCAGAAATCCTTCGGCTGATTCCAAACCTAGCCCAAGATTTTTGGACGTACGATGACCATGTGCCGACTTTGATGAAAACGCCATACCGCTGGCTAGCACCTAAAGCGTATAAGGCTCGGGACAAAATGCTCGATGATATCAAACTGTGGCATGAACACGCAAAAGCCCATTCTGATTTCACCAAAATCGATCCGCAAGATCCAGACTGGGAGCCATATTTTGGGACAAAATACGTCAGAGCAAGGCAGAAATTCTTCCATGATATCAAGATGATGGACGCCAATGCACGAGCAGCCGAAGATGTCGGCTTGATCTTCGCGTGAGTACTTCGCTTGTCCTCGACCGTTGTAGATCTAACAAAATCCCAGGGCTTCCGTCAACTCCATCAAAGTAACATTCTGGGTCTTCTTCGAAGTCTTCACACGACCTGCCCTCCTCGCGCGGGTACGAGAGATCGCTCGCCTCATCCATGAATCATCAGAAGGAAAAGAATCGCACACAGTCGCGCGTGGTAATGATCCCTTGCTCCAATCCATCTTCGCCGAGGCGACAAGATTGCGAATCGCTGGCATCATTGGCCGAGAGGTACTTGGGAATGATCTTACTCTTGGAAAATGGAGCATCCCCAAAGGTTCCTTCATTGGTCTTTACTCAAGATCTGCAGGCCTGAATAGCGACGTCTGGAAGACGGGGACGGCTGATGATCCTCATCCAGTGGAGGCCTTCTGGGCGGAAAGATTCCTTGTATATCCCAAAGAGACAAGGCCTAGCGAATCGCGCAGCTCTGATCCCGATGGACTCAAGGACGAACAGCGCCCCCATCCAAAATCCAGGCCATGCACACCCGTTCTTCCAGAAAAATCATCCGCAAAGCCCATCTTCTCAACAAGAGGCCTGAACAACGTCTACGTTCCCTTCAACGGCGGCACGCTGGCTTGCCCAGGTCGACAGTTCGCAAGATACGAAGCCATCAATACGCTCGTGGAGTTCGCGCTGAACTTCGATATCGAGTGCAAAGTTCCAACGACGGGATGGGAGCCGAGGATGAATGGAGGGTTCTTTCCGATGGGGTCGCTGCCCCCGTTGGATGAGGTGCCTTTTCGCATAAGACGGCGCGGGCGCTGCTGAGCAAGATATAGACGATCTTTGGATGGCGAGGAGTGTGGGATCGGGGGATCGGTAGGGTTGGATGTGGTAGAGGATGGAGTTGAGGAGGTAATGTCAGATCGGTCTATGTCATGTCTTTAGTCAAAGTTTTCAGCTCTGATTTACAATATCTCTCCACTAGAAATGGAGTTGGAAGGAACATGAAGTTTTTGAGAGGGCATCATCGAGGCAGCATATGCCAGTGATTAGGATGAGAAAAGCCTTGGATCTCGTTTCAGACACACCATAGATGTCTTCCTCGATCAACCAGAAGCGCAGGCATTGACTTCCCCGCGGAGATTGATATGCGCTAAACCCTAGTCCACAAGCATCATTCACCGAACCAGGCCATGCCACCATCTCGAACCAACAATAACACCACCTGCCCTCTACGCAGACGGATTATCCTTCCAATGCGAATTACAAATATTCTTCGGCAACCCCCCACTCAGCCCATAATCCGCTGGCCAGCCTTTCCCCTGAATGCACGTACACGCCCCATAGACCTCAATCGGATGCTTATCCTCCCCACCAACATCCCAATCGATATGCTTCCCCGCGCCCATGATAGCGCCCAGATCACAAATCGGCAAGCTGAAGAACATCAGATCACTCTGCTTCAGCTCGAGCGGATTGTCCTGCAGATGCTGCACCGTAGCCGCATTCTGATCCTTGAAGGGGAAGCCCTTCTCGTTGAAGGTCTTGACGGCCGAGAGGATGACGTCAGTTCTGCTGAGGTGGTACTGGTTCATGTTGTTGGCGTTGGCATCACCGCCGCGTGATGGACCGGCTTCGTATGCTCCCCACACATACCAGTCTCGTGCCACTAGCTCTGTCGGATTTGCCATCGCGTTTGGCACAACGGGTGCTTTTGTGGCGCTGACGATCCAGCGGAAGAGAATGTGCGCGACACCGTTGATACATTCTGTCATGCTTTCCAGGGCTTTACATGCTTGGCCTGGCCCCTTGCCCCATGCTTCGTCGGTCAGTATCATGATGAAGACCTTCTCGGTTGCCCAGAGCGCATTGACAGCTGTAGCGACCAAGCCGCCAAAGACGCCGTCGTTCATGGTGCCGACGGCGGGGGTCTTTGCATAGCCACCATGAGAAAGGATCTGAGGCAGCTGGAACGGGTCGTCTGTATACTTGGTTTGACTGATATGTTTTGTGAGTTTGAGGTCTCCGACTGTCCCGCCTTGAGGGGGAAGTTGCTTGAGGGTATGGTCAAAGGTCTTGGTAAAGCCATCAGTGAGCGCTATGAAAGCGTTTGCGACCGCGTCTGTGACTTCTGCCCATTGCTCTAGAGGGCTTAATTACAATCAGCAAAGAATATGCGACATGACGACAATGAGTGTCTTGGGAAGCGGGGGAGTCGACGTACTCTGCTTTGTCCAAACCAGCCTGGGTCAAGATCCCGTTTGCGACCGATCCGGCGCCCGCAACAAGACCTGCAGGGGGAAACACCACCGAAATTGCCCCTGCAATACCGGAGACGACGGATATGGGGACGATCAGCTTGGTGGGGTCATCTTGCGGTGTGTAGAATTTCTTGACGATGTTTGAGGTCAAACCTTCAACTGCACTGTGGGTGATGGTGAGAGAGCTCTGCATCTTGCTCAGGAATTGCGCCCAATGTGTGGTCGCAAACCAAACGAAGGTGGCTTCAGGGTGTTGTTTGCATTTCTCCCAAGGCAGGCCTGTCCCACTGCAGACAGAGACTGTGATTTCATCGCACTGTTCGCTACCGTCGTTGCCCATCATGTTCAGGATGACGCTCTGGATATTTGGTTGATGCGTTCCTCCGGGCCATGTCCAATTGGCTTCTTCGTAAAGCTCGAGACTGAATCAAGTCAGCAATAATTTCGAGACGGAAAAGACCAGGAGAGCTTACGCTTGAGAAAACCAGCCCGCGATGTCATTGTTGTTCCATGTATCGGCATTCCGGTCGTCGCTTGCAACATGATCGGCGCTTTCGGAACCACAGACGTCGTCCTTCAAGTCTCGTCTAAGAAGTGATATGTCTTCCAAAAGGGGGATTCCCAGGGAGAGTGATGCTGAATTGATTAGCATTACAATATAACCGCTTCTGTGAGGATCTTACCCAGCAGACTAACACACAGTAGACGCAAGTGGATCCTCATGGCGGCCAAAGTTGTGGGAATGCCGTAATTGGTAGAGACTTCAAGTATTTGTGGGTAAGCCAGAAATGGTTCACAGCTTTTAGGACCGCCAGATATGACTGTGGACAGGTGCTGGTTGCCTGACAGAACCGGCACTCATCGTATTTATCTTCACTCATCCAACAGTTGGACTGTAGGAGAGCCCCAAGGACGAAACGGCCAAGATCGTAGTTGATGAAGAAGCCAAAGATCCGGAAGGAAAGGAAAAGCTCTGCCAACGGCATTGACTGCACACCAAGCTTTCGAGTGGTATTTCAACACCTATGGTAGGTACCAAGACTTTGCGGCAGAGTGGTTCAGGTTGTTGTTCAGAAGACGAGAGTGCTTGGAGAAAATATGTGATGATATGCCAACAATGAGCTGTCATCCGAGAAGGTTAGAGCGATATTATTGAAACGGCCCAGCGCCGTAGTCTATCAAAATAAGTCCATCAGAGTAAGATGAGGCCGATAAGGTAGGTTTGTTGGAATTCAAAGCGTTAGAAGGCAGATCAAAAGGCATGACATTTAACTGCGGGCGGAGCCGAAATTTGGAGCGGAATAGCCATTCAGCTTCTCTTGCTGCGGAGAAGCCTAGAGTGTGCGGTCGCTTCAGTGCTGTAGTGTATATTCTAAGATTCAACCAAGAAGGATGTTGATGACCCAAACGTCTTGGCTGCTGATCAAGCCAATGGTCTCGTCCAGTAGCTCGACCTAGCAGCGTCACCCCGCTGCAATAGGACTCAATAGTAGTACCGACTAACGACTTAGTATCGACTCAAGGAGCCGCAAATTGCTAGCCTGGTGGCCAACAGCTGACCCGTTGGTCTTGATGCCAAGCCAACGGGATTAGCGTTTAGTGTCGATATTTCATCATCTATCAGGCCATCACAAAATCCTCGTACTTGAGGTCAATCGTCTCGACAGATTTGTAAGGAGAAGCCCCTTATCCGGGTTCAAGGTTGTGGTCTTTAGCACATTGGGCGTGAGGCTGTGGCTATTATCGCCTTGGCATCTGGCAGAGCACGTAGTCGCGGGTTTTCAATCGGGCATGCAGCCATAAGGCTACCGTAGATATAGCACAAGGAAGATTGACCACAAAGAGGGATTTGGGTGTTACTGAGTAATGAATTTGAGTAGTTACGGATGTGAGCGAGTTGCCACAGAGATTCTTGAATAGTCAAGGTTTTTCGATGTCCAATGGATACGATCCGTCTCAAGGGTCTGCGTGAATGAGTTTCAGTAAACGACTTTCAAGGTCAATTACCTCATGCGTGAAACGTGTGGGGGCTTGACGAGGCTCGGGGCGTTTGTAGCGTACTCAGTGTTCTGATTGTTGGTGTTAGACTCCGTTTCATCTGAGAACCTATCGCCTTCCGTGACATGAAGCAACAAGCATCATCGTTTGCTACTAGTGACTATGATGATTGCGATGGATAGTTTCCACGCCGCGCCAAGCACATGTTTCAGCCGCAATGGTTGTGGGGACATTGTTGGCCAAACTCCTTGCTACGCCGCATGGGTCGATCCGTGCAACGCCAATTCGTTTGGCGTGAAGTCTCTGCCGACCTAGCTCAAGAGACTCCACCTGAGGAACGCCAGGATGTCTCCTTGTCGTAAACGCGAAGAAAGGCCCCGAGCGTCCACAGATCACGGCCCTTGCTGAGGAACCAGTCTATGTGTATGGTTCTCTTTGTGTGAGAAAAAGAAAGCACCTTCACGTTTCTCGCCAATCATCGCTCATCGGATGATCTTCTTTGTAATCGGGTGCATAGCCCGGTTTGATGACCTCCTTTAACCAAGCCAGACGTGCAGCACGCCGATGGATACTATGTAGCATCAAGCGAAACCATTGACCGTGGCCACATTTCCCGCGCAGATGAACGCAGTCTGTGTGACACTCAGCATGACCATTGTGAGATCTGACGTATGAGAGCGTATGCTGCCACAGGCACTGATCAGTAACATTTCACATGCAGCGTAGATCGATCGTGTCTTGGTAAGCTCACCGTCATCTCATGCAACAGCGTCTCAAAAACCTCCAAGTAGGGATTCAACTCTCTCGACTGCAAGAAACATTTATTGGCGTCCATGATAATATGAGCGGTACCGTTTTCACCGTGCTCTACGTGACCATAGACTGCCATGTGAGTCACGCTCGGCGACCATCGCACGTCGACGTAGCGAAAAAGATGGCCGGCGAAGAATACCGTATCGAGGTCACGGAATGCTTTGAAGATGAGATCGGGCCCAAGATGCACCATATCTCTATTGAAGAGGTCATTCAAGCGTCTGATGGCTTCTGCTTCGAGACCATGGTCGGGCACTTTCCGCAGAACCTCATTATGTGTGCACACCTCCAGGGCAGCCTCCCGCTCATCAACCGTGCGTCGCTTCTGCCTCAGCTTCGGCGGCTTTGCTACTTGATCGATAGTGCTCTGATCGACATCGTAGGGTGTTCCTGCATCTGCTCTTGGAGGCTCAAGCGCCTTCTCGTACAAAGCTTTGAATCGGCCCGGCGGCAGAGTATGCTGCGCAGTCTGATGCTTCTGGCGTTTTGGCATTGAGTGTGTCCATCAGATGATCATGAAAGGATGTGAGCTTCGGCCTGGCTGAAGGCTTGTGGTTGCCTACGGGGATTGAATTGTCAAACCAATGCCTTATCAAATAAAAGACTGCAAAAATCAGCGAGAAAATTCGAGCGGTCTGCCAAGAGGCGGAATAGATCCTTGTGACGTCATCCAAACGCCGGGCACCGCCTGTGGAAGCCGTAGTTCTAGCATTTTTCCAGATTAAGAAAATTATACGCAGCGAGCGCATGGTGATACAAATAATGATACAAATGACCAATCAGACCGAACACGGAAGTTTTCCCAATGACCATTGATTTGTCCAGACGCCGCCGATTCCTTACATGATAAAAATCTACTGCTTAAATATATAAAAGGTAACAACATGTTGAACAAAGAATAAGGGGGTCACGAATTCAGCGGCAGGTTCAAGCGGTGACTAAGCTGACTTACCTAATCACGTTTAGTGTGAATTATTCCTGCATATCTATGCAGCTTACAACAAGCTCCAGCCTTACGGCGATCTTCGGCTTCAACATCATCTCGTCCACTTGCCTCATTTCCTCGTTATCGCTCAAGCTATGGATCCCATCACAGCCATAGGCTTGACTGCTGCAGTAGTTCAGCTGCTTGACTTCAGCATCAAGGCCGCGAAAACGGTCAAAGAGGTGCGAGACCGCGGGTCAAGCACTGATGTGGAGGATACAGATCACGTGGCATCGCATCTCTCTTCGCTCTCCGAAAGTGTCAAGAGCTCACTCCAACTGTCGAGTATTCATCGATCGTTGAGCGGAGAGGAAAAAGAGCTTCTGGAGATCAGCAACAAGTGTCAAGAATGTAGCCGAAAGCTGCAGGAACAGCTGAACAAGCTCAAATTGAACGACGATGCGAAAACTTCGGATCGTCTCAAGGTTGTTGCGAGGACACTGTTCAAGAAAGACAGTATAGCCACGATGCAGGAGAAGCTGGACGGATTTCGAAGAGTCCTTGAATCAAGGCTCTTACTTAGGCTTAGGTAAGCCGTCGGCCTTTGATGAGCACGCTAACGGCAGCAAAGTCAGCGATGGGACGTCGAAAGCCTGAGAACGAGCGACAGATTCGAGGAATTGAATGATGCCGCCGAGCACCTCGTTGCCTGCCTTAGTGACTCAGAAACCAGTCTGACAAAATTAGTGCAGTATGAGGCACTCGAGACTCGACAGCATGTGACACAGGAGATAGAACGATTGAGGCAAATTCAATTGAATGATAAGTTCTATCAAGATGTGAAGGATAGCCTTTTCTTCTCCGAGATCTCCTACCGTCAAGAGCAGATTGAGCACGAATTCGACGGCTTCGAGGACAGCAATGATTGGATATTCGAAGGATCATCCCTTGGCGACTCTCCACTGGAACATCCATCTAAGCGCTCGACCGCGCCTAAATGGGACAACTTTTCGGACTGGCTTCGATCTGGAAGTGGAGTCTACTGGATCAATGGCAAAGCTGGATCAGGGAAGTCGACTTTGATGAATTTCTTGTACAGTCATCTAAGAACGAACGGTCTATTGAGGGATTGGGCTGGTAGAAGAAAACTCCTGACTCCAGCTTTCTTCTTCTGGAACTCGGGCAGTGTTCTCCAAAGAAGTGTCCAAGGGCTCTTGCGTTCGCTAATCTACCAAATTATAGAGGTGTGTCCTGAATTGGCGTCATGTGTCAAGGTACCATCCGCGCAGAATGTCCAAATTATGGGTCTCACTGATAAACGCGCCTAGAATCCACAGTTCACTTGGACGGAACAGAGGCTGCTTGATACCCTTTCGTCTCTTTTGACCCAGATATTGTTGCCGGTCGCAATATGCATGTTCATTGATGGCTTGGATGAGTTTGATGGTTCTTACAGCTCCATAATCAACATTTTACATCGTCTTGATTCTCAGACAAACACAAAAGTCTGCCTGTCTAGTCGACCACTGCATGAGTTTGAGACTGCATTTAATGCAAAACCAAGTCTGAGGTTACAAGAACTAAGCTTCGGTAGCATCAAGAGATATACGAAGACTAAACTTCTCAATAGTCTTCAAAATCAGAGCTTCTATGACGAATACGACCAACAAAAGATTTTAAATTGGGCGGAAGAGATTACATGGCGGTCGGAGGGTGTATTTCTTTGGGCTGTCCTCGCTGTGCGGGGTCTCTGTCAGGGGCTCATTGATTTTGCTGATCTCAGTGACTTGACTAAGCAAGTTGATGACCTCCCACAGGGTATTGAAAGTCTCTACAGCCAGATGCTCAAGCGAATCAAGCCTGCATATCGGCGCAATGCAATTAAGTATCTTCAGATGGCCTTGTTTGCGCTTGATGATGACTTGGATCTGAGTCTGTCGCATTTCTATCTCATTGATAATGAGACTGTAACAGAAGACTGTCCGCTCATTCCAGACAGCCAACAGCTGCCTAATCTCGAGTCGTGCCAGAACATGAAAATTCGACTGCTTTCTCACACCTTGGGACTTTTAGACATAGTTCCAAATACCGGACCTTCTGTGGCCCAGTCTGGGATCAACGACAAAGTTCAGTTCTTCCACAGAACTGCAGTAGACTTCTTGCGCCACGAGAACTCACAGTCAGCCCTGATGAATGAATCTATCACTGAAAGACATTTTCAGCTCTCCTACAGCAGAGGCATCATAGCGCACCTAATGTATATTTCTTCTGGAGCTATTACGACGTCCCCGGGTAGAGATCATAAACGACACCTGGCAGCGGTCGAGGATGACCTCGGTGCAGCGATGTCACGGATCTCTTCCATTGAGAGAGACGCTCAAGTAGCTCAGTCATGTCTGCTAAAATCGTTACACCAGTACCTTGTATACGCAGATGCCCGCTTCTTCCGCAGCATCGGCGACTTATTGCGCAGAAAAGGTTGGGGGTTCTTATTCCCAGTAGACCTCGTAGGATTGGCTGCTCAATTCAACATGCCAGTATTTGTATTCAGAGTCATTGGGAAACCGTTCTCCAGGGATCCGTCATGCGACAGGTGCAGAGAAGGCTACAAGCGATATGATGCCATTGTTCATCACAAAATCGATAACTTTTGGTGGGACTTGGAAGAAGATGTTCAACGGCTGCATGACCAAGATCGTGCGTGGCTGAAGAAACGACTGAAATGGGGGAACACTTCGCCCACAACAGGACAAATGACGACCTGCGATTGCGACGATATTCTCCCTGAGACCTATATACTTGGTCGCCTTTCAATACGTAGAATCTTATCCCGAGACTGGGTTGAAACTGAGGAGTCCAAAACAGAGGCACAATTGATGAAGGCTCTTTTGTGTGCAGGTGCAAACCCTATGTTACAAATGAGCTTCATTCAAAGTGCGAATGCTAGACTAGGCGGAGCAGAGATAACGCCATTTCAATCATGTTTCTGGCACCATTGGCTTTTGAAAATGCTTTTAGTACGAGTCCAATGGGGACATGAAATATTTTTGAAAGAGATGACGATCTACTATTGGGACTTGACTAAGTCTTTATTGACTCATGGTGCCAATCTAGACTACGAAATTCAGGATAAAGGTAGTACGATAAGCCGAAGATATGTTGCCCTTGACTTCGACTTCAAAATAAATACATGTGATGTCTTAGATATGATCTTTGGGGATTTTCTGGAATGGCGAGATATTATTGGGAATTGTGTCTCAAGCTTTTCGCAGCCAAAGAGAAGGATTATTTCCATATTTCCTAGGTCACTTACGCCTAGGCCTTCAAAATTCTCTCGTGGCAAGCGTACATACCTTAGTGACGAAGAGTCAGAAAGGTTGTGGCAAATTATAGAGGTAAAAGGAGAAGTGGACGAGGCTTACGAGGTGTACAAAGAGATGAAAAGGATTTTTTTGGCGCATAATCCAGACCTGTCCGCCTGAACCTCCACTTTCTAGCTTCACGAGTGGAAGCAGGGACGACGAAGATTGAAGACATACATAAAGACCTCTTTAACATTGTGGGAGTTTGGCTAGTATCGCTTTATAGGAACAATCGAAGTCTTTTAAGTCAAGATAAAATGATCGCTGGAGTAAAGAATGCCTTTAGCACAAAGATATCGACCTATTGCGCCCCAATGACTCTTATTGTGACGTGGACCTGGTCTTAATTCTTACCAGACACATTCTAAGCGCCAGAAAGGAAGTCATTATATCGAGCAATTGCTTTTTTAAAGGTGTACTTCCTACCGCCGGTACCGCAGAGTGCTCTAGCATTCGCTCTTGTTGGCAGCAAATTGGGCACAAAACGCGATACGATTGACCATGAAGCAGGAAGCTATGTAAAAATACCGTCTCATAACCAAACTGCGCCGATAATTAACCCCCGCCAACACCATTCCTCGCCATCTCCATCCTTTCCCGCTCCTCCCCAATCCTCAACACCAGCGTCTCCCCATCCCTTCACATCAGCGATCCCCCCAATCAAACCTCATATAGCTGCTCTCCAGCCCACCACCAAGACCACGACCCTGCGAGCCTACCCTCCGAACTCTCTACCCAGAGTTGCGCTACTACCATAGATCCTACTGGCACTGGTGACAAGGTTATAAGGCCCTGCCAGTGTTCAACGCTACCTACAAACAATCAACAATAAGACGTCCGCGACTATGCTTCGAACCATCCTAGTCAATTTGTTCCAAGGGAAGGACGTGGCAAGGCAAATACAGACACCGCGAGAGGGTGTGGATGCTTGGGAATAAACCGTGAATATTGGCGAAAGCCTTGAGACTGAATTTGTTGGGAGGAGAAAACCCAATATAGGTAAGGTTCCCTTGGGGAAACATTCTTTGTTCGGTCTGAGTATACATTCGTATCACCGTGCGCTCGCTGCGTAAGATTTTTTCTCAATCGCGCTTGTTTGAGGGGGAGGAAGTGTGGGATACAAGGATACGCTGGAAAGGTCTGGAAACGCTAAGGGGATAGGAGAGGACGGAACCAACTGAATAGCAAACGCGCCACCATCGTTTGATCAGAGCAAGGGATACTAGTCTCGCAATACCCATAGCTCTGACGTCTAAATTGTGCAGACAGACCAGTGCGATTTGAAGTCTGCCAGTCATGACATCACTACCGCTAAAGTCAGTCACGAAGAAGTTTTCCCGCCGTTCCTAGTGCCAGACTTACTCTTCTCTACTTGACAAGGACATACTCGACATTATCAAGCTCAAAGACCTGCGTCACTATATCGCCTTGTTGGAAAGTCACATTATCCACCTTACCAAAATCTTTGGATAAAACCTGGTGCTTCATTGTGGCGGACGTATTGACCGGCAATGCCCCGTCCACCACGAACTCTGTAGCCCAAGTCAGCCTCAACTAACACTCTTTTGCATTAGCAAGCATTCAACTATAGCCTGAGAAGCCACCTTCTTCCCTTCCAAGAACCCAGTCACCTGCACTGGGCAACTCACGGCGGTGTCTACCGTGCCCTCGAGAGTCTCCAGCAAGCACCCGAAGTAGAAATACTTCAGACCAAAGTATCTGGCTTGAGTGCCAATGCTCGTGATGTATGGATTGAGGGCCTGGTTGAGGAGGCGTGCGATAAGACCTGTCTCCTGATCGGTGAGCCCCAAAGCAACCATTGAACTGCTTTTGGTCAATGAAATAGGCATATGTTTGAGCTTCTGTCTTCCTTTCCCTGAGGCCATATCCGTTTGACGAAACCGCATCTCTCACTCAGCCCAGAGCCGAATCTTTTCACTAAAGATGACTATCATCAAGTTTCTCAAAACCTTTCGGTGGCGTGTTTTAGGACATACATAGCTTGGGGTATCTATCAGGTGCGGCTAATCTCAGAATACTTCGCATTCGTTGGAATGTAATGGCAAAACTTGACTTGTGGCTTGTGGGCGTTTCTTGACTTTCGCCTTTCGCAGGATTCGAAACCGATTTTGAGCTCTTCATGGCTTCGTCTGCAATGACCCGTCTGCTCTGCACCACTAGGGTGCGTTTTGGGTCTTTACATGAATGTCTGACAGATGATTGTGTGTCCTGGCTCGGCCATTGCATCAGAACGAGTGATTGATATGCATGCTATCGAACATGTTGTTGGATGGTTCGAGCCATATCTGGTCGTTTAGAACAAGGCTGGTAGGAGAGGCTACATTACGCGAATCTACATTGCGCTAGAGTATGGTCTTGCGAGTGGTGGCTAATACCCATGAGCTTGCGTCAATATGCAATCACAGTCTGACTTTGAATCACAGGACTTGCATGCTTTCAATCAAGTCTGCTCTCCCGTTGAAAGCCAAACGATGATCGTCACTACCAAGGAGCGCGGAAGTCTTCGTGATCAACCACCTTCTCCAGTGCAGTAGTTGGGGCTGTCATCGATGGAGCTAGAGACATGCCAGCCAAATGCGCTGCCCAGATGATTAATGTCGTCATCTCTCTCAGAGATTCGAGCGGCTACAATCATATTTGGGAAGGAGGTAGCACGGGTCCGTTAACAGGGGAATGGCAGCTATTTTTTTATGAAAATGAGAGCTAGCTACGGTCTTACACACTGTTATTCTATTCCGTCACCAACACTACCTGGTTCGTCAATTGCGCTTTGTTGGACGAGAGATGAGCACGTCGCATGCGAACACTGTTAATGTAGGAAGGAAGCGATGCAAGCTCAAAGCGGATTTACTGATTCATGGGAGAATGTGTTGAGCGTGGAAGTAATGGTTTGATCTAGCTACTAATGGTTTGCTCTAGCTACTGTTGGTTTGCTCTAGCACTGTTTCTCAAAGACTACACGACAAAACGCAAAGCAACGACAGCAATCCACTTTCCTTCTCCCATGATCTCAAGCAATCTTTAATAACGGGGTTTGTCCCACACTTTGCAAAGCATCGCAAATTCCACCTGGTTTGATCACGCCAGCCATTTTCATCCCTCATCTTCATGCCTTTGCTTTCTTGTCATCTTTCTTCTCGGCGGTAGGGGGTTTGCTGGATGCCTAATCTCCACGTCAGTATCACCCAAGGATTCTCAGAGAACGACACTTACCGCATCACGTTCAACAGCTTCCTTTGCCTCTTTTTCATTCGTCTTCTTGTCCTTCTCTTTGGTCACGTCTTGGTTTGACGCTGGTTTGGAAGCCATCGCGCTGTCATTGCTTGATGGTTTGGTTTTTGCAATTGTAGCTTGCGATTCTGGCACGGCAGGTTGCGACGGAAGGGGCCCATTCCAGAGCCTATCTACGTTGTTGATTTCTTCTTCGTCCGAGTCGGCGAACTCCCAGCCGGACCAAGGGTACTTTTTGTCTTCAGGTGTGATGTTCTTGCCGGGCATGGTGATGGTTGCGAGATTGGATGGTGCATTGGTTGCGATTCTTGGCAGAAGGTATGGAGGACTGTGTGATGTGTGCGAGTGATGGAGGTGAGAGATGGAGAGGGGAAAGGGCGAGCGGCGATATATGTAGGCGTCACGGACATTTCTTGAAGCCGTAGAGTCCGGTCGGAGATGTCGGTGTGTCACGGGTGAGCGGACACGTACCGTTCAACTGAGAGCATTGTCCGTTTTGGGACACCGCTTGCATGGAGGCGGCGAGGGTCACCGGAAGGAAGGTTTTGCCGGAGGATGGAGTCTTCTCATGGTACCGAGATATGGGAGAGACGTAAATAGGCGTGACGTGCCGATTGTTATGACCATCAAAAAGCATGTCTCGGGATGGGCCGAGTGTCAGCTCCCCGAATAGGTGTCAGTACAACACATCTTCAACCAAAGAGCCAGTAACAGCTGCCTTCCACACTGAGCATGAAGGTGAATCACTGCTGGGGTGACACCTGACTAAGGCGGTTCTTGCTGTAAACGGCCTTTGACATTGCATATAATCCACTGCTCGATACCGGGACTGTAGGCGAGGAGAATGAAGTGAGACATCCCGTGATGCAGCGCGGTATCAATGAAAACAAAAACGCTTTGGGAATGCAGAGTGCGTCATCCTTTCGTTAACACAACACCATCCCCGCGATGGTAGGGCAAGTCGCGGCGCGTGTCTACCCAGACTCAGTACGCTTGCCTTTTCGCTGCTTCGTGTAGATAGATATGCTCTCGGGCAATGAAACAACCCTCGACTCCCTTCTCCAGCACGAAGTAGCCAAGCCCATCGTAGCTATAGGAACGGGCATCGATCACTGGTATGAATTCAAATCATGGACACGCAAGTATTAAGAGAAGCATAAGCAAATTTGCCTGGTTCAAAGCATGTGGAACGGATCCGAGATCCTCGATTCGTTATTCATGTGTGGACGGAGGATCAATTCCTGAGCTGAAGATCGACATCAGATGGCCGGTAGTTGTTGTAGCTCTTTGTAGCTGTTGTAGCTGTTGTAGCTGTTGTAGCTGTTGTAGCTGATGAGCATCGCCAGACGGAGATATGCTACTACTGGAAAAGTACTTTCGGTCTCGCTGACCTTGCTTAGTGGGTAATGTGTTAGGTGAATGATTTCCTTGGATGGACTCCTCAAGACGAACTTTGGAGCAACATCTTCTCCCGATGCGGTGGTAACGCGCGCAGTATTCATCATCGAGATCATCATCGACAACAAAGGAGCCATGAAAGTACGGGGGAAGCTGTGATTGGTTTGCCTAGCACTATCGAATACATGCTTTCACCTGCTTGGTTTGCTTACTACTATCTCACACACACACTTCCCTCTCCCTTGCTTTGCATCTCACTATCGAATATATGCTACCTTTCGCTGGGTTTGACTACTACATTCAATCTAGACCTCGAAATTCAATGATCCGACGACAAGCCTCTTGCGGTGACATATTTGGAGGCAACCTCATAGACCTACGCTCAGCGTACTGCGCAGGCGTGAGCGTCTCGTATGGACCTAGCACTACATCGAAGTCGACGATCAGGGTTTGCTGCAAGTCCGGAGGCGAGACCGGAGGCGAGGCAGGAGACGAGACTGGAGGCGACTGGGGTTTGACGGGTGGTGATGCAGGCTTGGCTTCTTTTTCAAACCAGCCGCGAAGGTGGGGTGGTAGATTCATGTCCCAGTCTTTAAGAGGCAGCAGTGTTGGTTTGCGGGTTCTGACCTCCGTTACAGGCTTATTGTTTGTCTCTTGGCCATGGGGTTTTTTCGATGCGTCGACCGGATTATGTAGGGCCGTTTGTGGGTTGGGGGCTTCGCATGTGGCGCGTTGGCCTTGGACCGGGGTTGGTAGCGCCATTGTTTGCTACAGTGAGAAGGCGAGATTGAAACTCTCTGACACCCATTAGCCTTGGCTCTTAGATGGATACAACTTAGATGAGCAGACTTACGATTTTGATGATGGTTCTGTGTGATCTGGTTGAAGTAGATGAGGTGAGGTTGTAAGAACAACACTTTGACTTCTTGCACGCGGAAAAGTCCCGCGAGCCTATACCTTATTCAGATTAGCGCCACCCCTGACTTAATTGATGGAGCGCAATGTCAGCCAATGTTCTTGAAACGTATACATTCTGTCAATTAAAGTAGGCAGAATCACTCTATTTCAAAATGAAAGTCTACGGTACTATTTGATGACATAGAAAGCTGTGTGATTCGAGAATATATTGGTGGCTGGGTGAGACACAGCAGGGGGAACATGGAGAAAAAACACATCTAACGATGGTAGAACGGCTGGTATCAAGTTCTAAAGGCGAATTTTTAAAGAGCTTCGGGAAGAACGATGTTTCTGCTTCCACGATGTTCAGGGGTGCTGGTCTGTACATAATGAAGTTTATGTATTATCATCTCTTGCTTCTTTTTACCCTGCAACTACTCCTACTTTCTCTCCCAATCTTCTGGCCATGTCATCTGTACGACATGGATGTCCTGGTCGTGCTAGCCCAGCCTGTTGTTGTAGCAACACCATCTTCCCCTTGACGTTCTGCATCTGGCTAGCAAAGCATTTCTAACCTGAGCTTTTTGACGAGTAGTGCTAACAGATTCTGCAGAGGGAGGAATGAAGTAGTGGTGGTCAGGTATTGGAAGGCAGCCTCCGACTTTGATTTTCTGGTATTGAACGTTAAGTATCCTATCGCTCTTGCCGGCTGATCCTGTTCGCAGTAGCTCGCTTGGAGCATTGACCGTCTTCGCCTCACACCCCCGCCTTTCTATCCCTAGCGACCAGTCTCGAGCCCGCCTCTCTTTATCACCAAGCCCTTTGCTCTTTCTCTTCTCGGTGATCTTTCCGAGAATAGTGGTGCCTCAGTTCCCGATTGGGTCTCATAGCTTCCGCTGTCCTGCTGTAATTCTGCCACTGGGTTTGAACTCAGCAGAGGGAGAGTGAACTCTCTAGTGGGCTTCGGACCAATGGTTTGGTAGTGTGAGTTCTGTGATGCGCATGGGCATCGTATGGTCACCCAATTGCGGCAGGAAAATGGTGGGTCGGGAGTGTTTTCTGCGACTCTCTGAATGTCGCTACAACTCGTTAGACTGAGACGGAGATCGACCTGTGTTGTACACATTACCTAGACGCAATAAAGCTCAGACGTCCTGTGCGGCAAAATTGTAGGTCGTGAAGGGAGAAGAGGCAGGTCCACGCTTCAAGTCTCGCCTTGCGACTGAGCGTGCTTCGACCTAAAGTTGATGTCAGTATAAAAGCGTAAGATTCTGCAACAAGCCATGCTTACAGTGCCCCTCGTTACACAAAGTGCCTGCTCTAGAGATTTGGATGCAAAGATGGCGGAGTCGCAAAGCTGGTGAGCCTAAGACGTCATCTAGGCGTGTCGTCACCGCGCGACGGTGATAGAACTTCAACACGTCCTAGAAGCTCGCGGCCTTACAGTACTACCGACCAAGCGGGCGACCACAACAACGACGATGGTATGGTCGCATAGTTTGCAGCGGACCACAGGGTCGGCGTGGCTACGCTTGTAAGTAGAAGACACGTTGAGTCTCTTGCACTTGGCCGACAAGGCAGATTGCGGTAGATACTAATTATTTTACCTTTTCCTAGTATCGGCAGCCTAACGCATCTTCTCGCGTATTCCGTATCGGACGTCATATTGAGGGCTCAGTTAAAGCCACGACAAAGGCGACACATAATGTCTATTAATGAAGAATTCCAGCGCAAAATCAAAGGCGTACCCAATAGTTCAGCTATTTACATAGCAAATACAATAATAAATATCCATGCTGTACATGAATGCTAGAAATGAGCCCTACTCCACCTCTCCGCCGCCTGATGTAAAACAAGCCCAAGCCTTCCTAGCGATCTCTAGAATGTGATAAGCACTATTTCCACAGCGACCATCATTACGTAAACGTCTCTCTGATCTTAGCAATCCACCACAGAGGAGATAATAGAAAGGCTACGTTGTATCGCTGACGAATTGCATAGCACAGAATCGATAAATCTCTTCCCATCCACGATATCACAGCTCCACTCCCCTTATAAATATCCTCAAACTTCCTAAAAAGAAACCCTAATAAAGAACAGGAAAAAAAAAAGAATTCTTGCTCCAGGGCCCGGCTCGAACTTGTGCTTCCGAAACGAAAGGAGAGGTGTAAGCTTACCCGGGTATGGGCAAATTTTGAATTTTTTACTTAGTTGTTATTTATTTTTCTGACTTCTAGGTCAGTTTTTTTTGTCAAGGGGGTCATTTGATGCGATGCCTCGCGGGGTCCATCCCGGTTCAATGGGGGTTTGCTCTAACGTATCTGATTGCTTGTTTCGGGGGTTTGACGTATCTATATGCTTGGTTTCAGTCGACGGCGAGAACTAGCGTGGTTTTCTATTAGTGAAAGTTGGACTTTGGAAATTGCGCTTGTGCCCACTCGACCAGCCGGACCCGCAAGAATTAGGAACTGTATTAGTAATTGCATATATAAAGGGTTTTTCGCTACGGAAGAGTTTTTCGCGTCATTAGCATCCCTCGGTGATTTCTAGGGCCATTGAAAGGCCTTATCTACTCATAGAACCGACTCACGCTGAGCAATCTTCTCGAATTACGGCAACAATTATCTACGATCTTGGGCGAAGGGAGACAGTCAAAAGTGGAACGCAATGCACAGTTTCCAATACTTGGGAAAGAGATAGGATTCTCATCAGGGATATTGGGTCTCTCAAATGGCTTACGAGCAAGGCCGCACAAAATCAATATCCAGAATCATAATGTATCATTACTCTCTTGAAGTTGACATTCTCGAGGGGAATACAGATATCGTACCTTCCACGCATGATCTCAGATGAACAGCTCAGGAGTGCTTTGATTCTCGACCCCGTATAGCCAACGCCTTCTCCCTGACACATCCTTCGGCTTAAATTTCATGGCTTTCTGCATCTCAATTGAATTCTTTCGTATCCATGACAAAAGGCTAGATTCTGTCATGCGTCGATCGTATTATAAAGTCTGCTACGTCGTATCCCGAAGCTCTCGCTATCCTGCCGTGCTGCAGACCCATGCCAGTTCCAGGGCTCTTGAGTCTCTCGTTTCATCGCTAATTCGTTCATGCAGAGGTACCATCCGTTTTCTAAGACTGACGCTGAGTTCTGTCCTCTTCCATCAAGGTAGGATATAGCCACTGAAATGGGACTATAGAGGGTCATGTACATAGGCTCTAAGAGGTTTGCTTTTTTCTTCATCCCCTCGAATGTTCATGTCATTCCTCGCTCTTTCGTACTGACCAAAACCTTGCTTCAGCTTGTAATCGACGCTGTTGTTCATGACCGACTCAAAGGGGGAGGATCAGCGTGAATTTTTAGAGATAGGGTTGGAAATCCCATATTCAGTATCGGACAGGCGTCTCAGCATGGATGCTTGCCTTACCCACGCAGTCCCAGACTATCTAGCCAAATAGGAAATCACCGTTTATAGTCGAATGTTCTTCATCAGCAGTGAGGACTGTGTTTCGTCTTTCGAAGAGACTTCTTGTTGGGTAGGGACCAGACATCCTATGTTTTTCGAAGTAGCCAGTGAGCCTCCACATGAGGGATTTGCGATGTATGATGCTCACAATTCCCCCAGCTACTGGATCCTATCGTGCGTTATATTCGCCCAAGCTCTTGTCCATTGCCACCGTTGGTCTGATTGCTGCCTTTCAAGGTGCAAGGTTGTGGGTACTTTTTCTGAGGGAATCTCGCGCTGTGGCTTCCTGGGGGGCATCCCTGCGGTTTCCGTTGGATCAGGACAGTGAGTACGTGGCACAGGTGATTGCTTCCAGATACTTACATACCTTGCTTGTGCTACCGGCAACCGATCCGATGTATGGCGTCGCGAAGCCCTTGCAGAATAGTCCCTTAGCTTTGCGGATCTTAGGGATGCAAGCGGGATGTTCGGTGCTGTCGACTTGACTTGACTTGCGTTTCTCCCAAGCTCTGCACAAATATCACGAGACAGAGGTGAGAAGGAACAATAAATGCGCATCCGATGCGTCAATGCTGCACCACCGCTGCGTGATGACCGCGGGAAAGCCAAGTTTCTTCCTTACCCGTCTGTCAGCGACTTGCACATTCTACCATTCAACTAGGTTCACCTCTTTTCTCCTCTGGATCATGAGTCTATTCGGGAATCACCAGCGTGTTGAATGCACGTCGGGCTGTGGTACTGCTTTCGCGTTGAGGTCTCTGGACGCCAAAATGTCCAACCTCAGCGCGGAAAACCCCCACGAGAAAAGGCTCGACAGCTTTCATCTTTGACTTATAGCTTAGCGAACGAAATCGTGCTTCCGGTCTTAGGTCCTACGACCAGCGGAAGGCCACTGTGAAAAACCAGTCAAAGGAGGCTCATAGAGAAGATTTCCTTCAAAACTTGTTTCGTGGTGCTGACGATAAAGACACGGCCTTCCTGGCTGTTAGATAATAGCCCGCATCCATGAACGCTTCAGAAAAACCTCGACTCGGGCCCGTCTCTCACCTCGTCCCTCCCCTACATTAGCCTTTCACCGTCATCCTCCATTGGGTGATCGGCCCACTACGGCAATACCTCTTTGAAGACAGGCTTGAGACCACGGGGTCGAGTCTCATACAAGAAGCAGCATGGCAAAGACGTATAACGACCGAACACACCTCTGTCAGTCAGGGGCCGACCTGTCGATTGGACGGCTTGATATACCGTAGAAGAGCTTGGTCAGATCATAAAGCAAATGTTTGGCGTTTAGGAAAAACAATAAGCAGAGCATGATCTGAAAGGCTTGAAGAGCTCCGCTTAGGAAGTAGAAGGTCAAAGGCACAAAAGGAGAAGACCTCAACGTCGGGGTCAAGGCAAGGAGATCCAAGGCTGCTGAGTCCTCATCGGGCCTCCGGGAACACAGGAGAAAGAATGCCTACTCAAAGATCTCATGACTGGGGAGATGAGTGATCATGTACAGCACAAAACACTGAAGTCTTACGTAGATGGCTACAAGGAGGATTTTGCAGGCAGTCAAGTGTCCTCTTCAAGATGATCGAGTGGTATAGGTGGGAGAGAAGATAGTCTAGTAGAAGCGAAGATCGATGAAAAGCATACTGTCTTGAAACCAGGTGACATGATCGATTCTAGTTACATAATTACATGAAGAATGTAAGCCATGTGCATCATTTCCTGTAAAGCTAGCATCAATTCATGCTTATGTATGTCTGACTCTTGCATGCTGTACCCTCGCTAGCCTTCAATCACGAGAAGTGCCTTCAAGTAGAGATTAATGTAGTATCCAACCAAGTCGTTACCAAATCAAATTTTCTCAAATATCTACCACTGTCGTTCACGTACTTTCCTAGATCACTTAAGTAGCCACTAGCGCGCTAACGCCAACCGCCCAAACTCCCATCCTAGCACCACTTGACAACACTTCTCGAGTCACCTTCCACGTCACCGCAAGTCCAAAAAGAAACAGCAAGCTTCAAAGAGCAGAAAGAAAACGGACAAAAAACATATTCTTGCTTCTTGGTCCAGCTGGGTCGTGGCTCGAACTTGCGCTTTTTGGCTTAGGATGTAGGCTGGCTTACTAGTTTGTTTTTTTTGATTTCCCAATTGGGTTTGCATTTTCGGGTTTGAAGTTCCGAGCATTGAAATCGACTGGGTTTCAATATCACCGGCTTGGGGGTTTGCCCTTTTTTTTTCGCCGGGGTAGGGGGTTTGATTTTCATGGTTTGATTTTTTTTTGAGCGTCTTAGGGGGTTTGCTTTCCCGAATTGGTTTGTTTGATGCTGAACTGATCAGACTTTGTTAGCCGAAGTAGGTAATTGAAAAGCTGCGCTCGTGCCACTCGACCAGCCAGACCCGCAAGAATTGAAAAAAATCACACTAATGGTGTACATATCCTTTTGTAGCTTGCACTCTGGATGTCTAGTCTATCCCTCGATCTTAGGGCCATTGGCATAGATGCTAGCTAGAGTGCAGACTGGTTGGTTGTCAGAGTCAAGAGCCTCGATCATCACCTCGACAGTCCTTGCAAGCCAGACTCATAATGGGCGATTTCTCATACGCCTAGTCAGGGTTAAATTACGGCCATAGCTCATCTCCCGTGCAATAACGTTACAACAATACTGCTTCTGCAAAGAAAATGACCAAGCAACCAACAATCAGCTAAAGCTACCCTAGATTCAATCCGCCACATGAAAGCATCCATGCGGCGGGACGCATCTCCCACAATGATATCATGAGCGCTTTTATGGCAGACACTCGGCCGCTACCCAGTCTACAGTCGCAAAGCAGAGCAAAATATAGGGACGTTGATGATTGGAAGACACTGGGGTCATTAGCAGAAAGAAGGATTCAGTGTTAGCAGGAAGGAGAGTCTTGAACTCTTCAAAGCACCAACTAGAGGCCGGTTGAGCCTTGAATTATGTGTGGAGGACAAGAGATGTACAAAAAGCGTAACCCAATCCACCTACTTCCGTACACAGAAGTCGCGGAGCATGACGAGTACCCGAAGACCCAGCAGCCGAGCGGCAATACTATATTGTTGAAGGATAGGCTTTCATTCTAGGAGGTGTCCTTCTCCACCGACCACTCTTCCTCCTCGCCTCTCTCATGCTCCATTTCCCCAAGTCGATAGCATGATCAAATATTAGGCAAATTCGAAAGCACTAGGCTAGAAGATGCTCCCAACTAGATTGAGCCCGACCCAAGCGCTTCCGACTCGAGTCCAGCCATCTTGTAGCAAGAAGTAGCCATCTGAATATCGCCACTCTTGTTCCACTAGGTCTTTACCAAAACACTTCGATGTGGTCGTTGACGCCGAAAGTTTCACCAGGAAGGGTGAGGCTTCCGGCTGTCAAGAACATGCCTTGACTATTAGGGGTAGCGGCAGGTTTTTCAGTTCGTCAAAGAGCCCAGCCGGATGTTGTTCGCCGAATCAGTATGCCAAGTGCGAGCACACCAGGTGAAGGCATTCTGTAATTTTCCACCTCTTGCTTCATTTGTAGTCCATGCTCTTTCTATGTTTAGGATTCAGAGAGCCGGACAAGGGAGGCAAGACTGGTGCTTTGGTGAAGAGATTCTTGCTTAGATGTCAGTTACAGTCCATAGTCTTGAATAGTACATATACTTCTTTCCACCAACTGGCAGGGTTGCAGATACGGACCTAACGACCTGGGTATCGTTTCTAGGATTCAGCAAAGGTGAGGAAGATGATCCATCCACTTTCGTCAATACTGACTCGAGATAGCGCAAAATCTGTCTGGACATATTGTTATGACGCTGTAAGGTAGATGGACCGTACTGGCTGCATAAGGTAATCCATGATCGCAGCCGCTAAGAAAACACAGGGGATTATCCTGCAGCCCCACGCTAAGCCTTTTTAAATCGTGTCCAAGAATCGATTAGTGTAGGGCTACAAGCTTGCCCCTGAACCCCTGGTCGAAGTCAACTTGAGGTGGTCCACGCCGATGCTTCTGGAATGTCAAATCATCTGACTGTTGGCTCAAGGAAACTACTACAGCGCCTGAGAGTCATCAAAAACGATGGGACATTTGAAGGATGGCTACGTAAGTCACACAACGTTGGCAAAGAACGACCGTTGGCTGGTGAGAAACACTCAACGGCTGAACCATTATCCACGTCGTTGCTGCACAACAGCAACCTTCTCCCCCATTACCTCACTTCACGAATTCACTATCTAGGCGAACGCATCCACGAACCCTCCAACTCGTGCACGAATCAATCGTGAAAATCAACCCAGACAAGAGCAGAAACAAATTGACATCGCTCGAACCCTACTGTCGATGTCTATCGTCTTGCAAAGACAGCATCCAGAGCGTTACGAAGGCTGCCTAGGGGTGGGTAGGCTTACCTAGCTGGCCATCGAACGTCTCGTTCACATGTGGCTGAGTTCGTAGAGTGGGCGGAGAAGAGCGGGAACCGGAGGATGCGGTATATGGTGGTTGGAGGGGTAGGGTGTTGTTGGCAATACAGGACGGAACACGGTGCAGGGCAGCACGAGAGTAAAATGTCAGACAAGCAGTGGTGGGAGAAGGAGAGCGGACATGGGCACAAGACATTATCCTTCCTGTACCACTGGTAGTGAGGCATGCCCCTCAACGAACCCACATCTCCTCAAACACCACCCCATTCTCCAGTACTGTAAAATACTGATATCTCTCACCACCGCTCTCATTCTCGGACTCACACATCTGTCGTCCACTTCCATCCTCATCCTACCATCCTAGCTGCCATTCGACTATGCACAACGACATACCTTTCAATCTCGTCGACGGAGGTCAGCCCATGAAGAGCCATCACAAGCGTCCATAGATTACCTCCCGGCCATGAAGCAGAGCGAGAATGCCAGCACAGCCCTTAAGTGGTTTTTATTTGCCTTGCAAGGCCATTGAGAAATGTGACTCATGATGCCGCCTCCGTCCGCATGATTTTTCAGCAATAAGGTCGCACAACTCGTGGAATATCTTTCGCTGAGTAACCTTGCAGAAGTCTGCTCGTGTCCGCCTTTCTGAAAGTGCATGCGACGGCGATGTGAGCGGAAAGCTCAAGGTCTGAGCCAGGTGTGAAAGACAGTGGAGCGAGAATGGAGTTTCAAGTGGCTCATATTCTCAATAGCGTCTGTCTTGACTTGGGAAAAAGGGGGAGGGGACCGCCGCATCCTGTGCTTGATTGTCATTTATGCGTGAGGATGGCGGAGGCATGATGCTTTGTTGCTTGAGGTGGGACGGGTCGGTGGTTGAGGTATCGTAAGGCGATGTGGTTTGCGAGAGCGGCCGCCTTGGAATTCGATGCAACGAGTTGGAGGGGATAGTAGGTAAGGTCACATAGACGCGCTTGTAAGCCTTCCAGAAGTTCTACCAAGGCCCCCGTCACCTTCATCGCGATACTATTTCTCGCGGCTAGGGTGTTCAATTTCTCAAGGGTGGTTCATCCTAGAGGAAAGCATCCTACGTTGTCCGCTTTAGCTCCAGGGGTCGATCTCGCTCCGCCAGCCCGGCGTGCCGTCTTGAGTGTCGTATCTCGCGATCCCTAGCTTCGAAGGTGTCGAAATCATCCCCAGAGACGTATGTCGGGAGCTCCTCCGACTCCAAAATCCTCGTCAAGTCCGCCATGCCGGCGCTGCAAGGGAGTTGAGGGGGCTACTGGGTCCAGGCGTTTGCGTAGATGTGGATCTATTGTCGCGGCCTACGGGTAAGCATCTTTCTCAATCTAAATGTTGTTTCATGCTCTGCTTAAGGGTCATCGGAAGGAGTTCATGCTGGTGCAGATGTGGATAGCCTTGCCCCTTGAGACCATAGTATTGCAGAGGTGAACCGCGTTCTGTGGACAGAGCCGCTGAATTGACCGAAGTCTCCTGACTCCAGTATCGAATTCAGGCGGCGTCGGTACACCTTCCTCAATCCTTACTTGCACTTCACAAGTTCGACCAGTATTGTGGTGCAGTCCAATGTTGGGAGGTACGTTTGTCTGTCCAGACACTAATATCGCGTCATTTTATATATATTTAGAAATGAAAAGACTAGCTCTTCTATGAGCACGAAGTGTGTGACCTGATGTCAAGTGTGATACTGGCTCCTTTTTGCTTTGCTTCAGCTTCGGACCACAGCTGTGGGTTGCGAGCTTCATATTCCATTTGTGCTGAGGTAGCAGTGTTGGTTTGGGTTTTCTGCCTGTTCATTCAAGAGCTCATTGCCGACGGCGACAACGTTTTTGTAGTTCTGACGTTGAAATACAGAGTCTGGTTCCCAAGGCTGATCTATTGGACCCTGGGGTCTGCACCACAGTAGGCGGTGGAGACAAAACTGGAGGCGTGGCAGGGCGCGTCGCAGGAGGCGATACCAGAGGCGATTGGTGTTTGACGGGTGGTGGATTTGCTTCCATCTCCCTCTTGGGAAAGCTACGGAGGTGTGGTGGTAGTGTCATATCCTGTTCGCTCCGAGGCGGCATTCTTGGTTTTGCCTTGGGTAAGGAGGCCAGTCTCCTGGCCTCCTCACCCGCTGCAAGTACCTCTGCCCAGCCCTCCCGTAGAAAGGCGTTTTCTGGTTCCCACTCCACTGGATCCTCGACAACCATATTAAAAGGCTCCTAACATTAAATTAGCTATTCTTCTTCAAGGCATTATAGAGCAAACTTACGGGTAATTCAGCCTCTGATTCAGACGAGGAAGTCGAAGCAGCACGAGTGGGATTCGGTCTAAGTGCCTTGTTTATCCGATCAAGTACCGCATTCCGTAATTCATCATTGCCATACGGATCAGTAGAGTTTGGCAGAGAGCCTAGCGCGACAATCGGAGCAGGCATCAGGAGAAGATCCGGAGGTTCGGGCAACAGAAGAAGACGCGGCGGAACGATAAGGCTTGGTGGCGGTCCAAGCAATAGAAGACGCGGCGGTAAGACCGGGTTTGCTGGCGGTCCAGGCCCGACATATCTTGCCGGTATGTATTATATATATATATGTATATAGATCTCAAGATGATAGACACAAGAGAAGAAGAAAGTATAGAGCGGTAGGGTGCTGGAAGAGGCTTGGAGCCTCTTGAGTTTGTCGACCCATGAGAAAAAGAAAAAAGAAAGAGGAAGGAAGGACGGGGGAGGAGGGGGTTTATATACCCGAGCCCAGCCCCCCGAATTACAAATCGGGGACTATTCACCACACCCGCCGGACAATAGGAAGGTGGAAGTGTGATCAGGAATGAGGCATGAACTCAGACACGCCACAAACCTACGTGTGAAGAGGGAAAGGGAATGACGCTCTGAGACACGCCACAGACACGCCAAAGACCCACATGTGAACAGGAAAAGGGAGTGACGCTCTCAGATACGCCACAGACACGCCAAAGACCCACATGTGGAGGGAATGATGTATGATTCCCTAGTGACTCTCTCATTCAACTCCTCGCCTCCATTCGCTATTCATTCGGAAATAATCAATGAACACGCAGGTGATCTTCTGATGTCTCATGTAGGTGACTTTCCACACAGCACAAACATTCATACACTCGCTCGCACCTACCACGATAAGTACCACAATCAAGTTGCCGCGGTCACGCCTCTTCACCGTAAGGAAAACGGTATGCATGAATAAACTCGTAACGATATGTGTTCAAGAGGAACGATTCATGAGCCGAGGGGACGTCATTCCTTTCCTTTGCCCCATACATTCAATGAACACAGGCTGCATGATTCATCGTGTGAGACATAGCACATGATTGTTGTGTGTGTGAACACATATGCATTGAACAACCACAATAACGCCAGCAAACCCGTGAACCTCGCCACCATGATGAAGCAGGGAATGATACAACATGCATGTACGTGACACGATTCGTTTGCCACACGGTGAAGTTCACACTCTGCGGGTGAGACAAGCATGATACGTGATGCTGAAGCCGCATGACAGGATGTCTCTAAAGTGAAAGCATGTGAAGATGTCTCTGAAGTGAAAGCATGTGAGAAGTGAACACAGCGGAATCGCCTGAGGAGATCGCCACGCATGTCAGAGCACCGAGTGCGCGAAGAGTAGATAGTCTTTTGGGCGTTTTGTATCCCTTGAAAAAGACCGGTGGCTGTGTGGTAACCACAAAGCACTTTTCAATGATTGCTTGTCATGAGCAAATGTGGCGTGTTTGAGCAAACCTAAGTGCCAAATACCACCCCAAAAGATAAAAAGACCCGGCATTTACCACCATCGTAGCATGCGTTCAGATGTCAAGCAAAGTCGGCGTCTGTCAATTGCTTTGTCAAGAGATGAATGATTTATTATGTTCAAAGGTGACCCCGACCAACGACGAAGCCGAAAGCGTTGCACTTTCGCCATATCGTAGCAGAGCCCGAAGAGTTTACCAATATCGCTACCGTCCAAGTCATATTTGTGTTGTATGCATATGACATCACAACGTGGACTTACACCTCCTTATGCGTTACGAGAGCCGGCTTGAGTGGTTCACGGGAGAAACCAATTTGCATCGAATGACGAGCGACAACGATGCCTGCAAGAAACCGAAGAAAGCAAAATTCGATGCCTGACAGGCGGATCGAAGACGGACATTCGTGGTGGTATTAAATCGTCAACAAGCGACGACGTGCTGGCAACGCAACGAGCCAATGCCGTTTGTAATAAGTTCACATTACTTCAGGATGACGAAAAAGAAAGAACGTGACCTTAAGTCTTGCTCGTTGATAGTTTCCACAGCCACGGCACAAACGGCACAGCATGGAACGGCGATTCTTTCTGATCATCACGAACGGAAGACACGGACTGTGCGTCGAAGCTATAGCCTTTGTGCGTACAGAACCCCTTGGTAGCATTATTGGTAGCGACCTGGATACAGATAAAAAGACACACTTAATAACCACCCCTGATCGCCAGCTTCCAAAGCACGATCTCGTCCGATCCACCGCCAGATCGTTGTCGTCTCTCAGGTCAGGGTGTGGTGATCAGACTACCAGCAAAGCATTGCCCTCCAACGTTTTCAACAGCCATCCAACATGTCGGACGAAATGTGTCTCAATTACGGCCTCGAAAGTATTGCAGCTGAAGCTTGCATTCAGTCGTCATCACTACCTGGCAGGCTTGCAAGCGCCAACTGCCAATACCTGTCATCTCATGATTATTGCGCATGCAGAATCAGCATTTGAAGTCAAGAATTTCGCTAATTAGAGAAGTAGCCCCTCATCAGCGGCTCTCGGAAGGCCGCAGCCGTTGCCGGGAACATCATTTGCGGAACTATTCCGACGGGTGTCTTGTCACCTTCCCGTTCCATCCTAGTTCTTTACGTGATCTTCATTCGCAATATGAGCGTATCAGATCTACTTCCCCGCGCGAGCGAGCTCTTGCCGTCTCTTGCTTGTCACCGTTGGCGATAAGGATGCAGGATGGATGGCGTGCGGGAGGCACGTGACGCACGTCATCCATTCTTGAGTTCTCAGGCTGTGGACTGAGCTTTTCTTCACACCTGACATTCAATGATTAGGAGCTTCATCACCCCCCAGCTTGGATTTGTGTAGCTTGAGACGTCTCCGCCGACAACATGCCTGAAGAGAAGATACCTGGGGCTCCCATGCCTGAAAAGATTCCTGTGGCGCCAATGCCTGAGAAGATCCCTGTCACGTCGCCCATTGAAAAGGAGGCTACAAACGATTTCGAAGAAGAGGAGCATGTGGCTGTAATGCCCCCACCAGCCTATGGCGCGTCTGTGGACGAGGCCATGAAGGCATTCGGAGACGGGGAGGTCCTACACATCGACGAAGCTACAAACAAGCGGTTGTTGAGGCGGATCGATCTTCACATCATGCCATTGATGTGCATTGTCTATGGTCTCAATTACCTCGACAAGACGACACTGTCCTATGCAAATGTCATGGGATTGAAGAAGGATCTCAAATTGAAGGGCGATGACTACCAATGGCTTGGAAGCATGTTCTACTTCGGTCAGTCTCTACTTCTATGCTGAAGCTGCATCTCACGATAACAGGTTATCTTGCTTGGGAGTATCCCACCAACCGTCTCCTCCAGCGCCTTCCTCTGGCTAAATACTCCTCTTTCAACATCATAATCTGGGGTGGAGTCTTGTGCTGCATGGCCGCCGTTAAGAACTTCTCGGGCGCGGTAGCCGTGCGATTCTTCCTCGGTGTCTTTGAATCTGCTGTCACACCCGGTTTCGCCCTTTTCTCCAGCCAATGGTATACCAAAAAGAGCAGGGAACCAGAGTAGGCATATGGTTCAGCTTCAACGGAATGGGTCAGATCTTCGGCGGTCTGGTGGCTTATGGCATAGCGGTCGGAGCGAAAAAGTACGGATATACCATGGCTCCATGGAAGATCGTTTTCCTAGTCTGCGGCCTCATCACCTCCTTCATGGGCATGCTGTTCCTCTATTTCGTCCCGGACAATCAGCTCAATGCGCGCTGGTTGAGTAAGCAAGATAGGCGGCTTGCTATTGAGAGAGTCCGGATCAATCAACAGGGCATTGGAAACAAGCACTTCAAGATGTACCAAGTCAAAGACGCCTTGACCGATCCATTGACCTGGGCCTTTGTCTTCTACGCTCTCACGGCCGATATTCCAAATGGAGGCATCAGCAACTTCTTCAGTGAGCTCATCGTATCCTTCGGCTACACTCCGGAGCAGAGTCTGCTCTACGGCACGCCTGGTGGGGCAGTTGAGGTCGTTGCCTTGATCGTCTGTGGCTATCTAGGAGACAAGTTCAGAAATCGTCTTCTGGTTTGCACCTCAGGCCTCCTTATCGCCATTATGGGCATGCTTCTCATTGTATGCTTACCATTGTCCAATCACGGCGGCAGACTCGCTGGCTACTACTTCACACAATCAAGTCCGACACCTTTCGTGGCTCTGCTGTCACTAATTGCCACCAACGTCGCTGGCTACACCAAGAAGACAACGGTCGCCGCGCTCTATCTGATTGCGTACTGCGCAGGCAACATCATTGGTCCCCAGACATTCCGACCAGGGGATGCTCCACGATACGTGCCTGCTGAGATCACCATCATCGTGTGCTGGTCTGCTTGTCTCGTTGACATCATATTCATCTACATTTATTGCCGGTGGCAGAATCAGAAGAAAGCAGCGTTCAGGGCGCGGCCGGGCTATGTTAAGCTGGAGAATCAGGAATGGTTAGATTTGACGGATAGGGAGAATCCCGAATTTGTATATACCTTGTAGTCGAATTTTCGCCGTGGCAATACAATACATCAAATTGTACCTTTTTAAAGGTAGATCACCCGTTGCGCGTGGCCGCATTAGCTACATGCAAGGCCCGCCCTACCTCATGCATATCGGTTGTGCTCTTCCACGACCAGGCAATGGTATCCTAATTCTTATTTGTACCATATTTACGTGTGCATCAGGTTTGCACGGGTTGAAGAGGAAAATACAATGACTTGCCGCATGCTTGTTACAACATTTGCCGAAGGACGAGAAAGTCCGATTTTATTGAAACCACGCCATGTCACCGACGCCAGTGACGAAATCCGCACATCTTGGGTCAATGGCATGAAAAATTACGTCGGAAGCGAGTCAGAGCATGAACATGTCCGCCCGCTCGACTTCCTCTTCGCCCTCGACGGCTCCGTTGATATCCAGGCCCCCACTTCGACAACTTCTGACCTCCCCGACACTTATCCCGCCACGCACCGCATTCCTCCAGCAACAATCGCCGACCTTCAACCCAAGGAGAAGGTTCGCCGTGCGGAGCTCTTCGCCCTTGGAAGTCTGATATACGAGATTTACGCCGGTGAGGCACCATTTGAGAGCCTAGAGGACGACGAAATCCAGACGCGGTACCGAGGTGCAGAATTTCCGAAAGTGACGCATCTCCCCCAGTGGCCTATCATTCTAGCTTGCTGGAGCGTAGAGTTTGCCAGAGAGCTTGGCGCGATCTTGAGTAAGTACTTATGCCCATGCCCACCATTGACGAGCGAAAATCTAAGCATTTTGTTCCTCCTCTAGACAGCTCCGAAGGCACCTTCAAACGCTTCGGACGTCTGACCGGCAAATACATTGCAGCCCACCCGGTCCTCTTCGGAATGCAGTGTGCTGGCACCGTCGTCGGCATCGGAGCGGCTGTGGCCCTGCCGGTGCTTGGTTTTGCAGGGTTCGGGGCACTGGGTCCCATAGCAGGCTCGTCGGCTGCTGCGTGGCAGACATCAATAGGGGTCGTGCAGGGCGGGAGTCTATTTGCGTGGTGTCAGAGTGCGGCGATGGGGGGCGCGGCTTTGAATGGAATTGCTGCTGCTGGCGCAACGGGAGGAATTGCTCTGACTTCTACGGCAGCGGGTATTGTGACTGTGGATGAGAGTATGGAGGAGAGGTTAATGAAGGTGTTCGAGATGGTGTGTAGGAAGGCTGAGGGATCGAAGGAAAGCCTGTCGAAGGAATAATGCGTGCTATTTCTCGGATTGATTCTTTCTGGGTTTCACAGATGTGTGTCTAACAAAGGCATAGAAGAGGTTTCCAGGCCCTCAGGACAAGCAAATCGAACAAATATATACCATAATACGGTGGAAGTGGCAAGGCGGCGTTGTGGTCGCACAGGGGCTTACAGGGGCGCTCGGGGCTCTGGCCACCAAGACGACAGCCCTTAGACCAATCCTTTTAGGGGTGAGAACAGAATACTCTACATTCCTCTCGGCCCCACTTTGTACAGCAGCCCTTACCATCCCCAGGGCCACAGATCTCTCCCATGCAATCTACTCGAAATCCATGAATGCATGTATATTGTACTGCTAGACATGAAGAAACACGTCCAACGCCGGTGACGCCATCGAGCGGCTCACATTGCGGCGTAAGTCTAGCGGTAGCGCAACGCGAAGATTGAGCCGCCAGTTTCACCAGTACAGGCCAGTGAACATGAGGCCAACATTTCGTTGTCTCTTCTATTTGCACACATGTTTGGTACCTGTCACAGCCTGACGAGAGATGACACGCCCACGTCCTCACGTCCCCCAAGCAACCTACCGCTCTTCAGTCCTTTGAGGCCCACCAGATCAAGCATCCAAACGAACGCTTATGCCTCCCCAACCACAATCTACCTCTCTGTCAACACACTACTCTGAGCCCGCCGATTCTGATGCCCATTTCGACCAGCTTGACGACACTTCCCTCAAATACCCCGACCTCCGAGACCCTATCCCCAAAGTCGCCCACTTCATTTGCACCTCAGGCGATCCATTGACCTGGATCCAATGGCTCGCAATTCGCGGCGCCATCGTCAATCTACAAGTCGAGAAAGTCAGGCTATGGATACCAGCAGAAGCTCAGCTAGAAGGCGAGCTATGGAAGCTTGTCCTACAAATGAAAGAGGTGTCTGTCGAGCGGATCGTGCTCCCCACACATGTCTACAGCACCAAAGTCAAGAACGCAGGCGAATCGGCAGATCTGGTCAAATTGAAGGTGCTCTGGGAAGAGGGAGGCATATACCTTGAGAACGACTTGATTGCGCTGAGGTCGTCGGATGGCGTGCTCGATTCGACAACCAGGGCCACGATCATGGCGGAGCGGCTGCAGCCTGCGGGTGTGCCAAACTGGATGATCATGTCGAAACCGCAGAGTCCTTTTCTCATGCGTTGGATGGAAGAATATGCGGAGGAGAAGGACTTTGCTACACTGGCGACCGTGACGCCATTCGAGTTCCTGAAGAATCGAGATCCGGACTTGCGGGTGCTTGACGGGCGGACGTGGTTCTATCCGTTGGCGAGCAGTCTGGATGGGGACAGCAGTTTGAAGAAGTTGTGGTTTGGCAAGAGTTGGTATGATATTGCCGACGTCTATGGCACGCATCTGTGGCATTGGAGTGAGGCTTTTAGAAACTTGATTACGCCTGAGTTGGTGAGGACGATTGATACGCCATTGTTTTGCAGGCTGAGAGGACTTTTTGATGGGGTTGGAGGGGTGAAGAGCTTGCCGTGGGATCAGGATGAAAATTGCAACGTCACAATCATACCAGATCTGAGTATTAAGGAAGGGAGACTGTTTCTCGACTACCAGGCGCGAGGGGATCGGGAAGGCATCAAGATGTTGGACCAATCAGGGCACAACAATCATGGTTGGGCTGTCAACGGCACACAGCTGTACAGAGGCTATCGAACTATATCTGAGAACTCTTTCGCTGTCATGCCTGTTCCTGTCGGCTGGGACGCACGCGTCTGGACACTTCACACCAAACTCCGCGTCGACCCTTCTTGCCTCAAAAGTACAGAGGCCACAGGCTTGATCAAGATCCGTATGGACGATGAGAAGGAGCTTCTCATCCAGCTCCGGACAGAAAGCAACGGCCCCGCTTTAGATATACACTGGGAAAGCACGAAACAAGACAAATACCACAAAAATGAAGATTTCTCCTGGATCTCCGCCCCAAAACTCGCACCGCTTACAGAAGCAGCCCATGACCTCACCATCTCCTTCGATCGACGGGACAATGGGAGTGTTGCTGTATACCTAGACGGGGAAGATGCCGGTGGTGAAGATATTTCGCTTATTTACAGTCCGAAGATCGGGCAAGAGATATGGTTGAATTCGCGGCATTGGGACAATCTTGACACAGGCTTCCGTGGGGAACTGTATCGCTTCACGATGTTTGCGGATGCTATTGGCCCGCAGAAGGTCGTTGAGATATTGGGTAGCAAGACTGGGGGTAGGCTTCCGGCTTTCCATCTGAATACACCGTCGCTTGATATGGTGGCCATGCCGATGTCCTTGCTGCCGATCTTGTTTGTGGTGCTTCTCGTTGGACTGTCTGTAAAACAAGGGAAGGCGCTCAGGAGAAATCTGGCGGAAGTGGGCAAAATGGTCGTCGAGATTGTTAGAAAGTCAACATCTCGGTAATGTGGTATCGAACTCGGACGCCTATACGAATGATCGACGTCTTGCCAAATAAGAAGAGAGCTCGATGCTTCGCAACAGACTCTAGTAAGGCAATTACTGGATGTTCACTGGTGCTACCGTCGTATTGTCCACCTTGTTGAACATATCAGCATCAGGACGCCCAGGACCAAAAGCGCCTCTCCCGATAATCCTGCCATTGATGCGAATCAAGAAAGTGCACTGCCTCCACCTGTATGGATGGGGTACTAGTGACATTTTTATCGCCAGGTCGGCGATTGCCAACTTAACGGCCCCATGAGTGAAACGATTGGCGGCCGCAACACTGGTGGCTCCAATGCCAATTGAGGCATCACTACCGCGATCGTAACCAGTGACTGCGAGGAAAGACTCGCCGTTGGGCTTCTCCGCTTCAGCAATGATCAGGTTCATCATTACGGAATAGACGGTAGCTGCAGGATAGGTGGGTCCGTCAGGAAGGACCTTGACATCCGTGATCGCAATGCCACCGGCAGTAGCGTTCGAGAAAGAGGTCATATTCGGTCCATCCTGCGGGGGAGTAGGATCGAAAGCGAGCTGCCCGACGCCCATGTGAGGATAGCCGCTGTATTTGATTGCCCAATTGATCTCTCCATATCGATCTTCTGTTTGAAAATAGCAAGCCGTAGTCCGGATTGCCCACAGCATCTCTTTGATTGTGAATCCTGGAACGTCTGGGACCCTCGTACTGGACAAGCGAATCAACAACTCGCGATTTGAGAAGCGGAAAGTCTCTTGGTCCTTATTGAAATCTTGCAGGGCGAGTAACGACAAGGCTTCGACCATGACTATGAGGGTATCGATCTTGGTCAGTGCGATCCCGCGAGGCTTCCAATTATAAGCACAGATGAAGTCTGTAGGCTGCGGTTCTGCGAAATTGCCATCTCCGTACGATACTTCCGAAGCGGGAGGGCATGTGAAGTCTGATCCTCTGCAATTGTCAGCCCCAATCAAGACGATTATGAAGGACCTACTCCGCTGGCGAATCGTCCCGAGACCAAGTCAGGCCTGTCGAAAGCACACTGACGGCTAGTGAAGCGACAACCAAGGCCAAAACACTCACCAAAGTCTGCAGCATCGCCAACTGGGTAAAGAGGGAGGATTCCCAAGCTTAGGAGTCATCAAGACCCTCGACATGAAGTGAATTAACCCCCACGCGAAAACCAATGAAAATGACCTCAATCGAGACATAGAGGCGCAAATGATCTCCAGAGTCAGAATCGCGCGTCTTCCACGGCATGATTGCTATGTTTATCTTCATGCATACAATCATGCGTCACAAGTACGCGACGCCCTTCGAACAGGGCACCATTTTAAATCTCGTTCTCCACACAAATTTCCATTATTAAGGTATCATGATATGGCTTTTGCAAACCTATCGTAACCTCCAAACTCAACTTCCTTCACCTAACCCCTCTTTCATACTTCACAAAACAACCAGCCCCCCAACCAACGCAGCGAGTGAAACCGCCCCAAACGTCACCCATGGCACGTCCTTCACACATCCCGCGCCCGTGAAGGGTACAGGCGTCGAAGACGCCACCGTCCCATTCGTCGCGCTCGAAGAATTAGTCGTGATGTTCGCTCCACCGACAGACGAACAGAGCTGGTCGCCGAGGTATGAGGTGACTAGGATTTTCCGGTCAGCAATTCACGCCCTCGACTTCTTTCTGTCTGTTCCTGGCAAGTAGAGAGAGCAAAAAACGTACTCTCATTCTCGGTCTTGGTGCAATTCGCCAACTCGCATTTTCCGACGGGTTCGAGGAATGCGGCATTGTGGCAGATGCAGGCGCGGTTGGAGAGGCTGCTGCAGCCTGAGAGGGCGATGGCGGTGGATTGGCAGGCTGACTGAAGTGGGGTCTTGTTAGCGTGGTGTGCATGTCGAGCTGTTCTTGGTGGTTTGGAGGGAGAGGAAGGGAGGGGAGGGAACGTGGTACTTACGGCGCATGGGGGATAGTCTGCCTGTTTTGTTGGGTCTTTGTTCGCCACCGCATTCGCGGCGAACGCGGTCGCTGAGGCGATGGCTGAAGATACTGAGGAGCCTAGTGCGGTGTCATTGTTGTAAAGCGCGCCGCAAACTTCTGCGCCGAGGAGTGTGCTTTCTGTCACAAACACGCATGGTCAGATCATTTTTGGGCTGGAGTAGGCAGAAGGGCAAAGCATACTGTCATAGTCGCTGGAACTGCACGTCACTTTCTGGCACGCTGATGTGCGGCTCCGGTAGTCGGCGCTGCAGAGGTATTGGATGTTGCTCGTGTCGTAGGAGACAGTGTTGTTGACGTCGGTGTTGCAGGAGAGCGCGCATGCAGGATATGTGGAGAGGGAGAAGGGGTCGCCAAGTTCGGGAGATGGTAAGGCAGATGAGACCGCAGAGATGATGGCCGTGACGGGGGTTGCAGTGGGTGCAAGACTCGTGGGAAGGCCTGGTACTGTTATGGTCTGTGCTGCTGAGAAGGTGATGCTGAGGGCGAAGGTCGTCGAGAGGAGAAGAAATGCCATGGTGAAAATCTTGGGGTCTCTGTGGATGGATTCAGCTGGGAACGATGGGGGATATATAGCTTGATAGTTACTGTATGACGAACCTTGGCCCCTAAACAGCTTGGTGGTCCCCGTATTGAACCCCATAAAGATCTTCATCTTGCATGGAACTGTACGAAGCTGCAGGTCCGACAATTTGCTCGGCCAACCATTTTCAGGCGCGTGTAGCGGACGAACTCGGGCGCTTCGGCCGAGCTGATGGCGTTCCTCATAAGGAGATATTGTTGCGGAGAGAGTCTCATGGCCTAGAAATGAGGAACGATTTGAGGTCATAAGATGAGATGGTACCTGCATCATGACACAAAAGTGCACTGTCAAATACGAAGGAGTTCATTGTGGTCCTCACATTTCGCTCTTTCGCAGCATACAGACGATTGAAAGACTTCGTCGTTGGCCAGTCTGAATGAGCTTTTCTCGGACATGTACGGAGAACTCCTCCACCTAATGATCACCCTTTAGACTATGAATATTTCCGAGTCAGTCATACTAACTTCAATACGAAGATCCAGACCCGACTTACTTCGGAAAATGTAATGAGTTGGGAGGGCTATTACCGCCGTCTCCATCTACAGCCTTGGCTCTCAGTGCATGCCCAAAGCTTGCTGTGCAAATTCCTTCGTTCCTAACGCCGCCTTCGCCACGCTAACGTCGGCCTCAAAAACATTCACAATAGCACTTCTATACACTTCTTCCGCATCCACCAAGTGATACAGCACCAACAAGACATTATTGATTTCACCAAAGGTAAGCGTCTGACCCGGCACCTTCTTAATGTAAAAGCATGCCGCGTTGGCGCCCGGGCTAGGGTAACAGTGAACTAGGTCTTCGTCAAGCACGGCCTTCTCTTGATGTTGTGCTTTGACGATGGCAATAGCTTCTGGCAATAGCTTTTCGGCTCACATGGCGTTCAGAGGGGTACTGAAACGGATGTCGAGGTGCATTTGTGTGTCGGGAACTGTGATATTGGGCATGAAATATGACGGCGAAGGAGGGACGACTTGTGGTGCGACGGTCGTAGTATCCCGCAGGACGTTGATGAAGCTAGCTGATGAACCGCGTAGGAGCAGGAAAGATGGGAAGAGCTTGAATGAAAGCATGATGTTAAATGTTTTCGACAGAAATGAATTGCTCTTGTGAGGGGCTTTGGGCGCTTTTTGCCTTGATTTATTTGAGTGTAGGTAGCTCGCGCGTAGTCGATTGAGAATGCAGAAAAGATACGGGTCATGAAGACGTAATGACCGTCTGAATTTAGAGTCGTTCGCATCTATCCAAGGTACCTGTCGGAGTAAGTCGTCTACAGCAATCCAATGAATTTTCAGGCTCAATAAACTGTTTTCATCATTCCTTGCTTTTGTCTTGCGTGTGTTTCATTCTCATCGCTCCATCCAGAAAGAGAGGGCAATCGAGCCTGGCACATGTAACGAGAGCCAGCCGATGGTTCGGAGCCAAACAAAGCGAACTCGAACATGAACTTCGGATCTGTTATTAGCCCATAGCATCTGAATCTGTATTAGACGGGGGGACCTTTGACGGTAGATCAAAAGCTTTTGAGCCAAGCAATTCACATCACTCTTGTTGATGTGAGACATTCAGAGAGCCCCTCAAAAAGACAGACTGTTCACTCTGGGAACCATCAGGTGAAAGTGGCCTTGTGGCTTCAACTATGACATCGTGAACCCGAGGTGTGCAACCTCCCAGCCGCCAAGGTGTCCGTATTGGCCCATGGTCACGAGATGTATGTGCGGAGGGTCTAGAAAGGCCGACAGTGATTGACGATCAAGGTCAGTACATGAGTCGTCAGCAAGTAGATCGAACATCTTTTCACGGCAAGATTCTCTTGCACCGCTCAGCCTTTGGTCAAATCAATGCGCCTTCATCAGCAGGAATAACCTCGCTGGCCTTGCAACCGGACTTAACGTGCTCCGAGTTGACATAAAGAAGGCACGCTGATTCAGCTTGGTGAACATGCACACCTTGGAGATGGAAATTGTCACCTCGATCGACAGAAATATGCCAAGATGAGCCGCACGGGCTATGGTTTATCCGAGCCGCTAGACCGCAGACGACTCTAGCGCGATCCTTCCAATTACTTACTTAACCCTTACAAATGGCATTCAGGCGGGCCAGGCCACCCACGCCAATCGCATCAACATGCACTCAATGATATTCTGGCCAATCAGAAGAAAAGTGATGCAATGCACGCAACAGGCACGAGCTATTTCGAATATTCAGTCGTGGGATACATAATCAAGAGCGCAATGGAAAGCCCGAAGGACGAACCCCATCCACATCCGCCTGGACCAGTCTACGCCATTGACATGGCGGGGTTGTGGGGCGGCAAGACATCAGAGGAACATAAGAACAACCCTCGTCCCTGACATCCTGCTTGAAATACAACCTCCATATTCACACCAACCCTCCATTATCATCATACTGTCTCGACTACTTCATACCTCTATCATGTCTGCCAAGAAGATCTTTGTTGTCTTTGGAGCCACTGGCAACCAAGGCGGCGGGGTCATCAACGCTATCCTCGATGATCCCAAAGCGTCCCAAGAGTTCGCCCTTCGAGGCATCACTCGTGATCCCAATAGTGGAAAAGCAAAGGCATTGGCTGCGAAGGGTGTCGAATGCGTTACAGTACCGCCACCCTCAGTTCCGATCCTTCTCGTACTGACGGTTTAGGGCGACATCAATGACAAAGCCTCCCTCTCAAATGCCTTCAAAGGCGCCCACAGTGTCTTTGCAGTCACCAACTACTGGGAAAAGATGGATGATAGGCTCGAGGTTCAGCAAGGAAAGAATGTTGCCGATGTCGCAAAAGTACGTAACACAGGCTCTTACATGATCAATACTCATGTGCCACAGGAAGCCGGAGTGAAGCATCTCATCTTCTCTACCCTCATCAATGTCACCAAATTGAGCAATGGCAAATACAAGAATGTCTTTCACTTTGACAGCAAAGCCGAGATCGAACAGTATATTCGAGGGACTGGCATACCAGCTTCGTTCTTCATGCCTGGTTTCTACATGTCCAACCTTGAGACTATGATCAATCCCAACCCTCAATCGAAGGCCCTCACACTCGCTCTGCCAATGCCACCGACTACTCCCATCCCCTTCTTTGACGCCGCCGTCGACAGCGGCAAGTTTGTGAAGGCAATGGTGACCAAGCCTGATCAGGTATTGGGCAAGAATGTGTTTGCTGCAACCAAATACTACACTGCAGAAGAGGTTATCAAGATCTTCAACGAGGTGAAGAAGCCAGAGCCAGCGGCTCAATTCTACCCTCCAGATAAAGACACATATAAGGGATACTTGACGGGTGCAGGCATGCCAGAATTCGCTGCCGAAGAATTGTATGAGAACATGGCATTCATGAATGAGTTTGGGTACTATGGGAAGCAAAGCTTGGACTGGAGTCATAGCGTACGTCATATGACCTCTGCTGCGAAGAAAACGTTGCTAATGACAATAGTTGCTCGACGATAAGCCAACAACTCTCGAGGAGTTCTTTGCTAGCTCAAAGAAGTGGTAGTCTATTTGTGGACAGCATCTCCACTAGTCAAGATATGATGAATACATAGACGAGCGTATGCATTGTCAAAAAAGCGAACTTGGGATTGCATGCCCCAATCGAGCATTCTCTACTTTTTGCACCGTTGCCATTGCGTCTCAATGATAGTTATGGAATTGGATATTACGCAATCGTCCAGCTATCGTTACAAGGGACATCCCCAACGGCCCAATCATGACGCAAGTCGCTCATCCAATGGAGAAGGGATACTCACCCCAAAAGGCGTAGGAAGCGTATATCTGGGACAGGGTCCTAACTTCGTTGGCAGTGTACTCTGGCAATCATCATCACGAGCGTGCCCTTGACAAGAATAGAACAAACACCATGAGGCTGAGACGGGCTTGGGTCATTGTCTCACATACTGATGTTGCATTCTCAAACTGGCCCGCCCGTACCAATGTTCAGCTCTCTCGTGCACGACTCTTATCTTCCGCCGACGCCAACTTGGCTCGTCCACCTTGGGATACCTGTGCTGACGCCCACCCGACAATCTGCCTTCTTTGCTTGGCAAGTCTCACAATTAAAGCCCGAGCACAGAAAGAACCTTCTGCAAAGGTCCGGCCGTGGTGTTGTCTCATTCGGCTTGGCCCTGTATTGAGTTATCATAGCCCATTCCAACGTCTTTTCTGTGGGGTGCAGATTGCCTTATCTCATCCCCGACTTGAAGTCGTTCTTGCCGCGATTGGCGACTGGCGATACGCACTGTTCAAACGTTGGTGTTTCTCCCCTAAACGTGCTAATTCAAACCCGTTTTATTCGTGGTGTTTCGCCGCGCGATCTCGGATAAATGAGCCTAAATCCTGCAGTGGTCTTGTTTTGGACCCCTTCACAACATCTCAAGCTTCCTGACAGGCGCTTGAGAGCTTGGTCCCGCGCTCAGTATATATCTACCTCGGGTGGCAATTATGTCTCCGTCCTCTCTTTCCAATCAGCCTATGTTGCAACACAATGCCACCAATCCACATTCTCTTCGCCTGCTTCTCCCTCATCCTCCAAGCTTCGCAGGCACAATTCGTTGTGGGCTCAACCAATCAAGGAGTCGGTAGCGTCAATGGTGCTTCTGCATTTAACACCACCACCAACACCACGGATACCGAAGGCGACAACGACTACAGTGATCCAGTCATTGTAGAGTGCACTGACTACAAACGCAAAGCACTCCCTGAAGCGGATCTCTGCATTTCTGCAGTCCAGAAAATACCGAAAGACGCAGACACGAGAACCTTCACACAACCAGGGGATTTTCCGTTCCACTACGACAACGAAAAGTGCCAGGTCTCAATAGAGCTAGTGACTGACGGTCAAGAGCGGGCGTCATATTTAGACATCGTCCTCACGGTCATGCAAATGGCTGGAGGCTGTCTAAGATCAGAAGCGGACACCGGTCGAATTATGAGGACGGGAGGGGCGTTGAGGGGTATTGGGCAGAATAATCGGATGGTGCTCAAGATTGGGAAACCAGGAGAGATGCCAGATACTCCTGAACTCCCTAGGCAGGGGGCTTGAATGTGACTTCAAACCCACCTGCGACCTCGTGATCCTCAGAAGCAGAATTCGGGCGATACCTCCTTGCATTTCAGCGTGTACATACATCTCGCGAGAACATAATATTATAGCGGCGTGGAGTTTGGCGGATTGGTCAGTACGGGAAGCTACTAGTCATGGGTGTCTAGATGAACATTACAGTCTTTGTAGAAAACATCAAATGGGAGATTGTTTGTCACCTCACACGCAGTGTATTTGCTTTCAATGCTCCATATCGTCAGAGGCGAGGCAATCACACATTCGCTACCCGGCACTCGGAGATATGCCACTGCTCTGAGATCTGGTGCAGAATAAATTTTCCTTCTGTCATCATATTGCCCGAAGAATCATCCACAGGATACATATCACACCTGCATGTCACTCGAATGGTCCATATCACCATTCTCTTCTTCTTCATACGCCACGCTTGACTCGACCAAAACGGGCCTCAGATGTGCAACCAGACGCTGGGTCCATCCAGGTATGGAGAAGAGCATTTGCCCATCGTGCCGAGTTCGATTCTTACGGTACACTAATTCGGGCCCTTGACAACAGAGTGAAGCTCGTTTCAACGTCACAGCCTGCAATTCATTGAACTGCTGCCTAGCGGTGCAACGTAATCACCTTCGCTTGCTTCAGGTTCGGATTCGACTTCGAAACGGTGAGTTCATCGCGAAAGGGTGTCATGGCAATCTGACACGACTCTGACCATGGGCAGAGTCATTAGGAGCAGCCCAGCACTTATGCAGATGCTCCACGCGACATGATTAAGCAAAATGCCAATCAACCCGTTACTACCCACAGGCTAGCTTGAGGCACGTGCTGAAGCTTTCAAGTTGAGCATGTGCTTCGACAACCTGCCAGCGTCAATGGGTTGATGCCAAATGCCCTCAAAGCTAGGATCCGGCAACCTCCGGTGGCCCCAAGTCGTGGAGATTGAAGCTGGCGGCTTAGAGGCTGCCACACCTCCACAATTTATCGGTGGGTCTCTACGCTTTAGGGAACACAATCGAGAATGGGACTTTGTATGCCACGCCATCGAGAATGAAACGCCGAACCAATCAACGTACGGACGAATAATTCTTGAGTTGCATCTGCCAAACATTGACGCAGCAAATGAAAAGCTTAACCTGAACGGTTTCGACAAGCCTGAGTCTATCAATCTTATAGCACAAGGTCGTTACGATCCTTCACGTCCTATCTACAGCGTCAATCAATATGCTTTGAAGAATCGATACTTCTGGCCCTAGGTGTGGATCAAGACCAGGGGATGATTAACAAATCTCAAGAAAGAGAACAGCAAGTTCGAAAGATTTCGTTGGGCTAAGCTACCTGCATAAGGTGTGGCAATCAATTCAAATTTTCGGCCAATCATCTTTGGATGACGGCTCGACCTGCACTGGTTCCCCTCGACACACGATGATGCTACGCTGGATTAGCGGGCTGCAAGGTGTGGCTCGTTGGCAGTCTAGGTCCTGAAGAGAGATGATCTAGCGTCTAGGCTGCACGCCACGTCCAGTTTCTCGCATTTGACTTCTCCCATTCGGGCTGTGGGGAACGGCTCGCATCCTCGTGCTCCCCGCCCATAGGATCCCGGAGGAACTAGGAACGTTGCGTCAACCTGATAGCAAGTGGTTCTTATGTCAGACAAACGTCCGATGCTTAGAAAAAGATGCTTCTTGTCGATCGACTCTCTCAAACCATAGGACGACTTGCCAGGCAGTCACATCGCTTCACACCTTGTAATCTTAGAGGTTTCAAGGTCTGCAGCCTTCGCATGCCGTACAAATACCGAGCGGCGTTGCTGTCGGGCAGCTGCATAGGCCCAGAGTAGGGCTATGATGACAAAACATTCATTCCTGCAGTGGAGGACTTTTCCTTCTTGTGGACCTACAAAGCAACCCTAAGCAACGGCTCATGCTGTACCTCAGCTTACTTAGCCACCTGTGCTTGGTGAAGGAGATCTAGGAAATGATCGGCAATTTGCAGCCTCAAAGTACCAGTCATTCCTCATCTGTTTCAAAAATCACTCAATTCAACGGTTTGCGGAGCATTTGAACGGTGGTACAATGCTGCCTCTCTTCTTTGACAAAGGATAATACATCCTCGCGCTTGTCGGACACGGCGCTTGACTAATGGCGCCTCAAGCTCCCCCAGAGCTTCCCTCCAATGTCATGAATATTACAACTTCTAAAACTGCGGAAGAAACATCGAGATCTTTGCAACTCACACGGCAGCAAGGCCATACGCTCATCGGAGTAACATGTCTTCTCCTGTTCCTATGCATATGTGCAGTCGGTGGCCGCACGGCTTCTCGACGCCTTGTTCGGGCGAGCTTGTTGCTTGATGACTACCTTACTTTTGCTGCTCTTGTAAGCCACCAGGTCGAGATTTCCACGTCGGTGCGAGCTCTGATTGTGGTGAATATCTAGGGACTCTTGATTGCACTCTCGATTCAACAATTCCTCCGTAAGAGCCCTGTTATGTATGAGATAGATTCATGGACTAACGAAGAGGAAGTCTCCCATTATCTCCTTTCCATCGGCGACGCAGGGGTCCCATCTCTAAGTTTGATGCAGACTCTTGGAAGGGTGAGTCACGCTGCCAAGTATTGAAGGGCGTGGAATCTAATAGGTACAGCTTGAAATTGTCTCACAAATCTTATACATCCTCCTCATCACTGCGTGTCGCGCATCCTTGCTCTTTCTCTATCGCCGCATTTTCGGACTGGGATGTCGCTCTTTTCGGACTGCGTGGTACATAATATCATTTATGTCCTTTGGTTTCTGTATCGCCTTACTTGTGAGCCTTGCGTTCCAGTGCCAGCCTGCGCCACTATCCTCCCTGTGGACGCATCCTGAGGAATGTCGTACAAGTGCCGCTGGTCCGGTTGCCATGGGCTTTGTGAATGCTTTCATAGATTTCTTGATCCTGCTGCTTCCGATACGAATGGCTTGGGCACTTCAGATGCCTGTCAAGCGACGACTGGCGGTCTGTGGTATTTTTGGGCTAGGCTTAATGTCTGTTGACTCTTGAGGATGAGAAGCTCCGCTGACTGGTCCTGCAGTGGCGTGGCTGTCAGCATATCCCGCGCTGCTGCTTTCACCTCCACCATTCAGTCTCGTAAGCGCCCAACCCGAGATCCTGATTCCGTTACGCTAATATCCTTCAAGCAACCGGCGGTGTCACATTCGCGCTGTGGAGTACAGCAGAAGCAGCGGTCGCCCTGCTCTGCGCTTGTTTGCCACTACTGCGCCCCGTGTTCAGCGAGGTCTTTACCATGCTGTCGACCCTTACGATCAGCAGGCGGCATTCACAGGATGTGGATGAGCTGGTCAAAAAGGTGGTGCTTGAGGGGCAAATACCGGAGATCACGCCATAGATTGTCCTCTTCAAGGATGGTTCGCCCAGGATCGATAGAGGAAATAGCGGGGGAAGGGAGATGCGCCAGGGTCGAGCCGTACAAGTGTAGAGAACAGGCGCAAGAGATAGTGCTAGAGTCGGAGAAGGCTGCAAATGTCAAGAGTCGACGTTGGAGATGGCCACGCCAAATCTCTGTCGTCAGATCTAAGGCATCCCCCCGGGCTCCGGCCCCTTTTCACCCCCCCACCCAGGACAGTGTTATAAACTGTGCCAGGCCATTCTCTTCATACCACACGCAGCTGGTCTCCGTTCCAACATCAATGCTTGCGGAAAGAACTCTTTCTAAAGACTCTTATTCACTCCGGGAAGACTGATACACAAGTCTATCCATGAGCCATTGTCGCAATCCCCATTCTAGTCAGCAGAAATGACGCACTAAGCAATGCCACCATCTCCTATCACCAACCAAGCTAAGAATTTCGCGCACGCTTTTTCATCGCAGCATATATTTCCCTTGTCTTCTGATCCTTGTTGTTGTGCCATCTCACCTTTCTTGTCGGTGAAGCCCAGCCTACAACTTTTTTGGGCGCATCTGTCAGCTGAATTGAGTTGTGGCACAGTGCAAAGCGATGGGCATGAGAAAGTCGGGCTATACTCTTCTTGTGGGTAGGAGGAGGTGGTGGTTGATGTGATGGTGCAGGTCAGGCGCATAGCCTCGGTGGTGCTGGAGAATTTCGAGCTAAGCTCGTCTCATAGGTAGGAGGAGGTCGACGATGCAGATCAGGTGCACAGTCTCGGTGATGCGGGGATGAGCGTGCAATCTTTGGGTGTCGTATTAAAAGTGATTGAAGTCTGAGGGGTGCAAGAGTAGGAAGGCGGTTAGGTCTCTACATAACCTGGCGTTGTACTTGGAGTAAATGGCCACGGTCAACGCGATGGTGATAGAGGGGCTTAGGCTTGGGAGATATCTACTCATTGATAGGCTATGGACAAGGTATCTCTGGCTGGCGTGTCGTGTTGATAGGACGTCTCATCCGACAAGGGTTGGTGACTCATGGCTACAGAAGACTTTGGTCTCACAATCCGCGACATCCTTGGGTCTGGCCGGCTGTATTCATGCCTTCCACAGGAATTGATGAATTCGAAGAACCCGGCGGGACCACCATACGCGTGAGGTGCTGCCGTGTTGACAGACCTCATCTGACTGAAGAAAACTTAAATTCAACACGGCCTCGCTAATTTAGACTTCGCTGACTTCAGGACTGGCTATAGGTGGCCCACCTACGGAAGAGATTTTGCGAGCTGATACGTTGAAGGTGCAACCCTCCCCACCCTGAATATTCAAGCTGTAGTACTGATTGGGGAACCTCCAAGCAGGAGGAAACCAGACCAGAAGTACAAGTATCAAGGGAAACTGTGCCAGCCAGGGATCACATCCTGTCCAACAGACTGAAAACCAACCAGCTCAAAGATGAAATCATCGACGATCCACTCCTTCGCACCAAGGATCATCTCAAATTCCCAGAACACCAGCCTGTCCGATTTGAGTTCGAGTATGGACATCAAAAGATCCTCGTTGGAGCTGGACGATCCAGAAATAATTGGCCGAGGCGTAAGTATGATGATGTGAGAATCTTCCGAGACCTAGATGTATCTCACAAAGTCACATTCCTGATTCAGGCTACGGAAACTTTCAAGGAGGGTATGAGTCATTTTGTAGCGCAACCATCCCCAGCATTGCCACCTTGGTGTCGTTCTAGACGAGACATCGTCAACCTTAAGCCCAGTTTGATGAGTCTAGTTAATACTTATACGGCTTCGGCAAAAAGGATATCGACGAGAGAGACCCAGAAGCCAGGAGGATACTTTGCAAAAGACACAGATTTGGGGTGTGTCAATTTGCCACGAGTCCCCAGTATGCCGAGCCAAACCCAGTCTGCCCCTATCCAGCACCTACAGAATACTGAAATGAACCTCATTGCGAGCTTTGGATGGAGATATTGAGGGGCAGAGCAAATCAAGTCGAGACCGAAAGGACGCGAGTCCAAAAGGATTCTTACGCCGATGGGTCCTCGAGAGATCTGCAAGGATAATTTGCAATCATCAAAGAGACTAGAACCTTGCTATGCCGGTCAGTTCTGTGATTCATCAGCTAAACTCAAGCCCCGTCTGGCTCGAGGTTCTCATGAATCAACCATTGGAGCAAATCGAGGTGGAGGCACTCGACTCCAGAAGAAAAAAGTCGTCACCATGCTCCCACTTCCGAAGTCGACCGAAATAATTCGAAACCTATTGTTTTCACTCTTGCGAGGATGGTGTGTCGCATCAGCAGCTCTGTGTCAAGAACTTTGGGTTGTGGTGTGACTCGGATCGTGAACCCGATACGAGGTGACCAACGGTCCCGAATATATCCGTCATCTTGTGGTGGTGGTAGCAGGCTCTGAATGCGGCCATAAATAGGGCCCATGAAGTCCTCTTGCTTCATTCTTCCACATTTCTTCACAACTTCTTTCATCATCTCAGACATTAAATCCTTAATTGATCAAATTATCCCCTCACTCAAGGAATCATGAAGGCATCAATCGTGCAGGTGAGAACTCCTTCGAGGTTCATTAGCAATTGATTTCTCACCCTGACGTTTCTCCTTTCTAACGACATACCCATGCATCTCATTAACGTGCTGCTGACCTTGCTATCGAACAGCTTCTATCAGCCGTCTTAGTAGCAGCATCAACTGCGAATGCCGTTCCCGCCCCGGCTGCCACTCCAGCGCCAGAAGGTCGTATACTTGTTTTCACTCTTGTCGAGTGTATCAATGCCGCTGAACCTGGCGTCCAATTCAAGACGATTGATCTTGAGAAGGGTGTTTGCAAACCCATTAGTCCAGCTTTCACCGCCTTCAAGGCAGCGGTGGACTATCCTTGTCCTGCCGGCAAAAAGCCGTCTGTCACTGCATTTTCAGGAGACGATTGCACCGGCGGCCGGGCTGTTATAGATACATTTACTGCTGATGGAGGAGCGGGCGCCGCATGCGAGAATATCTTACTTGATACATCAGGTACTGGCCTCCCAAAAGCCGGGGGAGAAGCGCACGATTCGATTGCCTTGGCTGAGCTGCGTTCGAAAGGATGGATCTATGCTAGAAATGGTCCCGTACCTATTGCTACGAGCAGATGGATTCACTCTAGGAAGTAAACGAAGTCGAGGTCGCTTTGCGCGTTTGATCTTAAAGATGCGAGGGTGGAGGCAGGGCGGAGAATAAACGGGGTTGAGCTCGTCCATCATTCATTCATTCATTGACAAAGCTTCAATTTGGGCCCAGTAAAACAATCTTCAGCCATAGTCCGTCCCGCATGCCCGTCGTATGTTCTGTTCTCATAACTGCAATGCTTTTGGGTAGAGATGGATAGACCCATAGAAGTAAATGGGCGATGGAAGGCCAGTCTACCTTATGTATCAAGCGAGGGTTGGTTGGTTAGTCGGACGCTAAAATTCTACCGCCTTATCTCTAGGGGCTATTATAAGATGGGGCGCCTTGAAGCTCGCCCTATAAGCTGGTCTTTACGCCTAAGCGCAGCCCCTTATCTCAATCTATGGAGGTTGGCGGCGCCACCTCTAGACTAACTAATATTGCAGAACGGCTCGGGTTTAAGATCTTAAGTCCTTGGCGCGGCCACGGTTCTTTCACCTTTTCCCATTTCCTGGCATTCGCAACACATCAACTTCATCCAATATGAAAGATGGGTTGACCGCAATGTCGCTTTGGCGAGCACGTCCATACCAATCTCTCTGAAGAGATACCTACCATCCACGAATATGACGAAACTGGAGGTCGCCGCATCTGTATATCTATGATGCGTTTACAATCCTTGCAAGTCCCGCGATGACACGCGTGCCTTCTGCAGACGCACTTGAATCCTCTTTACAGGACCGATTCTACACTCTGGCTTTACATGCATTGTGTATTGAGCGTTGACGGTGCCTTTCTTTAGTCTGCTTCATCCTCTGTGATGACGTACCGCATCAGCCAATCAGTGCGATTGCATTACATCTCTACGCCGTCATTATTGCCAAAGTCTACGATCCTCTTTTTCGCGAGAACTTCTACTACCTTGCCAGTGCCTCATTCTCATCTACTGCATTCACGTCGTTCATACTCCTCGTTCCGAGATTCAACCCCTACCGAAGCAATGGAAGCAATCAAGCAGACGGTGGCTCAGAATATGGGCTTCGGCGACAAAGCTCATACCCTTGTCCCTGAATCGCAGCAGTTTGCACTCGAACAAACGCCCGACCTCTCTGGCAAAGTCGCGGTAGTGACAGGTCAGTCCACTTCAAATGTCGATCTGAATGATCGCTGACCTTCAAAAAGGAGGCTCTGAGGGTATTGGCTACGGTGCAACTCATACACTGCTCACTCATAATATCGCCAAGGTCTTCATCCTATCTGTCTCGAAAGATGTCATTGACGGGGCTGTCGACGCTATCAAGCAAGAGATGGGGGAAGCCGCGGCCAAAAAGGTCGTCTGGTTACAATGCGACATGAGCAACTGGTCTCAGGTGGTAGAAACCGGCAATATCATCCAGAAACAGACGGACAGACTAGATATCTTGATCAATAATGCAGCAAGAGGCATCATGTCATACCAAGTGACTGACTATGGGGTCGATCGCCATGTATGTACGTCTAAATCTTGACATTCATATTGCTAATAGCGGTCGCAGATGGCAGTCAATCACATGGGGCATGTCATTTTGACCTCGCATCTCCTTGGTCTCCTGAAGTCGACGGCGAGGAAAGGAGACACAGTCCGGATAGCCAACCAGGCGTCAAATGCTCACCAAGCCGCACCCGGCGATACAAAGTTTGCCTCTCTGGACGAACTCAATCAAGACCTTGGACCAAACGGGCAATACGGTCGATCCAAACTAGCCAGCATTCTCTATTCCCGCTACCTAGCAAGGCATCTTACGAAGGAGCACCCGAATATCTTGGTCAATGCAACACATCCCGGGTTTGTAGACACGAAGATGAGCACACAAGACATCCATGAGCCGTATCCGCTGGGTGGGTACGCCATGTCAGTTGGGATGGCACCGTTGAAGAAGAATATCATGCAAGGGGCTGTTTCTATTGTGTTTGCTGCAACGGCGACCAAGGAGAGCGGCCAGTACATTTGCCCGCCAGCGGTACCGGAGAGTGGGAATAGCTTGGCGCAGGACGAGCAATTGGGGGAGCAGTTGATGAAGCTCACTATCGATGTCATTAAGGAGAAGACGTATAAGGACTCGGTGGAAAAAGGATGTCCATTCCAAGCATATTGATGTAAAGTGGCCTGAGTGGCTTGAAATGAATGTACATGTAGCGCACTTGTGACCTAGCATATGACATTAACGTACCTTGAATCGATTCCCTGATTTGCCATAGGAAACCAGAGATCGTCGCTTACACCTTGATCTCACTTTCTCCATTGAGGCGATTTTTCGTCAGCTTGCGTACGTGTGGCTGAGCAACCAGGCACCCAAATTCTCGGCGGGTACAAATTTTGTCACTCCCGCGCGTTCGCAACCAAAATCATCCCCGCCCCCACCATCACTTCATCTTGCATTAGTTACAGACTACAGGATGAATGTTATAAAACTACAAAGGTATGAATATGTCCCAAGTACGAGCCGACAAGCTCTCAGTAGCTGCACTCCCCCAACGCCAATTGCTGACATGAACCTCTCGCAGAAAGTATCCTCAATTCCAGCAGCAAGACATCTTCGGCTTGCAGGATGCATTTCGCAAGCTAGACGTCGATGACAAAGGATACATTGATGAGGCTACGGTCATAAAGGCTACACAAAGCTCGGAACGACAGCCATACGATGTCGTCCGGCAGGCACTTAAAGAGGTGGAATTAGACAGCTCAAGAAGGGTTGAATTAGATGATTATGTCGACGTATGTGATGCCCCGATCATCTTCATGTTGCATACATTGAATGATCAACGCTGACGACACTTCATGCAGCTCATCTCCAAAGTCCGCCAACCCTCCTCCGCGCAACAGCCTCAAGCCGGCCTTGCACCTTCAAAAGTTGGCCCCCCAACAGTACCAGGGCACAAGCCAACAGGTAGTCTGTCGGGCAAAATTCAGATGCAAGGCAAATCATCCAATACAACGCACACCATAAATGAAGATGAGCGAACAGAATTTACAAGACACATCAATGCCGTTCTGGCGGGCGATCCAGACATTGGCCACAAGCTCCCATTCCCCACCGATACCTTCCAGATGTTTGACGAGTGCAAAGATGGCTTGGTACTTGCAAAACTCATCAACGACAGCGTACCTGACACTATCGACGAGCGAGTGCTCAATCGGCCAGGAAAGAAGATCAAAACGTTGAATGCCTTTCATATGACTGAAAATAACAACATCGTCATCAATTCAGCGAAGGGTATCGGATGCTCGGTGGTCAATATAGGTAGCGGTGACATTATGGAAGTCCGGGAACATCTCATACTTGGCTTGATATGGCAGGTCATTCGACGAGGATTGCTGGGCAAGATTGACATCAAATTACATCCGGAGCTCTATCGGCTTCTGGAAGATGATGAAACACTGGAGCAATTCTTGAGGTTGCCTCCAGAGCAAATTTTACTGCGATGGTTCAACTATCATCTCAAGAATGCCAAATGGGACAAGAGGTACGGGGCCGAGGACTTGTGAAGTACCATTGCTAACGTTGAAGCAGAGTATCGAACTTTTCGGGTGACGTGAAAGAAGGCGATAATTATACGGTACTCCTCAATCAGCTCGCCCCAGAAACTTGCTCCCGACAACCTCTGCAGACACACGACCTCCTCAATCGAGCAGAGCAAGTACTTCAGAACGCTGAGAAGCTGGACTGCCGCAAATTCCTTACTCCCACATCTCTCGTCGCCGGAAATCCTAAGCTCAACCTCGCTTTCGTTGCCAACCTCTTTAACACCCACCCTGGCCTAGACCCGATCACGGAAGAGGAGAAGGCACAAGTTGATGATTTCGACGCTGAAGGGGAACGCGAAGCACGCGTCTTCACTCTATGGCTGAATAGTCTTGACGTCCAACCAAACGTACAAAGCTTTTACGATGACCTGCGTGACGGGTGGGTTCTGCTTCAAGCCTACGATAAAGTAGTCAAGGGTTCGGTCAATTGGAAACACGTGAATAAGCCTCCGCCATCTGGAGGGCAAATTATGCGGTTCAAAGCAATGGAGAACACCAACTACGCGATCGAGCTGGGCAAGCAGATGAGATTCTCGCTTGTAGGTGTTCAGGGGGCCGACATCACGGATGGCCAGCGGACGCTCACACTTGGCCTCGTCTGGCAGCTCATGCGACGAGACATCAGCGAAACACTTTCAGCGCTCGCCCATCGTCTCGGCAAAAGCGAAATATCAGACAACGAGATGATTAAATGGGCAAACGACAAGGCACGAGCCGGTGGAAAGAGCTCCAGCATTCGTAGCTTCAAGGATCAAGCGATTGGAAGCGGCGTATTTTTGCTAGATGTTCTCAATGGCATGAAGAGCAGCTATGTTGACTACGACTTGGTCACGTCTGGACGCTCCGAGGAAGAGTCATACATGAATGCGAAACTGGCCATTTCGATTGCGAGGAAGATGGGAGCGACGATTTGGCTTGTTCCGGAGGATATTTGTCAGGTCAGGACGAGACTGGTTGTGACATTCATTGGTAAGTGTTCCTAGCCGCCATTGCAATGATACTGACTGAGAGACAGGTTCTTTGATGGCAACAGCTGAGAAGATGTGAAGAGGCAAAGTATGACAGGACGAAGACATGAGCGAGGTCGTGACGATTGTAAGTTAGCGTGCAGGACGAACATGAAGCTATGGGGTATACGGCTTTCCTGAGCTCAATGAAAGGAACGATGGACTACAAATTCTCGCCCATTGTGATTTGTTGGACATTGTTCTTCACTTTCCTTTGCTAAATCGGGTTTTAGGAGCACGGATTTGAACCGGTGGAAAAATGATTCTCGCTGACATTCACAGGACAGCGCCACTCGTGAGGCTGATCTGAAAGGATGAAACGGCTGGGAAGGATCATTCCTGGTCCTGGCTGCAATTAGATTCTGCAGTAGCTTCATGCTGGCCCTGGCGAAGTTAAATTGGCGCCGCGAAGACGCACGAATTTGTTCGCATTGTACAGGTGCATTCAGCCTTCAAATCCAACACATAGCGGGTAGAGACTTGCGAGCTAATACACCCCCAGGGAACAATTTCACCAGATATCAATATCGTCTCTACTCATCAAAACATCTCCATGTGAGCCTGTCAAGAAAAAGCGACTAGCGCCAGACTAGCAGAATCCTTCATCCTTCGCGTACCTTTCTCAGCCTCCCTCGCTCCCACTTAGTGACACGCAAAGTTTTGAGGATGTACAGAGTAGACTTCGTTTCGCCTCTTTCTCCCTCCTGCCATACCGACTCAGGTTTACTCTCGACAGGCTTATACCAATGGCAACTGCGCCACAGAGCCCCGAAGATACTCGCCTGTTGTCTGCGTCGGAGCTGCCAGTGGACTCAGTACTACACCAAAGACGCGCAGATAGCCCTGATAGAGATATTCGGCGGATGGTCTCATTCAGATCTTCGATTGGATCTCTTGAGCTGAAAACGCCGACTGACCCTCCGAACCAGTATATGCCACATCCTACACCAGAGAAGCACGGATACGACATGCCCTTTGATAAGGGCCCAATCCACCATTCCCAGCCATATTCTTTCAGACTCAAGCTTGATCAAAGCATCTATAGATGGTGGTTAGCGGAGCTCCTCTGCTATCTTGGCAGCTTGATATCTCTCATCATTATCATCGTCATCCTGAGACGCTACGATGGGCGTCCACAACCAAATTGGCCGCATAATATCACACTCAACTCCGTCATATCCTGGTTCACCACGCTATTCAAAGCCAACTTGCTTGTTCCTATTACTGCTTGTCTCAGCCAAGCAAGTTGGATCCATTTTCGTTCAAAGTCTCACGCTTTGACGGACATGGTAGTTTACGATGCCGCAAGCCGTGGACCGTTGGGCTCTTTGTTGCTGCTGTGGAGTTTTCGTGCTCAGTGAGTATATCGTATCGTCTTGAGCGCTACGGGGCAACTAATGGCTTGATATCAAGATATGTCGCTAGTATAGGTGCCCTCATTACAGTCTTAGCGCTTGGCATCGATCCAATTATTCAACAAACCATATCAATCAAGACTCGTGAAGTCAATGTTACGACGCCTGCACATATTGGTCGCGCGCAGAGCTTCCTAAGTTACGATGATTCTCCTTCCAAAGTCTTTGATCCCTATAACGGCGCTGAAGTAATGACTTTACCTTTATCCGACATGCTGGGTGCCATGTTTGCAGGCATGTTTGCAGTCGGTCCTGACACCAACGGGTCATTCTTTCAAGTAGACGCTGCATGCTCAACAGGCAATTGCACGTACCCAGCCTTTCAAACGCTTGCAGTATGCTCCTCCTGCGATGATATCACCAGCCAATTGAGTCATAATTGCTCGTTGACAAGGCCGAAGGATCCTACAGATGATGACTCCCAAGATAATGGAGGAACAGGAGAAGGAGAAGAAGATGACTCAGACCCAAATAACAGGAAGCAAAAAAGAGAAAGAAATGGTGACGGCTCAATGTCTGTACCTGAAGCGTACTGCTCGCATGGATTACCGAACGGTTTCAAATTAAATAAGACTTCCAACGACAGTGAACTAGGCGAGGTAGCTTCGAGTTGTGCTAGAAAGCCAGTTGGGAATGTGAACTTGGGCCACACTATCTTGAATTTCACCAGGATCTGGTCTGGAGGCCCTAGCAATGGTCAATCTCTGGTAGACAATGTGACTGCTACGCAGTGCTTCCTTCATTGGTGTGTGAACACAATTGAAGCATCGGTGCGCAATGGGCAACTACTGGAGATTCAACGGGACACATGGCATGATAACACTACTCAATGGTGGAATGGGACTGCCGGAGGTCTTCAGAATGATCTTGGAGACGCGTTTTACGACTTTCAAAATCAGTCAACAGCTCGCACCGACTTAAGGCCGCCTGCCATGGAGCCTAATACAAGTGCATCGAGTTTTCCAGTCGCCTGGTTTGCTCACAGAGGCGTATCTGACTGGTTGAGCCAGAAAATGACTCTTTCCACAAGCTTGGCTGTCTATAATGGAGGATTTAACCTTGATGCCTCGATTCCGAGAGACACCCCAAACAGGGAGATGATCAGGCTTCTTCGAGACGCAAATATGACCTTGACATTCGCCAACATAGCCAAGAGTATGACTCGCAACATCCGCAGCGCGTCCTCGGACCTTCAGAGGTCGGGCATGAACGCGTCGATTTGGGCGGTTCCTGATATCAGCCCTGCCGGAGGAACAGCGACTTCGGCGGATGTTTATGTTGCTGTGCGATGGGGATGGCTATCATTTCCCATCGTACTTCTGCTACTGACAATTATATTCTTTACATTGACGGTTCTGGGTACAATCAGGAATAAGCTAGCTGTCTGGAAATCTTCGCCGCTACCATTGATGTTCAATCGACTTCAGGAGCCGGTGACTAACGAAGCGGAACCACTCATGACTAACAAGGTTAGGGAGATGGAGAAGGTAGCGAGTCAGATGGACGTGAGGCTTCAAGAGAGTGATGCGGGCTTGAGACTGGCTCGATGGGAATAAGGATTTAGCCGTCAACCCAGTTCAGAAAACCAAAACATGCGGCAGTACGCGATCTCGACGAGTGGCTTGGATAACTAGAGATCATACTTTTCCCAAGAGACGTGGCTCATCGCTTGGAAGAATTCTCTCCGATGTGCTATTCAAGGCATGTGTGGCTTGCGCGAATGTATCACTCGCGACAAGCCTATGCATGAAGACAAGGACCCTTACAGAAGACACCCTGATGGCTGCTTTATCTCTCAATCTCCGGCGTGCTCGCTTTCGCCTTCAGAATGCTACATCCTCACTCCTCATCTGCGCACAGTCATCATGCTTTCCTGGTATCTGCTTCTCGCATGGTACTTCCTGTCCTGCTCATATGGGGTGAGGGCATCGGGGCCGTCCAACGCAAGTTCGATCCGGATTGCCGCACAGCTAGATTGCTTTTCAAAGGTCATCAAGCGCGAGGATACTAACAGGTGAGCTCAGCTATTTCAATCTGCAGCTCCCACTAAGGGCCTTGGCAATTGACGCAAGTGGCAAGACCACATTTCATCATCCATGATACAGTAATTCGTACCCCCAGCGGCCAAATTGTCACTCTCGAGCTCGAAATCTGTGAAGATGTCGCTTCGCAGCCGATCCCGGTCGTCGCGAGAAACCGGTTGGCGCTCAGATCGATGAATGCCGTGGGACAGGTACCAGACCAAGATCGTAGTATTGGCGGGTCAGTTGTGAGAGTCCATCCTTACTTCACTTTCGTCAGCCAAGAAGGATGCATGACGTACAAGTATGCATTTTATGGTTTCAGGGCTTTGGGCATTTGGATGCTCCAAAATCAATTCACTAGGGAGGTCGTAGCTCGAGTGTATGAAACTCGCCCTGGAAGCTCGACTGGCTTGCTGTGTGGGACTGTGCATTTTGGCAAGCTGCCGGCAGGCTCCGATGCTGATGGAACACCGCTTTCAAGCGATAGTATATCTCAGCAAAACAGCAGGTCAGCCTATTCTTATTACGTACCGCTCAAAGGGAAGACACTTCGTTCGTAGGAAAGCACTTACCCTGTGAGCAGTGATTCCACATCAACAACGGCCCTCTCAGCACGCGAATACTACGCCATCGAACGCACACCTTCATACGTAACCATCGGCCTCTCCATCAATGTAGACCCCGCTTCCCCTCCCCTCACTATCATGAATACCCCCGGCGCCGTCATGATAACCATGAACTACGCGTATAACCACCGTCGTCTCCAGAAGGTCAACTCGCCCCGGCAAGCCTTCGATTTCGGCAACGTTAATGTCAACATCTTACCAAGTCCGTTTACGAGCGATAGTATGACGTATGAAGAGGCATTTCATGCTGTGAGGGGAGCGTGGGAGTGGACGGCAGATCGGAGATGGGGGAGAGGGTTCAAGGCCAGTGTTGTTCGTGGGAGGACGCCAGAGAGGCAGGGAGTATCTGTTGGAGGCGTGGTATTTGTGCCTGTTGCTGGTGAGGAAGGGGTGGAGGCTCTGTAGGGATTCGGCTTTCTGAGGCGGGGTGGATTGGTGGGTTGGTGGTGGATCAGGCGCGAAGATGATGACGATGATGATGGTTGAGCATGCAATGAAGCTGGTGGCAGGCCTTCACGAAATATAGGCACGTCAGTAGGTAATTGTATGAATACGAAGGATCATTTACTAGACCAGCTCATGTTGGGTCCGTTATTTGCTTACGTCACTAGCGTGCCCTATTGAGCAATCTAGATTGAACGACACCAACTCGCGAACGCTGACATTTCAGTACCGGCATCGAAAGGCACGAGGGGAAGTTCGAATGCATTATTTACATGTGCAGCAAGACGGTGCAGGCTCAATGAAACGCTTTTAAGACTCCGAACAGCCAAGTCAATGACATAGCCACAGAAAGGACAGCCTTTGGCTAAGATGTGTACACCAAGGCAGACGTCACGACCAAGGAAATAACACAAGCATGACCCATCCATTTATTGACTTGATTGAAGAGAATACGCAATCAAGTCTCCTCTTTGAGCCTTCAACGATGACAGAGGTGAGCCTGATGCCATGAATGGCAAAGCTGAAACGACACCGTTCTCATAATCTCGCAAGACCTTCTGACTTGTCTCATAGTCCTCATGATCAGTACCTGCACACATTTCTCATTAACCCTAACGCACTTCAGCATTCAAGCAGAAGAAGTGGCATACCGACACATATCTCTAAAACCTTCAATGCTCGCTTTTGCCACGCGACAGCAGCCTCGAAATGTCCAGCTTTGGCATTGAGTGCGGCGAGGCCAAGACATCGAGCATCAGCTTTGAAGCAAAGCCATCGAACGACCATCACAGTAATCATGAAAACTCACGGATCAAACCTATATATGTCGTTGATACCCTCCGCCTTCAGCAGCTCTTCCATGACATTCAACACACGAAGAAGCTCCCTCTTGTCGAAGCCTGGGACTACATCAAGAATCTGTGCAGGAACGTTCAAATACATCGACAAAGCTTGCTCGATCTCAGCGAGCTGCTTCCGCCGCTCATCACTTTTACGACCAAAGGTCGTCGTTGCATCACACGCTTTACAGCCACAGATGAAGTTCTGGACGCTCAAATCCTCGGCGCGCTCCTCGCGTGTGCGACACATCGCCTTGTAGCAAATTTCGATTTCCTCACCCGCCGCAATATTTCGCACTGCCGAAACCGTGAAGAGCCCGACACGGTCGTTCCAGCAGCAATGAGCATTAGGAAGACAAGAATGATTGATTTTGGACGCTTTGGGGAAAATGCCGCTGGTGTTTCCTTGCGCGAAGGCATTGGTGTCAAAGATCCTGAGTACTCCAATCTTTACTTCGGGAGCCAAGTCAGGGAAAACACTATCGCCTAATTCCACCAATGCTTTTATCGTGTCCATATCTCGAGCCGTGTTGTCTCCGATGTGAAGACTGAGGTATGTCGCTTGTTGCTCGAAGTCTAAGGAGAGGAAGCCGTGGAGGATTCCGGCTGCTGGCGAAGGGATCAAGTCTGGGCGATTTGGCAGTGATTCAAGCGGAACAGTCATCAAGGGCTCCTCGGAGATGATTCTGGTACCTCTCCTGATGCTTCCTCGTGCGATGACGCTTAGGCCTTTCCTGGGATCTGCTTGACCTCATGGAGGTCATCTGCGATTTGGATAGGCATCTGAAGACGCACAGGGACATGAAAGGTCTGCAATGCGAGGGATTACGTTGGTGAAGATAGAAGAGAGTACAGAGAAGAAACAACGGTTCTTGAGAAGGAAGGGCTTTCGTCTTGCCTAGCAAAACATTGTTTGCTCATCTGGAGACCTGCAGGACAGTCTGCTGGAAGCCGTGGCCACAACATCATAACCCACATACTTTACACCTGCCTTACCTATACCAACAATGTATCACCAGTCATGCAGACCATATCATCTCGGTCATGTACTCTTTCTGGAGAACGTTGTCGGAATGAAGTACTGAACAGGGTCTCCCAGCCAAAGGTAGCCTCACGCAAGAGTACATCGTCTTCGGCCTGCAGCAAAACCTGTTGTCAAAGTCGGACACTGGAACTGAATCAATCGATTCTTGACACGATGATAGACTAATTATGCGCGCCTCAGTCTCGGCCCTCAATATCTATTTCCGCCGCATGAACCGCCGGTCTCATTTATGACTTGCAATTGTCGCTAAATGTCTCGAATCGGCAGACTTTCGAGAACGACTTTCTTAAAACCAATTTGGTTACTCTCCTCATCGACACTGCAGCTTCTTGACCCACATCTCGCATGATGTTCTCTAACCAGGCATCCTTTTACTGGATATCGACCAACCTTTGCGCACTCCTCGCCACGGCCTTGATGCTACCACCAAATGAAGACTTGACATTACCTACCATGACTAATAACATTGAAATCATAAATGGCACCATTCCGAGTATCAATACTACCAATCACGACGGTGGAGTCCCCGTTCGGAATCAGCCAATCCTCGTCCTAGAACCCTACTTCGATCGCTACCCTCGCAACCTCCCCTTAGTCCTTCAATCAAACCTTTTCAACATACTTGCAGAACAACTCGTGCATCAAGGAAATGATCTCGATCGGACTAGACTGCGGATCTTACCTGGGGTTGGTAGTCTAGCCATTGGACCGGCGAACGATGCGCCGCCGTACATCAGTAGCCAGGCTGCTGCAGACGTAATCATGACGCTTGAGTTTTGGATTGGGAACGGCATTGACAGGTGCAAGACGCTGACATTCTACGTCACCGAGAAAAACTTTGGGCATAGATTGGCGAAGGGAGGGCTCTATCATGTCCCTGCTGATGTCAGCGTGATTGGAAGCGAGGGTGGGGTGGAGCATGCGAATGAAACTGTTCTCTAGGTCAGGCCAGAGGCGAACGCATGTCTAAGCACAGAACTCAGCATTCCACTGCCATCAAGCATGCAGCACGGCATCATCACTCGAAGAATCATGGAATCACAAAACAACAAGATACGGAATAATGTGGAGGCTATGCCAAGGCAGACAATAACCATTCTAAACTCATCATGAGTCTGCCTTACATGCGGTTTCAGATCGTCTCACATCACTGGCTCTGGACTTCTACAGCGCCGACAGGTGGTGGCTTGGTCATACGTCGGGTCTCGATTGGTCGCGTTTGGGTCTTCTTGCGCAAGAGACAGGCGAACGTACCGAACCTTACTGCGCGATTGCCAGCCTTACACAGAGGGTTGCCGATGGGGCTATGCTATGACGCCCCACTGTGTGTCCTAATGTTGCCCTTGAGCTGGAATACCGGTCGAATAAACTTATGGAGGCGAAACGTATGAAATGGTGGTTGTCGAGAAATATACGAATGTCAGAGGTAATGGAGAGGGTTTATGTCGACCTACGTCGAACTACGGCCCAATTTTGGGCCTCGATATCAACCAAACGGGCTCACAGTACGGAAACCTACGACGCAAACGAGGACTCAAAGAACGACTTTGAGTATCCCAAGACTCCCGCGAAAACGTCGAAAAGATGCTGGTGGCAGATACTACCAGATGGTTGTCGAACGGGGGTAATTTACAGCTGCTCGATCGCCTTCACTGTCCTCCTCGCCAATCTCTGCGTCTTTATCTGGGCCATGTCAAAATACAAGACCGTTGGTGGCTCCAAGACGCTCTTCCGGGGTGGATGCAAAGATGCAAAGAGCGGCAACGCCGTGGTGCAGATCGGAATCAATGTTCTAAGTACATTGATTCTGGGAGCAAGCAATTACTGTATGCACTGCCTTGCCGCTCCGAATAGGGAAGAAGTCGACCGTGCCCATGCGAGGAAGAAGTTTCTGCATATTGGGATACCGGCGTTGAGGAACTTGAAGTGGATTAGTCGGTATCGGGCTATCGTTTGGGTTATTCTAGGTATTACTGCGCTACCAATACATTTCTTGTAAGTCGTGTCACTGTGTCTCCCAGAAACCTTTGCTGACTTCCACTACAGATACAATTCCGTCCTCATCTTGACGACGCAAGCGAATAAGTACCAGGTCATGGCAGGGCCTGAAAACCTTCTAGAACCCGAATTCAACGCCACTAATTTCTATGGAACGGGAAATCACACCCATCTTAGGGAGAAAGCCTACGAAGTTAGACATCGCATCAGCTCTGGCGAGTTTCAGCAAATGGAAGCCAAAGACTGCATCGACAATTATGTCCAACAGTATGTCTCCAAATGGGGAGACTTGATGGTGATTCAGGATGGAGACCTCGCCGGTGAGGACGGCCTCGGTCAAATTTGGGATGGGAAAAAGATACCTTACGATCACAATGCTCTCGTGGTAGTTGAGTCCGACGAACAAGACTTTCCTGACAACGGTACCTATCTGCTCCCTCACGGGTCGACGCTCTACGTTGACTACGACTACCAAGCAGACTACCAAGCAAGTAACATTGTTGAAGATGATCAATGGACCGCCCTGGCTCATGGCGGTCTTGATTTCTTGGAGTACAATTACCCTGGGAGGACGAACGTCACTCTGTTGAGAAATTTCCCCTTGACAGCGGATCCACGCATGTTTCCTACGGCCTACTGGCAATGCCTAGGTCTGATTGACTACGAGTCATCCGCTTCAAGTGACTGTAATCGCACCACATTAGCGACCATCTTGAACGGCGTTGATAAATGGAAACCATTCGGACATGAAGTGAAACACTGCTGGAGCGAGATAGTCGAGGAGGAATGCTCGCTAACCTTGAACGTGGGTATATGCATGGCAGTCATCGCATGCAACTTCGTGGAAGCATGTTGCATGTGCTTGACACTGCTTTGGATCAGAAGACCAGGTTTAATGACGATAGGAGACGCCATCGAGTCGTATCTCAATTGCGCGGACTCCCACACAGCTGGATTGTGCACTTTTCCAGCAGATCGACTTCGCGAGATCTGGAGCTTAGAGAAAGTCGCACATGCTTGGCCGGTCTTTGGTGCTCAATGGAAATCAGTAGCACGCGAGCAAGTGACGCGACCATGGCGACCTAGAGTTAGGAGGTGGTGGAGCACTGTCAGTCCAATGCGGCTACACACCTTCCTTCTGTAAGCTCTATCACTCTGAAGTTTCTTGCTTCCCAGTACTATGAATCTAATCTACTTCTGTATAGATTGTTCCTCGGGCTCACAATGTCCGCCGTATCCCTGGGCGTCATACAAGAGAAGGACGGGCAATTCCAGATCGGCATCGGCACTCAAGCCGGGAAGAACAACATCGCGAACAAGCAGACACTGGTCAGCGCCGTACTTCTCGCCAATTTCCCTCAGATATTCTCCTCCTACATTTTCATCGGCTTCAACTACATCCTCACCAGCATGTTTGCCGGGAGGGAATGGATCAGCTATTCTCAGCGCAGAAAGCCCCTCCGCGTCACAAACCCCAAGGGGCAACAATCTAGCACCTACTACCTCCAACTCCCATACCGCTTCTCTATCCCTCTACTGGCGATCTCAGGTTTGATCAGCTGGCTCACGTCCCAGGTATTGTTCGTTGTGCGAGTACAGATCCGAGACAGCTCCGGCGTGAACCAGCCGGATGACTTCATCCTGGCGTGTGGCTATTCTCCAGGCGCGATCGTTATAACGATTCTCGTTGGTACTGTACTTGGTCTTGCCGTCTTGGTCATCGGCTTGAAAAAGTTGCCGGATACGATGCCTCTTGCAGGGACGAATAGCGCGGCCATTGCAGCCGCCTGTCACGCCTTGCATGGAGATGAAGACAGTGCGCTTAAGCCTGTCAAGTGGGGTGTTGTGAGCGATGATGGAGATTTTGGGCACTGCTCGTTCAGTGCTGGACCTGTCGAGCCTCTAGTCGCTGGACGACTGTATCGTTGAGATGCCAATCGGTCATTTCATCTTGATCTTCACCAGCCGCTCCTACTCTGGGCAGACTCATCCCAAGACTGCAGAAATGCACCAGGAAGCGTTTTCATCTCAGCTGTGATGGAGTAGTCAGAGCTCGCATCAGATACTGTCTCAGCCTCGTCCGCCTGTCTCTGAGCGACCTGCCTTGATTGCAAAAGAGATCTGATGGCAGTCACGCTGGGATCTGCGCCGGCCCTGAGTAGTAACTCCACCACATCCTCAGCAGCAATTGAACAACTCGCTGCAAGCGCATTGCCGAAGCAGCCTCCAGTGGCGTTCACATCAGCGCCCCTTCGAAGCAGTAGTTCGACCACGCTCGCGTCACGGCTCCACGAGCATAGGGCTTGGAGGGCATATTCGTATTGGCTGTCAGAATGCTGGGCATTGATGTATGCGCCACGGTCGAGGAGGGTTGCGATTTTTTGCATATTAGGCCTTAGTTTGGTTTGATCTGAGACTGCCGAAAACAGCTCACTGTCCAAGATGTCCCTCTCGTACATAGAGAGATGGAAACGAGCACTGCTGCTGGCTATGACTGCCTCGCGATCTACCCCGGCATAGGTTTCTCCCGTGGGAGGCTGGACCGTTGGATTGTACCGTGAGGCAGATCGAACAGTTGAGAAGACGCTGTTGATATCGAGGGGCTTGCCTGAGGCGGTATCTGCGGGAAGCTCGACTATGACGCCTTCCAGAGGCTCGAAATGCCTAGGGGCAGAGTTTGCGGAATTCTCGACTGATATTGAGCTTGGTCGACTGGAAAGAGACTCGCTATCGTCCGGATGTCTTGCATCCTGTTCGCCAGGGAGTTGGACTTTGGGCTCGTCCTTTGCAAAGGTTTGCGTGCGTCCGGCTTTCGTTTCGGACGTTTTCGCTCTTGATATGATCTTCTCGTATTGGGAGAATGTTCTCCGATATACTTTGGAGTCGATGACTTCCTGATCAAACGCCCTCTCCGTCGTGCTGCCTAAAGACTCTGCGTCATTTCCGCTCAAAGTACTCGACCCATTGCCGCCGTCCTTAGTCCCCTGAATAATAGACTCCGGAGGTCGGACTTGTGGGTACCGTTCTCGCAAGCTCCGACTATCCGCCATCCTAGCTCTCAAGATCTTAGCCAATTCGTCCTGCTTCTGGTGCATGCTCGCCATCGTCTCGACCTGCAGGCTCTGTAGAAGTAGCTGAATCGCACCCCTCTGCCCGCCCAGATGCTGCAACAGCGCCTTTATCGCATTCTCCGTAAACATGAATTTGATATTGCCCGTCCATTTAATCGATTGAAACGGCCGCCGTTTCGACACCTTGCACAGTTCATGCTCGATACAAGAAATCACAGTCACGCAGCCCGTGAGCGCACTGTCGAACGTATCGACCAAGTCGGCCTGCGAGCTGAACCGCGTGCTGATAGAGTCTGGGTCGTTTTGACATAATCGCTCCAATCGTCGCAGCGCGTCTAGGATGGTAATGATTTCGGTCTGGATTAATGTTAGGGTTATGGGCGCGGACTTGTAGCGTGAGATCAGGTCTTTGATTAAGAAGCCCGTTTTCTCGGAGATGACGATTACGCTGAGGATGAAGGGGGCGAGGGATAGTGGATCCATTATTATTGGAGGCTGCGAGGCCGTTCAAGGTTGGACTTTCTTCAGTCCCTAAGACTGATTGTGGAGCGCATCGCGAGAGAGATATGTCGAAAATTGCACTGTAGTCAAGTCAATGATACTCGCTGCATTCGTGCTATTTTAATGCTCCTGTGCTTGTGTACGACATGCTAGACAGCGCATACGTTGTAGAGAATCGCCGTGGCTTTCGTTCATCCCGCGAGCAGGTTTTGAGATCGTACTTCTGGGTCATGATCCCTTGTTCTTGGAGTTATTTCTGATATTGAGAATTTTTGGTGGTGGTGGTGGATGGAGTTGGCCGTGCGGCAAAGCGGTTACGATGACGTTCGCAGGAAATCCTTCGAAATCAGTGAAAAGGGAAGACGGACGAACATATAAATGGGGCGGGTCCAACGCATATCTATCGCTACGGCGTCTGTCTACGCTACGAAAGGCTGCATTAGAAGCAATACCGAGATTTTATATGCGAGAGCTTTGGTAGAGTTTCCTCAAAAGTTCGTGTCATGCCTCAATTGCTTCGAGTAGAGGCCTCATTCACGTTCACTTTGCTACCTAGCCTTCCTGCATTGATGTACGTGATCCCTTTCTTGCTCAGGCTCTCTCCGCCCAGATTGCAAAGACCGTCATGCATTCCCACCCAGTCAAATACCGCTCGTCTGAATGGCCATCAACCACGTTTCTAGAACACAAGAGCCGCTCCCTTCGTCTTCTTATCACCACTGCAAAGCATATCAGCCGCTGCTCACCATCCCTATCCAGAGGAAAGGAACACATACCCCAACTCAAAGTGCTTGCATCTCTTCAACGAAAGCTGAGCCTTGTATTTGCATTCTGTGCATTCTAACCGCAGCACCACTTTCTTCGTTGTCTTCGCTTTCTTGTGGAACACCGGTTTCGTCTGTCCACCGTATCCGGACTGCTTGCGGTCGTAACGGCGCTTTCCTTGTGCGACTGTTGAGGCCTGGGGACATCGATATCAGCATTTGATCTCATCTGCCGAGGAGGCTCGTGGTATGGAGGGTGCAGTTCAAGGTCAGGGGTTTGGTGTATCTGGAGAACGTACTTTGCCAGTCTTGTATTGCGTGACCTTATGCTGTGTGTGTTTCCTGCATTTCTGGCCCTTGCAGTATGTGCGCCGGGTTTTTGGGACGTTAACCTAATTCACGAATATGTGTCAGCCGGTGGATTGAGGTCGCAAAAGTACGCTGTGTGCTGTAGTCCTTCTCTTGCGACAAGCCGGGCAATGTTGCGGTGGCGACCCGAATGCCCGGAGCTCGTCCTCCTCTTGATGAAGCCGTTGCGAACGATAATGGAGCTTGTAGGGCGTATGACGACCCGGTTCTCTCGTTGTTGATGCCTCCCTCCAGAATCGTGTGATCCTCCTCTTCTTGGGCTGATAATCTCTTCGGCTTTGTCCTCCAGCTAACCATCTTTCCAAGCTGCCTGTCGCAGCTCTCGCGAGTTGAGGGAGAGTCAGAGATAGGGGCTTACCATCTTGAATCGTTGGTGACGATTGTTCAAATAGTGTGCGTGGACTTGTTGCCGCTGTCGTGATTACTCTTTCGTAAAGTGCGGGCTCGCTTCAAGCCAAGAAATGCCAAGGCGCTATGTATAGGCGCCCTGTCCGAATCATAGTCCTATTCGTATCGAGCTCTATGCTGGATTCAAGACGAAGTTTCATTCCTCCATTACGACTATCCAATATCCAAGTCACCTATGGAAAAAAGGACTCCATCTCCACCAGCTATTGGGATACAGCTCTGCCCTCATGATGACTCTCACCGCCTCCATACCAGACCTTACCCTTCCTGCAAACCAGTCCCTTCTCCTCGCCAACAATCCATTCTAACGATTCCTCAGACCAATACTCTTGCAATCCTTCATTGATACCCTCAATCTCTTCTACGAGGTCCTTCATCTGCTTCTTCTCGAAGATGTCTTGATTCACGAAACGGGCAATCGTGAGATGCGATGATGGCACTACATATCTCGAGCCTACCTCAACGCCAGTACTCCGGCAGAGCTCGTACGCATCCCGTCGCAAGTGATGGTAGGTGTAGGACTCAGTCGACACTGGCAAAAAGCTCAGGGCGAGTGCTGCGCTATCATAGCTGACCATGGGCTTCACAAGGGTAGGGTGGTACATGGTCGTGTAGGCTGTGATCTCTGGTATCTTTGGCTCCATGATATCGATCATCTGCTGGATCTCATGCCAAGTTTTCGAATGAGCCATCTCCATCACTGTCAAGTGCAGATCTTCTGTTGGCATGAACCAGAGTGCTTTTGGCGTCAGCTGGCATCTCACCAAACGTCTATGAGCTACATACATGGAAACTGGTGTGCTAGCCTCGTCTGGATGTCTCCGATCAACTGCCGTATCCTTTCCGTTGGTCGGGCCCAGAATACCAAACAGTTTCTGGGGTCTTCGTATGCAGGATGATTCACATTGTCGATGAGCTTGGAAAGAATGGGATCTGTGTTGAAGCCTGCAAAGTCGGGTGACAAGATCTTCGCTTTTTGCTGCTCGTTCCTAGTCTCTCGATGAGTCGAATAGCGGGCTTGAATCTGACTCTGCAAGTACGTCAGACCTCAACGACCAAAGACATTGGAGCTGAGTGCGTACTGGGTCTTGGTTACATGATTGGAGTAGAGCATTGTACGGATTCGCGAACGCAGCCGTGTCTACACCAGAGAGATCTTTGAAATTTCGCCCGTCTGAAGGATTTGACTCGATAGCCATGGTTCAAGTACAGAACCCGCATCCAAAGAGGGGCCGTTGATATTTCAAGTGAGGGTCATTGTGACACTTGGTAGTGCATTTCTTAGCAATGGTAGGAAGATGCAACCAGGTTACTGTCTGTTGGCAAAGTATTACTTCTGATCAGCGCCGTTGCAGCGGAGGTCGGTTCTGGTTGCCGCCAAAAGGTCTGTGCGGGGCAGTCAATCGGACTCGTTTACAAGGAGCCTAACACCCTTAGAGCCGATTGTTCATTGTAGGGGCTCATCCAGTGGTCGCCCCTTACAGATTTTACCAGGACTTTGACCCAAAGTTAGAGGCCGATTATTGTATGGAGTCCCTGTTCTTCAACCTGTTCTCGTCTCTTCTGCCGTGAACACTCTTTGCCATATATCCATGAGATGTTGCTCTTTCTCATCAAGCTTGCTGCCAGGCTGCTTGATCTGCTTCTCGACTATTGCCTTAATTCCACTTCTGAGAGTCTTCAACACGAGCATCATCGCTCGATCCTTGACCGAGAATTTAATACGATTCCCATCCACCACAAGAACTCCGGCGTGCATCTTGAAATCCGCATCGCCGCAGCACAATGCTACTGCAAGGTCGTCGACAGCACTGGTCTCATGTGCATTGAGACTCTTGTTGCCAGATTGCATGACGTGGTAGAATGAGACCCAGCTAGGTGGATTTTCTGATCGCTTGTTGACAGACGTAGGATGGAGGGTAATGGATTGGTTGTTGGCAACATTGCGCCATGCTCGGCCTTCTCTCTTCAGGAGCTTGGGATAGAAAGACATTGCGATGGTGGTATTGAGGATCGTGTCGTTGGCACCGTTGATGTTGTATCTTGCAGGTACGTCTACAAAGTTTCGATGGCCGAAGGATGGACGGCTGCCCCTAACTCTTCCTCGCTCCTCAGCTGTCAGCGTAAGCAAACCTGCATCTATGAGCGAATTGAAAAGCTGGCCTTTGATGTCCTCAATGTTCAGGAGCGTCTGAACACTCAAGAAGCTCTTCCGACAGAACTGCTGCTCTGAAACGCCAGTTATATTGCAGACTCGCCGCCACGCTGAATAGGCGTTGTACGCTGTCAGCAGATCCGAGTCACCTCTTTTGAATGATAGTCGCGCTTGATCGACCTGTGTCCTAGAATCCATCGTCGAATTGAATGGCGATTTAGCTGAGAAAGTAGCGGCGATGGTCAATGTAGCATCAAGACACCCAAATATCGTGCCGAGAAGCAGCAATTTGCCGAGAAACACATCTAGAGGTAAGCGGGCAAGCTGTCGGCCTAGTGAGGTAAGATTCTGCATGACAGTCAAGGCCTTGACATCTTGAAGGGCATCCACTGCTCGGCGTATGTTCTTGGCTGAAGGTGGGTCAAGTGCTTCGGATAGTGTCTCCTCAATACCACCCATTTTGTAGATTTTTACACGCAGTACCAAATCTTGAAGTGATAGGCGCAGTATCTCCGGCGTTTGTTCCTTTGCCATTCTCTCGAATCTTTGTTTGGAAAAGAGATGAAAGCAGAGGCCATTTTGGACCCGTCCAGCACGTCCACGCCGTTGAGTAGCATTCGCTTGCGAGATGAAAACTTCCAAGAGACGTGATAATTGGCGACGTTCGTCAAATCTCATTTCTTTGTGCTTTCCGGTGTCAATGACGCAAGTGATGTCTGGAATCGTGATACCAGTCTCGGCGATGTTTGTAGCGAGGACAATTTTACGCATGCCCTTGGGAGGTACCAGGAAAGCCCTTTCTTGGTCCTCGGTGGCAATCGAAGAGTGCATTGCAAAGATCTCGCAGCTTTGTCGAATCGTCGGGTGGCTAGTCAACATATCATGCAGCCGCCGTATTTCTGCAATACCAGGTAAAAATATCAGAGTGGCCTTGTTGTAGTCGGACAATTGTCCAGACAAAATCTTCTCAAGGAGTTTAATTATGAGATCAAAAGGTATGCGATATTCATTAAGCTGCGCTAGCGTCTTTCGTGTCTGCAGGCTGTAATTGGCCAACTCTTTGGATGAGTGGGATTCTTTCGTACTAGCAGGTTCGCTATCATCTTCTTGATCTGCATCGTTGTCCTCGATGGGTATTGCACCCACGTCGCCGAGCTTGAAATGGGTAAGTTCGATAGCATCTTCCAGATATCTTGTCTCAACGGGAAAGGTTCGCCCGGGGACTTCGAAGATTGGCGCATCTCCCAGGTAAGCGGAGAACTTTTGAGCATCGACGGTGGCAGACATCAAGACGACTTTGAGGGATGGGCGCTTCACGAGGAGCTTCCGCAAGACAATCAGAAGGAAATCACTATCAATTGAGCCTGACAACGTAAGTATGTCAGTGACACAGATTGAGAATCGCCAACCTACGTTCATGTACTTCATCCAGGAGGAGATGCGTTATATCTTCAAGCGTTTCGGAACCTTCAAGCATTCTCATGATGACTCCAGTCGTAGCATATACAAGTCTTGTCTGCGCTGTCATCTGGCTATCAAGTCTTACTGCAAAGCCGACGAGTGACCGGGCAGTCCCGACATCGTTCTTCTGCTCGCCTAACTCTTCACTCACACGTCGAGCCAATGATATTGCAGAAATCCTACGGGGCTCCGAGCAGTAGATCTTGCAATGACGTTGGTTGGAAAGTTCATACTCAAGGATGTAAGCAGGGACTTGAGTACTTTTACCACAACCTGTTGCGCCACAAATGATGACCACTTGGTTGCTTGTTATGGCTTCGAGTATTTGCTCCCGATACTGCCAGACCGGCAGCCTTGCTCGAGAAGTGAGCATCGCCTTGTACTTCGCCGAAGAGGCTTTGCGATGCCACATTTGTTGAAGATCAGTTGGTGTTCCAGTCGCAAGCGTAGATCGTCCTCGAAGAGTACTTTCAGAATACTCAAGTCTCGTATCTTTCGACGGCGTCAAATCGATCTCACTAGAGATTTGCGCGTCTGCTACTAGTTTCCGAAGGGTACGAAGGGTTTCTCGATCGACCGTATCTTCCTGCTCCTGCCTTCTTCTCGTCATTTCCGCCCAGAGGTCTCTCCATACCCCTGGTAGCCGAAATGAAGCTTTCTCCTCTCTAGGAGAATGTGCCACTATCGAGAAAAGGGCCACAGTTGCGACGAATGTTTCGGACTGAATCGAATTGGGACAAGACACCGAGATCATCGCGAGTCTTGCTTGTCGCGAATTAGAGCCCTCGGTGCTCATCGAGTCTAGCGGAGAAGATACAATATCCTGTTGTTGCGGCTTCGACCATTGTATCTGAACGGCGTGTCGACAACTAAATGACGCTTTCGATATCACACTAAAGGTAACTTTGGCAGAAGGATCTCTAGCTTTGCAGGCGTCTTCCAAGACTCTGCGAGGTGCCATGCCGTTCCATGTACCAAAATCACGAATCTGAATTGGCCTACCTCCGTCGTCTGTAGTCTGTAGAGCACTGCCATCCTCGGGATTTGCGGACAATTCGGGAAGAGAGGAGAAGAAGTCTCCCACGCCACTCTCGGTGTCCTCTGTCGTTACAGGCTCATCTGGCAAACGAGACTTGACAGGCGAGTCCGGCTGAGTATGGTCATCAATATCCAGTCGTTGTCTTGCAGCCTTTTCCTGACATAATTCAATGTAATGTGATTCCCATAGCATTTGAGCCCGTTCGGAATCAAATAAGATATCTGAGGTGATTTTTGCTATCTGAGCCTGGAGTCGTTTAATTTTGGGGCTTATCGGCCTGACATTGTTGTGACTATTCCGCGTTGAATTAGGCACTCTATTCTTATTTATTTTTCCAGGCCTCGACTCTACAACCTTTGCATCAATTTCGAACAGTCTTCGCTGCAGTTGCAGATACCTATCCACTAGTTGTTCCGGCTCCATATCACTCGGTAAATCGCTAATTTCGGCCATTTTATCGTCATTCGTTTCCTGGTTGGTAACAAATTCCCACGATGTCGGAGTTGATGTTCCAGTACCGTGCGCGTTCGCAGTATCTAGCTTCTCTTGTAGACGAATGTCAGTGCCGGTCTGTCAATATGCATTGGCTGTAATTTACCTTCGCCGAAATTCACAGGCGTTTGCTCTATCGTCGTTACTTCTTGCCTGGAGAAGCTGTAATCTGACTCGTTTTGCCCTGCTGTCTTTCGGGCCAACCAATCAAGGCATGTTTCAAGACCCCAAACATCATCTCTGGTATCTAAAGCCAATGACGAGGGGTCATCAGAGTATCTGTGCAACGTGTGCCTTAGAACCTCCGAGATGTCTTCCTTGGGGAACGATAAGTGCGGTAACATGAGATGAAGTTGCCACATCCTTAATACAATCTCGTCACTGGAGAGTTCTTGAATGGATGAAATCCTGGATTTGTATGAATTCGAGTCTGAAGTAGCCCGTTCGGAGTGCACAAAATCAAGCACTAGTTGCACAACCTCGTCTGGTAACCACGGCTTGGTCGTCAGTCGATCAGAGTGCGTGCGAAGAAGGCGCTTCTCCGTTTCCAATCTTGACACTTGCCTTGATGCTTCTCGTTTGATCTTTTCAGCATGCTTATCGACAAGATTTTGAAGGTCTGCTTCCTCAAGGTGAGCTTCTAATTCTTCTGGACTCAGCTCATGCAGCGGCCTCTCCGGCGCTTGATCATTTGCAGTAGTTGGGCCATCTGGATTAGACGAGTCATTTCTCGACGGTAGCTTGCTCTTCGCCTCAATCCCTACTTGAGGATCTGATTCAGGGTCCGCTTCCCCCTGATCATGCTTCTTAGACGCCACAGACGTTGTGGCAACAGCACGAGCGGGATTCGGCGCAGACTTTTTCTTTTTCTTGCCATGAGCCATTATTAGGGGTAGCAAATACTTTTGCACGTGAGAGCCCGATGGGTGGTCTCCGAGGCAGTCAATCGATGAATTTAGGAGAAGGAGCAATATGATTCATCAAAACAATTGTGAGCTTAGAGCCCTGCCAAGATACAATTAGCCCTCAAGCTAGTCTTCTTTGAGAGATGGAGATCCTCCTGAAAATCTTCAGCTGTATAATGCTTCTCCCCAATCAATCTACGTGAGTGGTTAGCGGGGCCTTCCTTCCTTATGTCAAGACTCACATCTGACTTTTGTCGGTGCTCGCCCTCTTCATTCTGCCTTCTTGTTCCTTCGGAAGACCGCTTCGCTGTTTCAAAGCAAATGCCTCCATGGCTATTAAGCTATTCTGCGAGCGCAGTGGTCTTGCTACGCCGTCATTCAATGAACGTCCTTTTCTTACGTCCCGTACCAAAGATCTACAAGTTGTGAATCCATCATGCCAAGCAGGCGGTCTCATCCACGCTTGCGAAAAAAGTCACCATCATTCACTTTCTCCAAGCCTATGTTTGCCTTGGAACCCCTCAAAAATGAAAGATATATCCACCTTCCTTCCATCCATCTTCCCCTCTCAAATCACTACAAACAAATTGGATTTTCAAGCCAATTCTTGAAACCCTTCTCTGCTAGAATGGCTACTACCAACCGAATCATTAAGGGATCTCTACTTACCCAAATGTCAAAGGGGGCTCAGAAATCTACATTGAAGGCACCTACTGAGACACAATCCTTCGAACGCACCAATGAAACGGTCAACATCCCTGCGCCTAGGTTGATCGAGATTATGCAGAAACATGACAAGCTACTGCCAGCGAATACCGCGAAAGCCATCATCCGGTAAGTGTGTCCCAACCACACCAGATAGAGACATCACTGACCTTGCATAAGCGATTTCGAACATGGGGACGATAAGCACATCAATGTGGTTTGCTTTGACAAGGATGGCAAATTCATCGAAACAGTGCACATCCCGCTAGAAACTGACGTTCAATTGAAAACGGTCGCAGGTCGGCATGAACAACAAAGATTTCAAGGCTGCATTGATTAATATCTATCGTAGGCGTTGTCGACAGCACGCCTACCTAGTCGAAACAAGGGGCACGGATCTTGGTGCGCCTGGAGAATAAAGGGCAGAACGAAGGGGCGGTGAAATAGCTTGTAAACGATCTTGGCAAGACATTGAGGGTGAAGCGCCTGCAGAACTGTGCCAGACAATTTACATACAGTGAGGTAGTGATGAATGGATCATTTGGGAATCTCTATCTTTCCTTTACGCAAGTTCTGGGATGGAAAACAAGCGAAGTGTCAGCCCACCACCCCCGAAAACCATTGGTCCTGAAGAAGCTCTTTAGCTGAGGGGCGATCTCTCGGGTCGAGCTTCATGAACTTGTCGAGGAAAGTTATGGTCTCTTTACTCATATTGACAGCAAGTGTATGTCTATGTCTCCTTCTACCTCCTCGCTGCGTGACATATCCCTCCATAGAATGAAGATGTTCCATCGTGAGTTGCTCAGCGAGTTCCACATACTTGTCAGGGAAAGGTCCAAAGTATGCACATTGGAGCGCAAGAACCATGATGGTATACATCTCGTCCTTTTCATCTAGCTCTGGCGGACTGAACATCCTTGCTCCGGTAAGTCCCCACATTATCTAAGCACAGCGTCAGAGGAAATGCGGCGTGTATCTTTCAATTACTTTGATTGGCGCTTACCAACGTACCAAGAGCCCACAGATCCACATTCGTTGTCCATGGCATTCCGAACAGACTCTCAGATGGGCGGTAAGAAGGATGACTGAATTCATGGTGCGTAGTTGGCGTCAATTCGAGAGAATCACCCAAGTCTATCACTTTGATCCTGCTAAATGAGCCGTGCTGGTCGAAGTCGACGACGATATTGTCAGACCTGATATCTTTACTCTCACTTCAGTAAGACTCCGGATTGGTAAGCTCTTGGATATACCTGTATGCGCAAAATTTCTCTCATGCATTGTCACTAGTCCCTTAAGCACGATTTTGGCCACCCTTTTGACTTCTTGTTCTTCGAGCTTTTCTTGCGGCCGCGAGTACAAAACATGGTGAAGATTTTCGTCGAGATATTCATGTACTGTGATCTTCTGATCAGGAATAACGTCAACCATTTGTCGAAATGAGGCGTGGCTGCGAAGGCACCCATTAAGGAGATTGAATTCACGATCAAAAGCATCATCATCGCGTGCTTCCTTAAGAATCACACGCTGTCGATCATGACTGTCGCAGTGAGTACAACAAAGTCAAAGGGTTAGAGCTGTGCTCGACTGAGCTCAATTGGTACCATTGTCCAAGCCAAACACTTGGACAGCCTTCTCTGATCATTCGAAGCGCTGTGTACATAGCTTTTCGCCATTGGCCACGGAAAACAATGTTGGGCTGCAAGAGACCCATAGCAACGAGGCTGTCGAGTATTTTTCGAAAAAAATCTTAAAATAGGGGAAAATTTCCATTGGTCAGACGATTCCGACCTTCAACCGTCAAAGGCTCTGTCTGTCCCGGGAGTCCATCATCTATCGTTTGGTGCAGATGGAGGCAGAGTTGTGGGTTATGTATCGATTGATTGGGGTCCGAGAGCGGGGCGTTGGCTTTGGAAGTTTCCAGCCCTAAGCTAGACCATTCTGGGATTGCCCGACTTTCGACTCGAAAAATAATCAACTGTCTAACTCACATGACAATGCACGGCTACCATGGCCCAGAGTGACGAAGAGCTTGGGCGTGCAACGCGTCTAGAGGCTCTCGCTCTAGGGCTTGTATCAAGTTCCCCCAAACGGCGTCTGCCAAAGCTCGCAGAGCTCAGTGACCTGTTCGACAGTGAGGGTCTGACGCTCGATGCAGATCCCAGAACAAGACTGACATTCTGTTAGATACTCCGCAGGGGCTCAATGAGTCAATTCTCCCCCTCCTCTTCCGTACATACGCATATTACCAGGATCGAGCCTCCAGAAGAGCTGTACAACGCATCCTACAAAATGATCGATTCTATCTTCCTCACACCTCATCACTCGTGGATTTCTACACTTCGGAATGTGCAAAGCAAGGGCTAGCCTCCTCAAATGCCTTAGTGCTTGTCGAATGGGGTTCGGTGATTCTCCAACACTCGGCTGCCGACAAAGACAAATTCCCAGAGTACGGCCCTTCAATCGTAGCTGCGATTGCTCAGGCGTTGGAAATATGCCACAGACCATCAGGCAAGGCCAGGAAGAACTTAAAGTACAGCTCTCGAAGATTGATAGAACGTGCCATCCTCAAGATCGTCGATTCTCGCCGAGGACGCCCGATCGAATGGCTGGTGGGTTCACTGACAGCTAAAGGTCATGGCCTTGGGCCTAGGGCAAGTCCGTTCTTGGGCGCCTTGGCTGATGCTTGTGCCTGGCCGCATAGTCGACGTGGGGAGTTCAAAGAGCAAATGTTGCCAATCTTCGACTTCTACACACGCGAGATTCTTGGCTCACGGTCTCAGATTCCTCTCCACATTGTTGTCGGGCTACAACCGTTCTTTAGCTTCTTCGTGGACACTACAGATCTCCGCCAAAGCATTGTACCTGCGTTAGAAAAGGCACTTTTGAGAGCTCCCGAGGTCATTCTCAGCAATGTTTTCTCTTCCCTTGTGGAGGCTTTGCCCTCCTCACAAGACCTTGGACCTATTTTACATGATCATCTTCTCAAACCAATTACAATGAATATCAAATCGCAAAATGAGATCATTCGTAACGGCGCTGTGTCAGCCTACAAAGTAATAGCAGGACACACTTTCGCAGATGACGCCATCCAAAAGATCTCGAAGCAACTACTGGAAATGCTTTCCGTCACCAAAGCGCCGGTGGAACGGCAGTGCTTGTCACAGATGCTTGAAAGCACTCCGTCAATGTCATCACAAGTATCATCTACATGTATCGCTATGTGCAAGATCATCTCGAAAGAGACAAGTGAGGCTGTGCTCGGAGCTGAGATTAAGGCTCTTTTTGTGAATGTCCGAAAAGGCTCTCTCGATGACAGCATTCTATCGACAGTCAATGACGTAGCGAGTAAAGGGGCTAAAGACAAGAAGCTTAGTGTACGCAGATTGTGGATCCTCGCCTTTGGAGACTTTCTCTGGGATGCTTATGATTCTCGAGAAAGAGAGATGGCATCAAATGTCAAGCTTATTCAAAATCTGTCGAGTGTCCTGCATAATGCGTACGAAGAAGCATCGCAAAACCCTTTGAGCGCTGCCCAGAATGGATCATTGGTCGCTGCCTACATCTTCACAGCACTTTGGCCCAAGCTCAAATCAAACCAGCCTCCGACAAACGGCGTCAGCAAGGCGAAATCACCAGTTTCGGCCGCAATGGACTCCGAAATCCTTTCATCATTCCTCTTGAATCCTAAATACTTCTCGAAGGTCGATCCCATGGATATTTCATGGCTGGTCCGCGCACTGGCGGCCTGCAGTGAGACTATTCCTAAAGTGCCAACAGCAACTTCAACAGCCTGGGGCGAGACTTACATTTACACTATCCTTTGTACAAACATCCCTCCTCAGATCAGGCGCACAGCTATAAAGTCCTTGAAAAATGTGTACCTCGCGCATAGAGCTACTGTATCGGGCAGCATCATCCAAGCATTGTGGAAGTGGCGAAAAGATGGATTAGTTGACAAGAAAGATACGCCTGCTACACTGCCAAAAGCAGACCATGAGAAGCTAATCTTGGTCCTTCAATGCATTTGTCCTCCAAGAGAAGTTTTGAGTTCCAATTCTTTGGGAGCAGAGCAGTCAACCGTGACCCAGTGGCAGCTTGTACAGCTGCTGGTCCTGTGTCGTCCAGAGATCATTCCTAGAGCTCATTGGATTGAAATATGCCTGCGAATGGGCGAAGACCCCGGCGAGATTGCGAAGACAAAATCTCTGGACTGTTTAGAACGTATTGACACTATTCTCGGATCTAATCAGACCGCCAATGCAGCCTTGCCAGTTCAGGGTGCTGCCCTGCGTGCGGCTGCGGAATTGGCGTTTGTAGCCCCCGACATCATCACCCCGCTGCTCATCGACCGGATCAGAGACAATCTTCCAGGAGACGATATTTCTAAATTTGGACCTACCGAAATAGCCATCGCGCGGACTCCGGAAGGTACTGCGTTCGTCGACGTCCTCAGCTCACAGACGCAGCGTAATTCAGTGCACAAAAGCTCTCCAGACTATGAAATCGCAAAATGGGAAGAGGAGATGAGAAGTCAGATTGCTCAGAAGAAAGGTCAGACAAAGAAGTTGACATCTGACGAAAAGGCAAAGGTGGAGGCTCAGCTCCAGAAAGAGTCTGCTATTCGGCAAGACGTTCAAGTTGTGGGCAACAAGCTAAAGCTGGGCGCAGGCCTGATCCATGCCCTGGCCACCGGACCACCGACTGATGCTCTGCTATGGCTCGGGTCTTCGTTGAGTCTACTAATTCAGGTGATAAGAGGTGGTGCTGGTAGATTGGCCGGGTCTGTTCTAGACGACGCATACCTTGCGTGTGCAGATCTAGTGACAATCAGACTTGGTATGCAGAGGAAATTCATCGGCATCGCGACTCTAAGATCCGAAGGGTCATCTTCTTTATCAAACGAGCTTGTAGAGGAGCCACTTCGCGAGCTCGTTACTCGGTTGCTGCATCGGATCCACTTCCTCGGCGGCCAACGGAATTTCGATTCTCTGTCTCTCATGTACTTGCTCCCGCTAGTATTTGCGGTGTTGAACAAGGGCGGGCTTGGCGATTGCGATGCTGACGAGGCTGATGAACAAATTACACTTGCGTTGGAGTTTCTGGAATTCCACACCAATGAATTCGCCGAAACCACCTTACCGCGACAAGAGGCTCTCGACACGCTGATAACGAGCATAAAACGCTTCGGTCAACACCACAGGCTCATCAAAGATTGCATTAATGGCATCTGTGAAGCTGTTACCTCGAACATCACCGAGTCAGAGACCGACACTCTACTCAAGGGTCTTATCACGCCAGAACATAATGTCCGTACAGCACTTTTGCAAGCAATCAAAGATCATGTAGACTTGACCGATCTCGAGTTCTGCGAACAAATTTGGATAATTGCTCATGATGATGTGGAAGAGAACGCTGCACTAGGTCAAGCAATATGGCAGGAAAATGCTTTAGAAGTAGAGCCGACGAATGCCGCCCAGGTCATGCCTTATCTTGAATCTATTGAACGAACGATCCGAAGCGCAGCTTCACGGGCACTCGCAGAATGTGTTCAGGTCGACCGCGAGTCATTCACCAAGGCTATACACGACCTCGAGGAACAATACCGCCAGCTTGCGAAGCCAAGAATGCCTGAGAAAGACGCGTATGGGATGCCCAAGAAGATGGATCTTTCCGACCCTTGGCAAGCAAGAAGTGGAATTGCATTGGCCTTCAAAGAGATGGCGCCAGCTTTCGAAACTTCAGAGTTGGTCGGCTTTGTTGATTTCATGGTGAATGATGGTCCCCTCGGTGATCGCAACACAACCGTTCGAGACGAAATGGTGGAGAGCGCAACTACTGTCATCACGCTTCATGGAGCGGCCGAATTAGAGGCACTAATGCAAAAGTTTGAGTTGGCTCTCGAAGCGTCGAAAAGCAACTCAGGAGTCTCTGACCTTGTTAGCGAAGCAGTTGTCATTCTCTACGGCGCCATTGCACGACATCTGCCGGAAGGTGACGAACGCGCGCATGAAGTCGTGCAGAAGCTTTTACAGACCCTCGCAACTCCTTCCGAAAGCGTTCAGTATGCAGTCGCAGGCTGTCTACCTCCATTGATTCGAAAGTGTGGGCGAAAGACGTCCGAGTTCGTTCAGACGACGTTGGATACTTTACTCCAATCGAAGAAGTACGCCGCTAGACGAGGGGCTGCATACGGGATTGCTGGCATTGTTGCAGGAAAAGGTGTCTCCGCCTTGAAAGAGTATCGTATTCTGTCGGCTCTGAAGACCGCCACGGAGAACAAGAAAGACCAAAATCAGAGGCAGGGCGCACTCTTCGCTTACGAGCTCCTTGCATTACTCCTCGGTGATACGTTTGAGCCCTATATCATCCAGATCGTCCCTCAGCTACTTGGAAGCTTTGGTGACGCAAATGCGGATGTGCGAGAAGCGTGTCTTGACGCCTCGAAGACATGCTTCTCACATTTAAGCTCATACGGAGTCAAGGTTATCTTACCGACACTCTTGGAAGGCCTGGAGGAAAATCAATGGAGAAGCAAGAAAGGTGCATGTGATTTGCTTGGCGCAATGGCATATCTCGATCCTCAGCAGCTTGCAGTCAGCCTGCCAGACATCATTCCTCCCCTAACAGGAGTACTGAACGACAGCCACAAGGAGGTCCGGTTGGCTGCAAACCGTAGCTTACAGCGCTTCGGTGACGTCATCAGCAATCCTGAAGTCAAGAGCCTCGTGAGCATCCTCCTTAAAGCTCTCAGTGATCCGACAAAGTACACCGAGGATGCCCTTGAGGCACTGATCAAGGTCTCCTTTGTGCACTACCTTGATTCACCATCCTTGGCGCTAATCGTGCGTATCCTTCAACGAGGCCTGAATGATCGGTCTGCAACGAAGCGGAAGTCAGCTCAAATCATTGGCAGCTTGGCACATATGACCGAGAGGAAGGATGTCATATTTCACCTCCCAATCTTGGTCGCAGGCCTCAGATCTGCCGTAATCGATCCAGTGCCAGCAACACGAGCAACGGCATCGAAAGCATTAGGCTCGCTAGTTGAAAAGCTTGGAGAAGACGCATTACCAGACCTTATACCTAGCCTCATGACAACATTGAAGTCGGATACTGGCGCAAGCGATCGATTAGGTTCCGCCCAAGCTCTCAGCGAAGTTCTTGCTGGGCTTGGAACCAGCAGGCTCGAGGAGACCCTGCCTACCATTTTGCAGAACATATCAAGCGTCAAAGCGACGGTCCGTGAAGGTTTCATGACGCTGTTCATCTACCTGCCTGCCTGTTTCGGAAACAGCTTCGCCAATTATCTCAGCAAGGTCATTCCTCCCATCCTTTCAGGTTTGGCAGACGAGCTCGAAACTATCCGTGAAACGGCCCTCAGAGCAGGCCGTCTCCTAGTCAAAAACTTCGCCTCCAGGTCTATCGATCTACTGTTGCCGGAATTGGATCGCGGACTTGCTGACATCAACTATCGTATTCGACTTAGCTCCGTCGAGCTGGTTGGTGACCTACTCTTCAATCTGACAGGAATCAGTGGCAAGACGGAACAAGATGAGAACGAAGTGGAGGGTGCCGCCGAAGCAGGTCAGTCTCTGATCGAAGTTCTCGGTGAGGAGAAACGTAACAAAATTCTTTCATCGCTCTACATCTGCCGTTGCGACACATCTAGCTTGGTTCGAGGTGCAGCTATCGATGTCTGGAAAGCGCTTGTTGCTACGCCACGCACACTGAAAGAGCTTGTGCCTACTCTCACGCAGCTGATCATTAGGCGACTTGCGAGCTCCAATATGGAGCAAAAAGTGATCGCCGGCAACGCACTGGGCGAGCTGATACGAAAGGCTGGTGAAGGCGTACTATCTAGTCTCCTGCCTACATTGGAAGAAGGGCTTCAGACGTCTACAGACACCGACCACAGGCAAGGTATCTGTATGGCACTACGCGAAGTTACATCTGCTGCTTCATCCGAAGCTCTCGAAGATTACCAGAAAGTTCTTATCTCTGTTGTTCGGACGGCGTTAGTGGACAACGATAGTGAGGTCCGTGAATCTGCTGCTGAAGCATTCGACTCGCTGCAGCAGGTGCTCGGCAAGAAGGCTGTTGATCAAGTACTTCCACATCTACTCAATCTACTTCGATCCGAGGACGGCGCCGATACTGCACTATCTGCACTATTGACACTGCTCACTGACAACACGCGGTCCAATATCATTCTACCAAATCTCGTTCCTACATTACTTGTTTCGCCAATCAGTACTTTCAACGCTAGAGCAGTCGCATCACTGGCGCAAGTCGCGGGTTCGTCTATGAATCGAAGACTACCGAACATACTGAACACTCTAATGGACAACATCATCGTATGTAAGGATGAAGACCAGCGACAGACCCTCGAGGAATCTTTCGAGTCGATCTTGCTTTCTGTTGACGAATATGACGGACTGAATACCATGATGAGCGTTGTGCTCACTCTAGTCAAGGACTCGGATCACCGCAAGCGCGCCAGCATCGATTCTCGATTGGGCAACTTCTTTGCAAAAGCCACCGTCGACTTCTCGCGGTACTATCAAGATCTGATACGTGTCTTGCTAATTTCATTCGATGACTCGGACAAAGAGGTCGTGAGAGCAGCGTGGACGGCATTATCTGGACTGACTTCAAGGTTGAAGAAAGAAGAGATGGAATCACTTGTTTTGTCTACACGCCAGGTCCTTCTCCAAATCGGTGTCGCAGGGGCCAACCTTCCAGGCTTCCTACTACCCAAGGGCATCAATGCGATCCTACCAATCTTTCTACAAGGCTTGATGAACGGAACATCGGATCAAAAGGTCAATGCAGCGCTCGCAATCTCCGACATGGTCGATCGCACAAGTGTGGATTCATTGAAACCTTCTGTCACTCAAATTACGGGCCCTTTGATCAGAGTGGTGTCTGAACGATCAATTGATGTGAAAGCAGCCATTCTATTGACACTGAACAATTTACTTGAGAAGATCTCTATCCTCCTGAAGCCTTTCCTTCCCCAGCTACAGCGGACATTCGCGAAGTGTCTTGCAGATCCCTCCAGCGAGCTTCTCCGATCACGAGCAGCAAAGGCTCTTGGTACTCTCATCACCCTTACGCCAAGAGTAGACCCTCTCATAGCCGAGCTAGTCACCGGCTCGAAAACAGCTGATAGCGGCGTGCAGAATGCGATGATGAAAGCATTGTTCGAAGTCGTCAGTAAAGCTGGCGGCAATATGAGCGAAGCATCTCGAACCTCGATCCTAGGGTTGATCGATAGCGATATTGGGGGTGACAACGACACGACAGCCATAACCCATGCGCGGCTTTTCGGAGCGCTGATCAGATCATTCCCAGCTGGCAGCAGCCCATCAAGCCTGCTTAAGACCAGAGCGCTTGCACAGCACCTCACTCCGTCCACCGTTCTCAACCTGAATGCCGTGCTTGTGCACTCGCCCGAGTCACTGACGGAAGGCTTCTCTCAAGAGACACCGAGTATCATCACCGCAGGCATGCAGCATCGCAATCTCTTCATCGTCGACAATTGTATCTTGGCATCCGGCAAATATCTCCTCACTCCGTCCTCTAATCGCAACAAAGCCAGCGAATCCATTATCCCAGCTCTTACCAATCTCATATCTCCAGGCGGACCCATCGACACTCGCCGACTTGCGCTTGTAGTGATCCGCACCGTCTCCCGGGCTGACCCGGAACTCATCTCCCCTCATCTTCCGGTCCTTACCCCTCCGGTCTTTGCCAGTGTTCGCGACACCGTCATCCCAGTCAAGCTGGCAGCCGAGGCAGCATTCCTCTCAATCTTCAGTGTCGAAGAGAACGAGGGCGAAGTATTTGAGGCGTATATGGCCGAGCATGGTGGGTCAGTGGGCGCCGGACCAAAGCGGAGTATGCAGGATTACTTCAAACGAGTAGCAATGAGGCTAGGCACTCAAGCCCGGGAGAGGAGGGAAGCCGAGGGCGGTCAAGGCGGCTTGGGGCTGTCGAACGATGAGGTAGAAGATGAGCGGGAGATCTGGAGCGTGGGGAAGATGGAATTGGAGGATAAGACATTCAGCGTGGACTGAGCTGCGTGATACACATCAACTGGTGTGATTGTTGGAGAGAGGCGAAGAGGCATCTTTGCCTGCAGTGGTTAGAGAGTCTGCTGGTGTGAGGAAGTTGCGGAATTGCATAGCGAGGCGCTCAAAAGTGGATGGTTTGTTTGTATTGAACGGAGGGAAGTGGGTATAAGTCATAATATTCTGGGCTTCTTTCAGGCTCGACATATGGCGGGCGCCCACAGCATTGACGGTGTTCATCTCCTGTTCAATAATGTCAAAATCCTAATGAGCGATAACGTGATGGATGATTGATATAGCCTCCTTTATGCGGCGGGATGAATCACCTTCTTATCAACCACCAGATGCCTCCACACCGCCAAGCAGCAGGTTCCTCATCGATGACCGAGAGTTAGCGAAGTACCCTTAAGGCCCTTGATATGCTCTCGACGAATGAAGTGTCTCAATTGATAAGCTTGTCAGTCAGATCTGCGTATCGCACGTACAGTTCTGCTCCCCACCAATCACGTCGTCGCATGATGGCGGAGCCGAGTAATGACTAATTCCACCAATTGAACGCCACGCCAAGAGCTGCTATCACGCTAGGAAGATCTAGAACATTGACCAGCATGATACCCCTAACATGTCAAGCAACGGTCCAGATCCCACGGTCACCTCTCAGCACAAGCTTGTCGCTTGGGGCTGGCCGGGGATGCATCACGCCATGTCCCAATGGAGAAAACGGCGACATCGTGTTACCCTTCTCGGCTGACAGGCTGGAGGTCCAGCTGCGACGTCTTGTCCACAGCCTTGTGTCACCTTACACCGACGTTGGACTCATAAGTCACTTCAAGCCCAATTGCTCACTTACTCATTAATACCACGTCTTGCCTGTCGTTGTTTATATTGCAGACGCTTCACCCAATGGCTGCCAACACGAACCTCATCCCTCCCTACAAATATGAGGGCCCACAGCAGAATCAGTCTCAACCTGCCTCATATGGCCAGAACTTACCATATGGCCAGAATACGTCTTATCCTCCTCCTCCCACTCAACCTCCGCCCTCGGCCACCCCTCAACCCTACACTGTCTCTCCGATGACTTCTCCCGCCTTCAATCAGTCCGTCAATCCTCCTTACAATGCCTACAATCCCTCTGCCTTTGCTGGCCCACCTCAACCTTACGGCAATCCGATGAACAAGCAACAGCAACAGCAGCAAGCATTTGCTCCGCCACCCAATGCTCCTCCTACTCCACAGTACACCCCCACAAGCGCAAGCAGGCCTGTTTCAGTCATTGGGACGCCGTTCTTTCCACCACCACCAGGGCGGAGGCAGTCTTCCTACTTTCCACCTCCCGCCAACGTTCCTCCAACTCCACAGTACACCCCAACATCATACGGTCAACCGGCCCTAAGCCCTCAGAGTACGGGCTCCTCCTATTTTCCACGACAACCTCAAAACCCGCCAATCGCTCCTCAACAGCCATATCGAGCCAATTCGATTACACAAGCGCCTTACGGGCAGCCAATTCTGACACCTCAGAGCACAGGAGCCACTATAAGCTCTTTCGGCGACCCACCATCCCCGCCATCTCCACTAGCTCCTCAAACCGCACCAGGTCCAGATCAGCTTGTACATGGGGTTGAAGGGTTACACATTGAGTTGCCGGCGGTCGGAACCCCTGTCTCTGCAGCCGAGAACAAGGGCCAAGGTGTCAGCGCATTCCAGCCACCGTCTCAGCCGCCGGTTCAAGAGAACGTAATTACACCAGTCCAGGACCTACAACAAATCCCGGTTACCTCGCCAACTCAAGGGGCTACCCCTACGCAGGACAGACAAGCTCCTCAGATACAACAGCCACAGCCTATTCAGCCTTCAGTCACTGCCCAGTCAGCCTTTGCTCAACCACCTCCTACACCGTACGGCCAGCCACCAAGCTCACAACCACAATTTACGCCACCTCCAAATACAGCCCCACCGCAGATTGGCAATCCAGGACCACCCCCAACCCTTTACGGACAACCAGGCACTTATCAAAGACCTGTTCCTCCTCCCCCAAACTCAGCACCACCGCAGAATAGAGACTCAACTCAATTCATCCAGCCTCAGTGCGCGCCAGAGACTACATATCAGCCAGCACAATCGACCATTTATGGGTACAATTCTATTGGACAGCAGCCACCTCCACCTCCCCCCTACTCTCCTCCCACGCAACCTCTCCAGAACCCACCACAATTCAAGCATGAATATCAACCTCAGAGCCCTTACGGCCAAACGCAGCCGCTACCACAGTCACCTCCAATACCTCAGCCATACGGTGTCCCGCCTCAAGCTCCACAACCCTATGGACAACCTCCACCTCCACCACCACAAGGATACGGCATTCAAGACCAGAAGCAGCAATACCAAAACCAGATTCAGCACCCAGTTGAAGCTCAAAACCAGGTCCAACCTCCGCTATACTCTCATCCGCCAGGCATGCAGGTCGTCTCTCAACAACAGCAGCAGACATCCGTTCAGCAATTGGGCCAACAATATGGCATCCCAGTCCAACAAACTCCACCTCAACAACATCAGCCAGGCAAAGACGAACACCAAACGGGCAAAGCTAAGCGCTTCTTTGGTGACACGCTGGTGGGAAGATTTGCTCGCTCGTCTGTTTCAACGGTTACTACTACCATCAAGATGCCATCAGTGCTGTCTCCATGGGGTGACAACAATCCCGTCACCCTCCCTAACGTCCGCTACCGAGATGCCGTCCTCTTCGGCACATTTGCCGTAATAGGAGCCCCACTCGTCGATGGCGTCGTCGATGGCGTTGCCAGCAGTTTCGGCGCCGATCATTTCATCTCAGAGATCGTAAGCTCAGGTGGCGGATTCATCACCGGCAACACCATCGTCAAATACGGCGTATTCCAAGTCGTCGAGCAAGCAATCGACAAAGGCGTCCTGGAGAAGGTTCTCCCTGAAGTCGAAAAGACAATGCGAACAACCTCAGCCAAAACCCTCCAGGTCTCCATTAAGCATAAACTTATGGGTGTCGACGCGGACATCCAATTCGTACGAACGTACCCGACAACAAACATGATGGCTTGCGACAAAGGCTGGTTCAGCCCCTACCTCTTCGCCTCCTCACGCACACCGATGATACCGCGGAATCAGGATTGGGCAATGGCGCAGTTCTTCCGCCCATACCTCGCTGGTAGGTCTCTTCCACTCCGTCTCCACGTTTCCCTCTCCTTACCCCCTTACTCCAGCACCCCCCTGTCAACCCCCTCACTAATACCTCTGCAGCCGATACAGCACTCACCCACAAACTCCTATCCGAATCCCCTTCCACCATCCCTCTCTGCGACCCCAACCCTCACGCCGTAAACCTTCCCTATACCCGCCTCCTCATCACCTTCATTGGCATCTCCCCCTCCGAGGCGAGTCCGCGGGGATGTGGTCGTCATCCCGCCGTCCAGGCTGCGGCAGCTTACGCATCCATCTCCTCAACGGCTGCCCATCCATCGTTGTCCCTTGCCTCAAGGAGAAGACGCCCGTCATGGCCTGGAGTCCGTGGACGGTCAATCAGATGCAAAATGCCATGACGCCTGGCGCTAAAGGGAATTATAGTCCGCAGAGACATCATGAGGAAATTAGTAGCTACATATTGGGATTGGTGGATAGGAATGGGTTGTTGGAGCAGGTGAAGGTGCCAGGGGTGTTCGAGAGGTTGCTTGGGAAGGGCGTGCAGATGGTTATGAATGGGGCTATCAATGCGCCGAGGAGTATGGGGAAGGTGGTCGGGTGCGTGGATGGGGATAGGGCTGGGATCGTGTGTTTGAGGTATTGAGTGATTGCTGTGAGAAGGTGGGGTGGGCTGTGATGCTAGAGATGATGAGATCATTGGGGAGCGTAATGGATGAATGATGGACGAATGGCTGGAAAGATGAATGAGCTACCAATACTGGCAATGAAATATGGTATATCAGATCCGAAAATAATTTGGGAGAGCCCGCCTCAGATATGTGTACATACGAAATATCTACCCATAATTCCGACTCGCTCTTAACTGCTCTCGTCTATGCCTCCCTTCTACCCATATGATCCTGCGGTTACAAGGAGACACCCATCTCGTCGCTAATCTGCAGTCATGTTCTCCAGCTGCCGTATTGGTCTGGATATCCCACCTGCTTTCTCCATCGCCCTATCTCTTTCTGTCCATTGCCTTTCCCTTGCCTCCCCCGGGCCCAATTTTCTTGAGTGATAGATAAAGTTCACGTATTTCACGGCTCCCTTGAGCACGACGCCCAGAGCGTCTGTCCAGCGGAGGACTCCCGGTGTGGGGGGCGCAATTGCTGGGACTTGAAGCAGGTGACTTTTTTCGATTGAAAGAATTTGGAGAGTATTCTTGACTGGAAGGGACTGGTGGAGATGGTCCAGTTGTGTTGTGTTTTGTTAAAAGAGGAGAGGAGAGGAGAGTGGGGGGTGGATGATTTGAAGAATAAGCGAAGGATTGTGTAGATGCTGGATGCTGGATGCTGGCTGATCCTGGCTTAGGTAGCACAGCGTAATTTATAGCCACTTCTGACATTGGGAGACGTTGAAGTTGTTTCCTTCTTGTCTGGTCGGCTTATTCGATTGCTGAGGTTGTTGTGTAGAATTGATTCTTTGCGCAAAAAGATTTTCTTTGGGATTGTGCTCCTGAGTAGTCCGAGACCAGGCTTCGATGAGAGGTGGCTGGTCAGACACGGGGATTGTGTTTCTCATTTCTGGCACGAAAGCCAGATCTCATTTGACTCAGCCGATCATATTATCAGTCGTTACATCTGTATCAATGAACCATGTCGTCCTCCCTGTGACTTCACGAGTCTCCCTCACCGTCACCCACATATGTTGATCCAGCCCGCACCGGACTGAGTGACAATCATTCAACGAGAAGTCATGATCTACAGACCAGGCTACACAATCGATAGCTCCTTCAGGATAAGAGAGCCCAAGCGCGTAACAAGAAGGAGCAGATGTTAGCAGACCTTTGGGGGGCTTGTCTCCCCCTCGAGGGTCTTTCAGGAACTTTGTCGCAAAAATATAGCGAATCCTCAATTGTATCTTGTTGTCAGAATCCAGACCCCAGGATATGAGAACCATAGCGTGCTCATCAATAAATCGGATAATCAGAGCCGAAGATGCTTCTCGGAGAAGAGGGACAGGTAGGCTGGCTTGCTCCGAGTCATAGAATAGCCGTATTTGAGCATGTGGCCCTTCGAAATCGGGTAGAAGTACCAGCCCTGAAAACATGTTCGGGGCTAGTCGAAGGATGAAATATGGTGTTACTGTTCCCTTTGGATCACTCAACGGGCGCCACAAGCCATATAGAAGTATTTCTTCCTCCCAGCGAGGTTTCTCAGAGTATTTGTCTGAAAAGTAGAAAGCTAGTAGCTCTCCGTCTGGTATGGGATGATAGTCTAGCGCTTCCTCGGCGTAGTGAAATACATCGAGATGCGTACGCATGGCTAACCTGACTACATTCATATTCAGATTGTAATCTTTCGCATGGTCCTCATCAAAATTCAATAGCTTGAATTTGACGAAAAGTGACCGGCCAGTAGTTGAAGATTTGCAATTCAACGGTTTCGTGAAGTTCGGCTCGGGCACCTTTGAATTGACCCAGCTTTCGCTTTGATGGATTCGGAATTTCATTTTCAATCCAAGATTCGTTCTTGTATAAGGTGGTCGGAAATGCCCCCATGGTCTGTCGGACAAGGTTGTCACTACATTCCCAGATTCCTTGAAAGCTTTTGGGGAGCGAGCCAGCATGCCACTATGCCATAGCGTCTTATCGGTCCAGGCGAAGATGGACTCGTCGTTTGAGTCCTCGATGATCGCATGCTGCAACCTCAGAAAGGCTTTCTTTTCGCCTTCGCCATAGAGAAGTGGCATATTGACGTCGAATAGACCCAGTAGGCAATAAGCTATATCTTCGCTTCTTGAAGTCTGCCTTTTAGACATCCACGACATTTTCTGGGCAATACTGGCATATCCAGGAAACGTCAAGAAGTGGGAAGCTATACCAGTTGCAGCAGATATCTCCGCCTCAAGTTCGTGCTTCGTTCCAATCACATTCCAATACTGGTCGAAGAAATACACATTTGCAGGCGCCAGTAGCTCCTGCAAAGTCCAGCCCCTGGTAAACCAGCGACTATTTTCAAACTTCACATTTTTTCGAGACTCTTCTTTTCTCTCGACATCTACGTCAGCAAGAAAGGCATAACACTCTGCAGCCCCTTTGTACCATTGGAACATCGAGTTGATAGCCTCAGATAACTCAGCACTACTGTCACTGTTGATACAGCAGGTATCGACCCAGAGATAAGAGTATTCGTCTTTCACCGCCTGGTGACATGCAGCCTGTATCTTGTGGAACCCTTGTTGCGAAGAAGGACGAATTTGATTGTCTGATACATGCCGGAACAGGATCTCTTCTGTCCACCAAGTGTGAGACAAGATCACATATTTGGGAATATCTTGTCCAAGGAAATCATGAAGCGTCAGATTTTCGGTATGAATGAGACGCATGATGGCTCAATCTTTCTCTCTCAAGAGCATTCTCATATCCAGACTGTACAGCGAACATATACTTTGTGTGTTTGGCTCTAGGCTGGCTTCAACACAGAAAATTCAGATCCTGCATCAAGGAACCCATGAGGCAGATGTTGCTTGCTCGAAGAAAGTTGTACTCGTTACAACATAGATTACCATCACTTTCAGCTGGTGCAAGGCTGCCATACCAAAAAGTCTGTACCGGCGACAACAGAGAACGCACGTGAGGACTTCTCAACCTGAGACTCGTTCGAAAGAAAACATGATGTACGCATCATCTCGAATATCCCATGTGCAAAGAAAGCGGTCTCATTGGGTCTTGGAAGATTGATGGAATTAGGAAGAGAATCACTTGGGTTGACGGGATGGCGTCGCGTCCATAGAGCTAAGTCCTATACCAAAGAGCCTGCGTCATTTCAATGAGCAAAATTGCACAAGTTCAGCATCTTACAGCAAACTGCATAATGGCTCTTCCAGAGTCTCGTGACAATCGTCACCCAAATGAAGACAACAAGCAGCCAAGCAAGAAATCCAATAGTCGGAAAATACGCCGAAGGAATGACGACTTCGAAGAAAGATGGGGTGATGAGGAGGCCTTAGAGGAAGAAGAGACCTTCGAGGAATCACCAAACAAACGTGTCCGCTTGAACAATGGCTCTTTCTCACCGAAAACTCCCGAGCCGGAGATGGATGAGGAGACTAGAAGGCGTTTGGAGGAGGAGAAGGACATTGCAGAAAGAGACGAATTCGCTCGAAGGTTGAACCTTAAAGATGCGGAAAAGAGTAAGAAGATCACCGAAGATAGGTCCGGCAGGAAGAGTGAGAAGGAGGCTCAGAGACGGCGTGCCATGGCCGAGGATGCAGCCAACAAGGAAGCAGCTATGGAAGCTTTGCGGATCCGATCCAGGCAGGAATATTTGGGCAAGCGAGAGACTGAGCAGCTCGCCCTGCTACGAAAGCAGGTGAACGAAGAGACGGACGAGCTCGAGTCAGATCCGGACCTAAGCAAAGCTGAAAAGGCAGAATTTGCCAAGAACAGAGAGCTACTACGTCTTGCGGAGGAACGGCAGCAAATTGACGACTACAGGGATGGATATATGCTACCGGAGGACTACATCACAGAGAAGGGCAAGATTGATCGGAAGAAGAAAGAAGACGCTCTCTATAAACGGTATGTGGACAAGGACGAGCGTGGTCAGGAGCGATTCGTCACTGAGCAGGAGGAATGGGAGCAAGAGCAGACAGCAAAGGCCAAAGCACAAATTGTTTCTCAAGAACGAGTGGACGAGGGCAATTACGAGTTTGTGTTCGATGAGGCACAAAAGATCAACTTTATCATGGACACAAGACTTGAAAGCGATGCTAAGCCTATGACTAAAGAGCAACGGCAATTCCAGGAACAACTGAGAGTTGCTGAGGGGAAAGCTGAGAAGATTGAGGACACTAGGAAGAGCCTACCGATATACCAATTCAGAGACGATCTGCTTCAAGCTATCAACGATTATCAAGTGCTGATCATTGTGGGAGAGACGGGAAGCGGGAAGACCACTCAAATACCCCAATACCTTCACGAGGCTGGATATACCAAGGACGGAATGAAAGTTGGCTGTACGCAGCCACGGCGAGTCGCTGCTATGAGTGTTGCAGCTCGTGTAGCTGAGGAGATGGGCAAGAAAGTTGGCAATGAAGTCGGTTATTCCATCCGTTTCGAAGACAATACGTCCGACAAGACGATCTTGAAATACATGACTGACGGCATGCTCCTTCGAGAGTTCTTGACAGAGCCGGATCTTGGAGCATATTCAGCACTCATGATCGATGAAGCTCACGAACGTACGCTTCATACAGACATTCTCTTCGGCTTGGTTAAAGACATTGCCCGATTTCGACCTGAACTCAAACTCCTCATTTCCTCTGCGACAATGGACGCTCAGAAATTCGCCCAATACTTCGATGATGCTCCAATATTCAACATCCCTGGCCGACGTTATCCCGTAGACATCCACTACACACAACAGCCTGAAGCCAATTACCTCGCCGCAGCCATCACCACCGTCTTCCAAATCCATAGTTCTCAAGGCAGAGGTGACATTCTCGTCTTCCTCACTGGCCAAGAAGAAATAGAAGCTGCCGAGCAGAACCTGCAGGAGACAGCTCGTAAGCTAGGCTCCAGAATACCTGAAATGATCATCTGCCCAATCTACGCCAATCTCCCTTCCGAGCTTCAAGCCAAAATCTTCGAGCCCACACCCCTAAAGTCCCGGAAAGTTGTCCTCGCAACCAACATCGCCGAAACCTCCCTCACCATCGACAATATTGTCTACGTCATCGATCCCGGCTTCGTCAAAGAAAATGTCTACAATGCCCGAACAGGCATGGAGTCGCTTGTCGTCGCTCCCTGCTCCCGTGCTTCAGCTAATCAACGCTCTGGTCGTGCTGGACGTGTCGCACCTGGGAAATGCTTCCGATTGTACACCAAATTCGCTTTCCATAACGAGCTTGATGCTAGCACGATGCCTGAGATTCAACGTACGAATCTGAACTCTGTAGTCCTACTCCTCAAATCGCTCGGCATCAACGACCTCGTCTCTTTCGATTTCATGGACCCACCACCCGCAGAAACACTGATCCGCGCTCTCGAAAACCTGTACGCCCTCGGCGCCCTCAACGACCGTGGCGAGCTCACCAAGTTGGGACGACAGATGGCCGAATTCCCAACAGACCCAATGCTTGCCCGCGCCATCCTCGCCGCAGACGAATTCGGCTGCGTCGAAGAAGTCCTTTCTGTCATCTCCATGCTAGGCGAGAGCTCCTCACTCTTCTACCGGCCAAAAGACAAGAAATTGCTCGCCGATAGCGCAAGAAACCGCTTCACTGTGAAGGAAGGCGGTGACCATCTCACGCTTCTCAACATCTGGAATCAGTGGCTTGACAGCGACTTCAGCTACGTCTGGTCACGCGAGAATTTCCTACAGCAGCGTTCGCTCACTCGAGCTAGAGACGTCCGCGACCAGTTGGCGCGCCTTTGCGATAGGGTGGAAGTCACCCTCTCCTCTTCCGGCGCTAACGACATAGTGGCGATCGCGAAAGCCATGACGGCGGGGTTCTTCCCGAATTCCGCTCGCTTGCAGAAAGGTGGAGACTCTTACAGGACGATCAAAAATGGGCTGAGCGTGTACGTTCATCCGAGCTCTACGGTCAACGAAAGGGCGGGCCAGGGAGGGGAGAGGGGCAGTGCGGGAATCAAGCCGAAGTGGGTTGTTTACTATGAGTTGGTATTGACGAGTAAGGAATACATGCGGGGTGTGCTGCCGATCAAGCCGGAGTGGTTGGTTGAGGCTGCACCGCATTATCATAATAGGAAAGAGTTGGATGAATTGGGGATTGATAAGAAAGTGAGTAAAGGCACCGGGGCGGTGGGCGTGAAGAGCAAGATTTGATGCTCAGTGGATGGCTTTAGGTGCTACATGATGTTTGTGGGAAGATTTTTAAGAAAATTAGAAATGTTCCAAAACTTCAGACGAGCGAACAAAGTTTTCTGGCATGGCTCCGAGTAATTTGCTTGAATCATGCTTGATCATCTCATGTGAGCAGAGCCATACTACAGCACGTACGACCAGATTGCTTTCCTCCTTCCTCAAATTGTCCAGCTACTCCGCTGTCTGCTTTTCCTCAAGCCTCACGCCACGAAGCCAGTTCAGAACCTAGCCCCATCATCTAGACCTTGAACCCCCGACTCCTCCTCCTCCCCCTCGCCTTCTCAAACTTCCGCCCCTTACTCTCCACATAGGGCTTCTTACGACTATGCGGCCCAAACCCAAAATGCTTGATCGCCTCCCGACTCGCTGGTCCCCTGAGCAGCACACAATGAGACCCCGTGGGCGCCCTCAACGCCAACTGATCGATCGTCAAACACTCGCCTCCCGCCTTCTCAATTCTCGCACGTGCGGTGCGCGTGAAGCGGAGCGCCGCGATGGTGAGTTTTGGGATCTCCAAAGCGCGCACGTCGTCTGTGATGGTACCCACGTTGACGAGGATTTCTGTGTTTTCGGGAGCGTGCGCGAGGTGGGAGGAGAGTCGGGACAGGGAGATGGGGCGTTTGTTGATGCGCGACATGAAGAGGCGTTTTAGGATTACGCGGTTGAAGTTGGCGTCGGTGCGGCCTGGGCGGAGGGGGGTGTTAGTTGGTGGTTGGAAGATATGGGCTTGGGTTTTGAGGGGGGTGGTTGGAGTAGGTGAAGAAATGGAGGGAAGGACTCACGGGCTAGGAATTTGTACAGCTTGACAAGGAGCTTGAGGTAGGGGTTGTCGCTCTTGGGCGCTTTGCGGTGCGAGGATCGCACATGGTGCTTGTCGAGGTCGATACCTAGGAGGGTCACAGTTGTTAGCAATTGCTGTCCTGGGAGTGGACGGTGGGCATTTCAGTCGGCGTTATGGATTCGAGATGTGTGGACTCAGTCAGGGTCTATGTAGACTCACCCATTGCTGCAGTATCGCGTCTGGCTGTCGACTTCGCGGTGAAAGACTGAGGATGATGTTGTAGACATCAGGTGTGATTTTCGCTTAGTGCGTAGGGCTGGAATGCCAAGGAATAATCGCTTAGTTCGCGCTAGTGCACTCCCACTTTGTATGAGTCGACGACCACGACATCTCGTGTCCCTCACCATCAACCATTCCCCATCCACGGCGATTAGGGACAAGTCAAGATGTAAGTCGTACTCTCCCACTTTGAATCTTTCTACCACCCAGCTTTTCGGTCCCCAGTCTCTCCTGCTTTGCCACACACAACCCCTCCCCTCTCCACCATCCTCTTGACGAACCCTGAGCTAACACGTTCCTGACAGGGTCAATCTCCGCACACAAAAGCGTCTCGCATCATCCGTGATCGGATGCGGCCAACGCAAGATATGGCTCGACCCTAACGAGATGAACGAGATCTCCAATGCCAATTCCCGCCAAACCATCCGCAAGCTCGTCTCCGATGGCCTTATCATCCGTAAACAGGTCACCATGCACTCGCGTGCTAGAGCCAGGGAATTGACTGCTGCACGACGAATTGGGCGGCACAGAGGCTTCGGGAAGAGGAAGGGTACAGCTGATGCTAGGATGCCAAGGTTAGTGAGCTGCTATCCTGGTTGAGGTTGAGAGAGGGAGGAAGGTTAGGGCTGATGCAGTGTGAATATAGCCAGGTGCTCTGGATGCGCCGTCTCCGAGTCCTCCGCCGTTTGTTGGTGAAATATCGTGCTGCGGGCAAGATCGACAAACATCTCTACCACGAACTGTATCACCTATCGAAGGGTAACACGTTCAAGCATAAGCGGGCGCTCATCGAGCATGTGAGTCTACCCGACACTTATCACTCCTATTTATCGCAAGAATGTCATCTCATCATCGTCATGGAAATGATAAGACTGTAAACGGAACTTTTGTTAATACAACGAAATCCACAGATCCATAAAGCCAAAGCCGAGAAACAGCGCGAGCGTATCCTCAAGGAAGAGATGCAAGTCAAGCGTGACAAGAACAAGGCGGCGAGAGAGAGGAAGGTGGAGAGACAGACGCAGAAGAGGCAGGCGCTGCTTGGTGAGGATGAAGGTGAGGAGAAGAAGGAGGGTTGAGGTTTCTGATAGCATGTCGGCCAGACTGTGGCATGATTATTCCGGGACTTTTGATTCTCGATTTATGCATGTATCATGGATGAATGGAAGCAGCTTCATACCCTCGCTCGCGCTCTTGCATTGACTTGTGATGTTTGTTCAATTGTTTCTTGGCTTCGTATGGTAGGGTTCGTTGATGTTGATACTGGTAAGTTGGGGGAAGGAGAGTCATGACAAGTTTCTCTGCTGTCACATTGCCGAGCAACGAAATACCTGGCAATTCAGGCCACTTCTGCGCAACAGATAGCGATGTCCCGAAGGACTCTTCTATGAGCGGAAGACGTCGATTCGGATGACTGACGTGACGAGGTAGATCAGTCACTAAGAATGCCGCTCTATTCGTGTATGTCTAGGCCAACAGGCTCACTTCCATCTCGTCTAAATCTAACCGGCCCTTTCCCCCTTTACGTCACTGCATCCATCGTTCTAAACTGCAAGTAGGATATCTGAAAGGAATGCAAAAGCCCCAAAGCACGTACCCGATCCATTTCCTCCCTCATGACCAACGACTCCATTTACCCAACCATTTTCCCAAATCCTCCTTTTCATCGCATCATTTTCAATTCGTTACGCATCACTCCCTACCCATGACCAAACCACTGTGGCCCACCACTTCCACATCACGGCTTACTTCTCTCATCACCGATCAACCCCGGCGGCATCGTCTCCCCCTCCGGCCATTCTTCCCCTACACCAACCTCCTTCCCCATCTTGACCTCCAGATCGCCACCAAGCCACTCTTTGATCTCGCAAGGATCTTCAAACGCGCCCTGACACATCTTCCGTCTCCCAAGATGCTTGAATCTCGGTCCCAACGGCCCATTCACGTAGTGGTACTCCCCCACGAATCCGTACTGCCGCCCGTCGTCCAGCGGGTAGTGTTTATCCCCCCAGTGGCCATTGTAGTAGAACCAGCCTGTCTCAGCATCCGGATTACGCATAGAAGGCCGCACAGTGCAAGCGACATGGTCGAAGGTGTAACTTTTCGTATTCAACGCCGGGTCCCAGAGGGGTCCACGGTCGGTCTCATCGTGCAGCAGCCCTAGCGGGAGGATATAAGGATGCAAGCCCGAAGTGGCATACATGGCATGCGTGCCCACTGCGCTGTACAAGACCGGCCTCTTTCCAATCTTCTCGACGGCATGGTAGGAGTATGCAGAGCCGAAATTGTGCTCGGAGAAGAACACGGCGGCGGGACGACCATGTTGGAAGCGGATCAGCGTGTGCTCCCAGTCGCCGACGTGGTTGCCGAAGCGGATGTTGAAGACGGAGTTGCCGCGGTTGAAGCTGTAGAAGAAGAACCAGAAGGCGTCGAGAGTGTTGTTGCCTTTGGGGACGGTGATGAGGATGGCGGGGGCGGGGGAGTAGCCGCCGTGGGTGGGTTTGCTGCCGTTTGTTTTGGGTTTATTGTAGTCTTTTAGATTCCGAGAGTGTTTGGGTGGGTAGGTGAATTTGGTGGGGATGTTTTGCTCGCCTTTGATCCAGGGTGGGTGGTCTTCGACGTCGTCGTTGCTGGTGAGGAAGACATGTCGGCCGTGCTCGTATTGATTGAGCAGATTGAGGTTAGAGATGTTGAGAATGGGGTTTGAATTGGTGATTGGGTCGTAGCCAATGGCTGGGTGAGTATGTGGGATGTGGTCGGACATGTCAGTGGGCCAGTACTCTTCGTCGGAGAAGAGGTGGACGAATGGGGCGTATTCGAAGACGTAGTCTGGGATTTCCTGAGATGTGCGCGAAGTCCCGTTGTCGCCTGGTGGTGCGTCGTACCAGGGCGGTTGTCCCCCATTCATTGAGAATGGGAACAGCCATTTTGATGCTATGGAAAAGAACCACAATGGGCTGTAGACGACGTAGCGCCGGCAAACGAGGTAGATCAGGACCAAGAGGATGAGATATTTGTATAATCGCCAATAGCTCTTTCTCGATTGCTCCCTCAATGTTACGCGTGCAAGCCCATCCGACGTGCGTGTACTTATTCTTCCTCTACCCGAATTTCTCACCCTGCTCAGCAGACCCGTCTTTTCATCTGGCCTGGGCCCATTCTCGAGGACGGTCGGTGTCGCCACCATCGCCAATTACCTCGCGTCTTTGGAAGAGGTGGGTTCAGCGTCTTCTTTTCATATCGACCTTCTTCGACAAAATATGTTGATGATGCAGAATGAAGAATTGAATGGCGACGTCTGATGGCTGTAAGAAGCTGACTGTCTCAGTCACTGCGCCCTTTGACCGGCGTTTTTCGGAGGGCAATCGATAGGGTAATCGATAGGAATAGACTTTCGGATTGATCCGAAATGCCAAGCCTCCGCGAGATCCGATGTAATGGTTCAGGCACCATCTACATAACTAAGACGTCTAGTGCTCAAGAATTCATGTCTTCTTCATGGACCGCGATGAAATATTGTTTGAAAGCCCCATAGAATCATGACTAGATCGCACATAATTTGGAGCATTACTGTTGAACGTGTCGAAAAGCTCCCTACAAACACCTTGAAAGTGTTCGGTTTGACGTGAGCTGCTGATGATGATAGATGTTCTTCCGACTCTGAACGTAGTATACAGTCTGCGCCCTCAGCTTTGATCGAATACACCTGTCAACAACATCCCAACGATCATCACGACCGGTGCATAACCCCAATGGTTCCACTCTCCTCTGCCAATTTGAGCCTTACAAACAGCACCGTCCACGAGGGCGACGAGACCTCCTGCGATTAGAATTCCTCCTAGCGACTTAGGTTTCCCGAAATATGTTGCGGAATAGACGGCTACTCCCATGAATAAATCCCTTGCTCCGTACAGAATCATCAAGCTATCGACGAGCTTCTGGTCAACAGCTGCTGCTGGTAGGTCGAACTCGAAGACTTCAAACGCATTTCGCGGTCGGAAGATGGCATTGAGACCGAAGCCGGTCCAGATCAAGGCGAAGAGTGTGGCCGCATAGCCGAGGTAGGCAGAATTTGAGAGCTTTGATGGGGCCATGAGGAAATCTTTGAAGATGTTTTAGATCCGTAGAAATCGAGAAACTGTGGCTCTGAAAACGGGCGGTTAATACTGTAGGAAGAGTGGTGCATTTGAATACTGAGTTCCATTCGGGGGGCGGTTTACCCGTGCCGCCCCCTGACGCGCCAAGAGCTCAATATGCGGCTCTCATCGTATCAAACGCGATGTTTCTGGATCATTGCCATACCGTTTTGCTATGTATATGGCACAGCCACGCATTCACAGAGGCTGCCTTGTCAAGCGGACATTGATCGCTCCGCGTATACGGTCGCTTAATAGCCCAGAAGGCTCATATCCCCACGTCCAGCCCACAGTTTCATGTGCATGTTGCTTCAATCTTAGCTCGAAGAGCGAAGGATTTGACTTTGCCTTCGGTGATCCTTCAAGCTTCTGCTATGTCCTCGTATTCACGCCATGCAGATGCTCTCTTCTCTTTTGCCTGCCTCTACCTTGTCCTTCATCGTTCCCTTTCGTTTCCCCCTACTTCCATGAAGGATGAGGTTCAAGACCAGACAAGCACCAGCTAACAAATCGCCTGACGACTTTATACGTCGGTTTTTCCACGCAGGTAAGCCCTTGCGTTCCGTTCCATAAGCATACATGTCGACTGACTGTAACATAGCTGTGATCGCAAACACATTTCTGTACATTGATGGAGGGCAATTCTCATACATGCAAGATGGCAGCCCCGTCTATGACTGGGGTGAGTTCCGCTCTACCTACCCTTACACTACAACATATGAATGACTGTTGAGCCAGCTTCAAACACCCTCTCCCTCGATATGTCCAAGGATTGGACGAATTCTACCGTCTCTTTCGGTTCCATCGACAAGCCATCAGGCGCACCATCCCTCTTCGGCGGATCCTTATCCTACTATGCTCCCAACAACGTGATCTACTCCGGCCTTGCAGGAAGACCTGACGACTATGAAAATGACTTCAATGGAACATACCCAAACCCACCCAATCTGTGGGCTTTGAAACCAGACAATCAGGGTGGCGGCACATGGTCCCAAATATTAGACTCAGATGCTCCCGTCTTGAAGAGTGTGACTAGGCCAGTAGATGCGGCAATCGCAGCAGGACCGAGGGAAACTTGGTTCCTAGGCGGTGGTGGTCTCGATGGCAGTTCCTTGGCAAATATGCTGCAATTTGACATGGAGAACCAACAATTCAACAATGTGACGACGAAATTTGACTCAGTATGGCATGGAAAACTAGACTACGTGCCTGTCTACGGTACGGACGGTATTCTAATAGCCTTCCCAGGAGACAGCAGATACGGACTCATCGATTTCAGCACCGTGGAGGTCTATGACGTGACGACACAGGCATGGTACAACCAAACAACGACAGGAGACTTGCCAATCCCTCGAAAGGATCATTGTGTTACTGGGGTAGCTTCAAGCCAGCAAACTTATGAGATCTTTGTTTATGGCGGGTTCCGTGGTGACTTGGGGAACGAAACAGTGGCATATGATACAATCTCAATCTTGACTCTACCCGCATTCCATTGGATCAGTGTACAGTATACGGCAGAACACCCGCGCATAGGCCATTCCTGTCATGCTGTGGGGGAAGCCAGATCTTAGTAGTGGGTGGTGGTGATCCGGCTGCTACCACTGCCGACAAAGCAGACTACACCTCACAGACTGAAAAGGCGCAAATCAGTACGAAAGATCCCAACAAACAAGGTTTAGGTATATTCGATATGACGACGCTTCAATGGAATGACCGCTATTCGGCCTCAGCGTCAGCCTATAAACAGGCAGAACAGGTCAAAACGTTTTATGACGCAGCTGGAGAGTGGGTTCCCCGTCGTTACCATTTCTCGATTTAGCTGACGAAACGGCAGTTCTTACAAACAAGGTCTCCTTCCGGAAATCTCTTCACTCATGCAAAAGGCACATTTCGATCATGGTAAGTTGATCGCTTGGCTTTCGCACTTCACTCTAATCATTGTCCCGCCTTGCAGTCACCAACTCAACATCTACATCTACCACATCCGCCAAGTCTGATAGTAAGACTACCAACAAAGGCGCTATAGCAGGTGGCGTTGTCGGCGGTATCGCTGCTCTTGCGCTTATAATTGGCGTTAAAAGGCTGCTTCGGCGGCGTCGGCAGCGACGCAACAATGTTGCCGAAAAAGATGCCTTGCCGCTAAAACCAGAAGATCAGGCTTACATGAGCGAATTGCACAATACTCAAAGGCCTCACGAGATGGACAGTAGGCCCATGCATGAAGTTGATGGCAACTCCAACCAGCCGAACATGATGGTAGAGCTGCAATGACAGGAATGGCGATGGCGTTGAGGTTGGGTATGAGAGTCTTGTGAGTACGATCGCCTTAATGGATTGTATGAGAATGTACAACTAATGCTGGAGGGTTGTGCAGATACTTGTGATTGACTAGTCCTCCGAATATAGTATCTTTCTTAATTTCTCTCAGTTCATGTCTTTCAATACTTGCATTAGAGGGATAAATGCATAATGTTGTCCGGGGTAGCGGACGCGTGACCCATCGTGCACCGTGCCTTCCCAGAATGGCCAAAAAGGACGCTAGTAGTGACAGAAAACAGACTCGAAATTTTCCTTCCTTCTTTTCTCCCCAACCTTTTCAGAATATGTCGTGGATAATGCAGCTTTACACATCCTTGGTCCCTAATTTGGACCTAAAGAATTTCCTGAGCATAATCTGCGTACCACTGATTGCGTATTTCATAGGTTTGTGGTTTAAAAAGCTCGCCGGTGTTGCCACCGTGCAAGGTAAGCCCTCTTCGTCCCCACAAGCTCTTCCCAACCCATCAGCACATCTCTACCTCGTGACGCACGTCACATGTGGCCTTGCTGACGTGTCGTTCTATCAGCGGTGGGGCCACAATTCTTCTTGGCTTTGGCCATAGATACAACCAAAGGAATGATCGTTGCTCTCGTCTGCCTTTTAATCAAAGTGTTGATGTAGGCAACACCGACCCCAACTGATGACGTATCTTTTGATGCCGAGGAAGGGGGTCCCTGAAAGCTGTCATGGCTAAAGGGGAGAATCAGACTACAACTGATGACGTATCTTTTGATGCCGAGGAAGGAGTATCTCCCGAGGCTGTCACGGCCGAAGGGGGGGCACTGAAGCTGCCTGCTGTGCAGCAAAGGCTTTGGTCTCAAGGTTCGGGGTGTGTAGGCCTGTACTCGCGGCCGGGGCAACGCTGAGTACCTAGAACCACCACCGGAAAAGACCGGGATACTCGTAGACCGGGATGGACTGGGAGGGGTATATCACCCCGGGCTGTCACGGCCTGGGGCCCATTATAACTCAAGAGGGCTTTTGGTCACACAGTAGCTGGGCTGTTGATCACAGAGGGCTTTTCATCTCAAGAGGGTTTTTGGTCACAGTAGCTGGGCTGTTGATCACTGAGGGCTTTTGATCACACAGTAGCTGGGCTATTGATCTCAGAGGGCTTTTGATCACACAGTAGCTGGGCTGTCGATCTCAGAGGGCTTTTGATCACACAGTAGCTGGGCTGTTGATCACAGAGGGCTATTGACCCTATATGGGACTTTTTTTCATCCTATCCAGCGCCTAGTGCACTGATAGGAAGAAGAAATGAGCTCTAACGATTTGTCCAATAATGGAATGTCCTGTCCCAAACTCATTTCTTGGCAATCTGAAAGTACAAAACGTCGGGCTCTATAATTCTTGCATGAAATAGTGCGAACTAGCGTTACACAACAAATTGTGCCAAAGCATACAATATCATAGAATGTATCTACGTCTCCAACCCATCTAACATCAGCTCATGTCTCTAGGTCTTCGGCAACGACTGCCCTATATGTAGCTGAATACAGGTCGAGATGCAGGTAAATATCGTGCTTCGCGCTTTACACTCGAGTCATCACAAACCACACCCGCTAATCAAGACAGCCGGTAATGGCAAGCTTTCCAACAAAGATTTCTATCGTGTGACTCTGCCGCTGAATTTTGCAAGTTGGGGACACATAATCCTTGCACCCTTTCCAGCATACCGGCAAGATACTGCTTCAGGTAAGAGGCCTCTAATCAAGGTATGTTCGACTCAGCTCTACTAATCGGATTGGCGCAAAATCAGTGCATCCTCAAATGCAACAACCGATAGGTACGTGTACCTCACAAGCTTCAATCGGGAGTACGAAGCCTATGTTTCATGTTAGGATATTCAAATTGAAGTGATGTCAATCATGAAGTGTATTGTCACCGACGATCATTGCAATCAATCCCTCCGCAACTTCCAGTCTTCCCATTCATACCCAGGTTTACGTTGACGTTGGAATAACGCTAAAACCCAGAAACATAATGCCAAGAAGATCATGAGCACCGAGAACGCCTCTCCGAATTTCCGGCAACGAGTTTGCCCATATCTTACACCAATGAGGACTAAAAAGGCACCGAAAATAAGGTTGATGCAGATATAGCCACCTATGATGACAAAGCAACACCCCTGGTGCACCTGTAGTCGGGGAGGGCCTGGTGAAAAGTAGCCAAACCGATCGGGGATTCGTAATGTACGAGATTGAATGCGGTACCCGGTAATTCCAACGGCAAGGTGAAATGGGTTGAGCTGGTTGTTGACTATTTGTTCAGCGAAAACGAATTGAAGCTTTTCGCCAATGTTGATGACGAAATTGTCAATCGTAGCAGGGCGAAGAGGGTTGAGCTGATTATTGGCTATGTGATCGGCGAAGACGTATAGAAGGCTTGCGATGACGCTACTGACGAGTGTGTCAAGCATTTTCGTACGTTTTTAGTGATGTCGACTCTGTGGGAAGTGGGAAAAGATGTGACATTTTGAGGGGATGATATACCGTAAAGTGTTCAGTGCCAAGAAGACAAGCCACATTAGAAAGCCCCAAAACTCAAGGCGGAAGCCTGCAGAAGCGCTAAGTCGAATCAGGTCTAGTGACCCAGTCTCATCTTGCTGAGGTAATCGCATCATGCCAAGATATCGAAGAGCCTCAGACTCACTCACATACACTCAACGAAACGACAAGAATGATCAAGCCCATGCTTCTCTTCGGAACGCACTCAACTCTAATATAGCCACACGCTCATCAATTTGGCAGCATGGGAGTATCCAAGAAGAAGAGCGGTAGGACAAGAAAGACTCTTCCTACATTGCCTCCTTGATCCAAGTTCATCATGGGCGAGCCGAACATGCAGATGGACTCAGTAGGGAGCGAAGACACAGGATCTGAGTACGGGTATGATGAACATGAGACCGAGGTAAGCAAGACGTCAGTCTCTCAGAGCTCTTTCTGACTCCGTAAGACATTCTACGTCACCGTCGACCTCTCGTCTGCTGCTCCCTTGCGAGCCCGGAACAAACCCCACAAAGCAGCTCCAGCAAAGTCACAAGAGCCCCCAAATACTGTCAATGATGAGTCCGCCGGCGCTCTATCCCAAGATGAAGCTCAAGAGCCTCAAACGCGGCCTGAGAGCTCAAAATCCACCTCTCGCGCCCCCAAGACCAATCTACGAGCAAACCAAATACAAATTCTCGACCTACACACCACAAACCCCATGATATCCTACCAGAACCAGCTCTACACCTGTTCGTGGGGCACGGCTCTGGGAACGGACATCATCCTCGCACCCAAATATCCCTCCCCTGAAACCCCCATCACCCGTCCACTCGCAGATGCCCACGACCCAACGAGACCCGAAGCCACAGTCCTAGCAACAACCAATATCCGCCTCTCCGGGCGCCCCATAGAGGCTATTCCCCGCCCCGAAGCACCCTCAGCTCCCACTCCTCTCCCCACCTCTCTCCCGGCCTCCACCATCTCGCTACCACACCAGCCCACACTCCCACCAGCCAACCATACCAGCACAGTCAAGCATCTCGACCCGGGCCCCAACGCCTCCAAAGCCCGCACAAACCAAGCCGCCTTTCTCGAGCGCATAATGAAGAGCAAACAAGGGAAGGGGGAGACAGACCGCGTGATCACTAGCTTACCGGCGCCAAATCGGAAGTTCGATGATGAGGGGAACTTGATCCGTGGACGTGGTGGGAGGAAGGGAAGGCCGAGACGGAGGGGAAGTGGTAGGGGTGGGAGTGGAGGTAGGGGACGCGGAAGGGGCAGGGGAGGAGGAGGGGGAAGTTGGTGGGGAAGGGCGTTGGCTGGGGATGGGAAGGGGGAGGCGGCTGTGACGCCGAAGGCGTGGGAGGAATTGGAAGGCGGTGATGAGCGAACGAGGGAGGACGAGAATTTAGAGCCCAAGGGTAGCGATGGGATGGAGGACAGTATTGCGGATGTGGCTGAAGAAGAACGTGATGGTCAGGATGCAGATACCAGTGCAGGTTTGGACGGTAATGATGTAGATATGACTGACGTCTAGAAAGTTTTGAAACATAGTGCACCTGCAAGTCTCGGAATGTATCTAGAGGCTGCTGCATTCATTCCATTGCTATGTACTCTACAAAATAGTTGGATGGACCGATAGCCTACCTGTTGTTTTCGCCAAGAGATTCTGACTCTTCTTGCACGCGTGCTTTATCGATCGGCCAGGGGATGCTTGTTTCCGACACTATTGACATGACATGGTGGATGGCTCTTGTCGAGTTGTGAGCCTTGTCGGTGCTTCGGAGCTGACGGATGGTTCAGCATGGCAAGTTTCGAGGGAAAAGGGGTACGGAGGGTAAAAAAGGACGTTGGGAGGTTGTTAGTGCTTGGGATGAGTCGTCGGCATGCGCTGATGGGGTCTAACGTGGTTAGAAGTACTAAACGCTAGGAGATTACAGAGGGGCAATCGTAAGGGTAGGGATCGATGGCGGCATTCGTAGAGTTGGGAAAGGAGGAGGGCGAAGGAGAATGCTGGGGTTCAGTGACAGTGTGAATTGGGATCGATCGTTCGGGGCTGATCGTTCGACTCGAGGTACGCGATTTGTGAAAAAGGAAATGTTCGCCGTATTCGAGGACTCGACACCGTCTCGACGTGGAGATCGACCGGACTGTAGGAGAAAGCTTCTGAGTTATCTGTGAAACCGAGATCCTCCTACTTCCAATGATAAAAGCACTTCAATAAGCAAGGGAGAGTCTCCGCAAGCAGACCTGCCTGTAAATTTCCTTTTCACCTTCTCAGTATTCCTCCGCAATTCTATTGCCGCTTTGACGATAGCGAACGACATTCGAATTAGGAGCTTATTCCGCAGTGTCGAGTTCGTCGTGGGTTATGGGAACCGGGGACCTCATCTCGTCTAATGGTTTTAGCAATGCAGCACAAGGCGATGTGCCAAGTGATCTCACCTTTGCGATTGTCAACCTCTTCAAGTGGAGGTTCTTCGTCATCGCGACGACGGTCAACATCTTTCATCTCTCGATCACGGTCCTCTGGGCTACGAGAACGAGCACCATCGCGGCGATCATAATCGCGGTCCCGACGATCATCACGATCACGGCCACGGTCACGGTCGCGGTCATCATAGTCACGCTCGCGACGGTCATCTTTGCGAGGGGAATGCTCATCTCGGCGGCGGCCAGGAGAGTATGAGCGGCGACGTGGGGAGCGCTCGCGTCTGGGAGGACGACGCTCTTCACGACCAGAATCGAAGCGCCAGGAGGCTGAAGGAGGGGTTCGTGCCCACTGAATACTGTCAGTCCCTGGTTCAAACATTGTGCGTGCAGAATACTGACTTCAATCTTCAATAGATCATCACGGCCGATTCTCACGTTGTGCATCTCATGATAGGCATCATCTGCATCGCGACGACTCTCATATTCGACAAAGGCGAAACTACTAAATATATCAGTCAAGAGTTCTCCATTAGACGTGTTTCCTTACAGTCGGCTAGAGGCACTCCTAGGAGCTGGAATGTCGCAGCGCACAAGGCGTCCGTAGCTACCTCAAGTCAGCATTTGGTCCAGCCATTCTTTGTCTCCATTATCGCCGTCCACCACACCAGGACACTATGAAGACAGAAATTTCGCTATTTCGCTCTCTGTTCTCGTCCGAAGGCTTTTGATCGATTCGCTGAAGCTCGGGGGGAGGATGGGGAGGAGGGCTCGGAGGAGCGTGATCGAGGGATTTCGTACCGTTCGAATTCGTAGGCAAGATCACGAGCGCGTGTGCCTTGACCGAAGCCGGTCACGTAAAGCGTTGTTCCGCCGCGAGAACCCATACTCGATTTCAATTCAATTTGAAGTCAGTGTGAATGAAAAGGCAGGACAAGGTAACAGAATTGAATAGAGAAACAGGCATCGGCAGAGGATCGAAATTGGCAACGCTAAGGAGCTGAGTCAGCAATATCTTGGCACAATAGGACATCGAAATCCGCTTCGAGTTAGTGCCAAAGGGAGGGAACATAGCAGTAATTTTTGACGACGTTGAGCTTTGTTACACTAACATTTGATAAAAACATTCGTGCAACCTACCTATGTCTGACAAGGTTATAAAAAAGACTACTAATAATGCAATACAAGAGGAAGATCAAGCGTATGAGAGGGCAGAGCTCCTCGTCCCCAACCCTTAAATCTTAGACTTTTGCACCCCTAGACTTCAAGAACTCAATCATCTCATCCCGCCCCTTCTCACTCGCCCTCATCAAAGGTGTCCTATCAAATGGATCTCGAACCTCAATCCCAGCACCCTGATCCAGTAACACTCGCGCTATTTCAATATCTCCCCTCTCAGCAGCCTTATGCAGCGCCGTACCCTCTTGGATCTTCTTCCGCCGGTCTCCAAAATCGTGCACCCCAACCTCGTCGATAGCTGCTCCCCGCTCGAGCAGGAAGCGTACCATTTCCAGATGACCGCGGCCTGCAGCTCCGGGGAGTGCCGCCGTTCCGGACACGTGTGCGCCGTGCTCGAGAAGCATGGTCGCGAGGGGGAGGTGGCCTCGCTCGGCGGCAGCACAGAGGGCGCTTGTACTATCGGCCATCAGATGGCCAGAGTTGGGATCTGCGCCATGTTCGAGTAGCCAGCGGACAAAATCAACCTACTGCCAGTGTTAATACGACGACCGATCACGATACACGCGCTGGTTGGGGAAGGAGGACGCTGCTGCTGACCTTGAGCTCCCAGACCATGTTGATCAGTAAGTCACCGGCGGACTCGAAGTCATCGTTGATGTCCAGAAAGCCGGCTGTGATGAGGACCTTGCAGACTTCTGGAAATTCTCCGTTCTGGGCTTCGCTGATATCGTCGTCACTGGGTTTCGCACCTCCATCCAATAACCGGCGGAGGGTGTCTACATCGCCTGTCCTAATGGCGCGACTGAGCGGGCTGTTTTCTTCTTGAGTCATGGAAGTTGACATCCTTATCACTATTCGCAGCACTTGTGTGCTATGAGGGCAGGCTTGTCAGATACGTTTGCTACGTCACGCGCACAAGACTGGAAACTTACGGCTCTAATTCATTGGCGTGGATGGTGATGGTCATTTATGACTTGAGTTCTGGCTCTGAGGAGCTATGGGGGAGAGTAGCACAGAGATCCTTCCAAGCTGTCCCTGCAGACCAAGTAATTTGCTCGACAAATTTCGAAACCTTGCTGGTTGGGTATGGAGCAGCTGGAAACTTCGCCCGAGGCGTACTGGGCCCCAAATGCAAATTCGGATATGGCCCAGCATTCAACACGAAACAGGCATTGTTGACGACTCGGATCTATTGTCATGGATGATGATCGTGATGCTGCGCAAAATCAACAGAGTTTTGGGGTCCGGTGCGTTAGGGCTGACAGTCTCCGAGTATATCTGCGAATCAGCGTCGTCTCGGCGAGCTGTATCCTCAAGTACCTACAGCAGGGGCTGGCCTTGCCAAGAGCGCCGCCACAATACTAGCCTGTTTCTCGCGAGCGGAGCCGGATTCCGCTACCTGCTGGTGCCTGCCGCTTGACCCAACAAGGGCAAGCTGCGCCGCTCCGCCTCATGATGCTACAGGAAGAAGAAAAGACTAGGCCCTATTATTGGCATGTCAGCTGAACCCCACGTGTTTCAGACCGATTAAGATATCTCCAGGTTTGCCCTACGCCCCATCGCTGGAGGATGACGATCCAAAAGCTCCGAGGATAAGATTGTTAGGAGATATGCTGCCACTGACAGTCTGGCTGAGCATGTCTCAAATCGGCCCGTTCCCGATGTCTCAGATCACTACCTTAACCTTGCGGTGCAGTCTATGGGGACTTTGTATATGCATATCCTGACTTATTCAAATGGAGGTCTCGTAGTGGCTGCCTGACAGGACGAGGGTCAGCGATGCCAACCGTTGAAATCGTTTGACTACCTAAAGCTCAAACCAAACTGTCCGTAGTCCAAATTGGACCGACTCTCTAGGCAAGCGACTAGTCGGTCTGCTCAAACAGCTGGCGGTCCACCCAATCGTTAGCAACGCTAAGAAGGATATTTTGACCCTGAGGCTGCGGCACAGCCGAAGAATCACGTTTCCAAACATTCGGGTGGGTGTAGTGGCCATGGTCTTCATTTGATACTACTCGTTGCTCTGCACCTTTGCCATCTCGCCATAGGATACCCTGCTCGGAAGATTTGTCTTCTAGTTACCTTAGTGATTGAGGCCGCTCATCAACATGAGTTGGGTATCCCTACTCATCTGTGAGAGCTCGCGTTCTATTCCTCCGCCATTTCAGCATTGGGGGCTGGGCTGGGTATCTGATGTCCTTCATGTCATTACCGGTCCGTAGCGCTCGCAGGTACGGCGCTCTAAGAATTTAGCGCCCGGGCGACCGTGCTTTTCATCAGCCCAAGGACGTTTCGAGCCTCTGACGGCGTCTGCTGACTGGATCCAATCATAAGGCGTGATATTTGCATCTCTCACTCGCACATGGGTTCCTCCAGCCTCTTGGGTCATCGTAGCCTGGCTCGACATGGTAGCGCGTGGCTCTTGGTCACTGTGACGCCGCCTCCTGGGTGATGATTGTCGGCGAAAATCGCAGTGAAATGACAGCTGGTGCTCAATATGCCCTGCTAGCGTACTATTTTTCCAAGATCCTACAAGGCTAAGGCGTCACTCTCCTCACACTATTTCAGTACTATCATCATGGCAGTGAAGAGCACTGTAAGCACAACAAGTGTCCAGCTCGCCGAGCAGTCCCATTTCCCAATACTCCACCTCCTACTGCGCCGCCTCCGTCAATATCACGGGAGGCGAGGATGGGCCCCAAATGACTGGGTTTCATCAGCTCTTCCACTATGAGGCTAAACTGTGCTTCCTGAAAGATACAAATATTATGGCATCTCTCTGCATCACCTCTCAGCTCGTTCGACCACATCAACAGACTCCTGAGCCTTCGATCTTAAAACCACATTCGTGCACATTCTGGTCTCCAGCCAGTATTGATTGACCATGTATCTAAACAAAGGAGGCTCCAATTCGCTCTTCGGCCGTCTTGGCTACATCTTGTCCCTTCTACTCCTGATCGGCATCCTGCACCAGAACGTCGCCTTAGGATCTCCCCTGGCCAAGCGTGATGATGACATCGAGCCTGACGATCCAGACTCCGACAACGATGACCAAGACACCGGCTCCCCATTTTCACCTACCGTTGACAACTATCCAGATCTCACCAAATGCCGCGAGAAGGTCTCCGTCGCCAAGGATAAGTCCGTCTTCTACTCCGGTGTTGGCAAGCACGAGGACAAGCCTCAAAGTTTCGCCGATCAGCTTCCTAATGGCGTCCTTTTACGTGAAGCATATCCCAGTGGTTTTACAGATAAGAACGATGACTGGACTGGCTACAAGAAGTTCCTTGAGCGTGCCAGCCAGGCTTTTGCGGAGAAAAGTTCTGGGATAGTTTATGTCTTGTTGCCGACGGACAAGACGGATATTAGCAAGAAAGTGTGGACGAAGATCGAGAAAGACAAACTTACAAGCAATTCAGCTGTTGAGAGGATCGTCAAGGTGGACCCAGATGATTTCACGAAGAAGTGTGTACTCTCAGGATCTGCGGACAATGATTTATCGAGTTGCGATCTCGAGAATGGACCTGTGCCTGGTTTGCCTCTCTTTCCTTCTCCTCTTTCCCCACCCTTATACCCAACCCGCTGACCTTCTACCCAGGCAAAGACAGCAAAACGTTGGGCTACACCCCCGGCTGGTGCGGCGTGCACGTTATCCAATACCAGAAAGCAAACCCCAGCGACCCATCCTCACACTACCACCTCGACGTCACCATCTACGACGGCGCGCAGAAGCAGATCGGCCAAGTGACGAACCAAGACGCGCCCTCGGGACAGGGCGTCAATGTCGACAGCGCGCTGCCTTTCGTCCTTATCGTTACGGCGCAAAACGTAGATGCTGATGCTGTGCTATTCAAGTACGCAGATCAGTCTTGGGGGAGTAATGACCAGGATCATCATTGTGATTTTGGAGCTTATGACAGTGGGAACAGGTATGTGTTGATCCCATGCTATCGAATCTGGTTGAGAGGAAGAGGGGCTGACGCATTGATGTTTTAGGGACGGCAATTGTGGATTCAGTTGCTAGAGGGTCTTCAAAGCCTTCGAGCTGGTTACGCCAATCTTATCTCGGTGTTTGGTTTGGAAACGAAAAGTTGTCGAAGCGTCGGACGTTAATGACTTTTGAACGTTGCTCACTAAGGGAATTTGCGGGAGTTGGGTGCGTTAGAGCTTGGTCGGCTTCTGTTGGTACGATGTAGTCTTCGTATCAAGAACATAAAGCATATAAATTTTCAAACTCATTGAGCGTCATCTGATGGTTGAAATACTTAAGAATCTATTTTGAGCCTCTCCCAAAAGGGTTAGAAATATGTATCGTTCCGAAAAGCCCAGAGTATCCTGCCAGCACCCGAATCATAAAGAGACAATGCTACCATTACGATGAAGAAGATGGGAATTCACGGAATGGGCCATTGTCCGTGTTGACTTGAAGTCAGTCTGTACGGAAGGTGCCGTCAAAAGTTCTGACCCTGTGAAAACTGGTCCCATAAGGAACCCCGATAAACCTTTATAAGCTTCACTTATAAGATCGCTCCAGGGGACCCTTCTAGGGGACCCACCCCCTGGAGTATTGGCTGGGCTAATATTTCACGCTAAGTACGGTAGCCTGATAGGTAGGGTCAGAACTTTTGACGCCACCCGGAAAAGGCACCACAGGCGTCGGCACTCGGCAAATTGGCAACGCTAAGTAGATGAGTCAGCAATCTCTTGGCACCAAATTTGGATGCGGCGCCGAAGGGTGAATCGAGCTTCTCCATTCGTCTCCTATTGCCTCTCTCGCACTCGCCCCTGCGCTATCGAGAGTCTCGATCGCCACACAGGATGCTAGATAAGCATCAACAATCATTATAACGTCGTATCACTTCCTCCAAAACATCTCAGCCCTTTTAGGCACACCGACGCTTCAACAGCCTCGTAGCATTTCACCATCGAAACACCAACGATCACCTGCATTCTATGGCCTGTGACCTCAACCGTCAGAGCGGAGATCCCCTTTTCTTCTCCTACACCTCGTTGCCGCGACTCAGTATTCCTTGTCTCCACTTATCGACGTCCTTTGGCACACAGCCTTGCCGGAGTCAACATCATAGCCAAAGACATCTGAGAACGAGATTCGATCTCCTAAACATTACACTACTTCCTCCAGAATCGAGATAAAAATTGCACCATAACAATTTCCACTAAACGGAGAATATACACCTGAGTCTTTCAAAATGAGTGTCGATCGCCAGACCCCTTCGGCTAAGGTCAAAGGGGAAACGCCGAATCCAATTGCGAAGCTGCCTGAAGAGTTGACACGCATAATTCGCATACGACATTTTGTGTCTCAACCATTCACGTCATCCTTCATTGCTGGAGGCATGGCTGGGGCAGTCTCGCGAACGCTTGTTTCTCCTCTCGAGAGGCTAAAGATACTCTTACAAGTCCAAAGCGTTGGACGGACAGAGTACAAGCTCTCGATATCACAAGGTCTGCAGAAAATGTGGAGAGAAGAAGGCTTCAAAGGGTTCATGAGAGGAAACGGCTCGAATTGCATACGGATTGTACCATATTCTGCTGTGCAGTTCTCGAGCTACGGGTTTTACAAGAGGGTATGAATTTTACACATTCTATTTTCTGATCTGCGAGTGGTGTGACTTGCTGACACCTACTTCCCAGCATCTTGAAGCCTCACCAGGCGCAGGCCTACCACCACTCGAAGGACTTTTCTGCGGGGCATGCGCTGGTATCACGGCCGTCTGCTTCACCTACCCACTCGACATCGTCCGCACGCGATTGTCAATCCAATCAGCCTCCTTCTCTTCTCTCAGTGAACTTCAGAAGCAGCAACTACCAGGGATGGGTCGCACGCTGGTCAACATGTACAAAACAGAGGGTGGCTTACGAGCTCTTTATCGAGGCATCATACCAACCGTGGCAGGTGTAGCGCCTTACGTTGGGTTGAACTTCATGACCTATGAGCTTGTGCGGAAATACTTCACGCCCGAAGGCGACAAAGATCCGAGTGCATGGAGAAAGCTATGCGCTGGTGCTATCTCGGGAGGCTTTGCGCAAACCTGCACATATCCATTCGATGTTTTAAGAAGAAGATTCCAGATCAACACAATGAGTGGAATGGGATACAAGTACAACTCAATGTGGGAAGCAGTGGCGACCATAGTCAAGCATGAAGGTGTACGTGGGATGTACAAGGGCATCCTGCCGAATCTCCTCAAGGTTGCCCCCAGTATGGCCAGCAATTGGCTCACTTTCGAGTTGACAAGAGATATGCTACGGAGCCTGGATGACGAGGGCGAGAAACAGAAGGTCGCATAAGGGATGGTGACCATAATGAGTGGATGCTGTTATGCGTTGGATCTGAAAGGCGTTGACGAGTGGCATTGATACCCAATCCTTTATTCTCACCTTGAGTGAATATACTGACCGGCCTCCATCGATCCTTGTACATACTCATAGTTTCCAATTCTTGGGTACAAAGTGTTTTCGGATAGACAATGCTCATAGACAATCAAGGAGGCATGTAAAAGACTACTGCCGTTCACTCTCTCGTTTGCAACCAGTAAATTATGTACCTATTGCCGGAGGCGATATGTAAAGTGATTAGTAAGCTTTAGTGCCACTTTGCCCCTGGCCCAAGCGAATTCGGTGACTTGACTCACACATCATTCAAATCATCACATTCTTTTACAAATTCCTGTCCAAATAGGCGGCTCTTCATACCACGAGTCATCTTGAACCTGGTCATCTTGCAGTCCCGTTTTCTTTTAATTTGACTTGCATTTGACCTCAATCAAAGTTGATTCGCATTCCCCACATTTTCGTGAACGTTCCTTTGTATATCCAAAAAATCATGTCAGTAACAGATTCGTCTCCTCTTGAGATAGCCAAAGCAGCATCGATATCATCCCGAAACCTTGCAATCACAGACACTTCATCCCGAAACGATGCGTTGACGGCAATACATGGCGCACTCTCCGAAGCCAGAGAGACAATCCTGGCAGCCAACGCTGAAGACCTCAAAGCCGCGAACAAAGCAGCTGAGGATGGCAAGTTGAGCCAGAGCGTCATCAAACGACTAGATCTGAGTCGACCGGGCAAGTACGATGATATGTTGAAAGGAATTTTGGATGTGAGAAAACTTGAGGATCCTCGTAAGCCACCACGAAATATGTGATACTGCACTCCATGAGAACTAACGTATCGTACGATGGGTCTTAGAGGATATGCATCATCTGACTTTCATGGCACATCCACACTGTTGGTCTGGCGGGCCTCTCATGGAGGTGTGATGCATGTCCTTTGAGACCCTGTACGACTCAGTCAATCAGACCACTTTGAAAACGATCCTAGACGATGAACTGGTGCTCGAACGTGTATCGTGTCCGATTGGGGTGCTACTCATCATCTTCGAGGCACGCCCTGAAGTCATCGCCAATATCTCGGCTCTGGCTATCAAGTCCGGTAATTCAGCGATCTTGAAAGGTATGATTGACTCGGTTTTCTTCATTCTGCAATTCATAGCATTCTCCCATCAGAATATCCTCCTCTGCCCTCTTACGCAGACTCCTCACCTCTGTCATAGGCGGCAAAGAAACGACTCTCTCCTTCCTCGCCATCTCCAAAGTCATATCATCCGCCTTGTCAACAACGCAGATCCCCAATTCCAGCATCCAACTCGTCACCACCCACGCCGATATCGCCTCTCTCCTCGACTTAGACCAATACATCGATCTTGTCATTCCTCGAGGCAGCAGTGACCTTGTTCGGTACATCAAAACACACACCCGCATCCCTGTCCTAGGTCACGCCGACGGCATCTGCAATACGTACGTAACCGCCTCCGCCGACCCATCGATGGCCGTCAAGCTCGTCCTGGACGCCAAATTAGACTACTTGGCTGCCTGTAACGCACTCGACATACTCTTGATCGACGAAGCAGCCCTCACCACCGTCCTGCCACCTGTAGCCACAGCCCTGATAGAGAAGGGCGTCAGCCTCCGCTGCGACGCAAGCAGCAAGACTGCCCTCTCATCTTCACTGCCAAGGTCTCAATCCGTTCTTCTCCAAGACGCCGAAGACAAAGATTTCTCAACCGAGTTTCTGGGCCCTACCATCGCCATCAAGACTGTTCCTACCCCAACAGCATCCAGCGCAGACAACATCGCCACCGCCGCCTGCACCCTAGCGATCGCGCACATTAACGCAAATTCTTCGCATCACACCGACGCGATCATCACCGCAGTCCCATCGTCCTCTGACTCCACTGATGAGAAGATCGCACGACAATTCCAGCGCGGCGTGGACTCAGCGTGCGTATTCTGGAATACGAGCACGAGGATGTCGGATGGGATGCGCTTTGGATTCGGCACTGAGGTGGGGATCTCGACGAATAAGATCCATGCGAGAGGGCCGGTGGGGTTGGAGGGGCTGACGATCTATAAGTATCTGGTTAGTGGGCGGGGACAGGGCGTTGGTGATTATGCTGGTGAGGCGGGGAGGAAATGGAGGCATGAGAAGGTTGTGTGAAATGATCGGGGGTGGAATCTGTCATCGTGCTAATTGGAAAAGCTTCGATGTGACCTCATCTTGGTGAATTCAAGTGAGATGAAAAGGTTTGAAGATAGACATGACCTTTAGGAACCGATGTTCCCATCTACCCAATCCCATGCACATTCCGCTTCGGCGCTGTCAAACGGCCCTAGAAACTCCCTTCTCCTGCATCTTCTTCTTCCTGCTAAACCATACTCCCAACGCCCTCACCCACCACCGCACCACCATCCCCAACCCCACTCCCCTGATCACACAACCCATCACACCCCCTTCTATCCTCCACAAACCTCACCACCAACCAGCCCCACGTGCCACAAAGCCTACACCCATCATCTTCGAGCGCATGTAAGCCGTATCTAACCACCATGGCGCCCATCTTGATTCCGCCCGTCTCAGGAGGCGGCGGTGGTGGTGGGGATGGTGGTGGCGGTGGGGAGGGGGAGGAATTGAAGACGCAGTATCCGCTTTTCTTGAGGAAGGGGAGGTAGGATGCTATGGAGGGGATGCAGAGAATTTTTGCTACGGGTGGCTTCAGTTGCAGGAATGAGGAGGGAGTAGCGGGGAGGGTTGAGGGTTGGGCGATTGAGGAACGGGGGGGGAGGGTGCTTACTGCCGGGGTCGTATTGCGACGTGTCTGGCATTACGCCGTCAGCTAGGGCTGTGAGCCAGGGGATTGCGGAGACGTGGGAGGCAGGGCAGGCGGGCTCGTGATCTTCTGTAGAAGATGGCTCGTTAGTTTAGGAGATTCATGGCGGGGCGGGACTTACGGCATTGTGGAGTAGGGAGCCCTGTGGTGTTTGTTTCTTGTATCGTCGCAGAAGACAGAGATAGATATAAACATAGCAAGAGGAGCAGGTAGCGGAGAGAAGGATGGGAGTGGGGCATCTCTGTCGTGGAGCTTCGTCGAGAGAAGGAGCTAAGAAACTCCGAAGCATGGGATTTTGACTATTGCATCCTCATGCGCGTCCTAAGACGGCTGTGCCAAGGAGAATTGTTCAGAAGAAAAGGATTCGTTGAAGCGCATAATATACTATAAACGGCACTTAGACGCGACGACTGCTAGCGAAAGACCACAATACGACGTACGCAAAGTTAAAATGACCCTTTCCTCACTGTGATCTCGTTCCTCAGTCTTAGTTTGACCCAGACAGGCTCTTTCTCAATCGTGAGGAACACTTTCAGTGTCTGCCAATCCAGGATCGAGCCATGTTCCTCGGGTGCCAAAAAGTCGAAATGCCATACCAGCTTCGCAAGAATAAGTCTCATCTCACCCATCGCCAGTTGCTTCCCAATACAGCTTCTAGGGCCATGGCCGAAGGTACGAACGGCGCTGAGGTGATCGTTGATGTGTTCGGCTGGGCGGGTTGCTTCTGGGAACCATCGTTCTGGAATGAATTCTTCCGGCTTATGGAACAGAGATGAAGATCTGTAGATTGCTGCAGGAGAGACACTGACATGAGTGCCGGCAGGAAGATGAAGACCGCAGACTGTTGTACCGCCTTTCGGGGCAACGCGAGGTAGGCCCGAGGGGATGGGGTTGCATAAGCGGAGGGCTTCGTGGATGACGGCGTTGAGATATGGCAGATCATTGAGTGCAGCAATGGTTATTTCGGATGGCGAGGAGAAAGTGGAGCGAACTTCTGACGCTAATAATTCCACAACTCGGTGTTCGCGGAGGAAGTAGGTAGTGAGGCCGGTCATTGTCGTCGCTATCGTTTCGCTGCCTGCCACCACTAACATGAAAAATGATGCCTCGATCTCACCAAGGGTCATTCCTTTCCCTGCTTGATTTTCCGGGAGGATGCCTTGTTTCAGTAAAGGCGTCATTAGGTCAGCTCGTTGTTTCTCGATGCTCATCCGCCGGTGGATCTTCGCGACGGCTTCTTGATAGTGATTCTCTGCAAATTTGAGTAGACTCTTGGGGACGAGGAATGTTTCAACAAGAAACGAGAACCATGGGTAGAAGCGGGGGGCGGCCGCGAATATTGCGGCCTTGACAAATGAGAATATCAGAGTGATCCAAGGATGTAAGGCATTATTTTTGAGGCAGTCAAAAGATTCACCCAATACCAGGTCACCAATGATGTCAACAGTCGTGTAATTGAATCGGTCCACTACGTCGGTGGTGACCTCCATTCTCTCTGATCCCGATAACTCTGCCTTCTCCACTAGCTGTGAAACCAACAAATGGACGTAAGACTCAACAATCGGTTCCTGGCCTTTCAAGGCTGCTGGAGTAAATGAATGGTTGAGCGCCCGTCGCATACGAGCGTGATCTTCTATCACTGGTGTACCAACGACATTATGGGGCATATACGGCGGGGGCGTGAAGTAAACCATATCTTTCAGGCACTGATTGTAGCCTGGCCGGACACCAAGAACCTCATTCCATGCTTCTTCCTTCGCAAAAGAGATTTCATCTGGTGCCAAGCGAACGATCGTCCCATACTTCTCGTGAATCCTCTTGACGTCGTGCGATATCTGGCCACTGGCGAGCGACATGATAAACCTTAGTCGTGTGGCAGCCCAAAACTTCGGTCCCGGGACGTTGGCAAATTCATGAAAGTAGAGGTTGTAAACAAGCTGGTAGACAAAAAGCTTCGTACCGATGTTAGCGTCTTCAAAGGACCGACGGAGCAAGATTTCGCTCATTCACCACTTACCAAAAGCAGTGATGCGAAACTTATCGTCAGAAGCATGGGGAGTGTGCCGCTTAGGTCAACACCTAGGATGGCCATAACGATAGTCTTTCAGGAAAAGTACAAACGCTCGTCAAGCGGAGACACAACAGAATTGAGGGAGAATAACAAAGTGTGCTGCGAAGTGGCTCGAACGGTCAAACGCAATTTGTAGAGTAGAGAGAAGAGGATGAGTGACGGAACGTTCAGTCCTCAAATGGCTCGACTGAAGTAATGCAAAATGCAAGCGACGAAGGTACAACGCACTTGGGAGAAAGTTGATTGACAGGTGGGGTTGGAGGGGACCTGGATGCGCCTCGCAGGTGTCATTGTGTACATCTGCACTACAACCTGCATGCACCATGATGTGTCATGCGAATGCCAATTCAGGCGGTTCGCAGTCCATGGCGAGCTCCGATGAATCTGCAGTACATCTTGTGCAAATAGAACTGTATCCAGAACAGAACGGAAAGTAGGATGAAATCTACTGGAAGAGCGATGTAGTGGCCTGAAAGCTGGAGGATTGAGGGAGAATCTTAGGGCTAGATGATTAGGGTTGAACGGCTGCGACCCCGGAGTTCGCGGGGTTTAGGGCGCCTACCGCGCCTTAGACCGTTGGCGCCTAAAGTCCTCGAGGAATGGATATCACACCCATTTCGACACCACTCGGACCGTCCACAATAGCTAGCTCAAGCATGGTCATAGCTCATACTGTGTTATCCATGTAGCTAGCAGCCTCTCACGAAGCCCTCTCTCCCTCTCCATTTTCCTAGAAGCCACATCTACATCCCACATAATGGACGCCCATGTGACTCTGCTCTTCAGCTTTCCCCCGCACCCACCTCCAAATCCTCCTCTCACAGACGCAGAATATGATAAGCAAGCCAGAAACTTCACCCATTCAATACAGAAGATCCCGCTCTCCAAATTGACAGGTTCTGTTTCCGGGGGCAGCTTGCTCGACGTGAGATTGCCTAAACCGTCCCATAGCTGCAAAGTGCTGATTGCTGCTCAGATTTTGAATCCTGCCATTAACTCGATCTCCTACTCACATGTCCTGCTGGCTCACATAATCGATCCGAGTGTAAAAGGAAAGAATGCGCCTGCAATACATGACGCTTTTGCTCCTGGGACGCCGTTATGGCAAAAGATGTTAGACTTCATGTCACACTTCGATCCTGTTCAAATACGTTACGCTGGAAGCGATGTTCGTACTATCATCGAAACGACTAATCACAAAGCCTTACTGGCTCAAGAGGTACATCCGAAGCCCTCCCATATCATTCTCGCGTACTGACAGAAACCAGCCAGCATCAGCTATCAACCCAATAAGAACCGCCATCTTGCGCATCGACCCTTCCGGCGCTACCTTCACATCCTCACACGTTCTCCTGATACGCTTGTGCTTATACGCTCGAGCATACGCTGCTCCACTACAAGTCCTTGACTCCGACATTTATCACTTTCCGGCCATGACGAACAAAGGAGCTGAAGCTGTTGCTGACAGCCTTGCTCCTTTCCCTTGCTCTTTCCATGAAACAAGCTCAACTTTCATAAACACTGCATCTGGACTCACTCGAAAATTAGACTATCAAGATCATTTAGAATATTTTTTACTTGGCGCAATGTGCTACATGGCATTGAAAGATTGGGATCGAGGCATGCTATTCCTTGAGCTCTGTCTCACTTCCCCTACCACAAATACGGCGAGCCGAATACAGGTTGAGGCTTACAAGAAATATGTTCTGGTTTCGCTTCTCCTCTACGGAAAGGTTCGTACACTCCTCGCTCTTCCTGGTCGTTACTGACGAGATGTTGTAGCTAGTGCCATTACCGAAGACGGCAAATGTTCAGACAGTCCGAATGTGCCAAAATTTAAGTAAACCTCACACCGGCCTTGCTGAGGTCTTCAAGTATGGTATTGACAAAGAAGAGCCTGCGACAAAGTTGATAGCAGAGGCGCAAGAGGGGAACAAGTTTTGGCAAGAGGAGTGTAATTTGGGTCTAGTACGGCAAGTTTTGGATGCCTACCGACAGTTCTCCGTGCAACGGTTGGGGAAGACATTCGCTGCGCTTCCCATACCAGAAATATCGAAACGGACTTCGTGGGATCCGAACGATCACGTGGAAACGGGCCAATACATTATCAAGCTTATCAGCGCTGGCCAGCTCAATGCGACAATTTCGGAACCTTCTGAAGATCCATCTACCTGGGTCTTGCGGTTCTTCAGCTCCTCAAACGAGGGTCCAAAAGCGCGGTCAGGAGAGCAACAGTTTGATGACTTGCAGCGACAGGTTGCAAAGGTCCAGACACTCATGTCTCACGTGAGAGAAACCGACCGGAAATTCGGGCTCAGCAAGGAGTACATCTCGGAGCAGAAGCGGCTGAAAAAGGGGGTGGGATGGGGGGAGAAGAGTTAACCTGGGCTACACCCACAGAGGCATTTGAGAACGACGAAGATATGATGGCAGATCTTCGATGATCCATTGAGAAAGATGAGCAAGATTTATTGCATTCTCTCGGCAATGTAGTGCGGCTATTTGCATAGCGAGGCGTTGGCTAGGAAGCAGACTCATAGCGGAGACTGCTTTCGTAGCTCTATCATTCCATCTTCCATCCATCATTCGTCCACCAGAACTGCTCTTCGCCTTATTTTATTAAATACCCCTTATTTCCGACCTCCGAGCCTCCTCCGATTCGGTCCCCAGCCGAACCAATCACATCCCCCAAACCGCCATCGGGCAAAACCCATTCCGTCATCGCATTTCCATCTTACTTCAACTCCTCTCCACCACTCACCCACCTACAAAGCAACCCCCATCAACCACAATGGCCACAATACAGCGAATAGTCCGTCCAGCCTCTCGCGCCGCCGCGCGCGCTCTCACAACCTCAGTCCGCCCTCACATCGCCCCCTGCATGGGCTCCTCCATCCTTCCCCTCGCCTACCCCAACCCAAACCCAACCCCCTCCTCAACCCGCTTCTACCACGAAAAAGTGCTCGACCACTACTCCTCCCCGCGCAACGTCGGCTCTCTCCCCAAGAACGCCCAGAACATCGGCACAGGGCTCGTCGGGGCGCCGGCGTGCGGAGACGTGATGAAACTGCAGATTCGCGTGAACAAAGATGATAAGACGGGGGAAGACAGGATTGAGGAGGTGAAATTTAAGACGTTTGGGTGCGGGAGTGCGATTGCGAGTTCGAGTTATTTGACGGAGTTGGTGCAGGGGATGACGCTTGAGGAAGCCGGGAAGGTGAGGAATACGGAGATTGCGAGGGAGTTGTGTTTGCCGCCTGTGAAGTGTGAGTCCAGCTCTATTTGTTTCTTGTGGTGGTATCGATGAGGGAGGAGTGTTTGGTGTGATGAAAGAGGTGCTGACGTTGGTGGTTTGATAGTGCATTGTTCTATGCTCGCTGAGGACGCGATTAAATCTGCGATCTCAAACTACTACACCAAGAACCCGAAGGCGAAGGCGACAGATTTGGGAGGAACGAGCGCCCCGATGCCGAAGGTAGAGATCGAACAAGTCATGAATTCGCCGCCGGCAGGGCAAGTTGGAGTTGCTGCTTAGGCGGCCATATGGAAGAAGAGAGGCTTACGCGAAGAGAAGAGAGAAGAATTGTGAAAAACAGATGCGCAGCGGTAGACATCTGTGCTTGAGCTTGCGTTGTGTTGGCTTGTCATAGCATTACTTGGATGGGCGTTGAGATTGTGATGAAAGGCACGTAGCATTTTTGTATTCATTAGGTCTACTCCTTCGACTACAGCATCGATTCATTGTCCGCGTCTGGTCCAACCTTTTCTTTGGTCGCTTGTTTAACAAGAGAGTCCTCTGTCGAAAAACCTTAAGACGTGATTTCACGACTGCCGAGGACAAATTGATATTCTGCTCTGTTTCGATACATGTGTTGTTAGTTCTTCAAGAGCAATGGCAAATCTCAGATGAATTGCATATTTATGTGCATAGCCAATACTGATATCGCGATTCCACCCTGGAACAACTCAAGTACTTGATCACCTTGGGTTTCCTGGGAGGATGAGCGGCTTGGCGCAGTCATGCTTGCCTTAAGACATTCGATCAATATTAGCTTGGTGAGGTTTGGTCATCACGATATACTGTCAAATGGCTGTCTTCACATTTTGAAATCAATTTTGTTCAGTCTAGGTAAAGACGGTCAATTTGCCGATGTTCTCGAATTTGACATCATTGGCATGGGTGAGGACCTCTATCGATCGTTCGGTAAGCTAGACCGAAAGAAGTTACTCGGGCTTAGGAAAGGAATGCCCTTGAATGAAACCCTGAGAGATTATGGTGAGGTGGGGGAGGTGAGGGAGAACGGCAAAGATACCTAACGTATGAGCAGGGGGAGCGGGGACCGCCAAATGCACTTAGAGACCTTAGAACCAATTAGTAAGTGTCTAAGTGGGACGCCATCTCGCGGGCACCCGGTGCACAGCCGGCCGCGTCAGACGAGCCTGGGAGAGTTGTATGGATCGAGTCGATACGTGTTTAGCTTACGGCTCGATCTGGTTTAGAACTCTCATTCAAGGCGCACCCGTGCATCAAGGGAGTGTCAGAGTCGACAAATGCCTTGGATGCACCCAACAAATTCGTTGGCTGATCTGAATTGGAGCTTCAGCCTTATGTCGGACTTTCAGAGAGCTCAGTAGCGTCAACCTGATCCTTCACATTAGCGTAGAGACTCAGTTGATCAATGATCAATGTTGCGCGTGGAGGTACGGCAATTTTGTGTGTTGTGTGTTCGTGCTACTATTTTCGAATTTGCTAATGATTATCTACCTAGAGATGCTATCAGGTAAGCCTAAGCTGTGATCTATGGGACTCTTTTCTATAAAGTCCCTCTTGTGATCTTGGTTGATTCTTTTGATGTGACGTCCTCGCTGGCTCCCCCAAATTCGTTCCAGCTTTCTACTTGCCCTCACTTGCACTCAATCACTAGACAATCCGTCCGCAGGATTCCTTGGTGCTCACATCAGATGGCACCACTCTCCGAGGACAATAAGTCCGCCTGGACTTCGAATCAATACATCGTGGCTGTTACCCGCATCGTCATTTTCATTGTGTTCATATTCCTCATCAAAAGCTTTTATGAACTCGTGAAGTGGTCTTGCTCTAAGCACAAAAGCCCCAGGCAGCCATGTAGCAAATCAATATCTCACAGCGTGAACATAGCTGATTGTATGACAGCACGGAGGACTGGCTTCGGTGTTGCCCTCACTCTTGATCCCACAGATGAGCTGCCTGGCCTGCAAATCCAGATGCCGAATGGCAATCCTCCAGACCCTCGCCCGCTTTCTCCAGTCCATAGCTCCAGCCATCAGAGGAGAGGTACATGCTAAGAGCGTCGAAAGTCTTCAAGCTCAAGTTTATTACATCGCCTGAAGATTGCCAGTGGTGATGTGCTGATGAAGGTGAGGAGCAAGGAGGGAAGAGAGCACATCGTGTTGAATAAGGGCGGGAGGGCCGAGCTCTATGCAGATGATGGCGGGCACCGAAGGAAATAGTCGAGTCTCTCGTAGATATATAGGAGTGAGTCGTAGCTTGATGAAATCGATTGTCAGTGGAAAGTTCAGGGAGCGATCCAGACCGTTGCATCTACCCATAGTTTGGGTTCTCCCCAAAACTGCACTGCCAAGCTGGGCAATGCGCTAAGGAATCCGAACTGGGGTTAGATCCAAATTAGGGGTAAATCCTTCTAGAGCGCATTAGGCTAAGCATGCTGACACGTACGAAGCGCTGATGGAAAGTACAGCCTCGCCTGTTCTTCTCGACAATCCTTCCATGAAGCCCCACCCATACCATTTACTCTCACATAACGGATGATCTTTACCAATTCAGGTGTAGGCAGCACTCTCTAGTTGTAACAGAGGCATGGAAGCAGAGAATCAATTGTCGGTTCTACCGTGATGAGACGAGGACTTTTGTGCTCGACGAATGCTGTCAAACGTACGAGAATTTTATCTCATCAATCACCTCGAGAGACAGAGAAATAGCCCTTATAGTGATACCATTATGGCACGTCAGATTGTCCGCAGGAAGTGGACCATCTACAGCATCTTGTTTCAGTTCGATCTGAAGCATGTGCCGATCTCGTAGTGAAGAAAGTGGTGAACATTCCAGAGGCCTAAAGCCTTGTGAAGATTACATTGCCAATTATCACTGAAAACCGACCATTGGTTTATGCTTAACAAGGTGCGACCGCCGTACCCTCTGACTATGAGCAGGAGTGTGGGACTACCCCGGACTCGGCCAGTGAGACAACTAGTCGGACAACATTCGCAACTCCCTTTGATTGGGCTCGAAGCTCCATCGACTCAATGGCAGCACAAGGAGCATCGAGAGCGGGATGAGCGACACCAGTAATTCGTCCCTCGAAGCTTGCACAACGGATGACAAAGATAAGGCGGTGTACGGCCGACACGTACAACTCGACTGAGAAGGTGAGGTGCCACAGGATACCGAAGTTTTTATTCTTCATGCAAAAAGATAATTGTCTTCCATTATAAAGCCTCTCCAATTCCACTCTCTTGTCTTTCTCTAAAAATCTTTCATATTCCCTCGAACATTAACCTCTACTTCGGAAGCAACAAGCAAACTCCCTTCAGAAGTTTTGCAAGCGGAGTACGCTTTTGCTGATCTCTAAGAGATCACGTACAGTCAGTGCTGATAGCAGTCCAGATAATTGACCATGTCAGACAATCCTTTTAAATGGCACAATATCGAGTGGGAGAACCTAAGTCACGCCTCAAAGCTACTGCTCTGTGGCTGCATTCACGAATACGGCATCTCGGGCACAGGAATAAATTCCCAACAATTCGCCATCCTCTTCAACATCTTCATGGAAGACCTCCCTCGATACGTACGCGCCGAACCCGACTTAATTGACAAAGCCATCGATTCCCCCGAATTCCAAGAAATGCGTGTGTGGGACACAAACGGCACGGGCCCCATCCCCTCCTCCATTCACAAAGCCCACAAAACAGAATGTCCTCAACTGATATGGGACACCACCACCCGCTCCGCAGCATTCAAGAACAAGACCCCCATCATCGTCAAATGGGAAACTCTATCCGAGGACTGGAAGCTCCGAATCTGCGTTTACAACGTGTACCATCGGCTCGACATGGTACAAGCCGTCATTCTCATGGACTGTGTGAAAGGGAGGCAGGGGCGTGCTGTGCGGCTGGAAGATGGGTTCGCTGAGAAGGTGAGGGCGTCGAGGCAGTGGATGGAAGTGAGGGACGGCATTGTACCTCTGGCGGGGGTGTGGAAGATCCATCGAAGGGGTGATAATGCTGTAGCAAGCCTTTGTAGGCGGTATCCTGAGATCAAGTTCATGAGCCGCAATAACCGGCACAATTCATAGATGAAGCATCCGATCATCCTCCCCTCCTTGGCGTGCGCCTGTCTCACCACTGCACTAATGCCCAAGACTCAGTCTATCCATCTCTTCATCCGATAGAAAAAGGCGGTTTAGGAGCTCCTCGTTGCCTCTTTCTTCATGCGATTCGTGTACGATTATTTTGTGTTTCATATGTATTTTTATGTATATTGTTGTCCAGCATCCGTCTCCTCAATACAACCGATCATTATATGTCAACCTCTCCGACGTCTCAACCACCACATCAGTCTTCACTCCAATCCTCTTGCTCGGCACCGCCATCCCCACTCCCGCCTCCTCATCCTCTCCGCCTTTCCCATTTCCCCCAGCCATGCCTGGCCCTGGGGTTCCCGTCCTTACTTCCACCCCATGCCCAAACGGTCTTAGATCATCCATCTCCTCCAGCCTGCTGAATCTGCCATCATTTTCCGACCCAGTGGATTTTTCCGCTCCCCATTTCGGTTTCGAGGACATGACGCTTGTAATGTGAGATTTTAGGTTCTTTTGGATGAGAGGGTGCTGGAAGACGCCGTTTCGGAGGATTGTGACGAGAGGGCGGAGGGAGGGGATGCAGGCGCAGATGACGGCGATGTTGGGCTCGAGAGTGGACCAAATGCCGAAGTCAACGGCGCCCCCTAAGGCCGAGGTTTAGTGGTTTGTCTTTCCCAATATTTTACTTTTAGGCGAATGGCAGGATGATACGTACAAGTGATGTCTCGCTGAGTTACATCGGGGACGACAATGATCCAGACGATGCTGATTATGATCACACTGTTTCTATGTGAGCAGATAGCCCACTAGATGGGAAACACGTGACATACAAGCCGGCAAGCGTGAAGATAGATGTCAGGATGACCTGCTGTCTGAGAGTGACCCGAAGACGCCAAAGAAGGGGAATCGGCTATCCAATTTAGCAATCGCGTGACCAGAGCGGCGAGCCATGGAGAACAGGCTCACCAATATGAATATTATAGCGTTGAGAAGCACGTTCGCAATGCCCTTCCCCACAAAGAATTTGTGGAAGTTGACGCACGTCCCTTTCGCGGTCGGGTCTGGTAAGTCCCATTGATAATGAAGTGGACGGCTGGATGCATGCGTTAGTCGATGGCAATCAAGTTTACACAGGTCGATTACCATTGAAACAAGATGGAGACATCAATTGAGATACCGTACGCGAGGGAGAGGGCCGCTACCCCTAACAGGATGTTCCTGAACCCGCGGAAGGGGAAGATGCGATAGTAGAATGCGAGACTACATATGTCAGTGTCCGACCTTCTGCATAACCATTCGAGTGGTTTCCTACACAGAGAATTTGCAGATGGTGATCGCAGTATGGAAGAAGAGCTCGAAGACGAAAAAGTCCCTTCGCCAGTGCCTCTCTTTCTGCATGCGCTCATTTACCGGCCAGATGTAGATGTGGCGTCCGTAACCATTGCCCAATTCTTCAAGCCAGATTCCTCGTCAGCTCTTGGCCCGAGATCCCATTGGATCGTGACACATACCGCAGAACCATATGATGCAGAGGATGTTCGCGAAGATCTTGATTCCGTTAGGCCAAAGTCTTGGGTCAACTTCGAAGCCAACTCACCATTGCAATCACAGCGAGAACATCATCCCACTATAGCCCCAGACCCGTCAGCACTTTGGCATTCCATTTTGAATCCCTCTAGGTCGTATTGAAGCTCACCCAATACCCAGCTCTCGCGAGCTTCCTCGACACAAGTCTTAAGATCACGAAAATATCGGTAATAACGAATATGGCGACGCAACTCCCAATGATACGCCCACGTTGGTCGGCATGGAGATCAATGCCTAAGGGGATACCGCCAGCAGAATCCGACATCTTTTCTTTCTTCACATTAAAACTCACATGGTACATAAACCAAAAGACAAGCAGGTAACAAAAGCAGAGAGATCCCCCAGCAGCGATGAATAAGCTCTTCTTGTTTCTGCTCGTGGCGTGGGGCGTAGGTCACTAAAGAAAGATAGCTAACCTACAACAAGAGCTTCTCAGCTTGCTGCAGGAACGCCGCACACGCTTAAGACGGCACAGCATGAGATCCATATGATCACCCTGTAGTGGAGGGCGGCACGGGCCCAAGACGGGCACATCCAAGCTTGCAGCGTGCATTGGTGCGCCAGCTTGTGCTTTGTTGGAGGAAAGCTTAGTTTCATTCGATCCAGTGGTTGGTCGGTGCTTAGCAGTAGTTCTAGTGCGGACGTTCGCCGTGAGCAAAATCTTGCTTTTCCCTTTCCTTTCCTCTCCTTTCATATGACGATTCTCTTCCGAAGATGCGAGGCATGTGGAAGCATTGCTGTCAGTCTCAATCGTAGTATGGATGGCCTACGGTAATGGGGTCGAAGATGCCGCTCATATATTCGACCTGTTGGTGAACCGATCCGGTTTCCCGGGCTCCGGGTGGTAATGTCGCCTAAAGCTCCCTAGTTCTAAAGGCGCCATACGATGGTCAATCTTATTCCATTTTTCTGCTGTCTCCTCCGCCTCGTGACGTAAATAGTGACAATCGAGATCTATCGATCTGCCCTCATGTGCCTTTGCACCAATGAGCGCCCAGCTATTGCAGCCTCGATAATATCGATAGTGTCGTAGTAGAGTCCGGATGTAACAACATGCTCCGTACCGCGACCAATTGGCTTCCTCTTATTGGACCATTTAAATCACCCTCATTCCTTGATGTACATGTAACACCGTAGCGGACTTGGCTGTAGGACGGCCATCTTTTGGCCTCTTGTCCATTTATTTGACGTAAACTGTACGTTGACTGCATCTTCCAACCATTCATTTTGGTTATAGCAGTATCTCTTAGGAACCCCTTTCCTTCGGCCGCACCCCTGAGTTCATTTCAACCCCATGGATGGTTTATTCTGGGTTGGTTGAAATCTTTGGGTTGAAATTCAAGGTACTCTAGACAAGGCGTCAGATTCGTAAGGACTCCAAGAAGCCAACACTATTTGGCTTGTCCTCGGGTCGTGTTGAAGGCCAGATAACGAGGCTAGGAGGGCAAGGAAGGTTGGATAAGGCCCACGAAAGATTCGGGTTTGATCTGGTTGTGACCTGCCGAGCAGCTTCCTGTATCCCTGATCACATCTTCCGTTACCTAGTGTTCCGACTTCGCTACCATAGTTAATCTAGATCTGCGACGTTCAAGTCGACGAGGGCTGAGATAGCTTCTCACCATAGCCGACCCGCCTACTTTTCTGCGACGGCGAGTTTCGAGACCATGGCGGCTGATTGCTAAGGACAGCAACACTTGCCCGTTGTTGCAATCCCATTGAATGCGTAAATGACATCAAATCGAAAGGTGCTTGAGATGAATTGACTTGACGTGGTGATGAAAGTCGGGAGGAGAAACGCTGTGTTGACGGTAAGGAGGGTCCCGCTGATTGCTGGAAATCTGCTCCGGCACGGCCTGGTGCGGCCGATGAGGAGCCTAAAGTAGAGCATTTGGGCCCTAGAGGCTCCCCTATGGTCGTGATGGCAATGCAAAGCTACGACCACGCAGCACGCTCGATTCATGACTTCAACGAAGGATGTTGCAATTCTTGCATTCTAACGTATTTCTGTGACACACGCCGTGAGTACATCGTACTTCCTCCCACCATACCACATATCCACTCCAACAACCCTTCTCCTACCTTATTCTCGAGTACCAACCCCCCTCTCCGCTCACATCACTCACCCCCTACTGATTATGCTCCTGTCCAACCAGATTCGGGCTTCTCGTGTCCGTCCCCTGCACGCCCGCGCCCTCTTAGGTCAAGCCCCCAGTCTCCACTCCGCCTCCCTCCTCGGGCCACTTCTGGACCGGCTTCTGCAGCTCACTCAACGGGACGTCAGCATTGCCCCACCACGTACAGCTTGCCGCCTTGACCACAGCTTGCCCTTGAGCCTCAGCACCATCGGCACCCCCAGCCTCGGAACCCCGTGACGGGCGAAGCGCTGTCCACGCACTTCCCTCTGCTACTCCTAAATGACTGTTTTGCACCAAGTTTTGTATTGCCTCTAATCCCTGGATCGCTAGTGTGACCGTGCAGCCCTCGGGAGAACGACTATTGCCATCAAGGATCAATGTGGCGACGGTAGCTTGTTCGTTCTTGGTACTGTTGACGGGTCCGTCGGGCGCAGGGCCAGGTTTTGGTGCTGGACCACGGCCGAGGGTCGTTCGGGTGCCGTTAATCACTGTGGTACCTGGGAGAGCTTTGAGTTTGGTGACTTGGAGGGTGACGGCATTGAGGAAGGCATGATAGTGATTGGAGTCGGCTATAGATGGGTGGTAGTACCAGAGAGCTAGTTTTGCGACTGTGGAAAAGCTTGGGGTGCCAAGGGAGAGTGGATAGGTGACTACTGGAGGCGCAGAAATAGGCAATTGCGATGGATTTTTGGCACTTGTTAGGGAACGAATGTCGACTTGGGAGGTGGATGATAACGCGGCAGTGAGTTTGGCAGGGTTGGGTTGATTGGGGTCGGGATTTGTGGAGGGCAGGTAGGAGCTGAGAATACCGTCACTGTATATTGCTGGGTCGTTGACAGGCTCAGGACGGGGAAGGGAGAGGACTGAAGTGAGGAGAGTGCCCGCTACGAGGGCGATGAGCTGGTTACGCATGGTAAGGGCTTGTTGAGGGGCTTTAGACGCAAGAGGAGACTCTTGTAGTGATTGACAGCCAGATTCAACATTGTTGGATGAAGAGGCTGATATATGAGACCGGCGCCAATTCGAACCCTTTTTCAAGGTGAAGCTGTGTCTCTCCACCAAGCTGCCGCGTCTGTGACATGTTGAGTTCCGATTGATACAACGAGTGCTCTATTCAGTACTATTCCAGCAGGAAGCTACCGCGTTTGGTGGGGATTTACGCACGTTTCAGATGATGAGCTTGAGATGTCGCGTGTGCGCTTGTCTTCAGTCTTGTTTTCTGTATATTTTTAGCGTCCGAGCAGTCTAGCGCTGCTAGGGGACCGTGGCATTTCATAGAGGGTAATCCGGAGACCAAGACTGCATGATGAATGCTTCGAGGAAGCCTAAACCATCAGTATTTCTCGAGCCCAGATCCCGAGGCAACAGCACTTCAATGTGCTTCAACGCAAACCAGCAAAACAGATCTCGCTCCTTAAAGCAGGCAAATATATCACAACGGTAGACACTGCACCTAGACTCAATCCGTTCCTCAGCGTGAACAGCGTCGTAATCAATGCTTTATCCGCGAGTTTGGGGCTTTGCATCCAATGAGGGGGTATGGATTGGAAGCAGAGAGCGCTTTGCTTTCATCAACAGCGATCTCTCGCTCTCGACTAGGGGTGGTGGGGGCACACATACCCTCGTTGACGAGACAAGGGGACAGTTTGAGTCACGAAACGGTGGTATGTAGCCGGGTGTAGTCGTCGCTCGTCTTTAGAACCATTCATCCATATAACATGAATAGATAGTCAGGATTGAGCCCCATGTCGCATTCAAAGCAGACGAACTTCGGACGAATGATAGCACGGTGCCCATTCGAAACTCACTGTAGTCGCGATGTCAAATCTTGAAGGTGCCGCCTTAATTTTGCAGCCCATATGGCCAATCATTATATTGTGCTGCCGGCTCAACCTGTACAAAGATGAGTCAAGAAGCTGACCTGCGAGAGTCATTCTCGCAACTTCGTGTAGTGAAACAGGAAGCGCATTGGATGTGTCACTTGAGCATGCATCCCCAACATGCCGAATAATGTAGAGAATTTGAAAACCGGTCGAACAGTCAGGAGTTGAGGCCTCAACATTTCAGAGTCTCCTTGCTCATCCTGTCCGCCAAGCTTTGCTTCCGAGCGTAGAGAATCGAATAACAGACAAGAAAGCAGGCAGCGAAGCATCATTGATTGATGGTCTTATCATAAGGGAACCAACGAAGACTCTTGCAGCTGTCAAAACGTAATAGCGAGAAAAATAGAACGTCGCGGTGGATTCTGAAGCAGCACGTGAGTTTTCTCGAGACTCGGCATGCAAAACTGGTTGCCTTATTTTCGAGGACAGAGCTTTTTCGGGTATCTACATCCAACAGCCTGGTGACAGCTCTGGAGCCAGGCCGAGCTCACCGACGCAGGAATTGATCCGAATATAAATGCTCAACAGCAGGCGTACGGTCCGTGCTGATGTTGGTCACCCAAACAACGAAAACTGCAAGGGACATTTGGAATGCCTGTTTCGGTAGCAAGTGCGCTCCACTCTCGGTCGAATATCGAGTCTAAATGCTGACGGACGAGTATGCGTGAGTCAGGCACAAGTCTGGCGAACAGTCTGCCTCGTTGCAAGAGCAGGGAAGAAGGGTTGGAAAGAAGGCGAAGCAGGCGTTCATGCAAGTCATTTTCTGTTCGGGACGAGGGAGGAGCATTTAGGGGGCTTTAGGGGGCTTTAGGGGCCGGCTTTGCCGGTTTTAAGCAGTCACTAAGCCAAGACCGGCCCCGGAAACCCTAAATACTGGCTTATGTAAGGACTTAGGGGCCGGAGACGCCAATCACATCATCGACCTCCACCTCTGAAATGCTCTTCGTTGGTGCCTCCTGGGCTGACACGTTTTTTGCGCACTTTTGCCTCCCCGAGGACTAATGCATAAAGTACGTACTAGTACTCGGTACTCTATCTCGTCGTGCTCGTGTCACAGAAACAGTGGAGTGCCCTAACAATTTTCATGCATGGCGTTGCATGGACCCAGTCTTCATCCACTCTTTCGACCCCTAACCACACCCTCCTCCTCTTACCTCTTCAGCCTCGCATAACAATCTAGAGCTCGTCGCATTTCCCCTCCCCCCATAATCATGCTTAGGTGTTCTCTGTCTCATCGACACGCGTTGAACCCCCAGTAACGTCATCAAACGGGCGCCATCATGACGCCCATCAATATGACCCAGGACCGGTACCCAGACACCCTCTCTCTACTACAGACTCGAGTACTGATGAGATGGACAGGCTAGCTTCAGTCGCTGCAGCTGCCGGCGCCGGCTTTCGTCTTTCCCTCGTCCTCAATGCTGTCAAGATCAACATGCAGAATGCAGACGTGGAGATTCAGAACATTTCAAGGGGCGTGTCTGACTTTTCTCTTATGCTCAAACAGGTCGCTAGAACCATGCAAGAGGGTGGTGTACACCCCACGTCTTTAGCTGTCGAGACTGTCTTCGACATTAAAGAGCACAGCGAACACATCTTCCAGGAGATCAAAAGCATGACAGAACTCGCCCAGATCAGGGATGAAAGCGGACACCTCACAGAGATTGGAATGAGCAAGAGGATCGTTTGGTGCTTCAAACAGCAGAAGATTCCATATCTAGTTGGTCAGTTGGACTATCTCAAGTTGAATCTATCAATTATGCTACAGATACTCCAGCTGGCCAAGACTATTTCACCATTGAGGTAAGTTGATACATCCAGATCCTCAGACTATCAATCACTGACACATTGCAGGCCCCGCGTTTCGGACAAGTTCATGATGCAAGAAAGGGCAGAGATCCAGAATATGATCGTCCTTCAACACTGGTCATCTGAAGATCTGAAGAATCTATATGTCGCTGCCAATGATGATGACAGAAAAGACTCGGTCGGCTCCATCGGCGAAGATCCTCCTCCGAAGTACGATGACCACCCACCAGACGAAGTTCGGCTGGCAATTACAGCTCCACCAAGGCCACCAAAGGAGGAGGACACATCCAAAGCCCTGGTACAATACCAGGAACAGCCATTGCACGAGCTTGATGAATCTCTACATCAAGCACTTAGCAAAGAGAACCGGACCTTGGAGGCACACGTCCCAGATATTGTGAATCACCTCCTAACCCAGTGGACAATCCCAGAATATCCACAACAGATGAACCATCCTGGCGCGCGTGCCATCACCAATGGACATGGCCACCATAAGCCCAGGAAGTACGGAGCTCGCGTATCTGATGACGAGGATGATACAACTGAATCTGAATTTGATGACTCTGATGAACATCCACGAGGAAAATACATCGAGGGCCCAAAACTCAATGGAGTTAAGAAGAAGCTCCGCTTCAAAGAGCAACAAGCCAAAGTCGAATCTGATGATGATGAAGATGATCATCGCCCGCGACGATCTACAGATGGCCGTCACATTCTTCGCAATGTTGACGATGACTCCTCCGACTCTTCCGAGCTGCCTTCGCCTGTTGCATCACGTCATAAAGGGCATCGACAATCCAGCAGTAATAGCAGTCCTGAAGCCCCTTCTCATAGCTCGTATGATCGGAAAAGGCGTCCATATGCTGGAGGTCCTGTCGGAGGTCCATCCGGACCCAGGAACAGCCCACCGGAGAAGGAATTTGTACGGCAAGCCTCCGTCCGTGGAGTGCCATATCCTCCAAGACAAGCCGCGGCTCCTGTATACACTCAAGGTTGGCAGGGTCATCCCCAACAAGGTCACCATCCTCCAGGTCCAAGTCTGAGGCCTCCACCACCCCATCACTATTACACCAGCCCAGCAGGTCCAGCCCAGCGACCGCCTCAGGGAGGGCCATATGTACCGCAACAATACTATCCAGGCCCATATAGTCCAGCAACTAGCCCCACAATGCAGAAAGGCCAATTCTTTCCTCAGCAGCAGGCACGTCAGCCTGGGCCTCCTCCTTCTCACGTACCCTCAGCTGATGGACGATCGGGGAGGCCTAAGCATGATCGAAGCAATCGGAGTAGTTACGAGAGCACAGGAGGTCGCAGGGATCGACCTTCCGATCGCGTCCGAGACAAGAAGGATGCAAGCCGGAACATCAAGAGAGGCATCGGAATTGGTGCCGCTGCTGCTGGCCTGATGGAGCTACTAAGTGGACTGGACGCTATCTAGGCCTGCAAGTCTTGCGCAGTCGTCTGCTTGCCTGCCTTTGCCTTTGAAGCCAGTCAGGGGACGTCTGCAAGGGAGAGACTGGAGGTTGATTTTCTACGACAACAACATCCCATATACCCAGCCTGCGATTTCTCAATACCCAAGCATAAAGGTCTTACAACCTTCTCTTATTTTCCGCTAAGCCGTTGGGGCTTCGGCATCCCCAATTCTCTGAACGGCTACATCCATGATGTTACGGCCAGGATTCATGACAAATTTACGACCTCCATTGACGAAACCTATGGACACTTGTTGGGTAATTCACGAATTGGGCGGCAAATATGTATGCTTGTACGTTAGGGAGGTATAGGTCTTCAATTCTTTTGTACGTTCCTGTGTCCTGCACAGCTATGCCTTTTGCATAATACTACACTTCATTATCGCAACAGTCTCAGTCTATTTATTGCTTGATTTCTTTGACCTCCAAGCATTTCCATCCTCCGAGTAGATCTTCATGTCGGACAGTGTGAGGATATAGTCACTCTCACGTCGTTAACAGCCCAGCTGGGCGATCGATCTGGTCTTCGTCATTCTAAGAAAGGACTGACAAGCTTCTACCTCCCGAGCCGTCATCCCGATTATAGTATCAGGGGAATGAGCAAGGACCATGTAGGCCAAACGAATAGGCGATGCCTAATCAGTACTCAACAACACCAACCGTGGGAAAGCGCAACACTGGGCCTTTGTCAGTTAACACATTTGGCCAGATCCACAGGGGGAGGCTGAGAATTGACATATTCATGCGACCGACCTGGCTGGACCCTACAAAATTAGGTGAGACACTTCTCCACGCTTTGGCGTTCGTTGCATAATCTTTTTTGGCTTTCGCACCGCCCACCTCTTAAATTTCTGTCCTATGTCAAACAGTCTTATTTCTATTTTTGCAACTGGCAGTAACAAGTGTCCACGGCTTTGGCGCAAATTACCACTGTCTAAGCCAGTCGCATATTGATATGCCTTTGTTGGTCAGGCTCTCTCATTGGTGGATATGCGCCAAAGCTTCCAAGGCAATTGATGCTTGCGCCTTTGCGCTTTGGCGAATCGCGGAAAAGAGCCAAAATTGAGACTAATGACACAATGGCTCAAGAATAACGTAAGTAAACAACCACGAAAATGATGGCCAGATGCCCAGGTACGAGTATCCTGGTGTTTTCTCCCAACACTTGCGCTGAGGCACTGCGCCTTTCGGCTTTGACGTTTCGCGAAAAGGAGAAATTGGAAGCCCATGAGACAACAATCGATGACCTCGTACGTGAGTCTGAGCATCTGGGGAGATGGAGTGGTATATGTACCCTCCGACACCTACCTTTTGTCTTGCTCAAGCAGTGAGACTATTCAAAGCCAACCACCATACCAACAACGTGCAAAGCGAGCAGCAAACCTCTAGCAATCTAAGCACCACATCATTTCAATCTTCTTGAATCAATTGAAAAAATGCACGCCCTCCCGATGACCCTCCTATCCCTCCTCACCACCCTCATTTCACAAACCCACGCCCTCCCAGCACCGCAACAACCATTATCTACTCCCAAGCTTATTACAGCCAACTCTCTGCTCACCGATTTGATCCCCGCCCACAACCCTGATCCCAAACAATTTCCAGACGCAGACTTCACCTCCGCCCGCTCATCAGCTTCATCCCTACAGCTCTCGAAGATTTCCGCTGGGCCACAAGACACCTCAGAATTTACCCTTCCGTCTTCGACCGTAGCCTCAGGCTTCACGCCACTCTTTTACCCACTAGGCTACGAAAATTATGCCTCTCTCGATGCCAAATTCCCCAACCAAGAATTGAACATCGGCCAGCTCACGGGAGGTGCGCTGATCATCTACTACCTGAGCAAAAAAGTTGCGACGGAGACTCAGCAGACGGGCATGAACAGTGCTGCTTCGTCACTCCGAAACCAATTCAAGCTTCCCGGGTCTGCAAACGTCAAGGATGGGTTCACTCAGGCTTCGAACGGTGCGACTATATATGTTAATACCGACTTTGAGTTGACCGCCGGTCAGAAGGCTTGCCCTGGATCGTTGGGAGAGCAGGCAATGACGACCCTTGCGCTGTTGGCGAAGGAGGGGCAGACCAGTGTCAGACAGACGATTGGAGCTGTGGCGTGGGACGGGCATATAGCTAGTTGTGCTTTCACTGTCATTGGGTCGTAGTGTCAGGTACGGCAAGATTCGTTGATGAATAAAATGTTGGGAGTGGGAATGAATCGAGATAGAATCATAGAGGCTTCCTAAAGTCGAGAATATAGACGGATAGAAGTAATGCTAATTTTCAACATCATATCAACCTACTCTTCAAGCCTCGCCATCACTAATTCGATCCGAAGCAAGGACCTGTGGACGTTCACCGTCCCGGCTGCTTGGAAAGATATTACACAAATAGAAAGATCGGCAGGGACTCCCTCCTGATATCCGCTCTTTGCTGCGTCAGTTCCGAGCTGTCGAATGTCAATCAGGTACAAAAGCATTACCATCCCGAACTATCGAATCATCAACGTCCTTCAGCATAGCCACACCGGACGACGAGTCCCCGCGAAAATCGTGGCTTGGCAAGCGCCATCGATCATTGCGAATGATCGGACATCACTCTTGGGCCTAATTTCATCTGAAGACGCCCATACTTATTGCTTGTAGATGCCTGCTGAATATCACCTCCTAAGTTGATGAATACTTCATGAGTGAGAAGGCCTCAATACATCACAAGAATTGCGCCTTATCGATAAGAAGGGAATCGGTACTTAATCAGCTGCCTACACCCGCACCACGTGAATTGCTTTTGGATTAGAGATCACACATAAGCAGAGCCTCGCAATAAGTACAGAAAGAGATACAAACGCACTTTGTACGACTTGTATCACCCCATCTCGGCGATCGGCTGCGATCTCGACACAGCGTATGAGCACACCCCACCCTTGAGGAGGTTGCGCTTCGGATCGCCAAATCACAGCGCAAACACATCATGGACGGCTCAAGCCTGAGAAGAAGAGACACAACCAAAGGAACACCGTTGCGCATATTATCTTTAGGTAGGCACGATGCTCAAGAATCGATGGAGGACATGGCTGACGCCGTACAGATGGCGGCGGGGTCAGAGGCTATTCCATGCTCATCCTCCTCCATGACTTCATGCACAAAGTCTATACCGAGAGCCACGACGGCGAACCTCCAGAACCAGACAGAATACCGAAACCATGCGATTACTTCGACTTGATAGGCGGCACCGGGACGGGGGGGTTGATAGCCATAATGCTGGGAAGATTACGGATGAATACGAAAGACTGTATGAGGGTGTACGTACAAATGACGCGGAAGGTATTTGAAACAGACAAGACAATAGCAGGGATACCGTATCGGTCTACGTTGTTCAAGGCGTCGCTCTTGGAAGATGCGATTAGGGCTTGTGTCAGGACATTCGAGCATGAGAAGGATGCTGAGGAGTATGAAGACAAAGATATGCCGATGACACCTGCAAGCTATGATAGGCCGATGAGCGTGAGAAGTGGGATGGAGCGGAGTCCGACGAGTGCTACGACAGCGAATTCAAGACACTTTAGCGGTTTCTCTTCGGAGGCGTTCTCGTCGTTGGGGAATCCGAATGCTTCATTGGAAGACACGAGGAGAGAGAGGAGATGCAAGACGTGAGTATCCGAATGGACTTGAAGGAGTAATTTATCTGACAGTATGATAGAGCTGTCACAGCCGTGCTGAAAGGGCAATCAGAAAGGCACGGTACAAGCATCCTCCTCCGGTCATACCCTTCTCGGACACAACCAGCGGTCGAGCCAGACTGTACGATATGGCAAGCTGGTCGAGCAACATGCGCAACGAAGCTTGCTTTCAAAGAAATCAGGGTCGGCACCTCAACATTCCAAGATGAAGGCTACGGCCTGCTCAACTCAGACAAATCGCCCACCTACAACCCTGCACCTCAGATGCTCGAAGAAGCTACCTCAAACGAATGGCCGGGACAGTCAGTAGGCCTACTCCTCAGCATCGGCACCGGTAAAAGACCAGGCGGCACCCATCTCCAGCAATCTGAATGGTGGGAAGGCTTCGCCGGCGGACTCGGCTCCTTCGCCGAAGCAAAGCGAAAACTCATCGCCAAAATCGAAGGCTGCGAAAAGACCCACAAAGAAATGCTTTCGATCCACCTCCCCAGACGCAGCGTGAATCCCGACAACTACCTCCGCCTAAATGTCGAAGTAGGCGTGGGCGAATTCGGCATGAACGAATGGAACCGATTAGCAGACATAAGCAACAACACGCAAGCCTACCTCAACACGCCCGCCACAAAAGTTATGCTTAACAACGGCGCCATCCAGATGGCGAAAGTAGAGGCCATGCGGCGCCAAATCGCAGCGAAAATTCAGCGCGCGAATCAGAGCTTCGACAATAACAATCCCCCGCCTCCCCAGAACACCAACACAGGCTACACGCCCCCATCAGCATTCGCAGTCGAACTCCCCACCGACGACGTCCCTCCCTCCGCTCCACCCCGCCCAGGAGGCCACCACCCCCTCCCCCCGCCCTCTCACCTACCCGCAGGGTTTCGCCCAAGACGATAAATACGTGATCGAAGCCTCGGACCAGTACCCCCACCCGCACCCTCAACCCCAACCCCAATCCGGCGACGATAAATATCTATACCAACCGCCTCCCCCTCGAAGTAGCAACGAATACGACAGTGGCAGGGTAGGTGCAGGTGTAGGTGCAGGGGTGGGGGCGGGGACGGAAGCACCACCTTTACCGCCCAAGACGCCGATCAATATGCAGCAGGGAGGGCATGGCGGACAGGGGCCTAGAAGATACCATTCCCATCCCGTACACCAGCAGCAAACGGTGTTGCCGTATCCGGATAACGATGGCCCGCCGCCTGCGGTTAATATGGCGCGGAAACCGCAGATGGGGCGGTGATGAGGTGGGATGAGGTGGGGTTGGGGAGGGGTTTTGATCGCATGGCGTAATTTGGTGGATTGTTGTTTGGGAGGATTGCATGGGATGGGACGGGATGGGGTGGGATGGGGTGGGACGGGCGGTGTCATGATATGGATATGTAATGAGGGACGATATGCCTTGCATACGATATGATATGATACGAGGGGCTACAGTCCGCGGCGTTAGGTTGTGCTGTGCTTCATTTCGAGAAGTGGAACATAACAATGAGCACAGAACCTCATGATATGTATGGCATGTATATGCTTCCTCGCCCGTTTCGAGCAAGTTAGATACCACTCGTATTCAAACAATGATCTGAACACGTTCCTCGAACCGAATCTAGTTTCCATACGTATATGTAAGTATATTCATCGCCCGCTAATCCAACTGTGCACTCGAACGAGGTGCTTCCGCCCAAAAATGCATCATCGACTTCATTACTACTCCACCTCTACGCCCGGCGTCTTTCCCCAGCTCATATGAACGCCGGCCTTCCACTCCCCCCTCCCCCTCCTGCTCCGCCACTACCTCCACCCTTATCATCGCCATCCTCTCTCCCTCTGTAAGCGTAGTCATACTCCCTCCTATACCCACCCGCCCTCGCCTCCTCCTCTTTCCCCTCGCTGCTCTCGCTATCCTCCGTTTCCGTCTCTTCCGCAATACGGCCTCGCCCCACCCCAACCCCACCCCCAGCCCCACCCGCACCTAAATCACTATCCTCCCCTTCATCCTCATACCCATCCCTATAACTGCCCCTCGTCCTCTCTTCCTCCCCCAAAATATTCGAGTCACCCTTCACCAACCCCATCTGCTCCTCCTCGGTAACAGTCTTGACAGGGTATTTAGTACTCCCCCCACTCCCCACCGTCGGGCTGCGCAGTCTATTCCCGAAATTGAAGGACATGTGCGAATGGCTCGTGCTGGGCGGACTTCGTGGCGGCGACACAGTCGTGGTAACTTCATCCGCCCCGTCGGTCGAAGGCCCACGGTTCCTATGGAACACGTTCTGGAAAGAAAATTGGCGTTTTGCAGCCTGATGCGGGGGTGGTACAGGAGCCAGGGTGCTCGCTGAGGAGGAAATAGGTTTCGACTGCTCAGCCCACTGGATCGGGCGATTATTTCGTGCAGCAGTGCCAGGGGAGACGTTGGGGGTGTCGTCGACGTGGCGGAGGGTGCCTGGGAGGCCGTAGACATGGCCTGTCATTTCCATGTTGTCTGTGCCTTGCGGGTGGTAGGCTGTGTCTTCCATTTTTGGGGAGACCACGATTTCGGTGAGGGGGCGCTGAGGAAGGGAGGAGCGTTTTTGGGAGGAGGTTTGGGTGGAGTGGACGGTGCGTGTGTGGGCGGGAAGAGAGTCTTTGCGGGGATTCTTGTGCCGCCGGAAAGAGTCGAATATGCCACCGTGAAAGACACCGCCACCATGGACGTCGGTGGAGGAGGGCCGGGATTCTGGGTCATCGTTCGAGTCGTCGTCGGGGAAATGTGTCATGCCAAGGGGAGGGTGGATGGTTTTTTGTCGGCGAAGACTGCCTGGACCTTCTACGACGGTTTTTCGCCGCCGAAGACCATCCCATTCAACAGTCTCGTTTTCGCCGATGGGTTCCATCTGGTCGCGCATGCGGTCTTCGTGCACACGCTTGGCTTCTGCTGCTTCCATCTTTTGGCGCGATTGAGAGAAGCGGCGGATGATTGCTGCAGCGCCGCGGATTGCGTCCGCTTTGGGTTCTGATTCTGGTTCTGCTTGCTCAGCGACTGTTCGAATTTGATCAATGTCGCCCTTGAGCACTGCTGTATCTGGTACGTCTTTTGCTGATTTCGATAGCTGCAACAGCACCACTCCTGAGCATATGACAAAGAAGCCCATGACGACTGTGATGATGGAAGTCGGCGAGCCTTTGAAGCCTTGGAAAAGGATGGCTGATGTGACGATTGTAGCGCTGGTAAAGTAGACATAGTATGTAGGCGTGACGACTGCCGCGTTGAAAAGATTGAGAGCTTTCTGTTCAAGCGTCAGCTTCATCATCAAAGCATTCTCTCCTTTGGTACTCACATTCAGGTATATGATCTCCGTAACCAGAGTCGTGATCACGAACACCAGCAGCACATATAAGAACCACTGGTTGAACTGCGGTTTTCCAGCAGCCTGCGCAACAATCGCTGCACCCAAACCCTGCGTACTGACCACGCTCAAACCCCCGATCAAGCTGCAAATCGTGAGGTATACCAGCATGCTCTTTTTCCCATACCTTGGCCCCACCCAAAGCGCCACGAACGTACTCGCTACTATCACGAGACCCGCATAGCTCAAGAATCCCGGCGCAATCACAAAGTGCTTCATCTCCTGAATATTCGCCGCACTAGCCTGCGCGGGCGCATTCATGACAATGACCACACTCCCAATAATACAGCAAAAACAGCCCACCTTCCCCACAAAACTCAATCTCTCCTTCAAGAAGATCGCGCTCAAAATAGTCGTGATCACCACACTCAGCGCCCCCAGCGGCGTCACCAGGATGGCATCCACGAAAGCATAAGCGACGAAATTGCAGATTTCGCCGATTATCATAAGGGTCATGCCGGACCACCAGAAGGCATTCTTGAGATAGCCATAGCCCTCGCCCGCTTCTTCGTTGTATTTGATGTTGGCTCTTAGGAGGCCCGTCTTCTTCAGGACGAAGGACGTGCCAATGAAGAGGCCAGAGGCTATTGCGAGAGAGATGCCGATGGCTTTGTAGACAGGAGGGCGGCTGTCGCCAGTGCCGTGAACGTCGGCGCGGGCGTAGAGGAGTTGAGGGTCAGAGGGATGAGGGTTTCTGAAGTCCATGATTGTGGTTGTAGGAGGATTGAGGGCGGAATGGAGAGGGTGAAAGGACTCGGGTCGTGGCGGAGCGGCTGATGGCGAGTCCTATATCTTTGCCATGGCGCGCAAGGGTAGGAGTGAAAGGGGAGGATGTGGAGGACGGTGGGTTCGTTCGGGTGAGCTTTCAAGGGCTGTTATCGAGGTATCATGGAGGAAGTCGATTGTTTGGGAGGACTAGCTCTTCCTCCGCGTAATCGGTCTAAGCCGCACTCGCCTTGAATGGATGGATGACAGATGGTGGGGAAGTCAGCGGATGTAATGCGGGCCGTGATGGCTTGAGGATGTGGTCTTTGGTCTTTGGGCGCAATGAAGGTGCTTGAATGGATTATAGGAATAGTAGGAAGTAGATGGAGGTTCTTCAAGGTAAAAGTCGATAGCGTTCTGGGCCGTGAAACTGCGATCAACGAATGACGTTGTTTTTCAGGGGTTCTAGCGGCATTTGTTTACTTTTTTACGGTCGCAATGCAAAATTTGTTTCTTTCTCCGCCAACAATGTCTTTGTCTATCAAATGTTGAAGTGACTGATGTTTACGGCAAGGCTTTGGAACCCGAGCCCGTTCGTGATCGTAAATCTGTCACAGCCTCTCATGGCACGCCACCGAGACCAGTCAAGGACAATCGCTTGGCATCTGGTGTGGCAGTCTACCTCCAAAAGAGGAATGGCCATTTCGCAATTGGGGCAAGAGGATGCCAATCAGCTATTTTTAGATGCCCCCATCAAGCTGTATCCATGAGGCTGCGACCGCGTAGATATTGCTCTGACATCCAAGCCGACTCTACCCTATATGTTCATACAATAATGAATGTCAAACTTGGTGACAAAGTCCATGTGGTAAGAAGCAAGACGGAGTTGACGGCGGACTACTATGATGCTTGGAAAGCAGTCAATGTTCATCCCCTGTGTCTGGATTGTTATTCAGTGTTCCAGTGAAAGCCGCCAACGCAACTCCTGCCATCCGACAGCTCAGAGAATATTTCGACCAGAACCAGGATCCTGAAGATGACGAAACTCGACAAAGGATCCGCGACGCGCTTCATTTAGAGGGTTTTGCAGCTTGGCTTGTGCGAACTGCTCTGAAGAGGAATTTTGACAAAGCAAGGAAGGACGAGGAGAAGGCTAAAGAGACATCGACGTAGGCAGGCGGACGACCTCCTGGTGGCCGTTGTGAGGCTCCAAGCGTCCGTTGTAGGGATGACTCGTCTTCTTCATTCTTTTTTGGGACGGGTGCGAGCTTCGTCGCTGTTGCCATTGATCCACGAAAAATCATCAGCAATGCTCGCGAACTGGCTCCGGGAAAATTATGCTCCGGAAAATATATCCACCGCGAAGTAATGGCCTGGGTTTTCTCCTGGTTGGAAGAAGCCGATTAGGTGAACAGCATTTGAAGCTTAACATCAAGCAACAGGCTTTGCCCGGCCCTCTTGACAAGTAACCCCTCGGAGATGAATTATCGTCTGACTTTGCCTTTGGCCTTGATTACTGTACCATTTCCTCTCACGCTTAATAATTCCGCTGCCATGACGAAACTTTTCGTCCCTCCTTCACGTTCCCTGTTCAATCCTCTTATACTCGTTGGCTCCACTTCCATAGCCTTCAACATCCTCCTATCACATCACTACCATGTCCTCAACTCCCTCAGACCAATTGACAGCCTGGGGTCTGACCGCGGTCTCTCGCGATCTCTCCTCCCTTTTTACTCACCTGGACCCTAAGAGCTCTCCGCCCTCATTATCCCCCTCTGCCCTCGCGCTTCCCTTCTCAGAACCACTAGTGTCCTCGGTTCTTGCGTACGCAAAGAAAGAGCTGCCGGAAGAAACGTTCAATCATTCCATGCGCGTGATTCACTGGGGTAATTCCTCTCAATCAACCCTCTAGAGCCTATCCTTATAATCGATAGGATTAGCGATCCACCACCTCTATCTCACGCACCTTGCCTTGCCTCCTCAAGCACAGACAAATTTTATTATTGCCGCCCTTCTTCATGATATTGGGACCACGCCCAAGAATCTAACGTCCACGCGGCTGAGCTTTGAATTCCGGGGCGGGGTCATCGTGTTGGAGGTATTGAAAGAATTAGACGTAGACACGGATTGCGCGGAGAGTGTGGCTGAGGCTGTGATGAGGCATCAGGATATTGGGGAGGTTCGTATCCGTTCCACTATGCTACTTATGGCTCGGAATTGAGAGATCATATCGGCTGTCAATCCTCCGCTTGTTCGCCTGAGGGTATTGCTGACATTCAAATCATTGTGCAGGAGGGAAATTTGAGTCTAGTGGGTGCATTGCTGCAGATTGCTACCGTGCTTGATAATCTGGGCTTGCGGTGAGTTTGTCGAGTCCCCGCTTCGTCACACATTCGTCATAGTCGTTGCACCGCTCGAGAGTCTCGTTGCCGACTGGTGGCGTTGATGGGATTTCTGGATTGGGACTGACTGTGAGCCTTCTTGTAGGAAGGAGTTACTGCACGACGAGTTCGTGGCTGAAGTCTGTGAGAAGTTTCCCAGAAAGATTGGGGGAAAGGTCTGGAGTACTTGCTTCGCCGAGGTGGTGAAACAAGAGTGCGAGACCAAACCGTGGTCTCATACAACGAAGTTGAATAAGGAAGGGGCGTTTGAAAAGGGGGTTTTAAGTAACCGAGCGATGCAGAAATGGGAGTAGAAACAGCATCGAATCTTCTTCGCTGAGAGAAACGAAAGACGTGAGGTTTGAGAATTCGATGCAAAGCTTCTGGGATGTCTTCGTGTATTGCGAGGACTGTCATGGTGGTTCTATCAATCATCGTTCATGCGAGTGCTTTGGTAACTTCGGGAAGAGCAACCAAATGCCTAAGAGCACTACAAGGAAGGCGAGGATGATAGGCTGTAAGGTTTTCACACCTGATCCCTGGACGATTGCGCCGACCATGAAAGGAAGTCTACGTGGGTTAGTAATTCAAGCGAATGTAACCTGTAGAGCTGCGTGGGAGTGACGAGGGGCAAGACATACAAAGCGGCTCCACCACCACCAAATGCAGCAGCGAACCCGACGGCTGCCACATGAAGTTCCTTTGGCAGTAGCCTCGAGGCCATCAGGACTGCGGCAGGGAAGAAAGGTCCGATGAAGAAGCCGACGAGAGCAATTGCAACAGCGGAGATGATGAACTGCGGGACCAACCAGAAGAGTAGTTCAAGACCGATAGCGATGATGAGATAGATGACAACGGCGAGGCGTTCACCAATCTTGGGGGTGACGAAACCTAAGACGACACGGCCGACGGTGAAGCCAAGCCAGAACCCAGTCGCTGTGAGGCCGGACGAGAACGGTTGCCCATGTCTGACCTGAGTCATGAAAATGACGATGTATCCTCCAGTGGAGACTGCACACATCAGCTCTGTCAACATGCACTCGCTGAGATGGTCAACCGACCTTCAACCCCCATATATGCAAACAAGAAGATTGCCGCCACCCACGTAGTCTTCTGTTTCATCGCTCGTCTCGTCATCCCCTTCTCATCCGTATCATTCCGACTCTTCAATTTGTAAACCCTACTCGTCTCTTCCCAAAACGCAGCCGTACAGACCACCAACTCCACTACCATCAAGGCCGTCATGATATAAAAGAACTGCCACCAGCCCAGCCCATACTTCACTACCATGGCCGTCGCAATCGACGGGGCAATCACCGCACCCGCCCCGTAGCACCCGTGCAATAATCCGAGGAGCTCGTTGGCTTTATCCATTTCCGAGAGATAAGTGTTCCACGCCCCATCAAGCAGCCCATTGCCGAATCCTGCGAAGGAGAGGAAGACAATGATTACGGGAAAGGGCGGGTGGGCGTCGATGACCACGTAGGCGAGGAGGCGGGAAATGGGGGAGAAGATGGCCATGCCCCTCTTGCCAAAACGGAGGTGCAGGCGGTCGGCGACTAAGGAGGCGACAATGTAGCCGACGAAGGGAGAGAGGAAGACGAGGGAGGCGACGGTGTAGTTGAGAGAGTAGTCTTCCTGGATCTAGGGGTTGTTAGCTGCCAATTGGTTTAGTGGGACTGAGGGGGTTTACATAGGGTAGGAGAGGGCCAAGAGAGGCATCGTTCATGCCGAAGTTGATGAAGGCGAAGAAGATCGATGCCAGTCGCCAGATGTTCTGGCGGGGATAGTTCCACCTTGGGAGAGCTTCGACTGCGTTCTCTGGATCGTGGGTTTGGGTTTCAGAAAGTCTGTGGTCTTCTTTTGGCGGCTCATGTAGAGGCAATTGCTCTTTAGAGTGCTGGAGAACAGCATTTTCAGGTGCCCTTGGCTGTAGCTCGATGGTGGTTGTACCAGAGACCATGATGAGGGACGAGATGTGGGTCCTCGTGCTGGTCAATCGTTCTCGATCATTGTTACGGAGGGAGGGTTCGCAAGCCCCTCATATGTCAATTGAAGAGGGTACATCTTCGGACCTTTCCGTGTAGCACTCCAATGGTGCAGCACTAGTATGGCGTCACATCTCACGGTTGAGAAAAAGCATGTAGCGGTGAGCGGCTCGTCATTGGGTGTGCGCTGCTTCGCTTTGTAATGAAGCAAGCAAGTGTGAAGTTTGGCACGCAAGGACGTATTCGTGACTCTCCGGTCGACTAGAACGGCCTCTCGGAATTAATTATATATCTGTCTGTAGCCATTACTAGAGTCAGAAGCAAACCTCTATCAGAGCAAGACTCAAGAAGTGATTGATATCGAATCGATAATGATGGTTCTACATGCTTGTCGCCGAAAATATCCCTAATGCATTGAAATCAAGCCCAATTACTTTACAACGGATGAAATAAGAAATCACCTAACCCAACATATCCCAACATTAGACGCAGTCTCCTAATAATCACCCACCAGCACCATACCCATTCGTTCTCTCGATATCTTCCGGCCCCCACGGATCATCCGGATCCACATACAGTTCGTCCTCCACGTGCGGCTTCTTCGTTGGTGGAGCTTTGCCGTGATCGAATGCCGCGGCTACAGCTGCTGCCCATGCTTCGTCTGCGTCCTTCGGATCTGGCTCCCCTGGTCGCTGATACTTGTACAGAAAAGTCTCGGTTTCTTCTTCTGGTTGATCGGTACCTAGGATTTCTGTGAGAAAGCCGCTACTATCATATTGAGGCTCAGAGGAGTGCTGTTGCTTCTCCTTCTTGGCTGATGGTCGTGAAGGCTTCGTCAACTGCTTGTTCTCCTTCTCCCCTTCATCCACATCCGAAATTGTTTCATTGCTGCTTCCGGTTGACTGATTGGGTTCCTCGATTGGGTTTGCGGGCTTGGTCTTTGCTTTAGCCTTGGCCTTCTCCTTTCTGGCTTTTGAGTTGGCCTTCGCCGCCTCATTCATCCTGGTCTGCTCAGCTTTCTCAGCTGATTGAACTTTACTTGCTCTTGCAGCTTTCTCTTCATCTGCCGCTTCCTTCTTGAGTCCTTCTTTGTAGTGTATGACTTTATCTTGCTCCGCTTTCACAGCATCTTGGTACAATTTCTGCTGCATCTTTCTATTCTCCTCGCCTCTTTTTGGCTCATTGTCCGGGGGCCTATTTCCAGGAGAAGTTTGAGAAGAGAAGATCTCTTTCCCATCTTTTTGTTCTCCAGTATCCGTTTCGTCGTCTTCAAAAAGCTCTTGATCTTCTGAACGGTCTGCCAAGTCAGAGACTGCATTCCCCTCTTCTTCTTCTACTTCCTTGCCACCACTCCGGCCAGGCTTATCATGCTCGTTTTCGGTTTCAGCCTTGTTTTTATCGTTGCCTTGAACATGAATTGGATTCTTTTCTTCCTTGTCGTGCTCCTGCTTTGCATCCTCGGGCTCTGCATCTTGGTTATTTCCCGCTGATTTCCCTTGATCTTCCTTGTCCGATTCAGCATCATTCTTGTGGCCGGGTTTCGACTGTTCCTGCTCGTGGTCGTTCTTGGGTTCTTTTGGTTCGTCCGATTGATCTGTCTTCCTACTGCTCGCCTCATCTTTATTGTGGCTCTTCTGGTCCTCAACTTTTCGATCTTGCTTGCCCTCTTCAGCCTCTTTTTCATCCTTTTGATCTGCTTTTCTAGCCTGCTCCTTGTGCTCGTCGTTGTTTCCATTTTCGCTCTGCTGCTCTTTGCTCTTGATATTGCCTTTGTCGTCCTCTTTCGTTTCGTCCTTGCTGCTCTTTTCGTTTTCATCCACTTTCTTCTCTTCCGTTTTGTTTTCTTCAGCTTTACTACCCGAATCCTTCGATCCCTCCTTAATCTGCCCCCCATCACCTTTTCTTTCTTCGTCTTTCTTCTTCTCCTTCTCATCACTTGCCTCACCCTTATTATGTTCCTCTTTTTTCGTATCGTCCTTCTTTTCATCGTTTCCCTCCTTCTCGTCACTCTTTTCCGTATCATTCTCCTTCTTCTCGTCACTCCCATCCTTCTCGCCGTCTCCCTTCTTCTTCTCCTCCTCTCCGTTCTTGTCACCGTCTTCCTTTTTCTTGTCTTCCTTCTTCCCGTCTTCCTTCTTCTCATCTTCCTTCTTCTCGCCTTCTTTCTTCTCGTCCTTCCCCTTTTCGCCCTCATTCTTCGCATCATCCTTCTCCTTCTCACCATCCTCTTTCTTTTCATCAAGCACCGTCTTCTCATCGTCACCTTCCTTACCACCGCTTTTCTTCTTTTCTTCCTCCTTCTGCTTATCTTCCTTCGCTTGCTCCTCCATATGCGCTTTCTCTTTCGAGTCAAGCTCCTCTTGCTTCCTCATAGCCTCATCATGTAGCATCTTGTCTGCGATAGGATCTTGCCATATTTTACCCTGACCTTCTTTGGCTTTCTGAACCGCGACCCACTTCTGCAGCTTTTCGTCTTTTAGTCTGATGGCATCGGCTTCTTTCATCATCGGGTCCTTGAGGTCTTTGTTCAGGACGGTATTGCGATAGGCTTCATCTGAGGATAACAAAATTTTCTCCTTGGCCTCGATTTCGGCTTGAGCAACCTCACGTTCAATTTCATCGTCAGTTTTGTCTGGTATTTCCTCTTCGGGATCCAAAGGATGTGCATCGGTCAGGACAATTTCCTCTCCATTGCCACCTTGTTCCGCATCACTCAAATCCTTGTGGAGAAAATCGGCCATCTGCTTCTCCTCTTTCAACATATTTTCTGCTTTATCTTTGTCTCCTTCTCCATCTTTCTCATCATCTTTTTTGCCACCTAGGCCTTCAAGGTGCTGCCCACCTTCATTGTCCCAACTATGACTCCAATAGGTAATACTCCAACTACCCCATGCCTGTGTGCCAACGACCTCCTTGCATCTAGTCGAATTAAAGGCATTCTGACCTACTAGGCAGTACTCTTTGTAGGGGTCGCCATCTCGTTGCCACGAATATGGGTAGATCGCCCAAAATGGTAGAACCTCCATACCTTCTGTAGCATGACCAGGGTACAGCTTCCCCCATCCGCTCTTAGCATATCGCTCATCGATCGCGTTCTCCTCATTATGGTATTTCACCCTGTATGTCTCTACCTCCTTGTATAGAGCCGCTGGACCGGTGACATACTCTGCCTGTCCTCCACTATTGGAGCCGGTCTTGATTTTCTCGAGCGGTAGAAGCCAGAACGGGTGACCTGGAGTCGAAGCCATCCATGCATTTGGAATGCTGTGTTCGCTGCCTTCATCTGTGCCCATACGACCTAGGAATGCTTTACGAGCGGCTGGTCTAGTAGCATTGAAAGGTAGTGTGGTGCCAAGATCGTCATAGGACGCGGTGCTGACATTGTATTTTTCGAACAAGTCTGTGTACGGCTTCAAGCATTCCGTGTCAAGATCCATGTAAACACTTTCCAACTTCAGCACTGATGCGTCCAAAGAAAGGATCGGGAACATACCCTCCAAACACATGCATGTAGACATTTCGTATGGCATCCACTCGAAAGATCTCCGATTGCAGGTCCTTGTACGTTTGCAAGAACCAAGGTACATGGGTCTTGATCAGTTTTAAATTGTCTGCATCGGTCCAAAGCACATATTCCCAGTCTGGATTAATTCTGCGGCACGTCGTGCTCCAGCGCTGCATCTTGGGCGGGAGTTTGGCATCTTTCCAACTCTGATGCAGAAGCTTGGGCGCTCGTGTCACATCGACTGGGAGATCGCGTTTGAGGAGTTGTCGTGGAGAGACACGCTTTGCCTCGATAGTTGAGGGATGATTCTGTCCATTCTTTTGGATATAAGGAAAAGTGTCTTTCTTTTGGGACAGATAGCTCTGGAGACGGTCAGAGTACCTTTGACCGGGGGGATTGCCGCCTGGTCTATGATGCCCGAGGCCTGTAATGAGAGAAAGTGCAACAATGACAAGGACGAGGCTCTGCAACAATCGCGTCAAAAATATTGACCCCGGCTTCCTGAACCACATGCTTCATTATTGAATGATCATGAGGCGAGCTGTCAAAAGATTCAAGCTTTTTCTGCGAAGGTCTGGAAGGTATGAGACCCGCTGTGGAACCTTGAGATGACTGGAATGCGTTCCACTCTGTTGGAAATGGACGCGCAAAAGCATATTGAAATGACCGCGAAGCATTGAATGTGAGAAGAGAGTCATGATGCAGATACAATTGATTCGCATATCTCCTGCAAACGGCGAGATGAGATGAAAATGCATGTTTCCAGGCAAGGGAAAGCAGTGCAATAGGCGTGGACTCAGCACTAAGGTCTCAACCTTCCGCATGCAGAAGACATCGTGTAAGATGAGGACTGTAGACCACAGGTCTCCCGGGTGGTAATTGCGGAGGCCATGATCCCATCTCCGCAGCACAGCTATAGGTTGACTTCTTGTTGCTTCAACGGCAATAGGATCGTTGTTGGGACCCGCGTTGGAGTTTCCCATGACGTGGATCAAGAACAATAACATATAACCAGGCAAGCGATGCGCTCAGTCTACGATGGTGACGCTGTCAAGCAATGTGACCTTCAGGATGTCATACTTGAAAGACTGATGACTTCTCCGAGTCGAAATAATAAGATTTGGTCGCGTCCCTTGTATTGCGATGACGTCGACAACAACCATGACGACAACTTTGATGTCCGCCTGCAAATTGCAGCAGTGTCCTATGGCAATGGGAAACCCTCACCTCGATCCTTCTTCGATTGAAAACAGGAATGGCCACGATTCTGCAGTCGAATTAATCATCCTCTCGATCCCCCAGCTCCAGCTATACCATGTCGGCTGAATCACTCGCTTCAATTCCCACCAGTTACGCTACAGCCTCAATCGGTACCCCACAGACCCCCTTACAATCAAAACTTGAGGCCATAGCAAGTGCAGGATGGCAGGGCATAGAGCTGGCCTTCCCAGACTTGTTGTCCTTCGCTTCTCGAAACCTTGGCAAGGAGGTGGATTCACATGACTATGACGTGCTTTGCAATGCAGGGCAAGAGGTCAGGAGATTATGTGAAGGACTAGGATTGAAGATCGTGATGCTTCAGCCTTTTTCAAACTTTGAAGGCTGGAAGCCGAAGTCTGAAGAGAGAAAAGACGCATTCACGCGGGTCAAGGGTTGGATCAGGATCATGGAGGCTATTGGATGCAACATGCTGCAGGTTCGTCTCCTGATTACGCATGTTCGGATTTAATGGCTAAGTAATTTAGGTCGGGTCTTCAGATTCCCTTGACATCGACACCTCACGCGACGCCATCGTTTCTGACCTTAGAGAGCTTGCAGAGCTCCTTGCCCCTTACAACTTCCGCCTAGCGTACGAGAATTGGTGTTGGTCAACCCACGCACCAGATTGGCAAGATGTATGGGACATTGTGAAGAGAGTGGATAGACTGAATATGGGCCTCTGCCTCGACACTTTTCAAAGCGGCGGAGGAGAATGGGCAGATCCTACGACAGACTCAGGAGTCATTGAATCATTATCACGAGACGAGCTAGAGAACAGATTTCAGGAGAGTCTGGCAGAGTTGAGCGCTACCGTACCAGCTGAAAAGATCTTCATACTACAAATCTCGGATGCCTATCAAAAGCGGATGCCGTCTCGACCAGATGAGAGCGGCCTGAGTCCTAGGGCTCGATGGAGCTCTTGCTTACGGCCTGTGCCATTTGCTGGAGGCTATCTACCGGTCGTGGAGTTTACGAGAGCCGTTCTTAAGACGGGCTTCCGAGGCTGGTTTTCCATGGAGGTCTTCGATGGGGGACCTGAAGGCACAGACTCGGACTGGCCAGATATGCCTGGCTATGCGAAGAAAGCAATGAATGCTCATAAACAATTATTGAGTGAATCAGCAGCGTGAAAACACCGTGCTGTATCGATGAAGACACGTGTCGCTGCCTCCCGCAGTGGGCTATTCTAAAACAATTAAACGGTGATGGTCATGCCTTGGTAGCTCGCGCTGCTTAGGCAATGCAGGCTGCCGGATTATGTTGTCTGTCATCATTTATACTGAGGGAGCACACAACTCTATGCTGGATTTTGTTGGTCGAACAATTGACAGCGTTGTCACTCTTGGTCATCGAAGGAGTGCGCATCGTGGAATGATGCCTGGATATCCTGCCATCGCACTCTTTACCTGCGCAAAGTCGCAAAGAATTCAAATCGTCCAATAAGGCCTCACCTGCCATTCTTGCCACAATACTTGGTCATCAGGAGGACGAGCATGCACATTATGAACAAATCAAAATCACCAATTCACTCCTGAAGCAGGGTTTAATGATCAATTGAGATATATCAACAAAAGACATCGCTATACTATCAAAGCTTAAAGAAATCCTGACCAGCAGCAATCTTGACCCCCGCTTTAGAATTCCACAGCCTAGGTACTCTGATCCATGAATCAACTCGCATCAAGATGAAATTTGCTCAATTTCGAGTGACTCATCCTTTTGCAGCTTAGCCTTCCTATGGCAACATCAAACAAGGTGTCAGACTCGCCTGATATTATGATCAGAAAGTAAGCAAAATAGTAAGAATTCGTATCTTAGATTCCTTCACTCTTCACAACAAGCTCAACTTTTCAGAGTGGCCGACTTGGCCTGTGTCAGATGTGTCTATAGCTGACGTCGCTTCTCTTTGGGGCCGTGAACTTGCTCTTCTCGACCTCACCTGCGTCTGGAAGGTAAACTTTCCCTCAAACCAACACTTAAGCCTTATCCTTGCTTCAATATCAGGAGTCATACATTTACTTGAGGCTGGCTGGATCAAGCTCTACTGAATGAGCAATATGTTACACACGGTTGAGATCGACCGAGTTGGAAGAAGACTTCTCACCATCACCGACCAAGATGTTGAACATCGCGTTCCTCTAGACTCTCGTATTTTAAAGATCGATGGCCCCCAGGGAATATCGGAGTACAACGTCAATGATCTCCCATTAAAGATTGACATTGGGTCTCTCCGTGGACCCCTGAGGATTGAGGACCAGAACGACCAACTCATTTACGAATGCAAATATGGGAAGAGCAGAAGCATTGGATTGGGTACGACACGAAGCACATCCTCACAAACGGACCCTTCCCCGCATGATAGCTCGACCAATTTCGAGCTGGGAAAAAGGGGAGTTCAACAACATGGTTCTGCGCATAGCGACGGCGTCAGGAACAAAGTACATAGTGATAATCAAGTGAGCACGTTGGAAGCAAGCACCAGCACAACGCTGCTTCCATCTCCATGCCATATTCCCGAGATTGATCCCGAGATCATGTCATCTCCGACCATATTCAATCAGCCAAATCAGAAGAGGAAGTTTGGGGAGAGTAATGTTGTGCCCACGCCACCATCAAAATGGGTGAAGCTTCTCGTCCAACAACGTCCAGACCAAGAGCAACAAGATGACAAAACGGAAGTAGGCTCGACCACTACAACAATCAATAGTGCACCAACCGAGACCGGAAGATTGAATGCTGAGGATTGGGAATTTCATCGTCGATTAATTGCCACCATGGTGGAGATGGACCATCTCGAGGCCTTTGCAAAACCATGTGACTACGAAGAGCTCAGCAGAATTTACGATAAGGTATATCGGATGTATCCCAAAGTGGTTGAGAATCCAATGGATCTTGGTACGATACTGGCAAAAATTGACTGTGGAGAGTACGCAAAAGTTGGGGACATAAATGAGGATATTGGTCTAATTGCAGACAACGCGGCTACTTGGTACTGGCATTGTAATCGTCTGAGAGGCACGAGACGCGATATCGATGTCCGAAATGCTGCGCAAAGTATGCGCGAATGCTACAACGATGCTATCGAACAACACTACGATGACGAGGACGAAGATGAAAACTCTGAAACATCCTTGGGTAGCACGAGCCAATCTCTCAAGCGTAGGAGTATTCCTATCTTTCCTGGTGCTTTGGATGATGGTACACCTTCAGTGAACAGCTATGCGGAATGGGACACCGAGACGGAAGACGACACATCAAGTTCATTGGACGATTCCACTGATGAGACGGATGAAGACAACGATGGAAGATATCCTCACGACTCAACCTATAGGAAGTCCAGTGAGGACAGCTGATGCGGTGGCTCCGCTCTTCCAGGCGCCGAACCGACGACGGCTTTCGCAGTGAGCCAAGGCGGCGAAATTGGGAGCTGTGGAAACCCCTCGATGAGCCTACGACATGGCCGATTGTCGACCTGATTGTCCTAGCATTAACCAAAAATGACGATTGAGCATACAAATTGTCGATCAAGACTGAAATCCCGATCTGGCAGCGTACAAGCCGGATTGCAATTCAATTCACTTTTCAAACCTCACTTTGATTCAGGTGGGGCTACTCCACCAGCTTCAAACCTCGTCATGTTTTCATGATATAAAGTCCCCTTTGCCTAAGTCCATCCTACACCAACACCGACGCTTTTGATCTTCAAGTTCATTACAACATGGTGTAAGCACCTAGTAGTAGCGACTTTCGCGTGATCAAGCCTCGAAAATTACAAGCTGGGAGAGTTTGATATAGCTAAAACCTCAAAATGTCGGGTATCGTAAATATCTACCACATTGGTAGTAAAGTCTTGACTATCACGTACAATGACATCGAACATCACGTTCTACTACCAGGAGAGACAATAGTCATCCATGTCTTCGGCAGGGCAACGAAATATAACTTGACAGAACTACCATTACGACTGGCGGCCGCAAGCCTTGAAGGCCGCCGCCTCATCATCAACGACACCGATGGCAGTCTCATCTATTCCACCAAGATACCTGATAATGAACAGCATCATTCAAGACCCCGTTCAAGCCCACTTTCATCTTCAGGACAATCGCCTACCACGCCGACCATTGGCAGCTCCGCATACCAATTTCCAACGCCTCAACCATCCGAGCGGTCGTTTTCGCCACATACACACTGCTCGCCGCGGCTTTCAACGCCATCAAGTGATTTATTCGCACCCACCATATACAAAGCAACGTCGCCTATCAAGAACCGCAAGCAAGGCGAGGAGAGATCATTCATGCCGCAATCAGACACAACCAAGGTTGGCAGTGGCAGCAGGAAACGCAAGCAGGGCGAGGAGCGACCATTCATCCCGCAATCAAATTTGTCCAGAGGCAGCAATCCTTCTCCTTCAACTCCAAGACGGTCATTTGGAAGGAAGTCTATCAAAAGAGCGCCTTCTCAGCGTCGCAAAAACGATGGCGAAAGGCTTTCTAAACTTAGCAAAAAATCAATCACGCCAGAAGAAAGTCAGTGGCTTCCCAGGTTCCTCAAAGATCTGTGTAACGACATGAAATTTGCGGCCTTCTGCGAACCAGTCCGCTACAACGAACTGGCGAGAATCATTGGTCCCACTTACAATGACTACCCAGAAGTCATCAAGAAGCCAATGGACCTTCTCACAATCCGTATCAACGTCGCCCGACGTAGATACACAAACATGCGTAGCGTACAGCAAGACATCCACCTCATGGCCAACAATGCCATCGCTTGGTTTCGCTACTACAAGGAGAAGACCGGAGATGGTGACGATGAGCACGTGAAAGACGCCGCCATTGCCATGCGGGATGTGTTTGATGACCAGGCAAGTCAGTACAAGTGGTATTCTGAACTTCTGAACGACAGCGAAGCGGAAAAATTGCAGGCCGAGGGGCCGGCGAGGAAGAGGGCCAAGTCCAGCCGTAACACCATTGACAACAAGGCCAAGAGAGGTAGTCGCGCGAGGAACAAGTATCCGGCGGATCTGATAGGGAATTTCCTTATTGGTGAAGAGGAAGAAGATGATGGAAACGAAACATTCAGCCCAGATCCCGCTTCCTCGTCTGACGACAGCGACTACAGCGAGTATGCAGAGAACGAAGATGAGGCGGATGATTCGGCTTCGGGGGATGATCAGCCAGTCGACGACGAAGAGCCGGACTCGTTCATATAACGGCAAGTAGCGGAGCAACGATTTTGCGTATGAAGAGAATGATGTACGTCGCTTTAGTATACGAGATTGCGCTTGGTTAGCAGAGCCTTGGTCTGTTGTCTCTGGCTGCGGATACGTCGCGAAAAAAGGTCAATACGAAGCGCTTTCATTGCGGCTGTCCTTCTTTGGTCTATGCATGCGTTTCTCGAGTCTCTCTAGACCTATGCTTTATTATGGGGCAGCCAATTCGTTGTCATAAAGGTCTCGCAATCTCCTTTTCAGAGCTTCCTTTGCGGTCGTGATCAAGATATGCAAACCACCCCAGCATAACTCACAGCCGGGAACCGATCTTACAAACACGGAGCGAGAGCACGGAAAACCCCTCTCGAATTCTTTCGAAGGGAAGGCACCGTAAGTAACGAAGCTGAAGGTGGATGTCGCATGGCAGGAAGGAATACGGGGATGTTCATGACACGTGTAATTCCGAGATGAGAGGGGAAACGAAGCCTCAAAGAAAAAGAGCAAGATCAGTAGAACTGTCGATCTCAAAGAAAGAAAGTATCAAAACCGTCCGCAGAGACCTTATGCACAACCATCTTGCTTACTCGCCAGGGGTTCTCGCCCTCTTTCGTACCTTGCCGCACCACTTCGATCGCCATTCTAGCTCTAGCATTCGCGGTCACCTGTTTCCCATCTGGCTCGTCCCTGACGAGATAGACGTCGATGTTCATATCTACGTGCACGGCGTCGGGTTTCTTGTCGTCGTGGTACTGATTGAGCGAGAGCTGGGGCAGGATATTACTAGAAAGATGAATATTAGGGCGCATAAAACCGGGGAGTCATGGCGGCGGGGGGAATGCGGCGTCAGGAACAGAGAAGGGGGAGACTCACCTTAAAGCATGCGACGCGATGGTGATCTTTGTCCATAGGCCCTCCCATGATTTCACAATGCTATCGGTGGTATGGGTTTCGGGTGAACCGCCGAAGACTTGTGTGTAGTCGATGGCTATTTCTGAGGCGAAGGCTTCCTTTCGGCAGATCTCGAGTTGGTGGCTGTCAAATCCGTAGTACTTTTCTCGGTTAACTTCTGTGCTGCTGGACTGGGATGGGCGCAAAGGGGCGTGGATAGGGAAACATACCATCCTTTTCAGAGTGTCTTGGATTTGGGAATGGTCGAGGAGGTACTGTTGTACATGCATATTTGCTGCTGTCTTGGAATTAAAGGATTATGCGAGAATAAGATGCCTCAATTGCATTCTGGGCTCATGAAGGAAGTCATTCACGCTGGTTTATATGCCTCTCATTCGGCACCATTACAGCCAAAACGGAGTCCGAGAGTCCGTCCGGCTATCTTCGGCCTGTTAGCTTGCAGGGCGAGCTTGTCGAGGTATTCTTTATCTCTAAGAGATGATAGGTGAAGCGAAGCCTGGACGGCTTTGACATACCTTAGCCTTCCAGGCGGCCTGCTGTCACACGCATATCTTTGGGTTCGGGGCGGACAGCACATTAAGTACTTGACTCAGGGCAATCATAGGTAGTCAATGCCTTTAAGAAACCGTCCCAAGCAAGGTAAGGTGGCGTTCATGGGTCATACATATGGTGTGAAGGTGGCATTAGGGTGACGATTCGGCGGCTTCTAGACCGTTGTTCTGAAGCGGAACACTAAGCCAGGCTGCAGGCGTCAAGGTGGCTGCCGCATCCTTCTCGTCGAGGCTTTACTTAGGTCTGAGATGTAACAGACTGACGAACTATCCGCTTGAACCCCAAAAAGCTTTTTCGAAGAAGAGACAGAAGAAAAATTGGAGTCTCAACCGTGCTGTTATTACCAGGCCTTGGTGCCGCCCGCAATCTCACACATCACACATTCACTCACACCCAGACATTACAGGGGATTCTTTGTGCAATACAATAGGTCCTTGGGGGCGTGACAACATAAGGGTTTGAACGAAGGATGTAAAGGTACATGCAGGCGAGGTGGAAGGGATGTTGAGAAGTAGACGAATTCCGTCCAGTGCCGTATTCGTATTCTTACGTCCTACACCAAAGGATTTGATCATAAATTATGACGCGACATCTGGTACTGGCCCTGCAGGGCTTTATTTGCTTGCAGCGATAACTTAGACTGACGTATTGAAGATCCGGTGACAGAAATTCATACATATTCTATCTATGCATTAATTCTGAGACCGTGGTAAGAAGAGATCGTCTCTCGCTAACATTACTCGCTCGCAATGAACGCCGTTATGAATATGTACAGCATCGCCTTTCACCTGACACCATTGGCTGACTATCAGAATTCAACTCACTTCCTCCCATACCCCAACGGACTTCCATCCTCAGGGCTGCTCTGGTGCACCTCCTTGACCTCTTGTTCTGTTACCCCACTCAATCCCTTGAGCTTATGGTCCTGCATCTCCGGGAAGACCAATCCGGGGTGGAAGATCGTCAAGCACAGCGTCGCGATGACGATCATTACGCCCTCCAAGATAATGAAATCCGTCTCATCCTGCATGATGCTGTTCTTCCACCCATTCGCCATCTCCGCAATTCTGAAGACGCATCGGGTAAAGATGGTAATATAAGCAAGTGCTAGCCCGCCCAAGAACGCTCGGAAGCGCGTGGTGTGCAGAAGCTGATAGGCTTTTGGCGGGAGATTGTTCTTGTTCGAGCGGAGGCGTAAGGCGTACGATGTGCACAGACTTCCGAATACGATCAAGGTGATCACTTGCCAGACGATACCAGCCATCATCAAGTCGTTGCCCACGTCGATCATGTTGGAACCATGATCAGCTGTTGCGGCTATGCCACCGCCGGCGCCTTGGAGAACAAGAGAGAGGATGTCGCAGAGGATGAAAATCCAGGTGTACCAGCGAGCGGGAAGATGAGAGTAGGACGGGCCGAGCTCAATAACGATGTGCTTGAGTCTATTTGCTGAGTCAGCGGGGTGCTTCAAGACCAGTTGAAGGAAAGGTTGACTCACGTCAAGTACACGCCCGCAGCGAAGAATGCAGGACAAATGATCAAGCAGCAGATCTGGATGTCGAACCCATTGCCGTCCCAAGGGTTGTGGTGAAGGATTATTCGACCAGCGTAGCCGAGGGCTTCACCCAAGCAGCCAAACCAGAGAGCGATTAGGTATGTCCATGTCTTGTAGCGGAGGCCGAGGTATGTGTGAGCGACGAGGCAGGCGGCGAACAAGGCCAGGAAGAAGGCGTTGGCGCCGAGGTTTGGGTAGTAGCCGTAGATTGTGGCCTCGACAGGACATTCAGGGGTGATGTCGACGCAAAGGTCGAAGTCACCTGTGTGGGTGTTGTTGACTGTATCATTGGCACGTTTTAGGAGGGTGGGGAGGATTTCCAGCATTGGGGAGGCCATTGCGTCGTATGTTTTCTGAAGAATTGAGAGGGAGTGAGAACGAAAGTCAATTGAATTGGATGCTAGAGGTGGGTCTGAGAAAGACAAGGAAGCGGAGAATGAAGAATATATCTTTGATCCTCTGCGACATACAGAGATTATTTTAAGAAATCACGGTTGCCTAGAATGGAGAGGAGAGGGTGATGGGTCTATATAGCCCCATCACCTTATCATAGCCACAAGCAATCGCAATGTCAGAAAGGTAAAACCAGATAGGATTCGAGAGAACGAGGGTATGACTGCATGGATGTGACCCTTTTGCGCACGTTGCACGCATCGCTTGTGGGAAGCAGTGCGAATACGCTCCGCCTTGGGAGTAGGAGCGGTGAAAATTACCCTGGAAGGCAGCAATTAAAATCTGACAATAATATGAACCACAGGCTGACTGCGGGCGAACAACAGGCCCAGTACGTTTCAGCCCGGAGAGCATTGCACCGACTGCTATGATTGGTGTTTTCATGCTGACTTTGCAAAGAGGGAAGCGAATGCGAGATGAAGTGACAGGCTGGCGGAGAGCACAGCCCAGCCCATCAATTTCCAGGGTAAAAACCACGAGCCATTTCGGAGCGCATTATCTTGTATCGCCGGAGCTTGACCGCTTTTGGGGTTTCGTTGGTCGGGCCACACCTATGAGTCAGAATACGGGACCCACAGTAAGCACCTTTAGTCGAATCATACGGGGACTTTATGCGATAGCGCCGACTCGGTAGGTGGAGTGAGGACGTGTAGGGGTGGCTTTGTATGGTGTGATGTGCACATGGGGTCACAGCCTGTGATAAGTATAGCCGGAGGCAGACCAGCCCAACGCTCTTCGAATTGCTGAAGGACAAAGATTTCTCCGAATATTACACGCGCCTAGAGCCAATCCGGCATCACTCTGCGCCTGACTAAGCAGGTAGGAATGCCAAGGCTTGGCAAAATTCAAACGTCGGAGGATTCTGTCGACGAGTCACCTAAACCCATGTCAGCGACAACAAATATAGTCCATCAACGAAAGCTCATGACTCTGATCCATTACACTGACTTCTCTATCGTTCGATGGACCTGCCACATAGGTTATTGAACTATCGTTGAAACGAGCATGTCGAACAGCGGCGTGCAGGGCCAAATAGTGACCGAAAGCGCCGCGCCGAAGTCTGCATCATGGGTGGGGGCTGCTACCAATTGGCCTCCCAAGCCTACCCACGCGATCATCTTCTGTCGCTCAAGACCCGATAGTCGACCGTCCGTTCACTAGCCACTGGAAGATCATCACTTTGCCATCTTGTCAACTGTACTATCTGGTAGATCGCAATCCCGCTGTGGAGGAGAATCTGGACTTACCAGAGCGCGGGCTCGGCTTACGGAAATGTGAGCGGATTCCCGCTCCCAGCAACTTATTTTCCAACTCAAACTACTCACTCAGTCCCGATATTAATTGCGTCTGTTTCTCACTCGTTTTGAAGCTGGGCTGATACCATTCAGGAGCATCAGACCATTTTCTCCAAACTTCCCTGAAACAAGGTGCTGAACCACCTCCTCCAACTTGTGAAGATGAAGCACATGCATCATCAGGAACCTCTCCGTTTGATGTGCGAGGCACAGTTCAGGGACACAACCCCTCATGCACGAGTATACAGACCATGACCTTTCCTCACCCACCGTCGCTTCTTCCCGTACGGCTATTTCGCGATAGTCGGATATAGCCTAGAAGCCTGCAGCGTTTCGGTCCCGGAGTTTGATAGTACTAACCATGTCTAGTTTAGATGAAGAAGCTAGGTATGTCACCAAGATCTTCACTAAGTGGATGAGGCTGGGGGTTGAGCCGTAAATCTAAGCCATCTGCAGTTTGGTGGCATCGCAAGGTAAGCAGCAATAGGGAAAGCGTTTCAATGGCTGCATGCTAACTAGCATAGCTTCAAGCCTCTCCGCTTGCTTAATTTTGGGACCTGGCTCGTGCATTAGCGTTCAGCAAGTTCATTGAAGCCATCCTTAGACCGTGGCCGTTGACGATACATAATGGCCTCAAAAGCTGCATCTCTTTCCTGGTTATCAAGCAGAAAGAGGATAGCTTGCGAAAGAGCGCCTTCTACCTGACCAACGACAAATTTTTTTGAAAACATCACATTATTTGAGAAGTCTTCGTTGCGATTCGTTACTTGACATTGATCATCGTCATGGTATATCAAGGCAAGCCATCGGCTGGTTGCGCTAACTGCAGAAAGCGGAAGATCAAGGTATGGCTGTCGCTCCAAGACACTCATCATACTGATCGATCAAAGTGCGACGAAGGACTTCCCGCTTGTTCACAATGCACAAATACCAAACGGACATGCCCCGGCTACATCGCGAGGTTCGATCTCATCCTTCGAGATCAGACCAAGGCAGTCCGTCGAAAGGCTCAACGGAAAAGGCAAGAGGCCGTTGCAGCATCAACAGCTCCAGCCTCAGCCGTTTCCGCTCCCACCGCATCTTCAGCAACATCAAGCAACAGCGCACGCACTGCCTTTCCTGCCTTCAAAGGTCCACGAGCGACATCACCACCATCCTCCGTCTCTTCTGCAGAAGAAGGATCAGGCGGATACTATGCCCTGGCTGGCCCAGGGGAAGGCCCTTCATATGCTGTAATAAAACGCTCCACCTCCGATACAACCACCGTTCCGCGCATGTTTAACGACTTTCCAGAACAGCAAGCTATCTGCGCATTCTTCCTCGATTTCGTACTTCTACCACGAAACACCGATGCTTCTCGAGGACACCTGGAACACCTACTTCCCCTATACCAGCGATCCGCTCATGATTCCCCACTCGCTCTGGCAACCTCTTCCATTGCCCTGGCAATATCCGGAAACCCACATACTCGAGATTCCGACCAACAACTGGCACGAACCATATTCGGACGTGCTCTTCGTAAAGCCAGCGCCGCTATACGAGACCCTGTGGAATCCCTTCGAGACGAAACCCTTCTGGCCGTATTGCTACTAGGACTGTTCGAGCGCCTCTCCGCTGCCACTGGATCCAATACGGGCGAGTCATCTACCGACATGACATCCACCCACAATGCAGGCGCCGCAGCTCTCGTCAAGCATCGTGGGCGCGAAAATTGCACCTCTTCTTTAGCCATCGGTCTCCTCTTCGCAGTGCGTTCCCAACTAGTCGAGCACGCGATTGAAGAGGGTATGGCATTCAAAAGATGTCCAGACAAGATGTCGGCGATCTTCAGGAACCTCCCTCAAAATTCAGCGGCACGTCTTACCTCAGTGACAATCAACATTGCCGATTTACGATCTTGTGCGCAATCTGCCCTCATTCTCCCCCACTCTCAAGCCGCGGAGCAAGAAGTCAACGACTTGATCGAATACGCCATCAGTATCGACCTTCTGGTTGCTGCGTGGGCGGAAAGTCTGCCCGACTCCTGGCGCTGGCAGCGAGCTACAGGTTTCGACATGCCCATGCAACAAACGCCCAGCCTCAATGTCGACAATACAGCCTATCAATATCTCGATAAAAGCGACGTCTACACCGACTTGTGGGTGCTAAGTGTGTGGAACCAGTACCGCTCAGCCCGCATTCGCATCCAATCCATCATCCTCTCCTGCATTCATTATCTCGGTGCGGCACACGAAGCGCAATGGTATTGGCGCTCAATCTATGCCAAGATGATTGCGCAGGAGATGGCGGATGAGCTCTGCGCGTCCGTTCCGTTCGCCTTGGGCACCAAAGTATCCGGTGGGCCGGGAGAGCGAGACGCGGTCGAGTTCCCATATGTGCTTCAAGGTGCCGCAGGAAAGGGGAAAGTTGGACCAGAGCACACGAGAGCTGCTTGTGCGATTGGTGGGTGGCATCTGCTTGGGCCGCTGAGGACGGTAGCATTGTGCGAGGGAGAAGCTAGAATGGAGGGAGTGCTGAGAGAAGGACAGGGAAAATGGTGTGAGGAGCAATTGGAGAGGGTGGGGAGGGTCTACGGTATGACCAAGGCGGATGGGAAGGGAGAAGTCAAGGGGGAGAAAATGGTAGAAAATCCTCTCTACGGTGAACAATTCTTTTGATGGCGGTGAAGATTATTGTATGATTAAGACGGGAGGATTGCATGGCGCTGGCGTTTGGATAGCGAAGCTCAGAGACATGTTCACTACGACGTGATGTTCACGACGAAAATGTACGATATACTCCAGCTAGAATTGGATAATTTGACGCTCGTCTTTCATCCTCTATCTCTCCTCTTCATGTCCTCTAAAAATCCAACCATTTCCTTTTCCAGTACCCAGCACCCTTCCACTATCAAACCCGGGACCTCACTCCGACCTACCTCGATCCCCATACCCCCCTCTCCTTTCCCCCTACCGATACCGCCCGAGCATATGCGAAACATCCAAATTCTACTTGCTCTTCTGCGTCCACGAAAATCTGACACACACGTCTCAAGAACCGACCGACCGACCGACCCCCTTCCTCTCCCTGTGCACGATCCTGAATCTTCACCCCCTTCATGCACGTCAGACACGTTCGTTTGAGAGGCCCGCCGCGCACGTGGCTCTCTCTGGCCCCCGAAACGGGCGTCACCGACCCACTCACCTTACCTCGTGCGCATTTGCATATGTTACTTACTTACACGTGCGTCAAGGCTTGGGTCTGATGGCTGCGGCGAGGTCGCGAACGGGGGATGGGGGGAGAAGGGGGGGCGCCACTTGCGAGCTGCTGCTGCCGTCGATGGCTGGGTATGGATGGGTATGGGTATGGGTTTGCCACGTGCGTGCGTGAGTGTGGTAAGACTTGCGAATCTGCACTACCTACCCACCCGCGAGGGCAGGGCACGAAGGTACGGGGGTACGAGGTAGGTGTTTGTGGGAGGCAGGATGAAGGGAAGAGAGGCGGGTGTGCCTGACTAGTGCTGTGCCGCGTAGACTCCGAGACCGTCCTACTAAGGTAAGGTATGCGGGCACGCCAAGGATTGGGGGGAAGGGGGAAAGGGGGAATGGGGGAAGGGGGGGGAGTCGGTCCGTTCTATTTACGTCGTCGGTGTTGTTGGTGAGGATATTTTTGTTTGTCTCGGTCGCGGAGGATGGGGATTTGGGATGGGAATACTGTGGTGGTGGTTGTTTAGTGCCATTTTTGAGCGCTTGGGCCGTGGCGGAGATACCATGGGCTGGAGTTGCGAGTTTTGAGCAGGTCTGTGAAGGGTCCCGGACTCGATGTTGGAATTGTGAAATGTTTGGAGGATGCAGGCTGTGGCTGGTGGGTGGTTGGTGGTATTATGGGGTCGTGAAGAGGTCCCGGGTTCGATGATGAAGTTTGGGATTTCGACGAGGTTTAGTAGATCGATCACCTTCAGAATCGTTTCTGGGCGGAAAGAAAGACGGTCCTGAAAATGAAGGAGTTGTGACAATGAGTAGAGGTCTTTACATGCAGGAGCTTTCACATACCCGACATGGTTTTTTCCATTGCCTATTTCAGCATTGTCTGCCTTCTCATGCTGGGGGAGTTTCGGTACTTATACGGGCTCCTCTGCAGCGACCCACTTGTTTTTGGCTTTGATGGCACTCATGGCTGACGTCTGTCTCTGTCCGCTGCTCCGCTTCTCGCGCGCCGGTGGACACCGGTGGCTTCATTCCATTCCCCTTTCAGCATTTCCGTGTTCTTGCGTTGAACGGGGGAATGTGGAGTATAAATACTCAGGATCCCCCGTTTGCACGACAATAATATGTTCAGGGATTTGTCGGCACTAGGTGGCCGAAGCCTCTTCTCGTTTGGGCGTTCTTTTTGTGCACGTGGTATTGGACGGCTGCACGCGTGGCTGGAACTCTTCCTCTTTCAATTATTCTTGATCTCTGACGTTAAATCATTGGTTGTTGGGATAACCGTCATTGTCAATCGAGAAGAGAAGTGGTACAATTTGCTCATGAGAGATCGATGAAAAATTTGCGATAGTATTTTATAAGAAATCCAACAATGAGGCTTTTGTACAAAACACGTGAAAAAAACTTTTCACCTCACCGTGCCATTCACATCCCCTTCAAATGTCCAAACTAATTCCACCAGCTCATCCAACCTTTTATCTTGCCCAAATCTCCGATAGTACTGCCTCACCCCTCCCCCAGGCACGACCTTCGCGTCCAGAAATCTATAATGCACTTTCTCCTCCTCTAACTTCAACGCATCCCGCAACGGGCCCAAGTAATGATCATACCCCGGATTCAGACTCCCATCAACCTCGCCGCTTGTCGCCCACGTCTTCTCCATGTCGCGCCACACAATATCCCTCGCGTGTCCTTTCGGATACACCGCAATACTGTACCCATTCGTCAATACTGTGTCTTTGCCGAACATCCACCGCTGCAGGAAGCAGTTTTCCCCGCAGACATCTTGGACGAGTGACATAGCGTCCATGGGGAACCAGCGAGAATGGCGGATCATGTCCGCCCCTGCGCCGTTTTCGGACCAATACCCCTCTTTCCAGTGGTGCTGGGAGATGATTTGGCGGCCACTCTCGAAGACGCCGGAGCGGTCACCGTGCAGGTCCATCTGGTACAGCCCGTCGAATTGGGTGAGTCGCACGTCGGTGGTGTGAGCTATGCATTCGTAGAGTCTGTGGTCGCCGAAAATGCGTTTGGCAATTTTCTTACAATCCTCGTACTCTCCCTCCAAAATCTCCAGTAGTGGTGCTGAGAGGAAGATGCCACCTCCGCCCATGGCCAGAAATCCGTATTGGCAGACTGTCCACCACTCCTCACTTACGGCCCCCAGATACCAGAGTTTCTTGGGATCAAACTCTGACAGGCGAGAGACTAGACTGGATACGGAGGTGAAGAATGTGTCGTCATCTACAAAGCCGAACCATTGAGTGTGCTCGTCTCGGTGTTTCCATAGAAGTTTGATGAGTGAGAGGTAGTGGTGGATGTTCTCGCCTTTCTTCTCGAGAGGTGGGATCAAGTTGGCGTCAATACCTAGCCCTCGCATCCGCAACTCCATTTCAGATATTTGCGTCGATGTGGCGGCAACGCCCTCGTTGTTAGGTGTGACGATAATCAGGAGCCGAATGGAGGCTCGGGAAGCCCAGCGCTGGAAGAAAGTCAAAGACTGCGAAAGACGATCAAGGTTCGTTCCAAGACCGAGAAGAATATGTGAGGCATCGATGTGTCTGGGAAATGGGGGAACGTCCAGATGGATCGGTGGCTCACAGGATTTTGGCGCCAATAAGGATGCGGCGGGAGAAGCGATTTCTTGAAATCTTGGGAGCAGGGAGCCGGAAATCTTGGTGATAGATTTGCGGTCGAGGTCCGGTATTTCGCGGACAATGACATCTCGACGAGAGTATCGCAGTGGCCAGCGAAGGTCTTCCACGCCCTCGAGCTCGCGGAGCCATTCCGCCGACTCTGGACACGTGGTGAGTGGAGCGGAGGGAAACTCGGAGTCAAAGGTCTTCTCAGTTTCTCCTACATCTTCTCCTGGATGGTCGGCGGGCGTCTTGAGGGTGGTGACATGACTGATACTTTCGTGGAGGGTTGTTCGCCATAAGAAGCAAATAAGGGCGATCAAAAAGACTAGCGTAACGAATGCCGTTCTCGACCGCGAGAGCATTCTGGATCTCGCCGTATCCTAGGCTGGCAATGCATCATTTTGAAAGCATTGTGCACATACCTCTGGATAGAAGAAAAGCACCAGTCGATAATATGGGTATGATGTACGTAAAGATAGATGTAAAGCGAAGTGCAGAAATTGCGACATTTTCTTTACCCAATCTTCAATCCCCTGCCAAGCCTCCCGGGAAGGCTCCTATGAACCCTATTGGACGGCAGCGCGCGGGGCGGGAAGGCCTTAGCGAATGCGACGCCCGAGGCCAAAACTTTGCCGCAATCTTCTAATATCCGACAGAATCATTTACAGCAACCGCAACGGCAATAAGCTGTCATGATGGTACAGGAATACCGGAACATCGCTATTGATAGATTAAATCATCCAAGAATGGCAATCGAGCTCCCTCATGTTTCCTCCCACTGCACGGCATCCATCGTACCTCGGTACATAAGGCGAGTCGAGATGTAGTGATGTCAAAATGGCTGCGCACTTCTTACGCCGTAACGTGGATCCATTCATCCTCCCTAGCGATACTTCTCTTTGCAAAAATCACACCCCTTCCCCGAAATGTGAAAGAGCTCGTCTCGCGGACATTTGTCCACGTGCCTTTATCGGACGTATCCTGCAGTTGACGCCCTTTTGCAGCGCGGGCAATGGCATTTCTCATGGTCGCGGGACTGGGACGGGGAAGAAAGTGTGGTGGATATGAGGATATTGGTACCTCGACCCTGATCTTCCCAATAGTATAAGGCTGCCTAGTCCTGCGTTCTCAAATTCGATCCAACGGTAAGCCTCGAGTGCTGAGTGCCTTTTCGTGGAGGTCGACAATAGAAAATGGGGCTTGATGAACGTTGACAGAGGGGAAGATCCCTGCAGTCTACAACAGCTGGTATGAAGGTTCATCCACATCAGCTTTCAACGCCTAGGAGAAACTCCATTCGGTTGGGTGGTTTACCAGCCTTAGCATAGAAAACGCTCGAATATTAGATCCGCTTTCTCCTCCCATGTCTTGGTATTTCGCACTCAAAGCCATCTCAAATTGACTTCGAGAAACCCTTGAAGCTTGCTGATATTAATTTCGCTGCTGCCAATGTGCTGCCCGGTCGAGGTTAACACCCCTAAGCCCAGATATGACTCAGGTCGGGCTCAAAAGGTTGCCATGGTCTGGAGTCAGATGGGCCCAAGCTACGACGTGTCCTTGTCAGATACGAAATATGTATAAGTCTGCCGTTCTTTGGGATGCATACGTCCAGGAGCGCCAGCACCCAGGTGAGACAACCCGAAAGGCGATACTCGGCCACATTTCAACGTATAACATCCCTTCACTTGACGTAGACATGCATATATTAGAAATCGCCATGTCAACTTTCTCGACCTAGAGCCACAAAGCCTGCTTAATATCCTCTCGTGAGCCCAGAGTGGGACGCGACTGGTTTTTTAATTCCATCCACCCACACCGGGTCGTCTGGCCCAATTCTCGGAGAATAAAATATAAATTTGTCATTAATGTAGAGCGCCTTGCACACCAAGTCTTTTTGTGAAGCATTTGATACGACCTGGATGTTTTCTAGTTTATCCATGTGAACACGGTAGGCAATTGTCCTACGCGCACTGTTCGTCCATTGCTTGAAAAAAAGTACAAGTAGAGTGCCAGGTAAAGAGTCACGTCTGCAGCATATAGGCGCAAACAAATCGTACGCCTTGAGGGAAGGAAATGTTGTAGGCTGCGTTAAGCAATCATTACCATCAGCAGCCAGGCGGCGAATCTCGAATTGTAGTCCAAGGTTTGTCCTAGAATAAGGAGACCTATCACAGTAGGGTTTAGATTGGAGCTCACGTATGATATCTCCAGAGCCTGCAAAATAAGCCGGCGATCGTGCAAGAAAGATGTTTGTACCCGGCCTTGTGTCGTTCGATGCCCAGGCAAAGATGGACTCGTCCGTGCTGCTTTTCAAGATTTTATATTGAAGTCTTATGAATGCATTCTCTCCTTCACCATAGAGAAGAGACATGTTGATGTCAAAAAGCCCAAACAAGCAGTACGCTCGATCCTCCATCCGAGTTGTTTGGCGACCAGACGCCCACGACATTTTCTGAGCAACACTGTATCGAAAATACTTACGTTCACGGACAGCTAAAGGAGGAATACCCGTGATCGTTGAGATTTCATCTACGAACATATGCTTAGTGCCGAGCTGGGCCCAGTCACGGTCGAAGAAAGTCACATGATCAGGAGCCAGGAGCTCTTGCAGCGTCCAACCACGTGTAAACCATCGACTCCGACTAAATTGTGAAAGCCACACCAGCTGCAAAGCTTCCTTCTTCACGTCCTCTAAATAGACCAAGCAATCAGTGGACATTTCATACCAGCGATACATCGAATTTATGGCTTCAGAGAGCTCAGCACTGCTGGACTTGTCGATGCAGCAGGTATCTATCCATATCCAGTCGCTGTCTTGGAGCCGCGCCATTATGCATGCGTTTTCAATCTTCTTAAATCTTTCGCTTCCCTCATTCTTACATTTCGAGAAATCTGCAAAAGACACCTCCTGCTCGCCCCAAGTATGAGATAGAATTGAGTATTTTGGCACACTACTACCGATGAAGTCTTGCAATTCTATTGAATGGGTATTGAGAAGCCGCATTTTAATAGCTTTCCTTTACTGGCCGCCAAGTGATTCATTGCAGATCCAAGAGTCGAGCCAGCTAGCTTTAGCAAGTGCAACTAAATTAACACTTTAGCCAGCTCGTGCGCAAGCATTCTGCCGTCATTGATTCAGATTGAGAGCCGGGCTCCCTGTTTCTGGCGTTGATGAGTCGTAAAAGTCGACGTGAGAAGTGTAGTCGAAAGTGAAGCGGATAGCGCTAGAGGCCACCAATAAGGAGAAAGACCCCAGAGCCTGGCCCATATGCTCATCTTTTAGGGGCTGCCGCTTATCGATTGCGAGCTGCCGGCGTCTTTACCGTTTAATGAGGGGGAATTTCTTCGTCATACCTGCAACTCGAAGATGAAGATAACGCAAGTATGTTCACTGCAGGAGGACAAGAAGCTTGATCCTGCGGCTGACGTACTTCAAAGTTATACACGTATCCGATCAAATCTTTGCGTAGCGTACCGCTGCAAACGACGGCAGTCACAACCGATGGCTTCCCCTATGATAGGAGATTCATGGTCGTCAGAGTGCACAAAGACGACTCGACTAAGGCCCGAAGCAAGAAGCACTTCGATCCGAAGACAAGGCTCGAAAACATGACCATCACTTACTGGCCGGAATTGAGCCTCTTCCTGCAGACCCTGAACGAGTCGAAGGGGACTATCGTAGTCGAACACTGCCCACCAGATCGATCAAAGACACGCATTGAGGTCCCTTCGAAGCCTGACGTGAAGAAACTCGGCTTTGTAGACATCAATCTCCACGAAAGTCCAACCAAAGCATACAAAATGGATGACCATGTCAATGCCTGGTTCTCCAAATGCCTTGGTTTCAGTGCCATGCTGATCTATCTTGGACCCCATCGTAGGAAGCTGTGTGGCAACTTGTCGCCAGATCCTGTCTCCAAATCTTCTTCATGGGTGCCTGGTGTGGTCTCTGGATCGTCCACAGCGGAGACCAAGATCACTTTTGCAGACCTTGCTGCATATCTTGTGGTAACAGAGGAGTCCTTAGCTGATGTGTCTGAAAGACTAACAGGCAATATGAAAGCGGATGTCACCAAATTTAGACCGAACATCGTAGTTTCTGGAGCTGCAAAGCCGTGGGACGAAGATTACTGGGCTGGTCTGACTATCACCAAGCGCAATGGATCAAGCAATGATAGTACTGAGATGGTATTGACGGCAAATTGCGGTAGATGCGCAAGTCTCAATGTTGACTACAAGACGGGAAAATTCGGCAAAGGTGAAGAAGGAACAGTATTGAAGAAGATGATGAAAGACCGACGAGTGGATCCTGGTAACAAGTACAGTCCAATTTGCGGACGATATGGGTTCCTCAAGCCAGGCACTGTTTCGGCCGGCAGAAGGATTGCTGTTGGAGATGAGGTCACCTTGTCGAAACGAAACGCCCAAAGGACAGTGTTTGGTAAGTGGCGCAATCAGCTCTAGAATCTTGGTGATTATAGCTAAGAAACAACAGATTGGCCGGGTCTTTGAGATGATTGGTTGATGGCCGGTAATGAGCTGAATATCTTGATGATTCCGTGGAAATGACATGATTTTGGAACAAATGTGCGAATGAATTACGATGAGACTATCAAGGGCTATTCACGGCGTACCTCTCTTCTGTAGGTGTACCATCGACTAGGGTTTGTGATTTGAGGAATAAGTAGCAATATTTGGAGGTTGAAATGTATTGATTGATGAGACGAGACATTCCGTGAAGGATGTGTGCCCATCTTCGTCCAGTATGTGGAAGAGAGACTTCTATGCTAATAGTTTGGATAGTCTCAAGCAACCCACCATGCAATGATGACAATCTGTACAAACGCGACAACATAAGAGTTGCTCACGACAGGTGACCGAAAAGCTAGGCATTAAAGAAAAAGCATTCCGGGTTATGATCGTAATCGAAATGAAGAAGAAAGGCGACGACGCCTGCTGAGCTCCTTACCACTCCCTATTGGGCTTCTCCAATGTCGCTGCAACCACATCAGCGACTACCTTTTGCACACGAGCAAAAGACAAACCTGGCCCACCCCAGTCACTCGCAGCGTCTTCCGCTTTCAACTTCTCACTCGGTGTTGGGATCTGGATGATTTTGGGAGAGTTGGGAGGGTTTGCTGCAATCGGAGCTCCCTCGGCATCTTGAAACCCGCCATCAACCGTCGTACCACCGCTATCACTCTCGTGTCCATCGTTCCCATGGTCATGCTCGTCTTCAACTCTTGGTCTTTCGTATGAGGAGGTGCGGCTCGGCATAATCCTCATTCGCTCACCCGTACTCGAGCTTTGCGCTCCATCACCGCTATCGCTACCACCGCCGTTCATGATCATCCTACCTTCTACGATCTCCTCCTTACTACCTCTCCTACCACCACCGCCAACTCTCACCCTCTCCCTCAACTCTCGTTCCTCTCTTCCTCCCCCACCATGCCTCTTCAACAACACATGCAACATCTCCAAATCCGTCACCAACGCATCCATCTGCTTCCGTTCTCGAAATGCCATGTCACGACTATTATCCACATCCCTCGCCATCCTCGTCAGCTTCTCTGCCAGGGTCGTCCCATCCCCTTTCGACTGGTGCGTCTCATACACCGTCGCCTCAATCGCGTCATTCAGGCCCCCACAAATCCTCTTCACCAAACTCCGCGGTGCCGTTCTATCCCCGTGCCCGCTGCAATTGCGTTCAATGAACTTTAGCTTGTCGTGCCAGATGTAGTCCATCAGCTTGTCGTCGAGGTAGATTAAATGTGCGGTCTCGCTTATGAAGGAGGATTGTAGGTTGCCGAAGAGGTAGAGGGCTTCCCCGACCGTGTTACTGAGGTATTGGATTGCTTCATAGGCGGACATGGAAGGGGGAGGGGGCCGAGGGGCGCGGTAGGTTACTTGTTCCGGGCGAGGGTCGCTGATGTAGTGGACGGATCTGCTATCATCGTTGTAGCGGTGGTAGTCGCTGCGGCCGCTTGAGGAGAGGACAAGGGATGAGGAGGTGGAGCGGCGTTCGTTGGGGGGACGCATTATTGATTTTACCATAATCTTGTGGAGGGCAGGTTTGAAGGAAGAATGTGGTCAGTGCAGCTGTGGAAAGTGAAAGAGGAGAAGGAAGCGGTCTCGCAGATTTTCCAAAGGAAGTCTTCTGAAATGAACGAAGAAGGCAATAATTAGGCAGCTTGAAGGTTGCATAATGGCTCGGTGAACCTCAACGCGTACTGGGCATTCTTTGGGCAGTCAAGCAGATGCGGGCTGGCTACCTGCAGAAGAAGATGCTCATTCGATCTAGCGACATATCTCAAGGCATCAAACTTGGTCTTTGACCCCTCATCCCATCCCCAAGTATCCGTTCAAGGCAGGCGAATGCGAAGTTGCTTCCTTCGCCACAACCTCATGCACGAAGGGCCACATCCGCGCCCATTGTCGCTGCAGGGACTCCAACCACAGCTTTGAGCGATCAAGCCATATGTGGGCTTCACAGCTTCGCGTCTTTGCTCATCACGCTCTGCAAGAACTTAAGGCTCTCTTCCGCAAAAGCGAGCATATTCGCTTCTCGATCTCCACCCAGGCCTGTCTCCACTTCTTTCGTCAACACCATATCTTCCAGAGCCACGGCTAGGGCAGCGTATCCCCTGCGTTCGATAAGAGATAGGGAGTCAGCTGTCTGACCAGCATCCTTTTTGGTGCTTGGCTCACGGTGTTCTATTCCTCGTATTTCCACCAGTCGGGCCAGCAGTGCCGCTTTCACACAGACAGTATGTTGCCCCGAGCTTTGTTCTCACGTTCTGTGCCAGCCCACTGACTATCTCTTCCGTTGGGCCTCTGTAGTTCTGTATGTTTTCTTCCGTCCACCCCGCAAATGCTACCCTTGACTCAAGTGTGTACAGAGTCAAGCCACCTCTGTAGAATTTTGAGGCTCCTGGGACGGATAGGAGGACTGAGGATACTAGGCCGCCTGCAGCCTGTTGAGAGGATGACACTCATCAATAGGAGCTCAGTTATGATGCGTGCTTTGAGCATACAGTCTCAGCGACGCAGACCGTTCGCTTGTTCCATATCAAGTGCTCTGCTATCTGATCACGGATTTCTTTGAGAGATTCTGGAATAGCACTGGACATGTTGGCTTTGAATCTCCTTGAGAATTGCTACTTGCAGTGAGATGGAGAAAACAAAATTCATCCGTCATCACAAAACAACCATGGCTCAGATTACACAAGCATGATGAGAACTGCGGGCTGCCTGAAGATCTTGGCGCGGTAGGGCCGCCTGCCGCTCCGGCCGTTATCTGGGGTTTGGGGCAGAGTTTATTGTCACATCACGTCGAGATGGTAAGGTAGTCTCTGACTGTTGGCTTCTGTGGCGATATAATGCACTGTTTCATTCTGTGTGCTACATAGTCTGTTTTCTGTGATTCTGTGATTCGTTGCAGTCAAAAATACGAGAAGTTGAGCTCGTAAAGATCAAGTCTCCGAGCCTGCCACACACGACCTCCTATTGGTGTGTCCACTCTGGCTTGCGCTTCTCAAGAAATGCACTAATACCCTCAGTCTTGTCTCTTAGATCAAAGCTGGAGTAATAGAGTCCTCTTTCTATCGCAAAGCCACTTTCAAGCCCCGCATCCGCTATTTTCTTCGTCAGCACTTGCCACCTATATGCGACGACCTAAATGCAGAGGGTCCTACCGGCCAAAATTGCTTGTTTCGCAAGTGTGACAACCGGTCCAGACTTCTCGGCTACTTCTTTTGCGCAAGCCATAGCTGCTGGAAAAACTTCAGCAGCGGGCAGCACTCGGAGTCCCGGGATGCACGCTGAGAATTCCGTGGCTGGTAGAGACGTGCCACTCAGGATCAGTTTCATTGCCTGGCATGTCACTTAGTCTGACGGCTCGCAACACCTCGTCGCAGAACAGGGCTCTCACCATGTGCTTGCCAACCAGTCTGGTTAGTCTCTGGGTACCTCCGACGCCAGGAATCGTTCCAACATTCACCTCGGGCAGCCCGAGATGTGCGTTCTCGGCCACAAAGATGATGTCGCACTAGAATGATCCAGTCAAAATCTGGCGCTGAATCTCACCGCTTTCAACTTAAGGTACCATCAAAGCAAGCTCAAACCCTCCACCAAGCTACTACGCGTCAGCAGGCACGTAGCGTAAACCTTATGAACCTTACAGCAAACCCCTCAATGGATGCTATTATTGGCTTCCTGAACCGCGTCACCCCATCGGAGAGATCTTTCAGGTACTGGATCTTATGGGCTTCTGACGTGGAAATTCGCTTGAGTTCGCTGAGGTCTGCCCCCGCTGTGGTAGGTGCACGCCGATTAGTTGGATCGTTTGCTGGGTACAAGAACACACCCACCAGAAAATGGCCCTCCTGATGAACCAGTAAGAATGACAACCCTCACCGAATCCTTTCGCTCCAGAACTTGCAACGCTACATTGAGGTCTGCAATGAGGGCAGCGGACAAGGCATTGCGCTTCTGGGGGCGGTTGAGGGTGACAGTTGCCGTCCCGTCACACGATGTATCAACGAGGATCAGCTGGGTGTGGGTTGCATTTGACGTCTCTGGACGTCTCTTGATGGCCTCTTGGAGGTTGTCCATCTTGCTCAAGACTTGCGAACGAAACGTGGCAGATCGCCTCTACATTGCGAAAAGCTTACGGTATTTGAAGCGTGCAGAAACCTTACTAATGTCAGCCTGCATGAATCTTGGCGATCTCAGCCCCTTCTCGTGATGTACGGAACGGCAATGAAGCGAAGGCACAACTTTCCGCAGGATTTAGACTATTAAGTCTGCTACCCCGGCTACTGTTTTTCATTATGACAGACAACTCGCCATGGAGATTCAGACTAACCACGCTTCTTCCCTCTCGAGTGTCGATCGATCCAAGTTTGTTTGCTTTGGTCAGGGGCGTAGCAAAGACATTCCCCAAAAGCTCGTTCATGAGGCATTCAGCAAGATCGCTGCAGAAAACCCGTCGGCTGTTGCGGTCGAACACGATGGACAGCAGATTACTTATCAAGAGCTCGACTTGGCGTCGACCAATCTCTGTCGGAAACTCATTAGTCTCGGTCTATACCCTCGAAATCGCGTGGTGTTGCTGGTTCAACGCTCGATACCGATGATTGTGGCAATCTTTGCTGTTCTCAAGAGTGGCTGTCAGTATGTGCCTATGGATGGGGGTGTCGCTTCGGATACAGCTCTAGCACACGTCCTGTCAGAGGCAGAACCACCCATCATTCTATGTCTCGACAGATATTCGCAGAGAGCCCGACAATTTGCTCTGCCAGAGACACGCGTTTTGTCACTTGAAGACTCTTGGACAACTTCGACCGACTTTGATGTAGAAAGCGGTCGAATCGTCGCCGTTGATCCCGACGACGGTACCTATGTCATCTACACTTCAGGTACATCCTCCCTTCAACCTCAATCGCACATTATCGGCTAAGTGATTTAGGGAGTACTGGAAAACCAAAGGGTGTTGATGTTACACATCGCAATGTCACCAATCTGCTCACTACCGCTCCTGGGAATCTTGGCATCAAGCCAGGGCGCAGGGTGGCGCAATTGCTATCCGTTTCATTTGATATGGGTACGCCACCTGCTTAGTGTGTACCAAATCGGGTTCTGAGCTCACGTTCCTAGCTGCATGGGAAATTCTGGTAACTTTGATGAACGGTGGAACTCTTTGCATCAGAACCTCCAATTGGAATACCGTGTTGAGCAATGTAGGCGCCATCGTGACAAATCTTCTCACATTGGCTAACATAACTGCGCTAGGTTGACACGATAATCGCGACCCCGACAATCCTCGGGACCTTGAAGGAATTGGCCTTTCCAAATATAAAGACTGTTGCCTTGGCGGGCGAGCCATGTCCCCTAAGGTATTCAGCTTCGTACAAGTTTAGTATATTGGAACGCTGAAATATTACAGGCTTGCGGATCAATGGGCTCAGGGTCGCGAATTCTTCAATTGCTGTGGCCCAACGGAAGTCACAATTGTCAATACAATACATAAACATCAAGCAGGGCAATCGCTATCAATTGGTCGGCCTGTTCCAAACACGACTGTCTATATCCTGGATGAAAATGAGGAACCTGCACCTATAGGAGCCAGCGGCGTTATGTGGGTTGGGGGCTCCTGCGTCTCGAAGGGCTATGTCAATCTTCCAGAACTGACGAATGCTCGCTACAAAGCGGATAAATTTTTGAATAATGGGTAAGTTTCTTGGCATTTAGAAGGGTCAGACTAAGCACTCTCCAGGCGCAAGATGTTCAACACCAATGACTTATGCAGATGGAGAGAAGATGGCACGGTTGAGTCATTAGGCCGAGTTGACGATCAAGTCAAGATCAAGGTCCGTCCCTAATAATCTTGAGTCTTCTATGCTGTTGCTGATGTGGTGAAGGGTTTCCGTGTGGAGCTGGATGGTGTGTCAGCTGTGATTGAGGTAAGTTTCTCAAAAAACCAGCTTGATACACTGTAGTTTCGTTGATAGCTAATCTTTGCTCCTTAGTCACATCCTGATGTCACGAAAGCATGTGCTCTACTTGCCGACGGCAACCTGTGCGCATATTATGCCGGTCCCACCCCAATTAGCAATGATGAGCTCGAAGCAATTTCCGCAAAGACTCTACCGTACTACGCTGTCCCTACGAAGTGGATTTGGGTACCAGAGATTCAGCTTACCCCAAACGGGAAAATCGACAAGAAGATGCTTCAAGCTTCAATAACGGCATGCTCTGGTGACATCACTCCTCTGACGCTTTCTACACCCTCATCCATCTTGGGTTCCCAGGCATCTAAGGAAGGTATCACTGAGAAAGGTTTGGCGAGAGTATCGAAGGTGCTTACCACTCATTCATCGCCTGACAGCCAAGAGACTTTGACCGAGAAAGATTTCACCTTACCGCCAGAGAAAGGGGCACATAGCCTTATGTGGCTGCGTTACTACTTTTTCACCATGTACCGCCGTCTCTTCGGCATTGTCTTTATTGGCAACCTGGCGGCCATTCTCACCATCTTTGCTTACCGTCGAACTCTGGACAACTTGCGAATTTCCGACTTGGCTACTGCCACCGCTTCAAATGTCACCGCTGCTTTGCTTATGCGACAGGAATATGTCATCAACCTCCTCTTCACCATCGCTTGTTCTGTGCCGACCTGGATGCCACTCTTCATCCGACGAAATTGTGCGAAAGTCTTCCATATCGGAGGTATCCATTCAAGTGCCGGCGTGGCAGCTGTCTTCTGGTTTGTAATACTCACAGTTGCCGCTACAATAGGTCTCGCAGCGCCAAAAAAGACCTCACTAGGCAAAACCAATCCCGCAATCGTTGTTATCGTATACCTAATTCTCGCGCTTTTCGTCTCTATTCTCGTCAGCGCACACCCGTCCTTCCGAGCAAAGCGTCATAACGTTTTTGAAAAGACACATCGTTTCGCAGGCTGGACCATCCTCGCTCTTTTCTGGATCCTCACCGTCCTCAGCGCTGACGCTTCTCGCGGATCAGCATCCCTTTCTAAGACCCTCACCACCGACCCGACCCTCTATCTCCTCATCGTCTCCACCATCAGCGTCATCCTCCCCTGGCTCCGTCTCCGCAAAGTCCCTGTCCGTTCCGAAGTCCTTTCTTCGCACGCCATCCGTCTACATTTCACCTACACCAACACCTACCCAGGCACCGCAGTCCGCATCTCTGAGCGCCCCTTAATCGAATGGCACGCTTTTGCAACGGTCGCCAAACCGGGGGTCGACGGTTTCAGTCTCGTCGTGAGCAACGCGGGAGACTGGACTAAACGTCAGATTGGCCGTGCTCCGGAAAAGCTCTGGGTCCGTGGTATTCCCGCTTGCGGCGTCTTGAGGATCGCGCCGCTGTTTAGGCGCATCGTCCTTGTCGCTACTGGTAGCGGTATTGGCCCTTGTCTGCCTGTTCTGTTGGCAAAGAAAGTCCCCATGCGCGTGTTCTGGTCAACGCCAAATCCGGAGCAGACCTTTGGCAAGGAAATCATAGAGGCTGTCAGGGGCGCGGATCCGGATGCTGTCATTTGGAATACGAGGACGCAGGGCAAACCAGAGATGGTTGAGGAGGTGTGGAAGCTGGTGGTAGAATCTGGAGTGGGCAGCAATGGGAGGTTTAATGCGGAGGCGGTGTGCATTATTGCGAATCAAAAGGTCACGAAGAAAGTGGTCAGGGGTATGGACGTGAGAGGGATGGCCGCTTATGGCGCGATCTTTGATTCTTGATGGCGTAATCTTGTTCGAAGTACTGCACTTTTAGTTTGAGCCAGCTGGACATGTTTACTGGGTATCAGCACTGGTGCTGTAAAAAGCTGGCTTGATGTGGGATTGGTCATGTATTGGATACGTGTAAGAGTAGAGTCTTCCAACAATACCAGAGACTTCAATGCGGTGAACTCCCAAATTAATCTTTGGATATATTGAAAGCAACCTGCTCGTCGATTACAGGTTGGTGCGGCGGTTGAATAGGGATCACCGTAGGGTCCTTGTCGCGGTGAGGAGCCCCTGGAAGCCCCCCATAAGAAATCGCAATCCGGGGGCCGCCCGACTTCCCGTTGATACAAGCGGACTTCCTCGGCTTCGTTCGTGGATGACGTAGACTGCATAAGTCTGCGTAATTCTTCTCGTAGCCACCAGAACGATGCCTATCATTTGGATAGTTCAGAGAGAAGATGGTGCGATTCGTAAGAAGCTGGGCATACTCTCTGGTGGTTTCCCACCTTCAATCCATGCCGGTGAGCGCCGTACAAGACGAAGGATGCAACCACCCTAGGTAAGCAAGATGCTGTCCCAATGATCATGTAGCTGCTGATCAACATGTTTCCCAGCGGGCTGGACTCGTTGATTGGCGAACGTATCATGTCTATGGGCGATGGACAGCTGCAAATACCTTTCGCAGTGCCAATGGAGCCCACTGTCACGATAGATTCTGGCCCATTGATTGGTACCACCACTCTTCTGCCATCGTCGACGGTCACAGTGAACAAATTCCTGGGTATTCCATTTGCTATCAGCCCTCCAGAGCGCTTCTCACCACCTGTGCCCGTGCAAGAATGGGAGGCTCCAAAGAAGGCACAAGCTTTCACCAGTGCTTGCATGCAGCAATTTCAATGTATTTTCTACCGTCACATATCTCATGAAACTTCTAGGCTGATAAGTTGACATAGCCGAGTTCATAAGGATGTTCTACCAAGGTACTGGCTACCCAGGAGATAGCGAAGACTGCCTGTACCTGAACGTATATGCCCCTACTCAAGGGGCAGAGGGCAAGTCCGTCCTCTTCTGGATCTATGGTGGTAATTTGCAGGTCGGCACCGCGATGCAGGATTTGTACGATGGCTCAAGCTTTGCAGCAAATCAGGATGTGGTTGTAGTATCGGCGAATTACCGAACAAATTGTGAGTCGTGCTTATTTCTAGACCCGACAGTCTTGGGCTGAGACTGGCATAGTATTTGGTTTCCCAAACTCTCCAGATATACCTCTTAGCCAACAGAATGTCGGCTTTTTCGATCAGCGTCTTGCCCTTGACTGGGTGCAGCGTAACATAGCCGCCTTCGGCGGTGACCCTGACAAAGTGATCATCGTTGGAGAGTCATCAGGAGCTGGCTCTGTCGATCGACTAGTCCATCTTCCTCCAAAACCACTCCCTTTTAGAGGAGCTATTGCTCAGTCTGGGCAAGCTAGCGTCAGCTACGGTGGAGCAAACGGTAATGTCACAGCTTGGAAAGTACTAGCCGAGGCATTTGGGTGTTCTGCGCCTGATAAACAGCTCGCTTGCCTTCGCGAGGTAGACTCCCTTGCTATCCAAAAGCTCCTCGATGACCCCGATGGACCAAGATTTCACCCGGTAAATGACAACATTACCCAACTTGCTACCCCTGTCGATCGATCGCTTCATCAAAGCGTCCCTTACATGATCGGCTCCAACGGGCAAGAAGGGCGTGTCGATGTTGTAGAGGATGCTGATCGAACAGACATGCCGACCATATTGAGAGGATTCGCCCGTAATGTATCTGGTCTAGAAGAAGCCTACTCTATCCCATCCGCCGGGATCACTACTGCAGCGGATGCAGCAGCTCAGATCTTTACTGAGAGCATGTTTCAGTGTCCGGCTGCCGTCGTCGCTAACGAAAGTGAAGCTGCAGGGTGGCCCACTTGGAGGTACTATTACAACGCAAGCTTTCCGAACCTGGCCATCCAAGATGCTCTTGCGAGTGTCGGTCAGCCGGACTTCGATCTTCGGGCTTTTCATTCTGCGGAGATCTGGTTGGTGTTTGGAACATATGCTATGACCAACGCGACAGACGCCGAAATTAGGCTAAGCAAAGCTATGCAGACTGCTTGGGCTAATTTTGCCAAAGACCCGCATATTACTGGACCTGGATGGCCCAAGTACGGAACTAATAACGAATCCGTTGGCCAGGAGCGTATTGCACGCTTGGGTCTTGGTCCAGAGTACAATGTCACGATGATTGGAGAGAATCAGATCGATTTCCGCTGTTCACTATTCAAGGAAATGTATAAAACAGAGGAAGCGCCGCCTTTTTGACTGGCGGGTGTCATACGCATTACAAAATCTTAATGATTACATCCGGATACTGTGAGATCTTAGATTTGGAAACGGTTTCGAAAGCCACTAGACATACTTCTGTGCCTGCAGTGCGCTCATTGCCTCTCAGGCAAGGGCACTAAGGTAATGCAAGCCAATCGAAGCATGGATTAGCTGCGGTTATGTTAAGCCACTGATACACAGCATCGACTTTTTCGCCCCGTAACGCCGCTTCCAACTTGGCGACATCAATCTTTTTCATTCGCTTCATGGCTGCCACCACCCGTCTCGACACGACTGGGTCTAGATCGGTGAGACCGTGTTTGAGTTTCCATGGGACAAATTGCCACTTAAACTTCCAACGATCCACGCACCAGCCGAAGTTGAGTTCCTGACCGCCATTGTCGACGATTGCGTTCCAAAAACGATCTGTCTCCTCCTGACTCTCTGTGAACACCCTGAAAGCCACTGCATTCATGGGTCGAAAGTTCTGTGCTACGTTTACTCCAAGGAATGGCTGATTTAAGATACTGAATTCGACGGCTTTCATCTCGCTGTATTCGCCTCCATCCTCATCTTCCTCCTTGACACTCTCTTCGTCTTCCTCTTCTGTGAGAGGACCGCGTAGAAACATGTGAACTCCAACGTGGCTGTCTGGAAAGATTGCTGCATAGAAATCGGCGGCTTTTCGCGCTTCGTTGTTGTTGAAGTATAGGCAGGTGACCAGCTTCTCCATTTCTGGCATCTTGGGCGATATTTCTGCACAGCCAATAGAACAGCCGCACAAGCACAGGGTGATGCACTAGTATTACAAGTTGCTCTCGTATTTCAATTAGGACTGCGAGTATACGTTTGATGCAAGACTGAATCTGCATCAACGACGGACAGCTCACACCGTGTCAGATCTCAATGGGCTCTGGTGACATACCCAAGTTGACCTGGTAAGGTCGCTAGTTGATGGTGCGAGTCGATGATGGATGCAAATGATGATAAAATGCAAACAGTCAGATAAGAAAATGAAGATAAATGAGTGGGGCCGGTGATCAAAGGCAGTTTGAAATTAACTTCACCTTTCACATGAGGAACTACCGTAAGAAGACTGGAGCTGCAGGAGCGACCCTCACAAATGACTAATCTCCATGTTTAGGAGAACCCAACAGCCCTTGAAGCTGAACACTTCGAAAGCAGCGTCCTTTTTCATATCATCGTCTAGCTAAGCGCACCGACTTCTTAGCAAAGCATCCATCTTGCAGGCATGATATAGTGTTTTTGAGAGCTTTGTGCGACCCGTTGAGGAAAGAGTATCATCGCGGCAGTCTTGAGTGGGTCGATAAAGCCGACAAATGTTAGAGTGATCATCGGATCTTTGGAAAAGAGGCATCACGAGTTCCATCGTCAATCTTTTCTGGTCCAGACATGCCCTTGATACCGCGAGCAAGGTATACGGACGAATCTCGTTTCACACTCGAGACTTACAATTATTCCAAACTCCCAAATGGCTGTATCCGCCTACTTCGCAGAGTCCCCAACAGCCGTCCAGCTGTCTACACCCTGGAAGAAGTTGATACTTTCAGACTCGTTGATGATCCGAATTGGATAGTAAGTGCCGTGAAATACTGTGTCATATCATACGTCCGGGGCTCATCGGCTCTTACGCACTTTATCATATGCAACGACAGAAAACTTGCAGTCCCGTGTAGCGTTTATGAGCTCCTGCTTGACATTTCTGAAGCCTCCGTATGGATTGATGCCATCTGCATCAACCAAGCAGATAGTAAGGAAAAAGCGGCCAGTGTAGACTTAATGGAAATGATCTATGGCAAGGCAAACCTACTTTATGTCTGGCTTGGTCCTGGGAGCTATGACAGCCCCTTAGCAATGATAAGCCTTAAAAAGCTGGCTAGTCGTGTCCTGCACGAGACGGATGAAAGTCTTGAGCAGCCTTACTTTGACCCGCAACCGGCGCAAGCAATTGGCCTAGAGACTGGAGACGCCAGAATAAAGCGTGCTCTCGAACATTTATATTGCCGGCCATGGTTTAAACGTCTCTGGACGTTCCAGGAAATAGTGATGGGCAGGAATGTTGTTGTCGCTTGCGGTAGGGAAATGATGGGCTGGTCGTCTTTCATTGTTGCTACAAGAGCGCTTTCGAGGCTCCGATCAACCAGATATCTTGTCAAATTAAGAGAAGATGGCTCAGGTAATGTCAGCATACTGGATGGTATCCTGGAAATGGAAGACTTCATACGGCTCTATCGCGACAAGACTCAGGTATGGGATGGCGCCCCTAATTTCGTCACTTTGTTAGAAGTGGCACAAAGAAAAGACGTTTCGGATCCGAGAGACAAAATCTATGCAATATTGAATCTAGCGCGCCCTAACATAAGGCGCAGAATTCTTATTGAGTACCGGCACGAAGGTGAGGCGGCACTATTGAGGCTGATAATTGATGCTGGAAAAGCATGCATTGACAACGATAATACACTCAGCCTACTCCAACTGGTCTCATCTACAAAGCGAAATCCAAGACTACCGTCATGGTGTCCAGACATCAACTCTACGCAACCCAGAAATATGTCCTTGAATCCATGGGGGATGGCAGGAATCAAGGAATGGGGCCTACAAGAGCGACCCTGCGCTTCGTTCCAGGAAGGAAAGGATGATCTCCATGCCCCAGGCTTTAGGCTTGACAAGGTCGCCAGAGTTGTGCAAACGTCCTTCGTGTGGTCCAATACTTGCCTCGACGCTGAGCACCCGTCACGAGAAGACGCGATTCATAATTTTGAGTGGATATATGAGTGTATGGACTTTGAGTTGCTAGAAAACGTCGCACAGAAGCCAATCGCGAAGAAGGCAAGAAGGTCATTGGAGGAAATACCATTGACCTTTATCCTCACCCTTATAGGAGGTATCCTGGTTGGCAATTCCAACACTGAATCCGAAATCCGCGCTGCCTACAAACGCATCATAAGTATCTGGCGCTCTGTGTTTCTGGGTTTAAGACGAAAACCATTGACGCTCCTGGAAAATGCTACCGTAAATCGACTTCAAGCTGGCCTCATGCAGAATTGTCGTTATCGCCGTGTTTTTTCGACACAAGATGGGTACATAGGTGTAGGGCCGCCAGATACTATGGCCGGCGATACCATATGCATTCTTTATGGCAGCCGGACACCTCATCTGCTTAGATTTGGGAAAAGCAAGACGGAGCTATTGGGAGACGTGTATCTCACCGAGTGTATGTGTCTAGAAGATACGGTGACGCGGGGAGTGAAGCTCCCCCAGATGAGATGTTTGTAATAAATTGAATCATGAGTAATGCCTTGTTCAAATTTCTCGCCTGCTGAAGCCTTTCCTTGACGAATGTCCCAGCCGCTAAGTCAAAATTCGAGGAGCGTAATAGACATTACGGTTGCTAATTTACGTTGAACTATTTACGCGGCCTCTTGAACAGTGAAATTTCTTTTATTTAGATGCGCAGAAGTTGTCAGCATTCAATCTCATGCTTGATGCGTTTGAAACACGATCTTCCGAGCCTCGATCGCCGTTGCATCATCCAAGATGAGTTAGGCAACTCGCAGTGCAGAATAAGAGAATGGCACTATCACAATGATGCTATTTTGAAATTGGCGCTAGCCAATACCCCCCACGAGTTACACTGGTTTCCTGCATCCTTGAAGACATAATATGTCGTCCTTTGTTCTTAGAGAAAGACTAGAATACTAAATCCTCCAAGATATACTACCTAACAACGCTGCCTTAGATAGATATACTGCTGTTGATGAGTGTCTTTTAATTCTCCAAGATTGGCTGCTCTTGCCAGAAACCATAACTTTCACATACGATCAGCGGTTATAGCAATGTGGTGGTAGTGAACGGGGCAGCAGGTCATATTCAAATTACTTATCGATCACGCCAGGATTTCGAAATTGGATGCCAAAGGGACGGCACAATGACGATCTTGCTGCTTCAAGTCTGCCTTTGCGAAGCAGATCACCTAATATAATCAGCACAACAATTCGCTCCCATCCATGAAAGCTGAAACGGATGTATCTCCAGAAACTCATTGAAACTCGCCAGCTTCTCACCCATGCTCCCAGCAGCCCAAGTACTCTCCTTCTCCGTTTGCGGCCCAGAATACCAAAACTCCTCCCCGAAAACAAATGTCTCAGCAAAACAATCTGTCAGATTCCCCCGCTTTATCTCCCATCGCCCCCCTTTTACGGACGGCAGCGTGCTCAACACCACAAATTGCATCCCTAACTCGACCGCTGCATCCACCACCATCTTGCCCGTTTGTACTTCCTTCTCCCGTCCCCACCCCTGACCCCGACCCCGACCCCGACCCCAGCCCTGACTCTGACATTGACAAAGACACAAAGGAGAACAACGGCGTAGTCATCACAAACGCGCTATCTACACCTGTGAGCGCGATTGCATATCTGCTTGCATGACGGAGACGCCGGGGGTGGTTGCGGGTTGCGAGGAGTTGGTGGCGGGGGAGGGGGAGCTGGTGGAGCGGGTTGGGGTGCGGATTTCATAGGTGGAGGAGAGAGAGAGAGAGAGGGAGGGAGGAGGGAGGTGCTTCATTGGCCTGTTGCACCGAAGATGGCGAGGGTTTCGGGGGACATATGTGGCGGAGGTGGTTGTTGGGGGTGGGTTGGGTGTTGATGTTGGGGCTGTAGGGTAAGGGAAGACTGCAATGATATGCGAACAGTTGCTGTCACGAGGTGATTTTATGGGTATAGGGGCCGAGAAATGGAGGGTTTAAAAACCTTGGTCGAAACAAGGAAAGGATTTGCGGGCTCATGTAAAGATAGCTGTCTTTACAACTGCAGCGGCCGAAGGTCGAGCGAGATTGGGAATGGAGTTGTTCATGATCGAATCTTGTATGATGCGGACGGAATTGGGTGCGAATATGTGGATCAACAGAGATAGACGGACCTTGCATGAGGTGCTGGCTGCTTGAAAGGGTACTACCAGCACTCTCTTGTTCAATGCCTTCTATATTCCCAGAGAGATCAACAGAGGTTTCGTAGCAATCGTGCACATGCGCATAAGCACCGCTAATCAAACCTCACCATCGTCCCCTCCTTTTTCTCCCCGGGCCTCGCCTCCCTATAGAAGTTCCCATACTGCTCGTTCACCTTCTTCTTGACCGTCGTCCCAAACTTCAGCAGTTCCTCAGGAACCTCTTGCTCACAGTCCCTTAGCACATTCACCAAAGCTCCCGCCAATCCCTTCTCCTGTACTGTAAAAAATGTGACCGCTGTCCCCTCTCTCCCTGCCCTCCCAGTTCGCCCAATTCTATGCACATAATCCTCAATTGTCAACGGAAAAGTGAAATTCACTACGACTTTGACATCCGGGATGTCTAGGCCTCTAGCAGCGACGTCGGTGGCGACGAGGATGGACACGGCGCCGGTCTTAAATGAATTGAGATTTGCGGTGCGGAGGGGCTGGGACATGTCGCCGTGGATAGCGGCGGTTTTGACTGCGGCGCCGGCGAGCTTGTTGCGCAGCATGGCCTCTATCCTACTCGCCTCCTTTTTGTAGAGGCAGAAGATTAGGATGCGGTTGTGTCTTGGGTCCGAAGTCTTACGAGTTAGGTTGTTGGAGGGCGAGTGCGATTTTACGAGTTCGCGCAGGCGGCCTTCTTTGAAATACGCGTCGAGAACTTCGATGGTCTGGGTGATGTGTTTTGGAGCGTGTAATTGGCCGTCAGTGGAGGGCTGGGAGGAGCTTGAGACGGTGATGTGGATGGGAGAGGTCATGAAGGTTGAGGCTAGGTCGCGCACGGATTGTGGCCAGGTTGCTGTGAACATGCTTGTTTGGCGGCCTTTGGAGGATGAGGGGCATTGGGAGATTATGCGGCGGATGGCGTCTTCGAAACCAGTATCAAGCATACGGTCGGCTTCATCCAGTATGAGGTATTTGACGTGATTAAGTTTGGCGGAGCCTTCTTCGATAAAGTCGTTCAGCCGGCCCGGTGTGGCTACGATTATGTGGGCTTTACGAAGCGCATTGAGCTGCTGATCTTTTGGCATGCCGCCGTAGATACAAGCCGTTCGGAGAGAATATTCTGCGGCGAGAATCTCGAGTTGAGCATGGCTTTGCACAGCGAGTTCGCGAGTCGGGGCGACGATCACTGCTCTTGGGCTTGTATGCTTCGATGCTGATTGAAGCTTGCTGACCGCCTGGACACATGGGATGCCAAAAGCCAGCGTCTTGCCTGATCCTGTCTCTGCAATTCCGATAACATCGCGCCCCGAGAGAAGATGTGGCCACGCCGCTGCCTGAATTGGTGTTGGACTTTTGAAGGAATCAAATGGCGAGTCTTTCCGCGTCAAGATTGAGAATTGCGGGAGGTACCTGAACTCAGTGATGGGCCGCAACAAGGGTCGTGTAGTAGCCAAAGGGTCGGCTACTGTAATGTGTTTCGATTGTAGGAAGTCGTCGATGCTCGATTGTGGAAGTACTCTCAAAAGAGCATCTTCTACGTACTCTTCCGATGCATCGTTGCCCCCTTTGGCCTTTTTCTGTGTCCTTCCCTGCGAGTCTTCCATGCCGTTATTGGTTAGAGTCTCTGGAGCATGCGTTTCAGCACCTTTACTCGACTTCAAAGACGCTGCTTGTGCGCTCAGCTTCGTCTCTTGCTCGGGAAGGTCGTTATCCTCCGCAAGCGCATTGTGCTCTTGTGACTGGGCTTTTCGCTTTGCCTTTCGTTCTGCTTTCAGTCTTACTTTTTCGGCCTTTTTGGCTTCTTTTGATTGCGTCCCGTGTGTATCTTTTTCGCCTCGTTCAACGTTTTCTTCGTCTCCGTTCGTAACACTCTGCTCGAGCTTCTTCAGCTTCCGTTCCTCCTTGCGAACCATCTTTGCAGCGATGGTATCTGATGCTCCATCAACAGGGAGTTGCTGAGGCTTCTCCTTTGATTTGTTGTCGTTCACAATCCTTCGATCTTCTTTCCTCAACCTCTTTGCCTCTCTTCGCTCATCTTTTGACAAGTCCTTGCCCTCTGATATCGACACGACATCCTTGTCTTTCCGCTTACGTTTCCTGTGCGGTTTCTGGTCTTCATTGTGCTCTCGAATTGAGGCAATGGCCATTTTGTCATATAATGAGTAGGACGCAAATTGCTTGCAAAGCAAAATTTTGCTGCCGTAAAACCCTGCTCATTTTTTTTGGGGAAGGTGTGCCGAGACGAAGGCTTGGCATCTATACGGGGGTCCAAATTATCCGTAACGAAAAGCGAATAGAACTACGTTCAATGGATTACCGGAGGCAAGAAACCTGAGGTACTCTAGTTCAATCTCTGTCCTCCAACGCCTATGCTAATTTTACGATGTAGACTTTCCTTCTTTCACTACTGCCTCGATGAAAAAATTTGCGTCGAATGATTTGCACCCGCTTGACTCGGTGCCGATTTTACAGGTTGCCAAACAACCTTTATGGCATCATGGCCTTTGCTGATGACCTGTTTGTCTTTCGTCATGAAGACAAACTGCAAATCTGCCGCTCCAAGGACTACCTTGATGTCGAATTCTATTTTCCAGTGCTTTTTACCACGATTCCAGAAGTGCTTGTTTTTGGCCTTCCATATAACCTGCACGATATCATGCGTCAGTAAATCATTGGACAATTGTGATGATTGGCCTTGCTCGGGTAGAGGCGTACATTTGTATCCTTGAGGCTTGCTGAAACGCTACAAAGTCCCTTCGAACCGTACTGAGAAACATTTGTAGGGAGTTGGTCGCGCGGCAGCGACGACATTACAAGTCTAGTCTCCCATGGCTTATGCTCATCTCCCGGGCTCTTCTTGATTGAGTACGGTCTTATAACACCGTCTATTGAAACGGTCTTTCCCTGCAAATATGGTCTTCAGCATCTAGCGGATCTGTCATGCAGTGATGTTTACCTGTTCAATGAACCACTCAATCTGGCCTTGAACCCAGACTCTTCTATCTCTCGGGTCCCGAACAGAACGCTGTCCAATATGACTCTTGTTTTTCGGATTATACTTCTGCTTACAGACAACACCGTAGCTGAGACGACAGCATCGTTCGGAAAAGATTTCTGCCTGCTGGCTGATCGCTTGAATTCTGTCCATTACCAGACCTTGAACGACAGCCAATTGTCTACACCTCATGAGTCAGCTCGTCGCTGGATCAACAAAGTCATCACATACGGCTCAGGAACTGTTGTAAGCCTCATGCTACCGACTCCTGGTTTCATAGATCCTGGGCCGGAGACGTAATGCTGCCTCATCCGATCCTTTACGTATGCAGAACTTCCCAAGCCACCGGACAGTACCAAATATGACTAAAAGAAGATGAATATAGCAGATGACGTTACTGGAATGAACGGACTCACTATGTCAGTCCCTGGATGCTGCTGTGCAACACGGTCAACCTGCTCGTCCGTTAGTTGCAGCAGCTTTTTGATTTGAATGTCAAAGATGCTTTTGATGTCTTCTCTGCAATGCAAGTCAGTCATTATCCGCCAGGCATCGAGTCGACTACGTACTGCGACAATCGCATGTCCGCATTGAAAATCTTTGCGGCTGGGCAGCTATGACCAGGTGCTAACCCAGGAACTTTGAGTATCAAATTTGGCACTGATGCGGAAAGGGCAGTTCCGTATGAACACTTGAAACGTTCGAACTTGCCCTGCACCATATGATCTGCAACTCTGTCTAGATCCCCAGGTAGATCGTACCTCACCTGTTCCAAACGAGAGACAATGAGTCTATGGATTTCCATGTCGATTTGTGTTGAGCCTACTGGACGTCCTTCAACCCAGGAAAGCTGCTTCAGTCGTGTCGGCTCGCTTGGTGAGGAAATAAGCTTGAGCGCATTCACATCCGTAGTGCCGCCGCCGGCATCGCACACGAGCACGACGTCGTCTTTCTCATAGTCTGACTTCAAAGCGTAAACAGCTGCTGCCTCGGCCTCGGTCAGACCTATCAACACTCGATGATCTCGACCATCTCGGCCATAACCCGCCTTTTTGATGAGTCTCTCCGTATCAGCAATGACACCTGGGTCATTCCAATTGGTCGGAACACTAAATACGAACTCGACTTTCTTCTGTGTCCATCTAGGCATTGAGTCTGTGAAGGTGGTCACAATGTGATCGTGAATGGCTCGCAGATAATCCTGAAACCATTGCCGTGCCTGTTGTATGGTCGGTGCTCCGGGGTTTGCAGAGCCTTGAAAGGAAGGATCAAGGTGCAGCTTGAAACAGTCCACTATGTCCGAGTCCTGTTCACAGAGGAAACCCCATCTCTGCACCGTCTCCGAGTCAAATCCATATTTCAGCATAGTGGGTACTTTGTTAGCAAGCTCGTTGATCATCTTCCCTGGCCAGTGTTGGAAAGTCTTAGGCTCTGCCCATTGCGGCCCACGCGAGTGCGCCACCCCTATAGCGCAGCGTTTATCAAGCGTTCATTCATTCGCATTTTGGACCTACAGACCTGTGCAAGTCATCCCAAAATCGATCGCGACTACGATCTCAGGCTCCCAACCGTCGACATGTGGCATCTTGTTCCTGGTCACCTGCGGGCTTTATATGACGTGCTTTTCGAAAACGGATGATCTTCTATGGGTAATATGATTATCTGCGTCGGAGTGGCGCTGAAGAGAGTCGAGTCAGGAGAATAAAAGGATGTTTATAATACCCGTCAGGCTGAAGCGGACGGAACGGTCAGCCACGCGCTCATCCTGGACATAGCCTCTATGTTTACGCCCCTATGTCTGCACTATGCTATCATTGGCTTGCCTCACCGCCACATTTAATTTGGCCTGTAACATCCTTGAAGCCGCCTTACGAGGTCTAGACGCAGCCGGACCTGAAAAAGCACATTCTTACAGGCTAAGCTTGCGCCTTTCTTCGGGTTGCATGCATGAGCTGCCTCAAATTTGATTCGACTCTTCGTTATGTATGTGTTATCTGTCAGACGCATGACTTTATGACAGGTTTACCTCCTCCAGTTCTTTACAGTCCGCCTCCGCCTCTCCTTTGTAGCTCAATAGATTCTGCTACAAAGTGCAAAGACAGCCTATTCGACTACGAGCTTCGATGCCGCTCAACAGAGGCAACACCTGGCGCTCACACGGGCGACAGGATGAAACAGCAATACCGCAGACTACCAAACTCGTACTTGCTTCGGGTCCCCAGAAGATTGCCTCCCAGGTGGGCTTTACATCAACACCACGAAGCCAGGATGCAGAATCTCCATCAGTCTTTGAAAAGTTTGCCCACTGGCTCAACAGGGACAGGAGTCATGCTCAAATTGAATCTACAAGAGACACTTCTGAACCAAAGCTTGGGAAGAAGCGTCGCAAACACAAATCAAAACCAGATTCTCATCCGGACGCCGATTCACATCAGTCGAGATCACCTTCAACCGATTTCCAGGACTTGCTTCCACAGTCTGCAGATGATAAAGGTGTGCAGTTGAGGACCCAAACGACCTTGGATCAAATAGAGCTTTTCGTCCAAAATTTCTTTCAGGTAAAGCATTCCAAGCTGGAGGAATCACTGGACTTGGAGCTTTCCAAATTTGCCACTCCGGAGTTCAAGCAGCCATTGACAGCTTTGCTGGCCAGACCTGACTTTACACTGAATGTGATTACGCACTGTCTGGCAATGAGCGTGCTCACGGCGATTGAACCTGGGTGTGTGAGGGAGAAGTCTCTCCTCCCCTCAGATCTTAACTTCCTTCCTTACAAGCTTTACGAGGATCGAACGTATGCAAAAAGGAGAGCTGGTGAGTTTGTCGATATTTATCTACTCATTGTCAGCTGACTAGCTGTGGAAGGCCACTCCCAGTTGTTGTCACGCTGGCGTGTTCTTAGCGTCCATCTCCGCCCAGACGCGTTGACTGATGAAGAACACCTCGCAGAACGGGACCGCAAGATTGCGGCCGCAGTCCAAGCGTTCTTGCAAGCATTCAAGCCTTGGGTCAACCCAGATTTCCAAGATGAGGAACGGGCGAGGGGCTTGACCCTCCTCTACAAGGACGCGGCTCATCTTGGACTCTTTCTATTCGCTCAGCCGCCGGAGCTACTTTTTCGGCTGCCTTCTAGCAAAGAACGTCGGGAGGGTAGCCTTATTGTAATCCCTGCCTTGTACAGGTTTACCGACGAATACGGGCGGAGACTGCAACAAGACGAAATACTCGTGAAGCCACTGACGTTCGAGCCAACACATCAGACTGCAGCGCAAGACACACAGGGGCCGGTCAGACCTCCATCGGCAAGGCAGATGATTCCTCGCAAAAGCCTTGGGGCTATCTGAGAGGGGAAAGCCTGTACTATTGTGCAATGTGGAAATTGTCTTTCTTCTTTTGGGATAGTGCCGTCGTATTCCTCGCATTCGAACGAATATCGGCACATTGAATGGCAGCCATGAGACGAGGCTGAAGGTGGCTTGGAAGAGCTAAGGCATGCAACCCTACCTTATCAGAGGAACGCCAAGCGATGGTGCGCCCCGTTTTAGTTGGAGGTTGGCGGACCATGGGACTTACTAGCCCATTTAAGCTGGTTGTCGCCCCTTGGACATCTCTCATGCAGCCAAGGTGGAGGCTAGCAAGATCTAGGCCAGCCTACCTAAGCGTACCCTAGAAGGAGACTTTTCGTTGGTCAACAAACCCTGGTGATTATGTTGCGAGCCGGCAGGAAAGAAACGCTGGCTAGATCGACGTGATACGCGCCCACCAGAGTCTCATCAGCGTCCCGCCAATATTCCTTGGGCGCGGTCTTCGAGGTCTCAAGCAAGTAGCCTTACGATCAGTTTGCACGTCTACGATGTCACTTGATCCTGTTTCCACAACTATCGCAGGCCTCAATGCTTCTATCAAAATATTCGAAGTGACATACTTGCTCAAAGCTGTTGGCGAACAGACAAATGACCTACTCAGAACAATTCGGCATGTCGATCGTGGCATTCAGGAAGTGCAAAGGCTTTGCGATCTTAAGAGAGACATGATCGACAGCCAAGAGAAAGATTGGATTGAAACGACTATAGCAGATGTCAAGGATGCTCTATTGGAGATCGCGCAATTGCTTGAGCCCGCCCGTGTGAATAAAGCAACCACAGGATCCATTAACATCATCACGAAAACACTTTGGGTCTTTCGGGATAGCCCAAAGGTCAGAGACAAGCATAGTCGATTGAGTCTTTGTTATCAGACACTTATTAGTGTCCTGAACGGTCTGCAAGCAAAGTGTAGGGCCGATGCTGCGCCCGTACCCAACAATAGCTATGGCGGACCACCACCTCCTTATACTACCGAGCTGGAAAGGATGTTCACCTGGAGGAAGGAGAAGGCGCAAAGAAGGTCCTCCTCAGACGTGAAGCCGCCCGCCCTGCGTCCCGAACTCGTCTCATCAGTCTCCGATCATTCAAATTCCATTCCTAAGCACTTGAAGCCGGAGATGCTTGAACGTCAACTTGCACCCTCTCCTACACGCATGTCAAGACCGCACTCGGCCTTTTCGTACGATGAAGCCCTGTCACACCAAGCAGCACCGTCCATGTATTATTCCTCCCTCGAAAGCCCCCAGAATCTTCAATCCTCCACACCCCACTCCAGCACCCCTAGGAATGCCCGCCCCTCAAGCATCGGCTTCCTACCCGTACCAAACAGAAGATCATCCATGTCACCCTCCTCAGATACAACGTACCCCCAGTGTGGTTTCATTGGCAGTGCTGTACAGCCCTTAGCTGACAGCGAGCTGCCTCTACACGCGTCAAATGGCAACATCATGCAGGAGCCACTGATGCCAGGCTTTCCCTCCAACGATAATGGTCGCGCAATCATAAGGACAAGAGGGAAGGAATGGCTGGCAAACTATGCTGCACTGGAAATGTAGAGCACGTTGTAGATGGAGCAACAGACTACATCTGAGAAACAGGACTGGATCATTGGCGTGACCCTTCACGCTCGAAGCAGCATCTAAGCCGTGGTTTTGCAACAATGAGAGGCCCCAAGCATTACCTCATGGCTGATATGCCAATAGCTCACACGGAGGTGGATGCAGCCTGCGATTAGCAATGAGACTGCTCTATCAGTCCTGGGCACCACCAACGCCTTGAACACTGGCTACAATCCCATCATCACCATCTTAGTGAGCTCTTCACCATCATCATCCTAGAATGAATGCGAGATCAAGCAAAAGAAGCGTCATGGAATTACAGTTCGACCGACTGCTGGGATCAGCATTCTGGGTGGGACCTCCGCCCTCACCGGTCGAAAGATATTTGAGAGGAAGAAGTGATGTAAAGAAGAGTTGGTGGTTGGACGACTAAGGGCCAGAGAGATTCGACGGAAGAGTAAAGCGCGGGAGGATAGGTATGAATGATGTTGAGAAGGATGAGTGAAAGAAGGGTGAGTTGTGGACGTATGTGCGTTATCGGCTGCCGTAATTGTTGCGAGCACTTTGGCGTTCATGGTCCTCAACCAGACACTCTATCAGTATGTAAGCGCGAGGCACGTGCCTGAGAGCATCATAGTATAGTCATTGAGATGGCTGCTGTATACTTAGCAAGATAGCTTCCATATCCATCTTTGCCTCTTTCTCGCTCTCTACTTCATCCTCACCTGCTGCCCCATCTGCAACAGTCTCTTCCACCCCCTCGCCCCGCCTTGTCGTCAACATCCCCCACAATTCCCCCACAAACCTCCACTCGCACGCCAAGATCAGCACGCCCGTTACTCCCACAGTCCCCGCAAGCCTTAGCAAAACACCCGTATCCCCCACCTCTCCCTGCCCGTCCAAAACCCTCCCCACAACCCTCCGTCCCAGCACAGCAACAAGCACACTCATCGGCCTCGGCAACATCCCCACCAAATCCACCCTCCCCAATTGCACACCCCTCTCCTTCAAATCCCTCGCAACAAACCACGCACTCCACCCCGTCCTCCCCGCTCCAACAACCGCATTAACGACCACCAGGCCCTGCGCGCCCACATTCCAGCCCCGCTCTCCCCCTTCCCCTCCCAGGACAAGGTATCCCGTGCCAGCGAAGAGCAAGCTAAACGCCACCATCCACGCCGACTGCAGCCGCAACCGCGCGGGCGTAGCGACGGCGGATATGTAAGCTTCCAAGAGGCCGTTGAGGGCGAGGAAGGGGATGTAGTAGCAATACGCGGCCAGCACTGCGGGCGCGGTGGTTGAGGTCCAGCGTGAACCGGCGATTAGGGAGAGGAGGAGGGGGACTAAGGGGGGGCGAGGGTTGTGAGGGAGGAGAGAGAGGAGGGAGTAGAGGTGCAGGAGGCGGGTGAGGTATGCTATTGCTTGAGCGAGAGAGTTGCGGGAGTTTGGGGGGAGGTGGTGAGGAGGCGGGCGAAGAGCGTTCGGGAGGATTCTTCGATGGGTTGGAAGAGGATGCGGGCGAGTAGGCCGCCGTAGTTCGAGGCTAGAGCGTACGCGCCTTGGGATTCGAGCGTTGTGAGGGTCGCGATTAGGTAGCTGTCCCCGCTTGTGAGGAGCTGTTTGAAGAGGGATTGGGCGTAAAGGGTTGAGGCGAGCTTGAGGCGTGCTGTGGGCATGAGGGAAGAAGCTGGTGAGGATTTGTGAGGGTATGGAGAGGTGGAAGTCTCGACAAAGGTACTTGAGAGGCGGAAGGAGTAGCCGAGTAGGAGGGTGATGGAGTATGTAAGCTGGCCAGCAGCGAAGGGTAAGACGCCTAGGTCGAGATTGTTCTTGCTCGCCCAGATTGCGGATACGCAGGTGATGATGCAGCGGGAGAATGTTGCTTGCATTTCAGAAGACGTCCGGATGCCGTATTGGAGCTGCGATTGAGCGGCGGCGAAGTAGGGTTCGTGTAGCAGTTCAAGGATTGTTGCGATGGCATAAAGGTTCAGAGACTTTTGGATGTAGGCGGTAGAGAGGACGGCAGGGTCAGCTTTGCGAAGATAAAGGTATTGAAAAGTGAAAGCGAGGACGACCCCGAGAAGGATCGCTATGTAGGAGATGTTGACGGCTTCTTGTATGTCTTTCCGTCTGCCAGCAGATGGATCCGTCTCATCACGTTTCTTGTCTTCAGACTGCTTGTCATTGTCATTTCTTCCTCTTTGCAACACAACACGAATGCTTTCTCTTGAGAAGTACAGGGTTGAGACTGAGAAAAGATCAAGCTGTGTTGCGACTCCAAGTATTTGAGGGGACAAGAAGCGCAGGAGGGCTTGATTGACGATGAAAGTCAAGGCTCGCGACGCGACTTGCAAAGCGATCAGGGACGTTGCTCCATGGGCTGATTTGGCAAGTAGCGACATGATGGACCTCTGTACATACAGTAAGCCTCGTACGCACCAACGGGTGCTATTGTCACCTACCTGGTGGAGGGAAGTCTCTGGCGAGACCGCATCGTAAATAATTTGGGTGATTGATGCCAAGCCAGAACCCTCGAAAGCCCCGGAGATTGGCATTTTCAGGGCGTATCGCCGGGCACACCGCCGGAAAGGGCCTGGTTTAACCCCTGAAAATGAATCACATTCAATCTCCCTTTTATCACGACCATATGCCGTAGACCAGGAGACAGCTCATCTCTCAAATGCAGACTATAAGCTGGTTCCAGACTTTATTCAATTGACCAAGTGCTTCGCAGTCAAGTGAAAAATCTACACAGTCATCATGCATTTTCCACCACCCTCGCCGCCTGCCCTTCCCCCCCTTCCCCACCACCAGGAATCACCGTATCCTCGCCCACCATATTCACCAGCGTAATCAGCTGCGGCAACCCCCACGGCGCACTCACCCTCGTAACCGTAATCGCCGCTTCCTGCACATACCCTCTCAACTCCACCGCCTCCTTCATCCCCACCAAAACCCACTGCGCGACCTCCAGCGTCGTCGGCGTATCCAATAATTCCTCAAATTCGATTTTGATAAGGTTGGACTTGAAGATGCCTTCCTCATTAGGTCTGTCAGGCGCAGTGCCATTTTTGCGAAAGGGCCATTGCGGGCCGTGGATGTGGATTAGGACGTTGATCGTGGCGTAGGCGTCGTCGCAGGCGTTAGAGAGGTGGGTGGGATCGAGGATGCGGATGGGGTCGTCGGGGTTGAGCGTTATGGAGCGGTATTGGAGTATGTAATTGGGGTGCTCGGGTAGGGGAAATCTTTCTTCACTGTGGAAATCATTAGCTGTGTTTCACTGCGGGCGTTTATCGAGGTTCTGGCTTTTCTTACGGCCCGTAGCGACTGATGGTCGTGTTGGTCGTTGAGTTGACAATGGATTGTGCTGAGGGTGCTGGAAGGAAGAGTGAAAGTGCGATTGTCGAAATGGCACTTCTGACAGACCGCATTGTATTTGCTGACTTTTTTTGGTCATCGCAGGTCTGAAATGTTGTCAGTGGTCTCTGGAATCTATCATGAGCTTCTATTTAGATAAAGATTTCCCCATGTCTCACACGATTGCGCGAGGGCAAACTTGACGCCAACATCGTGTCGCGGCTATTGAGACAATATTGTTGGACCTCGCATTGACCATGTTCATGGAGATAATGCCAAGACACATCGTTCCTATTGATCAGCCTGTTGATGTTCTGAAAGTCAAAGAAATGCTAGTGAGCTTGCGGTAAGTCCTCACAATTTCCAGCTCTGCGATTTTGCATTTTCTGCGAATTGGGTGTATTTACTTGAAGTCTCATCCGAGATAAGAGCGATATTAAAAGTTCTCTCGGCCGGGAAAGACCTGTTATGGGCATGTCCCAGCGTGTTACAAAGCTCTACCAATACCATCAATGTTGAATGATGGGTTTGGTTATTTCTCTGATTCTCAGCGAAGCATACACCCGTGCAGCATTCACATAACAGTACATTGGTCACGACACCCCTCGTTATTTTCATCATTTTCATCATTTTTACCGTCATCCCCGCAACAACCAGGACAGCAGCCAGGATCACCATCACTGTCACCACAACAATCAGCAGAGCCACCAAAACAACCACCTCCACCATCACTCACATCGTCACTATCCTGAACATCACCATATGTCGGCTGCGTAGGGTTGTAAGCAAGTCCGTCATGCGAAGTTGATGGACGGGAATTGTATGCTGGATTAGCATCGTAACTCGTTTGATAGTCAATAGGCTCTGCGGGAGGAATCTCGTGAAGAGACTGATGACCACTTTCGGAGTCATTGTCGGAGTGGTCCGACTGGACCCTAGAGCTTTGATCCGAGTCTTCACTGTCGCCACTCTCTTCGTCAGAGTCATGGGCTGTTTCGCCCTGCCCGCTACTATAGCCGCCGTCCTCGTGGTCACTCGTCACTGATGCGGCTCCTGCGCCAATTGCTGCACCTGTTATGGCACCAGTAGCTACAGCAGCAGGAGCATGTGTTTCAGGATGAGCCTTGGAGGGTTTCTTTGAAGCAGGTGTTTTCGGATGTTGCTCGTGTGGTGGATGTTTCCCATCGTGACTTTGTGGGTGTCTTGGCTTGTGGGGGAGCTTTGGTAGGGTTTGCAGTGGAACAGGTGGGTCACGATGATGGAACAAGGGTGGGTCGTTGTGACGGAAGGCAGGACGCTGGAGATCTGGTTGATGTGGATGATTCGTGTGATCAAAGGCACTTGTCCTTGATGGTTGTTGATATGCCATACCTTGGGTCTCTTTGTAACCCACGGCCTCACCCTTGGGAGTCGTTACAGCTTTTCTTTGTACACCGGCTGGCCCATTGCTGCTACTCCCGAGCATCATCGTTCTTGGATCATTGGTAACATGCGAGCCTAGGACCATGTGTTGTCTCGAAGGAGGCTGGGAAGAAGGGTTTCTAGCTGGACTTGAATGTGCAGAGCGCTCTCCGAAGCCTGGTCTAGTTTGACCTAAGGGAGAGCCTCGTTGCTGTGGAGCAGGTCGCCTAGTTCCGTTCGATTGGAAGTGAAGATCGGGACTCGAGGATGCAGACCACTCTCCCAGGCCTGATCGCTCTTGGTCGGACGGCAAAGCTCTCTCATGCTCCGAAGGCTTTCCCATTGCAAAGGAAGGATTATTCATTATCGGACCCGGATTCACAGCTAAGGGTCCAAATCCCGGTTGAAGCTGGTCGGTAAGCCCTCTCCTAGACTGTGGATATGACTGTCCGAGCTCAGGGGAGCCTTGATAGCCACCATATACATTTTGGCGGTAGACAGGGTTGTTTGAATGCCCCAGGTCTTGTGTGGATTGCTGCGATACTAGTGCCGACCCAGGCTGAGGCGGGCTCGACACGACAGCCTCAGCTTTGACGATGTCTTTTCTAGGAATGATGCTCAGGAGCTTCTTCGCATACGCAGCTGCCGTTAACGCTCCATATTGCTGCCATACGTCATTTTTGTGCGAGTCCGCATAATCGCATATACCTCGAATGACCAAGAAAGGGAAACCGTCTAGTCCAGCGGCTTCCATTTCGACACATTTGACGCCACGGAGATCCTTGTTGAGCTTGTCTCTTGTCGCAGCATCTTTTATGACCCAACTCCCCGACGCAATGGTGCCATAGTGAATCCTGGATTCAGTTGGGGACTTTCGATTTGACCGCAGGACCAGGTTCTCGTTATTGCATCGGGTGCAGTCTTTTTCGTTGCCAACATGGGTATAATCAGCGCGATATAGCTCGTCTTGTGCTTGTGGTCGGCCAAATTGATCGCGTACATTGGTACGCTTTTCTTGAAGATTCGTAGTCAAGAATTTTTGGAGGTCGAAGTCATCGATGTCGCATTTTGCCTTCAGCTTTGAAATCGCACTCCGCAACACCGTAGGAGGCTTATCCAATGATCCTGTTCGTTCGAACTTTCCTCCCACCAGCTTCTTTCCAAGGTCGTACTGCACAACACCTCCCAATCTACCCTGTGGCTCACTGACGACCACATCGCCTAGCCGTATATCGTCCTGTGGTTGGGGCACGCCGCCACCGGTTCCGACCATTAGTACAATCTTAATAGACTTGAAGCTCCTCAGCATCTGCGTTGCCACCTGGGCTGCTGGTGCATTCCCAGTGACTCCAGAGGGTAGACAAGCTATAACCACTTTGTGGGTATAAATGCGTCCTAAAGTGTAATTATTCGAGTCGTGGGAGTCTTGTCTCGATATGTCCTCATATTCTTCATCGAGCATGGTCATTGCTGCAACCATTTCTTTGGGAAGTGCACAGATCCATCCCACTGTGTACTCGTCACTCTTACATCTGGCTCCCTCTTCAGCCATGATGTGTCCAGCGAGGGCCCTCTCTTGATGTTGTACAAAGTCACTCATATTGAAGGCTCATAGAACATAAGTAATTTCTAGCCGTGAAGGCCAAAAGTCGAGCTATCGATGCAAGAAACAACTTTGAGTGGGCAAATAGGGAGCTTGGAAAATAGATATTGCAGACCTGCGAGGATGCTGCTTCGATGATACCAACAGCTTTTCCACCATTGAGGCTGGGGCTGACGGTCGTAAGATACTCGTGTTGAAAAGCCATGGCATGAAGGTTGCTTGATGTCTTGAGGGTTTCATCCCAAATGGGTATCCAGGACGCCCCTCAGCAGCAGACATTAGTGCGGCTCTGTCGCAGACGAGCGATGTGTCGAGAGGGGGTATGCAAGCACCTCGCCACGTGCGCAGTCTCTGAATCAGGACACAGGGTTGCTCATTCGTTCGGTATAACCGTAAGGGTGGCTATTCCCAGCCTAGCAGCAGAAAAAAGCTCCACCTCCCATGTACAATGGCTGACTGACTGTTGTTACAGGCTTGCCGAGACCTGCAAGGCGCACACCCACTTCTGACTAGCTTCAAGATTAAGTCGTAATGCAATATTGTAAAACCGTATTCGAGGGGCACGGTACCTAGATCTAAATATACACGGACTCGGGATGAAGCATTACTAGGGTCACTTCTTTGTGTCTAGTATATACATTACTCAGACGCCTGATGGTCTGAGATTATGGAGACTGGCTGCTCATGAAGGATCGATGTTGCATGCAGCTGGCGCACTGGAGCGCCCGAATTTCTAGATACCAACATATCCTAAGTCACAGGAGTTTCGGAAGAAAGTATGATCGGCATTCCGTGGCTTGATGCCGCAGCATTCGGCTATATTTGCCCAATGTTACTTTGCTCCTCCTATTAAGGCCCTATGGAAACATTCAGCAATTTGAGTTTGGCCAACAGTCTGTCGTAGTCTTTGGAAGCGACGCTGAAGTGATATATATAGGCTAAAAGGGCTGCCAAGCATGTGAAGGGAATCGATATCGCCCAATATATCCATATTTGCTCGGAGATTCTAATTATGCCCCTTTCAGCATTATAGCAAAAGAAAAACATGCTGAAAATCGTTGCAATGAAGGTCATTGGCACGAAGCCCGCCGTGACAAGCACGATCGTCTTGACAGCAGAGCTGTCCGTTTGAACAGCATGACTGATGATGTTAGATGCATTCGCAATATTTTGTGCGACAATGTTGAAGGAGTATTGGATCTCATTGAGTAGACGATCCCTGTTAGCAGTTGCGCGAAGTCGCAAGCTTTGGATCGAGTCATGATAGAATTGAAGGCGATCATTTACATGGCACCGAGCGGTCGCAGTAACCTCATCGGTTGCCGGTATCTTCGTAGTGAAAGTATTACAGTGCTTGATCATGCGCTCAAGGGTCAGAGATGCCAGTTCTAACGTTTCGAGAACATGTATTGCATGCCTGGCCAAGTCGTGAAGGTGTGAATAGTTTGGAGCCGCAAGTGTGCGTGTCAGTTCTATATTACGGACCGAGTCACGAATTTTCCAAACAGCTTCTTCTTGAAGGGTGAAGATGATTGTCGCAGCCAACATATGAACAGTTTGAGGCTCGGCATAAGTCATCGCGTCCGAGGAGCTTGACAGAAGGTCGCGTATTTGCCTTTTGATCTCAGGTTTGGCGTCAAAAACAGCCATCATATTCTGTCTGGCCGAAGGATCCCACCGAGAGAAAACGTTGAGCTTTAGCCACTCATAGTCTTGATCAGCGCTTGAGTCCATTCTTTCAATGAGATTCTTGACAACACATCGAAACCAAGTATCTATAGCCATGTCAATTCCATCTGAAGATTCAGTGCTGGCGTACTATATCCATCCACTTGTCCCTTGTCTCCAACTGTGGATTCTTTACCAAAAATATCATTGCTTCGCCGAGACGATTCGGTCCACCAAAGAGGCGGTATTCTGAATAGCGCTGAGAGCTCGCGCTTGCAATTCGCGCACTTGCGGATTTTGTTTGCCTCAACGAAGCTTTGACCAGTCAAAAATCAACAAAGAAACGAAGATGGACCGTAGTGTACTAGACAGTCAATCCATTGCTGCTAGGGTAGTGCTTCTGTAGTCCTTGAAGTGCAACTTTTGCACAGTCCAGCCGGCCTAAATTCGTGTCACTCTCATATCACTATCTCCACAGGGGAAGCGATAGATCATGACTAGGTCATAGTGTAGGACTTACCGCGATCAGCCGTGATTATTTCGACTAAGGGACAGCCTCGGCATTCGAAGTGGGTCATGCTGAGGTCCTTGTGCAAGAATTTGATCGGAGGGAAACAAAAGCTATCCTCTAACACAACTGAGACGATGAGGAGCAAACCTGGATGATTGCATGGATCCCACGGGAAATCACAGCCTCGAAGCGGCACAGAGTGGGAGGGCTCGGACACGTCGAAGTGAAGAGGAAACTGAGGAGTCATCTCTTCAAGCCTCCGGCCCCCCTGAAGGACCGATGTGTGCGCCGACCTTGACCAGTGGCACCGGGTACTTTGGACCCCTAATCACTGGCTGAGCACCTCATTTGACATGGTGCTGCATTGCAGATCCACCTTCTCGCGTGAGTTTGCAGTGCAACAACACAGACTCAGCCGGCAATTGTTATCTTCACATGAACGGGGCGTTCCCTCCTGCACGAACAACTGTCAAATGAAGCTCAAGGTTTTGATAGGTAGATATTAGGTATCAGCCGTGCTTGGCGCTGACGGTGGCTGTCTTGGCATCTTGGCGAAGGAAGCCACCTGTGAAGATACGCGAGAGCACTCATGCATGTGCTAATCCACCAACCTCGGCGTGTGTCAGAGATGCATTGAGGATGATCTATATCGATATACTGTTGGGCTCCACACCCCCTATTCCGTCAAACTTCTCGTACTTCCAGCATGCCAGCCTCGATGCCGGGACCTATCAAGAAGGTAGCTCGGCGCCTCTACCCTCTTTCGACGCTAGTTCGTATATGCTCTACGGTGCTTGAAATCCTTCGAGTCTAAACGTGGAGTTAGAAAACGTGGCATTGCACACCACCCGCGTCATGGCTTAGCACATTTCTCCCGGATACGTTTCGCCTTTTCTATCCTAGTGTTGGCGGCCGACTCAGCCGTGAAGCATGTCAGGAACAACGAGAAGAGGACTGTTCAACGACATGTTGCGTCCAGTCGAGTGGTATATGTTCGTGGTTTTCCACAGCTATGCCATGACTATCCCCTCGAAGCACAGGAGTATTCGCACTGGAAGATCGGCGTCCAACACCTCAAATCGATTATTCCCTAACGGATACACACCTGAGAGCCATAGTACGAATAATAAGTGACAAATATGTCCCAACAATGCTCCGGGAATCATACCATCCGTTGCAGCCTGCCCAATTCGTTTGAGGCCGACAGTGACATCGCAGGCATTGGTGTATGTTCTCTGAGAATCCATTAAACTTGTTCACAGCACTGATATCCCAATCAGGTCTATGCAACTTTCGTCACCATGTCTGTGTTAGCCTTACTACTAAGTGTCACCCTCATGTTTACCAATACCACGCCATCTTACATACGGTGAGTCTGACTAAAGCCGTCAATGCTTTTTGATATTTTGAGCTAACGGATTGAATCTTCAAGAAAAATTACTATCAGTAAAATGCAACGGGTGTTGAACAATTTTTTGGTTGCTTTGATCGACACGCAGATTGTCCTAGGTCTCGCCCTCACTATTCCTACGGTGTCATTCATGAAGTGTTACATCTCCACCTACCACTTGGATCTTCTCAGTGATCTTATCACAATTGCAACTACATCGATCTTAAGCTCAGCAATGGCTGTGGACTGGCACTCGGCTTCCAAAGCGTTATGGGTCCGACTAGTTTTCGCATGGGGCATACTTCTGCTTACAGTCACAATCCTCGGTTACAAAGCAGACTCTCCAATTCTTCCCACCTTCACACCCCACGACGAGCAGACGAACAAGTCAAGCACAGGCCTAGTACTACCAGCCATGTGCTTCATAGGCCATCCGAACAAAAAGCAAGCCAAAAGCGACCTTCAGAGTTTCACCACATCCAGTCTCTGGACCAAGAGTGCATCCGGCTCCGCAGTCAACGGCACAGAAGTTACAGGCATCGACTTTGCGAACAACAGTACTGGATTTTCAACAAACTTGGAAAAAACTGCGGCCTGTCCCGCCTGTTTCGAAAGCTTCACTTCCAACGACAACCTAAGCAAAAGCGTCGACACGTTTCTCCTAGTGGCAGTCATTATGATCCTCGCACTAAGCCATCTGTATCTTTTTCTTGCCAACCGAGCTCGACACCCCAAGACACCAAAACAAAAAAAGGGCAAAGCCTCAGCGAGACCGAAAGCGCCAAACAGAAAGTTTTACATCGTCATCGGTGCAGTCTGCTGGTTACTCTCAGTCACTGTAATGATAATATGTTCGGTACGTTTCCGCCAGCTTCAGGAATGGATGCTCGCATCAGGCTGGATGAGCAACAAGGGAGAAGAGCAACCAAGCTCACTCGACACGTACGGCGAGTTCATGCCGCTCATGTTACTCATTATACCCGTCATCGCCGGATTTGAAGCCTGCTTCGAGCGTGGTAAGTCCTGTCTCGAGCTCCCCAACCCCGCCCCCGTCATCTTGCGTTGATTCACTCCATTCCCATACTCGCCTCAGACTTCTTCTTTCCGTGCTTTCGTGACGTCGAGACACGCTTCAGTATGAGCGCTGACCATTCTGCTCAGGCCCCCGCAAACACGATGGAGGAGACGCCGTGCAATCTGACGCAAAGTCAGACGGTGGATTTATGACTTTGATGCCAACATGGGTGCCGGGCGCCCATCCACGAGGTCAGTATGTGGAGATGCGCAGTCACTGAAGCTGAGTTATGGATCCTAATACTGCTCTGCTGTGGGTTAGGTTTAGGCGCCGAAGGATAAAGCCCGGGGAATATATTAGGTTTGGAATGGTGAAGCAACAGGTAGGCCAGCTTCCATTTTGAACTATCTAGATAGCAAGTAGTCATATAGAGATTGCTACCAACCCACCTTAGCTAAATTTGCTCAACCGCGCTCTTAGTAAGTCCCATCCTGATCATTCCGATCTTCAAACCCTCATCAGTTCCCTAGATACCTGAATCATCCTGGAACTCGATCTCGGCTGTCGTATTCCACAAGTTCTTCTTCTCACCGACCCACTTGTCCCACTGCTTACAAGTCTCGTTCATCGCAAGTTGGCTCGCAGCTGGAATCTTCATCTTGTCCATATTCTCCAGAATCTGGAAGGCAAGGCCAGATGAGGCGTGCCAAGCGATATGGCAGTGAAGAAGCCACGGGCCTGGGTTGTCTGCCTTGAAAGCGATGACGATGTATCCACCAGTGGGTAGGAGCACCACATCTCGTCGGGGCGGATTGTCTCTCTTCAGCTTGTGCTCAATCTGTGCCAAGGTGCCGGGATATGGGTCATTAGATGCTGCCAGGAGGGCGAAGTCGTGGCCATGAAGATGCATGGGATGACCTCCGGGAACAAAGGGACTGTCTTTTCCGCCTGTGCTGGGTTTTTTATCGGTCAATGTGATTACGAGATAGATCCATTCATCTTTGCCTTTTGGATCGTGGGTAACGATGTCGAGCCATTTTGGGTATGGTTTTCCAGGGCCGGGGTTAGGATATCTGATTGATGGCTGGCTGAAGTTCAGCCACATTGGTTCTTCGTAAGCCGTCCAGCGAGATTTCCCCTCTGGATGCCAGGGTCCTTTGATATTAGGCTTTCTCAAATTGACAAAATACTGATTGTCAGCTATGTCTACTCAGCAAAGTCTTGGTGATTTTGGGAGTGGAAATCTACCATCTGCATTCGATGCTTTGCCTACAGTCCATGGAACTTTTGGAACCAAGCTCTTGTATGGCTCATCTTGGCATTCAGTTGAAAAGTCCCGACTTGCTGAAGTAGGATCGTCCGTGTTGTTGGTATCGTATCGAATGATGCCGGTCTTGTCATCTGGATTGATATCCTGAAATCTGGCGCAAGCAATGGCTGGGGTAGTTCGTATCCAGTAATTGCCATTTGCTGATTTAACGATTGGTACTGCCTCGACGACAACATGATAACGCTGGCCTAGCCACAAACTGTCAGATGTTTGAATCAGGAACAAGGAAATTAGTATGACTGACCGATTCCGACGCGCACAGAGTCTGTGACGTAGGGTTTGACAGGCACAAAATCTGCACCAATAACGGTAACATTATGCCCGTCGATAGAGAAAACGAAGTGAGTATCTAAGGATGTATTAATAAGCCGAAGAAGATACTTCTTCCCTGGCTTAAGGACTTTGCTATAACGCTCAGACTGGGCTATTGGTAGACCTGGTTTGTTGGGGTTGGTGTAATTATATCTTCCTTTGCCATTCAGTAAGATATTTGTCATTTTTGGTGGACCTTTGAGTATTGGCCAGTCCTCAAATGCGCTTCTATGATTCCAGTCTGTCATCAGAATTGGCTCAATCGCGTGATCGTAGCCTGCCGACGATGGCCCGTAGATGGTCATGGGCCCGGCCAAGCCATCAGCATACTGCAGAGAATAATGGCTATGATACCAGGACGATCCATATTGTATAGCCTTGAATTTGTAGGTGAAAGACTGTCCAGGCGCAATTGGACATTGAGTGATTGCATTGACGCCATCCATCTCAGCTGTGTTCCATTGTCGAATTCCATGCCAGTGGATAGTCGTGCCATTGTACCAGAGATTATTGCGCACTGTGATCTCGATGTCGTCACCCCAGCACCTGTGTTGAAGTGGAGTCAGCAATGCTTACAGGTGTCATTGCTCTGCTGACATCTCTACTCTTGATCGAGATGGAAGGTCTGGAAGAGCACTTACGCTTGGATCCAAGGCCCCGGATATGAGCCATTGAACACCTTACCGTGTGCCATGCAGACACCATCTGGAGCTAATGCCATCTCCGCGACATCAAGGGTGTACTTGCGTGTCGTCCCTTGTGGCCATCTGATTTCGTAATTGGTGTCTATAGTGAAGTTTTCGGAGCCCTTTTTGAGCCAGCAACCTCGATCTTCAGGGCGATTACATTTCTCCCACCCAAGCATGGCGGAATAGTCGCATTGGATAGCGACATCATCAGGGGGGCATCTCCTGGTGGATACGGCGGAGCGAAGGTTGGTCCTGGAGGAATGACAGCTGCCACAGTAGATGCTGGAGCTTCATAAATTTGTAGGGGCTGTTGATGAGGGGGCTCATGTTTGACAGAGGAAAGAGTCACAACATCAAGGAAAGAGACAAGGTAGGAGACAAAAGCGTGAGGAAAATGCATGACGGTAACTGTGGGGGGTGCAGGCTATTCGACCTGGCAGAACGCTGTTTGGTTCAAGAAGGATGAGCAGAAGAGCCAGCGGTCAGGGGGATGGAACTTATTTGAGTCCCGTCGTCATTGGTGACGCAGCTAAGATAGGCAAGTCACAGAATTGGTGGTGGAGACGTGCTCCCCGCTCTCGACGGGAAGTAGCCGCGAGAGCGGCATGAGAACATCCTCCGCTGTACGGAATAGGAAATGTTGATGATGCAGATCCGGCATGCCTCAACCAATGGGGTGGTCGTTCCATCAGCTGGGCCGTTACCACATTTTTGTGGCATAGTCTGGAATCGTGTGACACGGCAATGGCTTGAAGATAGTCAGTGATGAAGGAGGAATACGTTGACATGCAAAGAATCTAGACCAAGTTCGGCTCAAATAGGAAATCAGCTAACCGGGCGGCGCTCTAGGCTAGCACCAGTTGGGACCTAGCGTTGGGGCGAACCTTTAATTGACATCAGGACCCACCTGTCATATCACGTCCCCTGAATCCTCCTTTCCTTGAACAGATAGCCCGTGCACAACCGTCAGCACGTGGCTAGTGAACTTGACAGCTGAATATTCTGCCTACCAACCAATCAGCCTGTGGGCAAGCCGAACGGCACATCTTTCCACTCGCTCCGTCCAGCTGGAACCCGCATTTCAGCAGAAAGGGGGTGTGGAAGTCGGCATCATGTCTGAGATAGGAGGTATCTTGGCGTACTGAAAACGGCTTGTCATGAATGACGACTTTTACAACAGGCTTTGAGGGACAACTCCCCGTCGAGCATCGCGACTCTGATGAGTGTGATGAGTGGGGTAGGCCGCACTAGCGGTCAAACCACCTTCATGCTCCGTACCATGCTTGTGGGAACCACCGGTGCTTCCGTCATAGGTTTCAGCACAGCTCTTATTACTAGTGCAAGTCGGTCACTCTATCCACGACAGACACTTTCCCCACATTTACTACTTTTGGGGGCCGGTCTTTATTTTTGCCACTGGCTTCTTACGCATACATGAAAAGATCGTCATCTGACGAGTACAGTAAACGGTACCGCGGCGCTTCCTTCCTGTATCAGCACCATACTCGGTTTCGCTGGGTCAGTCATCGCGTATTATCGGACTTGCTTGACGCAAAATCTCCAGGCGGCGTCGCAACATCAGCGTTTGATTTTCTTACATGCAAAACACCATTATCCGACGCAAGCCTGGAACGTGAAAAGGATCAGAAGACTTTGGGAACGGAAAGCCACATGGATTGAAGATAATATGATAATCGTCGGCTGGCATAGCGCTGTCACTGCCCTAGACGTAAATCTGCAAAACGTGAGCATCAAGTTTGGCGGCTAACTCTCCCAGGAGATACACATGTAACGCGAACAATCTTTGATTGAGCATTATGTACAACAGAACCACGACGAGAATCATGACCAAAAATCGACCAATGAGAGCGTTGCGACTGTATCAAGCGTGGCTGCTGCATCAAAATGAAAGATCGGTCCAACGTGAGTGCAATGGGCTGATGCACGTTCGGAGATGACGACTCAGATCTAGATGATCAAAGCGCACGGCAAACCCCTAGCAGCAACGAATCTGTGGTGTTCGTTTCGGCAGCTGAAGATCAAGCGACCATCTACCACGGTTGGCCGCATTGACTGTCAGGGGTGACGCCGGCATCGAAATTTCATTTCATGACCAGTCGAGTTTTCCTGCCAAATGGGCCGCCGTTCGGGTAAACAGTTCAGAATCAGTGCTGAGACGCCAACAAAATTTGCTGGCTATATGATTTTGATCGTCAGGTCATCTTTTATCACGGCAGGTCACCTTATTGGTCGGTCCAGCTTTGGTCGTTGGTCTGGTCACCTATATTCCTAGTCAGCTCTGCTATGGTCCTTGGTCGGGCGAGCTTTGAGCAAGTCAGCTCAGCTTTATTCGTTGGTCGGCTCAACGTTGGTCAGCTCAGCATTGGTCAGGTCAGGTCAACTTCCGACCCAACGAACGCCGGGTAGCACCCTCAAGATTTGTGACGGCAGTAGCCAGCACTCTAATTCATTATCTTATCTGATCCTCGACCGATGACGAAACGCGATGTCTTTGCAGTGGGCCCAAGATGCGACAATAAGCACTATGAATCCCCACAACTGATCACTGAGGCAAATTGCGCCCATTGGCCCGTGCTACACGACCTCCAGTCCAAGTTGTTCAGACATTGCGTCTTCTTCACTTTCCCTACCTTACTGCTCTATCTCTTACCATATCAACCCCCCCAAGTAGAGCTGCGAGAACAAACGACTTCAGATTCTAACAAAATAGTCCCTCGAACTCCCCCATCCACCCTCTTCTCCGACAAATCATTACCTACCCTCCAAAATGTCCGACACAGCAAAGACACGAACCTACTACGACTCCCCCACAGCCAACGCGTTCTACTCCACCGTCTGGGGCGGCCAAAACATCTGCATAGGCTTATACACCCTTCCTTCCCCCTCCCCTTTCCCATCAAACCCCACCACCCACCCATCATCTCCTTCTCCCCCACCAGAGTCCATCCCCCTCGCCTCCCACCGCACCGTCTCACGCCTCGCATCCTTCGCCCAACCAATCACGCCAAAGACGCGCGTCATCGATCTCGGCGCCGGCTACGGTGGCGCGGCTAGATACCTGGCGAAAACCTACGGGTGCCATGTCACGTGCCTGAATCTGTCGGGTGTGCAGAATCAGCGGAATGGGGAGTTGTGTTTGGAGGAGGGCGTGGGGGGTTTAGTCTCGTAAGTCTTGCTCTACCTTTTTCTTTTTCTTTTTGGGGGAAGAGGGGAGGGGTTGGGGTCGGGGTGGCCGTAATTGGGTTGATGCCGTGCTGTAGCATTGTCGAAGGCGCGTTCGAAGATCTTCCATTCGAGGACGACAGTTTCGATATTTGCTGGTCGCAAGATGCGTTTTTGCATTCTGTGGATAGGCAGAAGTTGGTCGCGGAAATTGGGCGGGTGGTGGTGAAGAAAGGGGGGACGGTGGTGTTCACGGATATTATGGAGGGGCCGGGGAAGAAGGAGGGCGGGATAGAAGAGTACCTGAAGCGGTTGCCTGTGAAGGAGGTGGGGACTAGGGAGGGGTATGAGGGGTTGTTTGAGAGGGAGGGGTTTAGATTTATGGAGGGGAAGGAGAGCGAGGGAGAGGGGTGGTTAAATTGGACGGAGCACCTCGTTGTGCATTATGAGAAAGTCAGGGAGGGGTTTGTGGAGTATGAGGCTCGGGAAGGGGGAAAGGAGGGATGGGATAAGGAGTGGGCGGAGCGCGTGAAGAGGAGTCTGGTGGATGCGGCGGATGCTTCGAGGGGGAGGGCATTGGTTTGGGGATGCTTCAGGTACGCAAGGTGAATTAAAGTATTCTAGGCATAAACAATGAAGGAAAAATTATGGCTCTTCTTGAAATGCATCTTGGAGACTCTGCCTTTGTTCGGTATTTGATTATTCAGAGACGGCCAGGAAAGGCGCGTGAAAAGGTGGGGACGAGAACGTAGATAATCAGGAAAGATGTGGTATCTTTGTTCATTTTGTGAAGCGAATTAGGTACACCAAACTTTCGGTTAAGCTAGATTGTGCCCTTTTGATCTCAGAGCCTCAACCTTCATTTGCATTAATTCTAATCAGTGCCGGACCTTTCAGCTCGCGAAATCATCGCTCAGCTGCCGTCATTGCTGCCTTTATGGTTATTAGAAGCAACTAGTTTTTCTTGTAAGTGATCCGAAGTATCAATCTGCCATGTTTACTGTTCGTAAATAAATATTGTCCTTACAGCATCTCTTCGCTTTGTTTCGCAAACCAATTGCCAGGTATAGTGTCGGAAGGAGAAGTCAGGCTCGTCGGAAAAGCTTCCATCTCGCGCCTCTTTTGTTGCTCGGACTCCTTTGCTTTGCGACGTACTCTTGCTACATGGCGCAGTAGCAGATCAAGTTCTTTAAAGCCGTCACCTTTTCGGTACGGGGAGGCATCCGATGACGATATAAACCCGATAGAGACGCCGGACTCTTGTGTGTAAGTACCGCAAGATTCTACAACGAGGTGGCCAAGGTGTGGTGAAGAAACCAAACTTTGAAAAACGAAAGACCAACCTGCAGTGGATCGTCTCGAGCGCGATACATCCAACTGCACCTCTTCGAGACTGACAGATCGTAGCCTTTGGTCATCTTTAAAGATCGTGAAATGCCTCAGACTCCGAGTGGATAGGCGGACACGAGTCAAATCCAAAACCTGTAAGTTTTGCATGCGTTCTCCATCAGGTATGTAAATGCTGAGTATGGAGTCGCAGTTGATACACAAAGAATCAAGGTTTGATAGTTGATTAATCAGCATGGAAAGACAGTACTCTGCATGCGATAGAACTGGATTGCTGTCCAAGGGCATTTCTTCTTCCACTAATATCAGACCGTCTTCTCGCACTTGGACTCTCAAATGTTGAATAATACTCAAACAATCTGTATGACTTGACTGTGTATCAATTTTGATATCAGCCTTCGAAGGTAGAAAGTCATCAAACAGGATCCAGAAGTTTGTATTCACGGGCATGTCCAACACAAGCTCATTGAGCTTAAGATTAGGCCAATCTCGAAGGGCGACACCAATGATGCGTGCGAGAACCTTTCCTACCATGAAGTCACGCCCATGATCTTTACACAGCCGTCTATAAGAGAGCGCAAGCGCGCGAAGATTCTGAAAACGTCCGATGAAGCCGACGAGGTTGGAAAGGTCGTTGATGTACATGGCAAAATCGGTATTCTGATCGCTAAATAAATCGTCGTATACGCGTATGTCCAAGATCTCTACGTAGTTTGCGATTGTGGGACTTTGGGAAGCCTTGTTTAGAAGCCCGAGACTACCTCTGGATGTGACACTAATCTTTCGTTGGAAACACGGGCAAATGGCACGGTAGAAAGCTTTGCTCGTAAGTTCGAGACTTCGCAGCGACTCATCGCTGTTGTGCTCCATTTGTAGCCAAGTATGCGGGCCTAGAGAGTCTTCCGGTACCAGTCCGTCGTCGACATAATACGTAATCTGAGGCGTTAGCATAAATCGTATAAGATATTGACTCGATGCTGCACTTACCAGATTACAAATCTCTTGAGGAACGTTCATATTGGACTTAGGACTGGTGTATGACGAGCTTGTTGGATTCTCTGTATTGGATGGTGGGGTAAGTCACATGCGAGAGTGTAAGGACGAAATGAAGAGCGGCTGGCTGCGGGGTTGTTGTGTCTTTGATGAAGCTGGGGATTTGCGATGAATCCTTGCTGTTGCCACTTGATAGTTGCTGAAATAGCCAATCAATTCAGAAGGCCGAAAGGAGAGCGAGGGTCCCGAGATTGCAGCAGGGCTAGTGACGCTGTGTATAATCAAAACCTGCACATTCGTTGTCTACATATCTGGTGCCCTGCCCAATACCCCCAAGCCCTTCTCACCACACTTTGCTGCGCGTTGGCACTTCTCGAATTTAAAGTCAGAAAGCAGCCGAAAGATTCATCACAAAACATGAAGTCTCGTAATCTTAATCATCTCTGGCCAGTCGTTTTGTCGTTCGCGGTGATCTGTATCCTCTTACCGACATATACGGTAATCCAGCGCAGCGAGCGTGTGGGATGGAGCAAAACGAGATCCAATGCAAATATACCTACCGCCGCTACTGTTAACAATGACTTCACCAAAGTCGGCATCCCTTTCGGAGATCCTTATGAAGCGCTCAAGCTCTCAGAGAGCAAATTAAGCAAGCGAGTAGGTTTCTGGTAAGCTGCATCACATTTCTCAAATCATTCATCGCACCTGAATTCATGTGCGTGCTGTAGGGAGACTGCCATCGCAAATGGGAAGGCCAGAATCGAGAGAATGCAAGGACCAAGGACCCAAACTCAATATAGCCACTATGAAGACCTTGCTGGCAATGTAAGTACTTTGCCCTGATATCGTTAGTCCTGCTTCTTCTTGGCTAAATTTGCTGATAACATGCAATAGGGTTGGACGTACGAAGACGAGAAGGAACCATTCATGGTGCAAGGATATAATCAGATATACAAACAGCTGGGAATCAAAAGTGATTTCGACAATCACATTACTAACGCTCAAAGCCAAAGTTTTGGCAATTGCATGTTCCAAGATCTGGTAAGAACAATGATACCGATTGGCGCACATAGGATCTCATGCAATGTCCATACTGACTGTGACGTAGGCACCAACGGGAGGAACTTTCTACAACATCTACAACCCTGCAGGGCGGATGCTCATGGGGTCCGACAATGTCAGCCCATACTCGAGGCTTCAGGGTCAGGCCAATATTACAATCGGAACCAACACCAACGTTGCGTGGTGGCAGAGACTGCCAAATTTGCAAAAGTGGTCCGACGTGGCTGGAATTGTGTGGTCTCATTTGGCAGGTGGCCAAGCTGGGTCGCTGAAATACATCTTTAAGTATATTATCTCGCTCTCTGCGTATCCTAGATCGAATGTCTGATGACACTGACTGACCCCAATCAGACAGGGAATCATCACTCCAGCCACTCAACGAATCATAATTGAGGCCGCGGGACGGCAACCGATGGTCGAACCAACCGGCAATTTTGTTTTCGACAAGCCTTGGCCGGGTTACAATTTTCTTTCCGGCTCGGACACTTTCGCGGCCCTGATGAGCACTCCCCATGGGAACGGGATTGCCTTTCTACTAATATCTCATCCGGATCAATTCGGCAGTAAGATGATTGAGAGTATCACCATATTCACTATCACCGGCCAAACACCCCCTTATCACATGCTGTTCACCCTTACAGATTAGATTCTGACACATTGATGTGACGTTGAGTCATCTAGAACGATTCTGTGTGTCAGAAAAGATACTGATTGAATATTTGAAGCAACATGCACTAAGATATGCCACTGGATAACCAATGAGGAGAGATACAATCAATTCGCTAGGAGAATAAGGCGGGAGTCAATGGTGGAAGGTGAGGTTGGGTTGCGACTGAGGCTCTTGAGGAAAGATAGGGAATATACCAGGCCTAGCACTTGATAGTTCATTCAATATCAATCTTCTCGTCCAATTTCTTGCCCTTTGAATGTACGAGCTCCCAGGCGCAAGAATTGCGATGTTTCCGGAAGCCTGCTATCATCTTTCGTTGGCGGATTGTCTGTACCTATCCGGTGATAGACGAGTTTGCATATTCGAGAGGTTTTGGTCAAGACGCCAAATCCTTTTGAAGTACTGTCCAAGACAGATCCGGCTAGTGCCTGCTTCGAATAGCTGTATTTCAAGGCTTGATCGCCGGATCACCCTCTGACTATTTCTCCTAGGAGTAAGAATTTGCTCGATCTACGCATCTTATGCTCTAAATTCTCCGATGGGTAGTTCCAGAACTATTTGCATTGACACAGACGCATGTGACGAGTCACTCCTGCTCCAATGACAAAAGCCTTCGTGGGATTGTGGGAGCCTTCAGACACCATCATGACACGCCGACGACAACATGTGTGACACATATGATAGCTGCGGCAGTGTCTAGCTCGGTCTGACTTCGGCGCCCAAAGGTACACGCTTTTCCAAAATATCGCGACTATATCCTTAGAACGGCAATTCGATCGATTCATTTGTCAAGATCGTCTCTTAGCCTTGGTATCCTTGCCCCTTCTGGTCGTAGACGGATGATGGCAAGGCAGCCACAGATGTTGAGTGTGTACGCATATGCTCGGCCCGGCACATGAGCACGGCACGCGTGAGGAAAATTTAATTAAGGGTGGCTGCATTGCACGAACCTTCTCCGCATTTTCAAAGCTAGCTTGAAGCTAGGTTATTCACTATCTCATGCAGTCAGCTCTTTTGTGATGGGTAGTGTACCTGCCTCCAATCATACTTCCTCCAGCTGAACATCCCAGACTCAGTATTGAATTCTGAACAAGCCTGTCCGATGAAGCCTGTATCTTGATTGAATCAGATCTGATATCGTCAGATGCGTCGACATCGATCAAGTTTCTTGGTTAATGCCCATAAGTCACTTGAGCTAGTCGTGTAGGCATGAGAGTCTCCATTGTTGATTCGTGGGTCGGTCATCCTCGGTAGCGTGAGACGGCAGGTTAGTCTCACACCATCTCGCAAAATGATGTGTCTCGAAGAATCAACAGCACAGCGAAAGCTTCACAACAGCTCACAAGTCAGCGGAAAGAACGACAATTAGGAAACATAGGCTCACTCAAGCGAACATTCCCGAACTCACTCTGTGGCCCTTCCCCGTAGATATAAGACCTCCTGCGGCACAACACAGATTCCACAAAGCCGATTTTCCACATCTTTAGAACTCATAACAATCTACAAACTCAGTTGACTTTTGGATCCTAGACTTATTAAAAGATGCTTCTTCCAAGCCTCAACCTTATCTTTCTCTCGGCGGCCGTTGTGGCCTGTGTATCAGCAAGCCCAGCACGGCTGGAGCCCCGACGCACCGCTACGTGCCCACGTACCCTACGGACTGTCACTGTTGACGGCATTCCAGTAAGTCGCCCTTAATTCTCACTCCTCCTTCAAAAGAACAGATCGAGTCTCTTATATCTCTGAACCAAGCTGATGACTGACTTGTCGAGAGTAATAGTTCAGTAGTACCGTTGTTGTCTGCTGCAAGCAATATGATCAGGTCAAAGGAACTGTCATTGGTGTATGTGTGGATGGCAAGATCGTCGACCCAAAGGCGTCGTGCGGACCTGAGCGCCCAAAACAGTTTTGTTGCTCTCTTGCGGTAAGTCTTGGCTTGTACGACTGAGGCGACGGTGAGAATATCGACTGATAATTTGGTCCACAGGCCGGGAGTAGTTCGAAAGGGGATATTTACCTTTTCTGCAACGGGCCTACCTATACCTCTTGATCCAGTAAGGAGGGAAGCTACTCGGAAATTGATCTCGTCACTAGTCATTCAATTATTCATGCTGTCATCTTGGAGATAATTAGAGGAGGAGATCATTCTTTGTGAAGTCATGAGCATGAGAATGGACGGGAAGAAGGAGGAATGAAAGTAGTCTTATCTTACTAGCATCAATGCAGCTCCAGTGTCTATCGGAGCTCTAGCCCCCTATGTTTAAACAGGCACGTACTCATTCTGTCGTGAGCAGTGAGCAGTGAATATGCTATCTCAGAGCCTTAAACCAATAAAGCAAATCATCCTTCCTAGAAAATAGCCTTTGAATGCAAGAACGTTCTTAATATTGCGCTTTGAGGATACTCTGCCGTCTACCCAGCGCTTTTGTCAGAGGCGATGCTAACGGGGCATTTCACGAATTTAGCAACCAGGAATATGCCCGTTCTGGCGATGTTCGGAGCAGCGACTCAACTCCTCCTCCTTTGGCAAGAGTGCAATGGCGCATACGAGCTCACTAGTCTGCCTGTCTTGGCCTGGTGTCTCATTTCCAGCTAAGCTGTGCTATTCTTGCGGTTTGACCACAGGGTCAGCCGTCTCACACGCTACTCCCACTAATCGAGATCGAAGGATACATTGATAAGAGATAGTTCGCAAGTTGTGCAAATCCGAGACTGCATTCCCAGGTCGTCGTCTCCCTTTCTCCATTAAGCAGACACCGGTTGACGAGGCTGACCCCGAGGCATACTCAAACCAACAATGTTGTTCAGCATTGAGGGACTCAGCAAATCACGACCCATTCTCTTTGTATGAATGGAACTTAAACTCCTTTATGAATCTCAAATGATGCATTTCTGGCCTCGATGAAAGCATCGATGGCAATGAGCGGATGCCCGATGTCAGACTATCATGAGAAGATACGTCTCAAATATTATGCATATTTAAAATTCTACAAGCCACTCACGACCTAACATAAAACTTGTCACTGGAGCCGACATCCTGTGTACCATTTTTCACTTCGGCAGACCAGCAATGAGGCTTCAGCACTTCCCATGAGATAGGGAGGCTGCTGATAGCTTGAATGAAGAAGCGAGGATCATACATGAGCAATCTCATAGAGCAATTTTGACGAATCCGGCCATAACATGGAATTGATAGGCTGATGAGACTATAGATACGAGTATGGTCATATCGAAAGTTCATTGCTCTGTAATCAACTGGTTCGCGAGTCCGTGCCTCAGACGAGCGGCTGACCTATAACCTTTTCAGTGTACTTGTTTGCGCTGACAAAAGACAAATCGACATGGATGATAAGTAGTCTGATTTCATACACCTGCTAAACATCGTCACTTCTAAGAATGACTAGTCCACATCAGCACTCACTCTCAATTACCACCACATCAAATACATTGCCAAAAACAAGAGCTTGAACTCAAATTCAAAGATAGTGACCATCACAGACTACCGCTCTCCATCTTTCCCCCCCTCCACCTCCCGGCTTCCTCGCCTAAAGCCCTCCCAAAATCCTCCCACCCTTTAACAAAGCTTCCCACTCCTACTACCTCTATCCCTGAAAGCCTCCCTTAGCAGGAGCATAGCGATAGGCTGGGGATTACAAGCCCGCCCACGGTTGCTGAATTGGTCACTTACGCCCTTCTGAAGGCCGGGTGCCCGACATTGGGGCTGTTGGCCGCTGGGTCGGTAGGGTAGGGAAAGGGAACGAGGAAGGCATAGAGGGGACACTCGGTATCCACTGATTCGAGGATGCTTCGGGATGACAGCCAAGAAGGGTGGACGATCACGATCATCTTTTGCACGTTGAAAGATATTCACCCAGAAAACATTTCAATTTTTTCAATTTCCTTGCACACGAACACATCTCCCCTTCTTGCGCTATTCCCGTATATCTTAATTTCTTACATCCTCATACACACCTCTCCTCGATGTGAAGATAACAGCACACTCCATTCACTCCAGCTGACCCTCCACCCCCACCCCCCCCCCTCCCCCTCCCCCCCCCTGCACCCAGAATGACAAACTCCCCTACGCACCGCTCGGACACAACTGAATCCCCTTCGGCCTCTTCGCCAAATGTTTAGGCCCATTCGTATTCGAGATACAGACGGCATACTCGGTAATAACCCTGCCCGCCGTGAGCGCCGGCGCCTGAAACACGTAGGGGTCACGTCCAATCTCCTGGCCCTTGATCGCACCACAATTATCCGCATACTTCCTGATCTTATCACCCTTGACTTCGATGTTCGTGTTCTTGTACATCAGGCCGCAGACGAAGCCGCCTTTGGGACATGTCTCGCCGACGGTGGTGGATTGCGTTGTGGTGTAGGACCAGGAGACGCTGCCGGTTACGGACAATATCTCGCTTCTGGCAGGAAAGTTAGTGGTTAAGGGGTAGGTTTTTGGGTTCATGAGGTGATGAGTGGGAGAGGCTTACAGATCCAGACCGCCTCCAACGGTGATGGTGACGCCGATGCTGACTGAGTAGCCTGCTCCGACGGTGCAGGTGTCGGACTTGGTGGAGGTACAGAATTGGTCTGTTCCTATCCTTTCGGGGGTTTCGAAGGGTGCAGATTGGGCATCGACGGAGTAGCTGGTGTCTTCAGTGCAGGTTGCTGCACCACCACTAATTTGACCGTATTGGCGCTCGATCAACTCGGTGGGAAAGGTTGAGGCTATTGCAAGGATGGCAGCGAGGGCTGCGGTGTGGAGAATCATTTTCAAGCTTATGAATGAGGAGGGAACAGGGATAACAGCAAGTATCGCTTCCTTTCAAGGGATTGAAGATGTCTGAGAGAGTGTGCTGATCAGGCCATTGCAGAGAGGAGAATCGTCCCTTTATAGCCGTCGGCATCGTGAAGGTCCTGATATTGTTTGCACACAACCCAACGTAACAGTATGGCCCAGCCGCTGATTTGCGAGCTTTGATATGTTTGAACTAAAAGATAGCGTTCCTCGAAAGGCCCTAAATAGGTCGAAAGCGACAGCATGCTCTAGTGCTGACCTCAGATGAAGCGTAAAGCAGAGCCAAGATTCAATTTAAGCTCCAAGATTAAGCCATTACCGAGATCTCTGAGGCTGCCGACGGACGTATTCCTTCATCTGCATGTAAACGAGCATCTAGCGCGCTGCTGACATGAGCAACTTCGCCTGCTACAAGCGCAACCGAGGGTCTTTCCTTGGAAGCGACAATGGTCGTTGAAGCGAACATGTGTCGTGCTGTCGGATAGATCTAAGCATGTTGTTTCCGTGTCTTCAACGTTGTCTCGGATGTCGGATCGGCGCATCGAGAGGAGTCAGAAATGGACCTAGGAAAGAAGAGCCGAGAGGACGCTTGATGAGGCACATGTCAAACTATGAAGTTGGTGTAACATCCTCGACCTCGACTATGACGACAGCTGACGGCGCTGATATGATTATTGTCTCTAGACGTAATCCTGATGTTAGCCTTATCCCTTGAAAACAATCATTAGGGGTCTCCGTTTGTAAGAAGTGCCAATTCTCAGGATTTCAAGGCAAACATCGAGCTCGAGCTATCCGGATTGGCAATTTGATAGATCATGTGCGTTTGGTCTTGAAGAAGGAGCTCGTCGACACACGAAGGAAGTGGTTTGCGCGACTGAGATACCTTCGTCTGATGCCGTTCGCAAATTTAGTTCCACCTGGTATTCTACTCTTTACGACAAGCATCAGATAGTCTTTTCATGATGAGGTGACATATGTAGCATCTAGAATCGTGCCTTTCGAGTTTTCAATGTCCAGTCTTCCATGCTACTGCTGAAGTCGTCCTGCCAAAACGTTGGACAAGGATCAACTTGGGCAACGGGAACATCCTCTTCCCAAATATGCTTTCATAATGTAGCTGCTGCTAGAGTGATATTGTCGACTTCGAAATATCCTGGTATCGTCCTATTCATGATTTCCATTTGTGGTGGTGGGACCAATGGCGGGTAATTCCTCAAAAAGCCGAGCCCTAACATGGCACGTAGGGCTCCCCTTCTTGAAGACCTCCACATCTGAAATCTTACGCTCCTCAAAAAGTCGTTCTCGATCTCTATTTCCTTCAGGCCTCGAAACACATCTACTGCATCTTGCCAGGTGAATTTATCGTCAAGGTCGAGGCGCATGATCTTAACTTCAGCGCCAAACATATCAAAATGATCGTAACCTGCAGGAATTGGTATTGGTTCCCCGTCTGTTTGGCTTCTTGCATAGTCGCTTGCAGTGTCAAGGCATGATTCGATGTCCGTACGGATCATAATGTCACCTTCGACGCTTACAACCAAGCTTATGGAGGAGCCCGGGATTTTGAATACGAAACCGGGTAGAGGTTGACACGACGTCCCTCCAGAGCCGGAATCTAATTTGCATTGCGTTATGATAGTAGTATTCGTATTCGAGGTAGTGGTGTTGAGGGGTTGCAATGCAGCAAACGCTTGACACAACACTTGGAGGGAAGAGACAAGAATAATCAGGCTCCGGCTCTGCATGGTGCGGGTTGGCACACCAGATAAATCAAACGGCCAATTCAAGGACTGCTCTCCAAGCTAGACTTTAAGTCTGCTCGAGGAAAAACTCAGCCATGCCCTTGTCTCCGCGGGTGTCAAATTTAGGTTCCCCATGGGTCTGTCGCCTAAGGACTTCTGAGACATCGGGATTGATCTGATCGCAGATATGGGTATCTTGATAGATTTGGGTCGTACTCTTATATTATAGGCGATGACATTTGTCTAGACATCGCTCGCGGAATGTGGAATAGTCAGATCTTTCCTGTATCTTTCTGTGTTTTGCAAAGGGATTTGGTGAAAGTTTCAGGATCTCTGCAAAACCCCAGCAGCTATTTGGTGCAGTACTCAGGCCATTTGAGCAGGCGAAACGTCCTGCAGGAACGGATGTCTACCCCAAAGAGCGGTGCCTATCCCTGGCGTAGATATCCACTCGACTTCTTCTTGTCTGTCTCATTTTGCTCTACACTGGACATACCAATAGATGTATCATCAGAGGAGGCTAGCTGCCGAGGGTCCATTATTGAGCACAATATCGGTAGTCTTCAATTGTGTTAGGTAAGCATAGGCCGGCCATACACAAAATGTCAACTTGTAGTGATATCGATATGATCAGCTTAGGAGAGTTATAGTTTGGGAAAAGGCGAGTGGCTGAAGGGAATCTTGAGGAGGAGAGAGGTCGGCTTGCCACAGGCCTCGTAGTAGGCCATTGGATTCTCAATTCTTTCCTGAAAGACATTGGGTTTTATCATAGTTTGTCTCACACACAGGAATATCTAGATGACGAAAAGCTAGATGCTATTAGCAAGATTTTGGGACCTCAGCGGGGCGATTTGGTGTCGGACAATCCTGGCAACGTGCTTGGTACCCACTCGCATGACGTAGCGCTGTCCACATCGAGGCATAAAAGTGGTGCTTGAATAGATGTGGAGATTTGTGGCAGCTCGCGGAAATACAGTGAAAATCTCGCCTGTGGGGGACGATGGCAATGGTGAAATTAAGGTTTGGCCCATGACCCGATTAGGCTGTACAGGGAGGAATATTGCTGAATAGAGTAATGGAATCGACACTCTCGAGTACACAGGTAAGAAGCTTGCCTCGGAAAGATTTCGAAGATTTCGAAGGTATTAGACAGCTGGGGGAAAGTGTGAGGCGGATTGGCGCTTTGTGGCGGAAATATTAGCGGGGGTGTCTAAAAGCGGAGCGTGGTTGATAGCAAAGCGAGAACATGACAGAGAATAGGGATTTGTAGCCAGAATCTGATGGATCATGTGCCTGCGCCAACGGGCGTGTGGTTCATTTAGACTTTCGATTTTTGGCTGTCACATCGGACCGTGGCGTTGATCGACATTGATATTGATGGCGCCACTTCCCAGCCGCCATTACTGTTTGCAGTCTAAGGCTCGCAGTATGCTACCACTTCTTCTTAGCAGATCAAGTCAATGCCTGAAGCCATTGAATTCTTCCTTGTATTCGCAATTGCCAGCCATCATTTGCGCGGTCTTTCTCGGTATCGCGTATCGAGAGATGAATTGCTGTTATCAAGGTTCGATTTTTTGCAAGCCAGCGTGGCGGAGAGTGGAGCTGCGGTGTGTTGCCAGAACAACCATCCTAGAAGGACGAGCCTCTCCACTCTATGCCTGTTTTTCCGAAAAGTGGAAGATTCTCGAAGATTTTTCTGAAAGCCCCACATGGTATATAAGACTTCTTGCGCTCTTCTGTCTTCTTTCTTCCTAAACATCACTTCTCCTTCGACGAATCTCAATCACAATCCACAAGATGTTCTTCAACACCACTCACATATCTTCTCTACCTTCATCATCATCATCATCATCATCATCATCATCATCATCATCATCATCATCATCATCATCATCATCATCATGTCTCATCCACATTCTATTTCATCCTCACTATCCCACCTCATCACCACGCGTGGTACACAGCCTGTCGGGCAGCACATGAAAGATGATATGAGATACACTTGATCAGGTAGGTTCGAATTCGTCGTTTGCAGCAACTCTCCTCAACTGGTAAAGCCGGGTGTGTCCAGCATGTGGCTGCATGTGATTGACGTCGGTTCAACTCCGACCAAGCCGACCGTAGTGAGACGCTGCGGCGAATGAAGCGTCCCTTGTGGTTTCTTCGTGTGTAAAAGCTACCTATGTAGTCCAGCCAGGCTGACATCCCTACGGTGTCTCAATTTAGGAATCTTCATCATCACCAACGACGGCCACAGCGGTGCCAGCCGACAACACGAATCAAACCAAAGTAGGTACATCAGCACCCTCTCTTTATACTCGCAAAATTTGGTAAAGTCCCGGGGGCCAAGCATGGCGGCTGCATGTCTTGATGTCGGTTCGACTCCGATGACGCCTAACGTTGTGAGCTACCAGAGGGGTGCAGCGCCCAATACACAAAGGTTTCCATAGGAGTAATTAGTTGCCTTCCAGTCCAGCCGGCTGATAGGTCTACGGACTTTTGATCTAGGTACCACCGCCGACGTTGCCGCCGCCGCCGCCGCCGCCGCCATCACCACCTCTCTCAGTCTCATTGAACAGTGATCGTTGGATACATGGCATTTGATCAGGTTGGTCCACCAGCACCCTTTCTTTTTATCTCCCCAGCTCGTGAAACCCGGGGGCTACGCATGTTGGCTGCATGTCGTGGCGTCGGTTCGACTCCGATATACCAACCGTTGGGAGGGACCGGGAGGGGTGTAGCGCCCAATACACAAGAGTTTCCATAGCGAGTAATTAGTTGCCTTCCAGTCTAGCCGGCTGACAGGTCTACGGACCTTTTGATCTAGGGTTTCCCAACCATCGCTGCCCTCAGCGATCCCCAACCAACGCGATACAGATGGATCTCATCAGGTAGGGTTACTCTTCCTTTTGCATTCCTGTATTTGGTGACCCCGGGGGACCAGCATGTCGGCTGCATGTGATGGTGTCGGTTCGACTCCGATGAAGCTGACCCAGATGGTGAATGGGAGAGTATAGCGTCCATTGTGTTCCACCGCGGGTAATTAGCTGCCTATTCAGTCCAGTCGGCTGATACCCCTATGGATTCATTTTAGGTACCATCGACACACTGAGCAACCTCGTCATTCACTGCACCGAAGAGCAACGCATGTCAGAACACCAGCCTTGATGTCCATCCCCAACGCAGTCGGAGGTAAGTCAAGCACCCATCTAGCTGAGCCTAGCAAATACTGACTCTGCCTGGCCGCACAGCTTATCTCCATGTTTTGGTGTCGAGTGGGTATGGCTGCTATGGCACAGTTCAGAGTTAGATCAGTTCTACCCGGGTCGGTCATTGTGAATTCGCCTCTTTTCTCTCTCCTGCACTGTGCAAAGCCTGGGGGTCAATCACGAGTAACATCGTGACTTGGCGTCCGTTCGATTCGGACTCAGCCGCCGCAGCGAGTAAGAATTTGGGGCGGACTTGTGTGTTGTATGACAAGTCAGGTCAATGTCGGTCGCTCCTACTCTTTCCTGCAAAGTGCGAAGCCTGGGGGTCAAACACGAGTAAAATCGTGATTTGGCGTCCGTTCGATTCGGACTCAGCCGCCGCAGTGAGTCAGAATGGGGTTGAACATCAACGAACTTCCTTGTCGACAAGCTTGCCATCTAAATAGTATCAAATGCAACTCACTCAACTTCTCTCAGTCAAGCTCGCAAGGCTCTTTTCGCGACAAGATCAGCTGCTTCAATCCCCGGTATTCCAACGTGTCCAGGCACCCAATGAATCTCCATCGTTATTCCAATCTTCTCAAGTTCCTGCGCCTGGCCGATGATCCTTTGCTCCGCCAGGTCACAATGCAGGCTTCCCAGCATCAGATTCCGCAGAACATCTTGGCAATCTGAATACACGACCATTAGCGAGCAAGCATCGTCCTTTCCCGAGACCGATGATCGTTCGCGCTCATCGCACTCAAAAATCATCCTGAGCGCTTTCCAAATAGCCCAAGCTTCCACCCCATGCTGATCCACAGCCTCCAGATCAACACGATACCCCTCCGCCACCCACGCCGATCTCGAATCACCCCGATCAGCCACACGCAAAACCGCGATGCTTCCGCCATGGTATCCAGCATACGTCGCCCCATCGACCCAAAACACATTCCGGCCACCCCACTGCTTATACTCAGCAAGAGCATGCGTAATCGCCGCCACCCGATCCCTGATAACAACCTTTCCCGGAAACCACACATTCTCCGCCCTCTCATCCACAATCATCCGCCCCTCGTCATCGCTGCCGCCGTACTCGGTCCCCATGCCCAAGTTCTCGGCCTTGGGGGATAAGAGGTCATCACTTGGGAGAGCCAGAATCGGAAAAGGCATACTCGCCCGCGCCGCTCCCATCGCCTTCTTCCATTCACCTCTCGACCGTAGCTTGCGGACGGTCTTCAGCACCAGCCGTTTCAGCGGCTCTCGTGCTAGTCGTTTCCGAGCGATTTCGAGGGTTTTGATGGGGCCTTTGCGACGGAGGAGTCTGGCGTGCTGTTTTTCGAGGTGGCTGGGGTTGGGGTTGGGGTTGGGAGGATATGAATTAGTGGTCTCTACGTGTTCGAGCTTTGATGCGTTGCGGAGGATGTGTTTTGCGAGGTGTAGGGTGGGCATTTTGGAGGTTGGTTGGATGGGTGGTGTGACGGATTATGGTGCGTGAAGGAGTGTTGGGGGTCAGTGACAGGGAGCTTGCTTCCGCCATTAGTGAATCTTCAGAGGATGCAACTTTTCAGAGTTTGTGGTGAAGTCGTTAGCTTGCGGCTGAGCTCAAATCATGGTCAAGAAGATGTAGAATCCTCACCATGAAGCAAACAGCATGTATAAATTTGAACGAACGATTATTTTGATTCGTAAGTTGAGTGATTTATGACGAAGTCTATACCTTGAGAATTGCAAAGACTGGCCGTTCATTTCAAGATCGTGAACCATACGTACTACTTTTTCAACTTCGCTTCGATGACCTGCTCATAATCGCTCCTCCCACCCCAGATCTTCACAATCTCCAGTCCACACCTCCCTAATAGGCTCTCCCACTGGCTTTTCGTCCGCTCAATGCCCCCGCAGAGCATCATCATGAGGAAATCTAATGAGCTGCCACGGATCGGCGCCTTCATATCAGGCAGCACATACTCATCGATCAGAAGCCTCGAGTATTCAGGTTCCATTGCCTTCGCAGTGTTGCTCAAGATCTTCTCGCTCGAGGGATCATCCCAATCGTGCAGTACGCTTCGTAGGTAATATGCCCTCGCCCCTTTGACTGGTTGCTCCTCGAAGAAATTGTAGGCCATGGGCTCCACGCCTTCCGATGTGCCATTGTCCTTCACTGTCTGGATCATGGACTCCAGATCTTGTAATATAACTCTGCCAGGGTGATCAGGGCGTGCAGCGTGGAAGCTCGCGGCTTCATGGCCGAGATTGCCGCCAATGTCCACCAGCATGACCGAGTCTGCTCTCGTGTCGGGGAATAGCTCTGTCGCGATAGGGTATGTCTCATACCACGATTGTATCCCATTTCTTCGTGCAGCCATGTAGTCGTCAAATGATTTGCGTAGCTTTGGATTGTCTGCCATGTGATCCCAGAGGTTTTGTCCGAAGGTATGTTCAAAGGCGGTCTTTTGAGGGGGTGTGGGGAATTGGTGAATCTTGGTCTCGTGGAGGTAGTCCATCAATTTCGATGCGATAGGGAAAGAGAGGTCATAACTGTACACAAATCAGATTTGCCTTCTCATGGGGTGAGGAGGCGGGGAGAAGAGTGGTCGTACATATGCTTCAGTCCGCCAGCTCCACCGGGTGCGACGATGAGTCGGGTCGTCGGATTGGCCACGTATGTTGCAGTGCCTGCCTCGTCGCAGACCCCGCACCATGTGACAAGACGCATTACGCGTTCTGGAGGTAGCACTCGTCAGTAGCATTCAGAGGCATCAGGACAGCCATGCCCACCAATCATCAAAGCATTGTAACCAGTGATCTCTGCAAGTTCTTGGGCGGTGATCTTCTCTCCATCCTGCGATACGAGAGCATCCAATGCTCCGATCTCCAACGTCAAGCGTATTGCAGCAACTTGTAAAGGCTTCACTCAATGGGATACCTTAGCGTATGCTTCTCAGCCGACGTGCAATACGATGTGAATGGGACTGGAGTGCATTTGTACCTCGAAACGAATCCTCATCAGGGTCTCCTGAGGTGCTTCTGCCACCAGATTCAGCTGTCGAACCGCCTCGAGGAAATCAGCGTGGGTTTGGCCGGTCTTGGTTTTATCTGCTTGTGCTGCTCTTTGCACATTTGCAATGGCTTCTTGCACTCCGTCATCGGGAGTAGTAGGGGCAGAAGAGACAATTGGCGACTGGCTTGAAGCCGATGATGGACGCGAGTCATTGTCCACGAAATTCATGATGATGTGGTATGATAGACTTGCTATCAGCGTGAATGTCTCGTCGGATAGGATTTTGGTTGCCACAAGGAAGGCTTGTTACTCCGAGGACAACAGATTTGCTAGCTGCAAGGGCCCCTCAAAAGATACTTTTGCGTGGAAGATATCCAGTGGAAAATTTCCTGACATTTCGAATGCCGAAAAGCGTTTGTCTGCGTTCGCATACCTGGTGCCATGGTGTTGGAAGCGCTAGTCGTCGAAGTTTGCCTATCTTGCTCTGGGCCGGCATGACCTATCGTACTACCGTACATGCCCCGCATGAACACCTGCATACTCCATCAGCCAAAACCGCCCTAGAAACCCTCCAGAAGCCGGTGATGATGGCATCCCACATAATTATTACGCATCGTGTACAAGCACGAAATTATTCTTTGCGCGCGTTTTCCCGGCAAGGTTTTGGGGGCCTTCGGGCCTAGCAGCCGTACCGTTGTTACCTGAAGGTCAATTCCGCACTAGGGGTGCCCGGCTGCTGGTCAGAGCCCCCGCTGTTACGGCTGTTACGGCATCGGAGCCAGCTATCAAATCCTTCCCCCGTCCTCCGTACCGTGGGGAGGTGGACAACCCTTTCGTTATATCGCGATACACCAGAAGCTGGACGGCGAGAAGGCTGGCCAATCAGCCAGCTACTGGACTGCCCCGAGATGAAGCCTCAGACGTAAGAGTGAGAAACATTTGAAGCTCCGCTAATCTTGACGGCGAGGAGAGGATGAGAGACACTATGCTGACTTTGGAAGGTTGTGAAGTCAACATCTTTGGCTAGGCCTTTTGTGGCACTCGTATATCCGCCCACACACAGGGGGAATTCTAAGTGACACTACGAGCCGTCGTGCATGATGCGGGACAATCACACAGCCTATCGCATGTATGGCTCTACCGTCTTCTGCCCACGGCACAGCAAGCTCAAGCCATTGGCCAATAAGCTGCAGACCCCACGTGCAGACAAGCTCGTACCAACTATGCGGGTCTCAAGTTCCTTCAAGAGGCCGCCCTCCGCGGTTGTAGGGGGCCACCTCGCCCCCTGGCAGCAAGACAGGATAGGCCACAATTAGGAGCGGAGAGACAATAGATCTTCCGCTAGATGGCTTCAAAGACGACAATTGGATTTACTCATAGCGCGAGCGTTGTGAGCTTGTACCTAACAAGTACCGAATACTGAACTAGCAAATATCTGGAATCTCAAGATACCCCAACAAGCTAGTCTACTACAGGGGGTGATTGATCGTGACGAACATGGCTGGCCGTCAAGATTTGCAGCGTACCTGATCGGCGCAACAACATCTCGGGAGGCTCCCGCCACATCTACTCTTCTCTTCACGAGATCCGATCCTGTTCCCTTTTCTCTCTTCAATTTCTACCTTTCGACAAGCAAAGAGTCGTCATGGCCGCCAGACCTCCGGCAACTCATGTCATCCTAACGGATCCGTATGGTGGGAAGGGGGCTACAATCATGGCGGCCACCTGGGCGCAGGCTGCTGTGGCCCTCACGTTCATGCTGTTGCGCACTTACACCAATGTTTTTATCGTGAAGTCATTCAAATGGGATTACTTTTGGGCCATGTTAAGCTTCGTACGTGCGGAACTTTGTGCATCGTCGATAACATCTTCCATGTGGCTGACTTGAGGCAGGTTTGTGCAATGATAGCTCAAGCAATGATAACAATATCTTGTCTGTCGGGCCTGGGCAACCACACATGGCTCTTGTGGGGACCTCAGCTGGCCAAAGCCAATCTCTACGCCTGGATAGGCCAGATTATCTGTATTCACAGCATTGGTTTTGGCAAGATTGCGGTCATTGCTTTCCTCTTGCGTATACAATCTGGTACCAATAGCAAGAGCAAAACGTATCTGAGATACTTCCTCTATTTCGTGGCTATCAGCAACATTATCCTCAACATAAATCAAACTGTCCTGATTCTGCTGTCTTGCAACCCAACGGCTAAACTTTGGGATCACTCTCTGCCAGGAAGTTGTGGAGGTGAGGAGAGGCATACTCACGGAGGATACTTTCAAGGCAGTACGTATAGACATTCATTCTGACTGTTGGTTGTGGTGCTAAGCAATCATTCCTGTAGGTTGGGCAGCCGTGAGCGATGTCGTCCTCGCCTTGTATCCAGTCATTGTTTTCTGGAATCTCAAGATATCTCTAAGAATGAAAATTGGCCTCTGCCTTCTCATGGCAGGAGGTCTGGTGGCTGCTGTTGGTGGTGTCATGAAGACGATCAACATCAAATTCATCGAAGCCCAGGACGACAAGAACTGTATGTGATCTCCCCATCAAATGCTGACCTCCGTAAGCAATCTGACCGGAACCTATAGATTTCATTGCCAACCTCGTCATCTGGGCTTACACCGAATCGTGGCTGATTATCATTCTGGGATGTCTACCACCCCTCCGTCCTCTGTTCGTCACAATGTTCTACCGACTCCATAGCACCTACAAAGGATCCTACAAGCGCTCAGGCTACTACAACCATACGTCTGATGCTGATAACGTCCCCATCCAAATGTACCCGGCGTCTCATACAGCCTCGGCACACAAGGCGACTAACATGTTTGGTGACACGGAGAGTGAAAGAAAGATTCTCCCGCCAGCAACCTTCAATGGCGATGGTATTTTGCGTACGACACAGGTGCACGTCCATGCGGATCGGAAGGAAGGCCAGACCTCGAGCGATAGCGACGACGACCTACCTCTTGCCACACCGGGAAAGGCTTATTAAGGCATACGACAGGATCGTAATTCATTTGGCGCCCTCGATGGGTTCCGCCTTTGCGTTATCTTAGAAGAGGTTACGTAAGTGCAAGAAGAACTACGATGCGCCCCACGGCTGCAACTATCAACACATTGCTTCATTTCCTACGGATGCGATACCGGGTATCTACACGAATCATGCACTCCTTGTATATTCCTTTTTCTGTGTATTATGGTCGGGACTCTGGCTGGGGAAAAGCTTATCACTGCGGATCGTCTACGTCACGCTAATGACGGTCATGGTGAACGGGTGTTCTGGAACGATGTGTCTATACTTTCAACTGGACATACGTATATACATGGAGACTCAGGGGCGTCTGGTAGAATATGACTGTACCAATAGAAATGCTGGGGCGTCTCCTGCGAAATGGATTCCTCGTATGCTATCGACGAGGCAATGGAAAATTGGAAATTCCCCAAATTACGTCCAATTCGCAATCAACCTAATGACACAAAAGGCTGACCAAGTCGTGCATGGCATTACGATAGGTGGCTTGCGCTTGCATGGAGCTACGAAAGCTACGGAGATATCGAGGATCCACCACCAACCCACGCCAAGTAGGAAGCGCGCAAGCCATTGAAAGCAACCAGACTTCTGGATAAGCCAACCACCAGGCCAACGAAATGCTGGAGCGCCCCTTTTTCACCCCGCCATCCCACATGGGCCTCATCCCACCTGCGCCAATGCGCGATGCCAGATCATGATCTTCCAGCATTATCGAGGGACCTTCCAATTGCGCTATGTGACCCGACAGCCTTGTCCTGCAGCTGCAGCTCACAAATGCCCAGCATGCTATCAATCAGCAAATCACTACGACCCTGAGTAGGATCGATAGGACAATCACCGATGAGCCAGCAAGCCTAAGCGAAGGCTAGGACGTAGTGGACGATAGTGTACAGTAGTCTGGCTCCTGCCGTGGGCGCCGCCCCCGAGATGATGGATCCGGGGGACCGCGGGATGTCGAGCTTGTAGATCCGTCCATGCGTTCCGAATTCCAGGAACAGACGGTGTCTCAACCGTCCCGTCAGTGCACCAGAATTTTACGTGGTAGCTTTTGGCTGCGCAAACTCCAACGAGATTGTACCAAACGTATGGGAGCCTCTTTGAGGTCCGTGTGGAGCTGTAATTCGTGCGCAACAGGGGCCAGGATTGGTGAGTGCCTCGGTCGCCATGATTTACCTGATTTACTCTGCTCTTACCGTTCAACAGCCTGATGCTTTAATCCATTTTTTGTTCCGAGCATGCACTGAGCTACTACAAGCTGCATAAACGGCTCATACGCCAAGTCGCAAGCGTGTTTAGAAGCTGGAAGTGAGATCAGCGGTGGCCCCAGCCATGCCATGCAGGACCATGCGTGCGAACCGCTTGGAGGCGTTCATGCAGCTCCCATGCATGAGTCCACGTTTTTCTCCAAACCTTCTGCTTTCCTTTCCTTCCACTTGCGTAATACCTGATACCATCAACTTTTAGGTGACGTTATCTCTGCGATACTTGCGCGCCGTTGGCGACGGTGAGGCTAATTTCACCTTTTTGTTGCTTTTCCATATACGCAAAAAGGTCTCACGCTCTTGAGCGTGTCGCGGACAGCCATGGCAGAGTCGCCAAAGCCTCCGTCGAATCCGATGACGGAGACCAGCTCCGACAACGAGAAGAATGTCGCGACCATCGGGACTAATGAAAGAGATGAGAACGACCAGTATATCCGAGAGCAGGGCTTCAATGGCACCCATATGCTGGATGCTCGCCAGTTGCATGACTCAAATTTGAAAACAACAGCAGATGGCAAGACCGTTCTCATCCCGCAGCCATCAACAGATCCCAATGATCCGCTGAACTGGAGCTTCATCAAGAAGCATCTCATCCTCCTGGTGATCACCGTGGCGACATTCGTTCCCGACTACACCAGCTCTTCAGGCGTCATAACCTTGCTTCCTCAAGCAAAGTGCGTATTCCATGCATTAGGCTATCTCACGCGTCACGAGCTTGCCTTGATCAACGCCTGCTAACAGTAAAGCGCAGACAATGGCACAAAACGCACAATGTCATCCAGCACAATCTCGTCGGGAATCTCTTCTGTCTGGGCGCCGGCGGTTTGTTCACAGTCTGGCTATCAGCTTATTTCGGACGTCTCCCAGTCCTCTTCATTTTCATGTCTATCGCGCTCGCCACATCAGCATGGTGCGCCGCGGCCACGAGCTTCGACTCATATATGGCAGCACGCATCCTGAACGGCTTCTTTTCGATCGTTGCGCAAGCTGTAAGCTTGCCTCATGTATGGCCTCTCCTCGTCATGCTAACATTCACGTCACAGGGTGGTCTCATGTACATCCAAGACATATTCTTCTTCCATGAGCATCCCCGAAAGATCAACATCTGGGCCGGCTCTACAATCGTCTCCCCCTACATCGGCCCCCTCATCGCGGCCTTCATCGTCAACAAAATGGCCTGGCCCAATGTCTTCTGGGTGAGTACGGGCCTCACCGCATTCGCTTGGATCCTCATCGTAGCCTTCATGGACGAAACTATCTACAACCGTCGTATTGCCCCCTCCCAGCAAGTCCCACCGAAAAATCGCCTTTTGCGCTTAGTCGGGGTGGAACAATGGAGGAGCAGACATAATCGGCAGAGTTTCGGCCAGGCGGTCATGAGGCCGCTTATTGCCATCAGTAAAATCCCAGTGCTGCTAAGCACGATCTATTACTTCCTGAACTTCGCCTGGATCATTGGTGTGAACGCGACGATATCGATCTGGCTGACGGAATTCTACAAATTCAAACCCTACAATCTCGGTAAGACTCACCCTTCCCCTATCCCCACCCCATTCCCCAACACCACCATCTACTCGACCACCCATCTCCTCAATCCCGTCTAACGCCCCTCAGGAATGTTCTACTGGAGTTTCATAATCGGCGTCCTCCTCGGCGCAGTGATCGGCCACTGGCTACACGACCTAATCGGCTCCATCTACCTAAAACGCCACAACGGCAAGATCGAACCCGAAGCACGCCTCATAATCATCTGGATCGCCTCCCCACTGATGGCGCTCTCTATCCTCCTTCTCGGCTTCGCCCTCGAGCACCGCTGGCACTACATCGTCATCGGCATCTTCGCCGCCGGCCAAGTCATCGGCATCATGTTCGCCACCACAGGCCTCAATGCTTACTTGCTGGATGCGTATCCCGAGGGTAGCGGCGAGGTCGGCGCGTGGATTAATGTCGGCAGAACTCTGGGGGGCTTCATGGCGACGTATATTGAGATCAACTGGGTGGAGCGGGATGGGGAGGTTAATGCGTTTGGGGCCCAGACGGGCATCACCGCTGCGGCAGGGTTGATTATTCTGTTTTTGGGGATGTTTGGGAAGAGGATTAGGAAGAGGCAGGGGCATATGCAGTTTGCGATGTAAACGCTGCAAGATAGCGAGAAAAGTTGGGAGGATTTTCTGGTGCATTTTTGGTATTTTGGGTTAGGTGGTTTTGATAGACCCGTTCATGTATATGATTTTGATAATCTACGTGTCTACGCCAGTAGGGCTTTCTCCTCTTTTCCATGCAGGCTAACCCTTCTGTTTAAAGTCCGTCGGAAGCGAGGCTATCGTGCACCAATACCTTCAGACCAGCACGCAGATGCGCTGCCATTTTTCTGCCAGGGCTGTCTAGTATTCGGAACGGAACATAGATGATCCGCGCATGATGAAGTCCTCGTTCGTCTCCGCACGAGTCATTGCTTTCGCAATAGAGGTTAAGGCTTGCGAAGTCACGTACATGCTCCAGCACATGGACGAGTGTAGCTGACGTGACTGGCAAGACCTCCGAGCGAACCGGCTGTTATATTTTCCTGGGACATGGCGATTCATAGTCTGCCTACCTATCTTCTGATGGGGCAAACGGGGCGTACCTGGCATGTACTGACAAAGTGCCCTGTAATGTCCATATGCAGGTCAAATGGGTCATTGCTGCGCGACAGAAGGACATCGACATTGAGCTTACGACCGCCCTGATCCTGTTGCTAGGGTTGAGATTCTTTGTCAGTATTGACTTTGTGACTGTGGAGTAATGATGATGATGAGAAAGTGCCGGAGGCATTCGTTTTACTTGAAGACCAAGAAATTTGGAGGAGGAACCCTGGGGGTCACCGTATGAAGTGCTTCTGCACACCGCCGGACGCTGATCGATTGACTGAGCATGCTGACAGCCTTCTTGATATTTCGAGTGTTCCATCGCCGTCAGTGAAGTCAGTGAACCCAGGGGCCGATTTGAGTATGGATCCGTGAAGGATGAGATGAGCCCGCATAGCAGCTGCATGATGCCATCGCACTGCGAGGTCGGTTCACAGGGAATTTCTATGCCATAAAAGAATATAAATCAAATGATACTTCTGAGGATACGCAAACGAATGTGAACCTCTTCAGCAATAAGGAAATGACGGCGTGTTGGTGCCCAGAAGTCGACCAATCCACTTTTGTTACAGCTATCTCTGGGAGCTTCACAATTAGGACGCTAGCTATGCGTTTGCCAACATGGCCGAACTTGCAAGAGCATCAATCGCCAGTATGGTATCATGAAACCCATCTTGGAAGTAGCCTCCAAGTCAGGTACAAGTATTTTGGTCTGCGTTCCTAAATGATTGTGCCCGCCTACTCTTTGGTTTGGCTGTACGGCACCCTTCCCACAGCCAACCGCTGCTTTACCTCAGGCTTATTGTTACGATGTATGGAAACGATGGGCAAACGTGTGCTTTGTCTCAAAATAACTTGGTGGTCGTAATGCTGACAAAATGCTGCATCTTCCGAAGGTTGGAAAGGAACTCGCAAAAAGCGTCACTCAGAATCTCAGCATTCACGTTATTATCAGCGACATATTCTGAGGCTATAAACGCTTTCGTACTACGTTTCCTGAGAATATTTTGGGAAGCAGCGACCGACTGCAAGCCTCACATCGAATTTCAACGGTTGCTCGGCGTACCCTTGAGGCTACACGCATCACGCAACCCCCTCAGGTAAGCATGCACCGCCCATTCTGTCGCGGACATCATCGAATATATTCGATCCATTGCACCAGCATAGTGTATCAGTATGGATATTCCACAAGTGATCCACGATGTTCTCATCATAGGCGGCGGCCCAGCAGGCCTGGCCGTCGCCGCTCGTCTGCGCGAATCCACTCCTTCAGCTGTGTTCTCGGATGCAGAGCATTCGCGATACCAATGGATCAAGAAACATGCAGAGCGAACAAACATACATCGTCCGAAAGCACACCATGCCAAAGGGGCCAAGCATACATCGACGTCTCATTTCGGCTCTGCCAGGTATAGCGACCCCACCTGATCATTGTCAAGCTCACGAACTCTTCTGACACGTCGATGATGCAGTAACAAGTCTACAAGCTCCAAAGATAAAGCCCTCGACATCAAAGTCCTCGACGCAAGCGGGCCCAATTGGATGCACACTTGGAAACACAACTTTTCGGCCCTACGCATCTCGCACCTCCGAAGCCCCATGTTCTTCCATCCTTGTCCTCGAGACCGCGATGGGCTGCTCGCGTTCGCACACGAGACTGGTCGTTCCGATACTTGTCTTGAAATTGGAGGCTGTGTGGGTAAGTCGATGAGCAAACATCGGCGAAAGAAGAAAATTGCAAGGGGATGCGGTGTGGGAAAGGAATCAGCGAAAGCGCCACTGGAGATCGATGAGAGGGATCGAAAGGATTATTTCAACCCGACTACAGATTTGTTTCATGCTTATTGTGATAGTATCGTAGGGAGGTATGGGCTGGGGAAGTTGATTGAGAATAAGAAAGTCATGTCTATTGAATTTGACTGTCTCAACCCGTCCAATCTCGATCATGAAAGGAGAACTCAGGAGTCCCCCCCAATCTTCAAGGTCGTGACCGCATGTGGAGCAGTCATGTTCTCAAAAATGGTCGTGCTCGCTATCGGTTCCGGAGGCAGCCCAATCATGCCACGACCACTTTCTACAGCAGAGCATGAAGGTGCTTGTCATAGCACGCAAATCCGAAAAGGACAATTTCTGCCCAGCAATGTGATGCGGAAACTCCAAGCACGAAGGCCAACCGCGGTCGTAGTTGTTGGAGGTGGTCTGACAGCAGCCCAAATTGCCATTAACTGCCTAGAGTCTGGAGTGTCCCGAGTTTTCATGGTCATGAGGAGTGCACTGAAGGGTTTGCAAACCCTGCCTGGACATAAACATCGCTAATGGGAGTTTTATCCAGTGAAACCATTCAATATCGATCTGGCGTGGGTAGCCAAGTACCGCAACGGCGAAAAAGCAGCGTTCTGGTCCGCCGACAGTGATGAAGGTAAGCCATGGAGAGTCTCCACATCAATCAAAAAACCTCCCTACTGAAAGGCATCCTCCAGAACGGTACGAAATGATCCAAAAGGCCCGCGATGGCGGCTCCATGACCGCCCGCTTCTACCGCAAACTTGAACCCTTCATCTCAAAGAAAACCCTCTCCATCCACCCACACACCACTATATCCACCCAATCCTTCTCCCCCACCTCCCACACCTGGACCCTAACCACCTCCCCACCTACCCCCGCCCTCTCCCCTCCCACCCAAATCGACTACATATATTACGCCACCGGCCTCTCCACCAACATCTCCACCCTCCCCTTCCTATCCGCCATCCGCGAAACCTACCCCATAGAGATCAAATGCGGCTTGCCGTGTCTAACGAACGAGTTGGCGTGGAGGGAGGACGTGCCGCTGTTCTTGATCGGTCGGCTGGCGGCTCTGAGGGTCGGGCCCGATTGTGAGACCCTGGAGGGAGCGAGGCTGGGTGCTGAGAGGGTGAGTTGGGCTGTGCAGGAGAGGATGGAACGGGAGGGTGATGCTGGGGATGGGGGTGGGGGTGGGGATGAGCAAGGGAAGTATTGTGAGATGTGTGAGAGGATTGGGGCGGGGAATATGTATGAGTGCTTAGATGGGGATGGGGGTGAGGAGGACTAGTTTGCTCGTGAGCAGCCAGCCCTGTTACTGTATCACTCGTGGGGTTGGGGTGGGGGTAGCTGTGTGTTTATCACGCACAAGTGGCAGCGGTGGGAATATCTTGGGTTGAGGAAAGAAGCTACTTGATCACTTGACTCCCATTCTCTTCGACTCAATAATGAAATATGTCTCACGACTCCATTCTTCAAGCCTGTGCGCACAACACCATTCGCGCCGCTCTCTAGCAATAAGACACTGGCGCTGATTTGGGGTGCATACATTGACTTTAAATGGGGAACAAATAGCAAGCTGCACTATCACTATCCTAAGAAAGTTCTATTCTCCATCGCCATTGCTATCAAGGCTAATAATGCTAATAATGCTAGTGTATCATGTCATCTCTACCCCAAGCACAGGCCGTCGATGCAAACAATCCTCTATCTAGATAAATCACGCAACACGCTCAATAAGTATGAAAATCCCCTTCAAGCTTTCCTGACCCTTTCCATAAACTCCTCATCAAATGTCACACGCCCACGCACCACGTATGTCTGCCTCCATATTACCCCCCAACACCAACGCCAGCTTTCCATGTCAATTAGTCGCAAACGTTGCAAGCGTTCATTCATAAGCATAAATCAATCAATCAATCAAGCACGAATGATTCTACCACACCAAGCCCTCCTGCGCCCCCTTCTCACACCCGGCCCCCAACCCCTCACAGAACATTTCATCAGCCGCACTCCCCTTCCCCCCTCCGTCTCATCCACGACCTGTCTCGCCGGCCAAATCTCCTTCCCACCCTTCCCACCCTTCTCTTTCGCCCGATGCGCCACGACCGTCTCCCTCACAACCTTCTGAAAAAACAGCGGCCCCTTTTCCATCCGTCCGTGCAATTGCCCATTCACGAACACGCCAGCGTTGAGGTTCTTCTGCGCGTGGTTGCACAGCTCTTTGTCTTCGGACATGATGCGTTTGTAGATTTGGTTCACCAGTTGGAAGTCGGTGGAGGAGGAGTGCCGGTTGCGGAACACTTGGTATTGCATGCTGGAGGAGGTGGGCGTGAGCGGGACGAAGCGTTGGATCATGAAGAAATGGGGTCTGTAGATGAAGGGAGAATTAGTGGGGTTGACGGCGCGGTGGGGTATGGAAAGGGAAAGGGGAAGGGGGAGGGGGCTTACGAGATATTAGTCGACACGTTGGGGAAGTAGTATGTGCTAGCGACCGTGAGGCCGTTCTTGCGCTGCTCGTCGGTCGTGGCAGCGTCGTGGATGATCTGGCATTTCTGCGTGCGGACGGAGTAGGATGCTAGATCCGCGAGGGCAGTAATATCAGGGTGCGTAGTGGGGCAATGGTAGCATTCATTGTAATTGTCTGCGAGAATCTTCCAGTTGTAGGAGCCGTCCATTTGCCAGGTGTGGTCGAAGACATAGTCGTCGAAGTTGTACTGCGTGTAGCGTTCCTGCTTGTCGATGCCGGCGAAGTCGTCTTCCCAGGCTACTTCGGGGGTAGGCTTGCCGTCTAGGTTGACCCAGATGAAGCCGAGGGTGTCAATGTGGACGTGGATGGGGAAGAGGCCGTTGGTGTCTTTGTCGAAACCGGTGAGTTCTTGGTAGCCGGGGGCTTTGGCGAGTTTCCCGTTCAGACCGTAGGACCAACCGTGGTATTTGCAGGAGAAGATTTTTGCGGAGCCTTCGTCATCGAGGCAGACGGGGAATGCGCGGTGTCGGCAGACATTGTGGAAGCCGTTGATGGTGCCTTGACGGTCACGGCATAGGATGAATTGGAAACCTGCGATGGTGAACTTGAGCCAGTCACGTGGTTGAGCGAGTCGAATCTTGTGGGTGATGAGCATCCACTTCCTGGAGAAGATTGCACGCCTCTCGAGCTCGTACATCTCGGGCGATGTGTACCAGCTGGAGGGAAGAGCTCGTGTCGCAGTCTTGTCATCTTCAGCAGGCGGCGGCGCGCTCACCACGCCGAGGTATTTCAACATGCCTAGTGCCATTCTTGGAGATCAGAGATGAGGCCCTGAGGTTGGAATTTGACTAGATGATAGAGATGATTATAGGATCGGTCACGTACTAGGTGGAGCGAACTTGTTGTCGCACTCAGATGCTTGGAATATATATCACTGCTGCCACGTCATACAGATAACGGTCTACCAAACCCCATGGGGGATGCAGGTCCACCCAATCTGCCTTCAAGCTGGGTTGGTCATGAGTGGATTCCGGGACCGGCAGGAACGCAAGCATTAACCTAATCCTCCTGTAAGCCGTATCTGAGACAAAAGTAATGGCTGTATGGTCAGGATTTCCCGATATGGTAGTGCTTTGGAGAAAGTAGGAGATAACACGATGATTTTCCGAGAACAGCTCGATAACAAGATAGAGGCAAAGTCTTATAACAACGCGTAGGATCTGGAGAATGATAAAGTGTGTATAGTTCTCTGAATACATGTCAACAATACAATGATTTCATCTCATCCAAAGATCATTCACAACTGTGTCTTTTGTTAAGGAAAGACTAGGTTGCTACGAAATTCCGATGTCGCTCGGAATCTTTCGATTGCCTTATCACCACGGTGGCAACGCAAGACAATTCATTCGATAATGGAGATACGAGTCTGGTCATTCGGATAGTTGCAAATTGAGGCGAATGTTCATCAAAAGGCATGTGATGTTTGGAGGTCATTCCGACTCGTGTGAATGACTTGGTTATCGCCACCGAGCGGAAGAATAGGCAGAGCTACCCAAAGCCCACCGACACTGACCTCTTCGTTGCTTGCCTGCATAGATCAGATCTCTACTTGCTTGAGTCGTCAGATGGTGAGATGGTACCTCTTGTCGATTGCCCAAGTGTAGCTGCAGTAAGGTCCCGCAGTCTGCAAGGGGAAAGAAAAACCGGCAATCAAATTCCTAGTGCTGTGCCACATATGTCGCGTATACCTTATCTGTTGATGCGCATACGCTAGGCAACAAGTGGTCGTTAGGTCCCTTTCTCCACATGATCTCGATATTTCGTATGATGGAGCTTTTCGAGTGTAGAGAAATTGCATAGCATAAGAGGTGTCTGAGAATCGTTCCCTATGCATGTGTCGCCAGTGACGTGATTGCAAGAGTAGCAACGCTCAATTGTTGTAGCTGGATTCCCCTTCCCGATCCGGTAATGACCTATTTTTGGAATGATAGTCTCCAGAATGAAGATTGAGAATTTCGTTCGCCGATAGGATGAGTTACATATGCTTGTGGCTCCAACGGACATTATCGTTAGGACTCTGCATGTCAAGGCCAATTGCTGATTCTATTTCAGTCGAGATGAAAATCACCAAAGCCTCCGACGTAAGCCTTCGTAGATTCATCCTCCTTGCATGCATTGCTATGTATGTTGAGATGAGATGAAAGGCTTTGCCCAATGGAATCATGATCTGTACATGCATGCGAAATTATGCGACGTCTTGTCGCCCAAAGAAGCCCACTATTGCAGTGAGCTCAATGTTTAAAGGCGGGCCTTGAGTAGCCCAGATGCAAGCATTTGGACTTCTTTCGCAGGTCTGACATCTGACCTCGCCGGTAGTTCTCCACGTAGATAGCTGTTCCGAGAGTCATACAGTGGCTCTGAATTTACAGTAGCCTGGATCCTCTTTCCAAAATACTCAATTTCAATTGCCTCGCCTTCCATGATTGTGCTAGGTAGATACGCGTAGGCAATAGGCTTACCGATGGTAAACCCGAACGCAGCACTGGTGACAAAGCCTACCGGTTTGCCATTGTGGAATACTGGCTCCTTGCCAAGTACCACCGATCGATTGTCATCAACAGTGAGGCAGCGTAGCCGGCGAGTGTGAGGTTTTTGAGAGCGTTTTTGAAGTCCAGCCCAGCCGACATATCCCTGCTTTGCTGTGTCAATAGCAGAATCAACTCCCGCCTCGTACGGGTCATGTTCACTCGTCATGTCTACGCCGAATGTTCGATGACCGTTCTCCATCTGTAGCGCCTTGTAGGAGTAGTTGCCAGCTGCGATCAATCCAAATGGTTGACCTGCCTGCCAAAGTACATCCCAGAGGCGCTGGCCGTTGTCGGCACTGGTGTGAAGCTCCCAACCCACTTCTCCAACGGGAGATAGCCGCATCGCGATGACAGGCACACCACCGATGAACACTCTCTTGACGCTAGAGTACGGAAAGCTTTCGTCAGAGAAATCGTCGGTGCATGCTTTCGCCATTAATTTCACGGCGCGAGGGCCCCAGAGACCGACACAGCAGGTACCACCAGTCGTGTCGCGTATTTGTACCCAATGTTGTGCTTTGAGCTCTCTTTGTTTGCTGGCTTCTCGCTTCAGATACAGCAGATCCGAAGGGCTGTTGACGCCAAGGTGGAAAGCCTCGTTCTCCATCCTCGCTACGATCACATGACTGCGAATGCCTCCGTGATCGTCCAGCCATAGCGTATGTTTGACGGCACCAGGCTTTTCGGATACATCACCTGTGCTCAGTCGTTGTAGCAAGTGGACCGCTCCAGGACCGGAAAGCTCGACCCGTCGTTGCGAGGTCAAGTCATACATAGCCACTGCAGTGCGTGTTTTCCAGGCTTCGACCGCGGCAATCGGAGAGTAATGTCGAGCCGACCATGAATCACGATCAACAGGCTGCCATTTCGCCGGCAACTCTTTCAATAGCTTTGCATTCTCATCATACCAATGCGGTCGCTCCCAGCCCCCACTTTCCAAAAACAAGGCACCAAGCTCACGCTGACGGGCATGGAATGGGCTGACCCGGAGGCTGCGCGGGGAAGTTTTTGGCTCTAGTGGGTGTATAATGTCATAGACACCAATGAAGTTTTGCTGTGAAGTCTCGTTGACGTATGTCGGGGCAAGCTGTACTTCCTCAAATCGCGAAAGGTCACAGTCTGCAATATCGATCTCGGATCTCCCCGTAGTAAGAATCTCTGCGACTGCACGTGCCACGCCAGCAGAGTGTGTCACCCATACAGCCTCTGCTACGAAGAATCCCTCCAGAGTAGGCGATTCTCCAACGAGCGGCCCGCCGTCAGGCGTGAACGAAAAAATTCCATTGAAGCCGTCAACGAGCTTACTACCTTGCAGGACGGGTAGAAGGTTTCCGGACTCATTCCATGCCGGCTCAAAATCTTCTGGAGTAAATTCAAGCCGAGACGGCATGTTCTTTTCATCAACTTGCTGTGGGGTTGGACCAAGTGCCGAGGCAGTGACAGGCATAGGGCGGTGGCCATAGTAGCCAATGCCATACTGCTCTCCATGCTCCCGATAGTAAAGATCGTGGTCTTGATGGCGTAAAATTGGTAGGCTCGCTCCATTCGACGGGCTGTTGCGGCCAGCAAGGGCTGGTATGGGGCTTGTTTTTGCGTACTGGTGGGCAAGTGGAAGGAGAGGAATCGGCAAGCCCGCCATGGCTCCAACCTCAACGCCCCAAAAGCCAGCACAGGACACCACGATATCGGCATCAATGATGCCATTAGGTGTGGTGACACCGATGACGCGGCCTTCAGATTGTTCGATACCTGTGACGGGTGTCATTTCCAGGTAACGGACGCCAGCATTGCGTGTGCGTGTGATAAGCAATTGAACCGCACGGGCAGCCATTGCCAGACCGTCACTAGGAATATGTAGGCCTCCAAGCACCATATCTCCGTTCAACTCCGGGTAAATCTTGAGGCACTCTGCAGGACTGAGCAAGGCTGAATCAATGCCCCACGATAAGCCCCATCCATGCCTGCGCTTAAGTTCTTCGAGTCGCTCAGGGGTCGTCGCTACCTCTAGACCACCCACTTGATTGAAGCAGGTCTGTCCATCCTCTTCCAGAGACAACAACTTACTTACTGTATAGCGCGCAAGTAGGCTCATAGTCCTTGAGGAATTGATTTGGAACACTAGGCCGGGTGCATGGCTTGTTGAGCCTCCAGGCATATGCAGTGGCCCTTTCTCGATTACTGTAATGTTGTCCCATCCTCGCGATACAAGCTCATCAGCAAGATTAGTGCCGACTATACCAGCACCTATGATGACAACCTGTGGTGCTGAAATCATGGTCGATTTATGTGCGCGGGCCTGGGCAGGGCTTGCTTCACTTAGGATGCCTGGCAAAACCGTTGAAAGTCTTTCCAGATGATGGAACTGTTAGCGGATACTCTTACAACGAATTTGCAGCCGCGAATGGCGCGAAAAGTATTATTGATGTAAGTTGACGGCAGTCCGTAAAAGTAATGCTCTAGCGTAGGCTGCGTGGCGCCTTCAGGGTTCTCCTAATGTGAAGCAGGCAATGGCACTGCCCATGCGAAGACAGGTGCTATAAGTCATACACTTAATCTCAGTTGTATCGGTTCAAGAGATCATCATCTCCAAGGCACTTGGATTGTACCTCCTGATTCGCTCGGTACGTGCCCCGGTGAAGTCTTTCCGAATCCGGTAAAAAAAGCCAGGACAGCAAAGTGGCGCTAAAGTCGCGGGGCCAGATAGCACTGACGTATTTCCTCCAATAGTTCGCTTGTACAACAAAGTGTTATTTTGGATACAATTCGAGTCCTTGGAGGCGGATAACACATTCCTCGGGGTGAATATGCCGGTCGTACCCGAATTCCATGTTCCACATATGAAGATATCTTAGACTGCGACTCGTTGTAGATCCAGAAACCCATTTCCTCGCGTGTTCTTGCTTTGCATTCTCAACATGGCTTCCAGCGAACAATCATATCTCATTGTTGGCGCTGGTGTATTTGGAGTGTCCACTGCCTATCATCTCATACAGAAGTACCCCAAAGCATCAGTAACCCTGGTAGACAGAGATGCATTTGATGCCGAGAGCCGCGTAGCTGCGTCTTGGGACTGGAACAAGGTCGTGCGCGCTGACTATGATGACGAAGTCTACTGCCAGTTAGGATTAGAAGCTCAAGATATCTTCACATCTGACCCTCTTTGGATGCCGTACTTTCATAAGACAGGAATCTACTGGATGTGTCGAAGCGGGGAGTATGCTCAGGATGTCATACAGAACTATAAGAAATTTGGCCGAGACAACGATCTAGCTGCCGTCCCAGTCAACGAGGCCCGTGGGATGTATGGTGGTCTTTTCGAAGATGCAGATTATACTGACGTCAAAGACGTACTCGTCAACCGGAACAGTGGCTGGGCCGCTGCGGGAGATTGCCTGAGAGCTGTCACTGACAAGACCCTCGAGCTAGGAGTTAAATATGTGACCGCTGAAATTGCATCGTTGCACTTCGATGATACCGGTCGATGTTGTGGAATCAAGACAGCAACAGGGGACCTTCTGAAGGCCACGCACGTCATCCTTTGCACAGGGGCGTTCACCCCGAAGTTGTTGGAGCTCAGTGCTCAGAGTAGTGGTCTAAGCGATCTTCGAGCAGGATCCAGGATTGTAGCGGGAGGTATTACGACGGGAATGACCCAGCTTGATGACGAGTCGTACGAGAGATTTGCTGCGATGCCAGTGGGCGTCCAAGGATACACAGCGAAACAAGGTAAAGTGCCCTTTACGTAGTACGGACTGCGCTTTCGGCTGACTACTGAGTAAGGTCCCTTCATTGGCAGTCTTCCGCCAACCAAAGACCGAGAGCTCAAGTGGTGGGGACAGACGATTTTCAGGAACACTCGAGAAGTTTCACCAGGCCATTTTATCTCCGTGCCGCCTTCAGAGCCCGACTATGCCCAGTGGGATGTCTCTGGACGATTGAAAGAAGACATCAGCTTTGCAAACCATGTGTTCTATGGTAGCAGAGGGGCGAAGTGGAAGATGGAAAAACATCGGATCTGCTGGTATGTAAAAGTGGCCCCGAATGGAGGGAAAACGGACTAACCACTCAAAGGGACGCGTTCACGACTAGCTCTGACTTCATCATCTCACCACATTCTGCGTCAAAGGGTCTGTATGTAGCAACCTGTGGCAACTTTCACGGTTGGAAGTTCTTCCCAGTGCTTGGCAAATACATACTGCAGATGTTAGAAGGATCGCTGTCTCCCAATCTAGCAGAAAAGTGGGCCTGGGACCGAGAACGACCAGATGCGTCGATGAATGCAGATTGGCCAAGATCGGAGATGAAAGATCTGCGAAAGCCTATCGTGGCTCCAAGGCTTTAGTCCTTGGCCCTGCTGATTTTGTTTGGATTTCTCGTGGATCTAAATGCGTTGCCTGTGCTATGAGATGAAAGAATCTAATGATTCTCGATACATCTTCGAATGAGAGAGTGATGCTCGCCGTAGAGTGAGACTCGATCAAGGGTCTACGAGACCTGGTGGGGATTTCTCGTTACGATAGAACCAAATTAATGGCAAGGTGGAAGAAAGGACCAAGGCAAATAGAAAGAGAGAACAGGGTGAGTGTCTTCACATAGATAGTTTGAAAGTTTGCATCGGAAATAGAGATACGATGAAGTATTACACGCCCATCTCTAATTCATACATGCCTCAAGATTTCCATATTCTTCGGTCCCGTGACATAGCAGATTCAAGGCTGGAGGTCGTTCCAATCGCGTTGGCTGGAAGTCTTCACGTGCTCAAGCGTTTGGAGAATATGAGACTGGACGCATGCAATTGCGAGAGCAATGGGTCGTTGGCAGAAGATGCAGAATTTTCAAAAAGTTCGTCACCGCGGATTATACATGTTCCGAGCCGAGTACCGGGCAGCAGATGGGAGCCCGTTGTACCCTTTTTGGTTAGCAGACTTAAGGTAGTCTGGTCCATAACCAGCCAATAGATAGCTGCTTGGCACAATGAAAATAAACAACCGACCGACAGGCCCCAATAGCAAAGTCCACAAAGCTATCGCTTCATAGGCTCACATAAAGCAAGGATATCTGTGGGTTCGAATTTTGTCGTATTGTAAACGCTGATATGTGACGCTCAGCCCATTGTCGGCGCTGCGTTGTTTTACATTTGTTATAAAGCCCGATCATCATCCACAGAAATTCACATCTGAATCAGTCAGATTGCGCATCACGTATATCAGGAGACGCTGACCTACACTAGAGCCACGGCCCTGGTCCAGTCTTACGTGATTACATCGCCCCATGTTGTATGGAAAAAGTTTGCTAAGTGCTACAACATCCCATCTGCTCATTTCGCATTCACTCAGGATGTTCACCCAAGTCAAGCCTACCACAAGCCGGTAGCTTCTCTCTGCATCGAGCCTGCAAAAATCCGGCGATTGCCAGCAAGGATTCGATTGAGTGAAAAATGCGAACATTGAGGACTGTCTGGTGTTCCTAACCTTATTGCGGCAATCATGATCACTCAATCGATCTTCAGACTGACCTAAGTTCAGCACTTTTTCTCGCTCGGAGTTTGACGCCTACCAGAGCGAATGCATCCCATAAATCATCGATTGCTGATCCACAACCCTTCGTGTGACGGCTGACATCCCTCTCCTTAGTCAGAGGCCCACCAGGGGCGAGGCCGAAAAGTAGGACAGGTCCTTTAACGTTTCTTTGAATCTGACCACAGGATAGTGTGCAGTCGACATGCATAGTTTGTGCTTGTTTCTATAATGTCATGCACTCTGTTGCCCTCTTGTACTGTTTGAATGCAGTATGAATGGATGTCTGCACACACTTTTCTTGTTTTGAAAATGCACATGATTCAAAATGAAATAATGAAATAGTAGCTACCAGCAAGCTCATATGGCTTCAAAGTAAAGCCCTTCACGGAGAGTCTAGTCAGTCTTCTTCGAGCTCCATAGAGCCGACGCCTATATCTCACATCGACCATTCCGTCTCAGGAGTCAATGCATCAGCGGCTGACAGAATTGAAGAGATTTAAGAGACCGCAATTCCCCACCAAAATAGGTGTGCTTCAACGATTTTGGTACCAATATTGCTATTCTCTTGTTTACCAAGTACTTTGAAGATTCAAATCTTAACTAGACTTTTGAGATACATATGTTTGAAACATTTTGAGCTCGATCAACGTTGAGGCGTTGTTGAACACTCTTTGGAGGACTCAAAGTGACCACAAGCCCGCGCAATCTTGGGATCGAAGGAAAATTTCACATCCGGGTCCGTCCCATCCTTTCTGACGCATACGCCATCGCAATCCTTGTCTTCGGCCATGGGATGGCAATCATCTCTCGGATCGTCAATCTACGTGACAACTCATGTCAGCATCTCATGTCTCCAGTGATTCTCCCAGCATGTGACTGGGTAGTACTCACACAATAAGATCCAGGGTTTCCACATTTCAAGTTCTGAGGCCCAGCGCATTTTGGGCCTGGTATGGCGCAGTAGCCTGGGCATGGATTGCCCACCAGACCTTTAGGACATATTTGAAACACATCGTATGTACAGATCTCGTTTGGGAGGCATTTGTCGTGAGATGAGCCGTCACAGGGGCGCGGTTTCTAAATATTAGGTGTCAGCGATCATTGGTCTTCCAGGTGGAGATGAAAGCTTGGGGCCAAAGTGAAGGAAGGAGCGGGGGGAATGATGGAAGTGATGCGCTGAGTTCAAACATGTCCGAGGAAAAGAAAGATCACAAGAAGGAGACGCGTGTATTCGACATTCAGCGAGAAAGAGGACGGGATAAAAGAATTAGTTACCTCTGAAGCTCCGGCGGTGGTGAAGTTGCTGAGGGAGAGTACCGCTGCGATGAGTAAAGTAAGTTGCATTTTTGCTGTTGAATTTTGTGTAAGGTCCCTTTGCTGTTGAACGGTGTGTAATGGTCTTTTCGTTGGTCAAAAAGTTGTTGTGAGATGAGATTCTCAAATGTCAGCATTTCGGTCTTTTTATACACCACGAATACCATTTCTGCTAAAAGCGCCATACTGTTGTGGCGGAACTGTACATTGACAAATGATAGGATGAGGAGAATCGTGAGTAAGTATGTATGACCTTGTGACTCTTAATCTGTGGGCTTAGCTGCACGGAAAAGCTTTGATTTGGCACATGTGTGGAAAGTATGAACCTCGTTAGGACTAAACTTCAGCCATGTCCTCAGAAATGTTGTGGATTTCGGGTCAATGACTCCCTTTCCACTCCACTCAACAACCATATTCGCATTCCTCTTATTGCTTGAGTTGTAGCTACGGCTTGATTCCTCTCCAAAGAGCAAAAGTAACGGTGTTGATGTCAGACAATCTCAACACGTTAGATCTTCCCCAAGCTTTAGCATGATAGAAAGTGCGTGACTGCATCCATAGTACGGAAGTTACCTAAAAATAGATCCCATATAGCGAAGAAGTTGCGAGTAGAAATGCGGCTCGCAGTGCCAAAGTATTCAAAATAAACGCCCGAAATACACCACAAACCACCTGACCCAGCCACAAAACTCACTCAGTCTCATTCGACGGCATACTCACAACCTCCGTCTCATTTCGCCCCTCGCCCCCCAGATATGGCAACGAGAAATTCTCATCCATCCAACTCCCCGTCGCCCACACAAACAGGCCGAGCCCACCATAATCCCCAAACTGCACCCACGCCGCCGTCGTGGTCGCCGAACAAGTATCCTTCACCGCGAGCGAAGCCTCATAAACGTGGCGATAAGTGGAGTGCTCAGTGGGCGGCCAACTGATACCTTTGATACCAGGCAGGTCGGACCGCCAAAGTTTCCTCATGACTTTGTCGATGGTGACGATGGCGATGTTGCAGGAGTTGACGGTGAATTTTTTGGGGGTCAGTACTAATGGGACTGTGCGAGAGGATGGGGGGTGCCGATGGGGTAGAATTCGCGTGACACGTCCGGGTTTCCTTGCCGTACTTGTTCGTTGTAGATGAGGTAGCTGGCTGCGTAGCAGTCTACGGGGATCCAGCCCTTGCGAGTGAATTTGTCGGAGGTGAGGCAGTTGGCTGTAAGTCCATTGGTTGCGTTGAACGGTTGCGTGAGAGGTGTGCTGGTGACGAGTTGTGTTAGGAAAAGCAGTAGTGTGGAGGCGTATAAAGCCATTTGCAGCTCGTTGAATTGCCTAAGCTAAAGCAATGAATTTGTTTCAAAGGATGGAAGCTCGCGATAATCACATCCTCTTATAAGTAACCGCTCGTGTGCTTATCTGTCACGTTGGCTATGTTGGACATTGATTCAGATAGGCACACATCGATCGTGATAGCTGACGAGGGACACTCATCCCACGCCCTGCGAGCACACGAGCTGTCACCCACCTTTATTCTCCGACCTGGCGCCGTCGGCAGCTTTACGAAACATTTCGGGGCTTTCCATACCCGCCATTAGGCCGTTTGAGACTGCAGAGCCAAACAATTCATCTTCATCTGACCTTAGCGATAAGCGACGGATCTTGTCTCAGTCAGAAGGATCGAGTCCACCAGAGCGATTTACTGAGTAGAACACCACTTAGTCAAGGAAACCTGATTGTTTCGCTCTCAGGCTGAGACATTGCCAATTACTAAATGTAGGTCCGATGTTGTTGGGACTGGAGCAGCACACCACCACCTTTGCTGAAAATTTGGAATGATTGTCAAGAGAGATAAGCGTGGTCTCATGCAACTCCCTCCTCTCAGCAAATTTCACCTCCATTGGTGCTCAAACTAGATGTTTGTCCTAGCGCAGGTTAGAATTCACGATGAGAAAATGTTCTGTGTCGTTGAAGTTCATGTAAGACACATAGGCCTAGTCTTTTTCCTCCAGCGTATGTCAGCAACAAAAGAAACATCTCCCTTTTGAACCAAGAAGAAATGCAGAAACAAAATCATGTAATCATCGATTGACTTCCTGCTCACCTACGAGCTCCTCTCTCTTTCTTTTCCATTACCTTTCTTTGCCATCCCTATCTCACCTTTCCTCACCTCCCTCTTCTCCCTAATCTACCCAACAAACAATCTTCCCCCTCGTCTCATTCCTCTCCATCACCCCATGCGCCTCCACAACATCCTTCCAACTAAACACCCTCTCAACCTTCACCTCCAAGTCCCCCTTCACAACCTTCGGCACCACCTCTTCAGCAAGCAAATCCCTCAAGCGGCCCTGATACTCCGGGTCCCTACTCCGCAACGAGCTTCCCAGAAAACTAACCCTCTTCTTCACAAACGCCGCAATGTCCGTCCCCTCCGGCAACTTCGTCCCTCCCATCATCCCCAGGTGCACAATCCTCCCATCTCGTGCTGCGGCGTCGAGGTTGCCCTGAAAATAGCTCGCGCCAATGAAGTCGATGATGACGTCTACGCCCTTACCATCCGTAGCCTTCAGGAGTTCTTCTGACCAGTTGGAGGTCTTGTAGTTGAATCCGTCTGTTGCGCCTAGGGACTTGCAGAACTCGATCTTCTCGGAGGAAGAAGCAGTGACATAGATTTTCGATGAAGGAGCGAGAGAGCGGGTGAGTTGAATGCCGGCGATGGATACAGAGGACGCGCCGGCGTGCCAGAGGATGGATTCGCCAGGCTGGAAGTTGGCGATTAAGTGAATGGCTTGGAGGGCGGTGATCCATGTCTGATATTGAACTTAATTGATGAGGTTCGAGGCTAGAGAAGAGGATGGGGAAATAATGGAATGGGTGTGGGTGGGGTAGGCACAAACCTCCGGCATCCCAGCAGCGACCTCCCAGCTCAATTCCTTCGGCTTATGGATCAGCATATGCGTGCTCACGGCAATGAACTCGGCATACGCGCCTGCCACAATAGCCCAAATCAGTTCAATTACTTCTCCCACTCACGCCAACGAACAAACCAAAAACCATCAAAGGAGCAAGAAGACTCACCACCATAAGCCAACCCAAAAACCTCATCCCCATCCCGAAACCCCTCCGCAGCATCCCCCTCAATCCACCCAGCAAACTCAACCCCCAAGGTCTTCGACGCCTGCGGCGGAACGGGATACATGCCCTCTCGCTGAAGCAGATCCATGCGATTGAGACCGAACGCTTTAATCTTCACGAGGGCTTCGCCTTCCTTGGGGACAGGTTTGGGGATGGAAGGGTTGATGTAGAGGGATGAGGCTGGGCCGGTGGTGTTTTTGATATCTGTTAGGTGAGTCAAGAGAGGGTGAAAAGCGTGCAGGGTACATGATGGGGAAGGGGAAAAGGGATCGAGTGAGGGTGTGCGTGAGGAGCTTGATACTGATCTGGGGCTCTATTCCGAATTTCTTTATATTTTGTAATGAATGGTATAAGAATGAGGATCGTGTATAGTGCGTGTTCGCATACTCAATGGATGAAAGTTGACTCACCAACTGCTCGCATCGTCTGTGACATCTTGAATGACTTTGATCCTAGATGTTGTTGGTGTTTGGAGATCTTCTTCGGATGTCCCGGACTCAGTGGGACTGTGTTCGCTGCGGAATTGATAATCAAATGAAATCAATGTTTGATACGTGATTTGCAATGGACAAACGATTCGTCCAGGAAGTCAAATTCTGAGGATGTTTGATATCGACGTCATCTGACTCTAGGATGTCGCGGCAATAAGAAAATGTTTAGTCGCAGGAACACACATATTCATCTGATTGAAAGCTCGTAGCATAAAGCTATTCTTCTTCATACATTGAACGCCAAGCAACGCGACAGCTATTCGGCCACAATCATAAGCTTCGAGCAGACCAGGTCAGAAATACTAGGAGCAAAGATACAACAGCAGAACCACTCATTTGATATTATACTCCTTGATCATCTCTGTCAATTTCGCACACTCGTTCGAAAAGTTGAGCTGAGATGCTCCCGAGACTTGATACCGGACCCTAAATGCCATTAGCAATGAATCAATCTCATGGAATGTTTTCAGAAAAGGCCGCTCCGTACCTCTGCTGATCCTGGAAAGTATCCATCTTCGCTCTGCACTTGAAGACCAACGTCTTACAATTCGCATCTTGGAACAGATCATCTTTACCCTTGACGTCTCCAGCATCATTCAGCTCCATGACACGATCTGCCGACACACCCATGATCATGCGTCCTACATCGTCGAAACAGCTAAGCCATAGCTGGCCAGTATGATCGCTGATGTTAATCTGCATGATATATCGGTGATCGGGCTTGGGGTGTGTCTTGTCACAGCGCTCGCACCGCCATTCGCCAGGGTCAGTCTCAACCACTTTCTTGTTGCAGCCTTCTGAGAGACAGGCTGGATACGAGACGTTTTCCTGCTTAATGTAGATGATAGTAGCTTTGACGCTGAAGTAGTCGGTTTGTTCTGACATTCCTAGGTTTTCTTCCTTGATTTGAAGGATCGTCTTCAATGGATCGCCTCGTCCGCCTGCTGCGCTCATTGTACCACCCATATTGGCATGTGACATGAAAGTGTCGCTCTTGCCCTGTGCCATGTACCAGCCCTTTAGCTTGTGGGCTTCATCAATATCTGGGTTGATGGTCATTGAGCCTGAGCTCAGCAGACTGAGGCTTCGGCCTCCGAAGTCTGAGACTTTGACACCTTTGAAAGCCACCACTGATTCTGTATTGGCGTCAAACGTGGTTGCCGTATTGCCCCATATCGTGAGGCGCACTGAGTAGCCTGTTGCGTCTACCAAAGTCAACTCTCGCTTATCGTATGGCTTGCTTGTTGTTTTTGACGTGATCTGTGACGTTTCCCCGACTTCTTTCAACACACCGATAGTATCTATCGTTGTATCTTTCTCGACCTCTTGTAGTTGCGATATACTTGTAAAGTTGAAGCGTACTTGAGGGACGTCGTTCTGCTCCTCTGCCTTCTCCACCACCGTATCCCGTTCAAACATGAGCTCATAATCATTATTGAGATTCGTAAATTGCTTCTTTGCCATGTTGACCTTACACGGGCTCGTGATGTAGTAAACTCCACCATCGTGAAACAGGTCGTATAGTTGGTCGCATTGGTCGTTGAATCCTGTTGCACGTATCTCGCCGCTCTCGTCTAGCAGATTTACACTGAACAATTTACCCTCTCCGTTCTTGTTGTGCCACGTCTTTATGTCCGTCTTGTGTGTACATCTTGCTTTGATGGTCCATTTGTGAGCGTACGGCGACAGTGCTTCTATCGGATATATATTTGCATGTGCAGTGGAGGTATTTACGGGGCGAGAGGGGGTTTCTTGTTTGACCTGCGGGCCTGGTTGGTTGCCATAGAAGCCATTTGTCGACATAGTGGTTGATTGAGGTTGCGGTTTGGCGTCTCCACCATCTTCAAATTCCAAGGCTTTGGGCTCTCCTATCTTTTCGCATACCCCAAGATTCTCCAGCACCTCAAGATCAAGCACTATGATGATCCTTCCCAGATCAGCACCGCAACATGTCGAGCCATTCGGAAGTCTCTCACCTTTTGCCCTTCACTTGGTTTGCTTGAAAAGATTTCAATCGAACAAAGCAGCCTTTCACAAGCTTTCCCTCGTGCACGACGTGGTTTGCCTCTGTCGCATATCAGTCCATGCTCTCGACAATCTGTAATGGCAATGGAACAACTTACGAGTCGCCAGCATGCTCTGCACGAAATTGCTGATGTCACTGAAGACAACCCTAAATCTTTCTGGCGTACCCTGCTGGCCTGCAAGTGGCTTGACCTGAACGCATTGTAGACATGGTTGTGCTACATTTACACCAGTTTCTTTTTGTGAGAAGATGGCCCTGTGACAAAGGTTTAGCGGGACCACTCTACGCAGAATCCTCAGACTCACTCCAGCGCCCCTTGGTCGATTGAGGCTTGCGCATTAGCTGCCATGGTTCCTCAAATTGCAATGTGAGCGATGTAACAGACGTCAGCCAGAAGCTTTTGTTGGCGAGAATGAACGAACAGGCAGACGACGCGTTGTTTGTCTGGATGTCGCGTCCTGCATAAAGTGGGTTTTGCCCCTCGCTGACGTAATCTGTCGTGGCTGCCAATATTTCGGACGCGACATAATATTCTCTCTAATGGCCTGTGGCAATTTCTTGTCCCTTAAGATTTTAATTCGGACAGTATCATGAAGACTAAGGCATGCAAGCGAAAGAAACAGGATCAAAAAAATGTGTGCGGCAGTATTCATGTGCTCCTGCTAAGTCTGGCAGATTCAGAACCATTGCAAGCATCAGCATGCAAAGGGAGCCTTTGAAGCTACTAATCAGAACTTCCTCGTGCGCCAGAAGGCGCTTGAATTGGGAGTGATCAAATCTTTTCTGGTGCAGCTGTGGCATGCCAGTCTTCTGCTGCCTTTGTATTACAATCCGTCTAAAATGCTAAAAATGTATAGCATGCTGTCAAATTCTTTGGCAGTTGGGGGATATTCACAGCCCTGTAAGGTGGTAAGTATAACATTACTGGCCAGCATTCGATGAGACTACGCGATTCAATAATAACATTGCCGTCAATCTCATGCAAATCCTGCCATAAATCTGTTCCTTGTCATTATTGAAAAGTTCGAAGCTGAAAAAGCTTTGCAAGCAGTGGCCACACTGACATTTTCTTTTGGAAAGCATTTACATTGCAGACACTTTGAGCATCCAGTGTCAGATTTATTTTCTTCTTCTCAAAATATGGCAATCTATAGTTGCTGAGGACGAGCGTGTCTCATATTCTCGAAAGTAATGAGCGCGAAAGGCTGAGGATCAATGTTCAAATAATGCATCGAGCACATTCCTCACACTTTACTTCGAAGTCAAGCCAGTACTAGCTCTGACGAAGGGTATTAAATTGGACAAAAAGCTGACAGAGATCCGTGATTGTATACGTGACGAATAGACGACCGGAGCGAGCCGATGGCTAGGTCTCATTGATCATCAAGATTTCCGATGGATTGCCCCTCAGACTTAGAAGCCTGTGAGACGGATCGGGACGGTCCAAACAGCCTCATTTGAGATATTTTTGGTGTTCATCGGCCGTTTGCGATTGGCCCCTGAGTATGCTGTTAGCCGTCGGAATGGCCGAAGTCTTTCACACTTCCATGTCAAAAAAGCGGAAACAGACAGCAAGAAGTAGGACTACGAGCTCAATTTCTCCATTATTCCGATCCCGATTGGCCATCGAATTAAAGGTCACATCACAGCGTCTGCCTGATGCAGCATCAAGCTTATCTCGTCAGCAGTAGCAGCAGATCGAAAAGCCGCCCAGTGGCAAGTCACTCAGCCATATAAACAGAACCAAAGAGCTCATCCTTCTCCCGCCATTCCCTCATCATCCACACGGTAGGAATCACACACTCGTCGGCACCATACCCCACAATCACTCACAAGACTAACCACCGCCAACCTGGAAGCAATCATCAAAGCCCCAACATCAGCCTTCTTCAAACCCCCCACATCTCCCAACATGAAATTCTTCTACCTCATGGCCTCCCTAGCCTTCGTTGCCGGGATGGCATCCTCCCTTTCCATTCCCGCAATCGTCGGCTCCAACAAGCCAGATACCCTCGAGAAGGGAGACGAAAATCTTGAGGAGAGAGAAGCAGAGCCGGCTGCGGGGGGAGACGAGTATCGTTGCGCAAGGTCGCCGGAGCCGCTTGGGGAGGGTTATAAATGCCAATGAGGGGGGCTGGGGGGGGGGGGGGAGGCAATCGAACGAGGGGACTGGAGGGAAGGGCGAGGGCGAGGGGACGAAACTAGATAGTAAGATGAAGAGGGAAGGGATGCGGGAGGGGCACAGGTAGCAGGACACTGGTTAAGATATGCAGACGGAACATGGGTATTAGAGAAATGTAGATGCCGTCTCCCGAATTAATGATCCTGTGAATTCTGTCGCCCATCCTGTATCTTCATATTACTTGATTCTTAAGGTCTTTTTCTCAATACATATGCATCGTCTCCTGTCTCCGACTTCGTAGCTCGCCGTGTTGGCCCCTCAGATGATAATGATTCGAATCAAGCGGTACGATGCACTCAAAGCATGGGCTGTCGTTCTTTGACCAAGGCACCGGTAAATCGAATCAATGGTGGCTCCTTCATACAAATCAAGGCAGTCCAACTAAGCAGCCATATCATTTTCGAGCATCAAAGAAAGCTACTGTCCCGCTTAAAGGGACTCTCAAAACATGCTCAGAGCAAGATCATATTCCGCCAAAGCGAAGACAACTCCTCAAATACCATCGATCTCAATGACAGGGCCTGAAAATGTCCTTTTGGCCCAAAAATGATAGTATAACGTGCTGAAAGATACCACAGCCCCGGTGACCACGACACTATAATTCATGGTTGCTCCTGTCGTTGGTGTCTCTTGCGGCCAGAAGCTGAAAAAGAGCAGGATCATCAGGAAAATGCAGGCGAGTAGGTTGTTGGCTATACCGAGAGCACCACGAACGCGCCAAGGGCCCCAAACGATTTCTGAGGGTTCAGCCTGGATCTGTGGCGTACCTAATTGAGTTGGTTGGACAAAGCCGGTGATCCGCCGATGAAGCAGAAGCACACACACTAAGAGGTAAGAAGAGTATAGGCAGCTGATGACGAGCGATACGACGTCATTGAACGCAGTAGTTGAGCCAATGTTAATGAGAATCAGGATACAGGAATTGAACGTTGATATCGCGACTGCGTTTAGGGGAATGAAGGTGTGCGTGTCGACCTACATGGGACGTATCAGCGAACGAATACCGATCACACTTGGACAGCAGAGGATACAGAAATACAGTAGTAATAAGATTCAGTGTTGGCTTACTTTGCTAAGGTATCGCCACCCAGGAAGACCGCGATCGCGGGCAAAGGACCACGTCATTCGCGACGAGCCGGCTAAAGCTGCGATGACGGCACAAAAAGCCAGAGCGATAACGATACTTGTCATTACGGTTGCACCAGCTTTTGATGCTGTGCCCTGTGTAAAGATTTCAATGAAGGGGTATTTTGTTGGCGTCTTGATAGCAGCGGTAATATCGCCCACACAGAATAGCACTGCTATCAGCATACCAAATGCTAATAGACCATTGATCCCGAGGCTTATGATCATCGTTCGTGGAACGACAGTAGATGCGTCTTTGATCTCTTCACACATCTTCAGAAGTGAGCGAGACTCATGATTTAATGTCGACCATGACATGTTAAAGAGGCACAGGGGTAAAATTGAATACTCACATGAATAGCTCCGTCTGTGCCTGGAAGTCTAAATCAGCGAATGTACTGGGATGTAATACTCTCAAGCGTACCGAGAAAAGCCAATGCACTTCCACTCAGTCCGATGAAAAAGGCTAATCCTCGCGAACTCCAGCCACCACCATCCAAAAACACTGTGAAGACTTCAGATGGGGAAGAGTGTGGTGCTAAGTACACCAGTGGTATCAGGATGGCAACAAATCCCAGGACGTGAAGCACCAATACCATGCCTTCAATCTTCGGTAGCACCCGAATCAATATAGTATTGAAGACGACAGCAAGCAAGATTATTGCCCATGTTAAGAGGGTACCATGCCATCTCTGGAAATCGTAATTCGAATCATTGTTTACCAGCAACCCTTGGATGAGAGTTGCACAGAAGAAGGCAGCGGTCGCAATCTCAGCTTGCCAACCGGCACAGGTGACCCACCCTACCGCTATCAGCAGATGCCTGTCTTCACTTTTCAAATACAATGTGCAAACCAGTCAGATAGCTGAGGAAGTTCCGTGAAGATTGCGGAGCAAGCATTGCCACCCAGTGATATTGCCCGCCTGCTGTTGGGGCCCTTTGGCATGTGTTACCAAGAGGTTGACTGAGGGCATTTTGTCAAGCTCACATAGATACAAGCTCTCCCATACAGATGAAGACTGATAAATTTCCAAGCCAGACAAAGACAAAGCCATATATGAGCCCGGCAGGGCCTCCGCTACGTCGATCCTCGAGTAAGAATGGTGAGTTGCGACTCAAAGAGTACTAAGCTTACTTATTGAGCCCAAGAATAAATACGCTGTGTTCTCATCTGAGCACGCCTATCACTGGTCACGCTAGTAGACTTACACGAGTGACCCTTCCCATGTGCCCATGAGGGTGCAACTGAAGCCCAGGACTGACATGAAGCCGAAATTCCTCTATGTTTACATGAGCAAAAAGTCAAGTGACTCGGCAAGAGCATCGGAGTCTACTCATACTTTGAGCACTTGCTTTTTGCCCACTCGAGCCAACTCGATCTGGTCTCTGTCTGTTGCTCCTGGTGCTTCGGCCTCTGCGTGCCAGACATTCTTGCGTTCTTCCGAGCCGCTCATAGTGTTGGGCTCGTGCACGTCACAAATGATGGTGGAATTGAAATAATTGCAGATTTAAAAGAGATGGAGTAGACTTTCACCTATAGAGCCTTTGTAACATCCTGATCGTTCTCAAGAGAAGAAAAGGGCCGTTTCGTGAGTTGGGGGGTGAGGCAAATTAGCCTTGATGGCCCCTATGAAGTCTCGACAGGGGTCTCGAACAGTTTGTGGTGACTGTGCGTGCGTGCATGGTAGTATGCAGACTGGTTGCATGATCAAGTCTCCATTTCTGCCGATGAACAATCCTTAAGGGGTGGTACGGAAACATTGCTGTTGGGATCGAATCTCGTTTGACTTGGCCACTGAAGTAGTAAAGAGAGTCCCTCAACGCGCAGACTTGGTATGTAGGAATGGCGGCTTCATGAGATCGGCAACCTGCATGCGTTGTTTGCGACACTTCCCTGCAGATGGTGGGGATCCCCTTGCGGCATGTACTCCGAACTGCTGCGCCCTCAACGTTGTGAAGATACGGCCGGGTTTTACCATTGCTTCTGGTCTCTTGCAGGGAGGGTCTGATATTCGATTCGACGACTTCACGAACTCGCAGGATTGTGTGTCTGCGTAGTCTATGCACGTAGGACCGCGCCGCAAATCATGCGGCATGACCCTACGGGCGACAAGGCCCGAAAAAGATCAAGGTTGAAGGATTTCCACTTACTTGCGAATGTTACATAGAAAGCGGCACTTGCGAGGGAACAATGCATTGCACGCTTGATGCAGATTCTCGTCAAAGATTGCAACCTTTGGGTTTCTCCTTACCAGGGTATCGCATATGTTTGGACCTCATGAGCCAGATACCTCTAGTTGGAGGGTGTAACGGAATGTGCATATTCAGCTCAGAAAAAGCGAGCCTCTGCTTCAGGACTTGGGTATGCTGTGCCACGATTGTCTGCTTGAACTGCACCTTCCGTTGGCTGCGTGTGAACTTGTTCACTTGAAAACAATGTTTTCCAGTCTAGTGACTGCTCACAGCAGTGGACCTTCCCAAGGATGAAATCCCTCGCATCTTACGTGAATGGCTAAGCTCAACCCAGCCAATTGTTACGAGGGCAGAGTGCATGTAGTAAGGCCCCCTGTGAAGTAATAATAGTGCATGTAGTCCCTCGTTCTGCCTGATAGTAAGGAACATGCCTCGGTGTATTAAACCTGAAAGCCAAACATCGCCCTCCTGGTCACATCATCTGAGGAATATATGCCCAGGACTTCACTAGCGGTTGCACATTCTAGAGTCCCCCAGATGTCTCCTACAATACCTAACCCAGTCTTGGTATCCGGGAATGAGCACAGCTCAGTCATCAGTATCACTGCATGGGTCTTGATTGTGACTGTATTCCTTGCAGTAGTGACTCGATTGTGGACCCGGTTTGCGGTCTCAAAAAGCCTGAAGGCCGATGATTTCTTCATTGTGGTGGCTCTGGTAAGTCAAAGCAGCAAAGATGAGGACCCCACTAAGTGTAATGTCAGATACTAAGCATAGCATTCGCGTTGTGCTGTTCCTCCGAGGCTACCAACGGCCTCGGGCGGTCTACAGACCCAAAGCCGTCACAGAAAGTTCAGCAGGTAATTGAACCTATATCAATTTGGGGCTTTTCAATGACAGTCTCTCTAGCTTAACTATGCATCGAAGATTCTTTACGGACTTTGCCTTTGCTTTACAAAGCTATCGGTCGTGACCTTGTTGTTCTCTCTCTCGCCTGTTGAATCCCATAGAAGATGGAGCTTTGCAGTCGGATGTACTGTCATGACATGGACAATTGCAATGGTTTTTGCGACAGCCATGCAATGTCAGCTACCGAGACCTTGGGAGATATCGAAAGGGCAGTGTATCAATATGGTAAATCTCGAGTTTGCGCACCTGGATGTTGCACCTCTGATGGCTTTCAGATCGCTTTCTGGAATACCTTCGAAAGCACAAATATCTTGACGGATCTTTTACTGATTTTGATTCCCATCAAGATCGTATGGAGCTTGCAAGCGAAGAAGGTCACAAAAGTAGTCATATGTTCATGTTTTGTAGCGCGCATAGTGTAGGTCCTGCCGGTCTTCGTTGCTTCAAGCTGACACACTCTAGAGTGGTCGCTGCTGCGCTTGTACGCATTGTTGAACTGACAAGGACCTCTGAAGCACAAGGTTCTACCCTCGAAGCGTGGTCCGTCGTTTTGTGCGCTCTTGTGGAAGAAAGTCTAGGTGTGGTTGCAGCATGCATACCATATTTGAAACCGTTCCTGGACAACTTGGAGTCTGGCATGATGAATAACGATCTGCTACGACGAGAGGGACTCAACGACCTATATGACCACTGCAGATCGGGAGTTACTTTGACTCGAGAAGCAGAAGATGCCGCGCCGATCTTCGCACGAGCTAGATCGCCCAACAGCTTTGAGCACGATTCATGGAGACATGACAACAGCATGTCCAATGTCCTCAAAGCTGATGTTATCACATGCAATAATGATATCGAATCGAGCTTTAAAGGGAACGTTGATGGACAGCCAAGGTGCACTACCAATATCATCAGGAAGACCACAACTTTGACATTGACTAGTGCGCCGTGTGAGTAAGGTTGCATATCCTACGCAACCTCCAATACAGGGCCAGATTCTGCCGGGTGTGAACACTGATTTGTGGGAGTGAAAAGTGAACAAAGGACTATTCCAGTCTCAGAGGTAGCAGTAAAGATAATGACCAGAAATTCTATCCTGGTAATAAGAGAACGTTATCAGTACTATGTCATTATGGCAACGGCCGCTAGGACTGAAAGCCTTTCGCTCAACCGTTGAGGATTAAGTCTCTGGATAGCCGACCGCAAACAGAATATATCATGCTTGCCTTATTCCTAAAGTCGTCCAATACGAACGGCGGGTCGACGCACGTGAATTCCAATGTGAACTCATACTGTGTACGACTCTTAATGGCTTTGACGGATTAGTAGCACTCTTGTTCCAAGGGCGTGCCATTGTCAGTGGGGGAACTTCTCAACAGACCGACCAGGTAGTTTTCTCATGACCCACTTGTGACCGTAAAGATCTAGCAGCCAGAAGTGCATGAAACCGCGCTCATTTGGCTTTGGATGATATGTACTGCTCCACAGTATCTGCCTCCGCGGGGTATCTCCATCAGCTGGCATGTGCTTCATAGGTCGGACTATTCTATCTGATTGAACGATCTCCCCATCTAATCTTGAGATCATACCGTCCTTCATGCATTGTGGACATTTATGAGTATCGGATGGCGTCCGATGAGTCATGAGTTCCTCGTCATAATCCTGTGTGAGGTATTCGAGCATTCGAACGATCTGAAGGAGCACAGAGCTCCGCCCCGGCCGTCGCAGAATGTGTGTCGCTACAACAGAGTGTAGTGGCGTCCGGGACTCCTTATGCACTTTCAAAATACATTCTAAAAGGCCAAAAAATTCCAAAAGTCCAGATATCGATAGCTTGCTACTTTCGGATTTCAAAGTCAACGATGACAACATTTGGTAACAATCCGAAGCATCAAATCGTGGAATGTTCAATGACTTCATCTTACTTGGGAGACCCGTTGTGTCTCCTGACATAGGACCCGCAATTGATAACGGCTGTACGCAGGCCCAGATGGAGAAGATAAGCTCCCTGTGGCATTGTCGTGTATACGGATTCTTTTCCTCGAGCCGTGGAACACGCTTATGTTTATCGCGTTGGTGCTGCACAGTCTGTGGGAACGGCCTCCACAGTTTGTAGAACCTTTTCTGCCGTACCGTTATGGTTTTCGTGGGCATGTCTTCTTTAATCGTCATTGTGTCAATCACTTGGTCTTCACTGTTGTGTTCTTCATGGCTAGTGTACTCGGTCTGGCTATCCTCGAGCCATTCCTCAATTGAACGAAGATCCTGCGATGCTAGCTGGGATGCAGCTATGCGAGTACTTGCGTAGTCAGACCAGTCAGTCTGCTGTCCCAGACTAGCAATCTGCAGCTTCCGCAAAGCAGAAAGGTCATTTCCAACGCTCTCGACGTCTTCTTTGATCATCAATCTCTGGAACGTCCTTGGAATAAGAACAAGGTCGTACAGACCGCTGACAAGCTCATGTAAATTGTGCAAAAGCTTTGCAAATCTCTCTCGGTCCTTAATGACCCATTTTTGGTGCTGCATACTTCCTTATTTGTCATCTTGGAGAAAGTTCGCGCTTGTGTCTGCCTGAAAGCAATGTCGAAATCCCCAGTACGTCTAGAGCTAATCGCTAGTGTCTGTTTCTGCTCTCCGTGAAGATTTCATTTAAGCCATAAAGCGACACAAGATCTTTCGACTTGGTCAGAAGCATTTTAACCGCCTTGAGAATCCGTTCCAATTGCGGTCGCACTGCCGGGGAAACCAGCGTGGTATCTTGGCCTTTTGGCTCCCGTGATTGGAGGCCGAAAACTTCTGCTCATTGTAATAAGCCGGTCTTCTCAATGTCTAGTGTGATCGATAAAAGCTCGTAGTCATGGCTTGCGTCTTTCGCCGTTCCAATCCAGTTGAAGGCTTCCAAGCAGGTCGAACAGAATCCAACGAGTGCTACGAAGGCAACAGCAAGACCAACAGCTCCCATAGCAATATGCCATCAACACACTTGTAATCGTAATACGCGTTCGCTGACGCGACAAATGTAAACAACGGCCTTCCTTCAACCTGATCCGCTGTAAGCCGATTGGCCTGGAATGACCACGCTCAGTATATTCAGCAGCGTAGGAATGAATACAGCTATATAATTATGGCCTTCTCGCAGTACACTCGCTCTCAGTCGACCTTCCAGTCTAGAAGGCTCCTAAGAGTGGTTTGAACCATCCTCAAGTTTTGACCGCAACGGAACTGGGTCAATAAACTCGGATAATAGTTCTTCCGAAGACCGATATCAGCGTCTCCTACTCTTCCGACCTTCTCGCTTTGTTCGCAGTAGAACGCCAAATTTCTAGCCTGTGGATGACTTACCCGAGGTCACAGCTGGCTTGAGGCCTCAGAAAGCGTGCACATGTGCTCTTCTCGCCCTGTGGCTATAACACGCCATTGGCGCAAAGTGAGACATGATGTTCATTATTTGAGGCTCGTTGAGACAACAACATAGATACATGTTATTCTTGCGAGTAACAACAGGGCCTGGGGTCAGAAAGTGAGATCTTCGCATCGCCCAAGGTCTTCATTGAAGTCTGGAAGCTCGAGAGCACACTCTGCTAGGCAAGAAAGCCGTTGTACCGCGCGGTTTCCATATCGATGGCGACAACGCCATCGCGTTGTCCCGAGTTTTCACCTGAGGTGCGCAAGAGAGCCAACATATTTGAACGCCATGTCTCCTTCAGAGAAACGGAACTCTGTTGCTTCATTGAAGACTAAAGCATGCTGTCTTTGTTAGATGATCTGAAAAGCGCCCAACTTTCCCCCCAGAAATCATTTTGTTTGCACAAGCGTCATTGCGATATTATCGACTACCATCAATATGCTCAAGATACTCCTTTTTTTAATAGCTAGTGTAGCTTTGAGTACCTGTAGACCAGCTGAGGTGGACCAAACTTCCGTGAATGACAGCTCAAAGGGCAATGCCACTCTTGGCAATCCATTTGATCCAGCTCAGCGGCCAGACATCAGAGTGACTCCCAACGCGCAATCTAGTATTAAGGCACCGGCCGCTCAGGTTCTACATCTCTGGTTTAGCACAGTCACTGCTTGCTGGCTTTCAGGGCGGGAATCACTGACGAAGTACACCTTTGTGGACACTCTTGTCCCTCAACATCTCCGGTTTGACATCGAACCGAGTTACAAAGGTCAAACCATCGACATTATGTACATAGGTTGGGCTGTCATGGATATGATCACGTTACAAACCAGCACGGACCTATCGGACGAAGATCCCTCTTGGATTGTCCCCACCTACGATCTATATATTGGTGATCTGAAATTTGGAAGACTGTCTACCAGTAGCGCCGGAGCTCTCGACATACCTCAGAACATGACATCAGCAACGAACGGCACTGGACTTGCCTCGCAGCTGGGCGGCAATAGAAAACCCGACTTGGATGCCTCCTCTAACCTATTCAATGGAGGCAATCTGACTGACAATTCGAATCCTGAGCTATCTATATTTAACCGCATCATAGAGACTAAAGAAGGACATATAGGAATCGGACCGATACTCAATCTAGCCAGTCAAGCCCTTCAGTCTCATGTTTGGAAGAATCCACCATTGGAAAGAATTTCTGCTAGGCTTCCACATAAAGTCGACGTTGTAACAGTCGAGACGGCCGAAGGTCAACGGCTGCTCATAAAATTTGACCCCGAAACCTTCAAGATTGGCGACTACGATATTATTTGGTGGATGGTAGGATCGGCACTGATATCATCGATCTCACGCTTTGCTCGAGGCAACAAAGACCTCAGACCGTTTTTGCAGGATAATTTCCTTGTTGTCGACGGACGTGTGCAAGACGACTTCTTTCTGAGATTAGCATTTATTGATGAACAACACAATGAGGAGACTATGCCTTTGATTGGAGGACAAATCGCGAATACTACCGCCGCCTCCTGAGATGGGAATTTGTTAAAGTAAGACGACCCTCAGGACGGAAGCTAGCTGAAAATTTCCAGTCAATTTCTCTCAGACTGTGGGACGCTCCCGCGTATCAATTCATCAATCTCTCTCAACGCATCAACAAAACCCACTGCTGACCAATCACTCACTCTTTCCCCATCACATCCTCCATCTTCTTCAACGCCCTATCCGTCCCACCCCAAGCCAACCACCCTTTTTCCCTCTCCATCATCTTCACCGCCGCATACACCCAGCGCTGCGAACTCGGCCACGCGCCCCCCTCCCCCTTCCCCTTCCCAGTCCCCAGCATCATATCCTCCACCTCCCCCCTCCCCACCCCCTTCTCAAACTCCCCAAGCTCCAACGCAATCTCCACCCTCCCTCCTCCCCACATCCCCCCTTTCCCTCCCTTCACAACTTTGCCCACACTCTTGAACGATTTCAACTCTACGACTTGTTTGCCGCCGGCGCTGACGATGTGGGCGACTAGCGCGGACGAGGAGGAGGAAGAGGAGGAACTGGGGAAGGAGAAGAGGAGAGCTGCGTGCGAGGTCCCTGGGGCTGTGAGAGAGGGGGAGGCGCAGATGATTATGTAGACGGTTATGCGTGGGGGAGGTTTGGAGGAGGAGGTGTAGTCGAGGGTTTTGTGGGTGGAATAGTCGTAGTAGGGTTCTTGGCGAGGCATGGTGGCTGTGGATGGTGGGAACGATGGGGTGCGAGGGAGAACAGTACGAAGGTTGGGGATCTGTAGTTGGGGCATGATCCGTTCTTTGTGCGACGCCGGGCCACACGAGGAGACGTTTGCAGAGGTCGGACACTAAGATGATGATGTATTGTGGTGAGGTGAGCGCATTGTCCAAACCGTCCGCATCCGGAAATTGGATAGAGACCGGCAGCATCATGGTGAACAAAGGTCGGTAGATCAACGAAGGTAACCATCAGAGGTCTGGATTGTGGGACTTCATACAGGATTTGAGCTTCGAAAACGTCACGAATGAGCCTGAAACTCTTTTTCAACGAGAGAGTAGCTCATCAGTTCACATCCTCTATACATAGAAAACAGCGATATACAGGCAGGGTATCTGAGTCGGCAGAATCTTTTCAGCAGCATGTACTGGATGATCTCGATGATCATGTCTGCACCATGGCTTTGGGCAGACCCAGCGTCGTAGCCTTAATAACAAATGGTCCGTCTCGTACTCGACCCCCTACTGCTCTTTTAAGTCTCTCCGATGGAGCCAAATGCTTGTATGCCATTCCCTGCGATGAGGTAAAGAATAACAGAGGGCGTTCAGAGTATCTCTACATGCCATGTCATCAAGTGACCCTTGCCCAACTTTGCAATCTCGCACCGCACAGCCTGCGGTATATTCTCACTAGAGCATAGATCTTCACAATCGGTGTCTTTGGTGTACTATTGAGTGGAGGTCGTCCTGAACGGCTGTGGTAGGACGTTCAAGCATGCGGCAGCCTCGGCCATCAGAGACGACTCGATGCCTATGACTCCCTAGCCCCTACTGCTTTAAGTCGACTTTCACTGGCGTCATTTATGTGATAATGTTCCAAGCACACGATGTTGAGTCCAGTATTGCAGGCGCCGACCGTGCAGGGCTCATCCACGTCATCATCATCACCAAAGACGTAAAGGACCCGTTCAAGCCTGTGACATAACAAACAGCTCTAATCAGAGGCCATGGGGAAAAAGTGATGACAGATCATGTCGAACTGTTGTTGGCAAATACGTGTAAGAGACAAAGTAGCAAGATCACACATCACCTCATCTCAATGTCCAAGTTGGGAGGCTGAGCTTCCAATCGACGGACAGTTTGGCTGTAGGCCGTGCGTTTGAAACGCAGTGTCTCTGTTTCCAGGCAACGACCCACAGAAGCAAATGATGCGCTTACAATTCAAACCCGTCCTGCGCCTACCAGAGCACACTCCAATCTTCTGGACCCCGTGTGTGAGACTTGCAACTGTTGTAGCGGAATCTCAAGGCTGGCCATGGAGGCGAGGGGAGTAGGTAGTATAAATCCACCACTGCTGCCCACCGAATCCTTTACTCCAGTATAAGTCATCATCATCATCATCGCCAAAACGAATAGCAATCGCTGCTTGTAACATCCTTAAAAGAGATCGAGCTTTCAAACATCCTCATCATCAAAATCGAACCAAACACCAACCAACCCACCAGAAACCTACAGCACTCACAATGCACCCCTCCCTCCTCCCCCTCCTCCTCACCACCCTCCTCACCGCCATCTCCGCCCGCTCAACCATAATCCACTCCCTCGAAACCCGGCAAGCAGCCCCCCCACCCGCACCCGCACCCATAAACGCAACCTCCTGCGCCTTCGGCACCCTCTACACCGTGCTTGCCGGGGACACCGCCACCTCAATCTCCACGACCCATAACGCCTCCACACGCTCTATAATCAACATCAACGGGCTCCGGGCCGACGGCAGCGATCTCGCCGCCGACGCGCCCATTTGCATCCCGCCGCCGTGTTGGGTGTATGCTGTGCAAGCGGGAGATATCTGTGAGGGGGTGGCGAAGCTGAATGGGGTTTCGTTGCCGGCGTTTAAGTGGTGGAATGGGGATTTGGATGGCAAGTGTACGGATTTGGTCGTGGGGTTTAATGTTTGTGTTTCGGAGCCGAAGAAGGCCGGGGGCTGTTGATGGGGGTGCTGCGCCGTGATTGAGGGGGTGGTGGTGGTGGTGGTGGTGATGGGACGGAAAGGAGGGGGAAGTGGAGGCTTGATCTGGCTTTCTTGGGAGGGGAGGCTTGCATTGGTGGGGTGGGGACATTCAGGAGGCTGTCATCTTGTGTGAATGCGAATGACGGCTTGGCGTGGCGAGGTCCTTGGGTAGGTTGTTGACTTGATGAATAAATCATGCTCCTTTAAGAGAACACAGAATCTGGATGATGCAGACGTCTATAGCTCTAGGGTACGATTAATAAAGTACTCATACCCCAGTTCAAGAACATCGTATCTCGCATTCGTGCGATCAAGAAATGATGAATCGCACTTCTGTATGATGTTGTCGGCAAGGTAAGACTCGCCCACCACTTGCGAGAAATTGATCACAACGCATGAAAAGCCCTAGGATTCGTAGTCGTCTGTGCTTTATCAGTTGCACCGAAGATACCCCACATCAGGACGTTACCATCATTCGAATTTGCTTCATCCTAGCTTCTACAGAATGACTTAGCCATCGTCCCCGTACCCTTCGGGACAAAGCGATGACTTCCGGCTCCAAAAGTCAGCCACGAATGGGCTAGAACAGTCGACACATTTTCAAAGGCTCTGACATATCGGACTTGAACGTGTGGGGCTCCTTGTAGCGCAATAGCCATTCATAGTCGCAGACAATCCTACACGGAAGTTCCCTGATGACATGTGTGGCGCTCGACGCCATTCGAAATCTGGAGGGCCTGAGGGAAGTACTAGCCAGATTTGGCTTGAAGGGACCCTCGAGTTCCCTCATATTTTCAGGTGGACGTTCTGACAGATTCATCAAATATGATGTTATTTCGTAGGATGGTCAAGCAGGTATTTGATCCGTTGCAATGACCTAAGTGTTGAGCGATGAGAAGGCTATTGGTAGGTATTTGGATGGTGATCTTCTATTCTGGAATTGTTGATAGGATTGTATATGTGAAAATGCGAATTCCTTCTCATGCAGCGCTTTTGATAGGTCATCGGCTCCAATTCCCTGCCGTGGATCATGAAGGTCGTTGTGGATTCAGTACCTTGTAATTCGATGTACTTCTTGTGCTTAACCATTTCGGGCTTTCTTTCACTTGTTCCATCTTGACAGTTGACAAGGATCAGACGTTGGATCTGCCTTCATGGATTGTCTCGTCCCGGCTTCACTTACTCTCCTTCGATCGAGGTTCGCAAGCCACCCGCTCGAACAGGAAATAAATGGCGCGAAACCCTGGCCCGAATGCGGCCTCGCGCGTAGTCTTTCCATTGACAGTAATATTGCTGATCAGTCGCCGCCAGATCTTCCTTCGTGTGAGGCTCAATGCCGAATGCAGCTAGATGAGCGAGATCAACTCGGAAAATTGCTGAGTCAGTTGCAGATGTTGATGCATGGCATCGGCACAATGCTCCGGGTCCAGATCATGAAGTCAAAGGATCGATTGGTCCGACCACGCGGATCCATCTGAAGGACCGACTTCTCAAGTGTATAGATTAAGCGACGACAGGACGAATGAGGTAGTGACAGGTTCCGAACGGAAAGTAGCGTGGGAGACTAGCCAGCGCCACTGGAATTAGCGTGATGAGTAAGACATCAATTAGGCAGGTGGTCCATCTGGGTTCGGCCTATTTAGTCTAGGTCGTGCAGTAGGGCTCGATAGCCTGGATGGAACAGGCTAGACAACTGTCCCTGTGGCCAACTTTACTCCGACCTACATCGACCACTTTCAAGCACCAAGTCGTTGACCTTCTCTCACCCTTCCATCGCCTCTTCGTGAGTTTGAATGGATTGAAAAGGGCTGATACGACGGCGTGGGGGGGCCTTCAGGGGACATATAAATGTTTCTGAACTTTCGTTAACATAAGCCATGTCCGTCGTTCACATCCACGCCATCGCCAAATTCAGTCTGGTGCCTTCGCTTCTTGAAAATAAGTTTCAATGGCCCGGGATTGTTGGTCACTGTGTTATTCGATTCATCGATGATCGTGCTTTTCATTTCGCCCGGTGCGAATCCAATGTCATAATTGTGGACTAGGAAAGCGGTCGTAAGGCGGAGGAATACCAGCGCCAGGTTTTTGCCTACGCAGCCGTACGGCCCTAGAAGTGGTGAGTCTGTAAGTTATTTGTAGATCGTAGGAAGGAAGTGGGGCACGAATGTGCTCGCCGCCGATCAACGGCGGGCAAAGTTGGCTTACCGAGCGAGAATGGCATGTGCGCACTCTTGTCTTTCGTCAGATGTGGAGCCGTGGTCCATCGCTCTGGAATGAACTCTTCGGCATCTTCGAAGCAGCTTTCCACTGTAAATCCATTTTTCAGTTTGAATCTCGAGATAAGGTAGTGTGTTTGGCACTCACGTCTTGCAATCGTATGAAAGGGTGCTAAACAAGTGACGTTTCCTGGGATATACTGTTCGCTGATAATGACCCCTTCAGATGGCGTATTCCGCTGCAAGCCATCGAGGATAGGTGGGTGTACTCGCATGACCTCATGGATGAATGCATTCAAATGTGAAAGCTTCTGCAGCTCCTGAGAATCTTGAGTGTTTGGAATCGACTTGAGCTCGTCCCGGATGATTTGGAAGTTCGTGGGATGAAGTGCAAGACGATAGACCATGAATGTAAGAACGGGAGTCATGGTTCCGCTACATGTGATGGAATCAACCAGTGACCAAGACGACTAGTATCTGAGCGTCAGAAGTTCAGAGTGGGATGTGCTGACCTTCCTGCCAGTACTGCAAGCACAGAATCGTCAGCCAACGTTGGCATCCCGCCTTGAGATGATGTCTTTCTCCCCCTAGCATCAATGAGATGGGCCAGAATCTGTCCATTGTCAGCTCACTGATAATGGTCAGACTCCGATGACTCTGTGGCTTACGTCTGGTTGTTCTGGCTCAGTCTAAAGCCGCAACTCTGTCAGATATAATTTACTTTGATCGGGGAAGCATTATCGACTTACCTGCAGTCGTCTTTCGACTTCTTTCTTGGACCACTTCACGACTCTTTGATACGGGCCCAAGAATCCAGGGACCGCCATCAAGAAGACTAGCAGCCATGGTATTGGGTTCAAGTATCCTACGGGCTTGAAGCCTGAACTCAGCAGATCCGCTGCGAAATGCTTCTTCCCAGTTCTGGTCATAGCGAAGTCTACGCCCGAGACAATGTCCCCCACAACATCAGCGACGAAAAAGAACACCAGATCTGTCGCATTAACCACATGGCCTTCGATCGAGGACAGCCTCTGGTCCAATGTGTCCAGATGTTTCAAGATGCGTGGTTCATAGCCTGCAACAGCTATTCAGTCGGCAAAGTTAGCTTCAACATCTGGTGGTCACGTCGAAAGATGTAAGTCGCACTGACCTTTGGTGCTGAACGCGCGGTCCCACACTCGCTTTCGCTCGCCGTGAACGGCTTTGATCCGTGTCGAATGCATCGAGTCGTTTGGTTTCAGGACGTCATACCAGGCAGCTTTTGTGCATCTAGACTGTGAACCATGTAGGACAGAGTACGCCTCGGGTTTGAATATGGTGAGTTCATTTGGGCCCGTGCGTACAAAATCTCCATATTCCCTTTGCAGTCGATCCATTTGTCGATGATTGTCAAGCTTACGCGACCTGACGACGTGTGCTAGCTTGGAGATTGACATAGCTTTCGGGCCTGGAAAGTGACGAAGAGGGTGCAAGTAGACCCGATAGATGATGATGCTGCTGCACAAGGCGACGCTATACGATAATGACATTGCGCAGCTGGTCTTGTAGGCATCGTAAAGCGGTACCGAATAGAGACAAACCTGAATAGTAGAGACAGTGATGAATATTGCAATCGCAAATCCGAGATGGAACGTGGTGTGTAGATCGTGCTCCCCATGCATGAAATACACAAGGTGAGAAAGGACACCGACAACGGCACAAAGCCCTAGAACAAAAGTAAAGCTGTCAAATTGGGCCATTAAGGACAAGCAAGGAGCGAAATCGAAGCTGTCGATGTTTTGCATGACCATGGCAGTGATGCTTTGAGCAAACCAGCAGAGCATTGATTCAAGAGAATCGCACGTCTCTTGAGGCGTTCTCGACGCATAGTCGCTCGGTCCCTAGATTTATCAGGCCTCTTTGGACAATAGTAGACTTCTGTTCATGGCCTAGAATCGATCAGAAGCTGGTGATTGTAATGAAAATATCCCTCGTGGGCAGACTATCGCCCAATGGCATGGGGTCATATCAAGTTTAGTCAATCGACGGTACTGACAACATAATTTGGCTTCGTAGAACCGATTCCTTTGCCCGTCTGTGGCTGATTTCGTTGAAAGATAGAGTATGTCTTCTAAGCAAGGTGCAGCGGATGGATATCCTCAAGTCTGTCTTATTGGACACCCCAGGGTTAGCGCCAAAGAAGACAAAGACTTAAGTCTCGGCCTTTGCAAGAAGCGAGCACTATAACCACCTTGCCCTCTTTATTAGATGTAATGTGTCCGTGTGAGTGCAATGTCAAAGAATTGTGGTAAGTGTTCCGATTTCTGAGAAGATTGCGTTCTGTCATTCGCAGTCACCAGTCGACAATCATCATTAGTGTCGCTGCATGCGACTTTGATAAATCCGAAATGACTGACATATCGACTAGGATACTTTAATTGCGCGGCGTAGTATGCTCATCTGTAGTGCCCTGATTGTAAACTTTAGGAAGAATACTTCAGGCAAGATCTCTTTGTCGTATGATTCGAGTCTAGACGTGCTGGTGTGAACTATTTCAACTAGATCAGCAGATAATCTAGCTTGTTAACCCGCAGAATCTCGACATTCAAGATAATCGAGGTGTGGAGTGCTTTCTCTCACATCATTACCTCCTAGCCTGCTAGACCTAATTCCCTAGCAGGCATAGCTTGACTTGAGAGTTTTCAAAGGAACGTAGTATGGTCTCGCTAGGCTACTTGCCTTACGGCATCTAATTTGGCTTGAAGGGCAGTCATGCAGCGCGTCTGGCAGAAATCCAGCGCACCTAAGTCTTCGCTGCACAAAGTGAAAGCCTGGTCCCAAGAGACTAATTTGACTCAAGGTTTGTGGTTTCTGGACGGCCTGGCTGCCAAGCCCATATGAGGAAAAGGCGAGTGCATAGACGAGAGGGACGTCACCCACGCATTCCAAGCCCAAACGTGGCGAGAAGGAACCAATCTAGTGATCAGTTCAGTCAAGCAGCCGTCGCTTCTTGTGATGCACACCGATAAAAATCGTTGACCAAACAAATTCAAGCAAGCGTTGGTGATGATTGAGGGCATCCTTAAGATCCACTCTTTTTCTGCGAGCGGAAAGATAAATTATTGACAGCAGTTGGAACGTGTGACTCGAGGCAAAACCATACGAATAAGGCAAACTGGAATACCAGACCTTTGACCTTTGAGATGAAAGCCAGCAGGACGCCCCCAATCTTTGCTCCCTCATCTAAAGCAGCGTCACTCCAGACCAGTCATTCTCGGTTCACCAGATCCAGCGTGACTACTTCAAGTAGCTTCGAAAAAAGGAGGTTTTCTAAGGTCCACGTCCTGGACTGACTCACCTCAAAGTCAGTGGTTCTTTCCATCAATTTTAGCGTACCTATCGATATCGACCGCAATATCGAAGAAATTAAATAGCCTTTATATCAGAGACAGTGCACCAATATTCATTAACAGGATTCCTTCGCTCTTAGACATTACTAGACAAGATGCATTGGATGTTGACGGCATGAATAACGGATTCTATGGGGACCTCGGGAGCACTGTCGGCCCGGATGAGCTTCTCGCAGCATTTTGGGGTGATCTCATTGGTCAGGAACTGTTGGTGCCAAGACCTCAAGTACCAACTCAGCGAGGGGCATTACCTTGCTATCCCTACAGCACGGCAACCTGCTAGCTTAACGTCATTATGGCAGACGACGCGAATGCGACGAAAGCTCCAGAGAGTGATGCTCACGAGCCGAGTGTCATCTCGCAAGATGACACGCCTGCTCAGACAGGCGCGAGTATGGGCGTCAGTACCACTACCAAGCTTTGCCCTCTTGTCAAGCTCAAAGTTGTTAGGAACACTGTGTAACGGACAGACCGTCTCGTATGTTCCCATGTCTGTACATAACAGGCTTAAATGGCTGACCCTGTGAGCAGCGACATCTGGAGAGCAGCCAAGTGGGGTACGCTCGCAGGATCAGCTTTCTGCAACATGAATGCTGACCATGTACCAGGAGCTGTCCAAGATCTCGGACATTGATGTCAGTCAGGCTCGGAGCGGTGATGACCGGCTGGACTGAAATCAGTCTGCCTAGGTGTACATCGCAAAGCCTAGCGACTACCCCCACCTACCATCAAAATTGCTACTATACCTAAGCAGTGGCACTGGCATACATTCAAAGAACAACCAGCTTCAAGCGGACAAATATGCTAGCAAGGGATTCTTGGTGGTGATGCCAGACCAGTAGGTCTTAGCACTCGCTTCCGACCATTTCGTGGCTGATTGGCCCAAGATTTGCAGGCGACCCGTTGCCCAACACGAACACAACTCCCAGCTCCGCCACAGATGAAAATGGCTCCATCATCGAGAAAGTGAAAATGGGACTTGCTACAACCGCCAAATCCTTCGTACTAGACATGTGGCTCGCTCGGCAAACACCGGAAAAGGTGCTCCCAGTCATACATAAGGTCATCGATGGAGCGAAAGAAGAGTTCGCTGATGCAGTCGCTAATGGCGGTGGGATCTATGCGGTTGGTTACTGCTTTGGTGGGAAATACGTCTGCATATTGGGCTCAGAATTACCCGATACAGTGGCACATGGACAAGCGATTAAAGATGAAGAGCAAGGGATTGTGAAGACGGGGCCACTGATAAAGTGTGGAGCTCTCGCCCATGGCACGTTGATTACGAAGGAAGATTTAGAGGCTATCAAGGCACCAATTTCATTTGTCGCTGTCGAAAATGATCAGCTGTTCCCAGATGACATACGGACAGCTGGTAAGGAACGTCTGGAGAAGGATAAGGTTGAACATGAAATGAAGGTGTACTCGGATGTCCCGCATGGATTTGCTACTGTGGGGGAGTATGAGGATCCAAAGATACAAGAAGCTCAGAAAGCGGCTTTTGAGCAAATGACAGCGTGGTTGCAGGCACACTGAAGATCTCTGTGTAGCTTTATGACAGAACTGAAGACATGAACTTTAAAATAATATTGTGATGATTCTCAGCTTTCCTTCTCCAACGCATTTGACCACTGGCAGCCACCTGTCATATTTCAGGGCCCTGACGCATGTCACGCCAAGACTTACCCCTTTGATTACATAATCTGGCAGCAGCTCCGGTGTTTAGGCGAATCTCCGAGTAGATCTATAAATCATACACCTTGGAGCCTGGATGTGTGTTTCTCAGCACCATCAAGGGACTTCTAGGGATCGCCTTTTCCGCGGGAGACTTTAGACATACACTGTCACTCAAATACACATGGCGTGCAAGCATATCGACTTAGCTGGTAAGTGTCCTCAGATAATTCGGTCAATGTACAAGGCTGAACGGAACTTCCAGAGCTACGTCCACCTACCGCTACGCAATCCGTTTACCGAGAGGACTGTACACGGTGTTTTGATTCTATCGTGCGTGAACAGCCTCAGACTTTCTACTCAATAGTCTCAATACTCACATAGGCTGTCATAGGATGATCGTCTCGGTCTGAACGTCTGTCTACAGTGCTTCAACGGTGGCTGCGCTGCCGAGCGAGCCCACTCACTACTCCATCTGCAAGATTCAGGACACACCCTCGTGCTCAACATTCAAAGAACGAGGAAAAAAGTCAAGGTCAGATTGAGAACGTCCTTGTCACGCGAGCAAGAAGTTCCGCTGTACAAGCACGGGTAAAGAGGTGAAGGCAGCGCTGACTCCCTGCAGCGTGATGAGCCCCCTCAAAAAATCACAAAGTTGGCAATAGCAGCCGAGACGGAGGAGGACCGGTATGATACCACGACGGAAGTGAGGTGCCTGGATTGTTACGTCAATTTGGATAAGACGTCGCCGAAGCTGGCACCCATCGTGCACGGAATCTTGAAGGCAAATACCTTTGCCAGGCAAGCAGAGGTCAAGGCTTGGGAACAAGAATTCACGCCTTGTGAACATACTCTTTGCCTGGAGCAAGAGCCCAATCGAAAGATCGATTCTCAGGGTAGGTCAAGCACCCTGCGCAGTCCAGCATCAACCCTGAATATGATTTAGATCTAGCCCATTGTGCAATGTGTGATCTGAAGGAGAATCTTTGGTTATGTCTCCAATGCGGTCACCTTGGTTGTGGACGCGCCCAATATGGCGGGGTCGGGGGCAACTCCCACGGTCTGGCTCATGCCGATCAGACCTCTCACCCTGTAGCTGTGAAATTAGGCTCTATAACGTCAGAGGGAACAGCTGACATTTACTGCTACGCTTGTAATGAGGAGAGAACAGACCCCGAGTTTGCTTCGCATTTAGCGCACTGGGGTATCAACATTGCCGAGCGCGAAAAGACTGAGAAAAGCTTGACCGAGATGCAGATTGAACACAATCTGAGGTGGGACTTCTCAATGACTACGGAAGATGGAAAGGAAATGCAACCTCTCTTCGGCCAAGGCTTCACAGGACTGAAAAATCTGGGTAACAGCTGTTATTTAGCCAGCATTCTGCAGTGTCTCTTCTCACTCCCTGAATTTCAACAGAGATACTACCACCCGCAAGACCCACCATTATCTACGACATATCCAGCTGAAGACCTTGAGACCCAATTGAGAAAAGTAGCAGATGGCTTGATATCCGGGCGCTACTCCAAACCCGATACAGATGTCATCGCCTCTGAGCACTCACCCGAAATTCCAACCCAGAAAGGTCTCGCTCCAGCCATGCTCAAACACCTTATCGGCAAAGGCCACGAAGAATTCTCCACTATGCGCCAACAAGACGCTTTCGAGCTCCTCCTCCACCTCTTCAAACTCATCACTCGCTCCGCCCTACCACCCGACTCTCCCACCGACCCCATCCAATCATTCCGCTTCACTCTAGAACAACGCCTTCAATGCACATCCTGCAACCGCGTCCGCTACCACGCCGACGAACAAGACAACATCTCCATCCCCGTCCCAATCCGGCGCAAACCCACACCCACACCCACCAACCCCCCAGATTCCACCACCTCCTCCAAAGAAGACCTCTTCGAACCCGTAACCCTCCGCGAATGCCTCGACATCTTCACAGCCCCCGAATCCGTCGAGCTCACCTGCCCCGCCTGCTCCAGCAATCTCGGCTTCACAAAACGCACCCTCTTCAAATCTTTCCCGCGCGTCCTCGCAATAAACGCACGCCGCTTCGAGCTTGTGAACTGGGTCCCCACCAAACTAGACGTCCCCGTCATCGTCGAAGGCGAAAGCCTCGATCTCTCCGCTTACAAATCGCACGGACTGCAAGATAGCGAGGAGGCATTGCCCGATGACGCTGCGCCTGCAGCGTCTGGGGGCTTCCAGCCGAATGAAATGGCGTTGCAGCAGCTAGAGGCCATGGGATTTCCGCGGGTGAGGTGCGAGAAGGCGCTGCATGCCACCGGCAACGCGGACGCGGAGGTAGCGATGGAGTGGTTGATCGGACATATGGAGGATCCGGACATTGACGTCCCTGTTGCGCTTCCCGCGCCTGGTAGTGGTGGGAGTGGGGCCGGGGCAGAGATCAGCGAGGAGAGTGTGGAGGCGCTTGGCGCTATGGGCATACCCGCACCGCAGGCTAGGAAGGCGCTGAGGGAGACGCAGGGAGATGTCAATAGAGCGCTTGATTGGGTGTTTAGCCATCCAGACGACGCAGGTGGTGATGAGTCTGCTGAGGCGGGAACGGCGTTGGGGGCTGGTGAGCCGGTAAAGACGGAGTTGGCGGGGAGTCAGGACGTGCCTGCGCGGTATGGGTTGAAGGGTATTGTGTGCCACAAGGGGGCGAGTATTCATGCTGGGTGAGTATTCTCCCCTTTCCCCCCTACTCTTGATGGGCAGTATTTGGAGTTGGTCACCGGATGGTTGGCTGATGAGGGCGTAATAGGCATTATGTGGCGTTTATACGTAAGCAGCTGCCGGCCGAACAAGGAGGGGAGGACGCGTGGGTGCTTTTCAATGATGAGAAAGTGGTGAAAGCGGAAGGAGATGTGGAGGAGATGAAGAAGTTTGCATATGTGTATTTCTTTGAGAGGACGTAGGCGTGGACATGAGGTTGAGGTTAGGTTTAGAAGTGGGAAAGGGCGGTAAGCGATGAGCAACGAAATTTGCATACGGTGGCGATCAAGATCAGATTGAGCTCACGCGAGAGATAGTGGGAGGATGGATGAATTAGCTCACATGGTTTGGCAACATTGATGGCTTGGATGATTGAATACACGAAGATGAAAGTAGATGAGATCGAAAAGTGATATGAATGCAAAATGTACCCGTTCAAGGAGAAAACGTCTTGCCTTTTTGAGTATCCTTTCTACTCAAAGTTTGCTTCGAAAAGGACGATCTTGTAATATATATTTGCTAACTCAAAAGAGCAGGGGGTATCACTCAGACGCCTTCTACTCTTCCCCATTGAAAATAACGCCGCTGTCTGTTTGAATATCGTGCTCCATTGCCAGGCGATTCGATACCACACAGCATTTCCCATTAATTAAAAGAATTCGAGAACAACCAAGTGATGAATGATCATCGCTTCAACACCCGCTGTCGACTCAATAGCTGGGAAACCATGAAGTGACTCACATCCTCGTCGCTCCAGTAAGATAGATGAGACGCTATACTCGCCATCGGGTTCGTCATGTCGAACATACCCCTACAGTTTATCGTCAGCGATCGGCTTCACTCATCCCAAGACATATTCAAGAGAAGCGTTCTACTTCAAGAGGGATGTAGACGAAGGAAAGAGTAACTCCCGGACACTTACGGCTGTATAGAAAAATCCACCCTCCCATTCGAATTCAGCGCCCGAACCTTCGCCTCCTCCCTCTTTAATCTCTTCGCCTTCTGCTCAGCCTCTGCCCACTGAGAGCTCTCACCTAGATCGCGGGACTCATCGCTTTGCGTCAGCTTCCTTGACTTCTCAAAGCCTGCGTACAGAGTTTCAAGCTCCTCGTCAATCAGCGTCGGAGGCGGCTCATGCGCCTCTTCTTCCGCTTTGCCCTGTTCGGAGCCTGTGACTTTAGCGTCGGGTTTCGTTTGAATTACAGGCGTCGCAGCCACCGCGGCCTGTGTTTGGGCATCCGGTGGTAGACCTAGCGTGCGATTCAGCAGCGAGGATGCCATGCCGCTAGTCACAGACGACCAGAGGCCAGAGACGCTTTGGCCAACACGATTACCAAGAGCAGAGAGGCCTTGACCCTGGATGTCGAGGATGCCGCGCTTGGTATAGGGAAGTGGCTGAGGTTTTAGTTCCGCCATAGCTGTGGAAATGAGGGGCTCGATACGGTAGGCGATCGGGTCAGCAGGATGGAAGATGTTGAAGAGTTGCGCGCACTTGGGAGAGGAGGCGCTTATGGCGAAGGAATTGGAGGAAGTAGTTGTCGGATCCGTAGATGTTGCGGCCAGGAATGGGTCGTCTGTTAGGGGTGAGTTGGATTTGATCGGACTTTGCAAAGGTCGACGGCCAACGATCTTGCGGCCATTGAGCATTTGATAGAGACCCAAGGGTGATCCAAGGCAGTAGTAATCCTCAACTTCGAAATTGAGCTCGAGGCTAGAGCTGGTCATGCTGGAAGTTCGCTTGTTTAAGGAAGAATTCCGAGAGCGAGAGGCGGTCTGATTTGGATCTTTTTGGTGACAGAGTACATCGAAGAGAATTGCCGAGCCCAGTGAATGTCCCAAGAGGCTGACCTTCCCGCGAAATTCTGGGTTTCGCTGTTTGAAGCTATCGTAGACTCGGTTGCATTCACGCACGACGATTTCTGAGATATGCTCACGATAGGCGCTTTGATACATCAAAATGTCTAACCCCAGATCTCTGATTGCTGTTCGGATTATAGTGGGAGGTTCAAGCGTGATGTTCTCCAGACTAGGGTACTCATCTTCCTCGGTTGTATCCGCAAGGTCCTGTTCTCGATTGCTCTTGTAACTCTGTTTCGGGAAGTCTAGAAGATGACGCCAGACAATTGGGAGTACCTGGATACGACTATTTTCTGGCTTTTCCATTTCTGAGTTAAGAAGTTGAAGGTCAGGTGATGCTCCATAGACTGCTTTGATATTCTTCCGCAACGTATTTACGTCCGCAATGAAGTTCAACATTTCAAGTCTCATGCCCAATTTCTGCCCTATGCCGTGAGTCACCAGGACAAGATGCTCGATCTCGCGTTCTTGATCCTCTCCTTCTGCTTGCTTATAACCGTCCTTGATCTCGGCTTCGTCCCGTTGACGAGCCTCCGCTTCTTGCTGTTCGGGATCTAAATTTGACATTTGCTTCTCCAGCTTAAGAATTGAAGGGTCTTCCTTGTCCGCTTCGGAAGTTTCAGGGGTAGGTTCTGTATCTTCGGGTACCGCTGATTTTCTTTTCGAATCTTCTTCATCTTTCTTCCCGTCCTTTCCCTTGCTGGTTTCTTTAAAGCCTCGGACTACCTTTACGCCTCCTAGATGTCCGCCGCCTGCAAATCTTTGGTAGACCGTGCTACTCATTCGAGAGAGAAAGTCATCGGTAAGAAGCCATGCTGTCATACCATCCTGATACGTTACGACTGAGTTCATGTACGAACCAAACAGACGTTGCGTCTGCAATTCGAACTTTTTGGTAACCGGCAGCTCCTCCTTCTTTCCATCTGTCACGCATTTGGGAGAGCTCCCATCTATGTTGTCCTTTTCCGGCGAGTCCGCTTGCTCTGACCCTGGCTTTGGCTTTGGTGAGGGTTCTCTGGACTGCTTTCCATCAGGCGGATTTTGCCAGGGCTTTACTTTTAAATAGCCTTGCTCAAGCTGGCCCGCAAGGTTTTCGTCGCAAGGCCTTAAATTTGATCCTTCTTGATAGAACCAACTTCCTCTGCGAACACCATAAATTGGACCAAGCCAGTACGCCGGGCCCAGTTCTCGTTTCTTGATGTCAACATCAAATAAAAAGTCTTCATTGACCGGAACCTTTATAGAAGCTTCATTGCTCGAAGTTGTCGGCCCTATGTCATTACCTTGTTCACCCAAGTCCACATCCGCTAGGGATTGGCTGCGTTTATGGCCCAGCTCGGCAGCATCATTTGCCGTTTTACTGCGCTCGAGAGCTTCTTTTTCCACCAAATCAGAGAAAGCCTTTTCTATTGCGTAGGAGTCTCGATAGGAGAATGCGGAATATTTCTTGGGCTTTGGTAGCGTCTCGTGATCCTTTGATGTATTTGCATACTGGGCTTTCGCTTTAGGTGCATCAGTTGCGTAGAACCACCTCGTGTTTAGTCTTGGACAATCTCTCGGATAGTCCTTTGAGCTAGGATAGTATCGGTGGGTTGTGGCGTGATCTTGAAGAGTCTGGCTGCTTTTGGAGGGTACACTGCTATCGTCCTTCGCTACCTTCTTCTCCTGGCCAGTAGCAGCGGGCTTTGGGGTGGTACTCCGTGAGGGCCACGGAGAGTATGCTTCCAGAAAGCTTGCTTTCTCCGTCATTCTACCCTTTCTGAGGCTCCCGAAGGATCGGAGGGATGTAAAGCGTGCCAACGCGGCAACTCAGGGTCAGTATACGCCTACATCCATAAGAGGAGGCTCCTTGCCTGCATTGCTGCTCAAAACCGGTATGGATGACGTCTGAGTTGTCTAATTACCGCGTCTGGCGCAGGAAACGCCCGGATAAGCCGCTGAACAATGCCGAATCTAGGGAAGCTTGGGGGGCTTACGGGGAGCCTATCCCTAGAGTTCCGGGCGGCCTTCAAGCCTCTACGGGCCGGAGACCGTCTTCAGCTATACTGTGCAAGACACTGTAGATTCATTTTCTCCTCTAGAGCAAAGTCTCTGTTGCAGCTTTGATGGAGACCAAAGAGCTAGAGCATGTTCGCCAACACTGGGCTGGACTCAAGGATAGAAGCGTCATCTACAAGTTCCTACTCAGTAATATCCGAATAGTCTCTGCGAGCCATGGAACCATGACCGCGAGACTTACTGTGGGTCAAGAGCACGTCAACTCTAAAGGTGGGCTTCATGGTACTGTGTCTGCCTGTCTCACAGACTGGGCGGGCGGACTGGCGATTGCTTCGACAGGTTTAGACAAAACAGGAGGTGCGTTGAACACAAGCGCTATACTCCCTTGACTAGATGTTGAAGCTAGCTGAAATGGTGTATTGAGGATGTTCATAGTCTCGACTGACATTCACACTATTTACATATCTACCGCTAAGGAGGGTGACGAGTTGGAAATTGTTGGACGTGCTAGCAAAGTCGGCAGGACGCTCGCTTACACGACGATCGAAATCTCCAAAGTATCGTCAGACGGCCAGAAGAGCCCGGTATGCCACGGGACACATACCAAGTATGTCAAGCAGTAAACAGACCGCAGAGATGGCTCAAGCCATCGATACGCATTCTTCTTTGCGTACGACGCATGATCAAGTTGTGTCGGACCTCACTCGGATTGCGAAGATCTACTCCCCTACTCAGCATTAGACATGTGCGTTGACATAATGATTGATACGCAGTCAATTTGAAAGGGGTAAATACTCGGAGTGTCATAGCCAGAGAGTTGAGGGTAGTCGACTCATTGAAGATTGTCATCCAGGAGGTTTCAATCTTCCAGAACTCACCCACTCATCCCAGATTCCATCCATTGAGGCTGCTCTTTCTTCTGCCGTCTTGCCTTCAGAATCTCTCAGAGAGCGAATGTCAGTCTTCTCCCTTGGGTCGTGCCTAATGAAAGCCAAGCCTTGTGCTGCTCTTAGCACTTCAGCTGGAAAGTGAGCCATGTCGAGACTCGAAGCGAGCAGCAACAGAAGCCAAGCCACTTCCGTACGTCCATTTTGAACCGCTACATGCAACCCACTATTCATGGTCCTAATTTGATCTTGATATCGAAGAAGCAAACTCGTTTCATGAGAAAATGTTTGACCAGTCTGTTCGTCGTCTTCACTGTCACCCTCCAGCAAATCCGCAAGAGCATCGATGTCCCCTTGTCCGCAAAACTCGAGGAATGCTTGACATTTTCGCTCTTCGGGATAGGCTTTTAGATACAGCTCTTCGGTCAGAACCGGCAGTATATCTAAATCCTCTTGTAGCCCTCCTTCATTCTTGAGATCACACAGCAGCTGGTCTCCACCTATATTTGAAGTGCTGAAGAGCATCAGCTTACAGCTTGGACATTGCCCCACTTCGTATCCATCTAGTAGACACTCCCTAACAGCCCGAGTCAACGAGTCCCCTCACCAAGTAAATGATTTTACAAACCAGTGAAAGTGACAGCCACATTTCAGTCTTACATCGTCATCTACATGCCTATCTCCGCCCGAAGTGCCAGCCCCAGACATTGCCTCATCCCCTTCCTCATCAATCTCGATCAACAATGTGAGAGGCTTATGACACGAAACACACACGTCAGCAGTTGAAGCTGCCATTCTAAATTAGGCGTACGCGGTAGACGTAGTGAAGCTTCTGTCGCATCAATTTCGACATCAAATAAATAAACTTGTGCGGAACGAGTCCGCTCACCAGTGAGGCCGGCGATGACTACCAGCTGACGGTTGTTGTAATACGGCTTATACCTGGTCAAGCTCACCTAAAAAACATTGAATCACTACTTGCAATGTGCACGAACGCTCAATGGCTGCGGTTATCCTTGATGAGGAGCCAGTCTCGGCGGAGACAGCGGGAAAAGAAAATGGTAGTCCTGGAGAACCATTGCCTGAGCTGAGGCCACCTGAGCCTTCACACAAAGAGGACATCATAGTGAATACGGAAGCGGGGTATGATGCCGTCCAAACAGCGCGCGACGTCACCAATCGCATCCTACACTTTCTCTCCACAGCCAGCAATGAGACTCTGGGCGCATGCCTCGTGGGACTTGCCGCATCGACCTACCTGATATTGGGAAGAGTTGGACTTGTCTTAATTGGCGTCGTAGCAGGCATCGTTCTCCAGGCTGTATGGGAGGGGTACGATCCGAACACACCAGCCGAGGGGGGGAAGTGGCTGAATCACAGAAGAGGAAAGAAAAGGGGCTAGATATCGTTAGGAGAATCCTAGATTTGAGGGAAGGCAAGAGGGCAGACAAGTCTCAGGATGAGGGCAAGAGCCTGCATGATCTGGACTTCGCGGATTTTCAGCCAGATACGAAGACTGCACTGGAAGGCTTCGTGGATGCTGTCATTCGTGATTATGTACACTGGTGGTATAAACCTCTGTTGCCAGATGACGCATCGTTTCCATCAGCATGTCGGCAAACACTGAATCACTTCATTTTATCATTCTCAACTCGTCTCGCTCGAAAGCGTCCCGCGGACATATTCCTTGATTTCCTCACCAATTCTTCGTCGATCGTCATCGTCTTCATGAGTGAGCTCTCGGCAGCTTTGTCTGCTTCGCGTGGCCTTGAACCTCAGCAAGCGATTAGCGATTATCTTGAAGAGAACCCAAGTGCGAGTCTAGCAAATGTCCTGGATGAAGAGCAACAGAGAAGAAAACTCAAGGCTGTATCAGAAGACGTGCTAGAGACATTCTTGGACGCAAAGGCATATGCTTGCGACCCAGTAAAAGCTTTTCTCCGTGAGGTTTTGGCCGGTCTAATCTTAACTATGACTATTACGAGTTGCTCCAGAGCTGAGTTCGTAAATGAATGGATCATTTCTGCACTAGAGGATCCAAGTTCAACGGAGCTAGTACAAGCCATCGATGCTAGTGTCAGTAAAGCTACGAACAGCAACGTCGAACAAAGGGGGCTGAGATAAGCGGTGGAACCAGGTTAGACGAGGATGCTGAGAACATAGAATCTTCAGCAAAAGCGAGCCATCGCCGGACTGTCAGCAAAGCAGAGACGGCTATGGAGGAGGCGATGCAAGAGGCTCAAAGACTGAATCAGATGATCGCAGAGGAAGAAGCGCGGAGGAAAAATGAGTCCGAAGAGACGGTCTCTTTGCCTGAAGATACTTCTCACGTACCAATTGACGCTCCTCAGAGCAATGAACTTTTCAACGACCCGACAATCTCGTTGGATAGTCCGCAAGTGAATGGCGATCAGGTTGAGGAGCCGTCTTCAATGTTGGTACAGCCATCACCAGCTTTCAAGAGCTTCAACGATATCCTTGCTGAACAGGCGCCAACCGCCCTTCGGTCGAATACTGACCCCTCTACCCCCCAGAAACCGCCCCCACTAACGTTACATAACGCCAAAATTTCTATCTTCGACGACTCAGTCCCTGGTGAGAAGGGGGCTATCAAGTCTAAGCCAGCAGCGGAATACCTGCTGCAAATTGAACCTGCTTCATCTCACCATCCTGGATGGATGATCCCGCGAAAATACTCAGATATTGAAACGCTGCATGAAGTTTTACGGCGAATATCCGTCGTTTCTGGCGTTGAGGAATTTGCGAAAATGCATGCTACACTACCGAGCTGGAAGGGCAAGTCAAAAACCTCCCTACGAGTAGAGATCGAGAAGTATCTTCAGGACGCTCTGTCATTCCGGCGGCTCGCAGAATCTGAAGGCATGAGACGCTTTCTTGAAAAGGACCAGCACACTGACCGGGCCTCACCCAACGCGCGGCAGGCGACGTTCCCAGCGGCGTTTGAGACTATGGGAAAAGGTATGCTTGATGTACTTAGTAGTGCACCCAAAGGCGCTGCTACTGGTGGTAAGGCAATTGTTGGAGGTGTGACTGGCGTCTTTGGAGGTGTAGCTTCTCTTGCTCAGAAGAAGCCGTCTCCAAAGCCGCCCTCAGATAGGACCATAGGATCTCCACCACTTTCTACCCCAATTATCCCTCGATCAGAGACGGCGACTCCATACAGGCCACAACAGTCACGGGACTCTTCGGAAAGTGTTCAACGAATAGAAACAACCTCACGAGACAGCCTGCATTCGACAAGCCTTGACTCCAGTACGACATTAGCTTCTGCAAGCCAGTCGATAATTGAATCACCAAATGCGAAGCTTGAACAACCTTCTATCGACCCTAAACCTCTTGAGAATGGTACCCAAAGTCAAGTGACCGACGAATCAAAGACGAGTCACCATCCTACCCTTGACCAAACCGACTTCAATCTCCCACCCCCTCCAAGCGAGATCTCAGACGACTACAGCACCCACCCATCTTCACCGAAACCCTCCCTCGACGGCATCCCCCCTTTTTCAAGCTCCATCGGCACCGCCCCCGCTTCATCCATGCCCTTCCCAACACCCCCACTATCCACACAACCAAAACCCAAACCCCCACCAACCACGCCCCCTTCCGCACCCCTAACCCCCCAAGAAACAACCCTCTCAATCGAGCTCTTCTTCGCCACCATAAACGCGCTCTACACCCTCTCCTCCGCCTGGTCCCTGCGTCTCACGCTCCTCAACACGGCAAAATCCTTCCTCCTCCGGGGCGGGCCCACAAATTCCAATTTCGAAGCTATCAGGCAGTTGCTGCAATCCACCATCATTGACGCCAACACCTCCGACGCCGGTATCGCCGCGCACATTGACGCGCTGCGCGCCAACGCGTTGCCTACGGAGGAGGAGTTGAGGGTGTGGGAGGAGAAGGAGAAGGTGAAGAGGGAGGGGATGGAAGTGGAGAAGGAGAGGAGGAGAGAGCGCGCGAGGGAGTTGTTGGTGAAGCGGGGAATGCCACAGGCGCTTGTGGGGGTGATGGGGCAGGCGGCTACGCAGGAGTGTCTGGGGAGGGTCTTTGATTGTCTGCAGGTTGAACGGGTGGCGAGGGGGTTGGTGTTTGCGGTGCTTTTGCAGGGGGTTAGGGCTGTAGTACAGTGAAAGTTGATGAAGAGAAGGGGGAAAAGGGGGGCAAGGAAAAAAGTGGTGATGATTCGATGACTTCTCGTATTGATTGTAGGTGGTCAAAATGGTTTAGATGGAGAAGAGCACGGGCTGTTTTGGGGGAAGTCGATGACCAATGGCAAGTTCCTAAACGAGGTGAGGGTTTCAAGGAATTCCTCACTATACATACATTTGACATTTATTGTATAAATTTATAAATTCATCCATCAAATCATATGTCATCCAACGTATACACAATAATTACCATGCTGCCTAAAATGCTCATCTCAACTCATCGTGACAAATCACCAACAACGCAACCTTCGTTTCCGGTCCTAAAATCAACAAATATCCTCCTTAGAATAGCTCGACACATAAGCCTGCCTGAGACCGATGTGATTATTACACCTCAAGCACCCTCTTCCACCAGCTCGACGTGGCCCTTGCCACCCTTCTCATCCTCTTCACTCGAAGTTTCCACGACGACGCCACCATCGACTTCCTTACCCATACCCATCGCTCTCAGTGCGTCGGTTAGCCCAATCTCCTCGTTGATCTCAGCTTGGCGTTTAGCATCCTAGATCATAGCACGTGTCAGTCAGATTTGCTCAAGACACAAGAAGTGCTTCCTCCTTCCTCTTTTCCACTTCTGCTTCTGCGCCTTCGAAACCATATGCAGGCGCAGAAAGCAGCCACAAGTCGAATAGCAGAAATGTGAGAGACGAAATAGAAGAAGAATAACTTACAGCCTCAGCGACGCCCTTACTCCCAAACACCAGATCCATCTCCTCAAGCGTCAACCGTTTCGTCTCAGGCACAACTAACCAGATGAACAGGAACCCGCCCACGCAGCCCAGCAGGCCGAAGAATATGAATGTCCCGTATTTCATGGACTCCAGCATATCAGGGGTGATTTGTCCCACGATGAAATTGGACATCCAATTCGATGAAGCGCCGAGAGCGATGCCGTACGCCCTGTTGGATATGGGCCACACTTCTGAGATGATGATCCAGCCGCAAGGACCTATGTATTGCCCCCAGTCAGCTTTCCACCATAGACAGAAAGACGGGCTTCAATCATGGCATTCCATGCGAAGGTCAAGACAAAAGGGGACGAAGAAAAGAAGAGAAGGGAGGAGAAGGACCGACCCCAGCTATACCCAAAGTTTACCACAAACAACCACACGAACACACAAGCCGCCCATCCCGCAGTCTTATGCGCCGCCCAGTCTTTATAGCACGTCCCGAAGATGGCCGCGATGATGAAGTGGCAGGCAGCCATCCCCGCCGCACCGACAAGCATTACGGGTTTCCTGCCTAGCTTGTCGATATAGAGTACTGCGGGCACGGTAGCGAGGAACATGGCGACGCCCACAACACCTGTGGCGAGCAGACTAGTTGTGTTGCTGCTTGTGCCGAGGGCGGTGAAGATGGAGGGGGCGTAATAGAGCACCGCGTTTATACCTACGAGATAGTCAGACCCAGAATCTGAACTATTCGACGCGCACTAATACCTGTGAATTGTTGGAAGAACATAGTGACTGTGGCGACAATGACGCGCTTGAACATCGCCTTCGTGCGAAACAAAGACGCAATGGCTACGAATTGCAGCTTGAAGACATTCCAGGGTTTGAGTTCGACGAGGTGCGGCCATTTGTCTGCGATATTGCGTTTCTCGAACACGGACTGGGATTTTATCTCGAGGAATTCGAGCTCGATCAGCTCGTGGTCTTCGCTCAGTCCGCGGAGAGAGGAGAGGACGTGTCTGGCTTCCTTCTCACGACCGTGGTGAAGGAGCCAACGGGGGGAGAAGGGCATGAATAGCATTCCTATACCGAGGGCGAGCCCGGGGACTAGTTGCAGGCAGATTGGGAGGAGCCACGCAGCTTCGGATTGGGTCTTGCCTGTGCCGCCGATGTAGTTCGTGCCGTAGTCGATCCAGAACGATACCTAATACGATATTAGTCATCTTACAGGTCTCTGAGGTGTCTAGACGTTTGGGCCTAGTGGAGATCAATAGTACCATGATGCCAGCGGTGATAGCGAGTTGTTGGAGCCCGACAAGGCTGCCGCGGACTTCGGGAGGTGCAACTTCAGCGTTGTAGTTGGGCACGTTGACGGACATTGCACCGATTGCGAGTCCTATTGAGATGGTGAACAAGGAGACAGGATATAATGATTCGAAGGACGGGCTAGAGAAACATACCAGTGACGAAGCGGCCGCCAAGAATGGCAGAGTAACCAGCTACAATTGCACAGCTTTGCACGATCACACCGATGACAAACAAGCCGACATTGAGAACGATGGCATATTTGCGTGAAAGAGTCTCGGCTATGAAACCTGAGTAGAGACAGCCCATCCAGGCACCCAATTCGAAGATCGAGGTCAACCAGCCCTTCTTCGTCTGGTCTTCCACCCAGTCGCCCATGTCTATTACTGTTCAGCAATGTTGTGATAATCGAGGACGAACTAATTTCATACGCCGTCCGAATACTTTCATAGTCAGTATGCCCGAGAAGACACCCTGATTGTAGCCATAGACGAAGCTGTGTAGAGTTAATGAGCTTTCTTGTGCATTGTTCTCATTTTGAACCCACGAACCCTCCCAAACAGGCAAAACAAGCAATACCAAACACTTTGCGGTTCTTGACAAGTGCTGCAGGACCTGATACTCCCGTGAGAGCCTTGCGTCTGGCTAGAGCAGCGCTCTCGGCGCTGTTGACTACGGGCGCCATGTTGTTGTAAACGCGAGGAAGCAAGGTCTCTTGCTGGACTCGATATAGTCGAAAGGATTCACCTAATGCAAGTACGTATCTTTGCTGAGACTTGGCCTCGCTTTGGCCGTTGGCTTCACTGCAGGGACGCTTTGTCTTTATGATAATTGGCTAGGTGGTCCGCATGCACGGCTTTCCTTTCTGAGCCTAGAGCCGCCCCAATGGCATCTCAAGAAGGTTCACCCACATGCGGAGGCGGGAAGACTGGAGCTGTGCGTTGAACACGGTATGCTAGGCCAGGAGAGGAATTCCGTGTATCGCAATTGACCAATCAGTGCCGTTAGACGCGATGAGTTTGCGGCAATGAGGCATGTGGCCTCTTGGAACAGCATTCTTGCGTCGCTGGCTGTAGTTCCAGGTTTTTGCTTTTCCTACAAAGGCCACGTAGATCTGTGTCGGCTCTGACCTGAACATCATAATGCACCAAGTTGGTATGTTGTATTGTTCGCTTGCTCTGCGAGCGGTCAGCACATATATAGTTTACCTTAAATAAAGGGAGACTTACCGCTCATGTATGCATTGAAAAATTCATGCGGGTCGAAATTCAGCTCGGTGTTCCCAATGTTGTCGGCTGAGAAATCATCCCATGAAAAGTTACTGGGATCAAGGAGATTGTTAGTTGGTGGGCCTCCTTGCGCTCCTGGGGGAACAATCTGCCAAGACGAATCAGCCTTTGCGAGCACGAGGACGGATCTTGTGGAGTTTTAGAAATAGACCCACAGTCTGCAAGGCAGCTTCTGATGCACCGGGTCCTCGAAGATTCTGCAGACGAATGAATGTGCTGATCGAGTCGCTGACAATCGATAGATCGACGTCTCTAAGGCCAGTCTCGCGCTGATCCAGAACAGCGTCTACCCATCCTGAGCCAGCGTAAACTCGATGTTGATCTTTGATAGCCTGACGAAGGAATTGGTGATTCGCTCGGGCGATCAGAGCAAGGAAGCCTTGCGTCGACTTCCTCGCAGTGTCTGAGGCATTCGAGAGCGGTATATTGAGTTCGTCTTGAGGCAGCACCATCGATGGCGAGGTTTGGCTGGGGATCGGGAACGCGGCTGGGGAAAGCGCATCCGGTGATTCTTCAGATTTGCTCTCGAGCATATCACGCACATAAGCAGCAGCTGCGTGGAAAAACGCCTGGTTGAGGTAAACCAAGGAGACTGTTGGCCGGTCGTCGATCAACTTTGCGATTGTCAGCAGATCGGTGATTGCCTTAATGGAGTTTTTGTAAAGGTCTTTTGCCCTCCTGTCGGCTAGAGCATTCGAATCTTGTCCGGCAAATTTCACCACGCCTTGCTCAACGAAGCTTTCTTGGCAGAGGAAGGCGATCTGAAGATGATACTGCAGGTGCAGCAGCAAGTAAGGGCCAGCTTGAGCAGCTTCCACGGCCGCTCGGTACGGCATGGCACCAAATGAGACCTCTTTGGGAAGGGTGCGATAAGTTTGCATCATGTTGCTCCGCAAGCTATTGATGCGCCCGATGCGATCATCGAGTCCTTGGTTCGACGGGTGACTAATTTGACTCGCTCCCGTGTTGAGGAAGTCGATCGATTGAGACACCTGAAGCATGATCTTGACCATCTCAGGGTAGACCTCAGCCGACCGGACTTTCGTGCGGTTACTGGGGCCCGCTCTTACTCTCGCTACGTCTACGCTGGTTGGCAGCCTCACATTCATCTCGTGGGGTTTGAGGCCAGGAACCCTTCCAGTACCGTTGCAAAGGGCGGCATCGGAAACAAAAACAGCCCAGAATAAGATGATTTCGGCTGAATCGTGGAAGGCTTCCGGCTCAACGACCTCGTTCTGAGGGCTTGTTTCTCCAGGGTCTTCAATTTGCCGACTAGGGCGCCTTTCACTGCGTTGTCGTTGCAATCCTAATTCTTGTGCCATGCGAAGTGCCATTCCTGTGTACATCCAAAGGCCTAGGTTCGTGAGCTTTATACCATATACTCATGTCATCTTACATACCTGCTTCGTTGTTGTCCCCAAAGTCTGCAAACGCCAGCAGCAGAAGACCAGCAACACCGTCTATCGTAGGCAGATTAATAGCTGAGACGACCATTGACTTGGCCTTTTCAAGAAAAGGTGAAGCATTTTCCCAAGCCTCACGCTTCGTGTCCTCTGGTATTGGCGAGAAATATGGTACAAAGATCTCAGGCTCGCAAAATCGAGAGGAAAGGGCTGCAATTGCCCAGATTAGAAACGTAGAAGCCCTGCCCTGGGCAATTGACTGATTCAGGTAGTTTCGATTCATGAAACAGTAGATGTCGCCATAGTAATTGAAATATGCATCTAGAATGTGGGAAAGTAGCTTTGATTCTGGCAGCCCTGTCCGAGAGTCAACGATGGAAAGTCCATCAATCGCTGCAGAATCGCCGCCTGAAACGCGAGGCTCTCCGGGCGGACCCAAATTGTGAGCACCCGCCGTACCCTCTGGTGCATCGTCGCGCGCTTTGAGAGAGATTTGCTTATGACCTGGAGCTATGGCAGTTGGGCCGTGATGTCTGTAATAGTGAACGGTCGTGTATGGAGTATCGCTTGCAGATGAGCGGCGGCTGTCGTCTGTGGAGGATCCTCGAGACATGTTCTTCGAGTCATCTTTCCGCGAGGCGGGCACTCCTCGTGGTGGCTCTACATTATGGAAGCTATGCTCGCTTCCCTCCTCCAGGATTGGTAAGGGAGGTGGTGCGAATTGGTCATTGAGCTCGAGAGCGCCAAAGCGATCCGCTCCACCCTGGGAGCTCTTGGCGGATGATTGAGACAAGGACCTGCTTCTCTGCCGCTTCACCTTTCGTCCGTCCTCTTCGGGCCAATCGCAGCTTTTGGAATGTTGCATGCAGTAGTCGCAAGCTAAGGGCGTAGAGCGTGGGTGCTTGTCGCCCGGTTTGCTTCCTTTGCATCGGATCTTTAGCTTGCGACATTGCGCGCATGCTATACTGGAGTGCTTGTTCTTTTGGGGGAAGATGTTGGATCCTCGAAGTCGCTCGGGGTCCTGACTTTGATTGAATCCATTGTGACTGTGGCGGATCCATAATCCTAGTAAGATCAAATCATGGAGCTACGGAAGGTATATGATATATACTTTTGACAACCTGATATGGTTGCATAAATGGCTCACTTTGAGAGAGATTCCTAACGTCGCGTGCGGCAATGATCAAAATAGGACCTGTACTAGTCATTCGGTCAAGCAATTGACCTGTGCTTTTGACGCAAGCTTGGACCAGCGTGGACCCTGCACCAGGGTGAGGGTGGCACTCAGAACGGACAAGTATCCGTAATAGGAGCTATTCGTGGTCAAACATGATGAGCCTCCGGATGACTTGGCCTCAGGCTATCAAAGCCTCTGTCCTATGTCCCGACCCGTTTGTTTATCTGTGAGGACAGTCTCAGATCAGTGTGAGGTCCTGGGGCACGATGCTCGGCAAAACCTGCCCACCACAGAATTGGTGAGGTCGCCCGGACGCGATCCGCGTCATGTCGATTTCACCTCCTCTAAATTTAGGTCCTGATTCCTAACCCTTTTCCGAACCTTCGTTTGGGAGTATCCTCTGTATGAGACTCGAGCTTCTATACTGGTCGTTGCCTTGACTAAGATGGGAAAACGCGCAACGAATCAAGAGGACTATGAGTCGGACGGAGGCTTCATCGAGGACGCACCAAAGAGCAAAAAGCAAAAGGTTGGGAAGCGCGAGCGTAGTCAGACAGGAGGTCTCGACAGCGCTCACGGAGGGACTAAAGATAAAGATGGCACCTGGTGGGAGGTATGAGGCCTCCCGTTGCCCTTTGTTGCAGGCGCCTGAGCGTCAACCCGTGGAGTCTCAGAAGCATTGATCTGATTACCACGGCCCCAGCTATCGCGGACACGCCGTATCCGCATCAACGAATTCAAGGGAAAGACGATGGTAGATATTCGTGAATACTATGAGAAAGACGGGGAGACTTTGCCAGGAAAGAAGGTGAGCCCAACCGAGCTTTATGGGTACGGCTATGGAAGAAAGGAGCAAGACTGAATGAATGTCTCCAAACAGGGTATATCCTTGAACATGGAGCAATTCAACACCGTCATAGGCTTGCTGCCCCAGATCGAGAGGGCATTGAAGGGGAAAGGGGAAGAGATTATTAGACCCGACTTCAACAAGGCTCCGGACAAAGATGCTGACGAGAAAGAGAGTTCGGAGGAAGAGGAAGAGGCTGATGATAGCGATGACGATGAGTAGGCTGGTCGCAAACAAAAGAGCGATGGCACCGGCGTGCGGTGCATATTTGGGCAGTGAGATCGTTCATTTGTCAATCGACATGCCATGTGGTACTCAATTGAGCGATATAAAATAGATGTACTGGGTACATCGGTTGCGGCGGCATGCAGGGAAAAACCGCCCCATTCTTCTAAATACCGGAGGTGAGCCTTCGGGGGAGGAGAAAACCAGTAAGTGTGATCATGGGCGCGCATTCCGTAGCATCAGGCCCTGCTCGGCTACAGACGTTGACGCTAAAGCAGGTCCCGACGCTAAAAGTCTTGCTTTGTCCTCTATTTGGCCAGGCCTCCTGTCATGTTTTCAAATACTCTGTGATTGATCTACTTGATTCAATGAACATTTGCATTTGCGCAGCTGCAAAGACCTATCCTTAATTTCGATGCTGATGAGTCTTTTATATATATTTATATATATATGTCGGTTGATTTGAACTGCTCTATCTAACGTCCAAATCCTTATCATGGCGTCACCAATTCTTCTTTCCTTAGCTGTTCTGTTCGCCTTTTACGCTCTTAATCTTTTACGACAGTTTTTCAAGAACCGAGCAACTGCAAAGGCGTCGGGCATACCGTACTACTACAGTATCGCCTATCCTGGATTTCGCTTGTGGCGAATATCTGCTCTCGTCCTTGAGCCACTTCTTCGATTACTTCCAGATAGATGGCTGGATCCATGGCTGGACCTGGCCCTGAAATTCGGTTGGTCTCGTCGCTTCGAACCATTCGCCAGAATCGGCTCTGGTTGCTTCTTGATCGTAACGCCTGGGTCCTTGACCTTGTACATGGCAGAAGCCGCGGCGATTACCCAAGTCGTGAATCGTAAAAATGACTTCCCAAAGCCAGTCGAGATGTATGGGATCCTTCGCATCTACGGCGACAATGTAGTGACGACAGAGACACAACAATGGAGACATCACCGGAAAATCACGAGTCCACCATTTTCGGAGAGGAACAATCAATTAGTATGGCTCGAGACCTTGAACCAGACTCAGAGCATGGTCGACAGCTGGTTTGACCAAGATCAAGACCGATCGAGGACTATCACTACTCTTGTTCAAGATGCCATGAGGCTGAGTCTGCACGTGATCAGCAGGGCTGGTTTTGGTGTTGGTTTGGCCTGGCCCGGGGCTAGAAGCCAAGACAACGATGCGTCAGTGATATCGCCAGACTCGAATCCTGGCCACACGATGACTTACATGGAAGCCATAAGCACGGTGCTTCATCGTCTCTTGTTCATCCTCTTACTCCCCGATTTTCTCTTGAAAATACTCCCCTTCAAAGTCACGAAGGAGGCACATGTTGCCTTTGTGGAATGGCGTCAATACATGAAGGATATATATGACAAGCGAAAGAGTCAAATTCTAGCAGGTCAAGAGGGTGACTCGACGGACTTGATGGTCTCCATGCTCAAAGGCGCCGGCTTGAAAGCTCAAGAAGATGCTCAGGACGACAAAAAAATGCAGCAAGCTTTGACGGAAGACGAAATACTAGGCAATGCCTTCATATTCATTCTCGCTGGACACGAGACGACTGCTAATTCGATCCATTTCACCATGGCCTATTTGGCTATGAATATCCCAACCCAGCGTAGGCTACAAGCCGATTTAGACGAAACCTTTGGGTCTGCGCCTGTGAGTGAGTGGCAGTACGAGAAACATGTGCCACAACTCTTCAATAATATGGCTGGCGCCGTCATGTGTGAAGAGCTACGGCTAGTTCCACCCGTCACCGATATACCCAAATGCACTCGGACTCCGCAGGATCTCGTCATTGGCGGCAAGCACTACACTGTCCCAGGCAACATTATGATCCACTTATGTGCGCCTTGCGCCGGCCGAAACCCAAATTCATGGCCAGCAGGACCCCCAGCTGACCCTGACAATCCTTCACATCCATACTCGAACCGCGACAACGATTTGGAGGAATTCAAGCCAGAACGATGGATTCTTAATTCCAGCAAGATCAATGAGACTCAAGAGCAAACCGAATCTAGTCCTCCTTCAACTGCACTTCCAAGTGTAGACTCTGGAGTAGACACAGGAGCAGGCTTGTTCAAACCCGAGAAAGGCTCTTTCTTGCCTTTCAGCGATGGTCACCGGTCTTGCCTTGGACGTCGATTCGCACAAGTCGAGCTACTTGCTTTTCTGGCTTTGGTCTTCAAGCATTACAGCGTTGAGCTCTCTGTCGAGCAGTGGGCCAGCGACGAGCAAGTAGAGAAGATGGATCCAATATCCAAGAGGGAGACTTGGGAGAAGGCTAAAGCAAAGATTGAGAAGTCACTCAGAGATGATCTGGACAGTATGATCACCCTGCAACTACAGAAAGGCCACCTCGCACTGAGGCTGGTGAAGAGGGGTAAGGAGACATTCGACTACAGGCAATGAGGCAGATTCATGCTTACCGACAATGCTCCTTGTGCCGTTCAACTAGCCGAGTGCACGTTCTGTTGAGCCATAGGAGGCTCCAAAGGCAGTCGACGGCGACAGTAGAGTCCTTCATGGGAATTGCTGGCTAGAGACAAGTCAATTCGCCAATGCCTCGGCCGGCCCTTCAGTGGAGTGAGCTCCTCAGGGGCAAGAGAACAGTGCGAGTCAGTGCGTCGGCACTACTGCAGCTTTAGCATGGTTCATGCCGTCATGCAAAGGTTGGAAAGCCCCGCGTGTGCGCACACGACATTTTACCTATTTCGGAATTTCTATCCTCTGGCTGGTGCTGGTGAGACTAAGACGAGCATTGCATCAGCGGATCTCGTCTATCGGCATAGAACGCTATATTCTTTGACATCTTCGTTCTAAACTCTTCAAAAGCAAGTTCTGGAGATTCTTCTGAGTTTTTTGGACCTTCAAGCTACCGACTGCTATCTTCTACAATGTCGCCCAATCTACCCATCATTGACCTTTCTCCTCTTTCACACTCATTTCCTTCCCCTACATCCCTCTCCCATCTCAGCGATGAATTCTCTAAAGCCATCTCCACAACCGGCTTCGCATACCTCTCTCACCCACCCCTCTCCATTTCTGAACCCCAAATCTTTCACCTAGCAAGAACATTCTTCTCCCTCCCACGATCTACAAAGCACACCCTCGCAAAGCACTCCTTCAATCCCCACAATACCAACACCTACCACGGCTACTTCCCCCGCAACCCTCCCTCGCCTCCGACAATCTAAAGGAAGGCTTCGAAATGGGCCCTCCCAATCCCATACCCAACCCTCCAGACATGCTCACCTCCCCCATCAACCTGACCGAGCCCAACATCTGGCCCCCACCCTCATCCGCTTTCAATCCCACCCTTCGCGCTCAAGCAGAGACACTCCACCATGGGCTCCAAGCGCTCGCTCAACGCCTCCTTTCCCTGCTCGCCATCTCCCTCGACCAAGAGCCGACCTACTTCGACTACATGAATAACGACAGCGTTAGCACGTTGCGCTTTCTACACTACCCTTCCCCCTCCCCTTCCAACAACACCGCCGCCCCAAAAAACGACGAAAGAAAGAACGAATTCAGCTGCACCCCCCACACAGACTCCGGCATCCTCACCCTGCTAACGCAAGATCCCACGGGCGGGCTGGAGGTCTTGGTCCCTACCCAATCCCCCACCCATACCCCTACCTCTACTGCTGACACTGGGGAGGTGACGGGGCAGGGGAGGGGGGAGGAATGGATCCCCGCCCCCTACGTGAAAGATACCCTTGTTGTTAACATCGGGGATTTGTTGGCAGAGGTTAGTGGAGGGCGGTGGAGGGCGACTGTGCATCGGGTCAGAGCTTCGCCTTTGCCCTCCCTTACCCCTGGCCCTGTCAAAGCTGTAGGTGGGGATGAAGGGGGAGGGGAGGAGGGGCAAGGTAGTGCAGGGAATGAAGGTGGGAGCGAAGGGGAAGGGAAAGGGGAAGGGGAAGGGGAAGGGAGGGAAGGCAAGGAAGGGAGATATTCCGTGCCGTTCTTTTTTGAACCGGGGGTGGAGTGTGTTGTCAGGCCTGTGGGAAAGGAGGGGGAAGAAGAGAAGGGGGAAGGGAAGGGGCAGGGCGTGGTCTATGGGCAGCATGTTTTGGGGAAGATGAAGGGGTGGGTGGAATTTGCTGATGTTGGATTGGGGCTGGGGGAGAAGAGTATGGGTGTGGCGAGGGTTGGAAAAGTGGGTGTGCAGGCTTGAGAGATGAGATTCTCTGGCGTATTGGGGTATGTCAGCGGAAGCAGCAAGTAGAAAAGGTGTCGAGTTAGTGGACGGGAATGGTCTCCATGATGAATGTCTCATTTGCTCATTGCACTTGGCTATGACGAAGCGTCTTTACATCCATCGCTCTTTCGTCCTCCCGCCACCTACTCATCCGAAGCATCATCCTCACCCCCATCTCCACCCTGAAACGCAGTCGGATACAACGTCACATTCCTCTCCAACGGCCCATGCGGCCTCAAGAACTGCACGTAAGCACCATCGATCTTCACCCTGCCATCCTTGCGCATCTCAACATACTGCTCGCGGCGTAGAGGCGTGAAGCCCCAATTCTTGCTCACGATGATCTTCTGCCGGCCTGGGAATTTGTATTGAGAGCGGCGGAGGGCTTCGATTGCTGTGGCGCGATCTATTTCCCCCAGTTATATCAGCATATACCCCAACCAACCAAACAGCAAAGGGAGCACAGGATATGGGGTTATATCATGGGGTAGGATAGACATACGATTATCTCTCGTTCTCACACTAAGCAGGATCTGTCCGATATTGACTCTAGCAACGGTCCCATTCGGCTTCCCCCACGCCCCACGCATTCCGGTCTGCAGCCTATCGGCTCCGGCGCACGACAACATTTTGTTGATGCGGACGACGTGGTAGGGGTGCGCGCGCACGCGGAGATGGAAGCCTTCTTTGCCGGCTACTTTGACGAGGTATCTGATCGCCCACCACTTGCGTTAGCCTTTGTTCTTGGTCTTCCTTCTTTCACAAAGGTGTAGAGATGTTTTGGGGGGGCGTACTTATTTGCACAAATACGCGCAGCTTCTAAGGCTTCGGAGGAAAGCTGCTCATATTCGTTCGACACCATGTGTACGCAGAGGGGGAATTCATCGACGTTGGCGCGCTTGCGGCCCAAGTCGAAGATGCGAATTTTGGGATCGGGGACACCGCGATTGAAGCGGGATTTGGGATATGGCTGTTGGAGAGAGATATGTTAGTATTGAAGGCTTAGAAAGGGGTTTTGTGAATGCCGAGCTGTTCCCACGTTGGGAATTTGCCTGCGAAGTGGGGGAGGAGGTACTGACCTTGTTCTTGCAGTATCGGTAGCAACGAGCTGGACGGCGTGCCATTTTGGAGGTGGATAGAGGATGTTATGGAGGGTTCTGAAGTGGAGGAAGGAAGATTGGGTATCCTCCTCTTGAAGCACGAACAATGAAATACTCGCTTAGCAATATATGTTGATTTACAATCTGCTCAGCCCTATAATTCTTGGCACTCTGGTCTACTTTTTGAAGGCCGTGGTAAATCGACCCTTTTCATACATGGTATCAGGATACAAATTTATGACTCACTTCGTGTCAGACTGGGCAGAAGACAAGCCGTGCTATCCCAACACTCAGCGTATGATTCGCGCTCCTATATTTGTGGGCAATTTGGCATGGTTACTTAGTCACTTTGGGCGATGAAGCCAGGCTTGTGTTGATTGGTTTTACCTATGATGCAGGCCACGATTTTATGGGGAGATTCTTAATACCTGGTAACATGCACGTCCGCCTGACGACCTCGCTTTGGCGTGAAGACATCTCTTACCGCTCACGCCAAATGGTTGAATGAGTTTCGAAGAGAAGCAAGAGGTCATTGACATCGTTTTCAGGGGTCAGTCGCAAGTATGCGTCAACCAGTCAACGATATCGGCGAAGCTCGACGGACTGAGGAAATTGCAGGTCTGTCAGGTTTAAGAGCGTGGACACAACAAGAGCTTCTGAGCTATAGAGGGATTTGGTTGGCATGGTGCATGCGAGCAAGGAGCTCGGTCCATTTAGTGATCGCAAATGATTTACGCTTGGCGGGCCATATTCTCAACGCTCGCCGCCAGAGCTGTATTCGATAGCCGGCCATCCAATTTCGATGAAACCAACCTGACGGAAAAATCGTCATGAAAGATTCGGAGTTGAAGGAGCCTGTAGTGCAAGATTGACTGGGCGTGCGACATGTGTTGCACGTGGATGATCTTCTGACTTAAAAGATTTAAAATTTTCAGATCTTTCGTGCTTCAATATGCCTAAAGTCGCTCATTCGGTCATGACTGTCCCCCAGCGCCTGATAATATGTCCGAGTCCCCAGCATCCAGTACAGCCATCGTCGAACACCTGAAAAGTTTCCCGCATGCAGTTCCTAGCTCGATCTGTAGAAATGAAGAGTCAGCTATTGAATCTTCACCGTTGTTTTCGCTGGAGGTTTGAAGATTTGAGGGAGGTTGGATTTGTCGGACTCACATTGTTGCCCGCGAAGTGGTGGACGTTCGTTTTCGACAGCATAGAATAGTCTTGAATAATATCAATTGGCTTGTCCTCTGACGACTTGCACCCTGTGTCACCTACACTCAAGCTCACTCTTCCGGAGCGGCGCCGTATTCCCAGCTATTATCACTAATTTTGCCTTGCCTGATCGGAGGGTCTTGAGGGTTGATTTGTATCCGAGCGTGACTATACTCCAGTGGGTCAGCTCCGCCGTGCTGGTAGAGCAGGCACAATTGGAAGCCGTACCTTTCCCTGATTTCATGACCAGCGCTAGGCGGGAGTTGATGCTGTCCGCTGTCTTCTTGGATTTTTTGGGCGCCATTCTGGACAGAATATCTCGCCGATGGCCTGGCAAATGGAGGTGAAATCGACACTTGCGTACGGACTGCGGACACTCACGTAGGCGAGTCCGTAGAGATATGTGTGCGCTAGGCGGAATATTTCCGCGCGCCAAGACCTTTGTCGTTGAAGGTCGGCGGTAAACTAACTTACCTTCTACAAATTGACAACAACAGAGCGCTATAATTGGTCTGAGCAGTCATGTCCACCGCGAATACAATCAAACGTGCTTTGTGCTTGTTTCCTGGAGTGCCCTTTAAATTGACTCACCATTTTTACATCCAGTTCGCGAAGTGAATGCCGACACCCAAAAAAAATCAATCCTTATCCACTTTTTATGTCGGCCAGACCCTCAAATCAAGAATTGTCGAGAGAGCTGATAATACTCTCTCATCGATTTTGTTCTGGTTTCCATCCTTCTTGAAAAAACGCTAGCGCTGAGACATCTGTTCATGGTGCAAGTCCTATCTTTGAAGATATCTCCTTCCGCTTTTGATATGGTCAAAATGAAAAATAGCACCGAATGATTCATTCGTCTTGTGCCGTCAGCCCATCCTACTAAAGATACATCAAGCAGCATTTCGAGGGCGTACCCGATACGAGGCGGCACTAACAATCATTTTCAGCCTTTTTGCTCTATTACATAACCCGTTATAGATTTCAAAAAGCTTTGATATAACTGACCCTTGATCAGATCTCAGCTAGATCCAACAAGCCACTATCTCATGAGCAGATGCTGCTATTGGATCGCGAGCATGTCTTCACTAGCTATGGCGGGCCGCGGCAAGCCACAGGTTTTCGCTTGGTTTCTGATAAAGCGCAGACAATGTCAGCTTCTTCGAACCAAGCCACGGATTTAAGGTAATGGACAGCTGACAGTACCTTCTTCGACCGCGGGGAAAAGGAACGGTCCAGGTTTTCAGCCTTTTCCAACCCGTCGACCTCTGGCCTTCTAGATCTGCAAGTTATGGACCCAAGACCGAGGACTTTAATGCTCTACTTTCCTAGGTTCGAGCGATCTTCTCATGTTGTTCAGCATGATGAATCCAAGGCCTTCTCGCATACTTTAGCCATCCGATACTTGCTCCAATCTCATGGAATCTATATCCTTCGATCCATAGTTCCGTTTTCAGCAGCCAAATCCCGCGAGACGTGCGATCAGCAGGCTTTGACTCTCCTCGTTGTCAACACAGAAGTGATCCTGCTCGTCATTCGAGGTAAAGCTGCAATAGCCTTTCAGCTAGACTTGTTTTGCACCAAGTCCTCCCATTCAGAATGGCTCCTGCTTTATTGTCTATAAAATCCTGATGTTCCAACCCATTCTTCAACAGCTTGCTCTGTGTGCGAGGATTTCAGTCTCAATCAGTTCCACCAATTTCCAGCTCAAGCTTCAGCCATGGCGGTCCCGAAAGAAGCCGCCTTCTATCTTCTCCATGTTACGCTCCTTGGGGCAGCAGCAATGGGTAAATCACTAGATCAGATCAACTACAAATCCTTGCCTATACCCCGAATTATACTGGCAAAAAGATAAACCAAGTGCTTACTCCCTTGCCATACACGGAGAATCCTGTAAGTCAACTCCTTAGAAGTTGGTCTCGTATTTGAACTGTCCAAAACATACAAAACGTGTTTGTTACATCACGTATCCATTGGGGCGGCATTTTCAAACCTGGTTTTTGCAGAGTATGTTTGTTGAGGGATTTGATGATTAGTTGAAATCCACACCATACTAGTGATCAGTCGAGCAAAGAAGTTGCTGACGAAGACGTCTTCCAGCGGTCAAATGGGGAAATACATCCTCCTCACTACCTGGAGAGACCACAGCGCAAACAGGTCCTTTTCCTTAATGAGGTCGATATTAAATTCATGATTGACAGCAACCTCTCATCCAAAGGCTCGGAGACTGGCACACTAGCCGGGTTCGGTCAATTCCTTGAGCCTGGAAATGTGATCAACGTCAGCGTGTGGTAGGTGCTGGGCAAAGACAAATTGATCAGCCACACTCCAGACAATTTCGATGTTTACCTCCAATATGTTTGTACCAACTTTGCCGTGCCGAGCATCAAGTGGACACCTTTGGATGATACTCAATCCACTCTCCCGGTCCATGGTCATTGGTCCGTGGTCAGGAGCCTTTTCTCTGGCATGCACGTTTCTCAGGGATTAATTTGCGTGCTGAATGATGGTTCATTCGTGCGCAGGAAGATTATTTTGTTCGCAGGACGACGGTCACGATTGTTTCGGTGAGCGCCATCGAAGCCGCAGTACTCTCATTATCTAGGCACTCAAATACATAGTCATTGATTTAGAAATACGTAGCCGTCATCCTTCTAGATACCAGACGGTTTTTCTTCTTTGACATTGTCCACGTTCTTGCGTTGATTGTTTTTCCCGCGCAGTTCTCATCAATAGTGCGTAATATGATGAGAGGCCCTGAGAACGACTGCTCCGGGCTTTTCTAGATGATGCATAAAACAGATAACTCCGGTGAAAGGCAGTATAAATAGATTTTAGATACGAAGCTTATATTAAATATGTTGAAATTTCCAAGGTTTATTGGTTATATGAAGAACAAATAGTCTCCAAGTTTTAAAAGCAATCAAATTTGTTGTTGTGGTTAAAATCTGAGGTGAAATTGAAGAAGATTACCCCCATAAGGCTTAGTTTTATGCATCATCTAGAAAAGCCCGGAGTAGCCTTATAAAGCGGCAAGACCCGCGCGACTTCGAAAGGGAAGTTGATGACGGCTGAGGTGATGCTTGCGGCTATGTATAGGACAACGCGCCATCTGCAAGACACATAAATTCTCCGGCTTGCAGCAGACTGTATACCCTGATCGTCACTGCTCTACTTGCAATACTTGTGTGCACTCTTTGGTCTTTCATTGCTCAGTTCGGCAGGTACGACCTATCATCTAACCCCCTCAAATCCCAGGGGCTTCTTCGGCCAGCTGCAGAAGGCGGTATCTTACTATTGCTGGATCTTGCTCTACATTCGCTCACCGACGATGCTTACTACTTGCGTGATGGAATGATCAGTAGAGAGTCAAGAGCATCGAAATACCTAAATTGATTGAACGACTCTCCCTCTTGAGACTATGGCTCCTTCAAATGCTACAACGGCCAAGCCGCTCGCAGAGAGACAGAATTCACGACCAAATACCACAAAGCCATCGACTCCAAAAGCAACGACCGTGAATGGTGCAGGAAGATCTCCATCACTGCGAGGGGGAGTGACCCGCCCTGGACGAGCTACACCAAACAGATCAGATTCTCAACACCGAGCCGATGAGCAATTTGAAGAAGAGGCAAGAGCACAAAATGCCGCACTCCTAGACGAACTTCGTGAAAGCACACGAAAAGCAGAGACTGCATCTGAGGAGCTACAGCGGCAACTGAATCTATTGCAGGCAAGACTGGAAGAGTCACAGCAGTCTCAAAGCCGATTAGAAGATCACATTCATGAACAAGACAGCAAGATTGAAGATCTTGAAATGGGCAAGTCCGATGCGGCTCGTCAGAAGCGTGATATGCAAACTCTGTACGAAAGCGAACGGACTGCGTTATTCAAAGAAAAGGAGGAACAGAATCTTCGTGAGGATGAAATGCAAGGAACCATCCAAAGATTGAAAGAAAATCTTGCACAGCGAGAAGCAAGAAAGGCGCAAGAAGGCATCAAAGATGTTGATAATGGTAAGTATCCGTACGGCGTGGGTCTTGATGTGACTGATCAAGGCTTTCATAAAGCGACTGATCAATTCGCGCCACCGATTTCTCTTCAACGTATTGGTACGGATGACCAGTCGAGACTGGTAGCAACAAAGGACCGTGTCATCGAATCACTACGATTAGAGCTTGCTGAGGCACAGATCAAGATAATGGAAATGGATGGCATGGGAGGTGGGCAGATGCATGAAGTAGAGAAAAAATTGATGGAGATAAAGATCGAGAATGCTCGCTTGTTGGAAGATAATGAGAGCTTTCAATTGCTACTTAGTGAAAAGACCCTTAATGGAGAATTCAGCAAAGCGGACGCAATGCAGTCAACTTCCGGTCTGGGATCATTAGCAGAAGAGCTCGGATCTGAAGACCTTGAAAACGCCGAAGATAAAGGGGAACCAAGACGACGTCTAGAATTGGAGAACAAATCACTCAAAGATCAGAACAGGGCTCTTGCAGTATACATCGAAAAAATCATTGGCAGACTACTTCAGCATAAAGACTTTGACACAATCTTCGACAAAAATCCTGAATTGTTAGCGGGTGCACCGCATCCGCAGTCCAGCGGGGCAGCCGATGTAGACAAGGACTTACCTCCTCCACCTCCACCCAAGGACAATCCGCCAAATGAGGGAGGTGCTGGCGGCTTCTTGCAGCGTGCCAGATCCGTCGTATCTGGCCCTGGTAAGCGCCCTCGACCAGTCAGTCAGATGCCGCCTACCACAGAGTCGCCTCTCGCGCCATCTGGACCAAATGAGGACCCATCGAAAGCACCCAGGATACCCCTTGGTCGTTCTACATCCACCCGTGCTGGCCATGGACGGTCCCGATCTGATATGCCTAATGTTGCCCCTATCGTCAATCAAATGTATAGAGGACTCTCCCCTTCAAGGGTACCAGGACCTTTAGGCAGTCCTGGGCTTTCTCCTTCATCGACAGCAGCTCGAACCTCGTTCTTCTCCCAGGCCGCTTCACTATCAGGCTCGACGCAGCGTGCAGTTTCTTCGTCACGTACCTCTAATCAGGAGAAGCCCACACAGGACAAGCCACCCGGGAGCAGTTCCAACAGCACCTTCAGTGATCGTAGTGGAGGTGTTGATGGCACACCTAATAGTGCAGCAGCAAACAACTTCACGGGAGCAGTTATGACGCAGAATCGTCTACGACCATTACGACTAGTACAAGAGAACAAGGAGATGGAGGGTGGTGATGATACCAAAGCGCAGGAAGAAGCCACTGCTGCAAGGAAGAGAGCAAATCGCACCAGCTGGATGCCCAATTGGATGGCTCAGCGCAATGTCAGTAATGAACAATCATAGATCATGGGAAGGTTTTGGGAGGAGTTTGGACACATGGCGTCGGTTGACATCTGCAGCGAAACATTTTATGACCTTATATTTTAGAGTCGGCTTCTTGGGTTTTTGGAGCTTTGCTCTGTGATTGATGTTTAGCTTGTTCAGCATCAATGAGAGAAAACGGGATTCTTTTCATGACCTGCTTATGCAGCGAGACCTCCTTCTTATCCATAATTCGCAGTCAATATTTGACAATTTTGACCCCAGCTTCACGGGTCTTACAAAGGGCTGTTCTCACCACTCTTGCTGTTACTCCCTCGATTGCCCCCTTTTCCGGTTTTCAGCCCTAGCCCTAGCTCCAATGAGAATGCCCATCCATAAACTTGAAATAGCATACCATGGCAATGCCCGCATGTTACTCCTGGTCTTCGCTTCTCAGCTTGTCCGTTTTATGTGAGAGTTGCACTAGGAAAGCCTAGCATTATGTTTGGAGCGCTCAATCGCTTCATATCCCGCCTAGACTCGGACACTCCGTCTAATGGATCTAGAGATGGTTATACAGCTTGGGGATTCCAAGTGCTTCGCAACAACAAGCCTGAAATACCTGTTGAGCCATGGTATGATTTCATCATCGGGATTAACGGCCGACAAATAGTAATAATCTCGTTCAATGGCTGCAAATTGCTTGCTAACCACAAATTAGGACAATTCTGATCCAAGTCTTTTCTCCACCGAAGTCCGCAACTGTGCAGGTGCAAATGTGACTTTGACGACCTACACGGCAAAGGTTCCCTCCATTACTGTTGTTATGGGAGAGGACGGGTAGCTTACACTTAGGGATAGGGTCAGCGAACGTCAACAGTTGACATTCCTATCGATCCTTCCTCTCCCAGTCTTGGCCTGACACTACAATGGTCACCTCTGTCAAATGTCGACCAAGTCTGGCATATCCTTGAAGTGACACCTAACAGCCCTGCTGATACTGCAGGGTTGCTTCCCTACAGCGATTACATCGTCGGCACACCGGAAGGACAAGTACATGGAGAAGCTGGCCTCGGTGAACTTGTTGAAGACTACATATCGAGACAACTGCGATTATTTGTGTACAATCAAGAATATGGTATCACAAGACTCATCACTATAACGCCGAGCCGTAGCTGGGGTGGAGAAGGAGCCTTGGGTTGTGTGCTTGGATTTGGTGCATTACACAGGCTCCCTGCTCCTCTCACTGAAGGGCCAGTGCCTGGCCCCGGCGAGTCCCTATTTGAGGGTGTGAGACTCAGTGGAGAAGGTGGTCGGCCGGTATCACCTTATAAAGAAACCTCAGGGTACAACACAAACGCTACTCCTGCACAATTTTCATCCAATGTAATAATACCAGCGTCGTTGACTTCGGCACCGCCTTTACAACCGCCGACTAGTGCGCCAGCTACTGGCCCTCCACGAGGCGGAAGGAGAGGGAAGAGGGTCTTGAGCCCAACGGTTGCGTTTGATGAGTACTTCAAGGAGGGAGAACAGAAGAGCAAGGAGGATGATTTCGTGCCGACTTCGAAATCGCCTGCACCACCACCTCCGCCTGGAACGAAAGGTGGATCCGCAGATACAAATGACGTTACCACCCATGAAGAACATAGTTCAGCAGAGAAAGACGGTAGTACTGAATGATGCTCGGACTCCGTTTGAATGACGATCAATTGGTCCAAGAATCTTACAAAAGGTGACGAAAGAGGGTCCATGTTTCTTCCCCATTGGACTTTAAGTGTCAGCCTCCATTGAATAACGAGAACACAAAGGTGGCCATCGCCAGTTCAGCATCAAAGGGCCTCCAAGAATCCTGTCAACGATCTCAACTACTCCCGCCATGCTTCTCATGGCCTGCCATGGACACCTCCATGATTCGATCTTTCAGTCCATCCACAACACTCACCACAACGCCAGCTTCCTCCAGCCGCTTCCTGCCCTCATTCTGGCCAATGAACGTCTCTGGCTCCTTGATTCCTACATACACTGTTTTGATCGCGCCGCCCAGCCTTAGTATTCTGTCAACACAGGTCCTATTACCACTCAAGCGTTCATTACATGGCTCCATGGTTGTGTACAGAGCCGTGTTTTCTGGCAGTACTTCACCTATCCTTTCCTCTGGAAGATCGAACCTTTGCGCCACTTTAATGAAGCAGCATTGTTCAGCGTGCGTGGTTCCTATCAGTCAAACGTCAGGGGATTTTGACCTCAAGCCATTTGACGGGTAATTAAGGGAGAAGCCTGCTTAGACAGATTCCGAAAAGCTTGGATCAGAGAGGTTGGGGCGTCCCGAGCTACCTTAAAGACGTCGTGCGTTACTCTTGCTTGACTTACCTGGATCCCCGAGCGAATCTCGAGGTAGTTCGAGAGAGTATCCAGTAGAGATGATAGAATTGTTCGTATGGTCGACCAGGACAGCTCCAACACAAAATTTTGTCGGTGCCGGAGGCGACAGCTTAGCAATGCTTATGGCGTACTCCATATAACCTTTATGGTCCCCTGCTGCAATACTAGGAAACGAATGTTCCGCCATTGGCTTCGCTATCGATATTACCAAGCTGCCGGAGATTATTCGCTTGGACAGCAAGTTCGGTTGCTTAGGAGCGGAGATAAAGGCTAGGAGTACGTCTACGACAGCCACCGGTGGAGGGAAGCTTGGGAAGGTATCTAGCAGCAAACAATATCTTAAGTTCATACGATTTTGAAATGGATGAAACTATGATTAGGGATTTTGAGCACCGTCCCGGGCGCCTATTTTACTTAGAAACGTCATCCATAGTCCACAGGACAATAGTGGCCGAACATCGGGCTGAGTAGTGTGAAGATTCTCACTTAAGTTCAGGCTCTTTGTGAACGCTTCATCGGAAGGAAATCTTGGCCTGTCTGCAGCATTTCCATCTTTGTCGCAGACTACATCAATCCCGAACACTGGCGATCCTGGTTGGATTGCTACCGGTCAATCCGAGCAAAAGCACCTCTCTGGATCCTTCTCGACCCACCTCAAGTGCCGCTGAATCAAGCTTGGCTCCTTTCTGCAGAGCCTATCGCGAGGCAAGACTCGACTTTCCGCCCCTTTCACTCTGCATTAGCGACCACCACCACCAGTAACGACCAAGCGCCAATGATTTACCTTGCTTATGCTTGCATTCAGAAACCACCGTTTACATTTCAATTATTCCACTCATGCATACGCAGACCAGACCCTAGGAAATAGGCATATCTGATTCAACGCTATTGATTGAGCTCATCGGGTTGAGCACGAAATGAGTACTTACTTCGGAGGTACTCTAATTCAAAGCAGTGCCTACATCCCTGTGGTCATATCAATAACCTGATTTGCAAGACGACCCATTGGCTCGGGCGAATTCAATCCGCACTCATACAGAGCGTACCAAGATGCGGCGACAGCATGGTACGCATACGACATGACATTCTGCGAGCGATCAATGGCTTTCCCATCCGAATTTGGCTGATTTTAACATAGTCGATCTTGAGTTTCCGGCGGAAGGACACCGCATTGTCCTCTGCCTCCACGCTCCTGGGCACGTCTATCACCAATGATGGCGTGAATAAGCCGGCAGGTCCTCTTGGACTGAACCTTCTTCATTCGCCTTCGAAGCCGCTTGTTGACTTTGTATTCGTGCACGGTCTAGGTGGTGGTTCGCGAAAGACATGGAGCAAGACGAAACTCATCACAGACTACTGGCCCCAGGAATGGCTTCCCAAGGACCCTGCTTTCAAAGACGTGCGGGTACATAGCTTCGGGTATGATTCAGACTGGACCAAGCGTACCGGGAGCTTCATGGATGTACATCATTTCAGCAAGGCATTACTTGGCGAGATGTTTACATCACCATGCCTTGAATCCTCAAGGACGCCTCTTGTGCTCATCGGGCATAGCATGGGAGGCTTAGTGATCAAGAAAGCTTACATGCTTTCGAAGCAGGCCAAATGCTACGACTTGCTCTCACAGAGAATTCGCACCCTTTATTTCTTAGCGACGCCTCACAAGGGCTCTGACTCGGCTAGACTTCTGAAAAACATTCTGCAGATGACAAATATGTCTGTTCCTTACGTGGCAGACCTTGAAAAAGGCTCTGTAGCTATACAACATATTAATGATGAGTTTTGCGAATTCGCTACTGATCTGGATATCTGCTCCTTTTATGAGACGAAAAAGCTGAAGTATGGACCTCTGAGCACGCTCATAGTAGATCCGGACTCCGCAATTCTAGGCTATCCTGAGGAGAAGCAAGTACCGATGAATGCTGATCACCGTTCAATATGTAAATTCGACACGCCAATGGATCCAAGCTATGTGACTCTCCGCAACGCTTTGGCGCTTACTGTTCAGCAACTTGCTAGCTTAGGTACAGTCGTTGTCTTAATCTAATCAGATATTGCTAACAGGAAATAGTAACCAAGACTGAAGAAAGTCAACGGCATAGCCAGCTCGCCCATCTGTCCACATATTTAAAAATGCCTTTTCGTGCGGAAGATGATTTTGTCAACGTTGAAGATGCCCGAATGCAAGGAACCTGTGAATGGATTACTTCTAAGGATAGCTATCGGGAATGGTGTGACACAGCTTCGAATACCCCTAGAGTACTCTGGGTGACTGGCAGACCGGCAGCGGGTAAGTCTGTACTCGCAGGCTATGTCATTAGTCAGCTAGAACAGCAAAGTTTCGCCTGTAGCCACTTCTTCTTCAGGTATGGTGATAAGACCAAATCGCGACTTGATATCTGCCTACGATCATTGGCTTTTCAGATGGCTTCTCACAACTCAGGTGTACGGGAGAAGTTTTCAGGAATGCAAAAGATGGACGAGAGGCTTGAACTCGCCAGTCCTCGCAACATGTGGCGGAGACTATTCATGTCCGGGATTTTCAAAACAATGTTGACTCCACAATTCTGGGTCATTGATGGCTTAGACGAATGTGAAGATGGTGCTCTGTTTCTTGATTCAATGCTGGCAAGTCTAGATGACGCAACGCCTTTACGGGTCTTCATTACTAGCCGGGAATCTCCTGAGCTCCAGAAGCGAGTAGATAGCTTTGGCGTCCACAGAGCCCGACATGAGCGGATGACCATTGCGGATACCCTTCCTGATATTGAATTGCTTGTCAAGACCAACATTAGGTCTGTGTCCCTGGACAGCGACGAGCAACGTCAAGACTTGGTCGGCAAGCTTCTCGCGAAATCAGAAGGCTCGTTCTTGTGGACAGCTCTTGTTTTAGAAAGTCTTTCTAAATCCTACGGCGAGCAAGAGATAAGCCAATCTCTCGAAGACCTTCCGCCGGACATTGAAAACCTGTATCAAAGGACTCTGTATACATTAAGCAAAGCTGGAAGTGGGAAGAGATTTGCTCAGGCAGCACTGATGTGGACAGCATGTGCATTCCGGCCATTGACAACAAGGGAGCTCCAAACAGCGCTACAACTCGATATCAAAGATAATTTCTCTCGGATTGAGGAAAGCATAATGGCAGTGTGCGGCCACCTAGTCGTCGTGGATAAAACAAAAAGGGTGCATATGGTTCATGGGTCGGCAAGGGAATTTCTCTTGAAGGGTAAAGTTGGGTCAGAATTTGCGATCAGTAAAGTCAAGGCACATACACGCATAGCCCGAGCTTGTCTGGCCTACCTCGTAGGACCTGAAATGAAGCCACCTCGCACAAGCAGGCGTGGCCTATCATCTGCAAGGCCTTCGACAAAGAGGGACGACTTCTCAGCTTATGCCTGCTCAGCATTCTCCTACCATCTTAGCAAAGCCGACCCGCTTTCAAGTGACATACTACTAAGCTTTGAGAAATTCTTGAAATCAAATGTTTTGTCGTGGATTGAAGCCATCGCGCAAGAGAAAGATTTGAAGCCACTGATACGGACTGCGAACAACATCAAGAAGTATTTTAGCCATTGCGCGGTCGTAAGGTCACCTCTTGGTCATTCCATGCACCTAATCAAAGGCTGGACGATAGATCTCGTTCGTGTTGTAACCAAGTTCGCCGATGCTCTAATACTTTCGCCATCAGCAATATATTCGCTCATCCTTCCCTTCTGTCCTTCGGACTCTGTTATTTGCAAGACTCCAGGTATAGTGCATAGACTGGCCGTCATAGGCATTTCGAACGCTCAGTGGGATGATCGGTTGTCCTGTATCGATTTCCGAGAACATCTGACGACCGCCCTTTCTTCTGGAGACGATTATTTTGCAGTAGGGCTGATTTCAGGAAGCATCGTGATATATCATCTATCTTCATGTCAATATTATAAAGGCTTGATGCACGGCGAAGTTGTGAAACACTTAAAATTCAAAAATAGAACAGCTATAATGGCATCTTGTGGAAGGAAGTTGATTCGAGTATGGGACGTTAGCAGTGGCGATCTGCTTCATAATTTTCAAGCGCCATTGCAGGTTTTAGATCTCTCTTTCAACCACAACTCGCTAATAGCTGCTTCCTCAAAGAATCATGTTGCAATGTGGAATCTAAATGACAATGGGCCTGAGCTTCGCGAAAAGCCATGGGACAACGCTATGAAAGATTCAAGCGCGCGGTCATTTCGAGCACCGTGCGCTATCTCCATGTCCGTCGGTCATTCCATGTTAGCTGTAGCATATAATGGCCAAGCCATCATGCTTTGGGACACCGAGGGAGAGGCGTACTTCGGTACTTGTGGCAGGAAGACGACTGGTGGCGAGACTACCACACACATGGTCACTGCTCTTCTTTTCAACCCCAATCCTGATATTGAGCTCCTGGCTGCGTCTTACCTGGATGGACAGCTTGTGGTTCTTGACCCATTTAATGATCAAGTAGTAGAAGGCTTCCGCGCAAACTGCCATATATTGGCTGCTAGTCCTGATGGCGTCCTACTAGCGGGTGCCAGTGGAAGCGGTACAATACAAGTATACGAATTTGAAACATTAAGAATGCTCTACCGAGTGAGGTCCGCCAATCTCCATATCAAACAGATAGCTTTCAGCAGAGACAGTCTTCGATTCTGCGATATCAGAGGATCGCATTGCAATATATGGGAGCCTCCAGCTTTACTTCGGGATTCCCCGGGTGATGACAGCAGCGAAGACACATCAAATTCCGTCACAGATGTCGTTGCCACTGACACCGGAATCAGGGTCAGCGTAATGGTACTAGCTCACGAGGCAGATTGTATCCTCTGTGGCAAGGATGACGGGTCTGTCTCTCTTTACGACCTCAAAACTGGAAAGCAAAAGCGCGTGCTTTATAGTCACAAAACGCAGCTACGCCTTCTCGCATGGTGGCCGGAGAGAAGAGCTGTCTGTAGCGTCGATGCTTCGAATAGTATATTCATGTGGCAATTAGAAAGGCTGCAACAAACTGACTCAGCGGTCGAGAAGGCAATATTCCAAGCTCGGGTTGATGATGGCGACGCAATTGTTCAAATCTTGATAGGGGATGCGGCAGGCAAATTCGTTCTTGCAACACGAAATACTGATTATCTCTGGAACGTTGAAGGGAAACAAGAAATGGTTCGAAGCTACGCGGATGACAGAGGACTTCGGAGGTGGGTACAACATCAAGAGTCGCCTTTTCACATCATTTGCATTGAGGCATCATGTGCTCGAGTCTATGCTTGGAGCGATTGGTCAGAATTCACGTCGGTATCTCTCCTATACGATGTGAGGGGCTTGCAACTAAAGAACGTCTACACGTGTACTGTGGATCACCAAGCGCGCCTGCTCTTAGAACTTTCGAAGATTGAGGGATCGCTCGCAACGCACGCCTTGCAATTGTTCAATGCAGAGTCTTTCGTTATCCAAGACCCCGACAGAAATGCCGCGGTACCAGGCACGGACGATGAAGACCTATTAGTCCCGCTTCCCAGTCTAAATTTTGCAGCTCTTGCCGTTCAGATGGTGCAAATTGTTGGGGTCTTGAATGATTCGCAGTTGGTGTTTTTTGACATTCACTCTTGGATTTGCTCGACCCAGCTCAACAGCCTTGATGGAGGCTTGTCATCATACTCAAGACATTTTTTCGTCCCTCATGATTGGTATGCTGGGGCAAGAGAAATTTCGTGTATTGTGACTGGCAAGGATGTGGTATTTGCACGAAACGATGAAATTGTAATTGTCAAGTCTGGACTTGAATTCAACGAAGAAGTCAAGATACAAGCTGTATAGGCAGTATGAAAGGTCCTGTAGGGTCTCTGCTGACGAAGAGAACATTCAATCCCGCATGAGCAACAACTGCGTGTAACCAGAGCCGCCAACAGCTCCCTGGCTGTGTATCTTCATTTGTAGAATTAGCAGAAGACAACGCTTTCCGGCGGCGGGCATTATCTTCAATGCCATTTATCAACCAAATCACCATTCATGAATGTGCCTATGTACTTCGAGAGACCTACCTTGGTATGAGATCGATGTGACAGGCCTTCCTTACACGCCCGGTTTATCGCTGACGATCATTGGCTGCACCATTCCAAGCGCCTCGACATATGCAGCTAACAGATGAATCACGTCGGCTCCATCCTGGTGCCGTCCTACCTTTTCAGAGCGGTGCAAGCGGGATTCAGGCCATATACACCGTCTTAGTTGTTCAGAGGGAAGTTGCTGCCATCATGGATTACAGAGGTGCGCCAGGCTTGGAATTTGGTGATGGCAACACGAGGCTTGATCCAAGTGTTGCGAAGGGTGACCTGCTCATTTCGACAGATCTTGACAAAGCTGACTTCCTCAAAGCGCTACCGGAAGGCAGCAAAGTCATCGCCACTGATGCTCATGGCATCAGTTTCTGGGCCAACACCGGCCGTCTGGATGTTGAGCTTGCCGGTGGTTCGCCACATGCGTACTTCATCAAAGTAATCTCGAATGATGTTGGTTTGAATATGGTCCGCAGGCATGTCAATTCTACTTCTTCAGCTTTTTACAAGAGTTACCGACTTTTGGTATGCTCTGTAGACGCATTGGGTCCATTAGCTCAAGTACCCTTACCAGACCTCATGCTTAAATAAGGCAAAGTTCATCAGGACAAGCCTGCGACTAACCAGAAATATGCCATGCAACATGCTATCGTGTCATGACTGACGCCATAAAAGCGAGTTTCAGGCTACAAAGGCCATCCATGCGCTACTGCCTGACTTCGCAACCAAGCCCATCGCTTATGGCACCTACGAGACGATACCCGATACGCACTTCTACATCTGCGACTTTCGAGAGATGATAGATGACATGCCAGACCCGCATAGATTTACTACTCGCCTAGCAGCACTCCATCAAAAGAGCAGGTCACCTGAAGGCAAGTTCGGTTCCGAAGACACGACGTTCAATGGCAATTTGCCACAGCTCGGTGGATGGGAAGCGAGCTGGGAGACCTACTTCAGTAAGAGTATGAGACTTGCTCTCGATCTCGAAATCAAAGCTAAAGGCCACGATACTGAGCTTGATAACCTAATCCCAACACTATTTGACAAAGTTATTCCACGGCTGCTACGCCCGCTTGAAAGCGAAGGACGGTCAGTCAAGCCGTCGCTTGTCCATGGAGACCTGTGGTACGCCAATTCTGGCATAGATGTCAACACAGGCGATCCCATCATCTTTGATGCGTGTAGCTTCTATGCCCACAATGAGTGTTAGTTCAATGGAAATTGAAATTGTAGCATGACTGACGCTCTGTGCGAGGAAAATAGATGAATTTGGCCAGTGGAGACCGATTTGCAATAGATTCGGAGCCGAGTATCTGGAAGCCTACCATTCATACGTGCAAATATCCCCTCCTGCTGAGGACTATGACGGTCGCCTAGATCTATACAAATTGTGAGATTGGACCGATTTATTCATCCGAGAAGCCTGACCTAGTACAGAAAATTCAATACGCACGTATCCGCACTCTTCACCGATAATCAGACACTTCGAGAGCAGTATGCTTCCCTTTGTAAGACATCTCATCACGGATCACTGATCGTTCAACAGGATGCTTGGTGATATCAGGGATTTAGTAGCGAGGTATGGATGATCGCTTTCAAGGCGCAGGTACAGTAAGTAGAATAATATCGTTGGTCATCGTACAGAATTCCTGTCTTTGTACAGTGGACTGTGCACACCAACATCGAATCTGTTTAAGACAGATAACACTCATGAATCAGTCTTAAGCCTTATTCCCAGTCGATCGAGTCAACAGTGAGGCGTTCATTTTCGGCTCGCTCGGAGCACTTTTGAGATGTGCCATATGACTCCATACAAAGGGCGAGTGGAAATACATCCCCATCTATCGCCGAGACTTCGATGGTGTACCCCAAACCATACATGCAAAAGATTCCTCTTCGATCTTGACTACACCACGATTCCGCTAGCAACAACATCCCAAAAGCCAGACAACCATCCTACTCATCCCCACCCTTCCTATACAAGTCCATCTCCTGATACCCACCACAAAGCTGACACTCATCCCCCGGACAGCGATAATGGCACCTCCGCGCATCCACAGCCACCGCATACGGATCCATCGCCGGCGCACAAAAACACATCGTCCCGAACAACAGCCCCACATATCTGTACGACACATCACGGCGCAGACATCCATCCAGACAGTTCTGAGGCGTTGTGTCATCGACTGCGAGGCCGTAGTGTCCCCATAGCGGACTGCCGAGCCCGGCGTAGCCGTAGCAGCCGACGTAGGAGAAATTGTGGGAGAGGGCGAGGGGGTGGTGGGTTGGGCTGCAGAGGGCTGGTGGGGGGGAGCGCGTGCTGCTTGCGTGGATAACGGTCATGTGGATGGCTTCGGTAGTGGTCGCTGTTTGGGTTTGTGTGAGGACTTTGGTGATGATTTTCCTGTGGGGATGTTTTGTTTAGTGAGTTCCTTGATTCTAGGTGGCGGGGAGGGACTTACGTCTTCTCTAAGACTGGAGTGCTTTTTGAGGAGGTTGTTGGGCTTGATGAGGTTGATGGAGAAGACGAGTCGGTGGGACAGGGTATCGAGGAGACGCCGGGAGGATTGCAGTCTGTGACCCAGATTGTGGATGTCCATGTCGATGTCGGCTTGGACAAGACCGCGCATACGTTCAAGAAAAAGAATGCGACCAGTGTATAGGTGTGCATCATTGCAAGAGGGCTTTGAGTATCTGACGATTCAGGATCTGCCTTGAATCTGTTTATGTTGGAGAAATCAGGCTTGATGGACGACAGTGCGTGGGATACGGGGCAGTTCTAAGATCGTTAAGTAGAAAGCTCTGGATATATTTTCGATCAAACGGTCGGAGTGTGTCATTTTTATGCAGCGTGGAATAAGACTCGAGCCATGACCTTCCCTTCTCCGCGAGGCTTGAGAAAAGGTATCTTTCTGTATATACGCAAAGTGGCGTTTACCACCAAAGTCTGTCATTGCACTACCACAACCAGATGAACGGACTTTTGCAAAAGTAGGACATGTATGCCAGCCATGTGCAATGGGGGGTGACAAACCGGTTTTCATACTTTGACAGACAAGTGTAGAGTTGGCAGGCGCCTTGAACATGCAACTATAATGGTCACGACTCTATCTTACAAAATGACCCTTTTCCCCCCTTTGCTCGCACCGTTCGACAGCCATAGCCCGCGAAGAGAGGATGGTGTACTCATTGCCCGAACGCCTGATGTCCATGATCTTACCGTACCGTACGAAAGAAAACGAGCCCTGGCATGTGAAAGCTCCTCACTCTACCCACTGTTCATCGAGCATAGGGATGCCATCCCCTCCCTCCACCTCGATGCCCACCCCCTCGATAGTTCGCACCAGGTTTTCCCGCATTCTTCGGCCCCGTCGGCGCATTGGCAGGCGGAGCACTCTGCGGCGTCAAATTCTTCGCATCCCCCCTCCCCCTCCTCCTCCACCATGATATCCACCCCCACCTCCTCCGCGTCCTCTTCCCCTGCCATAACCCCCTCTTCCTCCATACCCCCCATGACCGCCGCTGTCAGGCGGCGGCGCGTCATCGTACATGCCTTCCCAGCTCGTCGCTCCACCCCCACCACCGCCCCCAGCGTAACCCCCTTGCGCGCGTGCTTGCTGTTCCTCGTATTTCCGCTGTTCGAAGGCTAGTTGCTCCTGTGCGTTGAAGCCGCCGGGGGTGCCGCTGTTGGCTCGGTTGGGGGCCATGCCACCGCCGCCGCCGCCTCCACCACTACCACCCATTCCTTGGTCCATACCGCCGCCGCCGCCGCCCATTTGCTGCGCCATCATCGCTTGCATCTGCTGCATCATCTGCGGGTTCATGCCTTGCATTCCCTCTTGGCCTCCGCCGCCACCTCCAGGCATGGGGGATGCGCTTCCTCTTCCATCCCCTCCACCGCCGGCGCCGGTACCACCTTGGTTCTGTTGCATCTGCTGCATAGCTTTGAGTTGTTGCATTTGCTGCATTTGCTGCATCTGTTGCATCATGGCCGGATTCATGGCCGGATTCATGCCACCCATCCCGCCGCCGGCTGCAGCGGCCATTTGTTGCTGCATCATAGCGAAGTATTGTTGCATTTTCTGCCAGTACTGGGCCATCATTTGAGGCGTCATGCCGTTCTGACCGCCGCCGCCGCCGAAATTACCTTGTTGCATGTCATTGCCGCCTCGGTTGCCGTTCATGTGATTATCGTTGTAGCGATCATCGTAATTCTTGCGACCGCCGCGACCTCCTCTTCCGCCACGTCCGAGGGAATCGCCGCCACCTTCTTGCATGTCACCGCGAGGCTGGGCTTTCTTGACTTCGATCGGTTTGCCTAGAATTGTTAGATCGCCATTGAGCGTGTTTTCGACTGCGGCTTCGCTATCAAATGTGACGAATCCGAAGCCTCGAGGTCGGCCGGTGTCTTTATCCATCATGAGAGTGGCATCGACGACTCTACCGTATTGGGCGAAGTAATCTTTGAAAATTTGCTCGTTGGCTTCTTGGCTGACACCGCCTACGAAGATCTTGCTTGTTCGTTCTTGTTCATCGCGGGGAATGGCTCGTTTGGGATCGATCTTTGATTCGTGAAGAGACGTTAATAAATTCCTTTTGATACTCATACGAGAGCTGGGGGACCGCAGATGGAAGGGGGTTTTCTTGGAAGTAGAAATGTCGGGCCTTACGATTTTGCCATCCAGGTAGTGCTCCTTCACCATTACTACGTTGACTGTCCGAGGATCTCTGAACGTCAGGAAGCCGAAGCCACGGGAGCGGCCTGTAGCACCATCGCGCATGACGGTGCATTCTTGCACTTCGCCAAATTTCGAGAAGTATTCTTTGAGGGATTCTATAATGGATTAGATATCCATCTATGGCTATGCTTTGGATGATATTAAAAACATCACTTACGATCTGTCGTTTCCCAATTGAGGCCACCAATAAACATTTTCCTATTATATCCCAGTCGTCAGTAACCAGCAACCTTATACAACAAGAACAAAATGTAGTGATAAGCAAATGAGAAGCAGCAGCCAATATAGTCCACATTGAGTCCGTATTTGCCTCCCTGTTGAAGACCCCATTTTGACGATCGTACGTAATCCGGAGACCTGTACTCAATGATAAAGCCACTGATGCTGCATGTAGGTGACAGAAAGGCAGCACTGATCATAGTAGATTCACAAGTGACATGGCGTGTGGCTTCTCTCAAATTCCGCTACGCACTACAATGTGCGTGATTTAACTCCGTCTGTGATGCAACGCCAAGTCCAAGAGTGAAGAAGAAGTACATGGGTCGAGTGGAGAATGTATGCGGTAATCTTCGTTTCGTCTTTTGCTATAGAGTCGTATGCTAGCTTGCTCGCAAATGACTATCACCATCCTAAGGTATATAGTCATCGCCTTCTGTCTGCTAACTTGCTCTATGAAGTCCATACTGGTGATATGCTAGTATTGCTGCACTTGAGTTGCTTTAGAATCATGTCCATAGGGGCTGTATACGTCACGATTGCCCATGCCATTTGACATTCAGTCTCACAACTTCTCGAAATCAGGCGTCACAGTCCAGTTGTCAACCAAGCAACTATCCCAATTCCTTGAGCTTTCAGTACAGCCCAGTACGTCGAAGCCATCCTTCAAATTTGATGTATTCGAACATCTCCACCATGCTTTGACACGTGTTGAAGCGTTTGGATTCACGGTTCTGTGGTCACCAAACGCAGAAATTGGATATTGTTACCCACACAATGTCGGCAGATAAGCGATCGTCTCATCTACAGCATCCAAGCTGGCGACCTCAATCTCGAGGGCATCTCTCTTCATTACCTTATATCGGACTGCTGTGGGCTGGACTGCTGCTTTACTCTGGCAAGAGGAACACAGGAAACAAAGGCGCTAAAGTAGAAACAGTGATGCTAGACTTACCCATCCTCTTTGATGCCAATGGGCCGCGATTCTGGCTCCGGCTCCGGCTCCGCTTCAATTCCATAATGTGTCGGATCCACAACGCCATTTTGACCGCCGTTCCATGCACGACCAGCATCCTCATCAGAGCCCGTACCATTCATAGTCTCGTCAGGGGGCTCATATGCATTTGTCACAGGGTCTGGAGCAGGAGGGGCCTCAACGGGCGGAGGTACTTGTTCAGGCTCGAAACCTTGAGTTGCTTCTGGTTGTGGTTTTGAAGTGTCGTCTCCATCGTACCTGATTTCTGCCATATTAGCAAATCGCATATTGTACGAATGTCACTCATCAACGAGTGGATTTTGGTGATTGGGCAAGGACTGTCACTCACAAATCGGCGAAAAGGTCATCCTCAAGCTCTTCGGGTTCGGTCATCTTGGATATCACAAAGCCAAAGGAAAGGTAAAAAGGGAAGAGAGCTTGCTGTGCAGTCTGAAATCGGATTTCAAGTCAAGAACATGAAACCTTGGAGTGCAAGCCGGCCCATAGCAAGATCTTTTGAGGCACAATGAGTAGACGAGACTCCGCAAAAGATGGTGAACTGTGCGATCAGCGATCAGCGATCTAATAGAGCAAGTCACAAGAATGGGAGGTATCAGACTGCGATGAGTTGATAACGGAAGATAAAAACAAAGTGAGAAAGAGACCAAGTTTCCTGGTTCCGCGGCAAACGCGGCAAAGTCGCCGACCTTGCCTTTTCGGGAAATCTTCGACATTCGACCATGTAGCTATTGAACCTGTACAAAGATGCAGCCGGTCTGCAGGTTGCAGGGAACAGGTAGACAGTAGCAAGAAAGCTTTGTTCTCATATACAACATCATGGGGTCCAAAAATCAACCACAGCAGGTAAGACAGTCCACAAGTGTCACCTATTGGTGCAGGCAAACACTAATGTATTGCAGGAAATGGTTCAGGTCGGTTCGTGCGCATCACGGGGAGAGAACGGAGGCTCTGGGTATGACATCTGCTGACTCTCCATCTTCTTCTCGTGCAGGTTCATCCGAGTGAGCATTCATCTGTCCCAATGGCGTCATAGGAGCTCACATTTTTGCAGCAGAACCACTTCTCCCTTCTGGCGCAATAAGCCAAATCGTACAAATCAACCTTCGAAGCCTTCAGAGTCGAAGACCGTCATTGGTGCTTCCTACTCACACGCCGATATCCTGAAGTTCGACTCTTTGTATGCTTGTGCGCCATTCTCAACCTCTCGACGTGGCTGATTGCTTGTGTAGATCCTTAACACCCTCAAACTCTAGACCTCAAACTCCGCAGTCGTCGAACAAAATCAGTCCACAAGTGACACGTACTCCACCTCCCAAAAATGGTGCCATATCCTCACCTCCCAAGAAGCCCGCGTATTCACAGCTTGTGTCTTCAGCGAATAGTGATTGGAACTCGTGGTCAGATGACGAGGAGGACGAAGAGGAAGAAGATAAGTCGACGGCTTATGACTTTGATGAAGGGGTAGATGAAGATGAATTCGGATTGCCCAGCATATCAAGCATGAGGAGAGATGTCCAAAAGCGTAGTCCGGCCAAACACGTTCATGATCCGGGTGGGTCTAGTCGCAGCACTACTGGGAGCGGATCCTTTTACGGCTTAGAACCAACCCGGCCGACAGGCCGACTCAGATCAAATAGCTCTGATATCGCCCTTGAACGAGGGGCTCCAAGTTACCCTTCCGCGAAGAAGACGGAAGGGAAGATTCTCAGGCCACAGTATAAAGAGATATTACGAGGTGAGCAAAACCATTACAAGATTTGTTGCGCCTGATTGAGCCTGTTTATAGACCCTGCAAACTCTCTTCACCTCATCTCACACCCGTCGGTCCCATCAAACGCAACCCCTAAAGATGCTGAAGCCTTAAACACTCGCATTTCCCGTATCAACAAATTCAAGCGAATACTCCAAGCAAGCAACATCTCGCTGTCGGAGCTACGTGATCTAGCATGGTCAGGCTTACCCGCTGAAGTTCGCGCAATGTCGTGGCAACTACTGCTTGGATATCTGCCCACTAGTAGTGAGCGCCGAGTCGCCACTCTTGAGAGGAAGCGCAAAGCTTATCTTGACGGCGTAAATCAAGCATTTCCAGAAATCATTAGCTCAGGAAAACCTTCGAACAGACTATCTTCCGTAGATAAGACAAAACAGCGGGGGCTTGACGAAACATTATGGCACCAGATTTCTATTGATGTTCCACGAACCTCGCCGCATCTCCAATTGTACAGCTATGAGGCTACCCAAAGATCTCTGGAGCGCATTTTGTATGTTTGGGCAATAAGACATCCGGCTTCCGGCTACGTACAAGGTATCAACGACCTCTTGACCCCGTTTTGGCAGGTGTTCCTCGGCAGCTACATTACCGACAACGATGTCAGTAGCGGCATGGATCCTGCGCAATTACCGAAAGCAGTCCTAGACGCTGTAGAAGCGGATGCATTCTGGTGTCTCACTAAATTGCTCGATGGCATACAGGATAATTACATCTTTGCACAACCTGGAATCGTTCGACAAGTCAACTCTTTGAAAGACTTGACCACCAGAATCGACTCTGGACTGGCCAAACACCTTGAGAATGAGGGGGTTGAATTCATGCAATTCAGTTTCAGATGGATGAATTGCTTACTGATGCGAGAAGTGAGCGTCAATTCTATCATAAGAATGTGGGACACGTATATGGCCGAGGAGCAAGGCTTCTCTGACTTCCACCTCTACGTCTGTGCAGCTTTCTTGGTCAAATGGAGCGATCAGCTAGTAAAGCTCGAATTTCAGGTATGTCCCAGGCTTGTATTCACCTATCATTTCATATACTGACACTAATCATAAGGACATTATGATGTTCCTACAATCTCTGCCGACAACGGAGTGGACAGAGAAGGATATAGAACTACTACTTAGTGAGGCATATATCTGGCAGAGCCTGTTCAGGGGATCTAGCGCCCATCTTCGAAACTCTGGTGGTACTACCTGACATCTTCTCATCTGCCGCGGTAAGCATTGTCGAATAAGGCTCCACCAGAGGTAAATAGGCATATACTTCATAAAGTCTAAAAGCCTCAAAGGTTAGAGATGATTCATCCTCATACTTTCCACCACCGTTGCTTGTTGTCGCGCACTTCCATTCTATTTCCTCAGCCATACAAACAGAATCTCTTTGCCCGCACCGCAAATTACGTACTACATCTTCTCAAGAACATTCTTTTACTCGTTGCCTCAGGTCTGCACCTTGCCAATTCGAGGTAGTACATTACCAGACATCCCAACTCCATGGCGTCTACTTGTAAAGCTGTCCTCTCATCCTTCAACAGACAGCTCAGCGCTCTCCAATCGACCAAAACCCCAAACTTACTCCCTCAGCAAGCAGCACTCCAGACTTCCACCCCTCAAGCCAACAAGCCTTTTCCCTTCCTCTCCCTCCCCGGTGAAATCCGCAACAAAATCTACGACTACGCCCTCATCTCCGACCCCGAACACCACATCTACTACGGCCGGCTCTCCCAAGCCCAACACCGCGCACTCTGTCACGATCCCTGCCGTGAGAAAGGCCAACCACCTTTCCGCCTCGATCTGCTCCTCACCAACAGACAAATCTACCACGAAGCCTCCTCCGTCTTCTGGGGCTGGAACCTCTTCCGCGTGGAGATCGGCACGTCCAGGCTCCCAACACTAGCAGCGAGGGATTGGGCGCAGTTCTCGTCCGGATGGACGCAAGACTGCTGGGCGAGCATCGAAGAATATCTGGATGCCGCTGCCCTAGGGAAGGGGAAGGCGAAGGGGATGGGGAAGGAGATCCCCGCCCGCGCCCTCGCCAAAATCAGCACTATGGACATAATAGTGCATTTCCTGCCCGAGGCGAAAGAAGTGTACAAACACCTCTCCGACGACGTGGAGGGCGCAGGTCTCTACGAACACACGATCCGCGACGTCAGCGCGTTTGTGGAGCAATTGATGCCTGGGGGTGTGAAAGCGCATGGGCTGACTGATTTGAGGGTCGTGTATGATGGGCGACCTGAGTGGTCGAGTCGGTGGCTGGGGGTTGAGGGGGATAGTTGGGGGGTGAGTGAGTCGAAGGAACGGGTGCTGGGGCCGCTGGGGTGCCTAAGGGGGGTGGAGTACGTGGAGGTTTGTACGGGAGGTGGAGATCGTGGGTTGGAGATGAAGCTGGAGGGGGCGATGAGGAAGGCGGAGGCAGAGGTAGGGTGTGGGGAGATTGTTGAGGAAGGGGCAGGAGAAAAGGTGAAGGGAGTAGTTGAGATGTGATTGTATATTTGGCAATTGTGATTAGGTGCAGGAGTACGTTCGGGCGTTATTTGGGTATAAGTTTTCTCATATTGGCAGAGCGGCAGTATGGTTACTTTCTTGAGGGTGATATCAAATATCGTTACGAGGCGTATTTGGTTCAACAATGCTTTATGAACACTGAAGCAGACTCTTTGGATGAATAGCAGATGTCAAATATAGTCTTTTGACTCGGCGCAAAAAAATATCTAGACTTATGAAATCTGTTCCTCATGGAAACTCCACTGATATTGAGTACTCTGTAACAATAGGAATAGTGCAGCGCAGAGCTTCTGCTTATGATCGTGGCTGCAGGAATACTACAACCAACGGGGAAGCGTCAGTGATATATACTGCCAGGTTTATAAGTGATATGTCCGCCTTACTTTCAAGTATGCAATCGGCAATGAGTAACTAGAAGTCTTATTCGATGTCATAGTAGCATAAAGCTTTACCGGCTTGTAGAGGCACGAGATTAATGTGAGATTCCCATTTGCGTCTATTTGAGCAGTTGCACCACTTTGAGAAGGACATCCCCAGCTCCCAAACCAGCGTTTTCAGGCGCCTTTGCAATAGACTGCCAGACCTCGCCGAATCTTGGCTCGTTGCTTTTACACTTTTCTGCCACTTCCTGCCGTTTCTCCTCCGTCCCGTGCTCCATTAAGAATTTGAAATACCAGGCCCAGGTATCTCCAAGGCTAGAATCAAGCAAGATTGCCTTCTCAAACCAATTCGAGGCCTTCTCCAGCCTTCTCTCACCCCAGAAAACCCGCGCAACAGTCACAAATAGTGTCGGATCGTTGTCGACTTTCTTGATAGCTTCGAGAGAACGGGGTTTCCGCTGGGTTCTCGACTCGAGGTTCCAGATATTGAAGGACCAAAGGGCGCCCGAGGTTCCATGAGTCTGGAGCGATTTGGCCATGAGATTCTTCGCTTGCTGTAGATTGCCCGCGCGAAATTCGATCTTGACCTGTTCTAGGGCTATGTCTGGGCTTTTTGTAGCGAGTAAGCCGCGTTCAAGGACGGAACGTGCCTTGACCACGAGACCTTGCGACTCTTCCAGGCGGCTTAGGAGTAGATATAGCGGGACTGAGGCTGGGCAAGCATGTGTGCCGACGTTGTAAGCCTGGCGAGCCTGGGGTAATTGTCCTACGGAATGGTAGATCTGACCTTTCTGCATGTGCAAACGTGCCTGCTTTGGATACAAGTTCAGGCCTTCGATGGCTAATTTGAGAGCTTCGTCGTGAACCTTGCCTTCTCCGTCTTTCTTGGATGGATACTGCCGCTCAAAAGCGACGGATTTGTACCAGACCCGATCAGTGCCCGCTTCTTGACGAGCAGTTGCAAGTAGTTGTCGTGCTTCGTCGATCTGATTAGCGTCGGCCTCGAGCTTGACAGCGCTCAAGAAGATGTTCTCAGAGCTCGATAGCTGATTAAATGCTCTACCGAGTATCCTTCTCGCGTCGTCAGTAAAGCCAGCATCCCATCGACTCTTGGCGCTTAATTGCCAAATCTCTTCAGCGTCAGGGCATGCTTCGACTGCTTTGTCAAGCAATCTCCACATTTCATCCCTCGATCCATGATTCTTCTCTAGGTCAATGGCTGCCAGCCATGTGGATTTCGACGTTGGGAATAGCCGAAGCGTGTAAGCATAGATAGCTCGAGCGGTCGCGTACATTCCTTTCGCCAGAGAGGCTTGAGCATCAGAGTTGAAAAGCTTCTTTAGATCATCATCATCTTCGTCTAGGCCAAAGCTCAACGTTTCTTGAATGCAAGCTGTAGCTGACGAAACCATGCCGTCTGCCTCGAGCTTTTCTGATTCTGCTATCCATTCTTCTCTCTTGAGCATGGCAGAATTCTGTGCAAGGGATTGAATGGCTCTCTTCATTAATTGTCTGACTTTGTCTAATGGCTGATCCATGGCTTCTTGTAGCCTGACAGCCGCCAGCCAGATCTCGTGGCTTGTGGGGTTTTGTGTTCGAGCCTTATTAAGCACTTTCATGGCTTCATTCCCCGAACAGAGCCTGCTCAACGCCAAATGAAGTTCAACAGAGTATGGTAGCTCTTCTACCGCTCGTGATAAAAGCAGCTTAGCCTCTTCAGGGGATTCTTCTTCATTGACAAGTGCCTTCCACAAGACTACGGACTTCGGCAGCCGATCTATGGCCTTTCGTACTACACGCTTTCTGGCATTGCGATCTGTCTCCAATGACATGGCACTCTGCCATAGGCGGACGGATTCTGGGTTTTGTTTTATAGCATCCGCTGCAACAACTTTGGCGTTATGGTTGTCTCCTGACCTCCTCTCCTGAAGTCGAATGTACTCGAGCCAGAGATCTTCACTACGAGGGTTTATCTGACATCCTCTTTCAGCAATCTTGCAAGCTTGCACCAGCTTTCCGGCCACCTCCTCCAGTCGAGCAGCTGCAATGAAACCAGGCGCATGCTTTGGATTTGTTTTGATGACTGATTCCAGCAGACCCCGCACTCGAGTGATATCACCCACGTCTACGTCTGCCGATTTGAGCTCCGTTTGTGCTAGGCTTGTCAGATATCCTTTCGGATCCACATTTGTCGCAGTCCCCGACGATGTGTCTGTGCCGGATTGCTCTGCTCTATCAAGTCTGCTGTTAAGGACTCGGTTTCTTGCTGCGCCGATCGTCCTGAAATCGGTCGTTGTGCCATCAATCTCGCCATTTGCGTTTCCATTGCCATTCGCGTTGCCGTCGTCCTGGACATTGGTATCAAATTCTGTAGAGTCTCGGGCTCCTGCAATGACACTATCTGGAACAGCATAGAATCTCTCGTGGTTCTGAGTCCTTGCTCTTTTGTTTTTGCGCGTCAGGTCACCTGGTTCCGGAAGGCTTGCCCATTCCTCCTCGGTCAAGCTGGACAAACTTCTCTTCAGATCTGCAAATTGCTGCTGTATCTTTGGGTTTTTGATCTCATAGTCACGTTTTTCTTGCGCTTCTCGCGTTTCCCTAGAAGGATCGACGGATCTCAAGTCGGTAATCTGCACTTTCACAAAGGTGGCATACGATAAACCATTTGTCACATATGACTGGGGAAGGGGATAATGCGGGGCTATAAAAGTGACGACTAACCTTTGCTGTTGCCTTCTCCTCAGCATCCTCTCGTCCACTTCCTGGTATATCCTATCCGCTTCGTCATCTTCCCTGGTGAAATCTCCACTTGCGAACAACCCAGTCTCATTTTCTGGATCCTGAAATCGTTCATCATCGTCATTGCCATCATCTTCCTTCTTTTCTGGGAGCCCGTAGGCACTTGGCTGCGCCCCAAGTTGCTCCGCTCTCTTCTGGAGGGCAGCTTTAATCTGGTCCTCGCTTGGACCTTCTCTTGCAGGGCCGAGATCTGACCGAGTGGTAAAGCCAGTAGCGCCCCTGCCCAAGCCAGCGACGTAGTTTTCAGGGGCTTGTTGGCTCAGGAAATCCTGTCGTCCCGGCATGTTGACTCGTAATGCGTGTTATTGGAGGCAGAAAGAAATTCGAGGATGCCTTGGCGGGTCCGTTCCGCTGGTTACCCGGCGTTCGCGATGCCGTTCCCTGAGGCAGTAGAATCAGGGGCGGCTACCAACTTTATCCCTTTATCGCTGTTCAATAGGAATAGGTATTAGCTGTTCTGACTCAAATGCTACAATATGCTATATGGAAATGCCCTTGATATCTTCGTCCGCCGAACCCAGCTATAACGATATTACCCAAGAATTTGAGGTCGAATTACGTCCTGACTTACACTATTCAACCAGCTCTGCAGACAACGAGATCTTCACATCAGGAACGAAGACGTCTTACGCCTACAGTCACCATCTTCCGCTAAGATACTGACTAGCAGTAACATACTCTCCTAGAAAACAAATATGGCTGAGCATCTCATTACACCCCGCTCCTTGCCTGTTGTGTACTCAGAATTGCCCAGAGGCGACTCGAAGTCCTGATATCAGATAGAGCAGCTCGCGTACCATTTCTGCATTAGGATAGAATATCGCTTGTTAAAGTCATACCCAGTATTTCTGACTTTTGATTCGTGCTTACAGTGCATACGCGAGATGCTTGTCTAACTCGTTCGCGCGCCACGTTTTTTCTCCACCACAATCATCGCCTCCGGGGACAGGGGATCATGAACAAATGATGCTCTTACTCCGTCTGGGGGCAAATGCTCTTGTAGGACTGCGATCCACTGCGTTGTCGGATGACTTTTCCACGGACTCCCGTCGTTGCCATCTCCTCCCTTTACCGCCGTGAAAAGTGAAGATCCGCGGAGTCGCCGACAGTCTGTAATCATATCGCATGCCGAGAGGTTTCATGGAAGAGAATTTATAACCTCGGGTCTGAATATAGACGACAACATGACGAAAAGGAGTGCTGTGCCTCCCTGGCGGTGATGATATGGTTCCTTTTGAGTATGGATATATAAAGGAGTCCCTTTCCAGATTTCATCTCCTCATTAGACATCAGAACACAAGAACAAAAGAATTTACTTACTCGCCATCTCTGCCATAAACAACAAATAAACACCCCCAACTTCAAACAAGGAAAAACACCAACACTTTTACCAATATGCGTTTCTTCAATACCATCGCTGCTTTCTTCCAGGTTGGCGCTGCCATCGCCATCCCAGCCCCCAACAATGATCACTGCAATAATGGTTTCACTCAACCGCATCTCGAGCAAAATAGCCTTCCCCTCACAGAAATGCTGTTGAACAGAAAACTAAATCACCACCAGGTGTGCGAGGAAGACTTCTGCTTCGTTCAGAATAAGTTTGATTTCCCCTGCGGCGGCAATACTTTCGTAGCTTGATACCATATCAATGTGTATGGAGAGAACTTGCTAATCAAAGGGCAACACTACAGTGTGCTGGCCTTGATGGCAAATCTTGTGAAGCTTATTGCAACCGAGCCAGCATGTGCCCGGGAGGACACGAAGATTTAATATTGGGAGAATGACTTCTTGCACTAGACTGGTCAAATGCGAGAAAACGGCGATCTTCACTCATATAGGCGTTGCTTTGCTTAGGAAACTTCATAGACATTCTTTATAGATTGGGTAGCAAGACTGCAAACATGATTTTCTCTTGTTACTAGACTTATCGGAGCAAGGAATTCGCGGGACAAGACCAGAGTCCGCAATTTTAGCGCTCTTAGGTACAATGATCTTAATTCGGTCCCAAGTTTGGGAACCAATATTGAACGGACGAGCAGATTCCTGGCTGCACACCTACTGTTTCAGCCCTCCATTGCACTGGGCCCTTCATGCCCTTCACACCAGCGAACTAACCTTCAAATGAACCCCATCCCTCGGTCTTAGCACCAACCTCCACATCTTCACATCCTCCGGATCCTCAAACCTCTCGTTGGACTCAAACACAAACCGGCTCAACAACGCACACAGCAGCGTCTTCATCTCCGTCTCCGCAAACTTCCGCCCGATACACCCTCTAGGACCCTGCAGAAATGTCATGAACGCACTTGTGCTGTAGGTACTCGGCAGACAGTCCCAGCGATCAGGATCGAATTCCCCCGCCGTAGGGCCCCAGTATTGCGGCAGGCGATTGATGGCGTTGGCGTGGATAGCGACGTAAGTCTGCGGCGGGATCACGTGGCCTGCGAGTCGGTCTTCAGAGATGAGTTGGCGGGAGGTTAGGGGGATGGGAGGGATATAGCGGAGGGACTCGCGGCATACGTTGTCGAGGTATGGGAGGTTGTCGACATCTACGCTTGCGATGTTTACATCGTTCTCGCGGCTGTGAGGGTCGAAGAGGAAGCTCATGTGCTGCTTGATCTCTGCTCGCAGACGCTCTTGGACGTGTGGGTACTTGGCTAGCAAATGTAATGTCCAGGCCGCTCCGGTCGCTGTGGTATCGTGGCCTGCGCTGAGGAATGTCATGACTTGGTCTCTCATGGTGTCGAAGCTCAAGCGGTCCGCGCCAGCAGAATTGTTGTTCCTGATGGTCAACGCGATAATGTCCTTGTCCGTCGAATTGACTTTGTACAATTTCGATTCGATGATTTGAGTAGCTGCGTCACGAATGACCTTCCTAGATCTAGCCATATCGCGGTTCGTTTTCATAGGCAGATATTTGGCAAACATCGTGCAGGTATGGATGGCGTGATAGAATCTTGCTGCAACATCAAACGCGAAGACAGCCTGGTATGCTGCTCGTAGCGGCGCCTCTGGATATCGTAGCGAGTCAATCTCCGTTCCAAAGCCCGCTTGGCCGATGATATCGAGAGTTGTCCGATTGAGACCTTCGAGCACTTCAATAGACTTCTGATTTGTGTTGGCTTCAGCCATCCCCTGCCGCCATATCTCACTCAGTAGCAGTGCCTTGCGCCAGAAAATGGGACAGAGCGCCTTTATGGATTGTGTCGAAAAACCAGGCGCAAGAGCTTTTCGTTGCTTAATATGTACGTCGCCTTCTGCGAGGAGAACTCCATTACTACCCAATAATCTTGCCATCCAATTTCGAACTGTTGGTGGTTTGGGGTAGTTGTAAGGATTGCTGACTGTAGTTTGTTTGATAGACTCATGGTCGACAACGGAAAGCCTCTCAATACCAAAAGGATAGAAATATCTGACGATATCCCCATATTGCTGGTGCCACTTTCGCTGAGGCACGCTCATCTCGCTTGTAATGATAATGGGCGTATGACCCCAGAGTGGGAAGCACGGCGGGGTAGGGATACCGTGAAGAGGTGACACATAAAATGGATATATCCATGACTGGTAAAGAATATAGTAGGAGAGGACCACTATCAGATAGGTTACTCCAAATGCTGTGACGGGAGCTAGATTTGTGATCTTGTTCATGATGAATCCAGCAAGGACAGAAACCAAAGAAAGAGTCGTAAACGAGAGATTGTAAGACATTTCAAGCCTTCCATATATGGCCGCCATTTTTACCTTTGTAGAAGAGAGCACTTGCCTAGAGAATGATCCACAGTCATTGGGAGAGGATTTTATAGAGAAGAAATACAGTGGCACCGGCATTTGCAAAAGAGCGGCGAAATGATAGACAAAGTAAGGGGAAGCTACGTAAAGGGATGCATGACCTGTCTAGAAACCATAGCAGGCGCAGTATAAATAAAATTCGCAAGCCGACAAGGTGCTAAAGACCATGGACGCCTGACTCTAGTTCGCCTCTAGAGAATCGCTCGCTTGATACTTGAGAGATGCCGGATTATAATGGCACAGGCTTCTGTATGTCATCATGGATAGTCATAACATCTGAACCGACCTTCTCCTAAAATCACACTCTCCGTTTGAACATATACGAGGAAATGATCCATGAAAATCATTGAACATCTACCTTGCACCACACATTCGTTGGCTCCAAGCCTCTTGTGGTCAAGTTTCTTGACAAGGCGGTATTCACTCCTAGCACCCACCCCCCACCACAAACTGCAAGTAGACTAGATCATACCCAGTCCGAAACCAGCCCCTGATTTGCTGTACTTGGTGGTTATCGCTGACTAAGAGAGAAGCTAAGCAGTAGATCGTCGGCATTTAATAGAGAGCGACTCGTCGCAACTCGCAACTCGCAAGCGGGCTGTCATTAGCAATGAAATATACAAAGAGGACTTCTGTCCTTTCGACTATCTGTAACGGGTCAAGAACATGAGAACGACCTTACTCAAGCTGCCCTAGCAGCGTAAGCAGGGCTTGCGAGCTACCTCTACTACTTTTTTTCACCGCCAAGGGCTTACCGGTACTTGCGATAGCGCGTCATCTTCGACTCACAAGGGCGGCATTCGCTCGTTCTCCCATGCGCGGTGTGGCAGAGCTCAATTTCAAAGCAAGGATAATGCCTCGGACGAAATCATGATAGGTCTTGCGGTAAAGAAGAACGAATAATGTTAACAGTCTTCCTGTAACCTTACCTGCCTAGCTTGAAGTGACGAAGAACTGGTGACTACACACGCGTGATTGCATCCACCACAGGCTCTCCTCCATAAGTCCAAGACCTTGTCTCCATCTGATGGGAAAGTATTGGCACACCTGCCGCCCATGCCTATGACCGTTTCGACGCTTTCCTGAAGTTTCAGCCTTGTTGCTGGGTGGCAGGAGCTATTTATGCACGCCCCTCGTGTTGTGTGATTAAGCAATTTCCCATCCCTGTGCTGTATTCTCAGCCTGCTTTGATCCCGTGTTGAAGCCATCTATAGATGGTTGGCGATGGTCTGGAAGGATCAAGGGTCAAATAGGATGGATTGTTCAGCCTCGTTTCTTCCATCTCAGCGCAATCTAAGAGTATATAATTTTAAGAGATCTTGCGTAGTAAGAAAGTTCCTGAAAAACTTTGAAATACTTGGCTGAAGTAGAATATTCATCAGTTGCACAGGAATCGCGATATCTTGAACCTGATTAGAGTTCATAATCCCTATTATTTTCATGCCTGTCCGGGAATCGCGCCCAATGTCGAAGCTGGGGAGGCTGGTCATATCGCTGTCTCTATCGAGCCTGATTGCAAACGCCTACGCCGCCAGTGCCAAAAACTGCACGTCGTCAGCGGATAAAATTTACCAAACACTCTACATCGACTCATGGATCAATCGTGGTATCTGTGTCAGGTCAGGAGGTGAAGCAGCTATCTGCAACCAGGCACTTCAACTGAGCTTTAAAAACCTTGATGATAATAGGAAGGCATTGTATGCAGCGGCCGCCAATGTCCTGGCTCTTTTACCTACTATCGGTGCACTGCTAGGCGCTCCAACTACGGAGAGTTGGCGTCTGGTGACCGTGATACCATTTGGAGGCTTCCTTGCAATGACACTATCATTTGGAAGTTCTATCCTTCCGATAAACATAGATGATTACAGGAACGACGCAGATGGCAACACGATGACCGACGGAAAAGTTGAGCCCTCGCACAATGCTCCATCTGGACGCCTGGGAGCAGCGCAGAAAGGAATAGATGGGTATTTTGACCAAGTGGTGGACAGGATCTTGGTTCGTGTACGCCAAAACGAGAGCCAACGTCTAGCGAAAGGCCACATTTGGATAGGACTGTTAGGCATGATCGTACTCTCAGCTGGCGCACAAGTGGCGATGGCCATAACCGAGCAGGGTGGTGTTCTAGTTTGGTACTGTATCTCCAGATATTGGTTTCACCTGTGGTACTTTTTGGGTGAGCCATTCTTGTCATAACGCCTCAAACCTCCCTAATGAAGTTTCTCAGTTACCGCGACCGCGATTACTGAAAGTTTGGCTCAGCTCCCTTTCAAAGAAAACTGGAAATTATTTGTGTCAGACGTCCCATACGACATCAGCATTCAAGACGGTGATAGCATCCTTCCGAAACTCGAGGACTCAAACGCTAGCGCCAAACAGGTGCTACATCAGCTCGCCAGCGTGAAGGCCGGGGAAGCGATTCTCCATGGCTCGAAGCAATTTACTCGGCCACGGAATGCCATCTTAGTCATGATATCAGTCATAAGCAAGGGCGATCATCGATCCAAGTCAGTCTTGCGTCTTATCAGTAAATGCTTCAGTATCGGTGTCTTTGTCTTTGGTACAGCAACTTTTGCTTCGGCACAATTGATTGCATTGCCTGTTGCCACACTAGTATTGATATTGATCCTCGCTGCCGCACTTTTTGCACGGGCCATTACAGGATGGATCGTTGCTGGTGTCAACACGACCGAGCCTCTAATTCATGTAATCGTCAACACGACACAAGAGGCACAATGTTTGATCGGCCGAATTCTTTCCCTCGATGAGTATGACAGTCAAAAGACGGAAGAGAACAAGTCCGGAAAGATTCAAGTAGAGTTAGGTGGTCATGTTTTTGTGAAACAACGTCGCGTCGGCTCTCGATCTCGCTGGTACCTCAGGATTCTGGGTGTCTTGGCTGAACCATTCGATTTAAGGAAAGTAAACCAATCTGATCCTCATCTCAAAACCGTCCCTGCGGAAACGGGTAATAGCGAGGTTGAGCTGGGCTTGCTAAGAGAACAAACCCTTGGACAACATTGAAGACTGTTTGAAGAGCTTGGTATCGATGGATAGATAAAAGTAATGTTATGAAGGCCGCACCCGCTGGCGCTGGGCGGCCGTGTAGCGACCCTGAGATAAACTTCAGTACTATACCAGGCTTAAAGTTAGGAGTTTTTATTCGTTGCTGCGTTATGTCTTAACAACAGCTTGTGTTTCTTTCGACTGGAGTAGTTCCCTACTCACCTTGATATTATAGAGTCAAAGGGCCATAGAAGGCCTTGACAGTATGTGACTGTTCGAAAACCACGTACACTCTCGTTAATAGATTGTCGCTCCTAAAAAACGTATATAGCTTCCGCCCTCCGGTAGTTAATACAATCAATCTTGATTACTCTAAAGTAGTGCCTAACCCCGCCTCACATCACTGCACAGCATATGGTCTTTCGCCCAGGCCACTCCTCACTGTTTGCAAGTTGGATTACCTTATCCTTTGGAGGGTTCACCAAGTATCCATGAACACCCGTCAGACACCACTGATACATAGGGACATTACATATATGTCTCTCCTTGAATGAAAGAAAAATGGGTGTCTGCAGGGAAAATGAAGGTACAACGACGAAAGTCCGGAACAGCGTAAATCCATCTCATCACTAACTCAGTCCAGTACGCTAACCCGATATGACAGCTATGCCGAGACTACCTTCAGGAATTCTACAGCCACGACGATCTTGATATAGGCTATAGCACCACCTCGCTTTATAGGAGCTTGTTCGAACTCCGGTGAAGATAGAAAAATTGCAAGAATTACAGAAAAAGCAGGATATAAAGGAATATTTGTAGATCTGATACGCGGGTAATTTGGTTATTAAGTAAAACGCCATAAAAACCGTATTTTCACCGTTAAAAAAACTCATAATTTTCCGCTATGATGCTGAAGTCTTGGCAACCTTATGTCTTATCGATAGACATGCATAAAAATTATGAACTCAATATTTGATATCTGTGGGCTTCGAGAAGAACATAGCGTGATGGAACATTTCAATATTGCGACTGATTGGCTGATGAAATAGGTGAAAAATTGAGCTACCCACTTCTAAGATGCCGAAAGAGAGCAAAGGCAAGCGCAATAGCGCTGGCCACCAAAGCAGCCCTTATGCCGCCGTTCCAAAAAGCCATGCCGCCAATGCCATCTTTCGGATGAAAACGGACATAGGACAGCATGTTCTCAAAAACCCTGGCGTAGCGCAAGCAATTGTGGACAAAGCGGGCCTAAAGCAGAGCGACATCGTCCTTGAAGTTGGGCCTGGGACAGGAAATTTGACGGTCAAGATCTTGGAAAAAGCAAAGAAGGTCATAGCTGTGGAACTGGACCCCAGAATGGCAGCCGAGGTGACGAAACGGGTACAAGGAAAGCCTGAGGCTCAGAGGTTGGAGGTGCTGATAGGGGATGTGTGCAAAATGGAGTGGCCGTATTTTGATGTTTGCATTAGTAATACACCATATCAGGTCTGCATTCTTCTCACGTCAATCGAATTGGTCAAGTGCATTCTAAGTCCCTGTGCAGATCTCTTCACCGCTGACGACTCGCCTCTTGTCCCATCAACCTGCCCCACGAACATGCGTCCTCACCTACCAGCAAGAATTCGCACAACGCCTTACTGCTTCGTCTGCTTCTTCTCTCTATAGTCGACTCTCTCTGAACACGCAGATGTTCGCCCACGTAGCACACGTGATGAAAATCGGAAAAGCGAATTTCAAGCCTCCACCTGCGGTCGAGAGCAGCGTTGTCAGACTTGTGCCCAAGCGGCCTAGACCACAGCTGGACTTTGACGAATGGGATGGATTGCTGCGAATAGTGTTTGTGCGGAAGAATAAGACGCTTAGATCGAGTTTTCTGGGGACAACGACGGTGATGGATTTGTTAGAGGCCAATTATAAGACTTGGTGTACGCAAAATAATGTCTCCCTTGAGGACGGGGCTGGTGAAGAAAAAGAAGAAGTGAACATGGCAATTGATGATGTGCAACCTGAAAATGAGCAGTCTCTCGAAGACGAGGAATGGAAAGGTATCAATGATGTAGACATGGAGATGGACGAAATGCTGCGAGAAAAGGATGGGACGAAAAGCAAGCCTGCTGCGGCGTCCCTAGGCAAGCGAAAACGGGGCGGCAAGGTTGCACAGCTGGTGAGGGGGAAAGTGCGAAGGGTTTTGGAGGACAAGACTGGTCTTGCGGATCGTCGAGCGAGGCAATGCGATGAAGGCGATTTCCTGAGGCTATTGCTGGCTATGAATCAAGAAGGCATACATTTCAGCTGACGAATAAACAATGATAACGAAAAGAACAGCGATCCACTTAGCCAGGCGTTCAGAGGACCAATGAGATACCCAATATAGAGCGAACCGCTTCATTGCAACGTCAGATATATATACACATCTTCACAAAGCCCCATCTTTCCTCAACGTCTCATTTCCCCATGGCTCGCTTGTCAAGTTCGTGAGACCTGTGATGTTTTCACATGTTTTTCTTCCACTCATTGGACCAGGACTGGGCAACTTGATCCCCTTTGCGGCATACCCTCTCCCTTGATCACGCACGTGGCCTGGCTCTTGACCCCGATCTGCACCTTTCTTGCCTCCGTGGCCAGTATCGCTTTCCCCTACGATCCCAGCTGTCCCGCCGGCCGCTCCTGTGGTCTCGGCGCTTGCTTGCAGCGCTTTCAGTAACGTGACAGTCGTCTCTGGGGTCAGGTCTTCGTAGTAATCGTCATTGATCTGCACCATGGGCGCATTGACGCAGGCACCTAAGCACTCGACTTCCGTAAACGTGAAGATACCGTCCTTAGTTGTGTGACCGGCATGTATGCCCAAATGATCCTCAATGGCTCTCATGATCTTATCCGAACCGCATCCGCCCAATTGGCACGGTGTCGTTGTGCAAACTTGGAGGTGGAAACGTCCTACGGGCGCTCGGTTATACATGGTGTAGAAGGTCGCGACTTCATAGACTCTCATTGGGGGCATTTCTAGCAGTCGTGCGACTTCATTCATGACGCTGATGCTGGTGAAGCCGTGCTGGCGCTGGCCGAGATCTAGTAGCGGCATTACAGCGGCCTTTTTGTACTGTGGAGGGTAGCGCTTGAGGATTTCGGCGATGAGCTTTTGGTTGATGGCATTGAATGAGAAAGGTATTGAGGGATTGTTGTCGGAGGTATCGCGATGCTATACAGGGTCACTTTTGTGGACAAGAATTCTTGAATCATATACTTACTACTTGAAGCGCATCCGACGCCCGTGAGCAGGTAACACTCAGGTGTCTGCATTGCGGTAGGCGCGAGACTTTTGTATTGTGACTTATGCATCTCGATATTCGAGGCAGCAATTTGGAGGCCATATTCAAAAGTGGATGCAAAGTTTATGGCCCTTGTTGTTTGTAATGATCCATTCGTCATTGGATGCAGTCCGTAGCCGCCCCAGCCGCCGTCATCTGGAGGACCAAGACAAAGCCAAGCCGAATCGGAAATATCTGACAGAGATTCTGGAAGAGGACGTACCCGCTGATGCAAAGGGGTAATGAAGCAGACTTCTCCTCCTCCGCGGGGAAGCATCAGACCTGATATGTTCGGTGATGCCGCCTAATGCTCAGGCTATCAATGGCCAAGCGCGTCGTTCAATTGGGGAGAGACCTTCGGTAAGCTTTGACTCGTCAATGCCGTACCAGTGTGACACTAACATTTGTTCATCTTAAAGCTCCGACAAGCTACTTTGGTCTTACCAAGTGGGGAACGTGTCAAAGGAAATGTGACCTTCGGACCTCCCAGCCCTAGGGATGGCGTGTTTGAAGAGCAAAGGTCCCCTCTGTTGGGAGAATATGCTGTGTCGCCAGAAAAGCAGCAGTCTAGTGTGCAAAGGAGTATTCAATACGTCAAGCGAAGAGGGCAAGATACATTGGCCTTTGCCAATTCAAGAACCGGCAGAGGCGTCTTCAAGTGCAGCATTGCCTACCTCCTTGGTAGCATGGCAACTTTCGTTCCATGGATCTATCATTCTCTGGGCAAATCTGGCGGCAAACATGTTGTCGCTACTATCACAGTCTACTACCACCCTGCTCGCTCAATCGGCAGCGCGTGTGAAGCTCTTATTTGCTCCATGGCCGCATGGCTCTACGTTGCCGCCGTCTCGTTTTCTAGCATGGGCGTATCAATCCTGTTCGGCAAGTCCCTGGACTTGATCGTTGTCGGGCATGTCATTGTTCTGATAGTCTTTTGTGGTGGAGGCTTAGGGTTCGTCGGGTGGGTCAAGCAGAGATATAGTCATGCCGTTGTGAATATCTCATGTTCTCTAGCGGCGCTTGCATTGATCACTGTCTTGACAAAGGAAGGCGCTGTGCAAGTCGCACAGTTCTCAGTTGAAAAGGTGAACCAAGAGTTGAAAATGGTTCTCATGGGTGTCGCCTTCTCGACCATCACGTCACTCCTGCTTTTCCCCGTATCAGCGTGCAAAGACCTACGTGCAGACATGATACGAATGACGGACCTTTTTGGTGACGTCTTGGCTGTAATCACCCGTGGGTTTCTCACGGGTTCAGATGAAGAATTGCAAAGCCAGGACTACGCAGACGCTTATGCTAACTACAAGAAAATATTCGCCTCTATGAGCAAAAATCTAAAAGAAGCGAAGAGGGAGCACTACGTCCTAGGTAGTGAAAAGGTATATCATCTAGAGTCGAAAATGGTCAAGTGTATGCAACGCCTTGCACAAAATATCGGAGGCTTGCGTAGTGCTGCTACTACTCAGTTCATCTTACTTCAGCAACCAGCTATTGTGGCCCAACAATCTTATGGGAGTAATAGAAGACTTCAAACACGTTCTTCGTCATACTTCAGTCTGGATGGTCTCAACTCACCCCCCGCTCGCGGACTATGTTGGAATCCCTCGATGAGACACCTGAAGTCAGATCAATCGAGACAAATGACCCCGTAGAAATGGACTTTCGGGTGCTTTCTGATGACGATTCAAATTCCCTTCCGCCAATCCGCTCTCCTTCCGACATCTTCACACGCTTTATCGCGCAATTAGGCCCTTCAATGGTAGGTGAAGATTGAGATGTTGAAATTGAATTCTAAGTTTGAACTAGAAATCATTGGCAGTAACAATGCAGAAGATATTGAATGAGGTTCCCTTTGATCGTAAAGGAAACTTCACCACAGATGACCACTATACGTTTAGCTTAAAGGAGGCCATTGCGTTGTACAACAAGTCGCGGAGAGAGGCACTAGAACAGCTCTACAAAAGCAAAGAAATCACGCAGTCCAAGTCCATGGAAATGGAAGCAGATTTTGAGGAAGTAGCCGCGAGTTGTGGTTACTTTAGCTTTTCCCTTCAAGACTTTGCTAATGAATTAATCACGTATCTCGAGATCTTAGACGATCTCAAATTAGAGGTCGAAGAACGACCTGATGGGAGGACTTGGGCCTGGTTGAGGTTTTGGCGACCAGTGCCAGAGTCAAAACCTCCAGGAGCAGATTTCGGTAAGTATGCTAGCCAATAGCATCAAGTGCTCACAGCTTATGATTGAAGGGCAAATTAGCGCCACCGATCCTGAAACCAACAACGTTCATGGTAACTTGCCAGGTGTCTCAAAGACGAAAACGAGTGATAAATATGGCCAGTATTTGAGCAACAAGTCGCGCATAGAACAATATCGGTACAGATTATGGCGGGCCCTTGGCTTCTTTCGTCGGGACGATATCAAATTTGCTGTCAAAGTAGGAGTAGGAGCTGCGCTGTACGCCTTGCCGTCATTCTTGAGCTCTACTCGACCCTTCTATCAAAGGTGGCGCGGCGAATGGGGTCTTCTGTCATACATTCTCGTATGTACTATGACCTTGGGAGCCTCAAACACCACAGGCTGGTCTCGGTTTATTGGTACTGTGATAGGCGCTGTATGCGCTATCGTGTCGTGGGAAATTGCTGACAGGAATGTATTCTTACTCGCCTTCTTCGGCTGGGTGATGTGCCTGTGGTGCTCTTACATCGTTATTGGCAAGGGGCAAGGGCCGTTTGGTCGATTTATTGTCTTGACGTACAATCTTTCTGCGCTGTACGCATACTCCGTCGCTGTTCATGACGCCCCAGGCGACCCAGATGAAGGTGGCATTGACCCAGTCATTACCGAGATTACGCTTCATCGAACGGCGGCCGTGATCTCTGGGTAAGGACCGTCATCTCAACGAGATATTATCGTTTCGGTAGCTGACAAGATGAATAGCTGCATCTGGGGTCTCATCATTACCCGTATGATCTTCCCAATCAGCGATAGTACGAAGTTCAAGGACGGCTTAAGCCTTTTGTGGCTACGGATGGGTTTGATATGGAAGCGTGATCCCCTGAACATTCCTTTCGAGCCGCAAGCGTACATGGACCTCCGAGAGGAATTCGAACTGCACCGCTTCCTCACGCGACTCGAGAGTCTACGTGGATCCGCTAAATCAGAATTGCACTTGAGAGGACCGTTTCCTGAAGCAGCCTACGGTAAGATCTTGAAAAGTACAGGTGCTATGCTAGACGCGTTCCATGCTCTGAATGTGATGATACTAAAGAACTCGGAGGCCTCGAAAGGCGAGGCTGCGCTACACAAATACACGGAGGAGGAGCGGACTGCGGTGTGCACCCGGATCAGTCACTTATTTCAAGGTGAATTTGGCTTCTCCTAATAGAAGAACTCGACTTACGTGTACGTAGTGCTTGCTTCTTCTATGAAAATCGAGTTCCCAATGAATGGAGCTCTGCCTGGTGTCAGTCATACCCGAGACAGACTGCTGGCGAAAATGTTTCGATTCAGACGAGAGGAGAAAGAGAAGATCGGAGCTACCGACGAAGACTTTGAATCGTTGTATGCCTTCTGTAAGTGATGTATAAATATTTTACGATGCGCACTACTAATCCTCTGAAAGCGCTAGTAACGGGGCAATTGTCAGAGGAGATCAAAGGAATGGGCAAAGAGATAGAGAAGCTCTTCGGTGTCTTCGATGAAGACCTTCTTAAGTTACAATGAATAGTAATAATCAGCATACAATCAAAAGTCTGCCTTTGCTAGGCATTTCACTCTTGTAGCTTGGTCCGTGAGATTGAATTTCACTACCAATTTTTGGGCCTCTCAGCCGCGGCAAAGAAATGTGTCGCTGAGGCGCAAAATGAACGACAACCCATACAACCACACATTTGCCCATCACTTTGCGGACACAACCACGCTCGTTCATCAATAATTTTGCTTTATTGACATTGCCCACATCACATGTATGAGGGTAATCGGCTTTTCGCATCCCCCATGAGGCGGAGACGCCCATAACGATTCCGGCGTCGATAACGCTATGCCCGACATTGACCCCGCCTCCCTCAACAGCGCCGAGCCATTGCAGACATCCCTCAACCCCTCCTCACTTACACTCTCGAAACCAAATGCCATCACTACCTCTGCGGTCGCTCCCAAGGCGGCTAAAGCCTCAAACGACAAAGGGTCGCAACGAGTCGACCTCGAGCCCATATACACAAATCTCAAGACTGCCGTAGGGGAAAGATGGGCGGACTACAAGGAGGCTATCAAAGAATTTGTACTCGGTGCGTACCTGGCCAAGTCCTGCATTCTAGCGCTTCGCCAGTGCAGAAAAGCGATGAACTAACATGGACAAGGCAAGCTCAATCAATCCGAATTGTCTCTGCGCATAGACTACTACATTTGCGCATCTCCCGAGACGGAACACCTTCACAACTCACTCATCACTGCGCTCTATGCCAACGCGTATCGAGAGCCACCAGAGCCTGGCGTGGCACCATGGGTTGCTGCGAACGACAAACCCTCCGTCGTTGGAGGCGGCGCGGCGGGCAAGGGAAATGACAAAGTAGAGGAAAGGTTGAGAAGAGAAGTGATGGCCTTACCAGGAAGAGATAGGAAGAGACTGAAAGCTGTTGGTGAGGTATGAACGCCCCCGTCTCTGCTTCCTAAGAAGCGAATCATTCACTTCATTTGAACACATGCAGTTCAACTTCACGTGAACGTTATCTTGAAGCTGACGTATACTCGTGATGTGCTTGCAGCGCGATACTCATGATCCCAATACATCCGCAACAGCAATCGCCATGCACGAATATCGCGTTGCGCGCTCTATTAAATTACAGGACAGTGTGCCGGCCAGCGCCGGCGGGCTTAATAAGACCAGTGAGTTCCCTTGTATGTAGTCTGCTAAGCTTACTAATTATCGATGTAGACTGGGATCTTGAAATCCGGAAACGCTACACCCATCCTTTGTTCCATGAAACGCTCGAATTCCCGGACTCACCCTCAATCCAGAACCGAATGCTTCCAATATGTTACGAAGAAGCTTTGCCCAATGGACCAGCAGACCAGTGCGCGGAATTTATGGTCACGGCTACCGAGATGTTCATCAAAGACGTAGTCGGGAGCGTCATTTCCCTCACTCGAAACAACTTCCTCTCATCAAACGCAAAAAACGGCTATACGAATGGCCATGTAGGCAAACCCCCTCCCCTGCATTCATCAGCTAGCATGGGCGTCCCTGGCCAAAGGCCGCTTTCTAAGGCCGATTTGCGAGTCTCTCTGGGCATCGCTTCCTGCTCGCTTGGGCCAATGCCGGACATCATCACGGATGTGATGGGTAGCTGGCCGGAAGGCGTGTTGGAGGGATGGGACACTTATGATGCAGAACTGGATCTCAGCGTTCCAGGTCTTGGCCGCCCAACTTCGAGTGCTAATAGCACCACTGTACCGAAAGTTCCGGATACTGACAGCATTATGGTGAACGGAACTCACGATGTGCTTATGAATGGCGTTGCCACTCATGAAACTAACTTGACCAATGGCAACGTAACCAATGGAATAGTTTGGGAGGAGCCCGCTGTAGATGGTTGGGCCGGAAGCAGCACGCAGGACCGCGACAGGCTTTTTGATACGCTGGACGAGTGTTTGGCTTTTGGGCAATGACAATGCTACCTCTAGCCAAATCAATGATTTGAAGCAGGGTTTCAAGGGGAGCTATTTACGTGGCCGACGAGGAGAAGCGCATCTGGTGACACGAGTTGACGCATTTAGCAGGTTTGGCGTTGGGCGGTTCAGGACGGCAAAACTTTGGATGATACCCATGGCATTTGATCAAAAGGGGAGTTTTGGATTTTGATCTCGTCCCGCCAAAAGGGCCTTTGTATGTAGAAAGCATGGTCGATTTACGATAGATAAAGTGGTGTATGATAGACATCTGCTGTCACTATACTTTAGCTCTTCATAGTGACAAGCATTTTCACATCATTTTTTGAATATCGACTTCTCATATTAGTGCTGTATCAACAGTTATTTATGATTGCCAAGCCTTATATTGCTTATGTAATGAAGATCTCGCTAAAGGCGTATCATCCACATGTAGTCATTCCGCCTCGAAATCTTAGACCATTCGCAACCTCCGTACAGCTTTCTTCCGCCTAGACCTTCAAACCTCAGTGCCTTAGGCGATAGATAGCTGCACTTCAAACATAGAGCTAAGGTTCAATCGTCAAGATGGTATGTCAAGTCGCTCTTGTGCCACCTTTAGCTGCAGCGTGGCAATGAAAGCCGATCCCCTATCATTCAGCCTACACGAAGGGAATATAAGTTCATGATCGCTGACTATTCCTTGAAAGGTTCTCGCAGTAGATCTCCTGAATCCGACGCCGCAGTCTGAAGCTCGCAAGCACAAACTCAAGGTACATCAACCTCACGTGACACTTTCAAGAGCTTGGGAAATTAATACTGTCCTCAGACTCTTGTCCCAGCGCCGCGATCCTTCTTCATGGACGTCAAATGCCCTGGATGTTTCACAATCACAACTGTCTTCTCGCACGCACAGACAGTCGTTGTCTGCGGAGGCTGCTCAACTGTCCTCTGTCAACCGTACGCACAACCCTTCCCTACTCTCGTTGCTTTGTTTCAGGAACGGATGTGTCTTTATGAGTACTCCGTCTCAAGACATGGCTTTGTAAAGAGCAAGACTTCCACAAGCACATACCCTACTCATTACACTGGTTGAACGCAGGCTGACCTGATTGAAGTACTGGTGGCAAAGCCCGTCTCACAGAAGGCTGTTCGTTCAGGAGAAAGTAGATGAGTTTGAGAATTGGTTGGCAAAACTTTGATTAGCGGGATAGAAGATGGGACGTATAACCTGTCTTTGCATAGATGGGAGTTTCGGATATCCCGCAGAATGCATATTGAACTGCAATGAGTTGAGAGAGGCATGAATGTGTATAAGCGAATGAACTCTTGCTTCATTCTCCACGAGCGTTGATTCATTCAACAACATTTGCCCATCAATATAGCGTATTCTTGCAGGATACATGCAGGTCTGATTTTGTACAGTAGATCTCCCGTGTGGACCGAGGCGAACGTTTTATTTGTTTATTTCTGATGCCTATCTGCTACAAGGCCTCCATCCAATTCGCCACCAGATCTCCTCCTACATACACACATCTAACTCATTAATCGACTAGTCTAGCACCCTATTGCTGTCAAGATTTGCAAAGCCACGCAGCATTACGAATGCAATTATAAAGCATGTAGAAGCCCAGAATTTGTGCCTCTCATTACGCTATGTCTATCAAAGCTGGTATGTTGAAATCAACCCCTCTCAAGCCTTCAGCCTGACTACGGCCAGAGAGCATCTGGGCAGCTCAGCCCTCTACGACTCGAGGCCATCCCACACCTCTTTCGGCGGATCCAAAAGGGGAACGAATCGCCTATGCCGTTAGTGCCTAACGTGCCTTTCCGCAATGGGCAGTAGCTGACTACGGTCCTGGACAGTCAAACAAGTCCATTATCCTTCGCTCTATCGACGAACCTTCGTTGAGCACACAGTACACCTCTCATACGACGACAACAACGGTCGCCCGCTTCTCCCCTTCTGGCTATTACGTTGCGTCAGGCGATGAGTCGGGCACGGTCCGTGTTTGGGATTGCACAGGCAATGGCATCACCAAGGGTGAATATCCAATCATCAGCGGCCCAATAAACGACATTGCTTGGGATGGCGATAGTCAGAGACTTATTGCAGTAGGGCGGGGAAAGGAAAAATTTGGGCATTGCATAACAGCCGACTCTGGTAACACTGTAGGCGAAATCAAGGGGCACTCAGATCAGATCAATTGTGTGAGCATAAGGCAGCAGAGACCGCTGCGAGCTGCCACAGGAGGCGATGATTCCACGCTCGTTTTCTACCATGGAGCACCATTCAAGTTCAACACCAGTCTCAAAAGACATCAACGGTATATATACGGGCTTGCATTCAGTCCAGATGGTAGTACTCTCGTGAGTGTGGGCGCAGACCGGAAGATATTTCTCTATGATGGCAAAACAGGAGAGGCGAAGGGAGAGATTGGGGATGGCGAACACAAGGGTAGCATTTACGGCGTATCATGGTCTCGTGATTCCAAACGATTCACAACCTGTAGTGCCGATCAAACAGTGAAGGTCTGGGACGTTGAGACTGGAAAGGCCGCTCACTCCTGGCGCTTGGGCTCAGACGAGGGAGTAGTCAGCATTCCCGACCATCAAGTCGGCGTTGTATGGCCCCCTGCACGCTCAGACGATTTGATCATATCACTCTCCCTTTCTGGCGATTTGAACTACCTCTCAGCCTCTTCACCAAACCCCATTCGCGTAGTCCAAGGCCAGCAGAAGAATATAACCGCACTCACTACCTCGTCATCTTCATCAGACTCCTCACCAACCCTTTTCACTGGTAGCACAGATGGACGGATATATTCCTATCCTACCAAAACGGGGGCTGGCTCAAGCATTGACGGCACTGGACATTCAAATTACGTGTCCGGCCTCACCTCCGTCCCAGGAAAGATATTCAGCTGTGGCTGGGATGATTCGCAGCGCAGTATTGACATATCCTCAAATACTTTCACGGGCTCGCACCAAAAGACAGACGGTCAAGCGCGTTCCATCGCAGCAACATCCAAAGGCATCATTGTCGCGACCCACAAGGGCATCACCGCCTTCTCTCAGTCTGACGACAGCGTCCTCAAGCAAGTCTCAACCCCATCACTCTCGCCAACTATTGTAGCAGCAAATGATACTCATACAGCCGTTGCCTCAGATGACAACGTCCTTCGGATATACTCCTCGACAGATTTGCAGCTGAAACACACTCTACCGGCATTCCCGTCCGCCATCTCATCGCTCTCTTTCTCCAGCCCAGCAGCAACAAACCAAGATCACCCTTACCTAGCTGTCGGCTTCTCATCCGGCAAGATCCTTGTCTTCACTCCTACAGACAACTTCTCTGAAGCCGTTATTACGCGGTGGTCATCCCATACAGGCCGAGTGACCAGCATAGCCTGGGACGAAGGTGCGAGACGTGCTGTCAGTGGCGGCTTGGATACGAATATCTTTGTCTGGAGTGTGCAGAAGCCCGGTGGTAGAGTCAGTGTAGGTAGTGCACATAAAGAGGGTGTGAATGGCGTGGTGTGGATCAATGACTCGACGGTGAAGAGCGTTGGCGTTGATGGGTGTGTGAAGGGGTGGACGGTTGAAGGTGTTGTGTAGTGACGGAGGCCAGTAGAGGGGAAATTTGCAAGTACTGAATTGATGAAGCTCATGGTCATGAGTGATGGTTGAAGATGCTGATGAATGCGTAGGTCTCACTTTGAATGTCTCTATGTGGCCGTATTTCGTTCACAGCACCATAAATACTTCCTCCTCGTTGAAATTCTCTTTTCCTCTCTTCTTTCATCCATCCATAAGCCATGCAACTTCATCCTTTTCCCTCCTTGTTTCATTAGACAAAGACAGACCTTCCGATAGACAGACCTTCCGATATTGTGGGCTCTCTTGCCATGTTTATTCGACGGTCTGTTTGCAAAAGGCGTACCAGATACTCTGCACTGCAATGCAACTCAATGATCTCCTTTCTGAAAGTCATGGTATGATTTCCCCGTCCATTTTCTGAAGTCGAGGACTTCCTCCTCGCCCTTATTTTAGTTCTTCCAAATCATATGCCATCGCTATATATATATACGGAATGTAATTTTTTTCTCTCACTACGTCATTAGTATCTATTCTCCATCTTCAAGCATGGTGTTACCTGGAAGCGACCAGTCTTTGTTCATTGCTGAGACACTTACCCTCTAATCTACGTTTTTTACTAAGTGTGACTTTTCTATCGCGAAAGCTTCTTCGCGGTGACTACCAGTAGGCTCTCCAAAGCCGGAAGCAAAGAGGATAATCGTAATTGTTTTCTTGCGTTCTTCAATGAATCACTGGGCACAAGACGTTTCCCCAGAGCAATCGAGGAGATGGTATTTTGCGACAAGATACGCAGATGGCAGCAAACACTACTTGTTTTGCTGAGCCAGTGTTGGCCATTTCTATTGTTTTGTCTCAGAGGTCACAGAAAGAACAGAAAATCGCTTTGGGGTACCACCTCTTACAAGCTTGACGACTGGTTGGATAAGTCACGTCTTCGAAAGTCCGATCGCCAAGGATAAATCTGCGATAGTGGTGTCAGTGAACGCCGTTTCAGCGCAGCAATATTTCTGCTGGGAGACAAGTACGCAGCAAGCAGTACGTTCGAAATGCCCCAAGACTTCAGGGATCTACTGGGCCTGCCTAATCGCCAGATCGACGTTCCTAGCTGCTAAAGGCAAGGAAGCACCCGACGCTGGCCACTGATCAGATCCAAGGGCGGACCACAATTCTGAGTGCGCTGACCAGGTAAAAGCCCAGAGGTAAAAGGGGCTGACTAGTCCAGAGCTAGAGCAAATAAAACCGAGACTGGAACTTTAAGGGCAATAAAGCACTGGAGGCATATCACAAGACTACACGCGAGTGCGAGGAAAAGAAAGGACTATGCACAGAATGAAGCAAAAGTGGTGCAAAAAAAGCGTGTTTGTGTCGACAGGTGTGGCTTCTGCCAAGTATTCTCGTCCTTCTATCAGGGTAAACATCCAATTGAAGCCGCAAGGGACTTGGAGCTGTTTCTGTAATGGACACGTGCGACGATTAGATAAACCTGGCCCAGTTAAGAACGTCCACAAACTCCACAATACGTCGTCCCCTGACCGAGAGCGAGGCTTCAACTTTGTGTGGATCTTCAAGGAAGACCCTACCTTTGTTTTTGGGTACTTGACTCCACTAGCGCCGCCTGGTGAAGACCCATTTAGACGAGTTCAAAAGGAGCCTCCGCCCCTTATGCGGTATGAACAATGGGGATAGAGAAGATGAGATCGAAATTCACCTTGATTAAAAGGTATTAGGATCTCGGGGCCGTGGAGGCAAGAGCAAAAAACGGGTTCAATATCTCGTAAAGTGGAAAGGATTTGGCCCTGCCTATAATGTGTAGTATGACGAGAGCGATCTAGGGAGCGCGCGAGACCTTATCACTGACTACATCAAAAAGTTCGGTGAGCAGTCTCAAATGGAATTCAGAGCCAACCTCACATACATCAAAGCGGAGGGAAGCTGTACAGAGGATCTCAAGCGATTTCAAACCGGATGCAGCACCATGACCATAATAAGAACACAGGTTTCCGTCTAGCCTCTGAGCTTTGCAGGACTCTTTCATCTTCCATTGTGGACTCGTGAAAGCTAGTAGGCGGTGCTACCTTCTCTCTAATATTGTTGTCCATGCTATCTTTTAATTGCTTCGCACTTCTACAAGTTGTCTCGAGGCCAACGAGGAAAGGGGACATGTTCCGCCCAAGAGGGTTATTTTGTGTCAGTGAGGTGAGCTCTCCGGCTATTAGGTCGAGGCTCATGTAGCTTTGCTCAAAGCAGCCATTATCTGGGCTTTGATCACAACCTTGAAAACGCCAAAAGAGCCCTTGAAAGTGACAAGCAGCCTCGAAAGGAGACCTGGCAATGACGACAACTTGTTGTGGACGAGAAGCAGTGTCGCCACTAAAGCAGACCTTGACCTGGATATATTGGGCTTGTCTTGATCACGTCATTTTGTTGAAGCTTTGAAAGCCATGAGACCTGTTCAAGGTCGTGAGTCACCTTTTCAAAGCCACGTTCACTACTGCCTATGCCCTCAACTTTGAAACAACCGTCACGTGTTCATGGTATCAGCTTGTCTCGGTTCGTTGACGCCTCGTCTAGAGACGATCTCTCTTTCGTAAGTTCATAGAACTTCCAGGACAAAATTCAAGAACCTTCGCTTGTATCCACCATCGAATGGCCGAAATGGAACGGTGGTTGTACGGTGACAACCTCGTGAAAATAAAAGCACGCAATTTTGCCACTTCTAGAATCATTTCAAGAAGCATGTCACGTTCTTGCTTCTGAGAGTTCACACCAGACATGCCAAGGTCAAGGGCGCTGCTTGTTTTGAAGACCCCTTCGCCGGCAGCGATGAAACTTTTCCATTACCTAGTCCATAAGATCGCCTCCAGACACCGTGCGGGATGGTAGAGTAATACTACATCTCAACTGGTGAAGCATATCCTCTGGCCAGATCAAAAAATGGCGGAAAGACATTGGAAATTCTTCTTCGTCAGAAAATGATCAAGAATTCCACCTTGAAGTGGATGTCAATTTCGCAAAGGGAGCCCGAAGGCATAGCCCGATTGCTTTCTTTCCCCGGTGAAACCTCCATTGTCTGTGTCATTGCACGGTTGACCAAAAAAAGGTTGACCTTAGACATTCCTACAGACTCAAAAGTCTCTGAATTCTGGTTTCAGGGTCTGAGATCTCACTTCTTTCTTGTCTGTCTTAGGGAGCCGACGAGCTGTTGGCATAAGTTTACAGTATATAAGACTATTGCAAGAGGCAAGGACGTATGACAGCATCTCGCGTACATTTCCTTTTCCGGTTTTTGGGACGAATCATTGTCCACCAATAGGAAATTGAGCAAAAACGCTCATAGTATACACACAGGACAGAAAATTGCAGAGCGGCCGACTTTGGTGGTCGACTCCACGTGGCATAAGCTTGTTGGTAAAAATGAACCAGCAAAAGATAGAAACTAGACTTCAGGCTACGGATATTCTGACGTGATGAATGACAGGATCAATCTGGCAAGGACAGCACTTTCGCGATACTCGAAGTTGAAGTTTAAAGAGAGCCTACACCTATGCTCTCGGACAACGAGTTCAGGGGTCAACTATCAGGGAGACCAATTGTTTTGTCAATAAAATTCGGCAAGCCATCGAGCAATGTAGACAGGAAATTGTCGAAGTGATTGCGGACGAATCCATTTCATACGGATCCGGGGGTGTGGAAATTATCGAGCAGCGTATATCCTTACTCCGACAGTACGCAAGCCTGATTGTAGAGGGACAAACTCGTGTTGCCCAATTCACAGTTTTCGTTTGCAATCTCTATGTGACTCCTTTCTACTAAATTGGGCAGATTTCAACATTCTATCTTCCTAGTCAAATACCGTGATCGCCACCACCAGCTTATCTAGCTATCGTCTACTATTTTATGACTACATTCCATTCTTTTCGGGTATGAGATTAATGACTGACGGCTCCAACAGTAAGAGGGAGGCAGTAAATCAATGCAAGCCGAACACCATTACGGGCAGAAAGTCAAATGACCGACTCACAGGAAGCCAAAAGACCTGTGAAGCTCGTCCCCGGTCTCCAGCACGATCCATTACAACTCCACTTTCTCGCTCATGTACATCTTTCACATGCGTATTCCTTACCAAAACATCTTGGTTTCAATCTATATATAGCCTTTTCTCGCCATTTTCCTGCAATTTATATATAATGGCACTTCGTTCAACGGGCGAGGCTCTCGGGCACCTGGTTCGAGAACATGTGGACGCTGAATACTTCCCAACTATGATCCGCTCTAAGAGCAGAAACTCGCTCACAATCTGAATGTTTCCATTGTTTACTATGCCTTCAAAATCAGCGCGCACTGTAGCAGACAAATACTATTTCCTGCAACTATCTCTTTTGAGCTCCTCTTTAGTACCTCCAGATTTGATAAAGCGAGAACAGAGGTTGAAACACATTCAACTCGCTCCCCCACTTGACGAGCAGTCATGCTTTAATTAGCATTCTATCCCTAGATTTGCCAGCACCGCAAATTATTTACTACCTCGTCTGAGAAACATTCATGTGCTCACTGATCTTTCCGTCCAAACCAAAAGCTGCTTAGTTTCCGCCCCTGTTCGACTCTAAGGACGTTTCCAGAAAAGTCAACCGCCTAGTCTCAAATCGTGAAGCTATTCTCTCTTTCTTCACCACACAACTGAGGGAGGATTTCACCCCTTCCCCTTTCTACATTCAAGCAGCACGTTTCCCAACATTCCTACCACTGGCCTGCGCCTCATGAGACCAACTCTCTCTTCCTTCAACAGACAGCTAAGTCTGCAAATCTCGGGGCTTGACAATTCCACAGAAGTCATGAGTTATGACTTCCCACACGGGACCATCCAGAACCGTGCGTGCGTTAGGATTATGTGAAAGCAAGCGACTGCAAATCTGACAGGATGATACATCTTTGCCGTAGGGGGCATTAAACCGCAACGACGAACCACATGGTCTTACTAGAAGGAGTAAGTTCACCCAATGTCCAAGGAAGAACATTGGAAGGGGCTGGCGAAGGGACGAAAGGGGAGCATCTGAGTCCAGATTAATCAAATTCATTACATCAATAATACAAAAAAGACTGGTATCTCCGCCATGAAACTTCGTCTATCCAAGTGGTAAGTCGAGATATTCATCAAAACGTATATATTCATATCCAGAGTCTCTGGTCTGCATTCATTTGGCCATTGAGCTCAGGCCAGGTCGGCCTTCACACCTCTCCCCAGAGCCCCAATCCCGCTGGTCCGCCAACCAGACTCCCTGCTTCACTTCCTCCTCTACCTGGCGAGCCCATTCCAATGTCCCAAAAATTCCGCGATGAATAGCCTCCACTAGCAACGCTTGTCGTTGACGACAAAGCATCACTTCCTCTCCGCACCTTACTTCTTCTCAGCGATTGACTGCCGCATGTACTGCTGCCAGCATATCCTCGACTTTGGAAGCTTCTTCTTCGGTTCTCCCATTGGCGACTGACGAGAGGGTGATACTGTCTTATAACGGCTGTGCGTCGGAGCGTGTCGGCAGTTGATGTCGTGGCGAGATTGGCCTTCGTGGGCTTGGGCGTTGTAGAGGACGGAGGTCGCCAGAAGTGGTTTTGAAGGATGCGGTAGAGAGAGGAAGGGTTCGCTGGTCGAGACCAATAGTCATGATCAAATGATTTGGGTGAAGAGTCTGGTTCTTCTTCTATACCCCATAGGGACGCGTGCTTGTGGATGTCCGCTGCTGGAGCATTGAAATCGGGTGTTAGATTTGAAGGTGGGAAAGAGGGTTTAAAGTTGAAGGAGGGAGAAGCGGGAGGAGGTATCGAACGCTGATGCGTAGATTGAGAAAGGCGCGTACGCGAAGATGTAGGCTGTGTAACAGGTATCCCAGCATATTCGGAGGAGGGAGGACTGGGGGGTGGCAAAGTCGAAAATGCACCTGGATGCTCGGTCAAATGATCAATGAGGAAGCCAAGCTCTCGGGCTAATCTTGTGAGTAATCGGGTCTCCCACGAAGCATTGCCGTTCGAGCTAGTAGCTACAAGTGCAGTAGATTCGAAAGTAGGCTGAAGATCTTCTTGTATTTGTGCAGGCAGTGCTTCCCCAAATATCACGGAGAGGACATCCTCATCAATACCCACAAAGTCGCGGATGACTCGACGGGTAAAATTTTGGAGGAATGACTCGCTGTTGTCGTTGGACGGTGCACGTTGTTCATGGATGCTCTGGCTAGCAACCGTTTCCCTCAGCTGCTGGACTTTCCTGGAACCGCTCTGCCTATCGGCAAATGTGTCGGAGTTCTCAGCTCCAGTATGACTCTTCGCGATGGATTGCCGTCGCCTCCTAGTCTCTTTCTCAATCTCGTTCAGCAAGATCCTCGAATGCTCCAGCCGCCATTTCTCTATCCTCTCTCTTTTCTCATCATCTACTGGCGCTTCACTGGCTTCGATGGCATCAATTTTCCGCTTCACAATAGATGGTCTCCTATCATGTGCGACGGATAACCGCTTGCGAGGATTGTACCGTTCAAAATGCCATATCTGCCTTTGTACGTCGGAGCTGGAGTCAGGAAAGGCGCCTAGTCCATCATGCCGTGGGAAGATGGAGTTGCTCTGATCAAGATGATGAGGTTCTCGAAATGCATGTAGGCCGTCATCCAAGCTGTCTAGCTCTTTCTCGTCCTCTTCTGAACCCAGCGTTGCCTGACATGGTAGGTCGCGCTCTCTCTCTGATCTGAAAGCACTTTCAATGGAGCCAAAGTCACTAAGTCTAGACAGTCCAGCTGTCTTCGGCGTCCTGTCCGTCGAAGCAGTTTCTGTTTGGCGATGGGACTCTGCCTGAGGGAAGAGTATCCATTCTTGAGGTTCTTCGCGGGCCTGAGGGAAGCTAGGTCTGGTATAATCAAGAGATTGTTCAGGTGCTGGAGATGCGATCGTTCGTGCTGGAATTGGTATCTTAGGTTGCTGAAAGGCCATCGTTCGACGAACGGCTTTGGGGTCGGGGGTATAGCCCGAAATGGTAAGAGCGGCTCAATCGGAGACACCGGAGCTGTTGGGAGAGCTAACAAGGGACTGAACAGCCGAAGAATGCCAATTTCACTGTCGTTGCTCGATGCACAGATCTCACTACTTGTTATATCTCCTCCGCATTTGATGTTGGAGTCAGGCAAGCTTGGTGCGTGATGACAGATGGCAGTTGGGGTTGGGCCTTTGTCTTCAATAGCCATTTGCTTTCGTAGGGGCAACAGCAAGAGAATCAAGCTCCATTGGATATGTAATGGCTGTATGGCGCCTTTTGAATCGGCGGTCAGCTTATCAAGGTGAGCGGCGTTGATGGATAGTAATGATGTTGCAGATACTCATTTGCTTTACGCCAGTGCCATGGGTCCAGACTCCCGTCCAGATGACAGACAGGCCTTGCCAAGGAGCTAAGATATCATTAGCGCTAGCCCTATAGAAGCTAGTCAGTATTGGCTCAATGGATGTACCTCCACTCAGGCGATATCCATCCTACCTTCTTCCTGGCGACTTAAATCTAAACAATACCTAGACCGAGGGGACCTACATTCTACGAGAAATATCAACCTTGGTTCTATCTAGGGTCGGAAATAGCAACGCTACCAGTTCCATGTCACCCTTGTACGATCTGATCTGAGTGCGGTAGGATGGAGCATCCGATGTCTGCCTTTCATCCCGCAGCTTGCTCTTCTTGTCGCCAAGTTTGACTATGCAAAAAGGACTTTCTCTGAGTAGGGCTGCCTTCTGATGCAAAGCGAGCCCCCGACAAGGCCACGGCATCCTATCAAACCTTGGATATCCTATTGTCCGAAGGCTACCGAAGTCTCGTTCATCTGGTGGTCGTCTGGATGAAAAAGAAATCGTATTGTCAGCACAATAGATCGTGCTCAACCCCTTGTTGGAGCCATCAGATGACACCTGTGACCGTAACCAGAGAGTTGTCCAATGCAACGTGCAATGTAAGCATCACTTGGTCCCCATCTTGGTCCGATCTACTCCAGCAATAGATCTTTCGTTGATCTTTACGTACTAAGCTGTGCGAACGTACATCATGATTTGCGTATCAACAAGGTATTGGAAGTAAACCAATACCAATATTCCGATGCGATGCATCCCCGCTTCGTCCAGTCTTGGCCCGATCTGTTCCAGCGACAGGATCTACATCATTATCATCTCGTTACGTTCATGTCAACAGGACTGGAAGGTACGAATCGCGCTCAGGTAGGTTGATACATGTGGTTTGCTACCGCTGAAAACCTTAAATATTCCATACATAATGATATGATCCAATCGAAAGGTCTACGGGTTGTGTTTCTAGGTATTTGTCTGCAGAAGAAACCGATATGGTCTGCCTTTCAGCGGGGTAACGGGTGAGATTTAAAACCGAGTAGGTCCATCATATGCGACCTGCTGTGCGTGAGTGTCAGGACCGAAGAAATCCAGCGTGACAAGCGACGCAAAGCGGGGAAGTGAACAACCATGGATTATATGAGCGAGACCTCTACCGTGTCTTCTGAGAAGATAATGTTCTCAACCACTCCGTTCTTCACAATCGTCGATTCTGACGAGTCTTGTTATCATTTGACACAGGCATCCTGAATTGAGATCCAACCCGATTTTTGTTCTAATATAAAGCTTTGCCCTTTCCTATATCAAAATAGATCGTCATGCGATTTCAGGGCTTTCCAGCAACAGATTTACCGTCGCTTGTATCGAGACAAAAGATAGAAGACTCCGAGCAAGGAGCCGCCCTCTCATCGGATGACTGCCCCACCCCTTCCTCGCACACTTCGTCTGCTCAATTAGATGCCGAATCAGGAGACTTTGTGGATCTTGGGCCCTCCCGATCGGCTGAACCATGGCCGTTCAAGAGCGATATGTTCAATCAACCCATGACTGGGCCGCCCTGTGATCCAGCAAGCCCTTTATGTCCACCAATCATTCAGCATCCACTGTTTGACAATACGGACTCAATGGCTATCTCAGGTATACTTCCCGGTACAACACTGAAAGTGTTCGTCAACGGCACAGAGCAGGTCTACAATCAAAAAATTTGGCTCGGCTTCGCGAGTGTAGTCGTCACTCGAAGACTCAAGGTTGGCGAGATCATTTCCGCTACGCAGACAATCAATGGGATGACAAGCCCTCCGACTCTTCATCCTCGAGAGGTACGGCCCATCTCGGAGTCGGCTCTTGCTACAACCAAGCCTTGGATCCAGCAGCCTTACGAGTGCGCGACTTTTGTTGGTGTACAGAACCTGATGCCCAGCGCCCGGGTTTATTTACGTACTTCACAAAATCAATGGATTGGCTGGAGCTCTTTTGCCCGGCGAGCAGCCTCTGTTTCCGTACCAGCTCTACGAGCTGGTATGGAGCTCAACGCACAAGAATGGCTCCTTGAAGGCAGACCAAAAGAAGGCTCTGGTATCATGTCTAATACGGTCACCGTTAGGCCTCGCCCAAATCCTCTCCCAGCCCCGACTTTTGAAAACTCAAGTCTGTGCTTCGGAAACACTGTGTTGTTGCTGGGGGACTTGATCGGAGGTGCAACAATCTACGTCATGCAAGATGGTCAAAATCTATCCTCGGGCCAAGTGGCACCTCTCCGAAGATGCTGGGTGTTCCTTTCGCGACCGTTGTCTCAAAGCTCTGTCTCCGTTCATCAGATTATCTGCGGTCAATCGAGTTATTCTCGCCAGGGAGTACCCGAAAAGATACCACCAACACCAGAGCTTCTCGGGCCAGTTTGCCCAGGATCCAACTATGTTCTTGTTAGAAAAGGGATCATTAATGCTTACATCGATGTGTTCCGCAATGGATCAATTGTTGCTAGCAGTGGAGCATTTCCGACGGACACTGCCATTGCGTTGGGCTCAAGGGAGACCTTCCAAGTTGGAGATGTTGTCGAAGCAATCCAACGATTTGGCTTTGAAAACGGTCCTACCCATTCCGTCAGCGCTCCTTCAAAGTTCATCAAGGTTGCGAACACAAATGAGCCCCCTGTTGTTGAGATTACTGGCGGCGAACCTTTCTTCGTCAGCACCAACTCTAATGAACAGGCTATCGATGGCCCAGTATTCCCACGTGGGCGTGGTTCAGGTCCGTCCATCCGTGTGAGCGCGTGCTGCTCGAATGTCTCTTTGAAAATCATGGATCCAGCAGGCAAAGTAGTCGCCGAGCCAAGATTGGAAGAAATCGTTCCTGGCCACTACAAAGCGACGTGGGCCTGGCGCTCCAATAGCAACTGGAAAGTACCGGATGGAGTACCAGTGGGCCGTTACTCTGCTGTCGCGCGCTCTAATTGCGGCTCAAGTGAGACTAAGAAGCTCTTCTACGTTATCTTTGATCCAGGCAATGTTGGTGGGCCCGAAGCGTTTAGTTTCAATTCAGTTGCTGTATGGTTTGGGAATGGAGAAAACCGCACATTTGCCGATCGCTACTATCTACGACAATCAGACATGAGAGTCTTTTCAAAAGCAATCGAGGCGATCAATGGTCTTACTGACTCGTACGAAGCTGCCGGAGCTATTGCTCGTGCAGAAGACAAATTATTCGGTTACGACCTTATATGGCATACCAGAGACGTCTTGGACATGATTAACAATTACAAAACAGCCCAGTGTGCAGACGACGCTTGTATTTGCGTTTCATTCATGCGATGCGCTGGCATTCCTGCGCACCCGGTTACAGCTGACTCGTTCAATGAATACTATACTTTCGACAAGAAAGGGCCCGCTCACTGGGGATTCGATACGTGGCTTGAAGTGCTTGTGCCATTGGAGGGTAAGATTCAATGGGGTGTGATACACAATCACTGGACAAGCCCTGCACAAAGTGTTTACGACCCTGTGAACAGAAAATGGATGGGAAAGCATAAGAATGTAGCCGGCAAGCGCGATAATGATATCGTTATCATGGCCAATGAGAAGTGGATCGATTCAAATGTGGGCGACAACATTCCCGACGTTGGGTTCCGAAGACTTGAGTGCGGCAGACCAGCCAAAGATTTAGTATTCAAAGCTGATTGGGTTGACGAATTGTGCGAGCTTTATTGGGAGTCTCCTCACTGGCAGTGCGGTTCTACATCATCGGCAACTTGTCCTAACCCATCCGCCCATAATGCAGATACGCCCCAATTCAAGTACAGCACCAAACCTAATTTTGGTGGAAGAATTCGAGGCACAATAGAAGTTGACGCTCGAAATCGTATGATTGCCGATAGCCTATCGGAGGATTGGTCTTTAATTCTTTATAAGACCAATATCTTCGAGATGAAGGTTTTCGGCGATGAGATTGTCCACACAAGCGTTCTTCCGAAAAAAGGTACAGGTACGACGCGCTACAACGTCGACTTCGATTTTCCGGCACCGGACACGCTGTCAGAAGTCGAGCAATTAGCGTTACGTTGCGTCAGTATACCTCGATCTGCGACAGGATTGCCAAGGGAGAAGTACCACGTGATGGATATCAAAGAGCACGTCCTAGCCGAGGACACGATCGACATTGCCTCGGAGATCAAAATCGAGCCCGCCTCCAACATCAGCCTCCTCAGCCTCGAAATGCATCAGAGCCAAGCAATCAGCACCACTGTCACCAACATAGGATCCAAAACGCTCAATGAAGTCGTGGTGACGATAAGGCACCCGTTCGCTCTTCGCTGCGAACCCGAACATTATCGGCTTGCGATTCTAGAGGCCGGGAAGTCACAGAGTCTTGATTTCACGCTTGTCGCGGCTGCTTCGATGGACTTCGGAGGTGTGGATGTTGTCGTTACTACAGAGAATGGAGGCGCTGCATCGCAACCACATCAATTCAAGGTGGCGAGGAACCAGATTGTCGATATAGAGAGTGAGGCGTGCTCTGCTATAGCAATGTGGTAGGGCATCAACAGAATCATCAGTGCAGTCGCAAAATTGGGTAGAGCTCAGAATGTACAATAATCTTTGTATTGTAACTTGCGTTGGAAAAGTGTCACGTACATGACGCTTCAGACACGCCACTTCTCCAATGGCTTTGCCTGTGTAAAGATAGGAGTGATCCAACCTAATAATCCTCAGCTCTGCCTCGAGGCCTTCCTTTTGGATAGTATTCCCCCCCCGGCCCACTAATCGCAATCAATTTCTCAATACTATTCAATAAATTCTGCTTGACTTCGCAGTAAATTGTTCGTTCTTGGGTGCTTTTTCGAGCATGTCTCTTCTATTCTAGGTGTTTGGACGTCATTGCAATGATTTACGTCTTGTCGCGCCAAGACCTTGACATACATCTACATTATCTAATCTTTTAATCTAAGGTTGGGCGGCAAACCTAAACTTCGCACCTCGTCGGCATTACCTAAAGTAGGTTGCCAAGACATCTAGCCCATCCATCTATTAAACTCTCCGAACAAATGCGAAACATGCCGACGATGGACCAATCCATGTATGTCTGAACGACGATGGTACAGGTAGACTACATACACTTCATTCGCCTATTCAAAATTATACACAGAAGCCAAGACAGCTAATGCCCGTCACTTCATGACAGGCGAAGCTCCTGATTCCTAACCAATGAGCGCTTTTGCTAAATGCTTCGTACAATGATGCTTAAAAATTCTCGTTCATCTCTTCATCCTCGTACACGCACCCCCGTCGCTATTTGAACAGCTTCAAATCGGGTTACAAAGCATTGTAATCGTATCGTATCAACGTACGCCCCTCCCCCCAACTCTTCCCCCCACCTCAAGAATAACAAGGTCGTTGTTGTTGGAGTGTTATGTCAAAACCCACTCGCTACTCCTCTTGATGAATTTGTCCAGCATCAGGCTAATATCAGCCAGCACAAAGCGGCAGATGTAAAACCCGAAGAACTCTGCCGCGTGACGGATGCAAAGCTCAAGTCCCACGTGCGTCGGTGATGAATGTTTAAGGCCTGGATCTTCTGCTTGGCGAGCGACTTGATCTACATTTGTGCGGTCAGCACGACTGTTTTGTCTTAAAGCGAAGGGAATGAGTGAGTGAGCTTACCCAGGATCTGCACGGCGTCACACAATCTAGCGAGGGCGCCCATATAGCTCGGATTGGGCCCCATGCACTGGACCTGGCTGATATCACGTTTTGGAAATCTTGGATTCTGTGAGCTGCTGATGGGCAGAGATTGCATCGCAGGCGCGTCCCTCAAGTCAGTCTTGGAGCTGTTCACACCACTCGCCATCACCGTGCTCGGTCCGACCGAATTTTTGGAGCGCAATTTCCGCCATGATTTTAGGTATGATTTGTTGCTGCTCGCACTCGTAGGATTGAGGGCTTCTGAATTCGAGGTACTTTCTTCCGCAAGGTTGACGCCTCTGAAGGCCTGGAGACTTCCCTGTAAGCCCACCTCATTACCTAACTTCTTTGCAAGATTCGTTTGAGCTCGCTCCATGACATTTTCTAGAAATTGCATCTCTTCAAGCACGGCATCTGCGTTGTATGTGTCGACTTTGCCTAGCTTAAGGAGAGCAGCTGTCAACAAATCGCACGTCGAGACCTTTTCTTCAACATTCTTGAGCTTTAAGTTTTTCACCCGCCATATGTCTCGAGGCACGAAGAGCCGATTTGTGATGTAGCCTCCTCGAGGGTGGACGATAGTCTGGTAGATTGTTCGAAGGAACCAAAATGGACGAAGTAACGGAGACTCTGGGCATGGCTCAAGCGGGAGCGGCGGATTGTTGGCTAAAGGGTTGGGGGAGCCAGGACTTCTCGGTGAATGTATTTCGCAGTCGAAAAGGTGTATCCCACCCATAGGCTGCGCTTTCGGTAGGAAGCTTGACTCCAAAGGAGTCGGTAGGACTGGCACAGCGGGAGAAGCGGCCGGTCGACTTTTCGGCGTAGATGAAATGCTGCTTACAGATGTATTTGGAGAGGTATCATCGTTGATGCTGAGCGCTTTGCTTCTCAGACTGGAGGAAGAGAAATTCTTTCGCAACCCTGTAGCTCCTTTGGATGTTAAACGTGCTGGGGAGCTTGGCAACGAGGTTGCTAGAGTATCACTGTCTGCAGAAGTCACTTTTGTTAGACGACCTGTGGTTGTAGAACCTTGATCACCAGCATCAGAGCCCACGAATGGGAAAGAGCCGTTGCGACTCGGAGGCAGAGTAGCAGATGTTGGAGAGGGCTCCTGTATCATAGGACTGCTGAAAATCTGTTGCGTATCTTCGGCAATGAAAGCAGGTTGTGGAGGTTCAGGGATTGAATTTGAAAAAACTATTGGCGCCGGGACTGGAGGTGGTTGCGTCTTTGGTGCGTCAGGAACAGGGGCAAAAGCTTTAGTATTGGTCTCAATCTTCAGCTGTTTCAGTTTCAACCCGGAGAGGCGACGTTCTCGAACGCCTGGACTCGCGTTCCTTGCAGCCAAGATTCTTGGAGTGCTGTCAGATGGTGCAGAGCTCCGATCGGTAGGTGCAGGAGGTGGTGGAAGTGCTCCTGACGGTGGTGGGTGCATCAGCGGAGGTAGTGAATTGGTCTGGAGTTTTGAGGCTAGAGAAGGCAGCGCGGACGCTTCAGCCACAGTCGACAGAGAAGTGCCGGCGGTAGTAGGGTTGGAGCCAAACGAGCTGCCCATCGTTCGGCCAGAAAACCCACTGGAGTCAGATTGTCGAGGTAGTGCAGACTTTGTTTGTTCGTCGAACTCCGCATCACCCAGGACGAAACCTCGCGTCATCTCCTCGAGCAACCTTTCTTCTTCATCACCTTCGTAATCTCCAAAATCATCGTCTATGCTATCCCTTTGGACCGTAAGGTTTTGCAAACGCCCTTTCTCTTTTCCTTGTGCTTGCGCTACTGCAGCTTCCCTCTCCGCTTCCCGTACATTTTCCTTGGCTACCTCTATATTCCTTCTAATCGTCGACAGCGGATCTGGCTGATCGATCGGATACTGATCATCGTTAAGGCCGTCACCATCATCATCAGCCTCGTCATCCGGTTCGAAACCATCGTCATAGGCGGTTTCAATAGCTGCATCTAGTGCAGCGTTAAAATCCGTCTCAGTGGCACCGCTGGCAGCGCGTATCCGTTTGCGTCGAAGTCCGATCGATGATCTTCGAGAATGGACCGATGAAGCTGACGATCCACTCGACTCGTTGATAGTGTTCAGCCAAGAGGTGTGCCCATCGTCGCCTTCTCGTACCGACTCAGGCTCATCATCCAACTTGGCATCTTCAGCAAATCTGACTGGTGAGGGTTGACGGCGAGTCGTCAAAGGAGGAGGCATATATTCTTGATGCATGGGTACCTGATGGCGAAAGGCTGAATCATAATCATAAGGCGCCTCATCCTTTCTATCGTAAGGGGTTGCCCCAAGATCTCTACCCTCCACTCTATACGTTGAAGAATGTAGGGACTGCCTTCGCGGAGGAATATATGGTCGCGATGTCGCCGATTGATTATATGGAACTGACCCAGTACCTGAACTCTGGATCGCTTTCGAATTTTCTCCTGCCGTATCTTCATCTTCGTCCGTCACAATGGTGAGCTCAGTTTGTCCTGAATCTCTCTCCGCAGGTCGCGCAGGTAGTGCCTTGTTGTCTGACGACGCATAGAATGGATCATTTGTCTTGAGTTCCACAATGCGGCTTTTATAGGTATTGCGCTTGAGGATGTTAGTCTGGTCTAACACTTACATAGTCAGCAAAGGATCGAGACTTACCACTGCTTCTAATTTCCGTCTATCGTCCTCCCCTGAACTCCTCACCATTACCTGGCGGAGTAAATTACAAGCATCGCCGTATGCAAGCACGGCACCTTCCACATTTTGTTTACCATCAAGCACAACGGCATGATTGGCTTTAGCTAGAGCTTTTGAGAGTAGGGCTTTTTGAGATGGCGGCCTTCGCTTTCTTCGTCTCTGAGTACTGTCTCGACGATCTGAGGCCGAGCTTTCTCCCTCCGTTGTTCCCGTGCTCTTTGAAGAATTGGCTCGATGCCTTCGTTGCGAGCTGTGACGGCGCTCCGAATGTTTAATAAACGTTGATGCGCGTGGAGAATAGACAGATTCCGGGATTCTGTTCTGTGATAGGTTCGGGCTCAAAGGAGAGACTGGGCTTGGTTTACTTGACTTCTTCAGGTTGAGCTTCCCTGGTGAAGTGCTTGACCATTGGTCTCCAAAGTAATCTTGCTCATTCGAAGGCGACAATAGTTCGGCTGTGGCAGGCGTGTGAGCTGGGATGGTTGATGGTGATTCGGCGTCATCAACAGCCTTTGATAACGAGGACAACGTGACAATGGGAGGGAGAATAGGAGGCGGGTCTTCAGTAGGAGGTGAAACAAGATTTGTTGAGGATGAGAAAGCTATCGGTGGAGATCTGGGTCGTTTGGGCGATTTTGAGCTTGGCGGTGTTATCTGAGGATTGCCGAAATTGCCAAAGGATCCGAGGGATCCTGATAATCGTTTTGAAAGGCTACTTTTTCTCTTGTATTGAGCAGACGACCCTTTGCTCGACGTGGTCGACTGCGACCAGCGATTGAGATTGGCATTGCTATCAGACAGCCCGTTCTTGCTGTCGGGCCTGTAATAGAAAGCGCTTGACCTCCTTGTTGTTTCGGGGGATAGCCTCTGGTTGTGGTCTGGAGAGAATGTCTTGCCGGCAAAGTATGAGTGCATCGGGACCTCATTAGGACTCCCCTTTGTGCGGAGACCAGTGTAAGGAGGGCGCGGTGCTGGTGCAAGCGAAGAGGAGGGAGGTGCAGCGGGTCTTGAACCTTGTTGTTTGCGTGAGGACGGTTTGGCGAGATGGGCCATATCGATTATGCAATGCAGGACCGTTACGAAAACGTCCCTTAATCATGCATGAATTTCGATCTTTTTCTTCTTTTCATGTATTGGGCAGTTCGATGTCCCACCCCGAATACGCTCCTCGGTATGTTCCCTATTCCTCCCCAACTCGGATTGTGTTCATAAGGCTGCCATCATCATGCACGTTGCCCCTTACATCTTCGCATGCAGGTGAAGACAACGTATGTCAAGGAGGCGCTCAGGCGATGTTTCTCGCCACCGGAAAGCCCGATTCCTAAGCTTCTGTGCCGCGATCTGATATAGGCGACGCTGATGGGAGGTATCCAGGAGAGGAAAGCGGTGGCCGGTCAGAGGCTCGTAAGCGCACAGCCAGGTCCGTATAGAAGACCAATCGATGAATTAAGTCGATGTACGGTCATGCCATAAGGATTCAAATTGAGTTGCAGGGCATGCAGATCCGCATGGCTTGCAGCAACGACGCGGGCCGGGGTAGAGGCAAGGCAGGGGGTGCGACGCCTTCCGAATAGGTTAAGGATTGGAGGGCTGTGTCTGCACGTAAATGATGGTATAGTGACGGTCAAGGGAGGATTGTTGTCTATTGCCTCAAGTGGTCAATTGAGGAGTTGTCCTTCGCCCCCTTAAGTCTCTTGCTTGGTATGGGGCATTGAGACCAGGCCCGTCCTTCTAGCCCGAGTTCGATCGCCTAGCGCGGAAGCTTAACCCCGGCGTCTACCTTGTCCCCTCGTCACATCGCAAATCATTTAATAACAAGTCCATCCATTCAGCTCCTTCTTCGCTTCATCATGTGATAATGGAGGCATCAACTGAGAGAGCTCCCTAGGGTTATGGCTCTCCCGGAGCATTGCTTACCCTCCACCCGTGACCCCTGAATTCTCGTGAGCAGTATTTCACTTGATTCGTTCAATCTATCGGCAATGATAATAGGTAGATGGAACCAGCCTACACAACTAAAGGGAAGCACCTTGATTTCGTCTGACAATCATATGCGCGTCATGTCATTCGCAACGGCTTACAGGTGAGAACGCTATTTTAGGTAAGAAGGTAGATTCAAATACGCTGTCAGAAGCAAATATTCCCCAGGCCTTGAATCAGCTGATTTGATCGATATCTCAAGTATTCTACACCTCACGCTATACAGACCGTCCTCTCATGTATGAACAGATCCCATTCCCTATCCGTACGCCAACACACCCATACTGCTTAAGGCTCCGTCATCGAGCTGTCAATGTCAGCGCCTATCCAACTCTTTTCTTTCTTCATGAAAATGCTCTCCTGTTATTTCGATACTGCACAAGACTCGCCTGGTCAAGCGTCCCACTGAAAATTGCTTGAATCTGCCCATTCGTGCTTCACAGTCATGACGCGCTCCCAGACATCTTCCTCGTCCACCGACACGCTACCTGTTTGGGGGTCTGGAACGTCCCCAGATGAGCTTTTCCTTGCTCTTTTTGTCTCTACCCTCTTCGCTGTCTTGACTCCTTCGTGTTCCCTCTGAATCGTTCTCCTTGGAACCGTGTCGCCAGCAAAACCGTCCGGTCGACGTTTCTGCCATTCTGACAATGTCTGAAGGCATTTCTCTCTGTTACGTCTCTTCGCAGCGGCGATATCGAACTTTGGGTCTGCTCGAGCAGGCTGTTTCCTCTTTCGGACACTGCGTTCGGATGCTCGAAGCTGGGTAATGGCGGGAACGTCCTTCTGGGTAAGGGATAGGGTTGAGCTGCCGTCCGTCTTCCTGGCCGTGCGGTATGGCAGTGCTTGAAATAAGAACGCCATCATCGATAGCTTCTGCTGGTCAACTCGGTGACAAGGTTGAAATTGAATTGCAAGCTTTCTGGAAGAAACACGAGTGTTTAATATCAGATGCAGGAGCAGAAAACACAAATAACAGCGGCATGACAAAGGAAGTATCAATGAACATTGACGAAATACAATAACACAGTCCCAGTCTCATGTATCGTAGCCCGTGTTGTTGTGATGTGTCATTTGAGCAATCCAGCCATTTCAGAATTCCTAAATCCTATTCTCACAAGATGTCTATTTGTCAAACGCGACCGCCAGAGGGCTCTGTCCCGCTTCAGTCGCTCTACGATCGACCATCTCTCCAATGTCTCCCGCAGAACACCACTGTTTTCTCGAACCCGTCGTTCTCATTCTCTGTCTCAACTCTTGCTGGAAGGTCGACTCTTCTGACTTCTTGGTTGTTCTTCCGTAGAGCGTTGGGCGGGTGGCTTTGCTGCGGTTCTTCGCCATCATATCTCGGATCCCCCTTTGAAGCATCGATTCTGCCGAAGTTACCTGAGATGCTACCGGTGTATCATCGTCAGAAGTCTTGGGTGCAGAGATGGTCTCTTGTGCTGACGTGGCGGTCGGCTCTACTGAAGTCGCCATGGTCATTTGGGTAGTCTTAGAGCCTGGCGAGGGAGTTGTAGCAGAAGGGAACCCATGCGCGTGAGACCTCGTTTTTGTAGGATTTGAAAGAATGTCTTTGTCAGGATTGCCATGGATCAAGGTGCTTTGTGGTGTCTTTGTGCCGGAACCTGAGTCTGAGATGTCGAGTGCTAACGTTGTTTCTCTTTTGCTTGTTGGTGAATCATCAATCATTTTCACATTATGAACCAAAGTGTAATGCAATAGAGTAAGGTCTGGAGGCTTGCTTGTCAAAGTATCATAGACATAGACGAAAAGAACGAGTGACACGACACTAGCGAGAGTGAAAAGGACTTCGGAATAAGGCGTCATATTTACGCCAGCAATCAGTGCTGAACAACAAAAAGCATGCTCCATGCTGAAGTCTATAACATTTAATATACGATGGTCTTCGGAGCATGACAGCCGTCAATGGTACACGTTGACATATTCCCCAAGATGGCCTTTTCATTATGTAGGACATTAGCAGAGTAGTCAGGCGATCATGATAGACTCATGCGAACAAGCTTAAGCTGTCATGACTATTGCGTGCTCTTAAGCGTTCGTCATGAAAGCTTGATTCTGCACATTGGGCAAACGGCAAGGCCTATAATGGGAAAATGCTTCCCGAACGTAGACTACTCTTGGGGGAGAAAGGACTTTTGACTTCATTTAGATTGAAAGAGACCGTTTAGGTTACTTCACATGAAAGAAAAGAGAGGCTCCTTATTAAGGTAAAGACACATAACGCTTGCCAGGCAAGGGGTTTGCCAATCTTGGCTAGGATCACTCACGAAGAACGCGCTCTCTTCGTCCTTTCCTCCCTCACCCCATCATCTGGAATACTCCTCTTACGACATGCACCTTGTCTCCTGTTTCTCGTTCTTGGTGATTGATTTGCCTTGAATTGCAGCTCTTTGGGTAGAGGTCCGAACATCCCGTCCGGTTGCGTGCGTGATGCGCCTGCTTCTGAAGCCGTCTTGTCTCCAGGTGTTTCGAGGCGTCCAAAAAATGACACCAACTGCGATGCGATTGGCCAGAAAACGAAGATGAGCGGCAACCAGTAGAAGACGAGAGGGTGGTTTCCCGCAGCCTGTACTCCTTGTTGATGGACTGGGTCGTACATGTCCTCGCTTAGCGCGGTGAAGAAATCCTGTTTGGGGAAAGGCTTTAATTCTGGCTTTTGTTTGGGTAATTGGCGTTCGAGAAAGGCTGGTAGCTTTACAGTTCGTGGGTGCCCATGCTGGCTATTTGAAAGCCCAGCTCATTTGTTTCGAGTTACGGGGACAATTGCATTGTACATGGGAGTACAAAGGCAGTGGTAAGTAGCCTGCCATTTGTTTTGCCTCAAAGCTTGAGGAACATTGGAATCGAAAAGTATTCGAGAGTTCTGGTGGCTTGAAACCTTGCAAGACCATCGGACATGTTGCCTAGCGTATTACAGTCTGCTTCTGATATAAATGATGCAAGAGCGGCATTCATCTGCTATATCTCTAGTTTTCTTGACTTGGATTCGAATAAAAATCTTATCTGAGCTGCTCATCTTTTGACCAGTCAAATAAAAGAACAATCATATCGTCTCGCCGCTCGGATGTACGAAAGAGACCTAGCTTCGAACAAGAGGAGACAACAACACTTAGAAAGTCTTTGATTAAATTGACAGGTAATATCTAGGGCGAATAACAGCAAACACAAATCCAAATTATCGAGCACTTTACCAATAGATCCAGAAGGTATTGACAATTTTACTAAAGATCTTCATCAAAGCCTAGCAGCGTCATAATGAACACCTCGGCCATGGTTGTCTCATCAGTAAGCCAGCATCAGACGATGACAGACGAAGCAATAGAGGCTGAATGGTACAATGCTCTTTGTGAGGCGTACGGCGTAGACCCAGCTGCCTCATCAGTGGACCAGGTTCAGGCAATACCCAACAGGCCAGAATGGGAGACAGGATGGTACGAAGCTATCTGTGAGACGTACGATGCAGCCGAACTCGTTCAAGATGAATGGATGAGGTGGTCAGGCGGAGTGGACAGAGTGTTGAAGGAGATGGCAGATCGTATGACTCAGGTCGCCGTTCCAGACTCCGTCATGCTAGGCTTGATCAACATGATTAAGCACCTTCCTTGCAAGCCAGGCGTGCCACGGAATAGTATCATCGATGATGCTGACAGGAGATGTTTCGTAACGCATGCACAGAAACAAATCCACCAATATTGGCATGAGTGGGCGGATAAAGCTCAAAGCCTATGTGAACAGGTCGCCAAGGTGATGAAGAGCTATGACGCGCATTCGGAAGACGCTTCGTGCGAGGACATTGTTGAAGGGATGAATTTCGGAAGACTGTCGCTCTCAAGGAAGGTGTTGCAGAAGCACGACTTGCGACAGGATTTTCGAGAATTGCTGAAGTCGGCATTAGACAAAGGGCCAGAAACGAGCATGAGCGCGCAAAGAGAACTTAGGATACTTCTTGATATTCTTTTCGAGGGACAGGAAGAGGCCGAGAAGATGACGGATGCAGAGGCGGAAGATATTATCACTCAGCTGGAGAGTATGGATCTTAGTGTAGAGGACGCTGAGTAAGATGCGTCGAGACTTGCAGATAAAATGTTATTCTTTGTCCTAGTCCTCTTTTAGAACTGTTGCTAAAGCTCTGCGAATCGTTGGCCGTTCAATTCAATCCAGCTTGCGTGAGAGTCTGACGTTGACTTGCTAAAAGCTTCTGCGGTATGGCCGACTAATGACCCATCGTGGCAAATGCTAACCTTTCATAACCTCGTGCTACGTGTTTCCAAACACGCAAATCGTTCAACCAAAGATCTTGATCGTGCTGCGTTCAATGATGACTTCATCTCCCTCATCATAAGACAAGCATTCAGCCTCCCTGTTGAAGTTTCACACCAGCTTTCGAGCTCGAAGCCTTACTGCTCTTAGCTTCCTGGTTCTTGAAGAAACCCGCCACACTCTTGACGCCACAGGGTGCTGTACTGACGCCTGAGAATTGATGCTCAGGTAGTCTCTTGCCAGCTTTCAGACTCTCAATAAACCATTCGACTGCGACGAATTTCACGCCACATCCTCGAACTCTTTGAATCTCTTTCTCGATCTTGCTTCCTGATAGACCACCTCCAGCACCGCCCAATCTTCCGTTTGGTCTTCCCACAATGACGTGGCTGACCGACCGACGGGCTAAGCCAAGAGACACTTTCCCGCCATTTTCTGCAATCAGCTGTTTCAATTTGTGGTCCGAGATCATCGGCGCGGTGGATCCATTGATGTAGAAAGAGAGGCCGTAAAATATTCCCTTAGACTGTGGCTTTGGCCCAACAATCTCCTCACCATCCACAACGCCCAATTTTGTCTCTGGAAATTTCTGACTCTGGCGCAATCTTTCCTCTTTCTGGTCGTTTGACTCCTCTTCCGAGCCTTTGGCTATCATCGTGCCAATATCCCGCCAGCCTGGCTCTCGCAGGCTTTTGGCGCCCTTTTCCCAACTCCCATTTTCTTTTCTGCCATCTTGACCAAAATTTGGGCTACCTGCGCCGACAGTATCGAAGATCCGCTTGCCTCCGCCAGGCCCAGCGGCAAATTGATTGCGCAGCTTTAGAGTGCGGGATTGACGCCATGAAGTGGAACCAGAGAGATTGTTGTCCGCACGTTGATGCCCGGTGGACGACGAGTTCCAGGGATCAAAGATCTTACGGGTGGGAGCTGCCGGCGCAGGAAGAGCGGGATGGCCGGGAGCCATGGTGATGAGGATGGCGCAATGTGCAAGGTGATTGCATTGCAATCGGCCTAAATATTGACATCATCGAGGGAGTCTAGGCCCGACGCGTCAAACGCGTCCTCCGAGCAACCAGCAGAAGCCAACTATCCCTCTTCAAACCACCATTGGACACTGACTCCGCTATCTATTGTTGGTGTGTGAAGGTTCGGACAACTGTATTTTTGCTTTGCAAGGTGTGACATCGATGAAGAAATAGAATTGAGAGGATGAGGACAAGTGGGAAGGTAAAAAACGCGTCGTCGTCAACTTGCTGCAGCGAGGAGGGTAATTGCAGGTAGCCTTCACGCACGATCATCGAACCTCATCTGATGCAGGTATTGTCTATGACTATGCATATCTACAAAATTCGTCTACAAATTCTTCTCTTGGTTTTCTTGTTCTTGCACCGTTCGCACAGAGACGGAAGTAAGACACCATCAGCATACATTGCTAATGGACAATCTTTCTCCACGTGCGAGGTAAGGCGAATTTAGTATCCTCATACTTTATCAAGCCTGGTACAATCCGATCAGGAGCCCGCTTTTCTCCTTGCCTCAAGTCGCCGAGACCCATTGGTTCTGGACCTTTCCAGAATGATGACTGCAGTATCATCGTTATCGTTTCCCACCACAAGTACCAAAAACGAAGTCTGAGCGCAACAGCTACTCCTCCCACAACAACGTCTCTTATCAAAACGCCCATACGGGATCACTTCCTCCCGATCACATTACCCAATCCTCCAGCTCTCCCAAACCTCCGAAACCAGAAACAACTGGAGCGCGAAAAGCCCAACCACCCTCGTATAAGCGTTGGCAATTCTCCGAAGAAAAAAACACCAAAATACACCCAAAGCATCCCAGCCCATCCCGTTCCATTTTCATCCATCTTCCTTCCCCAAAACTCAATGGAAGCTCCGTAGGTCATTTGCACCATCTAACCTAACGCACGACCCACCTTCCCTTCCTGCCGCCCGCTAGCTACGTAGCCACGGACATGTTCGCAGCCCCGCTAGGTAACGCAAGGGAGCGCTGATACGAAAACCTTCGTCCCACCTTACCTTACCTTGCCCCCCTCCGGGCCCGGACCCCAAAAATGTTACCCTTGATCACCCATGCCTTGATATTGCTGCAGGCAGGACGTAATGGATGTACGGTAGGGAAGGGTAAGGATGCAAGATCATGCGCTGCACTGCATCACCGGGCGGCAAGCGTAAGCGGACGCGGATGCAAGAAATCGTGGACGTGCAGCAAGCAAGCAGCATGACTCGTATGTTACGGTCCGGATCTGTTCCGTAAGAAATTCTTCAGGACTTCGCCGTAAGGTGGCAGTGGCAGTGCCCTGCTGCTGCTGCTGCTGCTGCTGCTGCTGCCTGCGAGTCATACGTGGCGTAGACAGAAACAGCGGCGAAGGGATCGAGTACGTAGGCCTGGAAGGATTTAAACAAGACAAAGGGGGCACAGAATAAGGGTGATTGAAGTGAGTGGCACAGTAGGATTGTAAGGTAACGAAGGGGGAGCTATAGGCGGGTTTAAGCGCCGAAGCATGGCTGGACGAAGCTGTTAACGGATTGTCAGAAGAATGAAGATTAGGAGATGGCGTATGCTATACGGTGGTAGTGCTGCGGGTGTACAGATGTGGAGGGTGGTCGTGGCTTGCGGCTAAGGGGAGGGGGCGGTACGTGCGGGCTGGCTGGCTGGCTGGCTGGCTGATCCTGGGGGAGTAAAGGTAAGGTAGGGTGGGTAGCGAAAACGGTTATTTCTGGCTTGTGAGATCGCTACCGTAGGCTGGTGGTAGAGGAAGTGGAAGAGATGGCTTGGATGAAGTGGATCGTGGACATGCGTTGTTGAGGCTTTGAGCTAGGCTAGGGTCTTGACATGCACGATTATGCGCCAGATGCGGAGGTGGAGATCGAATCAAAGATAGTGGATGATTAAGTTGGGGGATTGTCGATCTGCCTTTCCGAGGAAAATTAAAAGTGGGAGATGTAGGAGTCTGGAGGCGAAAGGGGTCGTTACGACGTAGTAAGGTAGTATTCTGAAAAGGCATAGAGACGTGAAAGTGCGCAGAATACGCGAGCCAACCATGCATTGATTCTGATATAACCTTTTTCGATATTCTAGTCAGAGTTCTTTGGCAAGAGAAGTGAGAAATGCAAAATCTTCTGATATCTTAAAAAGAAGCGTAGAAAAAGTCTTCGTCACCGAGCATAGCTAACAAGAAACTGGCAACATTGTGTCTGTCCGAACTCGGTTCTCGTGCTTGCCATTGCTCTGGCTCTCTCCTAGCCTAGATCACATTATAGGCTCGCTCAAGGGATCTTTGAAGCGCAAATTAAAGGTCAACCTGCTATGAATACCATGCTTTTCGTTCCCATGTCCATACCCATACTATAGAGATAATTTCCTTTCATATCCGATCATAATAGTAAAGGAAACTCGTGATTGTAAAATGCCTGAGAGAAGAACTCCTGTAGAAGGAAGGTGTGTGATGAAGGTAATGTATCAAAAAGGTGGTACAACTGAGAATTGAAAATGTCGTAAAGTCGTCAAATATAATGACTTAGCAAGCGCTCTATCGGTAATGCGAGCGTTCTGGGGTATCCAGTAGATGGTGCTCAAGAGGTGGCTTCGAATATTGAAAGGCCCTCTGGCACATGTAGTCCAAACATTAGAAAATATGTGAGGTGAAAAATGCATGAAAGTACTCCATCAGATATCGTGACGCGCTGTCGTGATACCCATACTGATGATAATACAGTTCATCATTCGTCGTCGAGTCACATGACATTATCTCGCACGCGCAGTCTTGGTGGCAGGTCGTGCTCGATTGATAGCACGCGTTTCACCTTCAAAAGAGCCGTTAATCATGGAGTTATTGGTCAATCCGTCAGTCGTTTTACGCCGCTTCGTAGAATCCATGTCATCGTCTTCCCGGATTCGCTTGACGCCATTCATCTGAGTCGGAGCATATGGGCCTGGGACAAAGCCATCTGCGTTAGTGTTGCCATTAGCCAAGGTGCCTCTGGCGTCGCTAGTTGGATTGTATAAGCTGCTAGATGGAGCTGCTCGAGGTGGTGTGTGATAGCCTGCTGTCCACTGGGACTGTGATGTTCGTGGGGTGGCCCGACCCGAACCACCGTTGATGGTTGATGTGCCATTCACATCAGACGCAATCTGAGCATTGTCATTATACGACGCTAGATTTGCCGCTGTGTGATAAGAGGTATCAAAAGAGTTACGATGGGAAGTGTATGCTGGAGCATTGCTTTGTGGGTAGTCAGAGTCCTGCTCATGCTCTGCTTCTGCGTCTTGCGTGGTATCATTCGCCTGGCCTTGTCCGTAGTGATCAAGCTTCATATCACCAGGCTCACTTTCGGGCCTAGAGCCCGAGACGCGTGTTGAAGGAGGCCCCATTTCTTGTTTTGTGTACATGTTGGACTGAAGAGATCCGGTTCGAGCGAGGCTCTGCTGTTGAGACGGAAACTGGCCGTGCGAGCCCGCGTGGCCACCATACATATGTTGTTGGCTTTGATATGGCTGTAAGCTTGGTAAAGTCGAGCCTGGGGGTGTTGTAGCGGGTGTGGCAGGAGTAGACTGAGGATGATTTTCGATGGCAATGCTTTGTCCACTCCCGCTTATACTGCTATTTGTCCAATCATACGAGCCTTGTTGAGATCCCATGCTCGTCATTGTGCCGGAAGCGCTGGTTGGAGGGGTTGGGAATGTGTGCGCCCTCTCAATGGTCGGTCGGCCTCCTGACGAAGGGTTTGGCGCTATTGAGGTGGGCTGTGGATTCCCGCTTGAGCTATTCATCGAATGATGGTGAGTTAACGATGGCGGCTGCGTTGTAGAGGGTATCCCACCCTGCATCTTGTCGCTTCTACGACGGTCTTGTTGTTGTGTAGCAGCCATTACGGCAGACGTCCGATTCTGATTTGTAGGATGATAGAGCAAGGCCCCAATGTTGTGCACAAACAGAGGGTACAATTGCTCGGTGATCTTTTCTTTATTCGCGAAATCTAGTGCACGATCAAAGGGTATCCTGCTTGTTGTCAGCAGATCTGATTTCGACGTGCCACCGACCAAATACTGACCAGACGCCTTTGAGGTGCATGGGCCCAATCTTGACGACATGACGCGTCTTCTCACTCTTCAATATTCCATCGCGGCGGCCTCTAGTCATGCCAGCGACGTTCAGAAGCTTCGTACCATTGATCATATGATTATCTGCTAAATATGAGCTATACTTCTTCCCAGGTCGTACCACAAGGGGGTATATCGGATTGCTTACCATCTCGTCTAGCCACGCATACCCCTTTGGTCTCAACTTGAAAGCACATGCAGCCTTCATCTTCCCACAATGTCGCTGTTACGCGAGGCTTCATCCCCGCTGGAGCCACTTGGCCGGTCGGATCATGCTGCTGTTGGTGCTGATAGCCTGTAGAAGGCGCACCAGCTGGTGAGCCAACAAATTGCTGTGCGGACGCATTTCCCACCGCTGCTCTCAATTAGTGCCGTGTCATCAGGTTTGCACCGTTTGGTGCACTTACTTGGTAAGGGTGGAAGTCCCTGCGTCATGTGTGGGGGCATTGAAGAGGGAAGAGACTGCGAAGAGCCATGAGGCGACGTCATACTCGTCGAGTAAGCATAATGCCCGTATGGCGCGGGTGATTGTGCATAAGCTCCTTGACTTGGCTGCAGTACAGGGTGCTGCTGAGAATGGGGGGTATGAAGCATATTGAGCCATGCCACCTGCAGTACTTGCATGAGGTGCATATTGCTGACCAGTTGACATAGAATGGTGCGCGTCCATGTAGTTCTGCTGCTGTTGGTTCATGGCCAGCGAGGTAGGTGAAGGAGACGGCGTTTTCAATCCGATGTCGTTTGACGGAATCACCTGCTTGGGTGTGGCGAATTGGTGGCTATAATTATAATCTGCTGAAACTCTGGAGTTCTCTGAGTTCCCTGACGCACCTAGGTGCGAAAGGTGTAAATCTGGCAACCGGTCGCTAGATACGATGGGACGTTTGGAATGATGGCTCGTAATCCAAGGCTCTTCAGTAGCGCCGCGGTGCTGCACCTGGGTGACCGAAGGGCGATCCAGCGTTTCGGTATTTGCTGGTTTATGCCTCAAAGGCGGTATTGAGATCTGGATACGGTGTGTCGATTGGTGGTGCGTATGGGAGATGTCGGGACGCAGTAGAAGTGAATGATGAGGGGTGGGAGACTTGGGCGTGGTTGGTATCGCGCTCGCCGCTTGGGATAGCCCAATTGGTAGTATATCCAACCCTCAGCGTAAGCTAATTTGCGCACGCTTCTATTCGTTGGAGAGCTGTCAAGGAAGATGTGGAGGGAGCTATACTGGTATTGAAGTGTTGCTATCTGTGTGTGCGAGGCGCGTGAGGGAGAGCAATCGCTGAAAAACTGCAATGGCGGCGCTGGTATGCAAGACAAACGTGAGTCTCGTTATAGGTCGTTATCTGTATTTGTGCGAGGACTGGTAGCATAGAAGGTCGAATTGTGCTGCTGGGGGGGAACTTTTGTGGTTTTTGCTGTGGTGGCAGTAGGGACCGTGAAGGTGCAAGATCGGCAGGCGGGCAGGCAGGTAAGTACAGCAGGTATATCTATCGGATTTTCTGGCGTCGCTCTTTCAATAGAGGTCGTTGACTTCGTGAAATAATGGTTCTACTTCTTTCAACTTCGGGACTCAGAGGGTCAAGTCTGTTTCAGTCCGCAGCGGAGCTTAGGGAAGGTTAGCGCAATGCAAGCAGTGCAGCAGCAGAACATGGAGGATCAGACTGACCTCCTGGCTCTGAATTAAAGGGGCATTCGAATGAGCAACGGGGTCCAGGGGACAGAACAGTGGGTTCCCCTTCTCTCGTGGGAGAAGAGATGGAATGGGGAGGGGAAGAGAGAGAGAGGGCTGGGCTGGAGTGGATGGGCAACTCTTCGCTCTCTCTGCGTTGGATGACTAGCCTTCCGTTAGCTTCAACTACTGGCGCGCACTCCGAGAAGGCTTCGAATGCCAATGATAGGACAGAGATTGCCCGCACCAAACTCACTTTAAAACAGAATTCAGGTGATGCCGCTGTTACCACCGCTCCCTCAGGGCCTTATAGGGAGCTTGGACGTGAAGATGACGGTGGCGAAAATCTTGTTGTTGGCTCCAGCAAGATTAATGGATTTCCACCGCTGCTGTGCGGATTGCCTGTGCGGCTGATGCGAGTCGGTCGGTCTGCAAGATTGCGAGACAAGCCCCCAAGATAAGTCAATTGGCCTGCCGAGCTGGCGGGCGAGCACTCGTGGGATGTCAAGCGTGCAACAGACTGGATGCCCTCTGGATCAGGAAAGAAGGCAGTGAGCAGGAGAGACTGCTCTCGTCAGTCGTAGGTTTGTCTGCCCTGCTGCGGCGAACGTGGATTGAATGAATTCGGTGCTGGCTGCTGCAGCAGAGATGGGCAGATGCAGATGCGGGAGACGGTGCCCTTTCAATGCAGAGCGGCTCGGGGCGCCCTCTTCAAGAGGGAGGATGGCTGTTTATCGAGCTGTGCCTCACGACTGGTTAGACGACCAACGGTTCGTCGAGATCCCCATGGCGCAAGAATAAAGAGGCAAATCTCGCTCTTCTAAAGTGTCCGGGAGGGCTGGAAATTGTCGTTGAGATTGTCAATAGCTTGTCTGAGAAAGATGCGTCGTGCGTCTAGGCTGCGTCCCTAGTCGCTCTAGCATATGCACGCTGCCTGGAGTCGTCGAATCAGTGGCCAGGTGCTGCCATCGTTTGACCCTGTCAGCAAAAACGATCTACTCATGGGCTTGACTGGAAGAGAGCGAATCACTGCAGCCGCTGGCCTTAGCCCAATGGGAAGGCAACAAATCTACGGGCCGGCGCTCAGTCAAACGATGATCTCTACAATCTACGCTGCCTGCTAACGACCTGAACCTATTTCGCTTAAACCCGATGACTTGCGACCATGGGGACCGCAGCACTTCTGGCGGAGGTGGCAGACCCCACCGTCACGGTAATCCTCATAAAGAGGCAAAGGATAGACAAGGGCAGAGGCGCCCCTGGGACGTGTCCTGGAGCAGCATTGGATGGGACAACGAACTCGTTGGGCGCTCACATTATCGTGGGCGGGATCACAAGGCAAGTTTACCCTGCAAATGATGGGCAGGTCCTTGGGTTTGGGAATACCCGATCCAGGCAAACGGGTTCACCGTCTGTGGACCAGCGGTCGAGAAGAGCGTTGTGTCTCTGCCACATCCCAAACCACAGTCATTCGCAACGTGGAGCTTTGAAAAGTCTCAGCCTGCTTGTAACGTCGTTTCCATTTGATATCAGAGTGTATGCCTTCGAACAAGGTCCTCGGCTGTGATGCCGAACCGAAACGGCCAATGGTAAGTACCTTTCTACGGAGTTTCTGACGTTGGCCTCGAGTCAGTGAACGCCGAGAATTGGAATCATGAGCCGACCCACCATCATCCTCCCTTCGTAGGTCTTTCCCCAGTCGTTATTGTGGACACAAAGCATTGCGATTTCGGACTGCCAAAGTATAGGAGAATTCTGATACCTCTTTGGGGAAGAGTGGAGTAAGCTACTCAGAAAGGGAATAGAGCCCAACTTTCTCCCGCGGAAGGGTGTGTGGAGAAGCAGACAAAGAGCCGGGGTCATGATAGGCTACAATTAGCGGAGTGGGATTTGCAGTGCGCTGGCAGTCAGTTGCCAAACACTCCAGAAGGTTATCACGCAACGACAGACCCAAATGACTATCAACACGAGCGATGGCGTACACATTCCACACCGTGGCACGGAAGCGAAGTCGATGGCTCGCATGTTTCCCTTTCGGGGGTGTATGTCTCGAACATTTGACATCAAGTCCTGCACCACCCCATCAGGATCCTTGCCCATGGACTTTACACCGCATCTGACACTGAACGCTGAGAATGTGGAGACAAGGTTGACAGAACTAGAAAGCTTGCCCTTGCATTTCCACCAGAACATTCTGAAACTCAGCCTCACCGCGGCCGCTGTAAATCATCATGTACAATTAAGCTCAGGTGCAGCCGGTTCGTAGGATGCTGTGCATACGGATGCATCTCGACGAGGTGATGGTGGTCGTGACGTTTTGGCCGGTCTGGAAACATGCACTCGCCGCCCGTTTCCATCGGCATTGACAGGACAACTATCCACTTAGGGCGGTGTCTGTGCGGCAGGGCAGAGGGAGGGCCAAGGAATTGACGGATCGTTGCAAACGATGGCAAGTGCTTGCCGGTCACCTCATTGGTGTGATACATTTCGTGACTTGTGGTTAGTTCCTAGATCCCGCAAGGGACGGAAAAGCACTCGCATACCCTGCGAGCCCTGCCGAAGCAGGCTGTGCCACCTGTGGAAAGAAGAGGCGTTGCTTGTCGCCATCCCCACTGATCAGCAAGCTCATCGCCATTCTCCACGACTTGGATGACTCGTTAATTGGTGCTCACTTCTCATGGTCGCGTAGACGATGGGCATGCTGATCCAGTCTCCATCTGGCTGGAGGAAGGCGTCCTAATATAATCTCCGCAAGCCGGCCAATGAGGGCGAGCCACGATAAAGCCCCCTCAGTAAATGTCACGAGGGCGCTACTACACGATGATCTGGCCTAGCCACTGAAGATGACAGACAATGGGAGAAAAACGGGGCAGGTAGAGACGTCGACCAGGATATCTCTCTCGCGCGCTGCCCGTTATCGCTGGTAAATGCCGTAGGACAATGGACCGACCCTTCAAGCCTTTCTTATCGGGATGCCTTCCCCACACGCTGACCACTGACTAGTCACTAGTCCCTCCTGACTCGAAAGTAAGAAGATGGGGGCACGGAGTTAGCAATTAGCATACAACGATGAATCGACAGGCGAGAGAAGAGATCAACACGCCGGACGCTCCACAACGGCGTTGCAGGCTTGCAGCCGTCTCGAGGCGCCCTGAGTCGCTAGCATCATCTGGAGTAGTCTCCTCCTCCTGTCAAGCTATCGTCAATCATGCGAGATTGCAAGATCGAAGGGCAGCAGGCTAATGGATGTCGTACAGCTGCTTGCTGAGCCTTGTGTCGCAAAGGGCCACACTCACGCCTACGCGACAGCCACTGGTTCTGCCTAATGTACGAGGCAGAGACACCCTCCCGTACAGATGTCACTGTCTTAGGGAGAATCTTCCAACCTTGTTCTAGTGGATTACCAAATGAGCAGGCTTATTGCAGCTAATGAATTTGGTCTGGGGTTTGGCCATCGTCGGTACCAAGCGCGCCGCACAATTTCTGCCAAATGTAGCACTGCGGTGGTACTACACGTTTGATTCTATCAAGGCAGAAGATCTACCGCCCACTCTCGTCGAACTAAGCGACTTCTTGTTGAAACTTTCCTATCTGATTACGTTTCTGGGATGCGCAGGTCGGCCACCACTTTCCCAGCTGAATCTGGATGGCGAATGATTCTGGCATACGTCTTCACTTTGGAAGGGTCTAGTGGACCTGAGTATTGCCCGGTGAGAGGAAGAGCTTCCTTTCTTTTGAGGATGATGCGACGGTGGTAACAATGTCTTTCATACACGTGCTTTTGGACTTGCTCGTGCCCAGCTTCCTCATCCGATGTGCCTCCTGGGAGGCTACCCATGTGTTCCGCATTGGAGTCACGCCGGCAATCTGAACCAGCATATCATCACGCATCCAAAGCTCTTCGTGCTTGCACCTGCAGTGGAACACTTGAAACATGCTTTCTTTGAAATTACAATCCCCAAATTTATTTGTTTTGCGAACTTCTTACTATCGAGCGTCAAGGAAAATCATCCATTCTCCCCATACCTTGCGAAATGAACCCTACATCCAACATCCCCTGACACCCGTTCCAACATTGCAGAAAAAAAGCCATGCGCAACATTTGCTGAATATGTCAAGGCTTGCGTGCGTCAATGACCCATTGCCGACTGTCCTTGCTCACCTGCATGTCGCAGCCTTGAGCGTGTGACTTTGCGCTTACTTTGACATTCCAGTACTCTTCAAAGATTGTTTGTGAGCGATTATCTGAGGGCTGTAGGTCGTTCGGAGACAGACATGTTCTGGTGGAATGGGGGCAGGCCAAGGGATGATCCATCCACACCATTTCCAATAATCCACTTGATTTCGATTGACTCTCTGCCCAAAACACCAGAACATAGGAGCAACTACGCAAGTATCCCAGATAGAAAATCGAATATGTAGGAACAAAGGCTTGCTTCATTCCCTATAGAATCTATTACAAAACCACCTGTATCGCGATCTCGTCATCTGTGTAGGCCAATCGTCACAGCCATATACCTATCACGCTCGCGAGTGGAGATTCGCTCGCTTTCAAGTAATTTAAGAAGGCATCTTCTCCTGTCCCTTTCCCTCATCATCTCCCTGCCCTTCCACTTCCACCCTCCTCATCAAAAAGCCGATGACAGCCCAAATCCCGCGCATCGCTTCCTTGCGATCCTCCATCTTAAGTAAATCAAACCAAGGTGACCGTCTCACCTCGAGCTTATACCACGGCTGCTTGCAAGGGATACGGGGTCCTTTGCCGCCGCGCCGTTGGTTCGGGAAAACATCGATATATTTGTTGTGGATGCGTAGGTGGACGATGGAGATGTGGTGATTTAGTGCTGAGAAGAGGTAGATCTGGCATTACCACACGCATCAATCAGCACATATTTCCCGCTTCAAAGGAAATGAACTATGGTCAAGTGTAGATAGTACACAAGAAAGGGGACTCACATCATCATGCTCACACCCCTGAGCCTTCCCAACCCTCAAATACGTAATTCCCTTCTCCCACATCGTCCCCGGCGGCCTAACCTCCTTCCACAGCGCAGCCCTGTTCATCTTCCTGGGCCTCTTCCTCGCCCCGTCCGCTACAGGCACGGTCTCTTCCACCGTCTCCTCCTCCGGAATCCCCAGTTCCCCTCCAGGCCCTCCTCCCCATCGTGGTTTCGTAGCCCACCACTGCTTCTCCCCTGCCTCATCCTCCTGTGTTCCCTCTCGTGCCCGTTTCTGCGCCATCATAAGCATCAATCCCACTTCCCTCAACAAATCCAAGATCTCCTGTTTACCATCTCCAGGGGCGTCTTCGGGGCGGCGGAAGGTTACTTGGTCTCTCGTGAAGACACCGGCGAGGGGCCCCTCGAGGATGCCGCGGCGTGCTTCCCGTGAATTCTCGGGAGTGCGGTAGATATTCCCATTGTGAGGGATGGGGAGGATCATACCTTGGATTTTCAATCTCGGCTGCATGCGCGCGTGTTCGAGGCGGCAGCGGAAACACCAGACTATTGGTTCTACAAAGGCGAAGACGGTGTCTTCGCGGTACTTGCCGGGCATGTTTTTGCCGGTGTCTTTGCGGTGGCCGGTGTAGGTCTCTTCGGTCTGTGAGTCTGTGGTCTGTTCGGGTGGTGCAGCAGTCGAGGATTGCGCTTCTGAGGCGAGATCGTCGATATCCATTGCACTTGATGAAGTGTCGTTTTCGGTGGGTTTGGAATAGTTGTCCGCGCTAGCGTCCCAGTACTCAGCTATATAGGAAAGGTTCTCCCAGAACTTGCGGAAGTGAAATACTCGAGCAGGGGGCCGGTTGGGCTTGGGTTGTAAGTGGCGCATGTTACGGAAGACATCTTCGTTGTCATGAGCAAGCTCTCTTAGTCTGGTGAAGAAGGCCTCGTGCTCTGGAAGTGGACCGCCGTTGCTTAGTGTTGGATGGGGCGGTGTCCTAGTAGGTGAACGTCCAGATTGCCGCGATTTTGACGGATCCTGCTCCCATTCTGACGGTGGTAGATACGGTTGGGGTAGGAGCTCGTCAAGAGGGACGTTGTTCGCCGCATCAACATTGAGTGCCTTAAGATGCTTGTGGTTCGGTCCAGTCCTCAGAATATTGCTGAACAGCTTCACGAAATCGAGATCTTCGGCATTTTCGTCCAGTGGTTCCACCTTTGGACAGCAAACAGGGAAGTCTAATGGTGTCGCAGGAGGTGGAGGAACTCTGGGCTCGTCGTTATCATCAGCCGACTTTGCGGCGGCTGTGAAATAGTCAGCCAAGGTATTCACGCATTACGCGTTTGCAGATAGGAGAGTGAATGAAGAAACCATTTCTCAACTTGGCATGCGACTTAGAACCAACGACAGCCTAATTCTAATTGCTGTCTGAAGCACTGCCTTCGCCTCGGCTGAGCTTCATATCTCACGCTCCTAATACGTGAAGTGGAACTGTACGATTCAGCGGACGAAGATATATGGTTGAATCTCCGTCCACATCATCCGATAATTGAGGTAGCCCTAACCCATGAATTGAAATCCGGATCGCAAGGTTTGGACCAAGCAGCCCGAGCCAGAGGCCAATCTAGGTAACATCCGATACCATAAAGCGTGTGTTCAGTACCCACAGAATGTCTTAATAATCATGAGAAGAGCCAAAATTGTTATCAGAGGAAAAATAAGAACATTCCGCGCGTCTATTGATTGAGGGGACGAGGTTGTACCAACATATTGATGCCAAGTTTCCAAACATGATCCTTTGCGTCTTTCCCGCAGGTAGATGATGGTGTCGATTTAGATTGCATCACTAAAGAGCCTACTTTCCGGAAATGGCCATTCAACGAAAGAGGTGCATTGGATGGATGCTGAACGATATAAAGTCCAAATACTGATAATGAAAATTTGAGTTCAGCTTCGGGGTTTACTTTCGCCGCCCCGAGCTCTGTGTCTTGGCATATTGCACTTCCCCTTTCCAGATTGCCCCTTGGCGAACTAGGACATCAATATTTGTGCACAATAAAGGTCGAATTCATAAGAGATCATGGGTTGAGAGAGAGTAGATCGAGTCATGAGAAATCCTGCAATGTGGCGATTGCTAGAGCGTCACCAGACGGGTGCATGGCTATTTAGTCAACTACACCTCAAGTTAAGGATCAGGCCAAGGAAACCATTAGCCTCGAGTTTCCGGAAGCAAAATGTAGACAACTCCGTCAGACTCGATCGTGAGTAGAAGGGCAAGCATTTCATTGCGCATGAAGAGCAATTCGGTGCGTATGTGGTAGGTATTCATCTATAGCAGACGACTTTGACAAATATGAATCACACTCTACACAAACGCCATTTAGGACCATTTCTGAGAACCATCCCCGAAAACCAAAGATGTCACCTCCAAGTTGCACTCACATCGGCGTCCTTCCTCTTTCCCTGAAGCGGCATACTTTTCATCAACCCTCGAGCCTTGAAACATTTACAATTCATCGTGTTCCTCTGGCTGTTCCTCTCCGCTGTCCTTCACAGCCTCCTTCACAACCTCAGTAGCCTCAGCGGCCGCACTCTTCACACTCTCCGTGGCAGCCTGTGCTGCCGAACCCATCCCCTCTGCAAGTGGCACCTCACCATCCTCCACCCCTTCAGCTTCGGTCGCGTTCTCTGTGGCATCATACTTATACTTTCCGTTCTCCTTGATGAATGCAGCAAGGTCCTCAACGGTGCGAGCGCCGGAATATGTCAAGGGTTCGGACTTGGAGCCGGCGGCGAAGAGCTTGATGGTTGGGAAGCCCTGGATCTCGTCGGGGACGTCATTGGTGGTGGCGTCAACTTTGGCGATTGTGACCTTCGAGTCTGAGGGGTAGCGGGCCGCGAGTTCGTCATATTTGGGAGCCAGACTGGGGGTCGATTAGCTAAGTCAATGGAATGATAGAATGAGATTGGACGAGGAGTAGAGGAATGTGGAGGCTAGAGTGGAACATACGCTTTGCAGTGACCGCACCATGGAGCGTAGAATTCTAGAAGGACATCATTCTCATTGTCGATGACAACGTCATTGTAATTGTGAGCGACGACGACTTGAACTGGACCTTCTTGCTTCTCTGGAATTGGCTCAGACTTGACAGAGGGTTTGATTTTGCCATCGAGGAAGGTTTGGACGAATTTGCCGACTTCTTTCTCGGTGATCTTCTTCTCCTGGTCGTAAGGGAACTTCTGATTCTTGACGGTCTCCTGAATAGCGAAGGCGGGCCAGACACCATTCTTCAGATTCAAGTTTTCGGAATGAGCACCGAAGGCTTTGGCATCAATTGTTGCGAAGTTGATCTTGCCCTTGTGCTTCTTGGCAAGGGGCTTTAGAGTTTCCGCTAATTCAGCACGCTCTTCTTCTGTTTCTGCGAAGATATAGCCAAGCGGGAGTTCAGCCTGTGAATCAACTTTAGTCTAGCTCAGGCTCGTGGGGAGAAGTATAAGAACTCACGGCCATGTAGCCAGCATATGTTTCGGGGCCGACCTCACCCACAAGCGGGGTGGCTGCGTCTTTGATGAACTTGGTGATGATGTCCTTGTCAAATTTGCCGTCGAAGACATCCTTGCCTTCATCAAATGTCTTATATAGTACGATCCCTGGTTGCTTGACGCCCTCAGCTTTAGCTAGCCCCTCATCGTTGGTTGCGCCAAAGAGATAGTCGTCCCTGTGCTTCTCAGCGATTTCGTCGAAGGTGGTATTTGAGGTCTTGTCATCGGCCGGAAAGTAGGCAACGACAACTACTTTGTCTTGCGTTTTGAATTCCTCGATGGTTTCTGAGGTCAGGACAGAGACCGCGGGCATAGCCTGCTTGGTCATATATGAGATGATGCTAGCAACTGTTAGCCCCTGAACGAAGTCTCCCCGCAGATAGGTACCCACGCTGGCGATTTTCTGGCGCCCTGATACGGTTGTGTATTATCTGGGCCTCTGAAGACCTTAATGGTAGGGTATCCTTCCACTCCATAGTCTTTACATAGATCGGCTTCCTCAGTGCAGTCGACCTTCACTAGGGGGATGTCTTTCTCCTTCAACTGTGTCGCAGCTTCTTCATATTCAGGGGCGAGGGCTTTGCAATGGCCGCACCACGGGGCGAAGAACTCTGCTAGGACGAGGTCATGGCTTTTCACAAAGTCGGTGAAGGTATCTTTCTTTAATTGGTGAACGTCAGACTCAGCAGCGACTGCGGCTGCAGCAAAGAGCGCATAGGCGGCGTTCCTGAATGATCGCATCTTGAAATATACAGTCACAGTTTAGCTGCAAGAAGCCGTCAGTTCAGGCAACAAATTGAACGAGGGTGAAAAGGGATGGACTGGGTGGTGGTGGCTTACAGAGCCAGATATACAACATTAAATATATAATAATTTCTAAGCCAAAAGGTCAGGACAACTTGTCCTTCTCACGCCGCACACCCTCCTGCAAGAGGCAGACCAACTACGCAGGCGTGATGATAAATGCTGTGAGACCTCTCCCGTGGGCGGCTGCATAGGGCTGAGTGCTCGGAGGGCGGCGGGAGACTTCTGGGCTTAGGCAAAAACATGTATCATCCTTCGAGGTGAACAACACTTGGCTATGTTCACACAGCTTTGTTTTCAATTTCAAGTTTGACATGTCTTGCTACCATTCATATAATCACGTGTCTAGACTATAATCATATATTTTCTGTTTCCCCTCCAACTCGTTGCATTCCAACCAGCTAACCCCGCGCTGAACGTAAGGCTACGGCCTTATGCCTTCAGCTTGAACCCCACGGGCGGCCACAGCCTATCCACTCACGAATCATGAGGGTGGATGAGACAGGATGAACTGTTGTGCATACAACGCGTTAGAACAGAGATTGCCCTGCAAGACGGTACCAGCAAGCTGCAGTCATGGACAGGCTTGTGAACAGGATGATGGTCGCTCTAGATGGGAACGGTGACATATGGCAAGAGTTCAATGATCCGCCTCCAAATCCTATTCACAGTGCTGGCTTTTGGGCCTGGCAAACCACATGCTGGATCTTCTACGGCTTGGTTTCCCTTGTCTTCGTACCGTGGGCCCTGGCAATGCACCTCGTCTTCTTGGTGCTACTCACCATTAGTGGATGTATGCCTTTCTGGTGGAGGAACGGTCGGAAACCCTTCGTCTTCCTCTACGTCCTGACGGTGATGTTACCGGGCAAATATCTCTGGTATAACATCTTCAGGGATAATCGGAGGAGAGGGAAGGTGTGGGATTTTGAGATGGCCAAGCCGCGGCCAATACCGCTTCAAAAAAGACGTAGGCTGAGCGATGGAGGACTGCTCCAGCCACAAGAAATCTCTCCATTCTTGACCAAATTGCCTGCCGAGATCCGTCTGAGGATCTACAGCTATGTTATCGTGGGTAAAGCAGACTTTCTTAGCATCATGGAGACACAACCTCTGAAGAAGAGAGAGACTGTAAGAAGGAGACCCATGGCCGTTCCTTGCTCTATCTATGACAGTGACAATGAATGGGAGGACAATAATATCGAAAGAAATATCAGAGGCCTTCATCAAAACCCGAGAACTCGCCCGGCTACGAGCCAGCTAGCTATGGGTCTTCCGCTTCTCCGAACCTGCAAGCAAGTCTATAACGAAGCAATCGACCTATTCTACAGCCTACCAGTGTTTAACTTCAAAGATCTTCACAAACCACCATTCTTCATTCAGACGGTATTGCCTCAACGCCTGGCCAATATTCGTTCCGTCCATATCGTTTACGATCAGGCTCACGTTGTGAAACCCAACCATGTGGCATGTGGCACTGCCAAATTTCACCACAAGATTGGCGAATGCAAGTTCTGTAATCCAATACAATGGCTCAATGGCATCAGGGAGCACATGGTCAATCTCAGGTTTTTTGAAGCATACCTTTTCCTCAAGAAAGAACAGCGCCTGCCGAATATGGGAGACACCTGGATACATAGACTGCTTGACTTGCAGGTGGGCCCGAATGGACTACGACAAATGAAGATAGATGTGTCACCGAAACAAGCAGACGATGACATTGCCTTTATGGCTTTGATCGACGAAGACGAGTACGTGAAGAAAGTGAGGCGGCTGGACGATCAATTGCAGCAGAAGCTGAAAGCCGGCATTGAGAGGTACGTTGCTAGTCAACAAAAGCCTCAGGATACTGTGGAAGAGACAAGACAGCCATCGTTGACGATCGAGCCCCCTCCAGAGGCACATACCCGGAATTCTCATAACGATGACACGCAGAATACAGGCATTGGGTGAAGTATATCTTCAATGTATGACGGCAATTTCAACACGCATTTATGTATATGACACTCATTACGCTACTTCATCGAGTTGTCATGGGTGCTGTATTATTAGCGTACCCTCCGGTCTTCTGCCGCAGACGGCTTGAAATGGACATTGAAGGTTGTCAGAACTTAAGGCTTCTTTAAGGGACGGAAGCGGTAACTCCACATCGTTCGAATTCCTGAGCCTAGGGAAGATTCTATCTTATCGACAGGCGAGAGCGTCATGCAAACCATACCGAGTTTTCTTCAAATCAGCATATGGAGAGAAGTTCTTGATCAAAGAAATCGCCTCTTGCTTGGAAAGGTGGATGAAGACGATCAACGTGTCGACGGCTTTCTTGTGTGCACCAAATGAACGACTTAACGAATGATTCACGATTAGGATGAGAGGATCATATCTTGCAATTGTATTATCGACCCTCAAAAGCATTTAGCCTAGGATAGAAACGACTTCGTCTCTGGATAGAAATCGTGCAACGAAAGCCATCAAGATCATTATAACATCAGCCATTGTCTCATTGTCTTGATTCATCCCAATATCACGCGGCCCATCACCTTCTCAAACAGTCTCCTGCGCTTCAGCCCTTTGAGCAACCGAGCCCTTCCTCCAACTCGCCTGCTCATCCTTCCTCCCCATCCCCAACATCTTCTCCCCACGTACCTTTCCCCACCCGCCCCCTCCAGGCGTACAAACCACAATTCTCTCCCCCGGCTTCATAGCAGCCGTATTCTTGCCTCCCAGACTGATCCACCTCTCCTCCTCCTGACCCTCTTCCTTCACCTCGCCCCCTTTCCCACCACCCACCTCCACCCTTCCACCCTTCCTAACCCTCCTAACCCAATAATTCTTCCCCACCCCCGCGTCCCCTCCCCCTTCTAGCCCATACGGCCTATAAACCCTCCGCTCACTCAAAATACTAACCTGCACCGGGATCCTGAACTCGATATCTCTCACCACGCCCTCTCCGCCCCTATGCAATCCCTCCCCCGCAGACCCCTCCCTCAGCGAAAATTCACGCAAGATAACGGGATACCGCCGCTCAAAGACCTCCGCGTCCGTGATGCGCGTGTTGGTCATGTGCGTGTGCACGCCGCTCGTGCCTTCCCACGTGGGCCCTGCCCCGGAGCCGCCGGCTATGGTTTCGTAATAGCCGAAGCCCTTCTCGGGCTCTGCTGCTTGCTGCTTGCCATCTCCCTGCCCTTTAGCGCCACTGTCACTGCCTTTGGAGCCGCCAAAGCCGAATGTCAGATTATTGCAATCGCCCTGACTGGCTGCACAGGCATTGAAGCATTTGAGTATCACGTCCGTGACGCGCTGGCTCGTGAGCACGTTCCCACCCACCACGGCGGCCTGGTCACTCGGGGAGAGGAATGAGCCCTTGGGGATCTTGACGGTGATGGGTTCGAGACAGCCTTGGTTCAGCGGGATGTCTTCGGAGATGAGGCTGCGGAGGCAGTAGATTATCGCGGAGTAGGTGACGGCTTCGGGGGCGTTGATGTTGCCGTAGACTTCGGCGCCCGTGCCTGTGAAGTCGAAGGTTGCTTCGCCCTTTTCGGGGGAGATGGAGATGGAGAGGCTGATAGGGGAGCCGTCGTCCATGTAGTCTGTAGCTTTTAGTGAGCCTTTTGCTGAGGTGGATGTGCTGGGGAAGCGCTCAGCGATGGATTTGAGGAGGTTGCGCACCGCGAGGGAGGCGTTGGATTGGATTTGGCGCATGTAGAACTGGACGACGTCTTCGCCGTAGTCGGAAATCAGGGTGGAGATCAGGTTGATGCCTTTCTGGTTCGCAGCGATTTGCGCTTTGAGGTCGTTCATGTTGTCGGCGAGACAGCGGGTGCCGCTGCATCCTGGGTACTGGGCGGGTTCGTGATAGAGGAGGTTGGTGATTCGGGTTTCATTGAAGGTGCCGGCGCTGACTAGAAGTTCGGATTTTATGGCTGCTCCTTCTTGATAGAGCTCGCGGGAGTGAGGAGGCATGCTGCCAGGGAGAATACCGCCAATGTCAGCATGATGAGCGCGAGAAGCGACGTAGAAAACAATTTCGTTGTTGCTGAAAGAGGGGGTGATCACTGTGATGTCTGGGAGGTGAGTCCCCCCGAATTCAGGGTGGTTAGAAACGATTACGTCGCCTGGCTTCAGCTTGCCTTTCCAGATGGCGGCTTGCGTGCTTACACAAGTGGACATGCTGCCAAGATGGACAGGTAGATGGGGTGCATTGGCTACCAGACCGCCGCTGGAGTCAAAGAGGGCGCAGGAGTAGTCGAGACGCTCCTTCACGTTTGTGCTGACGCTTGTCTTTTGTAGTGCTCGGCCCATGTGTTCGGCGATGGCCATGAAGCGGTGGGCGAAAATGCTGAGCATGATAGGATCGACCTCAGTTGCGTTGACTTTCTTTCCTTGACCGCCGTCTTCGCCTATGTTGATGACGACGTGTGTCTCGATGATCAGAGCTGAAGCCCCTGGGGTGACAACTATTGTTTGCGTTCCATCAGCAAGAATTGCAGGCCCCTGAACCCGATGACCAAGATCGAGGTTCTCTAGTTTGTAGATTGGAGTGTCTAGTCGTCCACCTTCAAAGTACACCTTGGAGGTGGCAAATTTCCTGCTTTCTGGTACATTTTGAGGTTTAACATCTGCCAGCTGCTTATCGACAGTCTTTTCCAGTCCTTCAAAGCTCTTGCCGATGCCTCTAGCACGGACATCATCAATAATAATATCTCGGTCCGGCAGAGTGAAACCGAATTCTTGTTCGTGCTGCTTGACGAATGCCTTGCCGAAAGCCCAGTCATCCGCATCGAAAGACTCCTTGGCTTCTTGTTCATTGGGTCTGATGATCATCAGTGCAGACTCGGTACCTCGATACCGCATGTTAAGATATTCTTCGAATACTATACTTTCTTCAGGGAAGCCTTGATCTTTCAGCGTGGCCGTGGATTGCTTCTTTAGACCTGCCATTGTCTTCTTGAGATCATCAATTACTTCGCCTTTATCAGACCATGTCTTTGATTCCGGTAATTGATTCTCGGCCACAACATCTGCTAGTGCCATGCCGTACGCTGAAAGCACGGATGAGTATTTATGGACTAAGATCTGAGTAATTCCTAGGCTCTCTGCAATTGCAACTGCATGCTGTCCACCAGCGCCACCAAAGGTTGCCAGCCGATGTTGTGAAGTATCATGACCTTTAGCCTCCGTCAACGAACGAATAGGACGTGTCATGGTTTCATTTGCAATCTTGATGAAGCCATAAGCTACTTCATCAGCGGTCATCTCTTTTTCTTTGTCTTCTCCTGCAACCTCCATGTTGATATCAGCCGTTAGCTCCTCAAATTTCTTCTTGCTTGCTTCCTCATCGAGTCCTTGGTCTTCAGTCTTTCCAAAGATCTTGGGGAAGAAATCGGGCAGGAGCCGGCCAAGAAGCAGATTGGCATCTGTGACCGTCAATGGGCCGCCCTTACGATAGCAGGCGGGCCCAGGGTGAGCACCAGCAGATTCAGGTCCGACAACAAATAGGCCGTTGCGGAAGAAGAGACGAGAGCCTCCACCTGCCGCAACTGTATTGATGTCAAGCTGCGGAGATTGAATGGTGACGCCAGCGGTAGTTGTTTCAAATACATGATCATACCTCCCGGCTCCATATCGGCTTACATCAGTGCTTGTGCCACCCATATCAAACCCGATGACCGGAATTTTTGTAGTGGAGTCATAGGATGTCATTGCGTAGCCCACAACCCCGCCAGCAGGACCGGACAATATCGCACGCAAACCAGAGAAGCGAGCTACATCGACAAGCCCTCCATCAGATTGCATGAACTCACACCGAGCTCCCTTGGCACCTGCCTCTTTTTTACGCTCTCTGTCCCCAGACCACCTTCGAAGCCGGCTTCAAAGCCCGCAATGTACTTCTTAATGGCCGGAGTCAGGTATGCGTCTGCGCACGCTGAAGTTGCGCGAGGCACCAGCTTAATCATTGGCATCAACTCATGACTTAGACTCACATGCTCAAAACCAATGTCTCTTGCTATCGTACCGACAAGGGCCTCATGATCACGAAATGTGTAGCCATGAACGAGGCAGACTGCGATGCTTTTGAAGCCCTCCTGACGCAAATCCTGAAGTTGAGATCTTACCGTGTCCTCGGAAGGTCTCTTCAGAATACGGACCGCCTCTCTGGACAATCCCTTGACTAAGTCATTGGTGTCGGACTCGTCATCTATTTGTGTGGTATGCCTTTTGGGATCCTCTGCATAGTCTTCGAGCGTCACCCTTTCGTCGATCTCAACTACCTTTTCGTAAAGAGTCTCGGGTTTTCGTATTGCAAGATCAAAGATTTTTGGCCTTGATTGATTGCCAATGGCCAAACAGTCTTTAAAGCCCTTTGAAACTATCATCGCAATTCGCTCACCTTTTCGCTCTAGTAACGCATTAGTGGCAACCGTGGTACCCATTCGTATGCTTTCGATCTTCGATGTATCTAGGAGCTTCCCTCTGGGTATCTCTTGGCCAGTAAATGTGGACATAAGTCTTCGGATGCCTTCCTGTGGAGCATCGTCGTAATTGAAATCTTGGGACAAAAGCTTGATGATTATATCGTCTTCCATCTTACCACTGCCTGGATTGCCTACGCAGTCCGTGAAAGTACCTCCCCGCTGCATCTAGTCAGGAATGCGCTCGGAAGCATGGTGGTCAGAAAGAGTCTCACGTCTATGGCAATCCTAATGCCACGCCCTTTTTCAGTCGCCATTGCAAAGGAAGTGAACTCCTTTTATTTAGAAATTTTGAAACAAGGTAGACAAGCGCTTGATGATTATTATATCACTAAGAGAGGAGGGAAATCATGCAAATCGATATTGTACATTCGGACTTGAGATTGCGGGATTGATGCGAAAACTGTCAAGGAGTGCGGGCTCCTGGGAACACGGTCAAATATATACAAGAAGTGCAAGGCTACAATGATGAAAGACAATCACCGATCGGGCGTTGACGACAAGCCATTCATCAACTGAACGGACAACGACAGGGCAACTTTAGCCGGGCCTTCCACCATTCCCTTTGACTGCCGAGGGGACGATTTCCCCCAATTTTATGCCTTGTCGTCAGCCTCAACGATCACGTTGGAAGAACAACACTCAAGTCTGCGAGTGTGAATAGTTCTAGACAAGAATCGAGTCCGGAAACACAACTAAATGTAAGCAGAGCCAGCTTCGCTAACGGCAATGTTTATCTCACGCGTCAATCAAATTGATATTTCGAAAAATGCAGCAAGATGATAAGGAGGTGGCATAAGACAATTTGTGATGTGAGGTGTATCAAGTGAAGTAGGGAGATCAAAATAAAGGATCACGTATTCGTTTCCATGTTCGTGCGTGTGATTGCAGGTTTTGTTTGGATTCCTGTTGATTAATTTAATTTATCAATTCATTCGGTGCATATCCTGAATTACATTGTGTTCTACAGCAAAGCCTTTCGAGTTGAGAAATCTCTTTACCTGAACAAAATATCAGTAGTATAGAATAATGTGCTGCGTATTGACCTCGCATTCTCTTAGCCTTGCATACTGAGTAATTGTCAGAAAAGTCACATTTCGAATGATCGATCTTGTCATAATGGCATTTTGAGCCATTGGCTCTTCGAACATTTGTCAATCACTCTAATCTGCAATTACTTACGACTTTGGTAAAGAGACTTTCGATTGCGCCATGCATTGATCAGTCATCGACGTTGGTGGTACGACATTCCAATAGGCCTGGTGGGCCTGCCAAAACGTTCGGAAAGAGGCTGTGGTGGTAGAATTACTGCCCGAGCTCATCATGTACCACAACCCCACCGCCCGCACCTTCCGATCCACCTCCTCCATCGCCCCCGCAGTCCTCGACTTCCACAAAACCCTCCCCTCCTACGCCGCTACGCCCCTTCTCCGCCTCCCAAACACGTTCTCCACCTCGCTCGGCCTCTCCTCCGTCTTCCTAAAAGACGAATCCAACCGCTTCGGGCTCCCCGCCTTCAAAATCCTCGGCGCACCATGGGCCTGTTACCGCACAATCATCAAGAAACTTGCACTTTCGCCCACTGCGTCTTTGCAGGATATTGCTGCGGCTGCCAGAGGGAGGGAAATTAGGTTTCATGCCGCTACGGATGGGAATTTTGGGAGGGCCGTGGCGAGGATGGCGGGGACGGTGGGGGTTGAGAGCAGGATCTATGTGCCGAGGATTATGGTTGAGGAGACGAAGAGGTTGATTGGGTCTGAGGGGGCGGAGGTGGTTGTGGCGGGGGGTGATTATAATGATGCTGTGAAGACGGCGGCGCAAGGGGCTGAGGAAGATAACGGAAGATTGGGGCTGTTGGTGCAGGATGATGCTTGGGAGGGGTATGAGGAGGTGCCACAGGTGAGTCAGATGTGCTTTGAACATTATTCGCTTATTTTTGGTTGATGCTGAGGCGGAACAGTGGGTGGTGGACGGTTACTCGAGCATGATGCTCGAAATTGATGAGCAGATGCATGACGCCGTAGAAAAATCCCCTGATATGGTGGTTGTGCCGGTAGGCGTGGGTTCGTTGGCTCAAGCTGTAGTAGTTCATTTCAAATCTAAAGATCAATCCCCTATGGTGGTGACTGTGGAGCCCGACACAGCAGCTTGTCTGAAAACCAGTCTGGAAGCAGGCCACAGGGTCACCATAGAGACTGGAGACACAAATATGTGTGGTATGAATTGCGGGAGTGTTTCATTCTTGGCCTGGCCATACCTGAGAGATGGAGTGGACGCTAGTGTGACTGTGACGGACGAGGAGTCTAGCAGAGCCTTACAGACTCTAAGAGATATGGGTATCAGTACCGGTCCTTGCAGCGCAGGTACACTTGCTGCCTTACTCAAAGTTTGTGAGCGAGACAGCAGTACGCTTGGTTTGACGGCTGCCTCCAACGTCGTTATTCTGGGGACAGAGGGGCCTAGGTGATTAGTTGAATTCTAAAGCGAAGTCGTGAACGCTACCATTTTGGTTTTCATAGCTGGATTGTTTGCTTGCGAATGTTGAAGGGCAATTGGACTACTATCACTTGTCTAATTAATAGACTTGCTAAGGTGCTAGGCCACGAAAGATACATTGTAGAACCGCGACAACGAAGAGCAAAGGGCAAGGAAGGCGAGATGAAGCAGTTATTTGCACTTATGAGAAGACGAAACAACAGAATTTCGAGAATTAGAGGTCTCCTATAGCGGCCTCATCCGCAACAGCATCGGCCATATCGCCCATCGTCTTGAACTGCCAAGTGAAGGCCACCTTGTCCTTCACTTCGTCTAATGGGCCCCCGCTCCTTTCAATCCAGACGCTGGTGAGGCCTAGCTGCTTGGCAGCGACATGATCTGCCTTCAGTCCATGACCGGTGTGCAGCACCTGCTCTTTCTCAACGCCAAAGTCCTCTTTTGCATGGTTGAACAAGTAGTGAAAATTGTTCAGATCGGGTTTGTACGATCCAATATTCTCAGCAGTGTATATTGCATCAAACTTGACGCCTTTCAATGCTCCGGCAAGGGTATCTTTGAAGCTTTCGTTGTCGACGTTCGAAAGTACGACAAGCTTGTAGTCTTTTGAAAGGCGGTGCAGAGCTTCCACAGTATCTGGGAAGGCCTGCCAATTCTTTACCTGCGAGCCGAAAGCTTCGATCTCGATTTCAGAAGGCTTGGGAAGGGATAGGGTAGCTGCAAGGTTGGTGTAAGCACCAGAATATAGTGCTCTGTAATTCAAACCCGGCTGTGTACGGCATAAGGCCTCCTCTTCCTGGTGGAAAGCCGCAATAGTCCCATCAAAATTGTTCTGGAGAGGATGGTTCGTAGGAAGTTTCGCCACGAGAGGCTTTAATTGGTCAAAGGTCCCGGTTTCCCAGTCGACCAGCGTGCCGTAGACGTCGAAGGAAATCAATTTGAAATCACGGAGCTCGTTAGAGTCGTCAGGGCGAACCTTCATGGCTGCGGCAAGTACCTATCCGGAAGCGAAACAGCCTCGATGCCGGTGGTCCAACACGTGTGTTCGAATGGTCGTCAACCATGTGGCACGGGCATGCGCCGGAGAAGGTTGTCACCGATGACGTTTCGTCCCGCCATTCGACGTCTGAAAGACCCATCGCGTTTTACAGACTGTCTTGAACATCCGAACACTCCAGCAGCTCCGTCACCGACTTGATTATCTGTCTAGCCTACGATTCATCTCGTTAGATATCGCTAGTCATATAGTCGAAACCAACGCGGTACCGTTGTGCCTCAGGGGCGTGTCTTAGTTTCCTTTTATGGCTTGACATACGACCAGAGCCGGACCTGTATGCTTGCACGTGGCGTCAGTAGCATACTCCAACATCTATCTACTGGCCGAAACGGTGACCCGAAGATGTTCCTTCAGCATTATTGGTACGTACTGACAGGTTCCTGCTCTAATCATATCTTCATTTGGATCTAATCGACCATATAAGCCGTGGGGGCCTCCAATTTACTTCAATTTAGCCAATAATGCTTCGTCATTCATCCACGATGCGGATCAGCTCCCTTCTCTGACCACTATCCTCGCCTTGACCGAGTGCTGCTCTCATTTGCAGCATCACCAGGTAGCATCGCCAAATGCAGCCCTGGAGAATTACTTTCATCGTGCTCATTCTTATTCTATCCTAGCAATTGTCTTCCAGTTGGTATCCCAGTACTACGTCCATCTTCATTGTTGGTTCAGGATATGCCCCTTTCGATAGTCTCTTACGTCCGATATTTGTGGCCTGCCCGGTCTCTGGATTGACCAATCTCATTGCGGAAATCTGCCATGTTTTGGCAGAGTCCTTCTGAATATCAGCTGCGCCTCGAATGACTTCAGTGCTATTCAATGATTTAATTCAGTTGGAGACCTGGAGGGGTTTCGCCAGCCTGTTCTTTGCTTTTTTTCCAACAAGTCTGCCTAAAGATTTGTCTATCAATTAAGGCAAGTTTTTATGGTATAGCAAATTTGGATGTGTGAGAAAGCCCACTTCACAGACATGAAACGGTCTTTGAAAGCGTAATAGTCTCTTGTTCTCCGTAGGGTCTCTCTTCGACATTTTATGTAAAGGATATAAGTATTGCGTACTGCTGGAGTATTTTCTTGAAAAATCGTATGAGAATTTGCTCGTTATAGTCTTTCGCCGCTAAATTATAGAGATATTTCTCCCCTTCTGACGCTTCTCGTTGTTATTAGAAGCTACCTTTTCTTTTGATAGGCCAGGACGCCACCATGTTAGCCACGTTTTGTTTATTTCTTCTCTCCTCTATCGTATTATGCAATCCATTGGCCCCAACTCCGGTTATGAAGCGTCAAGATAGCAATGCTGCTCCGTCAATTACAGCCTCCTGTTCCTTCACGTCGACGACATATCCCACGACTGGAACATCTGCATCCTACTTTGCAAGTATGGGACTTACGGGCGAGCAGAAGTGGTGCCAGTGTGGCGGTGTCATCGCGGGCATCAATCTCGCTACCTCTAGCACGTCTACCACCAGCTACTGTGCAACGGGTGGTGGCGTACCGCTTGGTTTCACTCAGATCGCTGCTGATGGTAGTGGCAATCCCGTGGCGACTGGAGCACCGCAAGGCACCGGCTCTGGACAGTGTGACGACGGCAGCACGGTCGATGAAAAATGTTTCAACGACCTGGATCTACCTGACTACCTTACTAAGTGGTGGTCCGATAACCAGGGTAAGTGCGCTGGGTTGACCTTTGCAAATTGCTTTTACAAGGTCCAAACGAAGTATTCGCCGAGCAATTGTTCCCAGATCAATATCGAAAGCAACTGTGATCAGCCTAAGTGGGACGACTTCAAGGTAAGCTTTCTGGGATTCAAGAAGCTCTAGCGGTTTTTGGGCTCCTTTGTAAGGCTAACCCAGCAGCAGGGCACAGGAAATGCGGCACAAAACTTCTACGTTGCTTGGAACATCTATCAAACGAACGGCTTCTTCACTGATATGTGGACAGCTATAGGAAGCGGAGAGCAATCAGCACAAGCTGCTTTAGGCCAAACGATCGCTCTTCTGAAACCTCCTGAGAAGACCAATGTTCTCTTGAACGACATCTTGATGGCGCTCACCTTCGCCCTGGCACTTTATGCTGAAGGAACCATAGCCATGAAAGCATTGATTAGGACAGCACCAGGTTCCGCAACACTGTTCGGCAAAATATTTCCTGAGGGTGTGATTGACAAACAGGTAGCGACCTGGCAAGACGTTGCTGACAGTCTTGGAACGGTCACCAAAGCATGGCAGGACTCAATGGCTGAAGGTTTGCCAATCTTGCAAGACGACGTACAGCAATTTGTGAAATGGAGCCAAGAGTCAGGCTTGTCAGGAAATAGACCAAGCCTGAATGCTCTTTCCAATGATATGGCAAAGGCATTGACAGCGTATGGCACTTCAAAAGCAATCGCAGATTTAGGTTGGTCGATTTCTCACAGTTGTGACATCTGCGCGACGGCTGAAACAGTACTCTGCAGGTATTGTAGTGGTTCGTGCACCTGATGTCGATATCCATGCCCTTCAAAACAGCGGAACGAAATTGACCTGGGATACTCATTGTCAAGATGATTACCAAAGCGGTCTTTGCGGCGATGGGTATTTCTATGACGGCAAAGACACCTACGCGCTGACAGACCCAGAACATCAAACCCACTCCTACAAGGACGTTCTTGAGAAGCTCCTCACTGGCGACTCGCCCAAGACAGATGGCAAATTACTCTTCACCTCGGCATTTGACTGCATTGCGCGCATGGGCAAGAATGGAAACAACGAACCTAAGATTGACCCCCAGAATCCCGAGGCGTTATCTTGTTTGTCTACTGCAGCTGTATGTACATGGAAGATGGATGGCTTTGGACCGCTGGTAGAGGATGATACTTGTAAAAATCTACCAAACAAACAGGCTACGCTACCAAGGTTCGGGATCAGTGGTTGCATTGGGCATACTGAGTCAACCACGAGCGAAGACGTGCCCAAAGTGTACATGGGACCTGGGCTTTGGGCAGACAACAAGGGTATCACCGATTTAGAGGTCTATGACTGGTGCAACAACATTGATGTATGATGCGTATGATGCATGATGCATGAAGATCCTCCAAAGTTCATGGACTCGGGGACTAGTGATGGTGCCTTATCTTACCTTATCTTAGCGCGACACCTTCCCAGATTGGGACTAAATCTTCGTTCAATCAATGTTTACTCCATCGCCACGCAAAGCGCGTACGTATTCATCATCCATTTGTCATCCATACTCCATTAGGCATCCACTGCCTCCGTCCTCACGCTCTTTTCCTGATCATAAACCTGCGTTGGACTCGTAGAGCTACTTATATCTGTCAGAGTATTCTTTCTGGTCGTTCTTCGCTACCCGACAAGTCGGTCTTGTGTCGGCCTTGTGTATACCAGCAACCTATCGAGCCGCGCTCATACACACTCCTCACACAGGCTTTCGTCAGCTGTTGTCGATCTTGGTAAGCACTTACGCGAACGCATGGGGTGATCCAAAATTGGAGCCGTCTTGGGGTGGAAGCAAGGAGGTGGCACAACTCTACATTTCACGGCAAGACATTCCAGCGGAGTGGCCAGTGACAGGAGCAGCATCTACACCAGCCACAATATATTGTTTACCTGTGGGTTCGGTGACCTCGGGATTGCGATGCCGATATAAACAAAAGAGGACCTAAAATCAGACCATAAATTGTCGTTCAATCTTGATTCCAATTGCTGAGCATATTGGAACTCCGTAAAGTGACAACATTACCACCTATCAATAGCGCATATAGACTCCATGGTTGTCTCTTACTCTCCGCACAGCGACGCGGGCGGCACTCTTCATCTGTCGCCAACTCACATACATGATGTCGATCCCACCGCTGCGCTTCGTCAACTGCGTCGCTCGCTCTCGCGGTCGCCGTCCAAAGTTTCAGCTTTCCGCCTCGTTACATCAAAATCGACCTCTCCAGCTCCAAGATCTCCACTTTCACCGCCACGCGAAGCGATGCAAACTCGAGCCATCTCGGAAAGTTTGCTACTTCCATCCACAACAACCACACCTCAAGTTCAAAGCGCGCGAAAGGCGCGCCCTCCCAGTCGCAAATTGAGTCCTTTGCGCCACTCGCCGCGCCCAAGTAGCACACCGCGCAGCCCTCGAAAGAGGACCCTACAAGAGTCTACAAGCCAAGGGAACGCCACCCCGAGATCTTCGCCCGACTATAGCGACGATCAAGAAAATCGGCTTGCTCAACCTAGTGCCCCGAGCACCGACCACACATTTGACGCAACGTTCAAAGTGACTGCTCCATTAGGACAAAGTAGTCCTTTTCCTCCACCGCGCCCGACAGCACGATTCGAGAAGGAGCAGAATAGTTGGGGTGCGAAATCTAGTCCTTTGAAGAGGAGTGATGGCATTATGAACTTTGACCAAGGAAACATTGGTAGTCCCGCAAAGAGACGGAGCCTGCACGGGGGCGTCTTCGGGCCAGACTTTGACATCTTCGACGCTGGATCAATCTTAGATGGCCAAGGCGATACCGAAATATCTTACTCCTCAAATGATCCAGCACCCCCCATGGCTAGACAACATTCTTCACCTATGCCCGCCCGAACATCGTCTTTGCGCAAGACTACACTGCAACAGCGACACGAAAAGCCAACAATCAAGTCTAAGCCTTGCTCTGAGTATACTCTTGACCCACCTTCGCCGGGTCGTACACCGAACAGGAACAAATTCAGGATGTCTGTGGATAGCGTCTTTCCCTCTATACCCAGAGATAGTCCCTTTTCATCGCAAGGCAGCCTTCCGAACGCTTCGGCGCATCCTATAACTCAGCCACCCCTGAGAGGGCCAGAAATCCAGAGAATTGCGCAACCCCAGCGACATCCGCTTTCTCGAACGATTAGCCAGTCGACCTCTACCTCAAGTATGGCCGAAGACTCGCCGACTCACATTCCCGTGCGACAACCTGAGCAGCGGCGGGCTTTTGTTGACTTTTCGAAATCTCTACCTCTGGGTGCTCATCGCCCCTCCGGAGATTCTCAATCGAACAGCCAGGATTCTTTAGGGACCACTTTCGCGACTCCAGAGAACTACAAATTAGTCAAGCCACTTCCGGCAGCTTTCATGTCTACGGGTCTGATATCGAAGCGCCACAAGAATACTGACTCGCCTCAACAACCTTTAGGCGCAAGTACCAGTACGATGCCCGATACTCCTTGCAAGCGCCATAGCCTAGCAGACATACCTTCACCGAGCGCTCCGCGAAATGATGTATTCCCAAAAGTGCATCAGGTCAGACATTCGTTTGGGACTCCATCTACTCCATTCAACCCTAACACCTCTCACACGTCGCCAGCAAACTTTGGGAAAAGTATTGGAATATTTGGAAGCAGTATGGGCCATGGTCGTTTGCAACGTAGTGACAGCTTTCTCAGCATCGATGGTGACGACAATTCTCAATCACCGTCCAGAGGAGTCGACAGTCAATCCAGTAATGAGCTAGATGTTCCCCCAACACCAACAAGGCACTTCGGCAGCTCACACCAGGGTTTTCCTCCGTCATTTGCAAGGAGCACGTCAAGGCAGCAGGGTGGAAACTCGAGTTTGGGTTCGTCATTCGGGACGGATACTCAACGCGTTCGACAAGATTTAAACAGTAAGTTCCTTCCCCCTAAGGAGCCGGTAGGAAGTGCAGCTGGAGACAGTGACGGCGTGATGGAGGAATCACCATCAGCCAACCTGAGATTCAGAAGCTTTTCCGCGGTTCCTCGCTCCTTTACCCATTCCCGTACATTGCGCAATGCAAAATCCCCTACACCGCTCAGTCGAGCGTCTCACACTGCCCCTGCTCTTCTTGCCAGAAGGTCAATAGCTAAGCGAAGTCCTCTCTCACCAGCGAGCCCTCCGAGCAATCGATCATACCGTTTATCGCCACGGACACCCAAGGATAATATGGCACCTCCTGACCCAAGCGGCCTGTCTATCTCACAACATGGCGAGCAACATGTCCAAAGCCTCAATAGTGTCGCTAGCAGTCATTTCGCTTTTCCGCCCGCCACACCAACAGCTTCTAGAGATTTTTTCGGGTCCTCGAAGGCTTCCCGCACTAGTGTAACACCTTCTCATGTCACTGCTCCGGTTGAGGTCGACCCGGTACTTACGTCAAGGTTTGACAAGGCAGAAATAATCGGAACAGGAGAATTCTCTCAGGTATATCGGGTGAGCCGCAAGCAGGATGCCCTGAATGTTTCGCGTTACTTCGCAGCGCCAGTGAACCATAGCTCGCCAAAGCCACATCTACCTGACCATGTTTGGGCCGTGAAGAAGACACGAAATCCCTATATTGGACCCAAAGATCGCGAGCGAAAATTGCGAGAGGTACGAACGCTCAAAGTCCTTGGTCAGTCAGACCATACGGTCGAGCTTGTCGACAGCTGGGAGCATAACAATCGTTTGTATATCCAAACCGAGTTCTGCGAAGAGGGTAGTCTAGACATCTTTTTGAATCGTGAAGGATACAAGTCGAGATTGGATGATTTTCGGATCTGGAAGGTTCTGCTGGAGCTCTCATTGGTTAGTAGACACCAAGTACCGGGAGATTGAAACTGACATCTAGCAGGGCTTAAAGCATATCCACGAGTCCGGCTTTATCCATCTCGATCTGAAACCTGCAAATGTACTCATAACGTTCGAAGGAACGCTCAAGATTGCAGATTTTGGGATGGCAGCTCAATGGCCTGCTCAGCCTGGCATTGATGGGGAGGGAGACCGTGAATATATTGGTCCTGAAATTCTGAGAGGAGAATATGATAAACCGGCTGATATATTCGCTCTTGGTCTAATCATGCTCGAGATTGCGGGAAATGTGGTACTTCCTGACAACGGAGTCTCCTGGCAACGTCTGAGATCTGGAGATATGAGTGATGTTCCGAGTCTCACTTGGAGCTCCGAAAGCAGCAAATTGCGGGACTCTTCAGGCCGACCCCTTGTTCAGGACAGGTCAATGGAGACATTCTTCGCATCAGACTCTGAGGACGAAGATGTCAAGACTGCTAAACCAATGCGACACCCAAGAAGTAAATCTGCTAGGCCAACTCCTCCGCTCCCCCAACGATTGAGTGAGCTCGCAGAACCACCGCGATTCATGGTCGAACCGGGTAATCCGGAGGCTCTTGACAACATTGTAAGGTGGATGATATCTCCAGAAACAGAGGATCGTCCAATTGTCAGCCGACTTCTCTCGACAGGCAGTATTCAATGGACGGACAGCAGGCGGCGAGCTGGGGCTACTATTTTCGAGGGCAATTGGGGTCCAGCGGACGAGGTTCTAGCAGACGATGCGGAGATGATTGACGTTTGACCCAACTCTTGACGGTCATCGTGGAGAAACAAATTTGCCTATTGAGGAGGTTCAATTTTGGCTGAGAGATGCCATTGTTGGCGGTAAGGCGTTTGGATGGACGGATACCCAATGACGGTTGGTTCGGCAAGGCGCTGAGATATCAGCAGTATTTCTGACAACAGCAAACAACACCACGATCTACGACGGAGGCCAGGTACATTATTTGCTCTAATACCAAACCTTCCTAGGTAGCCGATTCACGGCGCCTGATACGCTATATCACAGCAACAACAAGGGGGGCTTCGCTTGAACAGTATCGATATAGAGAACAGACTATGTTGCACGAGCTTATGGATGATATCATACGGGACGATGTTTGGTTGCCGAAGTTTTGCATTAGCTGGGAGGATACCAATTTGCTTTTGGAGCTAGCATTGCAGGACATGTATCGCTTGATGGCTTAGATACTAGCCCAACGAGTCATTGATAGATACCGAGTATTAGATGTATATCATTAAGACCGAGAAACGATTCTTGCGTTCCTTCCGTACTTTTTCCTCTACTTGCTGTGAAGGGGTTGTTAAATATATCAGAAAGACGCTAGACCATAAATAGCAATATCAACCTTTCTCAGTACTCGACCTCTGTTTCGGGGTGGCATACTTCTTCACTATCCAATCCCTCCTGTCGCCATTAATGGAGCACACTGTGGCGAAAACCGCCATTCGCTGCATAAAACGTCCCTCTCTATTCCTCCACCCCAAACGAGTCCCATCCCTCCTCGCCTGCCCGTTCTCAACCCGCACCTCTCTCCGCGCAGACGATTGTACCTCCTTCCCATTCGCTCCTACATCCCAACACTAACCTCATCATCAGTCGACTACCCCTCCGCACTCCCAAGAAACCAACGCCCTCTCAAGAAACCCCCCAACCCAAGACCACCACAACCGCCAAACCCAGCGAAACCATCACCAGCATCTACGACCAAGCCCAAGCCGCCAAGGACTCCGTCGACGCGCAGACCTCCAAACTCGACCGCACGCTCGCGCTCCGGAAACAAGCCACCCGGCGCTGGACCAAGGGGGAAGTCTACGCGCCGCACGACCTGTCGTCCGTAGAGACAGAAAAGGGGCGGCAGTTTGCGAAGACGACGCCTCGAAGGGATGTATTTCAATTACTGGGCATGAATCCGCTGCATGAGTACAAGAATTTCAGTATCATGGCGGAGTTTGTGACGCCTATGGGACGGATCAAGCCGAGGGTTTTCACGGCGTTGACGGCCGTTAATCAGAGGAGGGTTAGTAAGGCTGTTAGGAGGGTGGTCGGGCTGGGGTTGCTGCCTAGTGTGCATGCGCATCCGGAGGTGTTGGAGAAGAGGAGACGGGGGGACCTGGTGAGGTTGTGGGGGGTTGATGGGAAGGGGGAGAATGGGGGACTTGTTAGGGGGGGAGGACGAGGTAGGGCGAAGTGGGGGAGGGAAGGAGGGAGAGAGTCCACACATGGGTGTTGATTTGTTCATGTGCATTTTATTGTGGTATATATCCCCTGTACAATGGAGACCGGTTACAGTGTAAGATCCCAGCCAAGATGTCCAATGTCGAAGAAGTACTCCTTCTCTTCTCGGACCAGCATGGTGGTTCCATATATCTCTTCTGGAACCTCTATACCTTCCTCTTCCTCATCTATGCTGCCGTCAGCGTTGCCTTTAGACGTGCAAAACATTCCGTGCTTTATCAGATCCAGATAGGGCTCAGGGTACATTTCTCGAATCCAATCTCTGACGTCTTGCTTGTCTTTGACACCCCACGCTCCGTTGAAAAAGCTTCCGATCCTGTATAATATCAGCGAAAGTCCGCGCAGAATATGATTGATACGAACAAGAATGCATCAACCTCAAACCCGTACTTCCCAGCTTCCTTGCATACCTTCACACAATCTTCGAATAGAGATCGGCCTGCCAAAGCTCCGAGGTACGCCGCATAGATCTCTCGAGTGACTTCCATTTCGCTGTCCGTGATGCGCTTCCATATCTGTCTGACTGCCTCTTCTCCCACGTGTTGCGCCCGCTCGCAACAACGCAACGCAATCCTGATGCTAGCATAAGACGGCCCTTCCTGGGATTCAACAATATCTTGCCAAAACGCCAAGGCATCGTCAGACTCGTCGCATCCCATGTATGCTAGCATTAAGCCATTACGGACCATGGTATCGGGTTCAATCTCGTTATCGAGCTTTAACAAGTTATGCACCAGCTCCAAGGCTCTGTCGTCACCATATTTTCCAATACCTGCTAGGCACAAGGCATAAGTATCCGTCGTCGGTCTGAGGGCTTTGTTGGGAGATTGCCGCATGTGGCCAAAACAATAGCATGCCATGTCTGACCGACCGCGAGTAAAGAATGCTTGCATTATATCGATGAAGATTTCAGCGGGTGTCTCATGGAAGATCCGGCGCATCATTTTATAGGTGTCCCAAGCTTGAGCCGATGTGGTTTTAGAACCCTTGATGTGGTCGATAAGGACTTGCTGAACAGATCTGCGGTCCGAAGGGCCTAAGGAGTAAGCATGTGCATTCAGCAGATCCTGTGCATCTGCAATCTCGTCGCGTTGCAGATGGAGTCTGGATAGAGCGGCTACCGCGTCTGGTGTAAATTGTGCATTTCGATCAGCCAGATCATCTACTATAGACATTATAGTGTCATATTCAGAAGGTCGACGCTCACAAAAGGCGACAATGAGGCGGTTTATTGCATGTATATTGTCTACCCTCGAAAGGTCTTGGGCTCTGAGAGATGTGTACGCAGCCATTGCTCCGCTGAGGTCATCCACCTTGACTCGATAGTCTAGTTGAAGGAGATATGTAGCAGCATCAGGCTCGAATCCCAGCTTTTGCCCCAAGTTGATATACCTTTCCGCTGTATAAGGGTCATTTTTCTTTTGGATAGCAAGTCTTATGAGTAGATTGATGGTCGTGATGTTGGGCTGCAAATCTGGCCGATCCTTATATCTTCGTGCGATGACTTCCATCATCTTGCCGATTTCATCGACGCCTCGCCCTTTGGCGGCGGCCCAGCGAAGTGTCATGTCTATGAGCTCCTTTTTCTCCAAGTCTTCTTGCATAAGGTTCTTTACAATGCTGTCTCCCCATTCGAGCTCGTCCTCTTTGATACACTGTCCGAGAACGGCTATAATGGCTTTTGACGTAGGCGACTTGTTTGTGAAAGCAGGATGATCGTACCAAGTTCTGGTCAGTTTTGGATTATTTCTGAACCTTGCGTAGTGGAAAATGATGTCGCTGTACATTTCTGGCTCAAATAATCCCTCGTTCTTCTGAAGGTATTCAACAAGCGACTCTAAATCTTGGTCTCTTTCTTCCAGAACAAGACCTCGTACAACGGGAGACCATGCAGTATAATCTGAGTCCTTGAGGAGCGTCTTGCGATACTGTTTGACAACATCTTGAGCTACGAGCGCCTTTGAATGGTACGAAAGTACTTTGATGTAGGAAAGTATAACATCCTTGAATCCTTCTTGGAAGGACTCATCTGACTGCCCGGCAGCTATAGCTGTCTCGTACTCTTGCGTTGTGTCCTCAAAGAGCATTCGAGACAGGTCAATGCACAAGTCAGATTGAAATCCTCGTGGCGGTCGAAAGGACAGAATGGCAAGCGCCCGCCGTATATCATCTAAAGATAGCCATGGCTTGGTTTCATAAAGGCTCGCGTCTTTCTTGAGAGTCGAGTATGCCATTTGCAAAAGGTGTAATTGCACTTCATCGACTCGATTGACCTTCTGCCTGTGCTTCACGTATGTCCTAAAGGCGTCTGCAATCTCCTCTGATGGCGGCGTTCGTATATCCGCTTTGATTGCTTGTTCCAATTCCATCAGGTTCTTAATGCCGGGCTCGAGGTTCGCAGGTCTCGGTTGCCTTGGCTTGCTGAACCCGAGGCCAAAGAGCGTTCGTTTTTGAAAACCGCAAGGGACAGATCGTGATTTGGCGAACGCATTGTGCTTTGGGCGGAGGCAATGACGCGATAGTGACATAGAGTGGCATCGTACTTCCGTCTGCAGAAAGCCATGAGTCAATTGGCGGAGAACGCGGTGCGTTAGATGCGATCTCATCGCGAAGGGAGAAGACGGGTAGAGCTGCAGGAGAGTGTCGAGCGGCGCTCACGCAGCTGCCACGCTCTAGTTGATACTGAAGGCAGATCAAAGGGCATTATTGAGACATGCAAATCATATCTATGCAACACGCAGTCGTTCAACTCCCAATGTGTTTCTCTATGGTTGACGGCAAAGAAAGATTGATATTGCCCTTTAGAGTTAGCGCCGGTGTGAGCTAGCCCACAAGGTGCGACTACAACGTCAGACATTCGACAATTTCTCAATCAAGCTAGAAGAGTATGTGTGCTTAGTGGCACCATCATGCCTTAGCTGTCACCTCTACTGCATTCTCTGCCCTCATTCCATTCACATCATGGTACGCAAACTCAAACACCACGAGCAGAAGCTCCTCCGAAAAGTCGATTTCACGACCTACAAATCCGATCCTTCCCACCGCACCTCTGCCATTCTCCGCCGCTATCATATCCAGAACCCACAGGATTATACGCACTATAACCGCCTCTCCGGCTCCCTCCGTCAACTTGCGCATCTCCTCGCCCTTCTACCTCCTGACTCTCCTTTCCGCACAAAACATGAATCTCTCCTACTCGAGAAACTTTACTCAATCGGCCTCTTATCCCAGGGCACGAAGCTCTCAGAAATAGAAAGAAAGATGGGCGTCAGCAGATTTGCAAGGAGGCGATTACCGGTGGTGATGACGCGGCTGCAAATGGCTCCGACGGTGAAAGACGCCGTGAAGTTTGTTGAGCAGGGGCATGTCAGGGTTGGTGTGGAGGTGGTGACGGAACCGAGCTACTGCGTGAATAGAAATATGGAGGATTTTGTTACTTGGGTGGATTCGAGTAAGGTGAAGAGGCATGCTTTAAGGTATAGGGAGAAGCTCGATGATTTTGATCTGCTGTGAGGCGAGGTCTAGAGTCTGGAATGGTTATGACATGGCTTCTGAGGAGCTTCTTGTTCATTCTCAAAGATTTGCCCTCTCATTCGAGGATGAGAATGGCTGCATAACCTCCGCGTGTCCCGTATGCGCACGGCGCAATGTTCTGACGTCTTCTGAGCATGTCATTGATTTTGAGTTCAAGGCAAGTAGAGATGGTAAAATGTCTTCAGGCTGGTTAAGAAGGCGTCAGGGATGCCAAGCAGTCTGTGTGAGCAGGTAATGCTATGTTAGATGGGCTAGATGAGATAAAGGGTTCGACAATGGGGTACTACAAGGTGTGAACATGCGTTAGACCGAGGGCAAGTGTGGCCAGAATATGTGCCAAAAGAATGAGTCTTCTATGTGAAATATGTTCCGTCGTATATAATTCGTGAGTGAGGAGAATAACGAATGTAAACTGGCCTGCGAAAATTCCATCCTTGTTCGCATGTCGTATGCATAATTCGTCCCCTTCATTACCGGTCATCATCGTCTTAGGAAACCGAACTTGGTAAACAGAAAAACTACCCTTGTATGTTTGTCATCGCTTGCGCCTTCTCCTCCCGCTTCCACTCCCACTCCCACTTGCGCCGTCATCATCCCTGGCGCTACCAAGACCCCAGCTATGCAGCAACTTACTCATACCGCCACCAGAAAGAATCTCCTCAAATCTCTCCACATAATTATTCTCTCCCTTTTCAGGCAAAGGTCGACCGTCTTTATCGAATCGATCGGGTAAGTCCTCAGTGCTATCTGAAGAGACCGGCGAAGGTGATCGTGAGTGTTGCCGGCCTTTATCTTTGTCCTGACGTCGATCAGAGCGATGACGGCGGCGATGACGATGATCTTCAGAGTCGTCACTGTCGTAGCCAGAAGTGGTCGCTCGCGACCGGCGCTCACGGATACGAGTCGGAGTATTTGGGCTGGAGGACCTGGGAGATCCAGATTTTGGTGAGAGGTTAAAGCGGACTCTTGTTCTAGGCGGCGGTTGGGATGTAGTCCTGCGAATTAGGGTGGGACGGGATGAAGAAGTCGGGGGAGTGTTAGCGCGAGGCGTTTCTAGACCTGTGGATGAATTGATTAGCCTGCAGTACGTCGAGGTGCAGGTTCGTGAATGGGTACAAATGTACGAACAGAGTCAAGGGAATAGAGGCTAGGGGTACGCACCCTCCCCGGATGACATGTAGAAGGGCACGCCATTAGGATCATACAAAGGGGTATCGGTAATATTTGCAACATCTGTGCTGGTGCTGGGCGCATTTTGAAATGATTTCTCAGCACTCACATTCTCGTCTGCCCTCCTTGGGCCAGCGCCACCCCCTACATAAGGGGCTGCTCCTGGAGGAGGAGAGTAGGCGGTAGGCTCAGGAGGCTGGTAGCCCCCAGCTTGCTGAGGTGGGTAGCCGTAGGCAGGATCAATCTGAGCTGCAGCAGGGTGACCTGGTGGAGTAGGATACTCGGCATTGGGGGAGTACGGCTGGCCAGGTTGAGGTGGGTAGAACGGTTGGTTTGCATACGGATCACCGCCCTGTGGGTAGCCTTGGCCTGGTGGCGGCGAGATCGGTGAAGCGTAATGATCTTGCCCGTACGACTCTCGTTCTGCTGCTTCACGTCCTATTAAATATTAGCCCCTGTTTCAGCGAGCAACGCAAATCCTTGTAGAAACCAACTTTTTCGTTCCCTCTTTTCTTCCTTCCTTTGCAGCTTTCTCTTCTCATGCTCAGACAACGCTAGACCAGCAGCACCAGCCCCAGCTGCCCCTAGCGCTGCCGCACCCAAGCCTCTGCTGCGGCTGCGGCTTCGACTTCGGCTGTCGCTCTTGTGACGACGATGTCGACGACGGCGTCGACGTTCGTTGTCAGAGCCGGAGGAGCTGATTGACCTCTCTCTTGCCCGCTCAGCGCCATATGCTGCACCAGCACCAGCGGCAGCGGGAACCATGGCTGCTTCACGGTTATCGTAATAACCTTGCTGGCTCGCAGGCCGGTTGCCATATTCCGGGATCCCGTTACTACCATACACCGGAGTGTCCCCATATTCGATCATGCCAGCTTGATGGGGAGGAAGATCTCGGCTAGCCTCATATCCTACAGATCTGGATCTAGATCTTGACGCACGACGAGCTTTGCGCTCTTCACGTCGTACTTCCTTGTCTTTCTTTTCCTCTTTAGCCGCTTGGTTACGCTCGTAGAGGCCAGCAATCGCTGCACTTCCAATTCCGGCAGCTGCAATTGGGATTCCTTGACGGACGCGGCTCTTTGAACGATCTCTACCACCTCGAGACTTGCTGCGAGCGCGTTCGATCAAGCCAGCTACGGCAGCTCCGGCGGCACCAGCCTGAGCAATGCGCTTCGACTTGTGTCTAGGATTGCGCGCATCATCAGCCTCTTCCGGGGGAACAGAGCCTTGCCTCGTACGCGAGCGACTCCGGCGATCGTCCTTATTCTTCTTACGCTGATTGTTGGCGTAAGCAGCAGCAGCAGCAACAGCAGCAGCACCAAGACCGAGCTCGGCGATCTTCCGCGTACGCGATTTTGAGCGGCTCCGGCTTTTAGACTTGTGTTTGCGACGTCTACGGCGTCCATCCCTTGAACCAGATCGTGAACGAGATTCGTAGCGGCCCTTGCTGCGAGCACGACTTCGACTGCGATATTTGCTGCGCGCTCGACTCACGCCTTCTGCTGCAATCGCGCCGAGAGCCATACCTCCAACATCTTTGGCTACTCTGCCACGGCGACTATCCTCGTCACCTTCCTTCTTGCGATGACGACGAATGAGCTCTGCCGCTCCAGCTCCAGCCAGGGCACCCTCGGCGAGATGACGTCGGTGATGTGGGCTATCGTCGTCGTCGGAATACCCTTCACGTGTTTCGCGTCTTTCAACATAATCATAGCTATCATCGCTGCTATAGCGGCGGCGGCTGCTTTTCCCCCCACTTGCGAAATTGAGTCGCCAGGGCTGAGGTCACGCTCTCGGCGCCTTTCATAACGATCGTCTCTATAGTTGACGTCTCGATCACGACGGTCGCTAGATACCTCGCGAGTACGGCGCTCATAATAGTATTCTTCCTCATTACCTCGGTCACTCTTCGGTTTTCTGCTGACAACCGAACGATGATCGTCATGGCTCTCCTCCACGACCTCAGAGCGTTTTACCATCTGGAATTCGGTTTCCTTTTCAGGTGCAGCGATCACTGTTGGAGCACGAGGGGCCTCCTGTATAATGATCTGTTGTGGCTCTTGGCGAATCACGATGGGCTGTGGCGGGTCGGGTCGAGGGAAGTATTCGACTTCTCTTGTATAGCGTTGCAAGTCATTGTTACGGTCATTGTTACGGTCGTAGCCATAGTCACGATACGGTGCCAGTCTATCGTTCTCGCGCTCGTACCGAATTTCTCGCTCGACGCGGCGAGGCTCAGGTTCCCGTTCTCGAGACCTTTCCTCTCTCACAATGCGAATCTCACGTCGCTCAGGCTCAGGCTCGGGTTCTGGAGTTCTCTCTCTGCGAATGATGCGGGTCTCTTGAACTTCCCGGTCACGGTCGGAACGACGATCACGGTCATCCTCTGTGCGACGGATCGAAATTCTATCTTCTTCGACATCGCGGATATCACGATCACGGTTGGGAATTCTGTATATTTTCTTGACGCTGTAAGAGCCGTCATGGTCACGGTCACGATCGCGGTCACGGTCACGGTCGCGGTCACGGTCGCGGTCGCGGTCAGACTCCCTAATTGTAGTTGTCCGGCCACTGACTGAGCGAGTATCCCAGTCACGCTCACGCTCGCGCGAGCGTTCGCGATAGATGACGGACATGGCGGGTGCTGACGGTTGCCTTCAATAAAAAGGAGCAGGCGGTCGAGTGTAATATGAAACTTATGAAAAGGAGTTGGGTGGAAATGTGAGCCGAACGGAAGACGAGAAGGCTGCGAGTAAGTGATGCCTTATCAGCTTTGGCCCCTCGATGATGCGACGATGATGAGAGTTCCCCACCTCTGCCTCTGCCGATGGCACAGCTCACCGGGCTGGGTACTGTTGATTCCCTTGATGGACAGATGAAACCTCGTGACACAACTTGTTCGAGAAAAAAGTAGTAACAGACAAGAAGAAAGGCTGAAGTCAGGTGGAAAGAAGGCAAATCGCTACGTTGCCGTTGGAGGGGCAGGAGCAGGGAGTCACAAGGCTGTGGCTGGGTCGGCTACATTCACAAATTTGCATAAGTTTTGTGCAAGTGTGCATAAGTCTATTTCATTATCACCGCTGTGACATGGCGAAGTCACCACCATCAAGCTGTAGCTTACAGCGTCTAGCTAGTATCCTGGTGGACATACTTCCTTCAATGGCAAAAATGCTCCCATTATCCTCTAGAAATCATGATTCGGCTCCTTAGATTAGACTGCCTGCGACTCGTCTTTCACAAATATCTATATCAAACCTTTCATGCAGTTTCAAGAAGCTTCTTCATGTGACTGAAAGCTACACCTCTGAGTAGGATGCAAGGTCAGCGGTCTAGATTGATCAATTTCCATTCCAGCCTCCTTTCTGATCGCGCACAAACGGATGAGACCTAAGCAACGCGCAAGGAGTCTCATTGCCTGCTTTTTAGTAGTCTCTCGAAGACGGCCCTTTTCTTGATCTTGCCATGTATAGAAATAGTTCTCTAGCAAACATGACAGTACCCGCATAATGTCCTGGTTGACTGCCAATCTAAGTGGAATAGAACACGTCAATTCGACCGTAAGAGGCCTGCTAGACCGTTGTGGAACTATTGAGACTCTTTTCAAAACGGAATGGGAGTTCAAGAAACATTGAGTTGAACAATTTCTGATCCCCTAACGAGTGAAGAATTCGGATTTATCCAGACTTTTGCTTTCTATCATCTCGCATGCTTTTTTTCTGTCGACTAATGCAATCCAAAGGGACAGGCTTGTCATACTTAGACTGTGATTCACCAGCCTCAATCTAGCCCATCGATCACAAGGAATGCTGTAACATACATGGTAGAAACTGCGTATAGCTGTAGCGTAGCTCGGTAGGTGTAAGGGCGACGGGGTGCGATTGTCTGTGGACGTCAGAATCAGGGCATGCAGTCTTGGCAGTCTGACGCTAGCCTCTTAGGCCGTTCGAGGGTCCCTTAGTACAAGGAACCCGAAAGATCCAGCGAATTACGACAGACCACGACGAAGGGCGCTCCTCTTTGAGTGTCCAACAGCCACACGTCGTGAAGCCTGCTGTGCGGGACAATTGTCATGCCCAATCGGCCAGTAACTCATCCTTCGTCATCCAATCTGCTCGTTCTTCCTCTTCACCACCTGGAGTCTGTTCAATGAGAGCCTTCGGGACGGAGTCGGCTCAGACATGGATTTGGCCGGCTGTGATTTAGAACCATGACAATTGCCGAAGAGAATCCCCATGACGGGGAGAATGGCACCTCGAAAAGCAGAGACGAGACTGTGTCGTCAGGCACCCACGATGATGCGCCTGACACTGGTACTACCTCCGCTACCTCCACTCGCTCGACCGCTTCTCCAGCTTTGAAGAGGTCCTCTACTACACCCACCCTTTCTTCCTCTACCTCTGCAACTACTTCGCCTAAGCCATCCCGAGAGACCTCACCAACAAGACCTCATGTCAAAGGTGGGCAACTGCCACCTCGTCCCACCACCCGTTCAAGAAAGAACAGCCAAGATCAAGACAAGAGCCCCATCCGCGCTGCCTCAGTAGCAGGTTCCGGCATACCCACCGTACCATCTGCTGCCGCAATACAGCGGGCTCTATCCGCTGCCGGCACTTCAAATATACCGCCTGCTGCGCAACATGAGGTCGGGTCAGACGCAAGTAGGGCGCAAAAAACAAGCAAGCCCGTTGCAAGCCCTGCGTCAAAGGCTTCGCAACGTGCTTCACGCTTGAGCTCTCCCCCTCCAGCTGCTTCATCAGGATCCAACAAGCCGATATCGACTGCTACGCGAAAAACAGAGCAATCTCAATCGACCCCTTCGACACCATCGATTGTCGTAGACCGACCAATATTAGCCCCTAAGCCGACCTTTGATCAGGCCCTGGCGGAAGAAGATCTACCACCTCCGTCGGGAATGAGAACTCCTACCCGAGGCGCGAGCGGCTCTGGCGCACCTCTGGAGACCGTACAGGAGAGCAGTCCTTCTGCAGACTCCGTTTTGAACAATGTCCGTCCGATAGACAGAAAAAAGAGTAACACGACCGAACGACCTGCACGTATCGATGAAGACCCTTCTGAAGAAGATACTACTCACGAGGCCAGGTCAAGAGTAGAAAGTGGTAATGAAAGTTCGGGAAGTAGGCAAGTAGAGACTAATAAGAGTGGGGATGGGTGGAAACCTGCGACAACAGCAAGCTCGGTCAAGGCACCAACCATACATTCAAAAAACTCCTATACGCAACTGCCAGGCAAGCTCAAGTCAGCGAGTGAGGGATCAGTAAAGAACATGACTGTGGAGACTGAGACTGTCAGCTCCATACCACAGGTTGCCGTTGGTGGAGGTGCCGGGGAGCGCGGCGCACCTGCCCGCTCTGACACTGGTGGCAGCGTTCGTTTGAAACCAAGCACGGAGACCATTCGGCCAAAGAAGGAAAAGAAGAAGGTGGTTCGCAAAGCTCCCCCCGTGAATGCAGGAAATGGTGGGTACCTATCTCGACTTTTCTTCAATCATCGTAATCTTTGTTCTCGGCGTCCGAGTCCTCTATGCTCGACAGTTTCTTCGACCGAGTCTTCTACCCTTTGCAATGATGAGGACTTAGCCGACGATGATGTCAGTCCATTGCAATCAAATTGGCCAGTGAACCCTCTCCCGAGAGTTCGAAGCCCCAAAGACACTGCTTTCAGTGCAAACCCCCGTGGTCCCATCAGGAGATATAGTTCAGGGCTAATGAAATTTTCTGGGAGAACAGCCTCTTCCAAAGCAGATGTTTTCGAAGCGAAAGTCGCAAGCGCAGTCGGCGAGGCCGACTCATCTGATTCTGAGGAAACTTTCGTCTACGAGTCAAACCCTCCTGAGCCCCAATCAGCCCGAGCGCACCGATTTCACTCACGAACCCCTAGTACTGCTTCCACGTTGAGTCAGCTTGACCATACCAAAGTAAGGCAAGACAATCACCATGATGTTGTCAAGAAAAGAAGTATGAAATTTGCCACTAATTATAGTACTATCAACTATGCAAATGATGGTGAGACGACTGTCCGAGGCCCAAGTCAAGGAAGTCGAGGGAGTGGTACACCACATCATCATCATATTGGTCGTTTTGGTCGCGGTGGTCACACTTCGATAATTGATAAAGATTCCCCTTTTGCCAACCCTTCTAAAAGCCCCCGTTCGTCGAACGCACGCTTTCAGCAAGTCACATCGCCTCGCCATAATCGTCGACAAAGTCCAGGAAATCCGCGACTGTCAGGCAGCGTACGGAAAGCAGAAGAAGCTATGTCATATGATCTTGAAGGCGAAGGTGCAGACGACGAAAGAACACCACTAGTCGGACGGAGTGGGCGCAACCGACGCCGGGCGCTACCGGGCAGTGTCAGGCAGATGTACCTAAGTGACGACCATGAAAACAGGTATTGTGGACGTATCACCGCCTTCACGTCGCTTGGGACCGTACTTGCCCTCCTTATTGCGGCGATCGTGATCACCTTAGTTCTGTGCACCAAACCACTCTACGATGTCCAGATCCACAGTATCAAGAACGTTCTCGCGTCAGAGTCGGAAATCATGCTCGACCTGCACGTTCGTGCTACCAATCCGAATATTATTGCCGTTCAGATTAGCGACTTGGATGTGAACCTCTTTGCCAAGTCACGCTATGTCCGGACTCCCTCAGCGACACCGCCCACAACATCAACGACTTCCTCATTCAAGATCCGTGAAGCGACCCGTGTGCCACACCCGAGATCAGATTTATTGAGGACTCCGAAAGGCATTCTGGACCAATTGGGCGGCATAGATGAAGGTACGGATCCAATTGATGAAGATCCAGCGGCAGACTCTCAGACCATGCTACTTGGACGAATCCTCACCTTCGACAGCCCTTTAATTTTTGACGCTTCTCCACTCCATCACAAGGAGCAGATTTCAGTCGGTGAGGTACGTCTAAGCAAACCTGGAAACAGAACTGAAGAAGGAGGCTCGGCGCGGTGGGAACGGGTTCTGCAGCATGACTTCGAACTGATTGTTCGTGGCGTGGTGAAATACACGTTGCCGATTTCATCCAAACTTCGAAGCGCGTCCATCAGCGGGAAAGTGATTGTGCACCCAACGGAGGAAGACAGCGAAGGAAATGGGAGCTTCAGACTAAGCCCTCCCAGGGGCCAGGCGGACGATGGAAGCAACGTTATCATTACGCCGCCACAGGCAGTTCCTGAGCGGGTTGCGCTCGAGCGGTTCATGGATCACGGGTAAAATAGAAGTTGCCAGAAGCAATGATGATTGACGATTTCCCTTGCGATGTGTGACGATTACATGGTGTGTTTGCATTTGCTGGTTGTAGAAAAAGGAAGCTCCCTGCGAGAGCGGTGACAATATACGGCTGGTATACCCCTTAACGCGTGGCTAGACAGCTATATCATTTTCCTCTCATGGGAGGGTGAGGAGTGAGAGACAATGTAGGCATAGACAGGCTTTTGGTGATAGCGATAGAGGTTGTTGCCCACCAGAGTTCTAGTTCTAGTCCTAGTATCAATGTGTGTGTGGCTGGCTTGCAACCTTTTCCAGCCGTGTGCAAACTCCTGTCAAATGTGACGACGACGGTTGATCTATCTTCAGACTACGTCTCTCATCCTTGCGTAAGACGGAGGCACATTCCACAATACAGCTTCCGTTACTTCTTGGTCCCCATTCGTATGTCTACCCACAGATGCACTATGGAATGTTCGATTGCTGTTAGTCCGAGTCTCTTAGGGTACGCTACCACCATTAGTTCTGTATAGCTTGAGCTCCCCGCACCTTTAGTTTGATGATCGCTTCGAAAACTTCTCTATCCAGGCAATTTCGTCCGGTCCCAGCAATACTACCAGCCGTGTCTATCACTACCGTTGCGTTTCATGAGGTCAATCAAGCTTATTCTGGGCCAATTGTCAATGATTTAGAAATACGTGGGCGTCGTCATCCAGAACCTCAAGTTTGTTAGCTCTTGGTGCTCCTTTACTTCCTGCCGTCCTGTGAGCTTTCGACTTATTATTATCCCTCCGCATCTACCCCAGATTCTGAATTCCTTAATCGGAGAATTCTTTGTATGACAGGCGCGCTTCTTACCTTGCGTCGCCGGATATCTTGCATGGCGCCGTGAGATACTGTCATGGATACTGATGGCCCCAAACCACCTCAAGGCTCGCGCGACCTGGGTCCTACATTACATGGCGTAGATTTTGTGCTCATCAGTCTGTCGACGCTCACTATCGCGTGCCGTATTTTCACTCGCGTATGGGTCACCCAGGATATGTATGTCGCCGGCAAAGTGCTTTTCAAGGCTTCACTTCTCTTATCTACTCACTCAGCACCTATTGCTTGCACACAGAACGCAAAGATGACAATTAAGCTGACTCAAACTGTCAAATATCAAGAGGATCCGATGACTACACAATTATCGTTGCATTAGCCCTAGTGTGGGTGGGCAAGGCCATGGTTTTTGTGGAAGTTGTCTACGCACTCGGCAGGCATAAAACTCAGGTTGCAATGTCTGCATACCAATCGTATCTGAAATACGACCTGCTCGATTGGGCCCAAGTATGAAGCAACGCCTCTCCTGGCAATTGGTCCATTATCGCATACCATGAGCTAACAATGAAAAGACAATAACCGTCTTGGCTGTCTCGAAGATCGCCATCTGCTTATTCTTACTACGCTTGACGCCTTTTCACAAATTGAGATACGCCATTTGGGCTCTAATAATATTCATCGTGGTGTCTCACATTCCAGTCTTCTTCCTTTTGATATTTCGATGCAAACCAGTCGCAAAGTACTGGAACGAGGAATTACCAGGGACATGCCACTCCAAAAAGAACACCGAGATTGTCATTATCGTCCAGGGAGGTAGGAACGTCCCATAAAAGTCTCAAAGTTTGAGTATGAATGGGGCTGATTGATCTAGTCATCTCAATTCTTGTTGACGTATTATGCGCCGCGACTCCAATCGTGCTATTGCACAACGCAAAGATCAAGAGAAGGGTTAAGGTCCAACTATGCCTGCTCATGGGCTTTGGCTTTCTGTAAGTATCGCTAGACGTCGATCACAGAGCTTGGTCTGATGTTACAACCCTAGTACGGCTATTGCCTGCTGTATCAGAACCGGATTTTCGTATCAAGTCACCGTGGAGGACCTTTCTTGTGAGCAAGCATTATGTGGTAGGCGCAAAAGTATCCACTAAATCGTGGCATCTAGGGGCCAGTTTTGGAATAGCAATGGCACGAGCGGTTGAAGTGAACATGGGCATTTGTGCGGCATGTGCACCGATGATGAAGCCCTTCACCCGTTTTATACGGGCGAAGCTTTTCAACGGTGACACTAGAATCCTCCACAGCAACCACCACTCAAATCTATCGTTCTGGCACGGCTCATGGTGGCGAACGAATTCGAAAGATGACACACCCCAGGGGCAGATCGTCTTGAACAGGAATATCCAAAGTGTATCTGAAGAGAAAGCCAGGATCGCTGGCAGGAACAACATCGCGCAAAAGGACTTCCGGATTCCATCCATGTCGTTAGGTACGGATTTCCAGGACCGCGTTGGAGCGTCAAGCAGGCTAGACTATGATACCGTTGAAGAATTGAAAGCGGAGTGGCCACTGAAAGATCGTCCGGAGTCGGATCTAAATGAGAAAAGCTGGTTTAGAAATGATGAGGAATCGCGCTGAATGGCCTAAGGGAAAGTGTGCATACACAAACAATGAGTATATCGTTTGAATGTGGGCCTCGCTCCAACGACAGGACAAGTCTGAGGTCAAAGTTCTAGGAAACCTGAGCGAGCTTCTTGCGGATGAGCCCTTTATCAAGGCTCAGTGGTCAGCAACAGATTAAGAAAGGCCCAGCACCATTCAGCACTGATACGCCCTGACGTGCTCTGACACCAGAGACGGCAAGTTTACGGTAAAGACCCACAAGGTCCAGTCAACAGAGAGGCCAAATCTTGACTTGATTCATGGATCAGGAGGACCTAAGTACGCTTCCATCTACAGAGGCCTGTGCAACGAAGACCGCACATCAGCGTTCTTAGAGTCATAGAAGGCATCTGAAGACCGCATTGCCGACAAGAGTGATTTCTTCTCAGGAACAGCGCGCCGGATCTCTTCCAGCTTATGAGTAGTTGGTGTATACTGCAGACACCAAGCTACTTTATGTGTAAGGTACTATGGGTCCTTCCTGCATGAATTTACAGAGTTTCCCGACGCCGAGATCTAATGCACGACTGGGAAGACTGGGGAAGCACGGGGGACCACTAGGGCCGCAGCAAGAGAGGGCCTTCCTGGCTCGTTAGATAGGCTGACTTGGCTGTGACCTATCTTCACAGCCACAGTCATCGTCGACAGCCCTCACACGTTGCCGACAATCGTTCACCCTTATCAGCAATTAAAAAACAGAATAAGCTAAGGCAGGCCGATTGCATACGGGCTTTGGCTAGTTTGTATCCTGCAACATAGTCACTAAAGACTTGGATACTTTTGTGCGTCTGACCAACATCCTGACTTACTTGGATAGCAGAGATACTTGTCCACTTCGTACTAAGAATTCAATGATCTTTCTTGAGACGGATTTCAAACCTTCTTTCGACCCCCGCTTTCCAAGACCCTATCCAAATGGCAACTCAATAACATTACAGCCTATCTCACATCTAGGCTAGCCACCTGCCCTTTCCCCTATCCTTCTACACAACTACGACAACAACCGGTACACCCATCTCTCAAACCACCGATCCCCATCCCCCATCTCCCATCCCCCAATCCCCCCCTATCTTCTCCCTATACACCCACTCCGAAAACTGGGCTGCTACAACCCTCCACTCTCCTTTCCAAACCTTCTCTTCAGGCTTTGGGTATCTAGAGCGGTGGTAAGAGATTGAGAATTCGAGTTCGATTGGGCTGCTGTTGCTGTGGTCGGAGGTAGGGGTGGGGGTGGAGAGGACCTGTTCGAGTTGTGATTTCCATCTTGTGCGGGTGAGGAAGGTGTGTGCTGTATTTTCTATAGGCCCGGGAATGGTGTTAGTGAGGGAATAGTGAACTGGGATATGGGGTTGGAAGGGGGGGAAAGAAGGGTAGCTTTGGTTTAATGCGTGAAATAAATAAAGGAGCGTTGAGGCAGGCAGGTGGGCAGACTCACCGGCGTCTTCCCCATGAAAGCACAATTGCAACGTCCTCAGCTGGTGGTGGTGCTCCCTCAGTGACTCCAGCGCCTCTTTCATAATATGCGCCTTACCCCTCTTGCCCCTCAGCTTCTCCGTCCGCTGCTGCTGGTGACGATCCAAGTGCTGTGCAAGTATGGATTGGGGCTGAGTAGCGGAAAGGGGCCGGAGAATGTTGAGGTAGAAATCGGTTTCAATGTCGACGCTGTCGTCGGGGACGTACTGGTCGTCGTCGAGGAGGAAAGCGGTGCCGGAGAAGCAAAAGGTTATGTGGCGGAGTTTTGAGACGTTAGAGGGGCCAATGGTGGTGAGGAAAGCTGGTGTTGAGTGGATGTGTTGGGTGATGAGGTAGCTGACGGGAATGAAGGTGTCTGAAGGAAATCCTGAGCCATTGCAGAGGCTGAGAAGAGACGGGTGATGGCGGACCACGTCGAGAAATTCCGAGAAAGGTATCACTTTACCCGTCGTAGACCAAAGTTGAAGCAGGCGATCCTCCGCTTCGGCATGAGGAAGGCTCTTGAAGTATGAGACACGAGATTCAGAGGTCGTGTCCGAGAAATTAAAGGTGTTGGTACCATACAGCACGGCTGTCGATTCTGTGTGGGCTTCTTTGCAAGCTCGCAAGAATGGGAGACAGGATTGGAAAGAGGGCTTTGTGGACATCAAGTGCTGGGATGCGTGGCAGCAGGACAGCGTATCCTGCAGCTTTTTTTTGCAGGACGATCGATGCGGAAACATGAGTTGGAAGATGTTGTATTTGACCTCTGGAGGCAGACTCTCGTAGGAAGCCATATTGAGGGAGTCGAGATGGTTCAAAGATCCTCAGTGAATGTTGAAGTGTGTGTAATGATGAACGTGATTGGAAGAGAGAATGTAAGAACAGGAGGAAACCAGGTTTGCTTTGTGAACCGTCGTCTTCTGGTACCGAGTGTACTTAAATGGCAAAATGTAAGTGTGTGACTTTCTCTTACAACGGAAGCAAACGGTGGTGGCACCAGGTGGCGCTCAGAAAACATGCTTTCAAAGCCAATTTCAGGCACACGCAGGAAAGTCATCAGCCCGCGTCAGCGCGGAGCTTTTGGGCTGCAGTCTCGAAAGGAACGACAATGGAAAAAGAAAGCCAAGCTCTTGGGTGAGAAGTTAAGAGGCGTGGTTCTTTCGAGAAACAAAACTGGTCTTCGATACGAGCAACTCGATCATCCACATGAATGGCTGAATTTGTATTTGAATTGCATTACAGCAGAACAGTGTTGAAGTCTAAATGTAAAAAAGCTGAGACTGCTCATGTCAAACCACTAAAGGAGTGGACAGCGAACCAAAATGGTCGATAAAGGCGACAAAAGTTTGGCTAGAAAGAAACCCGAGCATTACGGAGGCAACAGTCGTCAAATTGTAGATAGCTGTTTTCGAGTCACGAAAGTAAGAATGTTGCGGTCAGTCATTCACGCTCGTAACGGACGGTACTGAAGTCGTAGCCATAGTGGAATCCATATCCCCCAGCGCTCGATGTCGTCGGCTTAGGCGGGAGTTTGGTAGGGCTGGGGTCGCCAGGCACTGTATGTGTAGCTGACGTGCTAAGGACTGGGACGATCACTGTTACCGAGAACGATGGTGTAATCCTAGGATCGATTGAAGTTGGGTCTGCCGATGCTGATGTACCAGTCCTGCTAGACTTCGTGGTAAAGCCGGAAGAAGGATCGCCTGTGCTTGTGCCATTGGCAGAAAGTACCGAGCTACCGCTGCTTGCTGTGGGGTGAGAGAGAGTTCGGCTAGTAGCAGTCAGGTCTCCAGCAGTCGCAGAATACGATGTGCGGTTTGTTGCATAGTAGCCTGTGGAAAGGTGCTTGCCGGATGATCCAGTCGGATCGTAGATGCTCGACGCATTGTGATAAGCATAGGACTTCGTACCTGACGTGGGAGAGTATGATGGCTTCACAGATGGGCCAGTTGAGCCATAGACACTTGTTGCATTAGGGTAGGAATAGCGTCCTGTGCCTGAGGCTGAATAATAGGACGGCTTCCTAGAAGTACCAGTTGGGTCATAGATGCTTGTCACATTGGGATAAGGATACGACTTGGTTCCCAATGTTGGATAATACGTAGGTTTGCCCGACGAGCCAGTTGGGTCGTAGCTGCTCGTGGCATTGGGGTACGGGTAGGATTTCGTTCCCCAGGTTGGGTACTTTGATGGCCCTCCGGAAGAGCCAGTCGGATCGTACACACCCGTGACATTGGGGTACGGGTATGGTCTCGTGCCTGATATTGAGTAGTGTGGGGGCTTTGCAGAGGCGCTGGGGTCTACAATGCCCAAAGAGTGGCTTTTACTGGGTGTGAAGGTGGGATAGTGTCCTGTGCCTGAACTAGCCGAGGGATAGTAGTGACTGAGCACCGTTTGTGTTACATTTCCATACGGTGCGCTAGGTCCTTCTTCGGTACAAGAGGTGCTAGGCACACTCCCAAGAGTGGGATCAGTGAAGGTACTGTTGCTCGGTTTTTCAGAGACTTTAGAGGTGATTACACTGCTTCCCGAAGGGAAATTCGAGCCGGTAAAGAAAGAAGTCGACGGCGCAGCCGAAGCAGAAGACGGATCCAAGGAAGGGATCGAAGCCGTCAATAAAGCAGGATTGGTAGAACTTGGGTCGCCTACGGACTCCGTGTATTTTGGTGGGAAAGGATGAGGACCATAAGAAAAAGAGTACGGTGAGAATGATTTATGTCGATAATGTGATCTTGCACGTCCATAATCTCGCCCTAATGTTGGAGTCTTAGTCTTCTGCTAACAGCTAGAGAATCTGAACAGCATGGTCGAATATTCAGCTATGACGCGTAGCTGCAATTTCTTCTGCTAAAGAAAGAAAATGAACAGAACTTACTGATGGGCTCAGCGAGCGAAGTATAGGCCAGTAAGCCAACTAGCAAGGCGCTGTGGGTTAGCATGATGTCAAATCCTTGCTATCAGGTCAGAGAAGGAGAAACGAGCAGGCAAAACAAGTCTCGAACGAGCGAGCGAGTGGAACAGAATGGATCTCATGAGACGTTGGCATAGATCGATATATAGCCTTGCTCCTTGCTAATCCAGGCAAGGTGGATCAATCGATGCATGCGTAGGAGATTGCTTGTCTTCTCTTTAGCAATGACCTACAATGACCTGCAAGCACCCGTGGCCCCCTACTTCTGATATCCGATCATGATCCTGGCATTGATGTAGCATGGATGGTTTGGTCAAATCCATGAAGGTCCAAGAAGTGTATTCGACCATATGTGTACAAGGTACTCGGTGATTCTTCCAGAGGTGGAGTCTCGCAGCCGCCATGCAGCGCTAGGCCCACTCCGTCTGCAAGGCTTACCTACACGTATATTAGGTACGAATATTTCCGTTGCCTGGGATTTATGACCGAATTGTTCCTTGCAGCCTACAACAATCAACAATGTGACAAATGACAGTATTTCTCGGGGCTTCGCGTACCTGCATACGAGTCGAGAGCCGGTGTAGATCCTAAGGCTGGTTTACCTTACGCTTCATCGATCACCTAGAATTGCGCTGTCACTGCAGGTGAATCTTTGCACTAAGAAAGACCTGTGCTTTGAGAACAAACGTCGCCATGCAGAACACACTGCAGGTAAAACATGAAAACCAGAGATTGAATTTCCGACAGCATAATCTTGCACGTAATCATAAATGGCAGACAGCAAGCGATCACTGGAGAACAGCCGGCAGATGTGTGTCTAGGAAGGCTTGCTGGAAGCGGGCACTGATCTCAAGTATTTGTGTCGCCGCTTTCAGAGGCTCACGCTCCTCAAAGTTGGATGTAAATGCAAGTTTTCGTTCAGTCGAACGGTGCCCAAAGAGTGCCTGCCACAAGGGAAATTACGTTCTGCACAGCAAGTCACGCGATTTTGGGGCTTCTGGTTCTCGTCTGTTCCTGGAAACTACCCACCATAGTCCCTCCAGCTAGTGATCTTAAAGTCCAAGCTTCTCTTGTGTGGCATCCAGGAGCTGTCCCATCGAGTTATCGAGGCCTTCATTGGTTGACTCAATTTAGCCAGAAAGGATTCTTCTGAGCCTCTCCGGCCTTTGGAGTTCCGCAGATTGGTGGCTTTCCGTAGTGAGCAAAAGACGGGATGTTTTTGAGACCAAACAAGACGAGGCAAGTCAAATGGTCACAATCTCTTACCCTGAAAACGTAAGCTTAGACTGTGTCTATCGTGTTTTCGTCTGCGATATCCTTGGAAGCCTGAAACAAGAGGGGTCATAAAGGGTGCAAAGCTATATATGCTCGCACATGATGCTCAGTAGGGTGTGCAGGTGCTTGAAGGTGTGCTGGTAGAACTCCAGAGAACAAGTTATTAGCTCCCAGGATTTGAAATAATGTATCTCGTTGACTGACTGCCTCCATCACGTGCAACCCACCACTGTGGATGATCGAATGGATGAAGGCGGGCTTCGCTGAGATTCTCATGCATTCGACTCTATTTCGATCCACCTTTGAAATGAAGATCTCCACACATTGATGCTCGCTTTGGTATCTGCACAGCATCTGATAAGCCCGATGCTCAGAAGGGGTAGCTGAGTGTGTCGTCAGAAGCTCATTGGAGGTTTGATAATCGTACATTCCGGCTGTCGTCGCAGTCGCAAGCTAAGATATATACCATCCATACAATTGCATAGCAAATATAAGGCTTATCAGTACTCCTCGTCCTTCTTACTTGCTCAGCCAAGAAGCAATGGGAAACACGCCGAGCTCTTCTTTAGGCTCGTTCCAAGATTGTTCACCTGCCACGCAACTTCAGTACCAAATGTAGGGCCTGCCTTCTAGTTTGTGCTTCCTCCTCAGCATTTCGCCTTCTTCTTGTGCTTTCTCAAAGGCCGCAATGATTTTGGAGTTTATGGGTTCCTTGCGTACTAGCCTCTCCTCGAAGAAGTCTTGATTTCTAGCGTCGATTTTGTTCTCTCTAGGATGGTGTCCCCAGTAAGCTTTACCACCCTCGTAGGGCCAAAGATCAAATGCATTAGAGGCTCGATTCGAATATCGATTGATGTAAAGATCTTCAAAGATCACTACGTCTGCTTTGAGCTTCACTAGAATGTTAGTGAAATTTTGAGTGGCCACAGTGTCGCCTTTGCGAAACTTCTGGCGTCCACAAAATGCCACCTTGAGCAGCTCGAGTCCGGTGGCATACTTCCCAAGCACTTCGAGGCTCCTAGAAAGATCCTCGTTGTACTGAAAGCGACGATTTTCTAAGAGCAATTTGGGCTCGTCCGATGGTGTGGCGTCGTCAAATTTCAGAAATATGGTTCGAAGCAGACCGAGATTGGTAGGTCCTACAGGATATCAGTACTGTCATATATGCTCGTACCAACTCAAGATCTAAAATACAGGTGTCGTGCTCAACTAGGATACTTAAGTGGCATGCTCCCAACCCCCCTGCACCATATGTAGGCTCCTCGAGCGTTGAGCCATCAGCCATATCAAGAGAAATTCAGATGGGCAATGACAGGTTAACAACACACATACCTATCGTTTCCACGAAGTTTCGAACAATCCGATAGCCGACCCAAGTCCATTGAGTTACCCACAAACTTCCATGCTAAACTTGTGAGCGTATATTGTTGATACGTATTCCATTCGGACCTACTAAGGAGCCACAAGGCCTGAAAAAGAACTTATTCATACCATACAGTATAGGTGCAGCTTCTCGAGCAACAATGCGATTGACACTCAGCAAGGCCGACGAGTGAGGAAAATTAATACGCCGCCCAAATTCTATACAGTCTTTTGTTACCAAGACAAGTTTGTAGATGCTCAGCCGGATCTCTACAGGGAGATCCATGAAGCCAGTTTTGGAGCTGTCGTAATGCCAATCACTTGATCTAACTTCTGCTAGATGATGTTAGGTGGCAACATTGTAGTGTCTGCTCTGGAAATGCTCACGGCTTGCCCGGCTGCTGGATCCGCGGGATATGCTGCGTCCTGTTATTGCACTAGTCTTCGAAACAATTCCGTTGACATCGTCAACGTCAGTGTCGACCTTTTCGGACGGTGTTCCTAATAACACCGATTTCGGAGTGTCCTCCTCAGCAGTTTCGAGGCCGTTGTCACTTGACAGCTCGTTGTAATTGATCCGTTTGTGACTACGTCTGGATCTCATACTGCACGAACTAAGTCGAAGTCACGATGAGGATGTAGGACTGAGTGTTAACAGTGCTAACAATGTTGATAAAATGAGAACGATTCAAAGGCAAGCACGAGCGCGTTTGGTGGCGCGTTAGCCGACCTGTCTGTCACCTTGACCGTGCCTTCCTAGAATGGTAAAGCAGATGGTGGCGGTATGTCTGCGAATCAATTGTTGCATTCACAAGATCAAGTTGTGAAGGAGCAGGGGAGGATGGCCGGGACGCAAAAAAGTAGAAACAGCGATGGACTTTGGAACTGGCAATTGACGATATTCGATGATAGTGAACAAAGGACTTCGATGATCATCCCCCTGGTCCTTGTTCTCGTCACTGAGCCTAGACCTAACACCTTCAGATGTCTTGCGTGTAAGCACTGTCAGGCGCAAACAGGACAAACAACGTCTCCAATCAGAAAGTCTCCTTGCCCCTCAAAGGTGGTGAGTTGGATCCAGGACATGTCAGCACAGCCCACGTCAGACATGCAGAGACGTCGAAGTGAGAGCTATAGCAGCCGCAGAGATCGTCTACATCATCTTGGATTTAGTTGTTGAAGGAACAAAAGCAGGAGGGCAAGCGGCGGAATAGAACGAAGTAGCCGCCACCGGAAAAGGCTTAGCGTCAATTGGGACAGATGCACAGACCTACTCGTGGCAGCCCGAGGACCGGCGTCATATATGGCGACACCCTTGTGATGCGATGTAAGTGCATTGCGGCTCCTACACCACTACTCCACACACCGAAAATGCTCAATCAGGGCATTTCTAGAGCCTCGAGTACGCTTCTGCGGCGAACGAGGCCACCACAACCCTTGCAGCAAACATGCAGGTGCTTCAAGCAAGCACGCCCGTTGCGGGGCATGGCAACCGCAAGCACACCAGAGAGCCAGCAGAAAGTGGGAGATGAATATAGACTACCTTACGAGTCATACTGACGCTTCGTAGCTGCTCGGAGCGGATTTGGAGCAAGCAGATCCTACCGTTTACCAAATAATACAGAGGGTTCGTTGATGTTCATTTGGGATTGAGGCCCATCGAATTTCCGTCTCCTTGGACTGAAGAGAACTGATGACCTTGTGGTGTAGGAGAAACGGCGCCAGCAACATTTCATCAACCTCATACCTTCAGAAAATTTCACCTCAAAAGCGGTCCTTGATGCCCTGGGCAGTGTAATGCAAAGTCTGTGTCTTCGACGCCGTCTGCGGATAAAGGCTAAATTCAATCAGACAAATACTCGGAGGGATATCCTGGTGCACGTTACTATGGTGGAAATGAATTCATAGATCAATCCGAGCGATTGTGTCAGAAAAGGGCGCTAGAAACATTTGGATTGAAGGAAGAAGAGTGGGGCGTCAACGTGCAGCGTACGGTTATGATCCTAGCCATTGGGATGTCTTGCTCATTTGTTGCCAGCTCTGTCAGGATCTCCAGCCAATCTTTATGCTTATTCCGCCCTCCTCAACACCCATGACCGGATAATGGGGCTTGATCTACCGCACGGTGGCCATTTATCTCACGGCTACCAGATTCCTACAAAGAAGATCTCAATGATATCGAAATATTTCGAGACCCTGCCCTACCGTCTAGACGAATCCACCGGCATAATAGACTATCAGAAGCTGGAAGACTCGGCCATGCTATACCGCCCCAAAATAATAATAGCGGGCACCTCAGCATACAGCAAACTGATTGAGTATGCCCGAATGCGGGAGATAGCAGAAAAGGTGGGAGCTTACTTACTAAGCGATATGGCGCACATATCCGGCCTTGTCGCTGGTGGAGTCATCCCCTCACCCTTCCCACACTCTGACGTCGTCACCACCACAACGCACAAGTCGCTTCGAGGCCCAAGAGGTGCAATGATATTCTTCCGCAAAGGCGTCCGTCGAGTAGACAAAAAAGGTGTGGAAGAGAAGTACGACTTGGAAGGTCCCATTAACGCATCAGTCTTCCCAGGCCACCAGGGTGGCCCTCACAACCACACCATAACCGCCCTCTCCGTGGCACTGCAACAAGCGCAGACTCAAGAATTCAAAGACTACCAAACATCTGTCCTCCTGAACGCTAAAGCTCTCGCAGACCGCTTCTCCTCCATGGATTACACCATCGTAGGCGGGAGCACCGAGAACCACCTCGTGCTGATCGACCTCAAGAGCAAAGGCATCGACGGCGCGCGTGTTGAGCGCGTGCTCGAACTCGTGGGTGTGGCAAGCAACAAGAACACTGTTCCCGGGGACATGTCGGCCATGAAGCCCGGCGGACTGCGAATGGGCTCGCCAGCCATGACCACGCGGGGTCTACAACCTGAGGATTTCGCACGAGTAGCGGAGATCGTGGATCGCGCCGTCACCATCTCTATTGGTTTGGACAAGAGGGCAAAAGAGCATGCGGAAAGCACAGGGAGGAAGAATCCTGGAAGCGTGAAGGCGTTCCTGGAGTTCTTGGGTGAGGGGACAGAAGTGCAAGATATCGTGCAATTGAGAAGAGAGGTGGAGGAGTGGATTGGGACCTTTGCTCTGCCTTGGGATACGTAGGCATGGAAGCAAGGCGGTAGCGTGTGCGATCTTTGGGAATATTTCCAACAAAACAGAGCCCGACAAAGCTTCGGGAGAATGTTATCAGCCAGGGACAAGGTGACAGGGCGCGCCACAACTCTTATCGATTTCTTGGAGATTCCCAGAGATACGACACCCCCTCCATAGCTCCGCTCGCCTTCGAACAGCAAAGATAGGACTCTCCTTCCGCCTCATATGCAAGAGCCAGTCGATGATTTGATGGCATGAAGTGAATATACGACCATGATGGAATGAAGGTATGACTTGACGACGGTCATAGCTGGTGACAATCTTGAATCGTATCGACAAAAAGAATAGAAATCTAGCAGCAATGCAACTTTATTTGAGGAAACAATGGTATTCACATCATGCTTAATTTTGAAGTAATATACAATGCACGCAAGCCTTCAACTCCCTGCTTTCCAGAATTAGAAGACGTCGAGGAATGTCACTCCTTCTCTTCGCCTTGAAATTTTTAATCACAATAGAAGTGTCCTCATCACAACATATTCAACCCTATCCACAAGGAAGTGCCGAGAGCCGCTGCGAAAGCCAAAGTGCTCGAAGCCGCAGAGCATGGAGCCGCGTTTTTCCCCTTGATAATGTCACCTGCGCTAGGAACACCCTGATAGCTATAAGTGACAGCTTGTGGGATGGTGCTGTTAACGCATTGGCCGGCTGCGATGTTGAGGTTCGTAAGGTCGTCCTGCTGGTTGTTAGTTGATTTCTGAGGCGGGAGTCGATCAACTGAAAGGTAGCCACTCTAAGCCGCTCCCAATCGAAGAGAGCACTCTAAGGTGGCAAAATTTGGCATATCCACCTTTCGACGAACTAACGGTCGGTAGGTAGAAATAGGATAGAACTTACGGCGTGGTTGAAGAACATGTAGGTCTTATTATCCACACCCTTGAACTCGCTTGTATCGTAGGGGAACAGGTCGGAAGGGTCGGTATTTGAGGTGTTGCGTAGGCTACGAGAAGCAGTCAGCTGGGCTGTCAATTGAAGGGGTTGAGGAGAAACTTGCAATATGCATGCCACTGCGCCTGGGTATTCTTTCGCCATTTGCGGGTAATCCTTCATCACATCTGGATTGCTGGTGTCTGCAACGAGGACGAATTTTCGCTTGGGAAAAGTCTGGAAGATTTTCTCGAGGAGGAATTTTCGTATTGAGAGCGTAGCACTGACATCACTGAAGTTGAGCGGTCTAGTATCAAAGCTACCACCGGGGTAGACCTTGTAGATGAAGTCCATATAATTTCTTGTTATTTGCTCAGGAGTAGTCGTGAGGTAGTGAAAGTGGATTGCGGGTACCGAACTTGACCAATTGTAGTAAATATTAGGCATGTCTTCCCATTGGGTGAAGGGCCTGGCAAAGGAATTCAGAAGACCCTCTTTAGGCTGGAAGATTTTGGTTATACGGAGAATGTCGTCAATGTCGGATATTACTGTGATGCCATTTTCAGGCACAAGATACGCTGTGGCATTTCCATTGATATCGCCTTGTGCGTATACATCTAAGCGTTGTGGATCCTGTGTAGAGTTACCGGCTTCGAGACCATTGTTATCGATCTGGACGAACCCATCAAAGTCTCCCTCTCCAGTTGTAGGAATGGGAAATTTGACAGTCTGGTTGCCGCCTTTAGGCGTCACTGCGCCTCCACCTCCTTGTTCCCCTGGACCGGCTCCTGCTACGGTGGCAGGCTCAATGACAAATGTGACATTCTGATTACTTTGCTGCAGAACGAAGATCTCAGATGTCAGATTCCGCGCCTGCGCGGCTTGGTCGGGAGGGAGTTCTTCGACAGAAGTATCGACGAGAAAAACATTTGCAAGATCGTTGAGCTTGTCTGTCGATATATTCGGCTGCTTGTACACGTTCCCATGAAACCGCAGATTCCAGCCTTGCTCCGTCCAATTGCCATAGCCACTATTCAATTGGTAAGCTTCTTCAACAAGATTCGCCAAGGAACTTACGGTATGTTCAACACTTGAGTGGGAAGCGCTTTGACCTGGTCGTCATCTAGACCCAGACTGCTTTGGACCTTGTCGCCGGTGGGAAAGTCTTGGAAGAAATTCGGTACGCCACTGGCAACGTAGCTTGGGACAGCCGACCCTAGCTTCGACAACACTTGGCCACCATAGCTCGTGACGTCGTCAAGTAGACCTCTCCGTTGCCGTGTTCTGGTAGGACGCCAATTGGTGCTTGCTGGAGCAGGGGTGATCAGCGGATGCACAGGATCGACAGCTGCCGGCTGCAGGACGTTTTGGTCGAGGAATGCGCCGTGTACTAGAGGAAGAAGAGCGAGAAACGGCTGTAGGGTTTCTTTGCAACGCATGCTGAGATACAGATTTGAACGTGGGAGGAATTGATCTGTCTATACAACTGAATACATCTATTTACATCTTCAGAAAACAGGGAAGTCGCCTTCCCCAGAAAGCCAAAACGCCAGGACCGCGCTAAACGCCAGGGCGGGATTTGGCAGGCTGCCTCGGGCCATGATTAGCGTACAATTTGGCACAGCTTCTATTTGATGATGCGCACATCTCAGAACATAGCGCCGCCAGATTTGTGTAGCTCCTCGACACTCCTTGAAGCTCCCATACAGCGGAGGCAACAGAATGAGGGCTGCTTTTCACAGAGGAGATTAGATTGTAAACTGCCCTTGGATGGGAAGCATGACAATTGGGGCTGGCCCCAAAGGAGAGGTAGTAGAGTGTCGCGTGACCATGTTCCGCTTCTCTTTATTGTCGCTGAACTTGCCTGAAGGCTTTCTATATGGCTACGTAGCCAAGCTATTCCAAAGTTCCCTCCACAATTGTGGAAGCGTTTACGAATACCCAACGACAGCTGGATTTCACCCTACCCCTGGAAATGCAACGACAACGGCGATGCTCCCCCTTAACAACTAGACCTGGCACGTTCCGTCTAGCGTTTCCCACAGCGCTAGAAGCCAGGGTCACACAACGGCCGCTCCGGGCCTCAGACCACCTCTTTGAAAATGGGGTTCAAAAATGATGGAAAGGATGATGACAATGTCGTCGATCGCTCACCAAAGCCACACCAGAGAAATACGCGTCTCCCGATAGTTTCCCCCAAAGATTCGCTAAATGATTGTAATGCCACCTGTAGATATTATGTCCATGCAAGAATTCCTGCAATGATTCCTTTTGTGATTATGAAGGATTGTGCGTCAGCTTGCGCCGATATCGTTTCTGAGGTCTTGGGACCAGTCTTGACGTGTACAATGAAAAAATGAATGTGAATGTCGCTCGTGGTCTTGGATGCCGGGATGACCAAAAACCTTGCTTTGATGTAAAAATTGATGCCGCCCAAAGGGTATAATACAGTCGGAAAATTGTACGCCAGGCTATTATGTAAGAGTAAGTTGGAAAGATGTTGTGTCATATTGACAGGTTCGGTGATGTCTATGTCGCGTATGTAAATGTTCATGGCTGAGGCGTCAATTTCTCAGCCAAAGGAAGATGACGTTGTTGGATTCGAAGGGAGATCATCATCATCACCCTCGAAAACAACCTCACGCAAGGAGTGCAGGATGCTGCAATCCTGCGCCAGAGTTGGGGATATTGGTTTCAAACGATTCAGAAAATTGGTCGTCCGCCAGAATAAATGCTCCATATGCTTCTTCGGAGTGCTGTTCATCCGTGAATTCTGTATGAAGCGTTTAAGATATTTCGACTTGTAGACTGCGGATAAAACCAGCATGTTGCCGAATTGCCTGTAGATGATAAGTCAGAATACTTGCGAAATGCTAGCAAGGTGCACGCAAGACTTACGCATGCGCTGTCCCAAAGATATTGGTTACGATCAAGCGCTTGAGATCCATGGCTCCATCAAACGCTATAGTGCTTGAAACCGCCGCTTCAATAGCGGTCTTAGCAGAGAATATGACATCGTCAAGGAAGCCGTTGGATGGGCTCTTGGGAGGTCCCATGTTGCCACTGCTCTGCTCGCCGTCGCGAGCCGCCATGTAAGCGTCGAGCTCTCCTTTGGCTTCAAGCTCAAGTGCGTAGTGAATCATCGGCCTATTGATGATGTAAAGCGCTCCGTAGTACTTCCCTCGAAGTCGAGCAGCGTTGATTGTTCTTGGCAGTATGTCGTCATCCACCCATTTGATATCAGAGGGAAGCATTGACTGCCACTTCTCTAACCACTCGTTGAAGACCATACGGATGTTGCCATTTCGGGCAGATTCTGTCAGTCCTTGACCTGCTGCATGTGAGCTTGCGTTCCTTGATATACATTGTGAGGGTAATACCTGGCGGGTAGACTTCTAGTTGGATCCAATCAAGGAGCTTTCGCAGGTGTAGCTGGTAGCTGTAGAACTGCATGACGAGACTCTTGCTTTGATCATCGGATGATATTTCTACATCATCTGGGTAGTATCCGTCGGGATATGGAACGCTGTCGAGTTTCCTGATACCGCTTGGTGGAAGATCTATCTCCGCAAGTATGTCACTGATCATCGATTAGCTTCATCGTGCCCAGCATTGACTAAGACCTGACAATACCTTTCCAATTGCGAGGCGGTGTAAAAAGCCAGGCGAACAGAATTCTGCCTTGCTGTAGAGAGTTTTGGTAGTGAAGGGCTGAAGCACGACATTAATCCCAAGAGAATCTGAATAGGACACCTCAGGATAAGCTTACTCTCGAGCTAATATGGAGCAACCTCTTGCTGCACACTGTATCCATGCAAGACTCTCAACAGAGTTTGCCAACTGGCCAGCGTAAAGTCCAGCCAGTATGCAACACTGAACGTATGCTATGTCATGAGAGCCGGTCATATTGCCCAATATATCAGTAGCTTGCGCATAATATGCCAACCCAGGAATGATGTCGAGGTTCTTCTGACGCGGGGGCAGATCGCTAACAGAAGAGCGAGGGCTTAGGTGATTGCGAGCAAGACCAGCTGGTGAGGCAGCCGGGTTGACTGATGGTGAAAGTCTGATGGCTTGTGGGGGCGGCGAATCTGTCCCAGTACTACCAGCATATGATATGCCTGTAGGGTTGGTCTGCTCCTTTCGACTGACTGCAATAGGGCCTTGTAGCCAGTCACGCGAGTCGCAAATCTTACCTAAAGCCAAGACCAGCAATACGAGGGCGGTCGTTGGCGAGCGCTCCAGCATAGGCTTTGGGTTTAAAGGAGCTTGCCCTGTGCCGCCCTCTCCCCAGAATTGCTGATCGGAATGCTTTCGTTTAATCGGCTTATTAAAGCCCGTAGAGTCTCTCAAAGCATCCACATTAGCATTTGGAGCTGGTACTGCAAACGCAGCCTTTGACGAGCCACTCTCAGCAGGACCACTGTACCGGCGCTTGAATTGTTCCATGATCTTGGTAAGAACATTCTCGTCGAGAATTGGATGCATGACTTGCATATTTTGCAAATAACTTTGATGAAGATTATTGACTGTCCTCGAGTCGAGCTTAGGAGTATTGTCGGCACAGAGCCCACCCATCACGCTTTCCCGTGTGGAGTCACCAACAAATGGGTTGAATCCATGGCCCCATATAAGGTCAATGGAAGAAGCTGGGCTCGATGCGTCGGAAGCTTCGTCAGATAACACGCTGTTTGCACTAGTAGCTGGACTTGCAACAGCAGCGCTGGGGCCCACGCTGCTTGGGCTTGATCGATTCGTCTCGTTATCGGGACCCTGACCTCTTCCGTACAGATGCAGCGGACCCTTGTTCAATTCTGTCTTGAAAACGTAGTCTTCGAAAGCTTCCGAGAAATCAAATCCTTTGCATCTTTGAAGCAAAGCATATATCGAGGGCCAGCGAAACAATTTTTGTGCAGCGGTATTGTGTTCAATGTGAATGGCGTTCTGCCTTTCGACAGAAGGTAGGTTCTCTTTGCCGCTCGACTCAGATGTGCTGGTGTGGAAAGAACTATGAGGACTCGCGTCATCCACTTTGTGATCTTTAGGAGTGATGAAGGGCTTCTGTGATTGTTGGACGTCCGCTTTCGAATCTGTTTGCTCTCTAAGCTTTACTGCCTTAGCGTTTGGAAATTGCGCAAATAGAATTTGTTCAATACGCTCAAGCTTGCTTCCAAAATCCTCTTTGACGTCTTTGAAATCATCCTTGACGTCTTTCAGGTCCTTCTGCTGGGCTTCAAGTTGGTCAAGGATTTGTTGATTCGCACGATCCATCCTGCTCTCAGTCAGTCAATACTCGCGATTGAAAAGTCAGGCATCTTACTTTTGAGGGGCAACACTCTGATAATTGCATGGCAAATCCTGCTCCACGCAAAACCCACATCTCGGTCTACCTTCATCACATTTTGCTTTCCTCGTCCGACAAATATCGCAAGCCTTAGGAAGTCAGATTTCATTGCGGATTAAACACTGGAGTTTCTGGTACCTGTGTGGCGCGGTTCCCTTTCTTTGGGCGAAGACCCTGCTGCCCCATGGGAGGGCCATAAGGTATCCCACCGTACGGGGGCGGTCCCCCAGTCACCGGTGACGCTTGGTATCCATCATGGTAAGCGGGCGCCAGCGACGGTCCGCCCTGATCATGAGGATGGATCGGAAGCCCATGTGGCTGTGAATTGCCGTTCATTTGGGCTTCTGGAGGTGGATAGCCAGGCATTTGGGGGACTTGCTCCTGTGGATACGGAGGGGGTAGGACTGACCCTCTCCGACTGGACCGATTGTCACCGGTCGCGAGTGAGGAGGGTATTGGTGCAAGTCACCAGATGGTGACCTGGGTGTGCCAGAGGCGCTGCCTCTTCGCTGGAAATCCATTTCAGGTGGGAATCGAGCGTCTCTTGGTGTTGTGTGGCCTGAATGCGGATGTTGCTGGACATAGCTGTGAGGATCTGGGAGGTTTCTTGCGTCGAGATTCACATCATGATAGGGTGAGGGCGGTGGATGCTGCTGCTGCGGATTGGGAGGGAAGGGTGAGGGGCCAGACAGAGGCATGGGAGGATTCGACATCGGAGCCTGTGGTTGAGACGGCATTCGCTGTGGCGCATCGTAATAGTGGCGAGGCCTCTTCACTTCTGGCCCTGTTCCGTCCATCTAATCCGACATATTTTCAAGGCTGCGAGCCATTACTACGCCTGCTATCCATTCACACCACGCCTCACTTTTCCCCTCAGTTGACCAGCTACTCAATGTATCGTGCTTCGTCTCCAAGGTTCATCAAAGTATACGATGAGAAGTGTCGTGTCGTCCGCCTAGCAAAATGGTCTCCGTAAAATTTCCACGAGGCCCTCTGACGGGAGTATCCTGTATGCCGCGAGGGAGTTGACAGGTGGGGAGCTTACGGCGCGAACGGCGGGCGGCTCTCACGGTTTGAGGAGGATGAAGCTCAAGACTGGCTGCCGAATGGGTCGTCAAGGCAGTAGAAAGTCCCTGCGGCTTAGTCCAGCAATGGTGAGGTGAAGTAGGAAGCGTCGATTTGCGGTCTCGTGGTGCGGAGCAAGCTGGGTTAAAGTGTATCTGCAGATCTGCCGAGCTTTGGTTCGCACTGAATATCGGTGGGATGAGGGGGCAATCGGAGTGCAGAAGGTGGAGAGCGATATAGACCAACGCAAAGTGATTGACGCAGGAGGCGAAGATCAAGCAAATGGCAGGTCAACGGTGGTAGGTCTGGGCGGGAGTTTAGAGCTAGCGGAGGAAGCTTGCGGTAGTCATGGACTCATGTTGGTGCACTACTTTTGGTGGGGGAGAGACACCAAAAGATGATTTACCCTGCTAATCTGGTACCGGCAATTTGGATGGCAGGGATTCCGGAGCAGCCGGGACGATTGGTTCTCAGTAGCTCAGTCTCCAAGATTCTGCATCGCTTTTACTAAACAAGCACAGAATCTCTCTATGCCAGATGGATCCAAGGGCGAACGCAAGGGCCAGATTTGGGGTCTCATTGGCCCCAGTGCCACGCGAGAATAATAATGAGGTCTGAATGGGACGGTGACTTTGACTACCTTATTCCGAAACACTACGATGCCGTGGTGGAAGCTTTTCCCATGAGCTCTTACGAATATCGGCTTTGGATTATCACAATAATCATGGATTTATTCTCCTGCTAGGCTCGACCCTGATTTTCGCTGCCTGGCTGCGGCTTTGACCCCTTCTATTGCTTTAGCAGGATCCCCGCTGATTGGACTGATACATGCCAGGGCGCTGCGTGATTTTGGCGCCTGATTCTATGCAGAGAGCGGTGAGAGACCACAGCGTGATACTCTTCTTTTAGCCGCACCCCTTGACAGCTGGGGCAAGGACTCCAGACTATCGTTCCACGGAATACAGAGCCAGTAAGGGTAAGTACCACCCTCCTGGAAACGGCTGAAGGGCGCCACTCCCTCGTGGCAAGACCCTGATTTTCGAGCTAAATTCTGTTGTATCCATGGGACGGGAGGAGAAAGTAAACCCAACCCAAGAAAAAGACTGGCTCGACCTTGCCAAACATCGAATTACGTACGCCCCATGAAAGCCGGTACCTGGCCGTCGTCATCTTGCCGACTGTCTTCTTCGTATTCTATCATTTTGACTCTTGAAAACACCCATCTCAGTCACGGTGGAGGCCGGTCATTGTTCTGATTCGAAGGCTCACTCAGCCAGCCATCCGCCGCCAAAAGCCTCGGTGCGATTGTCGAAGCATGAATAGCGCCGACTCTGAAGGAGATTAAAGCCTTGCTCTAATCTGTCTAACCGAGCTTGCGGTTGATCATTTCGGGTTGGCACGAGGCCTGACGTACTTTGGCTCAAGCTCTAGAATGTTAGCCCCTTGTTCAATTTGGGCCTGTAACACAATACTTGGATCCAAGGCTCGAAACACGACCCCCAAAGAGCATCATTTCGCAGTGATCTTGCGAAAGTGGGGTGAGGTCAAGTGGTCAAAATCCGTGGGGGCTTCCAAAGGCTCATGAGGAAACAAAATTGCTCATTCGCCTATCGCCACTTAAGGAACTGGAGCACCTGTGCGGGGCGTAAGCACAGCACCTATTTCTCCGCTCGCAGTTGACAGTTGGCTATAAGCAGCCTATTTCAGACGTTGGCTGATACATCCTTCAAGCTGTTCAAGCGACCGGCAGAAGCATACGGTAGTCGAGGCTCCAAACGTCCTCATTAAGGGGCTCTAACGGTCCTACGGCGAGCTGTCGGAATCCATGCCGCGCAGACCTTCATACAGCGCCGATCATTCCAGACCACCTCTGTCACTATCGAAGTACTAACGAATTACTTGGCTCACATGATCAGCGTTGGTAACAGCAGGGAGATTATCACTATTACACCGACTCCTTTCTCCAATGATAGTGACGCATCGAGACGATACGTGTGCCAGAGCTCGGCGCCGACTTTGTCTGGTCTTATGCGGTAAACCAAAGTTTGACAGTCGTCTGATTATTGACGCATAGAGCCGCTGGCGCACAATCATGATTTGCATCGCGCATATGCAGCTCACGTAAGTCCACGCATTCGTTGACCGAGGCCGCCGCGAGCCAGCCTGTCAAAGTGTAGACTGACCAACATCCGAAACCGGAACGAGGACCTTTCCATTCCCTGTTGAAGTTCATGGTTAGAGTCTGCTGGGCCGCGCGTGACCACTGTCTCCTCGATCAGCAAGTCTTGAGAAGTCGATGATGGATTTTCCCGCCTCTCCACTGTCTCTAGCCAGATTAACCTCATTGGATCTCTCAAGTCAGATGATTCTGGACTCCGTTGGGCATCAATCCGAGAATCTTACGCCATCAGCATGATCTATCAGATCTAATCTCCCAGATCACAGCCTGTTCTTACTATGCTAATCTGAGAACCCTTGTAGTGAATGCGACTGTCCGCTGTGAGGTCTAGAGCGCTGACCAAAACGCCTCCCCAGCTATTGAAGAAGGTGCCGAATACTATGGGCTGACTGCCGAGTGGCTACATCTGATCATCGAAAATCTAGAAGCTGTGTGATCCCTGCAGCTTTGACCGACTATCGAAATGTGACAACCTCACCTATACTTTGCATGCACGTTCAAGTTGGCTGACTCGCAAATTGCAAGTCGAGACAAGGAATTATCCGTTTTCCAAGCGTTATGAAGCAATCCATACCCAAAGCCTTCGAAAGTATCAAGGGAGGCAGCCAAGCTTTACACGTGCCAGATGACAGACGCATCGGCAGCTCAGTGGTTTCGTGCCAATCGAACATTGCCCAGAGCATTCTATTCTCTATCGAGACACAGTGCTCTTTCTATAGTATTACAATTCCCTATGCTGGTCCCCGGCCTTCTCTGGCGGAGGTCTTCCCAGCTCATCATCCAAATTGACGCCAATCTTTTTTCGCCATTTCTCGAATGTCCCCCAAAATTCTTTCTCCATAGACTTTTCAATACGATCTGGAAGCACGACCGTATACTCTACGATCAGGTTTCCATACTCCTCTTCCCCAGCCTTCTCTCTCTCCTGCTCACTCGTCGGAATTGGCATTCCTTCCCCATCAACGATCTCCACCTGCCCTGGCTGCACCACCTCCCCCCTCTGTCTCCCAAGCCTCACAATATGCCCATCCAAATGCACCAAATTCCTCTTCCAATCACCCATCCACGCCTCCCTCAAACTGAGCACCTCCTTCCAGAACAAATCCCTCCCCTTCCTCCTAAAGAACGCCCCATCACTCCTCTCCCTATCCTCTTTCATCCCCGGCTCCTCCTCCATGACATGCACCACCAAATCGCCCGCCTCCCAATCCGGGCTCTCATCCGCCTCATTCTCATAAATCACATGACTCCCCTTCTTCACCCCCTTCTCCACATGCAAAACATGACTACTCACTTTCTTCACAACCCGACTGCCTCCACACACTTTACAAGGCTTCCTGATAACCTGCCCCTTACCCCCACACTTATCACACTGCATCTGCACCTGCTGAAAGATGCCCGGCGCCAACATATGCTTCTGCACCACCACCCCCCTCCCCCCACACTGCCCACACGTATCCTTCGTCCCATCCGCGCTCCCACTCCCCTCACACTCCTCGCAAACCTGCTGCTTCTCAAGACTAAACTCGTGTTCCTGCCCCGTATAGAAATCCTTCAGCGGGATCTGTATCCGCACCTCCATATCCGGCCCGCGCCGTACACCCGGGGAATGGCCAAAATGTCCGCTGCCGCCGAAGAAGCGCGAGAAGAGATCGAAGGGATCATTGCCCGGGCTGCCGCGACCGGATTTGTGCTGCGCGAGCCCCTCGTGTCCGTACTGGTCGTAGATTTTGCGGAGTTCCGGGTCGGTGAGGGTTTCGTAGGCTTCGGCGATTTCGACGAAGCGTTGGGAGGCGGTTTCATTACCACTGTAGCACGTGTGTGTGTTAGCTTGTGCTCACACATTTCTCAAGGATAGTTCCGGGGGGAGACGCCGTACGGGTTCTTATCAGGATGATATTTCTTGCTGAGGGTGCGGTAGGCTTTCTTGATCTCGCGGTCTGAGGCGCCCTTGTCGAGACTGAGGAGTTTGTAAAAGTCTTCGGCGCAGAGGACGAGGGGGGGAGGAGGAGGAGGGCGAGGAAGAAGGATTGGAGGAAACCCATTCTGGGAGGTTGGAGATATGGTGAAGCCGCAAGGGCTTACCGGGTAGTAGAGAGGTTTTATGGGCGTTGTGGAGGTGTGGGTCTGCGTGTCATTTGTGCAAGGTGTCAATTCATGTGTGGGCTCCGCGAGCGATTGCAGCGCTGTCGTTGTGTTGTTGCGGAATTATTTTATCATGTACGTGTCGATAAGCCTCAAGATTTGCCGCTAAGATGCGGCTCTGCTTTCAGGGGTTTCACCTGGGAATGTCGTTCGAAGCAAATGGCGATATCTGTTGGAATATAAAGAGACAAATTAAACTATGATGCTCGATGGGAGGCTTCAAGTGTCATGAAGTGATGAACGGGCTTCATTGGAAAACATTGATTTCCGTTCATTTTGACATACTCAAAGCTTAGCTCTGGCCTCAATCGCCTTATGTTTCCCTCCCATGCCTTCAAAATACTCCTTAATTTTCGACCTGGCTACCCCAATCACTGCTGCATCTTCTACTGTTGCGGGTACTTGGACCTCTTTTTCAAAATCGCCATGAACAGCGTTCTCCACCAACTCTCGGAGCACTCTCCGCAACGTCTTCCCAGATCTCGTCCTCGGAATCATGCCTTTCCCTTGAATCATGCCTCCTAACGCCGCGATGGCCCCGATTTGATCTCTGATCAATGCCTGAACTTCTTTGTACAGTTTTTCATCCGGTATTGCAGAATTGGGATGATTAGTCGTTGAAAGTGTGACAAACGCAAATGGAAGATGGCCCTTTAAGTCGTCAGGAATGCTCACGCAGCACGCTTCAGTCACTGAGGCATGGGACGTGATGGCCTGTTCGATGGCTCCAGTGCTGAAGCGGTGCGCAGCGACATTGATAATATCGTCAGTGCGGGCCATTATCGACAGAAATCCATCCTCATCTATCACGCCGGCATCGCCTGTGTCTATCCATTTGCCTTCGAAACGCTTCATGTAGCCTTTGTAGAAGCGTTCCTCATCATTGAACAGCGTCGTGAAGCCTGTAGGGGCTAATGGGATGCCCAGAACAATGTTGCCCATAGTGCCATTGCTGACTTCTTTCCCATCGTCGTTAACGATTCTGACGTCAAAACCTGGCATTGCTTTTCCGGCGGCGCCAGGCTTGGTTGGCAAAGCCTTGGAAGTGCCTCGACTATGGAAGTCTTTGCCAGCTTGAGCCTCAAGTTCCAAGCCTGTGATGGGAGAACCCGACTCGGATGACCACCAATTGTCGATCACTTGTGCATTTGGGGCGCAAAATGTTTCCAAGAGGCTCTGGTACATCCGGACAAGGCTTGGTTCGCTGCGTTCGCCAGCCAGAAAGAGAGCTCTCAGCTGCTTGAGGCCTCCTCGTCGACCAGCATCCTCCAAAAATTTGTTCTTTGGGTCGTCCCTCTTGATTGCACGCAGCGCTGTTGGCGCTGTGAATAAGGTGTTGACTTTATGCTCTGCAACGATTCGCCAAAAGGCTGAGGCATCTGGGGTACCAATTGGCTTCCCTTCGAAAAGCACTGTTGTGGCGCCGGCGAGTAAAGGCGAGTACAGAATATATGAATGTCCGACTAAGAGCATTTCTGAGTCAGCTGAACCATTTGAGAAGAGATCTTCGGAAGTACACTTACCTACCCAACCGATGTCAGATGCACAAAACATCACGTCGCTAGAACGAATGCCAAAGAGAAGGCGAATGGAAAGATTGAGTCCAACCGCATGACCGCCAGCTTCTCGAAGAACACCCTTCGGTTGACCCGTTGTTCCGCTAGTGTAGATGATGTACAGGCCATCATTGCTCCTCACAGGCACTGCTTCTGCCTTGATATCTCTCCTTTTGGCGCTCTGGACCAACTTCTGCCAGTCTCTTTCGCCCGCTTCCTCATTGAGCGGGGCCCATGGCATTTGGGAGCGTTGCCATATCATGACACACTTGGGCTTGTAGTCACTCCTTTTCAGTGCACCTTCAACCAATGTTTTATAACTCAATGGCCCTTTTGAGCCTTCTATGCCGCACGATGCTGTCATGATGGCTTTTGGCTTTGAACCATCAATGCGTTGTGCTAATGAAGCTGATGCGAATCCCCCAAAGACGACAGTATGAATTGCTCCGAGTCGAGAGACAGCCAGCATTGCATAGAGCGCGGCAGGAATCATGGGCACTGTGGATCTCAATTGGATGCTTGCTTGCTACTCCGCAATTAAAACATACTGTATATAAGGACGACATCCCCTTTCTTGACGTCTGATTCACGCAAGACCCCTGCCAGGACTTCAATTTCTTCGAGGAGTTGGCCATATGTAATCTTCTCAGTAGCGCCCGTGACAGGTGAGTCCCATATGATGGCTATGGCATCTGCGTTGCCAGCATTGACATGCCTGTCAACACAATTGAACGAGGTTGATATTTCGCCGTTGGGAAACCATGAGTAGCTCTGGTACGATGTGCCATCACTAAGCGTCCTTTTGTAGAGCTTCAGAGCTCGAGAAGGTTTTTTATGCCAGTGTAATTGGTCTGCTTGATGCGACCAGAAAGATTCGGGGTCGCGTAAGGAGTGAGCGTGAACTTCATCCTGAACATGACGATTCATCCTGGCAGTCAGCCGTTAGGAGGCCGCAATCCCGATACTGTATCTGTATCCAGGACTTGACCTCTCGTTCTATTGAGGTTGGCAACGATCATTTCGCACTGCAGTGACGAATGTGCCAGTGCGAAGACAGTTTGCGGCGAAATGGAGCTCCGCAGATGATCGGCAAAGACCCCTCACTTAATTCTAGCAGATAAAACTATTGTCCAGCTGTCAGAGCAACGAAACGAAAGAATCCCGACAACACATCCCAAGCTTCATTCGTTCAAGCGGAGTCAAGACAGCGATGGGAAGTCACATCTCAAATTGGAACATCATGCAAAAGTAGGGCGGCCTCACGCCTGCAAGCAGTACGTTCCAATCTGTTATCAATCTCGTGCTCCTGCCGAGATGATTATGGATTTCAGGTTGCACAGAGTCAAATAACAAACATATTATGTATATTCATTAATAAAAGAAAATTATATCATATGTTGTGTGTTCCTTGATGCCAAGCAAGAGAATGTTTACAGTATACAAGTCTTATGACACTGGTTATATGTTGATCTCACTAAGTATAAATATATTAGAATACTGTCAATCTACTCTAGATGATGACAAGGATCTACACATAAGCAGTATCTCTTGGCTATCAAAGGTTTTTGCACCGTAGACGAGGCGTGGACAAGGTATACACAGCAATGCCGGTAGAGGTTCCTCAAATGTGAGGCGACAAATAGCGCCTGACACCTCAAGTACGGCTTGCACGTTGGATCAGGGGTTGTTCAAAGGCAGCTACCTGATAATTCAGTGTCCAAGAGAGGATCGGGGAATAGAATCATTTGATTTCTTTTTCAACAGCAACAGGTCTAGAGAGAAACTCGAGAGGAAAGTTCAAATTTCGAGATTATGTTGAACACATAGAAGTCACACGCACAACGGAACAATCGTCCTGGGAATTTCGATCAAACGCAATAAACCACCTTCACCCACCCCTCCTTCCCCGTCTTACCCTGTCTTAAATGTCTTTACACACTTCACCCAAGGCAAGGCCGTCCCCCCAGGACCACGATGCTGACACCCATTCGTAAAAGACGCCGAGCCAATAATGCTACTACACAGATCCGCACTGCCACTCAATGGCTGAAAAAGTTGGATTGTGTAAAGAGAGGCCAGGGTTGTCACTTTGAAGGCGTTGAAGCCGCTGGGGAAATGCGAAGCTTCGCCATCTGGGATGGTGACAATTTGTCCGGCGCCGTTGCAGGCGCCATCGGTGAAGGTCTCGATTTGGGTTAATGCGAGGGTGAGGGGGAGGAGGGTGGCGAGATATATGAAGATCTTCATAGTTGGTAGCTGTAATTGAGTGATGAAGAAAGCTGAGCAGATGCGATGATTTGCTGGTGGTTGGTAGTGGAGGCAGGTTGGGTCCTGCATATGGCTACTTATTATAACGTGCCCATGTCATGCTCAACTCTTTGAGCGCTCGAAATAGTAAAGTTGCTCATAAAGAGATAAAGCTGAGTCGGTGTGGCTGTTACTCCGCTGAATTGGCCTTTGTCCCTCACTTTGGTCCCGTTTATTTTGAGCATAAAGAACGGATGCCTGTCAGAAGTTCTGAATGTGATCAAGTTGGTCTGGCCATGATATCTGTTCCATGCCATGATTTTATTTCGAGGCCGTAGAGAAGCAGGAAGCTTCAGTCCTCTTCCCGGCGTGGGCACCTGGCAAGCAAATATACTGACGAGGTTCTGGTTCACGACTTCCCGTCCGCAATCAACCCCTTCCCCATTTTCTTCACAAGAATAAGCCTTGCGCCAGGAACCTCCTGCCTTGCATTCAAGCTCCGAGTGTATCTAGTCACACACTTGAACCTGTAAGTGGTATGCAGACAGTGGGATATCGTCGCCGAATTCGCGGTTTCAATAAGTCTCCGTCCGCAGATCGACCCGAAGTCCAGGAGAATTCAAGACTAAATCAAGGAAACGGATTGTGCGCGTCACTGGGCACGTTGAGTATAAAGAAATCGGGCTATAGGACAGTGAAGAGATGTCAAACGAAGCGGATCGTCTCAGCGAAATGGACTTTTCATCCCAGCGCCCGCCATGCTGAAAAGCAAACACAAGGGACAAGAGAGGGAAAAGGAACGCATTTTGCTGGCTTAAAGGTCGCGGAGAAGCTTGCAAAAACCTTATTCCAAGATACAATAGCATTAAACATAGATCACTTGCCTCTCACTCTACTTGCCCATGCTCCCTCCGCACACGCTCACTCCCATCAGCCTCCTATTGCTACGCCGTAATCACGGTAGTCTTAGCAAGGGTCTACTGGGGCAGGTCGTTAGCTGGACACCACAAGGACATTCTGAGAGAGCGACGACTGCGATTTGTTGGCACCGGCCTGCGGCCTGTTCGTGGTAGATGTCGAAGGCGAAGAATGTGCCATGGATGGCTTCTATCTGACCCTCATGGGTCTGGCATCTATGGAGATCCAGCGGATACGCTGGCTGTGGAAAGTGTGGGAGCGCGTCCAAGAACTCTCAAATTCGAAGGTATTATGGCGGCGAATTGAGATCAATCGCGGTGTACTGCCATCAGAATGTATATAATATCGCCATTTTTACTGCCAAGGCCCTACAGAATCTCGATCTCACCATAGGTACTAGTCGCTATGGGCTACGATTGATATAGTAGTTAGTAGTGATGCTTCTCGTCACTCCAATGTTAGACTCTTACGTATTTGCTAGAGAAGCTCAGTGCCGCTGCTTCCATTCTTATGACCGGACAGCATGGTTAGAGCATCTGATGGCCTGATCTTCGAATGATGAGAGTGAGACGAACGTGTGGATGTCTTGCGCCTGCTAACAACGAATGTGAGGCCATGACAATGGTCAGTGCACTGATTCGTAGAATTGCAGCAGATCCTTATCTATCAACTCGAGATTTTCGAGCGATCAACAGAAAAAGCAGAACATGCGGTTGGTGGACTCGAGGCGAGCAAGTTTTAGCAAAGAGGTATGCAACTCATGCGTGAATTGCAACGTCTGGCACAGTCACTCTAAGCAACATGACTACTGAGAATGAAATCACACCATTCGTCCCAAATCGCTCGTCCCAGTCGGCTTGCTAATCTAGACGAGGATATTCGCGGCTTAGCCATGCTTCCGTGCTCGCAATCTTGCTCGTGGGAGTAAAATTCTCTCTCATTTGAGGAATGAGACCTACAGGGCGAACGGGTATTCTGCCCATCGGACTTCATCGCTTGACAGGGCTGGCGGTGAAGGCCTAAGAAGCAGGGCCTGCTGGAGAAGTCCTAGAAGGAAGCTCGGCTCGGTCACCCTACAAATTGGGAAATCGCGAAGGATTCGTGTGATCAGCAAGCGGCATGGCTTGGTGCTTTCACTCACAGTGCACGACGTCGCCAGATCCCGTCCCCGTGGATGGCTTTGCCTTCCGAACCGTCCCACCGCGGCTGGTATGAATGCTCTGCTAGCTAATAAGGGTAGCTTCTACATCGAGACCAAAACGTCAACAAAAATGAAGCTTTATGAAGCGAGCTACCCACGCATCTTGGTGCCCCCACGAGCGGACTAATCTATGAAATTGTGACGTGGACGTATGATCCAAGTTTTAACGAGGATCAGCAGAAGTCTTTGCAGATAGTTCTACGACGAGCGTTGTCTGTTGTCAGAAAAACTCGTGCCCCGATGTCTTCTCGATCGATGCAGGCAGATGGGAGCGTGATCAGAGGCTTTCGTGGCAATCTTGGCTTACGGAAGATTGCCAGCCACACACAGGAAGGGACTATGGCACAGCATTGACCGCACCTTTCACGCATGCGGAGGTTCATTCTTCGTCAATTTGCTGTGTCCTGTTAAGCCTTCGAATAACAGAAATGCCGCGTTGTGATTTTCCTCGAGCAGGACCATGATACTCGAGCCTTTTTACGCTTTCTGCCATCCCCAGAGCCTTGTCGCAAATTCTCCGCCACTGGTGGCAGCACCAGTGGGCAGGGCATAGGCGTCGCCTTTAGACGCAAAAGCGCTGCAGGAACCCAAATCGCTGGGACAGTGGTCTGTGTCCTCGGACGGATGAGCTTCTTTTCATACGGCGACGCTCATTGGGTCTCAAATGCGACTATATCCAACGTCTCAAGGGATGAAAGCCGACGGCTTTTAGCCTGTGCATTAGTTGTGGAACTTGTGGTAGGCTTGGAGTAGTAGGCTGGGGAGCTGGGAGCTCTGATGGCGAGCTAGGGACCCTAGATGTGCCTAGGGTAGAGTTTGCTTGTGCATCCGATATTCGAACTTGTGTCTCTGGGAGAGATAGCCCCGCCCTCAACCTCAACTTTGAATTCTGTCAAGGGCCATGGCTTCCCACTGCCACCTCCCTCCTCATTCTCCTCGCGTTGTTGTCACCTACGTGCCAGAACCAACACGGGCAACATACCCTCAGCCTGCCTCTCGTTGCCTCTATTGCCCCCATCCGCCGCACCCTCTGACTTCCAATCTTACCGATTGCTTGCCAATCCAACTCCCAGCCCTCCCTGGCCACCCTCCCAACTTGCCCAAGACACCACTCCTGCGTACGGACATCCTCGAAACCCAAGCATTCTACGAGCACGAGGCCGGATGACAATCCGGTAAACACTCTACGCACCGGCCCTACCCTATACTTATTAAAAGCATCCAATCCGGCCTTCTACCGCTCCTCTCGAACACTGTCTCTGTTTCGCCCTGTTTCCATTCAGGTACCTGCGTTATTTCTGATACAGCCTCTACACCATAATTACGACCACTCTTATATTTTAGGACGGTTTCAGCGGGAGTACTGCCGATAGCATCCGTCTTTCGGGAGAATGGACCGTACCTAGACCCTGAATGTGGTACTGGAAATAGTCAAAGGACAGTATCAGCGATCGACACCTATTTCGTTGTACCCAAATCATCTAGGCTATAAGTCTTCTTGCTCGATCGATCATATTGCCATCGGTTCAAGACTTGTTCAACACCCGCCTTTTTTTCAATCAAGAAGTACATTTGTGCTCCTTACAGCTCGAAGCTTACCAGTCTACTTGACATACTCACAATCCACTCTCAAACAATGGCTGGGAAAATGACTTTGTATAAATTGGTGGTGCTGGGCGATGGCGGTGTTGGGAAAACTGCACTTACAATTCAGGTACATGATCAAGTTAATCCCTCACCCGCTCAGAAATAACGATCGTTTAGCTATGTCTCAATCATTTTGTTGAGACTTACGATCCGACCATAGAGGACTCATATCGCAAGCAAGTTGTGATCGACTCCCAGTCTTGCATGCTTGAAGTTCTGGACACCGCGGGCCAGGAAGAATACACAGCCCTTCGGGATCAATGGATAAGGGACGGTGAAGGCTTCATACTTGTGTATAGCATCATATCCCGAGCTTCATTCAACCGCATCCGCAAATTCCACAGTCAAATACAGAGAGTCAAAGACGCTTCTAGCGCAAGCTCGCCTACTGCGCACAGCTCTTACCTCTCCTCGCCTCTGTCTGGAAATGTGCCTTTTGGCAACCAGGCCACCGGGCCTGCGCCTGTCATGCTGGTTGGGAATAAATCCGACAGAGTCACTGAGCGTGAGGTCTCTACACAAGAGGGTAGTGCTCTGGCCAAAGAAATGGGCTGCCAATTTGTTGAAGCCTCCGCAAAGAACTGCATCAACGTTGAAAGAGCCTTTTACGATGTCGTTAGGAGCCTCAGGAATCAACGGCAAGACTCGTCTCTGGTCAGAAGCGGGACGAATCACGGTAAAATCGGAGGCCCAAGCAGCATGTCAGATACACGGGACGGCAAACGACGTGGCCCTCGAGACACGGTGAAGAAGTCTCCGAGAAGACCGTGCAATATCCTTTAAGGCCAACTCTGCCTGGACAGGCCAACTGCACCTTTTTGATAACCAGGAATGTAACTTCCTAGGGTCCAATGGCATCTTCAAACATCCTATGCGCAATGAACGACATTCGACACCACTAGCGCTCCAACTTCGTCTATACATAGTACGATAGCCGCAAAGGCGCAAAATCATTTCAGTTGCTTTGTTTTGATCACAGGAGGACGACTCGCGCTACCGCTTTGCTCGCGCATTGCTCACACTGCTTTACTGTACAGCATGTTTGGTCTCGAATAGATTTCGCAATTATTCGTCACAACGGCATGATCGTCATTTGATATCATATATTTAGGGGGTAAAGTCGGCTTTATAGACAGGTTAAGGGGCCATGTGTGAACATCGATTGGCAAGGATACGTGGTGGGATTGATAATTATGACAGATATGATTTCACCGACAGCTCTCAGCGCATTTGAATTCCGTTGCTTCTCGCTACAGCGTGCTCATGGAGTCAACGGTGGGAAACGGGGCAGATCAATGGACATAGGAAGAAGATACCCAATATCAAGATCGTCGTCACCTAGTGAAACTTGTGCATTTGTCTCTTCATCCTCAAAGGAGCATCTCCCAATCTAGAGGTGCCATACACATAGACGACATTTCCCTCCACATACGCGCTCCGCTTGCGAACATGATCATACTAACATATTGCATTATGACACTTCATTTTATGCAACATCCATGCCGATTGCACACGGTATCCAGACGAGATGATCGCCATCATTCAAGGCTTATCTCATTTCAACAGCTTTCGTTGGGCAGTCTCCGCAAGGGTTCTGATTCTGCGGATAGCACACCGTGAATAATAATGTCTTACCAGTACCCGACCGAGCTTTCCTGGTCTACATTTAAACAGACCTTCTTTCTAAAATATCCCTTTTCACCCACAGCGGACAAACAATGGAGTTTGCCTATTTTGATGTATGCCGACCAAGAAAATGGAAGATCCCATTGAGGCCGCAAACGAGTCACTGAGGGATCCAGTGGTGGCTGTGAGAACAGTACACTCAAAGGAAAAGTCTTCATTCTTGAGGAGGAGATGATATGTTACTGTATGCTCCTCGGACAGGGACTTCCGCATACTCGGCGCGTGCGAGAGTGAGGACAATGTCGAGATGGTAGGAAGACGACAGCAATGTATCATTGCTGGTTAATTGAACAGTTGGATGACATACGGTATTTTGGCAACCGGAGAAAAGTCCTAGGTGCCGGGAGCGAATCAACGCAAGACGGGCCCAGGCTTCGCACAGGATCCCGCTGCGAGCTGCAAGCTGCATCCCTGAGGCCTGAAGGTTGGAATAATGGGGCCCTTTATATGCTTCCCATGCATGATGCATCAATCTCCGATGGGACGTGCAATCCTGGCAAATACCAGGCCAAGTCTTTCCTGCCATTCGTTGCTAATCTTCTGATCTTGCCCCAATGCGTAGAAAGTCCCCCCACCTGGAATCCTGGACGTCTGAACTTGCCCTGTGAATAGGGAGAGCTCATTAGCTTCAATCCACTGACAGTCCGTTCCAAGTAGTGGGTGGAGGTCCATGCTTGTCCGAGTTTGTAAGTCTATATTCAACCCTCCCCTAAGTGACGCCGCCCCTCAACACGTCGGTGGCTCACAGGACTAGGAGCGCTGTTTCAAAGCGTCGTCTGCTTTGTGTTCCGTGCGAAGCATTTGCAGCCTTTTCTGATCTTTAATTAGGCATGGTATGTGGTTTCCACCAAGGCGCTTCCCTCCACTGACGACTAACGCGCATTCACAGTCTTCACCTGTCACTTTTGTATATACACACAAACCCAACACACCATACGGACGCTTTTAAGAGATGCACCTACAGAGAACCAAAAACCAAACATCACAATACACCAATATCTTAGTGAGGCATGGACTCCTTCGGATGAGCCTTTGAATTGCTACATGAAGCCTAATATAAGAACGATCCTTATTTGGATCCGAGGGTCACAATGGCTCTCGAGCACGGTCAGACCATGACTCCGCACCATGTTCCTACTCCATCAGAAACGCCTTTCGAGACCCCTGGACTGGGCCTCTCCCAACACTCCTCTCGCCATGGATCAACTTCTAATTTCACGACACCGCTTGCGTTTCCTCCCGAGCACGACTCTTACTTCCCTCGCTCTCAAGTGGACAGAGACACAGTCTATGTGGAGAAGAGATCCTCGCGACGATTTACATCAGATTTGGACAACTCTCTTATCCAACAGATTCATACCTTGCGTCTTGAGCGTGACGAAAAGAATGCTGCCGTGGAAAGGTTGGAAGAAACCTTTCACGAGAGTAAGACAGAGCAAGAAAGACTTAGTCAGGAGGTTGCATCGCGAAATGCAGAAACAAGATCGGTGAAGAAGCAGATGCAATTACTTGAAAGCGGGACTTTAGCTGCGTTAGGAGATATAGCAAAAGAGAGGGATGATGCAATGGGCGTCGCTGTTGAAACGCGGAAACGGCTGGAGGCATCTAATCAAAAGCTTCGCGCTCAGGAGGAAGACGCAGAAAGGGCACAAAACATAAAAGACAAGGAACAGGAGGCATGGTTGGATGATAAGCGTAACCTTGAGCGGAAAGTTCATATTTTAGAAAGTCGACTCAAAACAATGGTCGCCGAAATGGTTGCCGCAGAATCGGCCTGGATGGAGCAGTCGGGCGCAAAGGAAGACAACGAGAGCATGCAAGAGGCGGCAGCCAAAGGAGATACGTTCAGCGTACGCTCAAACAGTCGTGCTGAATCAAGAATAAGTGTCAGAAGCAATGAGGATTACCAGGATTCGAAAGACCCACGATTTCGTGCGCCATCACGCTTGAGCGCTTTGCCTGAGTTAGGAGAGTCAACGAGTAGTTTGAGTCTGGCCGATGAGCTTGGGGACAACGATTCCGAGCAAGATGAAGTCGACAATCAGGACAGCGTACCACCAGACTCTCCTGAACGTCTTCCGGAAGAGGCCGAACATCGCGCTCGCCGCTTCTCAGGAGACTATAAAGCTCGGAAAATGATGGGTCTGCCTTTAGAATATAGTGATGCCGCAGACAAGGCACTTGATCAGCACGCTGCCGGGATCGTCAAGGATTATGTGCGCCATCCTGCAAGGGACAACAGCATTGCCTACAATGATATTGCGACGCAGTATTCCCCACCACTTTCACCCAAACATTCGAAGCAAGGTTCCTCTAGTACTGCACCGAATGCGTCCGCTCAGCTAGAACATGCAACAAGACCGAAGCGGGTTTCGATTCCGTCGGTATTCTTGGGGCAAACAACAGCGCCTGCCTTGGCGGCGCCAAAACTTGCTGTCACCATCAATGCTTCATGCCAGACGGAAGATCTGGATCAAAGTGATGCAGGTGCCTCATCGTCTTCGGCTTTTCCTGCAGAAGTGTTCGATAGCTCCACGCAAACTACCGAGCAGAATGAGGATTTGAAACTGAATGCACTTAGCCGTGTTGATCCTCTTTCGATGGATATACCATTTATAACCATTCAGCCGCCTGCTTCCAGGCCTTCCTCTTCTCACGCAAGCGTCATGCTGCCTCCGCGAACGAAAAACGCAGGCTGCCAGGCTGAGTTAGACGTACCGCGTAGTGTTCGTTCCGTTTGCATGCAAACGGAGGAGATTCGGGTGGATAAGCGGCCTCTTCGTTTGCCACCTCGACTAGCTTCAGTGTCTGCTTTGACACAACCATCTCCCAGATATGCTGATCGGCGCCAACAGCGAGGTGCACCCAGACTTGCGAAAGCTCCTAAACGAAATCTCAAGAGTCCACCTCCGGTGCTACAACATGATCCACCGCCAGAGAGTCCGCCAATAAGCAGTATTCGAGATTTCTATCCTGGTCAAAATGATGACGGGCCTTTAAACGAGAAAAACCAGACAGGCCCTCGACGGCCGGTAAGGTCTGACAGCATTTTTGCTGGCTTCTCGGACGATGACTTGCTGGAGAATGTTGAAGTCGAAATAAGCGACGATGAGATCAACACCGCTCCACCCATACGTAAAACATTGTCAAAGGTCAAAGATTCCTGGAAACTGGTGCCCCAAAATCGGGTAACGGTGCTTGATCGCCTGGAGTCCGCGTCTGAGACCGAAGCACAAGCGAATGGTGGCGCTTCTCAGCTATCAAAGGAAGAAGGGACGGTCGAAGGGACGGTCGCGGGGTCATCTAAGACATTCAATCCTAAATCTCCACCACCGGCCCCGTTGAAGCTTGCAGCGGCCAAGCATCATGGTGCTCGGAAAGCAGCCCCTCTGTCCACGGGGCCAGCGGACTACAGTCAACGGAAAAGAAGCCCGAGTGAACCAAGCGCCTCAAATGCCCCTGCAGAAATGCCTCCACCTCCGTTTCCAGTGCCTACCAGATCAAGCTCTCGGAAGATACCTATTAGCGCTAGTGAAGGTGCAGGCAGTCCGACTCCCTACTCTACGAGCTTCTTCACAACGGGTCGCAAGAATACGAAAAGGAAGCCTCCTGTCAAGCCGAAGATTCTGCGGAAAACACAATCTGCGGCTGCGGTAACACATCCTACCCCTCCCACAGAGCTTCCGCCGCCTCTGCCCGCCTCGACAGCTTCAACAGCCTCCAATCCGCCAAGCACACCTCCCCGTCGACCTCGGAATCAATTCATACTTCCGTATCCAAGTGAAGCTGAAGAGAAAAAACACAGCATCGATCCTGAAGTACCTCAGTCGCCACAGGAAGATACCGGCGTCGAATCTCAAAGTCAGCATACGAGCGTGGTCGATGCAATCGCCCAGACGATGGTTGGTGAATGGATGTGGAAATATGTTAGAAAGAGAAGCTCGTTCGGAATTACGGAAAATGCGCAGACAGATTTTCAGAATGGAAAGGTGGGTGATTCTGGTGCGGTTGGGGGAGTGCGACATAAGCGTTGGGTCTGGCTTGCACCATATGAACGTGCTGTAATCTGGAGCGGCAAGCAACCGACATCAGGGCCTGCCTTGTTGGGCAAGGGTGGAAGGAAGCGTAGGTCAATGACTCATTGTTGCTTGATAATGACTGACTTTCTGCCAGTTGCCATCCAATCTGTCTTAGATGTGAAGGACGAAACCCCTCTTCCTAAGGGATTTACACACGAACCAATTTTCAATCGGTCAATACTCATACTCACACCTGATCGGGCTTTGAAGGTCACAGCAGTAACCAGAGAGCGTCACTACATATGGCTTACTGCGCTCTCTTACCTGAGTGCTTCAAGCCAAGGTATGACGGATTTCGAGACGCCCTCACCAGAGCAACAAGCCCAGTTACCAAGACCGCCTTCACAAGAGCCCGTCGTCAACGTTCGACGAGCACCCCATCGCGATTCTATCCGAGTATCTAAATCAAAAGGCAGACCCTCAATCGGGCCGCATTCTTTCTCGTCGCCCACCGCGGAGGCTACTTACTCAAACGTCCCACAAATTTCATTTGACAGCATTGAGCGCCCATCTGAAGAGGCGGCCGAACCACCACAGATTCCACGGATTGCTGCACATGCAAGAAAGCGGAGTAGCACTGGACCGCGAATGATACCTCTTAGTTCACTTGGCAATTACCCAAATAACGCCGCCGCAACCGCCTCGAGTATTGAGTTCAACATACCAACCACTCGCGACAGGTATGAGAAAGGTCGACCTTTCTCAAGAGGTACCTCTAATCCGGCCACAACGCACACCACCATGACGCGTAGTACCACTGACACACACATCATTCCTAACGACTTCTTCGATGCTGTTGGCACTGTCAGGATGGAAGCTTTTGTGCAAGACAAAGAAAACCACCAGGCACCAAAAAGAAAGGCCAAAGAGCCACGAAGCTTCCGCACTCGACAGGGCAAGAAGAAAGACCTTTCTTACTGGGGCGTTACAGAAGGCAGTGCGGGGAGTGAGGGGAGGAGGAGCGAAGATCCTTTCCGAGGATTTTAATTGATTGCAATTGAACGGACGAATTCATCGCCCAAGAGGAACAAATAAAAGTGTATATAAGTCTGTCTCACAATAGAGCGGAACGGTATGGTGTCAGGTGCATGGACTGTAATACAGAAAGGCTTCCGCTGAGGATATGAGAGAGCGAGATAGGTATGGCGCAAGCCGGGAGGGAAAGAGGAGGACGGCGTACATAGTAGCACCTAATGATGTGATTGATGCCTCTTTGTCTTCTTTCTTGAAGAGTATACTTAGCGATGCTGTCGAAGTATGGTACGACTTATTTTTTCATCTTTTTCTCACTTCTTTTTGGAAACCTCAGAGTGGCCACGGCTTCTCAATGGCACATGTCAAAATTGTGGTGTATTATTTCAAGCTGCCCTTTAGACCACTCGATGAATTTCAGCAGAAGAAAGAATTAGACCAGATGCCTGATATCGATGAGAGCAGATTTCGGAATACAAGATGAATGCGAGCAATCTGCTAAGGAGCTACGGGGGCGAGTGATTGGAACTTAGACAGGAAGTGTCATGACGGCACTTTGAATAACAAAACAATAGGTAGACGCAAAAGTAACAAAATAGATTGTTCTTTGCGAAGGGGGGTTTCAAGTATGCCGGCGAAGAAGAGTTCCAGCTGAACATCTTCAAAGTGTCCAAATATTCTATTCATTGAGATCTGTTTCTAGACAGGCATCCATCTACTAAGGAGATAACAATCTCCTAATCACTGATCAAATCGCTAACTTCCTTTCCTAGGGCACGAATGTCACCTCCATGTATAAGTCTCACATCCAAGGGTATTCTTGACATCCAAAGGTATGGGAATATCAACCTAAAAGTCAAAATCTTTGGCAAGAAGCACTTCCCCTTCACCCAGCCTATGTCTCCGAAGACCCTTGAAATGGCTAGAGTCATTCCCCCATTATTTTGCCCATTGATCTGGATCCTTCTTTAACCTGATGGATTGGATTTTGATAAATCCTGTCGTATCTTCTGGATTAAAGTCGTCTAGTGAGTCCATTGAGGCCTCCTCCTGACTATATAGCCTTGAGCTGCTGGACCGACCGAGTATATACACATTCCCTTTGTAGCACCTCAAACGAACTTCGCCGTTCACGTTAGCTTGGCTGATGAGCAAGCACTCCTCTGTGAATTGGCGCTCCGGCGCGAAGTCTTGAGGCGTTAGTACAAGCTGAAAATGTATATGAAAGCTTTTACTTACACAGCCCGCTGTACACTATGGAGAAGGTCAGTAATTGCCATCAAAATATGAACGTATTGACTTACGCTGAATACTCCAGTTATGGGTAATGAACTGGACTCGAACATCAGCTATTATTGCAAGGACACCACTAGTAATGATGCAGGGTTTACCTGATCCCGAAGAGCCCTAACTTGCGAATCAAGCGTCAAACCCTCGAGATCGAGATGAGCGAGACGGAGGATGCTGAGCGCCGGTGACTACTCCGTATAAATGAATCAGTCAGAAGACGTTACCTATATGCAAACATATTTTTCGTGTGAAAAAGTTTAAGAAAACAATTTTCCAAGACCAAATGAAATAGAAAGGTTATCTCCCAAAATCTTAGGAGCCAGACGCAATTTTCCTTCACTTCCCTTCGATCTACCTTAGGAGAAATTCCCAAATAGCACAAATTCCACAATGGGAAACCGGAAATAACCTACGTCGTAGCCTATTCGAAAGTTAGCATGTATAGAACGACGAGAAGGTGCGTAGGCTTCATCCATCCTCGACTTTTGAGTCCAATAAATCTCGATTCTACAATGTCGATTCTGCCTATACCTAGATCGCGGTCACAAGTATTAGAATATTCCGACCCCAAAGAATCCAAAAAATGGCCAATATCCAAAAACAAGGGAGGACAATTGAGTCACGAACCATGGACCCTCCCGATCTGATTGAGCTCCTTGAAGAGCTGTACAGAGTCCGTGAACGTTTTCTGTGGCGTGACAAGCTTGGTCGGAATACCTTTCTCGAAACTAATTACAATATCGGTAGGCTCGTTAGGAGCTTTTTGAGGGTCGTCAGTCATAGTCCACATATCCTCTGGAGGGCTTTGATCTTCGTTCTCGAGCACTCCGGCTTCGTACGAGCACTTGTGAAAAATCGGAGTCAGCAATGCTTCTTCAGACTACGAGAGGGAGTCGAGAGGAGGTTGAAAAGGAGTAGTGAAGAAATCAAGAGATAATCAAAGAGGAGTTAACTTAAGTCGAGAAGAAGTCGATAGATGTCTCTCGAACTTTTACTCCCGTGACTACTCTTGACTTTCGACAGGATGGCCGCATTAGGAAAAATTGTATTCTGAAAACATCACTTACGTGCGCAAGGTTGGCATCCATTGACCAGGGCTTGGCTTTGGTAGACGTGACCGGCAGGCCTGTTTCTGCAGCATAGTCCAGCAGATCATTTCGGCCCTTGAATCTGTTGAAGAATCTACTCTCTCTCCATGGGGCGATGATCTTGATAGAAGGCTTGATTGCATATGCAGCGAGCTCGAAGCGGACTTGGTCGTTGCCCTTGCCGGTGCAGCCGTGGCTCACAAAGTCACAGCCTTCACGCTCTGCCGTTCGCATAAGACAACGTGCAATCACAGGACGTGCGAGTGCGGTGCCCAGAAGGTAGCGTCCTTCGTACTGCGAGCCTGAATCAGTCCATGCAAGCTAAATGAGCAACTGAGGTATAGGCACCTGAGCATTGCATTGTACAGCCCTAAAGCACAGTTTCTCCACAAACTCTTTCTGTAGATCCTCAATCACCATCTTTGTGGCCCCAATCTTGAGTGCCTTCTTCTCGACTGCGTCCCAATCCTCTTCCTGTCCAACGTTCGCAAGGCAGCAAACGACCTCATATCCCTCGTCTGTATCATTCTATAGTCAGTCCTCAATGATACTTTAGGAAGCTCGAGGTCGTGGGTATCCTACCAAGTAGCCATCGTAGGATACAGCTCGTATCCAGACCACCTGCGTGCCTATATCAGCAAGTGCCTCCTCACAAGATCTTCAGACGAAATCTGACCGCTGTAGGCCTAGATATAATTAGCGAGACTTTCTACAAATGTTTTTGGCCATGGGAAGGATCACGTACCAAAACAACTTTTCCCTTCGCCATAGTATCGTGAATTCGGAGCAGATGATACGGTTGCGCGGGGAGTGGACGAGTTGGTGGGAAGTGTTGTGGGATGAGTCAATGACAGTCCCAACGCCTTCTTTTTATCGACAAGGCTTGCAGAAAGTCAATTCATACTTTAGCCCACAAATTTATATATTTCCCCCGGGTCTACGTTTTCCCGCCCGCGCCGAAACTTCTTAGCGCAGAAGAGTCATTACGAGGCGGAGGAGCGAAACCCCTTGAGGCAAACCCTAGCTTTGCAGGCAGAAAATGACTTTGATGTGGACTTGATATGTCAATCTTGGCGATTGGAACGATTGAAGTGGTTACGGTCAACGGGATTCCTCCTGCTAATATTCAGGTAGCAAGAGCACGAAGCAGGTGGGAGGCCGTGCATGATACCATCTGCATGTGGGGATGTCCAACTACGGGTCGAACGGGGCAGCATAAAAGCCTGCTACTAAGTATAAGCTCCCCGAGATCAATGCAGTTGAAAGCTAGAAGCAGGTGTGAGAAGGGCATGTCTTAAGTCATGGATGGATGAATGCTGGATTTCAAGGAGGACTGGGCGGGCGAGTGAGTGTCAAGTGGTATGAGATGCCCAGATAGAAGCCTTTATGTGACCTATAGATATCACATGAATGGCACTGTTCTCCATCGAGAAGGCGACAAAATTCGCAGACTCTTGTGTCATGATGAATCGGTCTCGGATTGGTAAAGGATGAACTACCTCATTGCATTCCTTTCATTTGGCTCGCCGCTGATGGCATGGTTTCAATTTTCGAGTAGACAGTCTCAGTGCCTTCGATATTATAATCCCACGACAACACAAACCCTGCGCGTCATTTCGCGATCTAAGGATCAGATCCTAGTACTATGCAACTGTAATCGCAAAACCTAGTAGCGAGCTCAGAAGTCTTGTAGACGTTTCAAGCAAGAACAAGTATGTAACTTGAGTTCTTCAGCTGACTCTTATGTCGCAGCATCAATCGACAGCTGCCGTCATATGGATACGGATGACGATTCAAGGGGCGTTGGTGGTGCTGTGCCTTCGGCAAAGGACCAGAAGAAGTAGACCTGAAGTAGCCCCTGAATTAAATAGCCTGCAGAAACAAACGCTGACGACGATCGACATCTTCAAGCGTACGAAGACTCGAAGAGGCCCCCCGCTCCTACCTTAATTTTCCTCGTGCATGGTGATTATGACGTTTGCCAATACGACAGACGCCTGAAGCGACCGAGGATGCTCTCTCAGCTTGGTGGCCCGACTGTAGAGTATGCCCTATCATTGTTGTTGCATGCAGTTCGAGTCAGCGGTGCCTTTGTGCGACCGTGCGACCGTGCGACAGGACACCGGAACGGCTTATCAACGGCCAGATCAGCGGTTGAAACAGCGGCCACCATACTGGACCAGGCATTAGGTCCTTGAACTTTCTTCCAATCACCGAGCTGGGATCGGTCATATCTTCCCCTGACCCCAACGAACTAAGAAACAACCATACATCCCAAAAATGAAAGGACAATGGTGGAGTACACCATGCTCTCGATCTGTCATCACACTGGACAGGCCATCACCTGTAGGTGGGGCCACTCTCTCCCCCCTATCGCTTTGCTTCCGTCCTGCTACTATGCTGAATAGGGAGACCAACGCCATCTTGTCTTACCAAATATATGCCTGCTTTCTGCCCCCTCGTCTCTCTCTGCTGTTCATCACTCGTCTTGTGTGCCTCACTGTTGCGTTGTTGGTTCATCGTTCCGTTTCGGAATAACTACATTCGTTTTTATATTGGGACCTTGAAGGCCCCGTTCATTCATTCAACGCCAGGTTCATACATTACTACTCTGCCTTAAGCTAGACGTGGTACAAGTTCTCTTCGTTCGACCTCAAAAACCCGATCGTATACCACCCAGCATATACCAAAACGAAAGGACAGAACAATACAATGGCTCCATTGACTAAAACTTTTGCTCTTCTGGCCTTTGCCGCAACCGCCCTCGCCGGTCAGCATCACCAATATCCTCGTCACGCGATTTCTGGCAAGCCAACAGGGTTCCCCATTCCCACGGGGACTGCTCCTGGCACGGCTCCTTATTCCTTCTCCAACGGCTCACTGTCGTACTTCCCAACCGGCACCGGCACTGGCAGGGCAAGTCTTCCTGCCCCTACCAATGGGAGCCCGGGTCCCGGAGGCAGCCAAGGTCCTGGTGGTAGCCAAGGTCCCGGAGGGAGTGAAGGACCTGGCGGTAGCAGCCCAACGCAGGGCTCTCCTGGCAATAGCCCAGGCGGGGGTGGTGCCTCTAGCTGCCCAGCACCGAGCTCCACCGTCACCGTGACAGATGTCTACACTGTCACAGTGACTCACACAGCTTCGGCCGAGGCCACAGTTAAGCCCACCGGGCCATCATCGCCACCTTACCCCATTCCAAGCGGCAGCGGAAATGGCTCGTCAAGCTTCCCAACAGCAACGGGCACGCCCAGCGGTACGGGCACTGCTCCTGGGTCCACGGCCAGCGCCACATTCTTCCCTTTGAAAAGGTACAACAGCGACGGACTTGAGAAGGTGAAGAGAGATGAGCGACGGTCGAGGAAAGCAAGGGGGCACTGGTGGGATATCTGAGGATGTGCATTTGCTAAAGGAGTGGATGAAGGCAGGACACGGCTGCAGGAGCATAGACAGAGCTGGAGAACGAAAAAAGGAGAATCGACGTGGTGGGTGATTCGAAGATACCATGGTGTGGATGTTGTCTCTGAACAACGGGGCCCACCTTGATGACTTTCACAATTGTTGCTATTTGATTGACATAGACTTTTTACCTTTCTCTGTTTTAGACACCTTCAAGATTAGTAAAGAATCAACAAGATTCTGTCAAGCCCAGGAGGCTCTTTTTCTTGCGTGGTGTTGCACACGTGCTTGATATCCACAAAAATTACCCAGACGTAGGTGACAGATGGGTACGGATGTGGCGGTCGTTGTTGCCGCAGCCTTTCGCGGATCCGAGGCTCAACGACGCACAACAGTCGACCAACTTGCATGAGGTCTGGGCAAAGCATGCTAAAGGCGTGGGAAAAAGACATCATAAATTTATGAGTGAAAGAAGAGCAATGCACGTTGGTTGCGGGGCTTCGGTCACATATTGAGTCAAGAACGGACGAGATTCATCTCCCATGGCTCTTACACACGCACACAGCTCGCCGCCTCAGACGAACAGCGATCAAGATCCTACCCTTTCGAGCACACGAATGTGGGTTCATAGCCCTTGGAGCTGTCACTTGCTGCCTCTGCCACAATCTTTCAGTCTAGGGTCTTTCCAATGCTATCAGCCAAGCGCGCACGACGGCAACTCTAGCTCGATGGCCGATTTAGAGAGACTTGCTATCAACTAAATTGAAGACTCATACAATTTAGTTCGCTCTGCATATATTCTGCTGGAGGCTAATCACAAGGAAGACGTGCTGGGGAGATGGGGTTCATACGAAGCATTATTGAGCTGAGTGTACAGCATTCAGGGCCGAATCGCGAACATTGATGGAAGCACAATGGTCAACGCGGAAAGTCCCATGACAACGAGAGTCATATCTATCAACTTCATAATGCGGCGCGCTCAGAGTAATGAGGTATCGATAATAACCGTTTGTGCCGCAAATTCTAGATTCCGAATTTTTAAACTCAGGATACGAAGGCCGGTGCAGCCCTAGAACAGCAATTTCGCTATCAGCTGCTCTTTTGCTGCTCGGACCATAGCTCGTACAAGAGCTCTCGAACAACAGATCTGCAAGTGCGGGATGCGAGCCTCTGAGCTGTAGTCAATTGTGAGTCGCTGCAAGGTCAAATTGCGCCAATGCACTCCAGATTACGAGTTTGTATGCAGCGCCAATACTGACCACAGAAGCGTCAGCTTTCGAGAAGCACACGTGAGATCGATCCTGAAGCTGAGATGCGTCGTGGTTCTTCAAGCAAAGCTCGAGGCTGATTGGCCGTATCTATCTCAGATGGAATCTCTTGGTCTACCCAATTGTTAACGCCCGGCGATGAGAGTCCGTCGACATGTGGAAGCGACAGAGACGACAGGCTGACCAGTCGGCGTGCAGGATGCAGAGGCCTCATTTCCCCAAGCTGCAAGCACTGGAGATTCGCTGCTTTAATTGCACTGCACGGTGCATGACGCTATGGGCGGATCGAAATGAGGGTAGACGGCACACTGCAGGTACCCGCCACCGACCATGGATCTTGACGAGTGTCATTGGCAGCTCGTCGTCGACTAGAGCCGCACTAAGTAGCTAAGCTCTTTAGCGGTGAGCAATAGGAACCGAAATTGCTCGTGTGCAGTGTCACTCCTTTCCCTGGACTAGTGGAGGTAAGCCACTGGCCACTGGCCACGCGCAGGAATTTCCTACAAAGAGTCAACAAACTCCCCCTTTTCTCTCCCATCCATCTCTCTTTGATTCCATCCATACAACACCGGTGCTACACCGATTTCACTCTTTTACAGTAATCCTTAATATTTACGCTCTTTTAATACCATCAACCTAATCTGACTCTCTCCTTCACTATCACCACCAACAACGTCCAATCTATTCCACCACATCAGCAAAAATGCGTTACTCTATGATCGCTGCTCCCCTCGCCCTTGCGGCTGGCGCATCTGCCTGGAAGAATGAGACCGTCTACACCACAGAGGTCGTCACTTCCTACACCACCTACTGCCCTGGCCCGACCTCCGTCGTCCACAATGGCGCCACCTACACCGTGACTGAGGCAACCACGCTGACAATCACCGACTGCCCGTGCACCATCACCAAGCCAGTGGTGCCAACTCTCCCAGCCTACACCGCAGTTGTCCCCCCCCAGTCGCGACCTCCGTTGCACCTCCTCCAGCTGTCTCATCGGTCGCTCCCCCACCAGCCGTCTCATCGGTCGTCACACCCCCAGCAGCATCAAGCGCGGTGCCAGTCCCACCATTCCCTGTACCCTCGTCCGCCTCCCCAGCTCCCCCAGCTGGCACCGCTACATCCGCTCCCTCGGCCTCCGCTGTGCCAGTTACTCCAGGTGCCCCCACCCCCAGCCCGTTCACCGGTGCTGGAAACAAGGTGGCTGCCTCGGGTCTCGGCCTGGGTCTTGTTGCTGGTCTTGCTGCTTTCCTCTTGTAAATCTTCCCCTACTACTAAGCGGTACGGGTTTGAGCTTTACGAGGTTGGATGAGTTTTGCATACGGCCTTTTTCACCGACAGACAGGATGCTAGAAGCGATGGATGGATGGTGTTCTACCCTGGTCATCTACGGATCCAAGGGAGGGGAGTTTTCTTAATGCGATCAACCGTACTGCGCCTGCGACTCACGTGCCTGCCTGCCTTGAAGGAGGTGAAGGCCTGGGGAGCGGTGAAGCTAATTCTTAATCTATGTGGATAATGATGAGGTTGGTGTTCTTGACGAGGCAGAGATACTTGAGGAGATTGTGGGGACGAGGAGAGATGACTATTACTATCAAAATCATACGGTCTGTAGCTAGCTTTGCTGTCAATGAAGAGCCTTCAGATTCAATCTTCTTGTTCATTACAGCTGCACATCTCACTGCGTTGGCCTGGAGAAGTCATGCGACCCAAACTATCAGACCGGCAGGATTCTCATCTCCCGTGGGCGCGTACCTGCAGTAGCGCCTTCTAGTTCGGTGTGGACGTTATCAGAGAAATCATACTATTATTTGTAGTTCACCCTACGGAGTACGCCTCGTCTTTTTCGGACGGCCGGTAACGCCCACTCCGGGAAAAGAAAATGTCCGAACGCAGGTCAGAGAAAAAGGGTAAGTGAAGGTTCCTTGAAAGAAGAAGATCTGAGCACAGGCAGATACTGATAAAACCCATTTCTTGCTTTTTTCGTTTCACACCTTGCGACCGGCGGCATCAAGCTACTACACCTTCTCAAAGCGATACGTTGCCCAAGACGACGGTGGTTATATCGCGACATGGAAGACGTCCACAGAGCTCGGCGCTGGTTCGCAGAGCTACATAGTTCACTAAGATGGCGTCGGGCTTTAGTTTCAGTGCTTCATATCCTTTGCCAGTAGCCTTTCTCGAAGGCACTGAACTCAACTCTCTCACTCCATGTAGGGGCTCGTGAAAATTGTCATCTGACGTAACACGGAGGAGATCTTCCCGACCTTTTGGCATCTCCCTTAAGTGTCTCCCAAATCATGTTCGCCGCCGGATGTTTTTTTGCCCCCCGTTCTTTCATGTATTGTTGATTGGCTCTATCGTGTTTCAAGCCGATGGTTTTTCTTGATTCATCTGATGGTTCTTCTGAAGAGACCTTAGTAATGTTTGCATCCCTTCTGTCATGCCAGATACCACCATGAAAAGCAAAATCTTCTTCCCGTTGAAGGAGACCTTCCCCCAACTTCACACCACCTATTGCCACAACTTCACTATTGATGGAAATGGTCCACCCTCTTTTGCCATCAACATTCTCACGCTTGTCGTCATAAGCGGCAGCCACAACAGCTCCGTGCACACCATCCTTGAACAGAATCATAAGGACGAACTCAGGGTCAAGGGTAGACGATGAGCTTTAGTCATTTCGAGCTGGACATGAATGGACTTCCATGATTGAAGACTTGCCTTATAGATCTATTGCTGATCGCACACGTGGCTTCTAGCGGACGAGCCCAGCCTTGCGTGCAATCAGTCCGTACAATCTCCGGATATCGCCAACCAAAGGTCTCAGCCGTTGGGAACAAAGCTAGGTCGTATAGTCTGGCGCGATCTGAGAGACTGCCACATGCTAGTTGGTCTTCAGTGGCCACGGAGCGTACCGGACGAAGGATTGATAAGGTACCTCTAGACCTCGTTCTTGGGGCCTTCTAGAAGGCTGCAGGGTTTCACGAGGGTAGAAGCGAGAACGACTTATCTCTACCTAGACTGAGCTCGTCTAAAGTCAGGGAGATTGCAATGGCAAAGTGAGAGAACAAGGGACCGTATCTCGTGGGGACTTCCGAAATCCCCCCTCCCAGTGGCAACTGATCGAATAGACGGAGTACCATGATCTTTGATTAACGCTATACAAAGAGCCAGCCTGCATTTGCAGGGACTGATATACTCTCAAAATATGACATCACCAGAGGTGCTAGGCATTACTTTGCAGTGCCGGTGATATAGAAAGCAACAAGACCACATTGATTAGATTCTTTGCCGAATTGAGGTTCGCGCCAGCCTTCATATCAGGGACTCGAATCAACAACCAAAGGGGCTGTATATGAGAGATATTTCTGAAAGACGGTCGGACAGGGTACGAATGGTGTACGTGGGGATCAACGAATGGGCAGTCTCTCAGCTTTGATAACCCCCATGTGCTAAAGAGTGGGACTCCCACGCCTGAGCACGTGTATGCTCCCATTGAACTTTGAGGCTCACCATGGTGGAGCAGATTGGATTGAGTGATGGACCCTGCCTTGCCTGCCCTGACTGCGGATGATTCGCAAAGCTAGAAACTCGCCGGACTAGCCCTATGCATGTACCCCTCGGGCTACGGAAGCGGGGCTGCAGTTTAAATGAATCTCCGGCGGATGTTTAACAGCTGGCCCTGGATTTGGCCTGCCACAAAAAAAGAATCCAAAGAAATTTGATATGGCCGTGAGATTGCCCAAACCATAATGTGTTTACCGACGTTCTGTCAAAAATCGATATCACGTTGCATAATTCTTGAATGCAAATGTCAATTGTGACTGATGAGCAGCTGAACAACATCACATCGATATACTTTGACAGCACTCGGGAATCGAAGACCAGGTGGGTCCAGGAGCTCCATCGCTTTCAGTCAAATAGCTAGTCACCAATGGTCCTCACTCTCGCCAGGGAAGGGTTCACAACAATGCGATATATAGCGGCAGAAGGTAGGTAAAAGGTAGCGTGGCGTCCAAACAAACTCATGGCTGCACACGTCTGCCTGAAGTGACATGACCAAACAAATGTGATGATACCCTCTCGGCAGTTCCTGCCCTTTCAGTCCTTCCCTTCCATAGTCACCATATGAGACAGTCAACCATCTCCTCAAAGGCCCTATTTCCCGGACAGCTGCTCGACTAGCGGTGAGGCGAAGTGCTTCCCCGGATTACCTTTGCAGCATGGTTTGCTATTCATGGAGGGGTAACAAATAACATCGGGTATCGACAATCTCATCCGTGACTGCACGTCTAAGCTGACGTGGACCAAAACTATAAAGACAGCGGTATTTCTCTGGCCTCTGCTTCTTTTCCATTATTCCATAAGAACTAAAGAAAGCAATCTTTTGGTGACCCTCCAGACTACTCTTCCTTCAACACCTGGTCTGACTCGGAATTCAACGTATGATTATACTAGACCCGTAGTTGACTCAAGGACTAAGCTCGACCCTCATAGATTCGAAAGACGCTATTACCAAACCCGAGCACCTCTCATTAACTATCAACAAGCCCTCATCTCCGCACCTCTCATCCGCAATGCCGAAAGGACTACCACCAAACCGCAGACAGCTCTCTCAATCATCATCAGACACGCTCAGTGACGACCTCCACCGAGCAATTTCCTCAAGCAAGACCAAAGCTATGAAGAAGTCCCTCAGAATCAACGCCAAACTCTCATTGCAGCATCCACCACCTCCACCACCATCACCAGTCGGTTTCCTCAGCTACAAGGACCTTGCATACCGGCGATAGATACCAGCCTGCTCGGGAACTCGTAGGCTACGACTTCTTCGGATAGATATTTTGTGGGCGTTTTTACGAACAGTCAATTGGATATGACATAGGGCATGGGTGAGAAAAATGTCTTTCTAGGGGTTAGTCTCAGCTGTACGATAGTATACGAACATTTCAGGAATAGCCCCCGAAATATTTATGACATGTCATTGATCAACATTCTGTGAACTTTCCCATTGTCTTTTAGCTAGCGTAAATCCAATGATTGGCTGGTCATCCTGTATTCCCGAGTAGATGGAACCGGAGGCTTACTTTTACGTTTGAAAGGATGGATCCTATAAGCCAGCTAATCAGGTAAGCCAACGTGAATGCAACGTCAAGGTTCCCCGAGATTTAGGACCGCAGTCGGATGGAGAAAAGCAGGGAATGTGAAACGAACGGATTCCAAGTTCTGACAGGACTGTTCCTAAGGGAAAAGAAAGAAAAAAGCAATTAAATGTTTCGAGGAACAAGATACTGATTTTTGTCCAGGTGATCTGACGCAGGAAGAGAAAAGCTTGGAAAACATATGATGACTTGACAGCGTCCTATTCATATTTGGCTGTCGCTTTTCCCTCAGAAAAGGTAAGTAGGATGACAGTTGCATACGACCTGAGCCTTTTCACACGTAATTTCAATGATTCTTTGCATCTGTATATTAGAAGAAAATCGAAATATATTTCTCTATCATGCTGCGGAGAAAGGCTCGGCCCGAGCTGAGGAAGATGAATGGATAGAATGACGCACGAATTTGATATCAATCTTTCCATGCAAGAGATCATTGACAGGGCTCTGTCGGCGCCTGAAATCCAATTGATTAGTTGATGGCGCCTGCTGAAGTTATCTACCAAGAAGCGCCTCCATGGAAGGGGGCTGCAAACAATCTGCTTTTGGAAAAGGACGAGACGGAGAAGCAGCTTGAAAAACTTGTATTTGGTGACCACGTCGGCTTTCACGAGAACCTGAAGCTCGTTGGCGACCCCAATGGCCTTTCAAATGAAGAGTACAAAGATTTAGTCGAACAAGCCTCCGTTCATGGGTCAGACGAGGAAAGTTTGGGGGATGTAGACGATTCGCAGGTGCACTATTTTGATCTTGTTTAACGCGAAGACACGCTGAATTATTTTTAGCTCTTCTTTTTAGACTCAGGACCTTCTAAAGTCAATGGATCTAAGTTGGTAAAGCCAACGCTTCAGAATGAAGCGGACGGATCAGACGACGAGCCAGCCTGGATCGACAGCGACGACGAACGTCTTGTCATCTCACTCGCGTCCAACTCTCGGCTAAGAAAGTTGAGAGTCACAGAGGCAGAAGATCTAGTAAACGGCAAAGAATACACGAAGCGATTGAGACAGCAGTTCGAGCGACTCTATCCTCCACCTGAATGGGCCAATCCTTCGGCAAGAAAGCAGAAACGCAGAAAATCTAATGCATCGGACGGCTTTGAGCAATCTCCAGCTGACGACATGTCAATTGACTCAGACGATCTGTCAGCCCAGCCTCTGGACAAGCTTCTTCAATCTACCGCACCCCTCACACAACAATCCTTTACGATTCCCGGCGGAAGAAGAAAACTCCGCCCGGAAAAGATAGACGTCCACCGGCTCAAAGACATTGGTGGCACTCAGCCCGTACTCCCCCCTCCTGTCCCCTCCCATCCCTTCCCCTCCTCTTCCGCCCTATGAATCCCACTAACTTCTTCATCCTATATTTAGTCCTCAATAACAGCCCTAACCTTCCACCCCCACCACCCCCTCCTTCTCACCTCCGGCCCCTCCGGCCTCCTATCTCTATTCCACATCTCTCCCTCCCCTCCCCCCTCCTCCAACACCACACCAAACCCACTCTTGACAACCCTGCACCTCCGCCACACGCCCCTCACGACCTCCCTCTTCCTCCCCCCGGCCGGCAACAAAATCTTCCTCTCCGCCCGCCGACGGTACTTCCATGTCTGGGATCTCGAGTCTGGGAACGTGGCGAAGGTGTCAAAAGTTGTGGGGCCAGGTGGGGAGCGTTTGAGGAATTTTGAGCGGATGAAAGTGAGTCCGTGTGGGTCGTGGGTTGGGATCGTGGGGAGTGTGAGAAAGGGGGGCGGGGTGGTGCATGTGCTTGATGCAAGGACGTGCCAGTGGGTTGCGGAAGTGAGGGTGGAGGGAAATGGCGGGGTGGCAGATTTTGAGTGGTGGGGGAATGGGAGGGGGGTGTGTGTTTTGGGGAAGGGGGGCGAGGGAGTTGAGTACGCGATGGAGGAGAGGAGGGTGGTGGGGAGATGGATTGATGAGGGGGGTGTGGGTATCACGACTATTGCGTTGGGAGGAAGAGGGACAGGGGTGGATGGGCTTGGAGGGGATAGATGGCTGGCTGTGGGGAGTTCGAGTGGAATTGTCAACCTTTATGATCGGAGGGAGTGGAAGGGACGGGATGCTGTGCCCGCCAGACCGAAGCCGAGGAGAGCGTTGGATCAATTGGTTACGGCGATCAGTTCCTTGGTGTTCTCGCCTGATGGGCAGGTGCTGTGTTTGAGTAGTCGCTGGAAGAGGGATGCCTTGAGGTTGGTTCATCTGCCGAGTTGCACTGTGTATAAGAATTGGCCTACAAGCAAGACGCCGCTGGGCAGGATTAGTAGTGTGGGGTGGAATGCGGATGGGGGGATGTTGGCGGTAGGGAATGAGCAGGGCGTGGTGAGGTTGTGGGAGGTAAGGGGGTGATGAGGCAGTGGAAGGGGAGCTTGCAATGATAGATTTATTTCCCTCGCGTTGCCCCATATATCCATGCCGTTGAGCTCGTGGAAGTCACCCAGTATATATATGACAACGCATCCAGAGCACCTTTTACATAGCCGCCATATTATACCTATCTAGAAACCAGCCACCCATATTCCAGAACGGTGCGCCTTTCAAGCCTGCCGTTCCGCGTTCTTGATCCCCGCAAGATTCCCCTCCTTGACTCTCTTTATCGTCAAAGCCGCGATGAGTGCAGCACCAACACCACTGCCGTCCTCTGCACTGACAATATTCACCATATCTTTCTGCCCCTTCTCCCAGCCTAAGATCTCCCTTAGCGCCACTGCGCCCCGGGCCTTGAAATGCGGATATTTGTTGAACACGCTTCCATCCGCGCCGACGTGGCAGGTAGTGATGTTCTTTTTCTTGCAAATGGCCGCTGGCCCGCACGCAGACAGTCGGGCCGCTCTGGTGCCGATCAGTTCAGCTAGGCGGCGTATCAATTCCAATTCGGGTTTTTGGGCAGTGATGCCTAGTTCTTGCTTGAATATGTCTCCTGTCTCCTGCAGATTCTCGAAAGGATCGTTCTCGATGTCCGAGAGGAATGAGGCGTCGAGGGTGTAGGCGTCGCGGAGCTTGCTGATGTCCTGGCCGGAGAAGAAGTTGCAATTTTTGTTGTCGTGGATGTCGACGAGGACGAGGCGGAAGATCTCACCAAGGTATAGGCCTGCGATCATTTTCTCGAAGGCTTGCTGGCCTGGTCGCGGGGAGTCGTTGTCGATGATCACATCGTACTTGGTGCGAGGGAGGACGACGTTCTCGTTGTCGAAGGCGCCGTATTCGCAGTTGATGGCTATGGGCATGTCCGGGGGGAGGTTGTAGTCCGTAATCTTAGGGACGGAACCGCAATTTTCCATGTAGGCAGCGTTGCAGCCGGTGCCGAAGATGCAGCCGATTTTCATGGAGCTGTCGGTGTAGGCGGAGGCGATCAGGGTGCCGGTCGTGTCGTTTATGAGGGCGGAGAGTTTGACGGGGAGTTTTCGTTTGGCGAGGGCGGCTTCGAAGAGGGGGACGACGTCTTGGCCTTCAACGCCCTTGATGTCGAAGCCTTTGGTCCACCGTTGGAGGACGCCGTGATCGATATACTCTTGCGTTGCAGGGAAGGAGAATGTGAAGCCGATAGGGATGGTGTCAAGCTCGGCGAGGTTCTCGACTTCGTGATGGTACTCGATGAATTGTTGGATGCAGTCGGCGATGTATTCCCAAAGTTCGTCGCTTTCGCCTGTTCGCAGCTCTGAGGGCATCCGGTATTTGGATTGGATGATGTCGTATTCGCCCTTCTCTTCTAGGAGGATGACCTCGCAGACACGGAGGTTGGTCCCACCCATGTCGAGGGCGAGGAAGGTGCCTGTTTCATTGCCATCTGGGAAGCCCATTACCCATGTTGGATTCATGGGGATACTGCCTCCCTCCACACTCAAGCCTTTGTCCAGCTCTTTGACGAAGTGATCCGTGACCTGGATCAACTTGTCTTTTTCGAGGGAGAATATTTTCTCGAGCTCCTTGATCTGATCGAGGAGGTCATCCGGCACGTCGGCCATTGACCCCCTCCGGGAGGGCTGCCTTCTTGGGCCTAACGGAGGCATCTTGAATTGAAAGCCTTGAACACAAAGAGGAGACAGGAATAGCAGCTGTGGGGCAGGTCAGGTATCTCTGGAGCTCAACTAGAGCAACGGGCCTAGGTAAAGCGTTTGGAACCCGGGTCCCAACGGATAGCAGCAACGGTGGATGAAGGACAGCAGAGTCAATTTGTCGCCATCTCAAACAGGAAGCAGCATGGGTTGCACTCTTAGATGAGGAAGGAAGAGTGTGAGTTCATTGACAGTACGACTGGGCTTCGGTTGAGTATGATTGGGTTCTCACTCCCATGGATTATTTTGGGCGGGGACCCCACAGTGCCCGGCGGCTAACCCCGCGTAGACGAAGGTCTGCTTAGTCACGACTTAGCGGAACCTTGCTAGGGCTTTAGGGAGGCCTCACCGGCCTAGACCATTGGATCATGTTGGCCCAGCTCAGTGAGCTGTCAGAGTATCACGACGGTATCATGTTTGGGAGCCTCATCATCAAGACTGTTTGATGCCAATGGATTGGCGGAGGACGCGCGGGATGGAAGCACATTCTGGGCCTCTTTAGCGGCCGCACATGGCGTCACGTAGCCTTTGCCTGTAAGATTATTAACTAATTATCCTAATCATACCAGGGGGACTGCCTTGATTTATTCACCACAATGCCCTCTTCCTAGTTCCTACCTCCTACAGCCCGCTTGTTTTCACTTCTGCTTCTTGTGAACAGGTTCTTGTTCTACCTTGTCTTCTTCAATGGCACCCTCCTTCCTTCCATTGTTGTGACTTTCCTTTCTTTCCGTGAACCAAGCGCCCTGGTGCAGAAAGGAGGCAAGTAGTCCTCTATCCAGCCCATTGAGTGCTCCTCACTAACAACATGGATAGTGTAAACCCGACTCTCGTCTCGGCTGTGAGCCAGGTCACCAACCAACTGGTTGAACAGATGACCTCTACCTCCTCCACCTCTGCTACCGCAGTCCCAACCAGTGCATTGTCTGTCATCGACTCTGGAGCGGGCGAGGGTCAGTCGAAAGGCAGCTCTCTCAACACCTTCTTATCCACCTTGTCTACCGGTGCTGTCATTTTTGGCCTCGAAATCTTGCTGTTCATCATCATCAACAATAAATTGGAGCGCATCTATCTTCCAAAAACTTTCCTGGTCCCGGGTAAGGAGCGAACGGCAGCTCCTTCAAAAGGCTTCCTACAATGGATCCCCGCCGTTTTCAAGACTACAAACTCCGAATTCATTCAAAAGTGCGGCCTGGACGCCTACTTCTTCCTGCGATACCTGCGCACCCTGCTCAAAATCTTTATTCCCTGTGCCCTTATTCTTCTTCCAATACTGTTTCCAGTGAATATTGTCGGCGGCAGGGGGCCCCATTTCGCTGATCTGGGCGAATTTTCCAAGACCAAGAGCAACGGTTCTACTGACTGGAACAATGTGAATGGACTCGACATTCTTGCATGGGGCAATGTACATCCTTTCAAGAATAACAGGTATTGGACTCATTTGATGCTTGCTCTTGGTGTCATCATATACTCCTGTTGGGTTTTCTTTGATGAGCTTAGGGGCTACATCCGTTTACGGCAAGCCTACCTCACATCCCCTCAACATCGTCTTCGCGCTTCTGCTACGACAGTGCTCATCACAGCTATACCAACCAAGTGGTGTACGTTCGAGGCGCTAGATGGCCTCTATGATGTATACCCTGGAGGCATCCGCAACATATGGATTAATCGGAATTTTGACGATCTGAGCGACAAGATAAAGCAACGTAATAAGTTGGCAAAATCCTTGGAGTCAGCGGAGACGAAACTTGTTAAGAACGCCAAAGAAGCCGCTGTCAAGCAAGCGAAAAAGGACGCGAAGAGAAATAAGCCACAAGGAACCTCCGGGGCGCAGTCTTCAGTGGGAATAAATGGAGTAAATCAGTCTAGCCTTAACATGGCTCAAACGGACGGCATCAGTGCAGGTAATCCCCATCAACTCGGGCAGACGTTGGACGAAATCCTGGACGATCCCTCACCGGGCCGTTCAAGACCGGAGTCACCAGTTCACAAGAAGCCCATCATCCCGATTGCTGTCGTAGGACAAGGTATTGAAGCTGTAAGCGAAGGTCTTGATCGTCTCGGCAGAGTTGTGTTCAACAAGAAGTCGGTACCAAAACAAAAACAGCCGAACGATGTGGGTGAAGACGAGAAACCAAAAAAGAAAAAGGAGATTGAAGCAGAAAAGCCTAAAATCACGTACCGAACAGCGCATAATGAAGACTATGATCCCAATGAAGGCCAACCAAAATGGAAAGAATATCTCAAAGAAGGCGATAGAGATACAATGAGGCTTCCGATCTTTGGATGGCAGTGGATGATATCACTGCCTCTGCTGGGCCAAAAGGTCGACACGATCTACCATTGTAGAAAAGAGCTTGCAAGGCTCAACCTGGAGATAGAAGAAGATCAAAAAGATCCCGAGAAATATCCACTCATGAATTCCGCCTTCGTCCAATTCAACCATCAGGTTGCAGCTCATATGGCCTGTCAATGTGCCAGTCACCATATTCCCAAACAAATGGCTCCACGGGTCGTTGAGATATCGCCAGGTGATGTGATCTGGGAGAACATGTCCCTTAAATGGTGGGAAACTTATATTCGCACCGGAATCATCCTTGTTCTCATCGCAGGGCTTGTGGTTACGTGGGCTGCTCCTGTAACGTTTACTGGTCTCGTATCCAACCTCACATACCTTCAAAGCCTAAAAGGCTTACACTGGGTCGGCAGGATACCGGCAGTGGCCAAAGCGATCATTCAGGGTGTGCTACCTCCGGCCTTACTCGCTCTTATACTGCTGATCTTGCCACTTTTGCTGAGATTTCTCGCGAAGACCCAAGGTTGCTTGACGGGTATGTCGGTTGAGCTCACGGTACAAATATACTATTTCACGTTCCTTTTCGTCCAAGTATTCTTGGTGGTGTCAATCTCGTCGGGTATTACTACGATTATCCCGGAACTGGCAAAGTCCCCACAAAGCACACCTTCATTACTGGCCTCAAATCTGCCAAAGGCTTCGAACTATTTCTTCTCGTATATGCTGCTTCAGGCGTTCGGTACAAGCGGTGGTGCTCTGGTACAACTGGGTGAACTGTTCAAATGGTATATCCTAGCTCCAATTATGGATAGCACCGCAAGGCAGAAATTTCGACGCCAGATTAATCTACCCAATGTTCACTGGGGCAAGTTCTTTCCCGTCTACACCAACCTGGCGTGCATTGGTAGGTCAAGTCATATATCCACCCGAAAGTGGTTAAACTAATACTGAAGTAAAGGTCTAATCTATTCCGTGATCTCACCCTTGATTCTCATCTTCAATATCATCACCTTCAGTCTTTTCTGGTTCGTTTATCGCTACAACACTCTATATGTGACCAAATTCGGCTTTGATACTGGCGGTCTCCTGTATCCAACAGCGATTAATCAGCTCTTCACTGGCCTGTATACGATGGAGCTCTGCCTGATCGGGTTATTTTTCTTGGTCCGCGATGCTAAATTAGAGAATGGAGTGGCCACAACCAGCGGATCACCGTGTAAAGTTCAGGGAATCATAATGATTGTCGCCTTCTTCCTGACGATCATATTTCAATACCTGCTCAATACTGCTTTTGGTCCTCTCTTGAGATACTTGCCGATCACGCTCGAGGACGAGGCAGTCATGCGCGACGAAGAATTTTCACATGCCCAGGAGAAGCGATGGGCCGTCGAGGAACATGAGCAAGAAGAGCGGAAGTCATCCCCGGGAAGGACGCCTGACGCTGAGGACAGCCGCCCAAGTTACTCTCAGCCAGGCAGCCACCGAGGCCAGGAAAGCATTGAAATGGAGAATTTCGACGCTGGCCCAGATTTGAGAAGCGACCTTAGAAAACTATTGCCACCCAACCCTCTCTTGAACCCAAAGTCCTGGGCCGATCGTGGCAACCGCAGTCGCACATCATCACATATTTCTCCAGGCTTTGTAGAACATTTGAAAGCTCCACTCAAGTCTCCTCGACGACGGCATCACACAAAATCGTCAGATATCGAGGCACAGCACAAGGGTTCAAATCACATTGGCGAAGCTCTCTTCGCTGGCATCAACGACGAAATCGAAGACTTGACTCCCGACGACAGAGACAAGCTTGTCCGAAGGGCCTTCCAACATTCAGCGCTCCGAGCACGTCGACCAGTGATCTGGATACCACGAGATGATTTAGGTATTAGTGACGATGAGGTGAAGAGGACGAACGCTACTTCTGAGTACATATGGATTAGTAATGAGGGGACTGGCTTGGATGCCAAGGGGAGAGTGATTTACCGGAGGAGCCCACCGGATTTCTCGGAGATCGATTTGATAGAACTGTGAGCTGTATTATAATTTACTTGTGGTGGCAATGGTGCAGCGATTCAGCGAGCGTGCGAGCGTGCATGATGTACAATGCAGGAGATACCCCGATGAAGACTTCGAGCTTCAAACTTAATGCATTCGCAGAATGTCGCTGGACGATGGCATGTGTTTGCTTCGATAGCTCGCAGAATATCGTGCCTAAGGAATGGCACTTTAATGATCAAGCAATTGGAACATATTCAATCTACTTCCATCACACTAATACATAATTCGCAAACCTCATGCGCGGGCTTAAATGCTCATCCTCCTCCCTTCCTCGCCCTCATCACTCGTGCACAGGTGACCCCAACCAGCACTCTGAGACGAAAGAGGCGAAGCTTCCCTTCTTCCTTCCTCCAAACATCCGTCCTCGGACGAGGACGACGAAGGCGAAACGTCCCAGAGATCAGGCATGTCGATATCCCCATCTCCCTCACTTTCACCCCCACCTACTGCATTCCCCTCCGCGTCTTTTGCCTGCAGAGTAGAGTTCACTAAGTCCGCAAGTGAGGAGACTGGCTGTATAGTGGTGGCCGTAGCGGTGTGGGGCGTGCAGGTGAAATCGAGTTCTGGGAGGATGAAAGCGCTGTCGACGCTGCGGGATCGCGGTGGTGAGATGGGATTGCAGGAGAGAGGGTTTAGCTGTTGCCGAAATTCTTGGGTTCTGTTTTTGATAGGGTCGGTGGTGGCTGTGCTGGTGGAAGAAGAGGAGCGAAAGAGACTTTTGATCGAAGAGACAAGCTTGATGGGCTCGTAGCTGGTATCTTCTGCTCCTTCTCCTCGGCTGACTTCTTGGTCTTCATTACCGCCTCCGGCACGGGTGACGGGCGCCTGAGCGATACGATCCGGATCGAGAAAGCTGAAGTCGGCGTTCTTCGTCGCTTCTGCCGCTCTTGCGGCTTTCACCTCCTTCGCTTTCCAGTGGCAAGCGCTGGGGTAAAGACACTGGGTTGTGCAATCCTTCTTCGACCTCTTCCTCTTATGCCCGTGACTTTCTGATAGTGAAGGGGTGTGCGAATGGCACTCGCGTGCACGTTCCTTCCACGCACCTAGCTCCTCCCACCCCAAATAGTCGAATTCGCTCCCGCACGCTTTGTGTCGACGCATCCGACCCGTTCGTGGATCTGAGATCGTTCCGCCTCCGCAGAAGTAATGCCCATCGTGCAGACAGCGCCGGGTTGCACCTAGGGGGTAGCGGGAGGAACATTTGTGACAGGACCAGAGCCAGGGCATTGGGTCTGCGGTGGTTGGGGAGATAGAGACGGGAGGTGAGAAATTGGAATGGGGAGATTTGAGGGCAAGGGCGGAGGAGAAATGGGAGGAGAGGGTTGTAAAGGATTGGCGAGGCTTCTTAGTTTGTTTAAAAGTTATAGCCGTGGGTGATTTAGGGGAGGAAAGCGTTATGGAGAGTGAGAGGGGAGAGGAGCGAAGGACGTTCAGAGGGGTGTGGCGATTCTTCATTGAGTGGTGTTTGGCTGTGCAGTTGGTGGAAAGCGAGGTTTATTAGGTTATTGGCTCGGTGGAAATGGTGGGCAGTTTTCAAAGTATGAAATTGTAATGACTATGAAGGAGAGGAAGCTGTAGAAGAGAATATGAGGGAAACGAAGGACAAGAATGCTCTTCAACAGTATCTTTCGTGGAAAGACTATGTATAGCGACACTCCTTTGTTCCATATTTGGAGAATCATGAGATTCATGCTGACTGTTTCATTGCACCTTGTGTTCTTTCATCGTTTTTCTCTTTGTTCTATGCAGCTGGCGAATGGGCTCGGCTCGTCGTGGCCGCGACGGCGATCTTGAGCTTCACAAATTCAACATGAAAAATTGCATCACTAAACCCTTAGCAACTGGCGACGACGAGGTACACAATTGGATCGCGGCCAGCACTTGGAGAGACGCGAAACCGTTTGTCAGAGTTCGGCGAAGAGGCGGGCGGCCGTTGCAATTATTAATACCAATATGATCGGGTGAAATGAACGTAAGACGACTAGGAGAGGGATTCCACACAGGCGCCGGCGGTCAGATGGAATATTAATATATGAATAATGACCATCGGATGGAGCGGAATTAATGCTCGCGTGACAAGAAAGTATTTGCCCAGACATGCCGAGAAATAGGCCCAACATCTTCACGGACCACGGACCAGGGGTCAGACATATGACAGCGGGCAAGTGCTGGCTGCTGCATAGGCTTGCTCGTCTCCTTGGTTCTGCAGCGTGCCACACTCGACACTCCAAAATCTAGACCTAGTCAGCCCTTGTGGCTCGACCGGTCCTGCAGCTTCCCATTCGTCTCATTTTTATTCATTTTAGGAATGGCAATTCTGGCACAAGCCCGCCAAGACAACAGGCGAAATCAAGATCATCCTAGAATCCTCTTTCGATGCCTGGTGATTGGTGACATGGACAATGGGAGCATTATCAAGCGAGAGGATGAGGGAATCTTGCTGGATTGGGCCCGTGGGCTTAGGATGATAGCGGTAGTGAGATCTCTGAGATCTCACGTCGGGACGCGCGAGCGAGACGCTCCGGGGGGAAGAGGAGGGCCTACTGCAGTAGTGCTCCATTATTCAGGAGGCGTTAGGAGTCTAGGACAGCAGCAGCAGATGCAGGAGACCTGTTCAGGCTTGGCGCGATAAGAAGCTGGAAGGGACGAATCATAGGGCAGACAGATCCGTTTTCGGAGGCTTATACCATTACGAAACGGAGACGATGCCCTCGTGCTCCCCACGCTACCCACCACTATGATGGACTATGATGGACTATGAGACCCGGTGGGTCCGCTACCATTCACTACCTGACACTACTATTTGACTTGCATAGAAGCCCGTCCGTGCAATCAACTTCTGCAGCCAATCGCTGCCCCGAGGCCCTCTATCCCGCCACCAAAAAAGCTCCCCCCAACCTAAAAACCTCATTCCATTTTCCCATCCTTCCCTGACTGCTGCTCGTCTAGCCACACACCAGCAATCTGCTCCACAGCTTTTCCGTAATGTGGATGACCAAAATCAACTTTTCATATGCCCATCATCGTGAAATTGCTGCAGTCTGCTGTAATTCGACGCGGTCACCGCCTGGGCGAATGTTATGGCATCGCATAACGTTCCGACAGCTTTTCGCGGAGCTGAACAGCCTGAGCTGCAGTAAATAATAGACAGGCAACAGCGTACGATACCGTGTCTGACCATGGGCCACACACCCGTCTGGATCGGTACCTTAACCTTCACTTCGTGCAGAAGCTGCATCGTTCCGCCGATCAGTAGCGCCCGACCCCATCATGCGTTTGGTGGTAATCCATCAGTGATCGACTTGAGTAAAGCGTCCTTTGGAGCTGTATCTCGCTCTGCCCATGCTCTTATCAGCACCGCTCGAAATGCCCACTCATCCGGCTCTTATTCTTTCTTCTCACGGTCAACCTTGGCACATCTGCAATAGAAAACCCCTGCTCTGCCCTTCTCCATTTCTTCTTCCCTTTTCCTTCACCTCCCTCGTCGTCGTTCCTCTCAAGCGCCGTCATCCTTTCCTTTCCCGCGCCAAGCATTCGGGCCAGCCTGCCGTGGGTTCTTATTAAAGAGTACTCGAGCTCTGCAGAGCTACCTCGCCGACCATGACGACCTTTCCAGCGCCCGTGGGCTACTCGCCCTCGTATGCTTGGATTGGATCCCCGACTCAATTCAACGGATCGAGCGCACTTACCGGTGGTGATTCAAGTATGTGAATATTCTGCCCCACTCCATCACTTCTCTCCTCTATCAAGAGTTTAGTCGAGAGCCCTACAAACTCATCTTTGGCCAACTGATCACTACAACTATTTGAAGAATCAAGTTGCTGACAATTGACCTCAGCTGTGGAGAATGTCAACCAGTGGTTTGCGCCAGGTGACCAAGCCTACATCATTATTGCCAGCGCCATGGTCGTAGTCATGATACCGGGCCTGGGTTTCTTGTACTCAGGCCTAGCCCGGCGGAAGTCAGCGTTATCCATGATTTGGGTCTGCATGATGTCGATATCGATCATCACTTTCCAATGGTATTTCTGGGGTTACTCGCTGGCATTTTCGGCACAAGCCACGAACGGTTTTATCGGTGATCTCAAGCATTTCGGTCTCATGTACACTCTTGCCGCACCAAGTCCTGGCAGTCCATTGATTCCAGAGCTGTTGTACGCCTTCTACCAGGTATGATACGGAGATCTAGCCATCGATTAGGGAGTTCCGGCTAATGATATGCATCTAGATGCAATTCTGCGCAACCACAGCCGCCATCACAGCTGGTGCTGTCGCCGAGCGTGGCCGCGTCCTCCCGTGGTGCGTGTTCTGCTTCTGCTGGGCCACAATCGTCTATTGCCCGATTGCCTGCTGGGCGTGGAACATCAACGGTTGGGGCTTCAAATATGGTGTCCTCGATTATGCTGGTGGTGGCCCCGTCGAAATCGGCTCCGGCATGTCTGCATTGGCCTACAGCTTGGCTCTCGGCAGGCGACAGGAAAAAATGATGGCTAATTTCCGTCCTCATAACGTCTCTTTGATCGTGCTCGGCACAGTCTTCCTTTGGTTCGGTTGGTTAGGCTTCAATGGAGGATCGGCCTTCGGCGCCAACTTGAGAGCTGTCCAAGCTTGCTGGAACTCGAACTTGACTGCCATGTTCGGCGCCATCACCTGGGTTCTGCTCGATTGGAGACTCGCCAGGAAATGGTCTATGGTCGGTTGGTGCTCCGGCGCCATCTCTGGTCTCGTTGCAGCCACCCCTGCATCTGGTTACTGCACGGCTTGGGGGTCCGTCATTCTCGGCGTTGTGACAGGCATCGTATGCAATTACGCAACAAAGAGTGAGGATGTTTCGTCTTAGGTATAAACAAGATTTCAACTGACCTGTTCATAGTCAAATACTGGATCAAGATTGATGACACCATGGACGTTTTCGCTGAGCACGGTATCGCTGGTATGTTGGGCCTTTTGGCCAATGCCTTCTTCGGTGCCGCCTATGTCATCGGTCTTGATGGTGTTAATTCTGGCATCATCACCGGAGGCTGGATCGATCACAACTGGAGACAACTCTATGTACAGATTGCGTATATTCTCGCCGCCACTGGCTGGGCTTTCTGCGTGAGCTACGCTCTTGCCATGGGCATCAACTACATCCCCGGTCTGAAGCTCCGAGCCAGCGACGAGGCAGAGCTTCTAGGTATGGATGATGATCAGCTCGGCGAGTTTGCCTATGACTACGTTGAGGTCCGCCGAGATTACTTGGCATGGACTCCTGCCAAGGCAGAGCCGACCGGTGATGCCAACATCCCGCAGCATGAGAGACACGGTGTTGGTCAGCACTCCGACATGCTGGTCGGCAAAGCACCAAGCAGCGATCAGAGTTCAAATGGCATGGAGCACACCGGCATCGGTGGCGACAGACATGGTATGGCTGTCGAGGAGAAAGAAAAAGTCAAGCATTGAAATAGACTTGTGTGAAGTGAAAGCCTACATTTGTAGCACATGCGAGAAGCTAGGGGTTCACAATTCTATAGTACATAGTATCATGCCGGTTGAGACCACGGGGTTTTGGGGTCAAATTGCTTTTGTCTATAGCTACGGTACGGAAGATGATACCTTGGGAGCGGTTACATTTAGCAGGTGCAAATTGTTGTAATAAACGAGCTATCAAATAGAAAGGCAATCTCAACACGATCAATATACATTTCCAAATCGCTCCTCGGCAGTTCAGACATGTTTAGTGTCCCAATATCTCAAGGAAGCTTTCATATCGTTCACCTGCTGAGCAGGAGCAACAGTGCTGCAGGGCAAATACTGCCTCCTTTCCGCTACACTTACCTCCACACGAAAGACTGATTTGCATAGCTTACCCAGCCCTCCTCACAGCAAATATGAGCCGCTAACAGCCAGTTTGCACCACATCTCCACTCTCAGAGCTTGACTTGATCGTGACCCAGAGGCATCGCTAAGGAGCGTCGGCAACGGGCTTCAAGCCGTCAATTTCTTGATGGTTTATGTTGATAACTGTGGGTTGGGGATAGTCGATTTCAGCCTTACGGTGTAGACAATCAGTCAGTTCAAACATTATTGGAATCGACTGTTAAACTATTAGCCTTAAAATCCGACGAGAACTAGGCCTAATTGATCAGGAATGCTGCTTAAAGTAGACTAGCCTTTCTGTCCTTTGCCAGGTTTGGTTTAGCTTCTTTTCAATCTTTTTGCCTTTCAACACAACATTCTATGCACTCAGGGTGTTTTTGAATGAGCTGTTAAGCTTACCGCAGAAAGGCATAGCGGCAACAGCTACAAACCACTCTATGTAGAGCTTCAGTATCAAAGACTGATAAACCTAGTTAACAATTTCACTGTTCAATCGGCTGTGGCTCCACCAAGCATGAGTCCGTGTGGAAGGTTGCAATAACCAGTCAGTTTTGGCGTCAAAAACAGCTGCCAGCACTGTTTGCAAGAAGCCTGACAACTTGACTGAAGTAAAGGAAGAATAAGGGGCTGCGTAAGTCTAACAGTGAGGCACTTTAAGCTGGCTAGTTTGGGAGAAATGAAGGATGAGGTACCTCAAATCTTGATACTTGTAGGATCGCAATCGATGAAGTGGCTCCCAGAGTATTTGGACGACGATGGCAAGGCGCTAGTAGGTGGTTAGAACCCCTTGGACTCCATCCGCATTGAATTGTTCAATTATGTAACACTCCTGAAATGCATATCACGCTCTCTTCACACACCAATGCACGCCTCAATCTAGCGAAACCGTCACATGCTACTTCAGATTTCATAATCAGGTGCATCAGACTCTGTATCCTGGTTGCTTAGAGCTGAGTAGACAGGTGCATCCGACTTGCAAGTGACGGGCTTGAAGGGCTTGTCCGGCTGTTTTCCGATGCCCTGGTAGCACGCCGTGGGTATGACTGCAGTGTGGGTAGTCGTCAACTCTGTCGTGACGGTCGTTTCAGTGGTATAGTAGTGGGCCGTTGTGGTCGTGTCGATCCAAGCCGTGACCGTCGGGCGGACTGTGCTGGTGACGGGAACGAACTTCTCGCATATTCCTAGAGTGGCACTCTTTCAGCATGTACACACCAGCGGCAGGGAGCATGTGATGATGCTGACCTTGTACGCTTTGGGTAGCGAGTTCCACGACGGCTTTGTAGGAGGTCTCGGTGATTGAGTGTGTCTACTCTGGATCAGCATTCAGTCCAATCGATGCTTTCAATGACCTACTTTATTGAAGGTATGTATGCGAGGTAGATATTCAACAATGGGCTCTCCAACGTATACAGTCTCCTCCGTAAGATCCATGGGCCCACAATCCATATTTCTGGGGCATTGTGGAGCCTGCGTAACCAGGGCTGGTGGAATAGGGGCACTGAAATCTGCTGCTACAAGAGCTATCGGACGAGTTAGTCGCTGTTGAAAGGATACGTGACGGCTGTTCGTATCGAAATGCGAACGTATGCGTACCAGAGGCGGACAGCATCGCCAAAGCGATCCCTCGAAGCGACATTTTCGTTGATATGAGTATACGGTAAGGCCGGCTGAGATTTGAAATCAGTGAAGATAATGGCCACGTTTTTGGAAGATGGATCCAGGGGTCCTATTTGTACCATCTGATATTTCATTATGGTACTAGAGCAGTCCCACTTCCTAGGAGGTCTAGAACTGTTGGATTTCACAGCGTTTCCAAATGGGGAAATCTGTTTAATGAGCGTGGAGAACCTCTCCTCGTTTGTGAGGAGAGTCTCATATCCTAGTGGTCACGATCTGGACATCTGTATAGCATCTGAGGGAGATCTTTGGAGGCGCAACGGACTGAAGCTGACAACGACGTTAGCGAGCGACTAACGTCTCCACTTGTCAGTCCCAAAGAGGCAAACGTCGACTACGGGACGGCGGGAACCACGTCCTAACATCTGCCAATTTCCGCATTACCTTTTTCGTAACATTTGTGACAGGCCGATCTTATCCAAAACTTCAAGCAACTGATGAGCGACGTTCGAGATTCTCGATCTTGAGTCTGGTCTCTGGCCAGTCGAGCTTGCCTTCACCTCTAGTCCTTGAGTAGAAGGCCTGGCCTGATGTCAGCAGATACTATCGACAAAGGCTACATCGATCCGCTTCTTTCTGGACGCGTGAGCACTGCCAGTAGGAATCATCAACATTGCCAGAGTACAAAGTCCCAACAGCAAGGCCACCTTGTGTACACTTCATGCATAAATTCTTCTACCTACCTGCATGAGAAATCATGGTTATAGACTTGGAAACTTGGGCTTTCAATGCACGAACGGGTTTATACAAGGGTCGCCTTCATAGCTGCTATTACTGAAAGTGACAGTCTTAATCATGGGCTGCTCAACTGTATATATCCTTCAACATGTTCTGCGAAGGAAAATTCCAGAATCTGAGATGAGGGGCAAACAGAAACGTGACAACGCGGAAGGAGGAGAAGGAAAGGGAAATGACAAGGAGGAATCATCATCCTTCGAACGTATTTTCTCAGAGCTGAAACTAAAGGAAGCTCTCTATTCGCACAGTCGTTGCTCTACGTCGCGGCCTAATCTTCATGGGAGCGATAATTGTTCAGGCGAGGGCCGTGCCTTTCTGCTTCCTCAAGGAGTAAGCTGTATGCCACACCGGTACTTCAGACCCTTCTCCTTAGCAAGGAGGACATCAAAGCGAGTTGCGTTGCGGCGAAAAATGGAAATATGAACCAGGTCAACATCACCAGTATATTCGTCAGTGCGGCACTCTGAAGGCTGAAGATCAAAATTTCCGTCATCACTTTCGAGGCAAACGTGCTTAGCGATAAAGGCTGAAAGTAAATTGTTGCTATCTGCTTTGTTCATGGTTGAACTTGAGTCCAATTTCAGGAAGCTATCTTCGACATATACTGAAGCATAAAGTAGTCGTGCTACTGCTGCTCGGAGAATGGAAAGGCGAGTGTAGAGACGAAGGCAAGAAAATGATCATATCGTGACAGACCATCAGCCTAATTCAAGTCACGAGTCATACAACGCGCTCATTCTGACTCGCTCATTATTCCTTGAGAACGTTCCAATCGGGGCAGCCGATTTATTTCTGATTCGATTCACCAGTCCACGACCGTGAAGAGCTGATCCAGTTTGTATTTGCTGCAGTGGTCACGTTCCTAGTCGTGTTGGTGAAGGATTACAGTTCAAGTAGTTCTAGCGCGAGTTTTCTCGGCATTCCTAATGACAACTTATCCTTCAGTCCGCAGGGCAGCATGTGCACGACTTTGCGGTCATCGTCGTTCTGTCATCCAGGTATATCTCCAAATCTTGGACCCAATTTTCCAAGAAGCCATCCAAAGCATGCATGAACAAGCCGTCATTGCTTAGTCAGCTGCGTACCCTTGGCGGAAGTGCCGGCTCGCATCTCGTGAGCGTCGTCATTGCGTCCAATCACCGCCAATGTCCATGCCCAACAAGGGCATGGCACCAACGGCGCACAATCTTGTGACAGGATTAATGGCCCACAACGCCACCGACTGAGAAAAGCCTGGACTTCTGCTATAACAGCTGTAGGCTATCTCTCGAATCATCACTACACAATCAGTACAACATGGCTCTTTCCAAACACGTACGTTGAGATGGTGTGTGTGATCTTGAGAACTGAATTGCTAACGTCGGCCGTTTCCAAGATTGATCCTGATCAATTGATCCATGATCTCCACGATCACCCTTCCCAAGCTCACCGGCACCATGTCCACGTCAAGAATTCCATCTCAACAATCACCCCATACTCCTCTCGCTACGCATCGCAGTCTGAAATAAGCAAATACGTCATCCCACAGGATGGAGCCCCCGCTGATGCAGTGCGCCAAATGTTGCAGGACGAGCTTGATCTCGATGGACGGCCCAATCTCAACCTCGCCTCCTTCGTGGGCACGTACATGGAACCAGAGGCTGAGAAGCTCATGATTGCTAATCTAAGTAAAAACATGAGCGATGCAGATGAGTACCCGGCAATGATGGCAATGCATGCTCGCTGCGTCAGTATCATCAGCCATCTCTGGGGTGTCCAGAAAGGCGAGACTGCTGTTGGAACAGCCACTACTGGAAGTAGTGAGGCTATCCATTTAGGAGGTTTAGCTATGAAGAGGCGTTGGCAGGAGAAGAGAGACAAAGAAGGCAAGGATAAAAGTAAGCCCAACATCATCATGGGGGCTAATGCGCAGGTGGCTTTGGAGAAGTTTGCGCGATATTTCGAGGTCGAAGCCAGGATCCTGGATGTGAGTGAGGAGAGCGGCTATCGCCTGGACCCGGCATTGGTGAAGCAGAACATTGACGAAAATACTATTGGGGTCTTCATCATCCTCGGGTCTACGTATACGGGTCATTACGAACCAGTCGAAGAGATATCGAAGATCTTAGATGAGTATGAGTCAAAGACCGGAGTCGATATCCCGATCCATGTCGATGCTGCAAGTGGTGGCTTCGTTGCTCCATTCACTAATGCCAAAGTTGGTGGCCCGAGATGGAATTTTGCCCTGCCCCGTGTCAAGAGCATCAATACTTCCGGCCACAAATACGGTCTTGTTTATTGTGGCGTTGGATGGATTATATGGAGAGACCAGGCTTGCTTACCTAAGCATCTCATTTTCGAATTGCACTATCTTGGTGGTACCGAGGAGTCATACACTCTGAACTTTTCTCGTCCAGGCGCCCAGATTATCGCCCAATACTACAACCTGGTACATCTTGGCTTCAACGGGTATCGTGCAGTGATGGAGAATTGTATGGCAAACGCGAGACTTTTGAGTAAGAGTCTAGAAGCAACCGGATGGTATCAGTGTGTCAGTGATATTCACCGGCCCAAGGGAGTACACAAGCTGCAAAGCCCGAAAGATGTCAAATTTGGCGAGGAGGGCGAGACGAGCGCGGACTATAATGCTGGGTTGCCAGTCGTGGCCTTCCATCTCTCTGGTGCGTTCCGGAAAGATCACCCGCACGTCAAACAAATCAGCATCTCCACGCTTTTGAGGGCAAAGCAATATATCATCCCCAACTATCCGCTGCCTCCCAAGTGTGAGAAGACCGAAATCTTGCGGATTGTGGTGCGCGAGAGCATGTCCCTGGATTTGCTAGATCGACTGATCACCGACATCATCACTGTCACTGAACAATTGCTCGACTCGGATCCCGTTGATCTGACCCCATTTCAACCGGGAGCAAGCCAGGTTGGACATCTAGAGAAACAGATGCAAAGTGTAGGATTAGATTCTAAGGATCATCATAAGGCAAGGCGGCCTATGTCTAAGGGGGTTCACCGGACAGTTTGTTGAGTTAGTAGCTGCACGATGTTCTGACGAGCAGCATGGCTTTTGATGGTTATCAAGGGGTTATTTAAGCTCAGTACAGCATTATAAAAGTCTTGCCAATTACATAGATATGCATAGGTGAAATGAAGGCTCAAAGCAGCAAGACACAATTCTTCTTCGCAACAAAAGGAATTTCCCATCATTTTGACAAGATCGCCAGGTCAGTACAGTGGTAAAACCATTGTTGAAGACGCGTTGAAGTGGCATTAGGGTAGCATTATGTGGAGAAGGATGTAGGGAGGAGCCTTTTAGGACAGCGGAAAGGTTCGATTGAGGGAACGGCTAGTGCCAACAACCAGCCACTCAATAATCCTCAGCTGTTCTAGCCTTGCGAAAGTAATATTACGGTTGCACGACGCGTTTGTACATAGGAAAAGTGCTACCATCTGTCTATTCACTCCTTGACATAGCCCGATGATACGGAAGTAATGTCTGTATATATGAATAATTAGAGCGCTCCCCATCTTTGGAAGTAAGTAAACTCGCCAGCCCCGCTAATCCTAGGACTGCAGCTACACCAAGTCTTGCAACCAATCAGCTTGTGAACATGTGGAATCCGTTCAGTGGCAAGTCAGACCAGGCAAACCAGCCTCCGCCTAATAAATCATACAATCGGGGTAGCGACGGTGAAAAGCGCAGCACACGATCGCGCGCTGAGTCCTTAACATCGAAAGCGTCAAAGCAAAAGGCTGACGCTCAGCCTGGCGACAAACGCGATCGAAAGAGCCGAGCTTCCACAACCAGAGCCTTCGACGAGAACGTGAGCGACCCTTTCGTGGCTTCGAGCTATGCCACAGGCGCAAATGACGATGAGAGTCCTCTGCGGCAGGCAGCAGAAGTGAAAGGTGAGAAGAGAAGAATGCCCAGATCCGAGGATAGTCGGGACCCAGCAGGGAGAAGTCGTGATGATATGGAAGATGGATCTTACTCTCGGAGCGACCGCCGTTTTGAGCTTCCCTCACGGAGCAATACAGACCCCGTACAGGTCAGGAACCAAAAAGACCCGCGCGCAACTCAAGATCATGACTCGCAAGAAAGACGAGATCGAAAGGAGAGACGGCGAAAGAGCTCAGGCTCTAGCAAGAGCTCCGGTACTCGTCGAGATACACGTAGTTCGAAGAGAGGTCCTGTTGAATCCGATGATCAGGATGACGCGGCCGTGCCCATAAAATATTCCGTAAATCCGGATGGCATACCTCCCAGCGTTCAAGGCCAGCCACCATCGCAGACCAACGGTGGGCCACCGATCATTTCTCGACCTCCTCTGGCCGTCACTGAAGGCGGGCCTGGCCTAGCATCTGATTATTACGGGGATGCAGGGGACTCTGTCGCCCAGCAGCCAGGTGTTCGGATTCACTCTCCCTCTCTGATCGTTGGAGCGGAGCCACACTTACAACCAGCTTCGTCTGTGGCCGCTCCACCGCCCGAACCGAGTCAATCAGGAGGCGTAGGGGCTGCCGCGTCCTTTTATAGTGGTGAATTCGACGACACAGCCTCGATGACTACGCAGCAAACTCAATCTGTATACACTTCAGCACCGAGTCGTCCTCCAAATAGCCTCCATTCCTACTCAGCTCCTTCTACAACTACCTTAGGAAGTGGTGCCCTGGGAGGCACTGCTGGCTACATGATGAGTGGGGCAATCTCATCAAATCACCACGATGGAAACTCTTACTCGGCCGCAGTTGGGACCCAGGAAAATGTATCCTCTTCTAGACCTCCGAGGCCAACCAAGTCTTCCTCCCATTCATCTAACATGCCGCTCTACGCAGCAGGTGCTGCAGGTGCTGCGGGCCTAGTAGCAGCGGCTCATAGTACTCATAGTCATTCTCACCAAGACAACTCGTCTTCGCATCATCCATCTTCAGCACAGCAATACTACTCTACGCCATCGAAGCAGCGACGTCGTCCGCATGGACCTCTAGGCGCTATTGTCAATTTTGTTAGAGACCCAGATGGGGTGGCACAATACGAAGAATATTCTGAAATTATGGGAATATGTAGGAGCTGTTTTGACCCTGGCTCTACCCCTCGAGATGCTCCACGTAAACACCGTTATTGGAAAAGAGCCTCGAAGGAACATCTTGGAAGCAGAAGTCGTGTCGACAAGCAGCACCGTTACTCCGCTTCATCATCATCTAGTTCGGAAGATGAAGGCCACATGAAGAAGGACGCATCTTGGTTCGGTGCCGGTCTTGCTGGTTACGGTCTGGGCAAAGTAGGAGAGACATTATTCAATGAAAGGAACGATTTTGATGATACATACGACGTCAAGTCAGGGCGATACTCTCCAGACCCTGGTGTTCAGTCTGGTCGAAAAGAAGCCTACGACAGAAGGGTCGAGGTGACAGCAATGGACGGCAAAAAAACAAGGCCGGGATCAAAAGATGTCGTTTACACTGAGCCTATGCCCCTTCGTCCGATTCGCCAGCCAATTCCCTCAAAAGTGAAGTTAGGAGAGGGTATAAGTCTTGCCAACGATTTCCAAGAAAGCGCAGCCGTTACACCAAATACTCGACCGCGAAGTCGTTCGCCGAAGCAAGTCATCGTAGGACGGCGTCACTCGGGCGGCAGATCCCCAACACAATTTCAGAAGCATCAAAAGCCAAAGAAGAAGAAAAAAAGGGGGGTTCTTCGGCTTCCTATCCTCCTCGTCCTCGTCTTCGAGCTTAGAGACACTCGCTACCTCTCGAAAAACGAAACACAGAAAACGTGCAAGCTCATATGATCGGATCAAAAACGATCGCGAGGCCGAGGCGGCACTCCTAGGTCTAGGCGCCGCTACCGCAGCATTGGCCCTCAAAGACTCTCGCTCAAGCGGCAAAGGCAAGAAAAATGCGGTCACTGTCAAAGACTCGAAAGACAGATCACATGAACACGTAAAGAATGGAAGAGCTGAGCGCTCATCCAGCAGTCACGAGGATGGTTGGGAATCCGCTTCTGAGGGTGATATTAGCCATGTCGACTCCGACCTCGCCTTTGGCTCCCCTTCTCGACGCATGAGCTTGGAGTCGCTCTCCTCTCAGTCGTCTGGAACTGACAAATGGGATTGGCGCTGGGGCTCGAGACAAAAACGTCAGGGCTCGCAAGATAAAAGACCATCTGGTGAAGACATAGGCGAGATGATGTCCCATGCGAAAGCATCCTCTTCGTATGTAGCCTCCCCTGATGAGTTCCAAGCCTCAACAGCCCAGAATGCCAGTTCTGCGCCTCTGCAATATGTGTACCCTGTTCCGACCTCCGATCCTGGGCGCTTTGATATTCAGAGAGCTGGCTCGAATGCTTATCAAAATAAGCCAATTGCCGCATCTCAAGCGGTAGAGGTACCTATTCAGCAGCCTCAGCCTATCACGCCGGTATCTGCAAAAATATATAACTCTCAGGCTCCTGAATCACATGCTGTCACTGTGACTGATGATTCACCACTTTTCTCCCAACCTTTGTACTCTGAGCCATCCGCCGAAATTCAAAATGCTTCAATCATCAGTGGGAACACCGCGTCGTCTCGCCACGTCAACGTCGGCGAAGATATTCCTAATGTCCTAAAACGAAGAGATAGTTCCCCTGCCCGCTTCAATGAAGACGTCGTTTCTAGCGCAATGGCTCCCAAGCGCAGAGCCTCCGCCAAAGATGACTTGTCCACCGTCAAGTTTGCAATGACCGAGGAAGAAGAGCAGCGAGAGAGACGTGAGAGACGTCGCAGGAGGCGAGAAGAAAGAGAAGCCGATGATAGCAAGCCATCTCGCCGTAGATCTAGCGATGATTCGAAAGCAGACCGTGCGTCGAGTACCAAATACGAAGCGCAGCCTGAGCAGAAAGAAGAAGAAAATTCTTGGATTGCCCCTGCAGTGGGAGTCACTGCGGGAGCCGTTACTGCTGCAGTTGTTGTGGGTATGTCAGAACGTGAAGAGACCCGGGAGGAACGCCGAGAAAGGCGACGCCGAGAGCGTCAGCGTGAGGACGAGGAGGATACCTTAGCGAGAAGTGAACGCCGCAAGAGAAAAGAAAGGCAAAGAGAGCTGGATAGCATTGCTGAAGGAAATCAACCCAAGATCGAAGCTTATTCCCGTGAGGAACGGGCTGCCGATCCTCAGCACGTCGTTGAAGAAGAAACAGTAACCCCACAGACGAAGTCGGTGTGGCAAGAAGCTGGAATCCAGAAGAAGACCGTCCATGAGGACTATCAAACGTTCTTTGCGCCTGCAGAGATCCTTAGTAAAAACGCTGATCAAACAAAAGTGTCGAATCCTGACCCCAATGCCGACGTCGAGCTAAGGGATGATGCTACTGTTTTTGAAATAGTACCCAAAGTCGAACTCAGAAGACCAGATGAACCTGAATTTTCACCAGCTGACGATCGCGATTTGCACGTAGACTTAACTAAACTATCGTTTCCTTGGGAAGTCCCTGAGCTAAAGCTTGTCAATCCAACGCCACCTATCAGCAGGACCTCGACGCCTCTTTTCGAATCAAGTGGCGTTCCTAAAGACCGCTCCGAAGATCATGTTGAAGAGCCGAAAGAGTTACCGCAAGTCGATCCAGTCACCAGAGGCAGCCCTGTTAGACCAGACGAAAGTCAAAGTCAAGGCACTTCGGGATCGCGTAACCATAAAGACAGTACTCACAAGGATTTCGACCCAAGTTCTGAAAATGTGAATACACAAGCCACGACCGCTGAAATGAAACCATCTGCTAAGGTTGTAGAGAAGACCGAGCAGGCTCACACAGACGAGAATGATTTTGACTTCGCGGCAACACTCGCAGCGGGTGCTCAAGACGCTGGGTTTGACCCATCAATTGTTGTGGATGATCCGAACTATCACAGACGAGACTCTCCACCAGGTTCTAATAGTGTGCAAGGACCAGCTTCTTTCGACGAGGAAGTATCAGCCGCAAGGAGAAAGAAAGATAAAAAGAGGCGTAAGAAATCATCTCGGAATGACACCCCACCAGAGACTTCTGCGGAGCGTAAGCGGAGTGCTGTTGTGGATGACATAATCAGTCAAGTAGAGAAGCAACCCCAAGATAGTACGCTTTCAAGCAAAGACATAGGGGTTGCCTGGACAAATGGACAGCCAGATGACGACGTCTCTCCACAGGATGACCGGCGACAAAGTTCATCGATTGCTAGTGATGAGGTCACGCGCAGCATGCACATGGACGATTCCGTGAGGGAACAGAGCTCTGAAATTGGGCCGCCCACATCCTCCGTTTCGAAGACTTCTGGTGAAAAAGAAACCAAGTCTAAAGCTAAGAAGAACAGTCTTTGGAAGAGGGTCTTCGACGTCAGCAACAAGAATGAACCAAATGATGCCCCCCTGCAACTTACAACGAAAATCCCAAAAAGGACGGCAAGGGTCAAGCTGTGGACGTCGGCCTTGTTAGCGAGGTGAGATCAGGTACGAAAACCCAAGATGAAAAGCCTGAGGTATTTGAGCCATCTCTGGTGTTGCAGAAAGTTACTAATTATGCCTTAGTTCGCGAACGCACTGCCTAAAGGTGAGATTGTAACGCCCGCCTCCGTATTGCAATACCTTGAGGAAGGTCAGGAAGAACGTGATATAGCGGGAAATGAATCAGCAAGCGTTTCACAGTCTTTTTTAGGGATGCGCCCGGATCCACCGCGTCCACCTAACATAGAGTCCTCGCGGGGTGACGATGAAGATCGGGGGCAGGAGGCGATTCAAACGACACCCCGATCGCACCAGAGGCGTCCGTCTGAAATCGTCATTTCCGAAGCCCAGCAAAGTGTTAGAGGTGCACCATCTCCAACATCGATACCAGTGAGTTTTAGAAGACCACGCCCAGTTTCTGGCCCCCCACGGTCTGCTTCAGAGTCTCCGTTATCCTCGATACGGGCTACTACAGAGACACATCCGAAGCCCAAGTCACGACCTCGCTCGACGGAGTTCAAGACCTCGACAGAAATGCGTCCGCTGTGGCTTGTTGAAAGACATCAATCACACCAGAGGCCTTCGTCTACTGAAACATATCCTCCCCTTCCTGAAAGTCATAGTACCTCAGCTGCATCGTCGATACATGACCCCGAAGAAGCTTACAACGATACGCACATTGGTCGCGGCGGCTCGAGCACTGCTGATGATGTCGTTGCTACACTCACTTCAGGCCATGAGCCACCCACAGACGTTCTCGACTCGGAGCAGTCTACGCCTACTGCGACTTCTTTCGATCCTCAGCAAGTAATATTTCCACCAGCTCCTGCTCTAAAATCTCCATCGCCGCCTCGAGCCGCTCATGTAGATTGGAACTCCACACACCCCAGCTTCCAAGACACTTCAGTGAACACTGGGAGTGGAGTTGCTACTACTGCGGCTCTAGATATAGCAAGAGATTCTTCGATCAAGGAGCCTTCCGTTAGCGGAGTAGACTCTATCCAACCTTTCGGAACTAGAAACATACAGCCAAAGAATGATTTTGAGAGGCAGGAAAAAGTCTCAACTCCTTGGTCGGAAGGTGACGGTACTTTTTCGCTGAAGGAGCAAATTGGTTCTGCGATGCCTGACAGGAGCGAACTGGCCGACCGATCCCACACAGATCTGAACGTCATCTCTGCGAGTTCTGAAGATAGCACTAGGTCTATAGTGTCTACCCCGGAGCCTGGAAAAGACGCCGTGACAAGTGATTTGCCTCGAGGACAAAGCATGCAAAGCATGATTGAGTTTACTCGTGGTGAAAACAGCGCTCCACCTGTAATAGAGGAGCCAGCCGCCCAGAGTAAAGCTGAGCAAGTGCCTGGCGAAGCTGCGCAAGGAAATGTAATCTTCGTGAACTCTGTTGACACTCACACCGACCAAGAAGACTCGCAAGATGCTGCCAATGCGCACATCTTAGGGAGGCATGTAGAATCGGGAAGAAACGGAAAAGTCGACATAGTGCCTCTCGTCTTCGATGCCGAGCAAACCTTGTCTGACACCGCCAAAGGTGACGATGATTTTCAGAAAACAGGTAATTGGGCTGCTGTTGATGCCACGCGGGCCCCGAGGCGAGCTTATGATGATCTCGAGGATACTTCGAAAGGAATGTCTGCTCTAGAAACTCAAGAAAATGCGATTGCCAGCGGGGTACCCTTCGATCACAGTAATGTCACTCAGTCACTTGAAGAAACCCTCGTAGACACTACCTCCACAAATACGAAGAAAAAGAAGGGCAGGAAAAATAAAAAGGTCAAGTCTGGTAGCCAGACACAGGAATTCGCGGCTATGCCGCCAATCGAGGCTGAGGGCAGCTCCGTCGAACGAGACGAGCCAGTCTTGGACACAGCTAGCTCTGCGATTAACACTGTGGAGCGAGGGCACGAAGAATCCACAGAAGAGGGACCAATCCATCTCCCAGAAAACATACAGGCTTCTCGGAAGAAGAAGTTTGAAGAGCCAACCGCATTGGAAGTTGAAGCGTACGATTTGATTACTCCACACTCTCCAAAGACAGATCTGCAACGCGAAAAGGGTGATCTTAATACCGCCGACCTTGGTCAATCTTCTCGTCTCCAGACTTCTGCTACCGATCGTGAGGCACAAAATGCCGCTGATCTCAGTGGGCCAGAGGTAGACGAAGGTCTTGTTTTGTCCACAACACCCAGCGAAGTCGTACTTCCGGGCTCCAATTTCCCAGCTGTTGAATCAAACAGTACTCAGGATTTATCTAGTCCTGTTTCCCATGGGGTTCTACACTCCGCGATGGAAGGAAAGGAATCGAGAGGAGAGTTTGTCGAGACACATGAAGACCCCGTTCAGATTCATGGTAACAACCCGGCAACGCTCACTGAGCCAAGTCACGAGCACGCCAGCCAGTCTTTTACGGAAGAAGCTATGCAACAGAAAGAGGTCCTTGCGTCACCTGTCGCAGAGAGACCATTGGATAGCGCCAGTAAAGAAGAAGATCCAAAGATACCCCACGAGATAAGTCCAGTCCCAGTCTTAAATATTGCCACACCTGCAATCGAGGCCAGAAGCACCCAAGAAATACCCCAGGTACTTGGGCCTCAGGCTGAGACGGAACCACTAGAGACTACGTTTATACCCAAGACAATTGAGCACGGCACTAATTCAGCAGCTATTGCACAAGAGAAAGAGGTCTCTGGAAGTCGTCTAGAACAAGAAGACCATGAAAGGAGTACGACTCAAGCTGAACAAGGAATCGTTTCGTTTGTGGCAAATCCCGAGACCAAGGGCTCTTCTTCACCTCTAGTCGATGTCATGGATTCCGCGAACGCCACCAAGCCTAAGGGTATGACACCAGGAGATCTCGAACCTGATCTAAATACCTTCAGCAGGACGGAGGACAAGGATAAACATGATGAGCCGACTGTGTCTAGCATCGACTTCGACCATGAGGATTTGGTGATCCATCGTGAAAGTAACAGAATTCCGGATGCCTTCTTTTCAGCTGAACCTAGTGAAGCCTCTGTTGAACGATTGATAGCTCCCGAACAACACGAGCAAGACGCAGTAAGTGAGCCAAGTCCACAGGGATTCGCCGGAAGCAGTGCAGTAACGGAAGATTCGACCGAACAACCCGCTAACCAGAAAACGCCCTGTACTGAGCTCCCATCATCACGCGAGCCAGATAGGCAGGATGAAGATGCTCATTCTATCAAACAGGAGCATCTCAAAAATACTGACTCAACGTCAGATGAAGCGCCTATTCCTGCTGAACCTCTCGCATCTCCCTTTGGGCCGTCAGGAACAGACGACTTTCAGGCACAGATTGCCCCCCAAGAGCCAGCCAAACAAGGGTCCCCAAAAATAGCTGCCGGGTCACAAGAGGTTTTCGATATTCCGACGAAGCGGGACAAGAAGAAAAAGAAGAAAGCCAGAATCCTTGACCTCGGTGAAGCAGAGGGCAGCAGAGACGCCCAGAATCCGCCTCTTGAATCTCCAGCTAACGTGGTTGCTGACGACAGCATTAACGGTACCGATGCAACGAAAGTTGTTGAAGAAGCCCCAGAGCCCAAGGTTGCAGCTGATGCCGTTCTCACTACAAAGAGCAAGAAAGATAGGAAGAAGGAAAAGAAGAGAGCGAGGACCTTTGACTTGGGAGAAACGGACGAAAGTGGAAGCAGGGACGCTTTAAGCGTTGAGCCTTTGGCCGACGCGGCATCTGACGGCCAGCATGGAGCAATAAGTCCACTTGAATCAGGCGTAGGAGTGAGAGCTCAAACCAGGGTGCTTGGTGACGAAGCTTTCGTTGCAGAGAACGAGAGGGAAGAAGAGAAAGAGGGGAGTTACGAGCTATTCCAGGAGGAAGATAGAGACGATAAAAAGCTATCTGTTGGGCTTGTCGCCGCCCCAAGTGCTGATGGCAAAGCCTATAACGCCGATTCAGCACCAAACATTGAGATTGAAGATGCAAAGGCTGTCTTCGACGATTTCTCAGGTAGTAAGAAGAGAAAGGACAAGAAAAGAGAGGAAAAGAATTCAAAGAAGTCCAAAGCCGTGATATTTGAGAACGATGACGCAGAAATCCTAGATAGCGCCGATACAGCTGCAACACGAGATCAACCTGATGAGATCGATGGAGCACTCAGAGATGAGCCTCCTAATGAGCCGTTTGCCATGGGATTGTCACCCCGAGCAGAGGAGGAGAAAAATACCATAGACGACTACGATTCGGCCCCGCTTAGCAAAAAAGACAAGAAAAAAGCAAGGAAATCTAAGGTTGTCACGTTCGTGGAAGAAGGGACCAAAGCTGATGCAGACAAGACTCCAGCTCTGGATCAATTCGACGAGGAGGCCAGAACTCCTGGAGATGATTCTTCAAGTACGCCACCGGTATTTATTGCAGAGGATCATTCCGGTGAAAAGGAGGATCCTACTGTTGAGACTGCTCATGCGTCTAAGAGTAAGAAGGACAAGAAGAAGGGTAAGAAGGCCAAAGCAGACATACCAGACGAAGAGGAGGTAGTTGCAAAAGCGGATAAAGCTGTAGTGGCGGATACATCTGTTGAAGATGCAGAAGCGCCAGCAAACTATGATTCTGAGAAACCTGCTACAAGCATTAATATCTTCCACCCAGAAGTAGACGAAGACCCTACAGAAGAGCTCTTCCCTACGCTCAAGAGCAAAAAGGACAAAAAGAAGGCTAAGAAGACTCAGGCTTTATCCACAGGAGAACCTGACCCGAAAGTGATCAGCGAATCTGTACAAGATGAAGCCGCCGGCGGAGGATCGAGAGTTGTTGCAGTCGACAAGATTGACGAGGCCAGCGAGACCCCAGGCGCAGAAAGTCTGGTTGTAGTAGAAGACCCAGAGCTCGGTACAGATGGCTTTCTTGCTCCGAAGAGCAAGGAGAAGAAAAAGGATAAGATACAGATCGGCCGACCTCAAGAGGCGCAAGAGTCAGTTGCGACTGGTCCTTCAATGAATAATGAGGCAGCTCGTAATGCAGAGGGGGCTTTTGTCACGGATGACACGAATGACGTTCGAGCGAAAGATATTGTTGACACGACAGATGAGCCTAAGTCTGTTACGGAAAGCTTCGCTACCCCCAAGAGCAAGAAAGATAAGAAGAAGGCCAAAGGAGCCCAGATAACTCCGTTTCCAGAGGAGAGCAATGCTCTCGAAGCTGCACAAGGGCAAGTGGTTGAAGCATTGCCCGGTAAAGAAGACTCGACGGGGACTGGTGAAATAGCTCAAGAAAATTTGGCGAATTACCATCAACCTGACGAGGCTGAGGTAGCAATATTCGGCGAAAAGATGTTGATGACTCCTGGAACCAAGAAGGGCAAGAAGTCAAAGAAAGGGAAAAAATTAGATTTCGACCCTTGGCCTGTTCCCCTTAGTGAAGGTATTAGCACAGAAGAGCCCTCGACCGCACTTAGAAATCCATCGCTTGAAGATCAAGACGCGTCACGAGGATCTCAGAAATCGCAAGGGCCTAAGAATGCTTTCGACAAGGATAGTCAGCCAGCTGAAGCCTCGTCCGAAAACGGGGATGGTAAAAATTCCAAAGCCTTGAGCCGCAACGCGGACCCGCTCTTGGCGGCTGATGACGAGGCAAAGCGTGATCTGAATACAGAGACTAACGACGACAGCGTCTCAGCCAATAAAGAAAAGTCTCCAGGCGCAGAGCCCGAAGGAATCAAAGAAGATCATGCTGTGGACAAGCTCGACACCCAATCTGGGAAGTTGCGTGATGCAAAGGACCCACCTGCTGTCTCCGTCGAGGAAGATTTCTCTTCACCGCAAATTATGACAGAGGCGCAGTCTGTTCATGAACCCTCGTCGTCGTCTGTGTCAGATCAACTATTAGATCACAGTATACTTATGTCACAAGTCGAAGAAGCTCCTCAGATCCAAGGTGGCAACACACTCGTGGATGATAATGAGGCGAAAGAACAGCCTGGGTCTCATTCACATCCTGAGCAACGCACATTCAGCACTGAAGAAGCAGCTGCAGTTGAGGAAAGGCCAGAAGCAGATCGGCCGGCGCGATACGCTCAATCGTCCCAAAGCGTCAGTGTAGAAAGCTCCGCCCCACTACCAGCAGATCGCGGGGAGCAACAACGCCAAGAGCAAAATGACAATATTCATATCCCTGTTTTTGAATCTCGCCAATCTCTAGCTACTTCAGAGGATCCATCAGCGGCGACCGATGATCCACAAATGGATACGGAAGTTGCAATCGAAGACAGGATCCAGGAGATACCGACAATGCAATTGCAAGATATTCAAGAGCTCCAACCCACAGAAGTTGAGGGTGCAAGGGGCGAGTTGCTGGAATCAAATGCTATAGGATTTCCTGGCGACGAGAATGATTCTTCTTCGACACCAGTGGTACCTACCGAACTGCATCATGACTCCTCAGATCGTATGCCTGGAGCTTTCGCGGCCGACGAGGAATACGCATCCCGAACCGAGCCACCTACGTACATCGAAGAAGCCGAAAAACCGGTAGATAACCACCTATTTCGACGTGATGCTCAAAAATTCTCTCAAAGCGTCGACGAGACCTTGCAGGGTAGCAGCGATGCTCCAATTGCAGAAGACCCTCTCTTTCAACGGCCCGAAACCGAGGATGTCGAGGATGTAAATGAATTTTCGGCGTTTCTCTCTAAGAACAAGAAGAAAAAGAAAGCGAAATCTGTCAAGATTACATCAGAAGAGCCAGAAATTATTCATGGGCCACAACAGTTGCCACCGAGTATGGAGTCTCTTGACAGTGTCAACCCGGTTGATGCCGAGGAGCAGGACCAGTCTGACCAGGAATACACCAGCAAATCCAAGAAAGCAAAATCCGTCAAGATCGCATCTGAAGAGCCTGAGCTTATTGGAGAGGCCTTAGAGGAGGTTGCTATACATGGGGATACGCCACCTGGTGTAGAGACCCCAGGAAGTGTCGATCTACTAGATGCTGACCAGCAACGCCAATGGGAGGAAGCATATGCTCGCGAGTTCCAGAAACAAATCAAAAAGGAAGCAGATGACCAGAATATTGGAACAACATTTGACGTTGCAGGTGCAAAGGCCACACATTCTACAGAGCAACCTCTGCAAGATGCAGCCAGCTCGTTCAAGGTAGATACACTTGCAGAAGGAAAGTCAGTACAGAGATCACTTTCATCATCTCCACCTGCCCTGAAACAAGTCGGAATTGGCCATGAAGATTTTGTGTCCGTAGAGCCTGCTCAGCAAACCAAAACGAGCAAAAAGAGTAAAGGAATCGCCGAGGCCAAACAGGAGGAGCAGCCCATCGAGCCGAACGAAAATAGTGGCTCGCGGGAGCCAGGTCATCTCGGACTGGAAAGCGAGGCCGAAGGCAAGCCACTGGATCTGGAAGAGCGCATTGATGCCCCCAGTGAAATCGAGGATAAGTTTTCAAACGACACCTTCTTGACGGACCATCCTGTGCCACCAGCCGAAGAAATCGAAGGCGGCGACTATTTTGATATCAGGCCCCCACAAAGAGCGGAAGAAGATATCAGCCGCAAAAGGTCAAGAGAGATTCGAGCTTCCTTCATAGAGAACGGAAAATTGAAGGAGAGCAGTACTCAGGAAGACCGATTTCCTCTCCGTCAGGATGTTGAGGCTATCACTCAGCAAAGTCTGGCGGAAACCCAGGACGAATGGCCAACTAAGAAAGGCAAGAAGGATAAGAAGTCAAAAAGGAAGGAATCACAACGGGACGATATCCTTGAGACAGCTGCGGCGTCAGAGCAAAGCCCAGCCTCTAGAACAGATGACCTTCTTGAGAGACCCTCAGATGATGCCGCTCAACATGCTGCTTCTTTCTCACACAGGCGCAATGATGAGGATAATAATGAAGCCTTGGCCGCATGTGCTACCGTCGGCGGTACGGCTCTCGCCGCTGAAGGTCTCACCCGCAAGCAATCAAAGAAGGACAAAAAGAAAGACAAAAAGCGTAAGAAGAGTGATTTCGCATTTCAAGATCAGGAGCAACCAAAAGAGGACGAAACCAAGGCTGAGACTGCTAAAACTCAAGATTCTGCACAGCACGGCGACACCGACGCTCTTCCTTTGGTTGACATCCCGTCTCAGGACTCTTCACTTGAAACCGCGCGTCTAGTCAAAAAGTCCGTAGCCTTAGAGGAAGATGGTGGCAGCAAAGACACAAGCAAGACATTCACCATCCAAACGCCTGTCCAATCAGACACAAGCGCCGCTATTCAACACCGAGTAGAGAGTGAGTACCTTAACGATCTGCCAAACGCGAGGACAGCGGATGCTTCAGAACCTACGCAATCTATCGAAGAGCCAGATATTATTGACGAGTATGCGCATGACGCAGACAACCTTGGTATTCCAACACAGCGTAATGTAGCTGAAGATCAAGCAGGCGAGCAATTGAGACTGGGTACACAGACAGAACAGGACATCATCGGATCTTATAATGAGGAGACCGCAGAACCAATCGCACCGCTAATTCACGAACGAGAAGGCGCGTTCTTCGAAGATCCTGCGCTCAAAGCAGAGCCTGCGAATGAACCCACCAATAGGCAAGAGTCAGAGCGACCTGTAACGCCGGAGACAAAATCAAGACGTAGAAAATCGCGTCAGGACTCGGTTGTCTACAACAGTGATGATTCTGCCGATTCGGGGTTTGATATCCAAAGGCGTCGACGACGAATGAGTCTTCAAGCAGAAGACGTTCGTCAGCCGTCTCCTGTGGATTCGACCACGAAAGATAGATCCTCGGCTCTATTCGACTCATCGCCGTCTGGGCGCGATGCAATCTTAGCAGGTCTGCGCGACAAGGACGTATCAAGAGAAGCTACCAAACCTGACGAACAGGAGGACGACAAATCCCAAGGCCAAGCTGGGTCCTTCGCTCCATTCACCGAACCTTCACAAGATCTTGAAGAAATAACAAGTGACCGCCCATCACTGTTTGGTGGACCTTTGCACGTCGATGAGCCACCGGCCGCCTCTAGAGGTCGAGCACTCACCGAGCTCCGTGGCCGGAGAGCCCCAAGTACTATCTCAGAGCGCAGTAGCGAAGGGTCACCACGCTCACTTGCTCGACGTAAAGATAAACGTGATATATCAGACTTAGGCTCCCCTACTCAGGGCCCCAAAGCGAGAAATCTTTCCAAAGGCCCGTCAGAACAAGGCACAGGATCAGAGCTCCGTGCTGAGCCTCCTAAGCCCGCAGCACTTCGCACCAATAAGGATCTAGAGCCATCTCGAGACCACCTTCGCTCGCCTGTCAGTGGGGAGTTTGAGCGGGCCTCCAGTCGACAAAGCAACGCCTCAACGGCCCCGAGTCTTAGCGCACACTGGGGCGGACGATCACCAGGCATCGGTTCTCCCGACAGCATTCATGCCATCATCAGAACACCTGATCATGTTCGTTCTGCCAGTGGTTCAAGTTTCCGGTCGACAGGGACACCACCGCTGCGGAGAGTGGATCGCAGTGCCAGCGGAGATCTACGAGCGGCCAGCAAACGCAGTGAAGGGGGCGCTAAAATCGGCGCTAACGGTAAAATTACCGAGGTGGCTGAACCTGCCGAAACCGAAGCTGAAGCCGAACAACTTGAACAACAATCGGACATCCCATATGCTGCTTCTTCCAAATATGATCCTTTGACTGACAAAGGCAAGGGAAAGGTTGACCTTGATGAGGATATGGCGGACTACGTAAGTACCACTGTCACCCATCCCGCTGACGCTGCTGACTGCTTCCAACAGGAAGGCTGGGGTGACGTGCGGGGCCAGTCCCCAATGTCCCCAACGCGCCCGCCGAGCATGCGCAAGCGTCAGAGTATGCAGTTTGCGGACATGGAACAACGTCTTGCCATGCTAGCGTCTGAGAATGGGCTTCTGCAAACCGCCAGGTCGAAAGCCGAGAAAAGGCTGGAGGAGCAAGCGAATGATCATAGCCAACAGAGACAGAACTATGAGGAGGCTTTGAGAGAACACAAAACATACGTGGTGCAACGCGATGATACGCTAAAGGAAATGAATCAGATTCTCCAAGATTTGCGCCAGCAAGTCGTCGATCTCACCCAGGTGAACGAGGAACTCGCGCAGTCACGGGAACAGGAGCAAGGAGCTACACGTGAGGAATGGGAGCAGACATCAAGAGAATTAAAGGGTATGAGAGTGCAACATGCACGACTTGCGACAGATCATGAGGACGCACTTTCAAGGGAGGTTCAGGCCGTACGTGAACGAGACGTAGAGTTGCAACGGTTACGGAACGAGCTTGAGGACGCGAAGGATCAGATTCGAAAGCTTCAACAACAAATCTTAGCCTCGAGATCAACAGAAGATATCGTCGACCGTGACGAAGACTATTTCGAAGCGAAGTGCCAGGAGCTCTGCAAGCATCTCACGTCGTGGGTCACGCGCTTTTCGAAGCTTTCCGACAAGCACAGATGCTTCATGGCGAGTGAAATGCGTGAGGAGTCTCATAGGGATCTTTTTGAGGACTCGATACTTGATGGATCAGAAGTCGACGATTACATCCAAGACCGTGTCAAACGCCGAGACGTGTTCATGTCCGTGACGATGACTCTAATCTTCAAGCACATCTTCGCCCGCTACCTGTTTGGGATGGACCAAGAGCATCGGCAAAAATTGAAAACACTAGACAAGACTCTTGTTGAAGTCGGGCCATTACCAGCGGTGCACAAATGGCGCGCAACAACATTGAGCCTACTATCGAAGCGCCCAGCATTTCAAAGCCAACGCGAGGCGGAGTCAGAAGGTGTGGTTGAAGACATCTGGTCGACATTATCATCCGCCCTCCCACCACCATCTACAGCACTAGCCGAGCAATGCAAGGATTCTCTCCGGCGAGTGGTTGAATCGGCTGTCGACCTTCACATTAACATGCGTCTGCAACGGGCTGAGTACACCATGCTCCCACCTCCGGAACCCGACTTTGATCCAGACACTGGCGATATCAAGAACCGCATTTACTTCGCCTCCGTCTCGATGAATGAGCGCAGTGGGATAGCTACTTCGGACGAGGACCTTGAAGAGCAAGGAGCGTATCTACGAATAGTCCTCTTCCCACTCGTTGTCAAGAACACGGAAGAAGATGAACAGATTGTTGTCTGCCCTGCCCAGGTTCATGTCGCGCCCCTCAAGAAGGGCAAGACAGTAAGGGTATTGAGTGCGCAGAGTGCGAGAAGTGACGACGCTTCTTATGCTGATGGTGAGGATACGCCAATGGAGACTGGTGTGGAGGAAGGTGGGTTTTTCTAATAGGACTAGCGCAGAATAGGAAGGGGGTATACATGCAAGAACAGCTTTTTCATTGATTTTCAAAAGCTTACTACGAAGTTACGATTTATGACGAGGGCAAATTATGAATTGCATATATATCAGGTTTTGAGCGTGCATGGAAAATTTGACGAGTCTCTTTGTTGTTGCTTGACGATTTGTATATTGAAGATTTTAGATATTTACAGGCTGGATCGCTTTACGAATGTTCAACATTGTTCTCATCTGACGTGGTCAAATCTGGTTGTCGAAAAGTCTCTCTCCTGCAGATTGTGTCATTCTTCTTGCTGTAAGTTGAGACGGCAGTCACTCGAATCTTGTTCAAAAGACTGGCATCCTCTTCTGCCGTACGCTTGCTTGGGTCGAGTAATACAATAGTCAGCCAAGTACGCTGTTCCGCCAATCACCCGGCTAATTTCGTCAATGATGGAAGTAGGATCAAAGCCTTCCATCTGCGGCAATTGATTTCGTCTACGCCAAGGCAACGAAGGACTTAGGTATCATGCACGAGCACGGTCTAAAAATGCATACGATGGCTATGACTTGACTTTATTTTCTCTATATATAAGCAAGCATATGATAATTTTTTCCCCTTTTGTACACCCGTTGGTATCATATTGCCAAAGAGAAAGAATCCTATGACCAAATCCCTCTATGAACGCAACCCGATTTTTGGTGTCACAGATGCGGCATTTCCTTCATAATGTTCCGTACCTCCTCCTCAATAATCGCAGTCTCCTGATGCGGATCGTACATTTTCGACCTCACCCACTTCTCCAACTCATCATCCTTCATGTTCTTAATATGATTCTCCCTTGCCACGCCGGCCTTCTCGGCAGCTCGAATTACGCCCATAGCCACAACGACACTGACGTCCCGGATGCGGCGCAGCTCTGGATAGAGCCATCCCTGAGCCTTTTCGTCAGGATTGAGAGACTCGCTGAGAGCTACAGCTGAGGCATAGATCATTGATTGCGTTACCACGGTTGCTTTCGAAAGGATAGTGCCCAGCCCGATACCGGGGAAAACATACATGTTGTTGCCTTGGCCCGGTTGCACGAATTTACCGTTCAGCTCGACAGGGTCGAAGGGGCTCCCACTTGCGAAGAGTGCTTTGCCTTTGGTGTATCTGAGGGCTTCTTCAAATGTGCACTCGGAGTTTGCGGACGGATTTGACAGGGGAAATATGATGGGGTGCTTGTTCCACTCTCCCATTTTGGTGAGGATTTCGGGCGTGAAGGCTCCACCGATGGTTGAGAGGCCCATCAGAATTGTGGGCTTAATATGGTCAACCACTTCTTCTAAGGTTTTGTATTGCTTGCCGTTGTTATCGTCACGGGAGAAGAAGACTTTATGATCCGCGAGTTTGTCTCCTCTGTCGTTGGTGACTAGGCCTTTTGAATCGACCAGCCAGAAACGCTTGCGAGCTTCGTCTTCCGTCAAATTGTCTCCCTTCATGAAAAATTCCATAATTTGTTTTGCAACGCCAACGCCCGCGCTTCCGGCTCCTAAGAACACCAATCTTTGGTCTTTCGCCTTGATTCCAGATGTCTGAACTGCAGCTATGATGCCCCCGAGTACAACAGCTCCGGTACCTTGGATATCATCATTGAAGCAGGTGTACAGGTCGCCGTATTTCTCCAGTGAAGGGAAAGGGTTTTTGAAGTCTTCAAACTGGATAACGATGCCGGGATACTTCTCGTGCAATGCACGCATCAACTCATCTAGGAATTCCAACGACTCTTCCTCAGATACTCGCGGTCTCTTGCTTCCAAGATATAGCGGGTCTTTGATGAAGTCCTGATTACCTGTGCCCAAATCGAGAGTTAGAGGCAACGTTGACTCGGGTCGAATGCCGGCACAAGCAGTGTATAGAGACAGTTTCCCCACAGGAATGCCCATGCCATTGACGCCCAGATCTCCGAGGCCCAAAATTCGAGAGCCGTCGGTGACCACAGTGATCTCGACGTTCTTCTCGGGCCAATTGTCTAAGACTGAACGTATCCGGCCTCGGTCACTGTACGAAACGTAGAGACCCTCGGGCTGCACGTAGTTTTGGGACCATTGCAAGCAAGCCTCACCCACTGTAGGTGTGTAGATCAATGGAGCAATCTCCTTGATATGCTGTGTGACCAAACGGTAGAATAGATGCACGTCGGCATTGCGTAGTCGACTCAGATACAAGTACTTTTGAATTGGTTTCTCTTTCTCAGATAACCGAGCCATACATCGCTTGTACTGATTCTCGAGGCTTTCAACCGCTGGGGGAGTCAAGCCGTACGTTCGATTGAGTTTGCGGACTGCGGTAGGATGGGTGGTGTCAAAGTCGCCATTGGAAGGGCGATAGCCATGTGCCGTGGCCATTGTGGATCTTTGAACAGTCAATGAGCTAGCAAGGCAGTGGATGGGGAAGAAGAATGATTGGACTGATTTGGGAGAGCGTCGAGAAGAAAGAGGAATTGTTCTGCCAAAAGAGCATAGTGAGCACACAGACCTCGACATTGGGCCGCTCTCATACGGAGCAAGTCAATAATGAATCCCAGATGTGAGCCGTCCACGCCGTGATCAACCCCCGGCTATCAATTCGGAGGCCGAACGAGCTTCAAGATCGGCGGTGAGGATTCGATGGTGGATGTATTTTCTTTGCTTACTTCCCCCCGAATGCCTGCCCGCCACGTACCGCTGGGAGCATGAGAAAATTGCCCGTTATCTGCTAAGCTTTCAACGCATTGCATTTCCCCCCAAGCCCCCGCAATACCCCGAGGTGCTTATCTTCAGAGAACCTGCTCAGTTGGATGATGGAAGAAGCTATGGACACTATTGACAATTTCCTATATAATATAGTGCACAGTCATTCCCTTACTCTTATACACACAAGATGTCATTCAACCCGTGCCATCGCTTAGGAGCAGGGCTTCACCGGCGCACTCCGGGCGGGTCTGGGGCTGCCAAGCACCCAATGTCAACTTGTCAAGCTTATTGGGTGCCCTTAGCGGCCGCAGCAGCAGCTATGTCATTGCGCGACCAACTTCCTCTGCTGCCTCTGGCTGGAGGATGAAATCACGACTTTAGGTCATCGAACAGGCGACGGAATCATTCCAAGCGTTATGGACAACGTTCACAGCCTTCTTTCTTCAGGAAGCTTGAACAGATACTGATCCTCTAGGCCCGTTTCCTGATACAACATGGACGCCTTCTCGTCGTGCTGTGGCACTCGTCGAAAAAGAGATGAGGACACCGAAGCATTGCTTGCCCATTACGAGGATGATACTGTTCTCCAAAGGAGCGTTCATCAGAAATTGCATTCCTTTCAGATGTACCGAGCACTCTCCATGGGCTACCTACCTTCTACTGAGCAGCTCATTGCAAACTTACGAACTTTCCTCGCCTCCGATTTCTTGACTCCAGACGAGCCAGACCTCAGCGATTCTGGCATATTGTTACTGAAAGACACGAAGCAATGGATACGTACCTTCATCGAGATGCTCCGGGTAAAGAACGAGGAGGATCAGATACAAGATTTCCTCTGGTACTTGTCCCAGTCAAGAGTGCAATTGAACACAAATCAGCTCGCAAAATCGGCCTCAAATGCCAAAGCTCAGGCAGACGCAAGCGCAGGTTGGTTTCGGTCACTACTATTTGATCTCTGCTAATGCTTCATAGCCTATGAGAGCGTTCGCACGGTTGGGAGTCTGCTTTTGACAAATTCCGATTTTAGGCTTTTCCTTGGTGATCTGGGAACCATTGGTCGCCAGGTCTTCTCCGATACTGCATTTTCATTGTCCAATGCTGCTCAAGAGACTGGAAAGAGACTCGAGCCTTCCGATAAAGACCATGAGGCTCTTATAGACGTTGAGGTCGAGGCGGATCAACCTCCAACGGCGAAGGATTTAGGAGATGGAGCTGCTCAAATATCGAAAACAATGGGCGAGGGTTTAGTGAAGACGGGCCAAGATGCTGTGTCGAGTCTCCAAGTGAACGTCAGCGGGCAACAGAAGGATACTTTGATCCACCGTTTGAAGGAAGCCGTGAGCAAGCTGCAAACACGACGGGATTATTCAGACTCAGTTTCAACTATTGGACTGCTTTTCAAACGTTATGCTCTTGCCTATTCTCGAGTGATAGACAAGACCGTCAGTGCGACCGGAGAAAGTGTCAACGTAAATCCAGAGCTTGACAGGGCAGTCAAGAACCTCTGGCTTCTCATTAAGTCCTTTGGATCGCCAGAAGAGTGGGAAAAACTCGAACAAGCTCTGAATAAAGTGGTGCAGCATTCCCAGAGCGATCCGGAGTTTGAAAATCTTATGACAGACACTGGCAATGCCCTCCAGAAGTTGCTCAGTGACCCTAGCTTCTTTGACTCCGTGGAAGAGAGGCTGCGAGAGCTTAAGGATAAGCTACGAAGGGTCGACACCGAATCAAGTCTCCGTAATGATGTAGGGGATGCTTTGTCACAACTCCAAGTGACCACACAGTCCGTCCTTCAAGATCAGCAAGTGTCTTCACTCATTACTACAACCTCCAAGATCGTTGATATTCTCTCCCCTAAAAGTCACATTTTCAACCAAGAGCTCATACAGGATTCTCTACAAGTCTTCATTCCTCTTTTGATCAACGCCATCCAATACGTACCCATTCCGCGCGTAGAGGTCTCTGTTCCGGAGATGGATCTTCTTCTTGAGAATCTTGTCATCGAGCCTGGTCGAACAGTTAATAACACGTCTTTCCTCCCTTTTAAATTGAAAATTGAAACTTACAACGACCTTGAGATCCGGAAAGCACACACTCAGCGAACTACAGCATCAACAACTAACCTCGTTACCATTGCTGTGAATGGTCTTTCCATCCGTGCAGACGAAGTCGGCTTCTGGCTACGCGCACACAAGGGTCTTCTATTCCATCTAGCCGACGAAGGCATCGCATCTTTCCAGCTCGACGAAAAGGGTATCGACATCGCAATCGACATCGAAGTTGGCAAAGAGAGACTCGAATCCATCTTGACACTCAGGAAAGTGCGCGTGCACGTCCACAAACTGAACTACCAGCTCCGGAAAAGCAAGATATCCTGGCTTGCCTGGCTCCTGAAGCCGCTACTACGGCCTATCGTTCGCAAAGTGCTAGAGACCCAGATAGCCACCGCTATTGCGGATGGGTTGCATGCTGCGAATCGCGAATTGCTTTTTGCGAGGGAGAGGCTGCGGGCGACGAGAATTTCAGACCCACAGGATGTGCGGACGTTCTTTAAGGCGGTTATAACGCGATTGACGCCAGCAGAAGACCCTGATGTGTATGCTGCAGTGGGCGTCAAGCCGAGTAAAGGCATCTTCCGTGGTGTCTATGCACCTGGTAGTCTGGTCAAGCTGTGGGAGGAAGAGGCAAGATTCGCGAGGCAGAAGGTTGAGGATAATGAGGTGAACAGCCGGGGATGGAGGAACGAGATCTTCGATGTGAAGGGCGGAGAGAATGGCTTATTGGGAATGAGTGGCTAGAGTTGGGCGTCAACGTTTCTTGATGATATACTGCTACAACAGCGTCCATGCATATAGCGACGGACCTAAAAGTTTGATGAATACAATGGAGGCGTTCTTATGTAAATAGCAAATTTTCCTGGATGCCTGTTGACCCAGCTGCTGCATCGCTGGCAAAGCACCAACACTAGCAATGAAGTATATCTCGAAGTTTCAAAATAATTCTGAATAGTAGAGAGCCTTCTTCAGCAAACCTCATTCTTCACGATTTGTTGTCACCATCTCCCTCTTGCACGTTCAGGCCAAGACCATTAGCATCGAGGTACAGCTTGTTCTTCCCACCCTGCTCCTGGATGATACTTGCAATAGCCCTTGCATTCTCAATTCTCTTCAAATCCACATAGCTTCGGCTCTTTTTGATGGCTTCTCCGATCAGCTCAGCGGAGCGTGCCTCACCCTGAGCTCGAACAATGGTCGCCTGCTTCTCCTGACGAGCTTTGTCGACAACGAATGCTGCCCGTTGGGCTTCCTGCTGGGCGACCTGCTTGGCTTCGACTGCGGCTGTGAATTCAGGAGAGAAGGCAAGATGCTAAGTCTAAAGTTAAACCAATCATGTAAAAGGCTATATTGAAATCGTGACTTACGGTCAGGGAGACGTCATCAAGCAAGATGTTGAATCTCGATGCCCTCCTTGCTAGATTGTCCCTTACTAGTCTTGCGACGTTCTCACGCTGCGTAATCAACTGACTAGCGTTGAATTGCGCAACCACACTCTTCAGAACTTCATTCACGATTGAAGGAAGGATGCGCTCATCGTAGTCTGTTCCGAGAGTCCGATATACTACTGGCAAAGCATCGACTCGTGGTCGAGAAAGAACACGACATGTTATATTGACCATTTGGAGATCTTTGGTTCCGGTGAGGGAGGCAACGTTTCGTGGTTTGGCGCGGACATCGTAGGTGATGGGGGTTTCAAACCAGGGTATCCTGAAATGTGTGCCTGTAAATTGTCAATATGTTGCGGGGTTACGGACTGATGCATGCCATGTACCTTCGTTGTAGATTTCTTTCTGCACTCCGCCCAATCTAGTGTACTTGATCGCTCTGTGTCCACCATCCACTGTGCACAGATTAGTTCAGAGCTTTCGAGCGGGTATGCAGATGGTACTTGCCGTTAAAGAGGGCATTATTGGCCAAGAAGATGCCTCCAAAGAGCACAAGAGCACCTCCGCCTACGCCAAAAAATCGTGGTCCGCCTGGCAGGTTTCCTCTACCTCCGGATGAGTTGGCGAATCGTCTCTGGAGATTGCGCCATGCTTCTCGTGGATCTTGGCCCATCTTACAGGAGATGGCTCGTTCTGGAGGAATTGAAGTGGTCTCTGAGTTGCTAGACTAAGAATTTTGAAGCAAGGGCGCCATTGCAAGATGCGGCGGCGAAAAGTTTCGCCTGACTCCGCTTTGCGGCCGTTCGGAAACAGACATGATGGATAAGCCATTTCAAAAGCTTCCCCTGGATTTAACGAAATTACATTTATAGGACCATAGACAAAGCCAAATATTGTGTTCTGATCAAACACGTAACACTCAAGATGACTGACAACAAAAATGGAAGAGTAATTTTCATTGGTTTGTTGCATCGCACCTGGCCATTTAAATAAATGCTAACGCAACGACAGGCAATATTCCCTACGGTCCATCCAAAATCCTCCTCTGTACTTTGCTAAAACTGATGTCTTTCAGGTCTCACCGAGGAGCAAATTATTCACATCTTCAGCGGGGCCGGCAAAGTCAACAATTTCCGGCTTATCACTGAGGGAGACACAGGCAGACCGAAAGGCTATGGGTTTGCTGAATTCAACGACACAGATTCGGCTGATTCTGCTGTACGTAACTTGAACGGTCACGAAGTAATGGGACGCGAATTGCGGGTCGCCTATTCCAAAGACAGTAGCAAGGATTCAGACACAACGAACCAGAGCAACCAGCAACAGCAACAGCCATCGCAACAACAGCAATCACGGCCAATGCATCCAAATGGGTATCAGCCCCCACCACCTGGTGCTTTGCCCCCCCTCCCACCCGGGGTAGACCTTCCTGCAGGGCTGACTTGCCCTGATGCCATCTCAAAAACACTTTCGGTCTTGCAACCGGCTCAGCTGCTTGATATACTGTCGCAAATGAAAGGCCTCGTCATGGGTGACCCAGCGCGTGCTACGGAGCTTCTGAAGCAAGCTCCGCAACTTGCTTATGCGATCTTTCAAGCCTTACTTCTGATGGGACTTGTTGATACCTCCGTGCTCGCCTCCGTAGTCGAGACCAGTAATCAGCAAACCCAATCCCAACCCCCGCAAATGCACATTCCACCACAATCTCAAGCACAACCTCAAATCCCGCCTCCACCTCAAGCTCTCCAGCAGCAGCAGCAGCAGCACCTTCCACCTCGACCACCCCAAGGCTTTCAACCTCAACATCCACCTCCACCTCCACCTCAGGTATACCCTCAATATCCACCGCAAATGCAGGGTCAGATTCATGCACCTACTCCGCCAGCTTACAGTCAACCATACCAAGCACCTCCACCTCCCCAACCACCAGTTCAACAGCCACAGGCGCAAGATGAGCTTATAAGGCAGGTCATGGCGATGACACAGCAACAGATTGACCAATTACCACCGGTGGAAAGAGGGCAGATCATGGGCCTTAGAGCTCAGCTCGGAGTAAGATGAACAAAGCTTTTCATTCTAGGGATGCACAATTCTGCAGGCGGAGATAGCGCACTTTAGAAAATGAGATACACAGCGAGGCGTTGGGCAGGCTTTGTCAAGTTATATATCTGCTGCATGTGCTAATGAGTTGGCAAGAACTAATTGAAAACTTCATTCTACCATTCTCTTACGTATTTGTAGACCTATGGAGCGATGATATACAAATACTGATCATACCTCCGGATTGCCCTTCCTCGACACTTGAAGACAGTTGTGGCTGAGCAAGGCGACAGAACATACAAAAGTGGTATTCTAGACTGCTGAGTCTCGTATGCAATAGAATGGTCTGCAGATTTCATAGCCCAGGCGAGCTAGAGATTGCAGATTGAGCCAAAAAAAGATCGCGAGCGGGCCGAGCCAACAGCGCGTCTCACAGAGCCTAAATGCTCGTCACAATCTTCCACTTCCAACTACTTTCACCATGCATGCTTGGTTGCTTTGCAATCATCTCAGGTCAGGACTGCCGTGCCACTACTTTGAAAATCTGGCTTGCCGCTTATCAGAGTCTCGCAGACTCGTAGATGCCTGCCCTCAAAAGCTCGCAAAGGAACATGAAACGTCCTTGGCGCTGTCTCTGCTCCGCTTCGATGACCAGGTCTTGATTGGCTCCCGATGTTTGCCCCTGGGAAGAGCTCTACGAGCATTCGCACCCCCTGATCACAGTCTCCTCAACTTCTTTGTTACCCCACCTCATCTCTGGCATGCTTTTCCTTATGTCTTCTCTCTTTGTCATTGTTGTTTTCCTCTCGTAACGACTTTCGCTACCTTTCTTTTGCTATTCTCTTTCTTTCCTTTCAAGCCATTCACTTTGGCGTTTACATCATCTCGCTTGATCGAGGGCGCTGGTTCCGCTCTTGCATCATTTAAGACCTAAATTTATAAAAGAGTTTCTTCATACGTTGTATAGACCCATCGAACGCATAGCGGCTTTCGAAGCCAGCTTTCGGCCGGTAGCAGGGCTTCTTTTCCCCCTCGTGGAGACTGAGCTCACCCCCGAGGCTGGGAAGAGGTGGACGGATTCCAAAATGTTGTCAAGATTTTGGATAGCGGGCCTCTTTGGGCTATTATGTACGAAGGTTCTCGCTACTGATATCTTGAAAACTTCAGGCTTCGAGACATGTACTGATAATGGTACCATCACCGTTCAAAAGCTGGACATATCATTCAACAGGGCTACCAGGCAGGTTGAATTCGATGTTGCAGGGAAGAGCATGGAAGAGCAAAAGGTCACTGCAACCTTGTCAGTCTCTGCGTATGGCAAGGAGGTGTACAAAAAGGACTTCAATCCATGCGATAGCGCGACTAAAGTTGAGCAACTATGTCCTGTGCCAAAGGGGGACTTTAAGGCTCAAGGCAGGCAAGACATACCAACGACCTATGTCAGTCAGATACCGTCCATCGCTTTCAATGTGCCCGATTTGGAAGGACAAGCCAAACTTTCACTCAGGGCCATTGACGACCAGAAAGAGCTTGCATGCATACAATCAGATGTCCACAACGGAAAGACAATGGCTGTGCCTGGACTCTCATATGTTGCAGCTGGCATTGCAGGTTGCGCCTTACTCCTATCTGGTGCCGCGGCGCTCGCGAATAGTGGAAGCGCTGCAGGCGGCCATGCTCCCAATCCTGGATTTGGTACTGTCATTTCCTGGTTCCAGAGTATTGCTATGAATGGAATGATGAGTGTTCAATATCCACCAGTCTACCAGAATTATGCCAAGAACTTTGCCTTCTCTGGCGGGCTGGTTTCGTGGACGGGGTTTCAAAGCTCTATCGACAGCTTTCGAGGGGCCACTGGGGGCAATCTGACGGAAGATAACGTGCTATATCTTGCAAATGCCTCACTCGTTCACACAAGCGAACCAAATCATGAAACGAAAAATATTTCCAAACGCAGTCTGGACCTGGTTCTTGCAGCTTTCGAGCCATTATTAATTTCTCGGGATACTGCTCTTTCGGTCAACGGTATGCAGGCAGGCAATGGTACCACAAAAGGGGGAAATGGGACTAGTTTCGATAGTAAAACCACTCATTTCGTTCACGGAATTCAGGGTTATGTTGAGCAACTCACAATACCTCAAGCCAACACCTTCATGACCGTGCTTCTAGTGTTCGCGACTGTAATTGCCGTCATCGCCGTGGCAATTCTGCTGTTCAAGGTCATTCTCGAGACCTGGGCTTTGTTCGCCTCGTTTCCTAAGAAACTTACTGGCTTCAGAAAGCGATACTGGGGCCTCCTTGGCCGAACCATCACTAATCTAGTACTGTTGCTGTATGGTGTATGGACCCTCTACTGTATCTTCCAATTCACAAACGGAGACTCATGGGCTGCCAAGCTTCTCGCAGGTCTTACCCTCGCAGCTTTCACAGCTCTTCTCGGCGTTTTTACTTTCCGAATTTGGCAACTTGCGAGACGATTCAAAAAGCTGGAAGGAGATACTGCTGCACTTTTCGAGGATAAGGAGACATGGAGGAAGTACAGCTTATTTTACGACAATTATAAGCGCGGCTACTGGTGGATCTTCATACCTGCTATCATCTATATGTTCGCGAAAGGCTGTGTCATCGCCGGAGCTAATGGCCATGGCTTGACTCAAACGGCAGGCCAGTTGATCGTGGAATCCATCATGTTGATTTTGGTTCTGTGGTGTCGGCCATTCGTCCAGACTTCTGGCAATGTTATCAATATTTTCATCCAGGTGGTTCGAGTGCTCTCCGTCGTCTGTATCCTGGTGTTCGTAGAAGAGCTCGGTATTTCACAATCAACAAAAACGATTACTGGCGTCGTCCTTATCGCCGTCCAATCAGTACTCACAGCTGTACTAGCAATCTTGATTGCTGTCAACGCAATCATCGTTTGCGTGCGAGAGAATCCACATCGAAAGCAGCGCAAGGAAGCTGAAAAGCTCCTCCACGACAATCTCACCACCCTTTCCCCGCGAAATACCCTTCTAATGAATGAGACCGCCTACAAAGACAAGAAACTTTCGGTTAGAGCTTACCCTGTCAGTCAAAATGTTTCGGACGATCACGTGCCTTACGACCACGACATACCAAAACCTAGCGGGCTCTTTTACGGCAGAGATAGTATGGCTGCCAGTTCCGAGACCCTGGTCCGCCATGCAACACCCATGGGCATTGCGGCACAGAGAAACGAGAGGAGCGTAAGTAGATATAGCGCGAGGATGAGCAGGCAGCCCACTGTCCCGAATGTTGGGCAGGCAATGTAGCATTTTGGGATCGTTTGAGTTTTCACAATGTAGTAGATTGCTTTGGCTCCTGCGCTTAAGCTCACACCACCTTCCGCCTGCATGAGTACCCTTGAGGTGCCTCACATTACGCTACCAGCTAACAGTGACGCGCCTAGTCTGTGTCTTTAAGCCTTGACAAGACAACGGCTCCACTGATGACTGCTGAATATTTGGTACGATAAGTCTCTAGAACCCAAATGTCCTTACGAGAACCCAATCGAAGCTGCGCAGAATCCATCATCGAGGGTATATTGACTCGCTATGGCACTCTGACTCAGCTGGGAAGCCTTCATCCGGACCTGGCAGTCAACAATGCGTTCGCGAATGTAGTCGAGATCTGCATGCGAGTCGTGGACGAGGACGTAGTATCAGTTGTAAGCCTTTGCCCTTGGACTATGTAGGGCCAGACACGGCTCTAAGCCCCGTGCATTAAATAGGTGCTTGAGGATCCCCGAATCGTACAAATCACTCCTCGCCTGAGAGCTCTCTGCTGCGAAGGCGAATTTCAATTGGAGGTCAAATACGCTGAGAAAATCTGTGCTTGCACAACAGCAGAGGAAGGTAAACAGACCACGTCATTGAGATTGAGAGAGTCAATAGCCTGACCTAACGGTATATATCAGCATGGAGTCTGCTTCGTACCTTCCCATATTATGACAATTACATGAATCTTGTGCAGCTGGAATTGCACGCACTCATGGCTGTCAGCGGACAAGTGTTCAATTTCGTTTTTGTAGGCTCTGGGCCACTTCCACTCACAGCATTTTGCGTCCTCGAGGCTTTCGAACGTTACCCAGAAACCGCTCCACTGACCTGCTGTAACATCGATAAGAATCAAAGAGCAATCCAGCTATCTGATCGGATGCGTACAATCCTTAGCCTCAACGGCAAAGCTATGCATTTTGAGTGCACCGACATTGAGAACGACGAGGTCAGCTTGGAAAAATTCGACGTCATATATCTGGCTGCGCTTGTGGGTGATACTGCAGTTGATAAAGTACGGATCCTCTCGAGTGTGGCTTCAAGAATGAGAGCAGAGGCCTTGATCGTCATCCGCAGTGCCCATCGTCTGCGAAGCTTGCTCTATCCGGCCATCAGCGAGGCTGAGCTTCCGATAATTGGGCTAACACCATTGATCACCGTTCACCCTCATAACCATATCATAAATTCAGTCATCATAGCTAGGAAGGACAGGACATAATGGGCAATCAGCAATGACTAACTCGTACAGGAATCAAACGAACGCGTCGGGACTCTCTGCTTCAAGCTTACTACTGGTGATGGCGGTTCTTTGTCCTCATCGACGCAAGGATAGAAAATCAGAGGCAGAGATGGGCAACATGGCATTGTAGGCCAAAAAGTAATTCTCTTTTAAGACAATCACAATGCGAATCTCTGGAATTTATCTCTTTCCGCCAGTCCACAAGCAATCTATTGAACTTTTAGGCCAGCTTAGATATAATGTGGGAACCTATTGCTGCGCGGAGAAGGGAAGCCACGAACAACAGGCTTGAGCCTTCGAAATTGACATCTCTTGGGTGATATGATGATGTTGCCATTCCATACTCTTAAGAAGGGAGACATATGATCACATGTGTTCTACTGGGCTCGAATGAGAAAGTGTAGAGGGTTTCAAAGTGTCGCGGGAACTCATTGTCCGGAGAGGCGGAGTGCGGAGCGGAGGCCTTCTGCGAACTTCTCGTGTGATGACTCGTCGCTCTGACTTTTGCTCTATACTAGAAAAAGTGAGCTCAAGGAGTCACTTGGGGGTAGCAAATACTTCTTGAGAGTATTGCTGACGCCAGATAGCTTTATCCTCAAGCATTGGCCTTTGAGAGGGGATCAACTACGAGTACACGCTAAAATCTGCTAGCCACCCAAGACTCAAGTTCACCATCATTTCACATATCTTTCACTCTGTAAATCACCGTTAGCACTTGTTCGCTCTACTTCACTCTCCTATTGATTCTGGATAGTCTACCACAATGTTCCTCTTCATGAAATCTTTGCTGTTCCAAGAATGCGCAGCAGGCCTGCCATAAACGTTCCCCGCAACGCGCCCCAACTACACCTGCCTCAGAAAACGAAGCCATTATGAGCTCCTTCAAGAAGCAGCACGTGCTTTCAAGGCCGCGCGACTATGTCACCCCATCTCCACCTCTACATGCTGTAGAGCCATTGTCCCCCGTCCTGCCACCCGAGGCTCTACCTTTCAGCTTGGACCTGTCCCAACCTGCAAGATCATTGGAGGCACAAGATAAAACAAATGGAGAGGGGTCCAATTCCTCTCGATCGAATCTCGAGCTCACGCATCATGTTCATCGTTGCACTGGCTCTATGGAAATATTCGCGTCGATTGCGTTGGCTACAAGCCCACCATCCCAACTAGAAAATCGCCCAAGCAAGCGCATACTGGACGGTAACCACGAATGGGCAAGGCCGGCGAAGCGATCCAAATCTGAGAAGCTGCCGTCGCCCGAAAGTTCGAGAAAAACCACGGCAATAAGCGCCAGGCCTGTTACAAGCTGGGAGCAACCCTCGGAAAGCCGGCTCAGAGAAGCGGAGTTGTTGCTGCATTTTTCGCAAAGCGCTGTCAGTAGGTCTTCCTCTGTGATGAGTCCTCATTCGGACGGACATGGGAGACGAATGTCGAACGATCCTCCATTCACGCCACACAACACCTTTCGAGAACTCCCTCAGGCGGCGATTCAATCTTTCGAGCCGCACATTCAGCCATCCCATCAGGAGCGGAGCCAAGAAGATCTACAAGAGCATATTGAAAATGAAAGTACAATGCTCATTTCCGACAACAAGGTTGACAAAACGACTCTTCCACCCACTCCAAAACCGTCGTTGAAGGATTCTCCAACAATAAGACCTTCGCAGCCCGACCCTCTCCCGGCCAAACCACCAGAGTCCGTCGTTTGTCGAGATGGCTGGGACTTGCCGAGTGCCTCTCATGACATTAATGAAAAGAGGCAGGAATTCCCTGAGATACCCAAGACGTCTGATCCCAATGGGGACGACAAAGTATCTAATGATGTAACAGTTCATCTTGATCGTGGTCTTTATGGCGGCCCATTGGAACATGCAAGCCTACAGCCAAATGAGAGGGGAGAGACGAGCAAGCCCGAGGCAGAAACCTCCACTATGGACACAGAAGCCAAGCTCGATGAGCATGGTGACTCAAACAGTAAAGCAAGCCCAGTAGAAAGTGTTAACGATGGAATGAGCTCCCATTTGGGTCTATCGGATGACCAGGAAACGATTCAGCAGTTGGCAGCTGCACTCGGAGAAGCAACAGGTGCAACTCGCTCCGGAATTGTCCCCAAGTCTGCGATGTCGCGGACTGCAACTGCAGTCTGTGCCGCCTGCAACTTTGCTAAGAACTCCTTAGGTATGGAAGGCGACCAAACTGCGACATCATGGATCAGTTGCGACGGTTGCAAATCCTGGTTTCACTTTGCGTGTGCCGGCTTCAAGAATGAGAGGGAAGTCCGTGGCGTAGACAAGTACAGATGCCGTAAATGCAAGTCCATACATGGTGCGACGACGTACGTGCGTAAATCCTCTCGAGCTCACACAGCCATTGACTACGCGGGCTTACACCAAGGTGTGATCAAAACATCCGACGACAGACCTGAGCATCATTACATCCAGCCTATGAAGGAAGGGACGATATCATTCATGCCTGAGAATTTTGCCCGTATGAGGCCCGAGCTGGTCACGGCAGAGTTTTTTGAGAAGGGGGGCGGTATGAAAGATCCAATAGTGATACCCGCAGAGCTCAATCCTCGACCAACCTCAATCCTTTCGGATGACTCTTCCTCAATTTGTGACGATTCGAGGCCGGACGTTCCTACTGAGTCCGCGGATCTCAATGTAAGGGAGAAATCAGTTTATGATTCAGACTTGGAGCGTGCTGTGGATCATGGGCAAGACGGCTTGGATATGGTGATGCCCCAGGATCTCACAGTCCGGCGTGTAGCCGAATTATACGGCCCTGAAGAGAAGGTGGAAGTCATAGATGTGAAATCCCAGAATGGCGAAGGAAAGAAATGGAACATGCGACGCTGGGCAGATTATTACGAGAATAAGGATGACAACAAGATTGTTCGAAACGTCATCAGTCTAGAAGTCTCTCAAAGCCCACTCGGGAGGCTCATCAGACGTCCTCAAATCGTGCGAGATCTTGATCTTCAAGATGCAGTGTGGCCAGAAGATCTTAAAGAGAAGGGCGAGTACCCACATGTACAATTCTACTGCCTCATGTCAGTCGCAGATTGTTTCACGGATTTTCATATTGACTTTGGTGGATCTTCCGTGTTCTACCACATCTTGAAAGGATCAAAGACCTTCCTCTTCATTCCACCGAAAGAAAAGAATCTCAAGAAATATGAGGAATGGTGCATGTCACCAGCCCAGAATTGGACATTCCTTCCTGACCAGACCAAAGAATGTTACAGAGTAGATCTGAAGGATGGAGATACCATGCTCATACCGTCGGGCTGGATCCATGCAGTTTGGACACCTCAAGATAGCTTGGTCATCGGAGGCAATTTCCTGACCAGGATGAATTTTGGCATGCAATTACGCATAGCTCAGGTGGAGAAAAATACTGGCGTAGCTCGGAAATTCAGATATCCACACTTTCAAAAGCTGCATTGGTTTACGGTTTTCCGATATCTTGAAGAAGATCCAATGCCTTCAAGTGTGAAGACGCATCTCGAAAGTGGCTTTTCTTTCGAACGCCAAAATCCAGCATATTATGACTTTGACAATTGGGGTGAAAATTCGACTCCACAGCCTGAGAATTACCATGCGAAATATTACTCGCAACCAGAGCTCGATGGTCTACCGGAACTTGTGAAATATATTTTGAGGACAGTCTTGATTGACATGGGTGCCATCACAGAGGGGGTAAGTGCAGAAACGCGTAACGCAGTCAAGAAGTCCATTCCGCGAAGTCATGGAGACCCGCTTGATGTTGTCAAGACTTTTGCGATTTGGTGCGCTTGGAAACGAGGTAATGAGCCAATTCCACACTGGGCTTACCCTGACGCTCTCGTCGAGACTGCAGCTCCCGACAAACTCAGCGCTGCAGCATCCAAGAAGTTGGCAGAAGAAGCAGCGTTGAAAGCGCCTAGGAGACAGTCTGCACGCATGCAATCTCAGAGAGAGGGCGGTATCACTTCTCAAATCCACAAAGCCGCCGATGAAGAAACCGAGATGGCACAAGACTCGCAGGACACATCACATGCTAGTAGTGGAAACAGGTCGTTCTCGCAGACCGATGAATTTTATCCGAGGGAGGATAGTTCGGCACCTGCTGCAAATGGACCCAAAATGAATGGAGGAATTGGGTCTCACCGGAAGACAGCTTGCGATTCATGTCGTCGGAGACGAAGAGCTTGCAAGCACAAAACTCAACTCGAGAATCACAACGCCAACTTACAGAGCATCGATGCAGCGAACAGTACACCCTCAGATGTCTTACTAAGTGGAAGTGCTCTTCAAGAAAAGCTAAGTACAATTGGAGGTCTCTTTGACTCGATTGCCGCAAAGCACGAAACGAGCCGAGACCAAGCCTCGTCTGCTTCTGTACCGGATAATTCGGTCCAAAGCGGAATTTCACCTGGCTCTGCGCCTTTAGTTGCGGTGTACGATACTTTAGACATGGTCCTAGGCCACAGCGGGCCTTGTGATAATGGAGGCGCTGCAGAGAGCATGTCACCATCTCGACCGAGAACAAAGGCTTGTAATCACTGCCGTAAAAGCAAGGTAAGTAATTGATGCTTCCCTTTCCCGGCAGTGCACTAACGCGATTCAAGCGACGATGCATTCACGATGCATTTGGCAACGAGGACCCGATCAAAGTTGCGGAGACTGCAATTCCGAGGCCCCATGCTAGGAAGACCAAAGGGCCAGAATCGTCAAATACGAAAATCAAAGTCTCTCTCGGCACAAGCTCACCAAATCCAATATCAAGTTACTACGAAACGCCAGCACGCGCCGCCCCTGTAGCTAATATGCTTATTGCTCCAGTTGCAAAGATGGGTGGAGCAAATGAAGTCACGCCAGAAACATCAACCGACGATGGAGCCCATGAAACCCATTTGATAGACTCGAGCTGGCGTGCGGAAGCCAGAGATGATGGAGCGCAAACTTTGCCAGTCGACGCTGAGGCAATCGCTGTCGATTCAGCTCTGGTCATTGGTGAGTATTCCGTTGTAGCGGCCACTGAGGATCACAGAGCTAGTAAAGAAGTGACCTTGAACAATTTACCGGCTTACTCTTTGGTGTCACCACCGGCTTCGGCTCACGACGCGAATGACAGCGACTTGTCAACCACTCAAATAACACCCACGAAGTCAAGGCCGCAGTCAAGACAACTTTCACCCTCTCCTCGAGAGGACTTCCAAAGATACACACCCGAGTCTGCATCCATAGGAGGGGCAAGTCACTCCTCTGCTGGAGAAAGTCACGAAGAGGTCTTGTCGAAAGCTCAACAAACGCGGTCCCTCTCCACAGCACAGGCAGATGAAGACAGCCTTAAATTAATCAAAGAGCTACAGGCGCAGGACTTAGGGCTAAGAAGAAGGAATTGGGCATGAAATAAACATCAAAATATTACTTTGATTCTACCAGGCGTTCGGTTCAAGGAGTTCTATGATAGATGATACCCGCATGATCGTGAAGAAAGGCATGATGTTTATAGCCAGTGAGTCATATTGGGAAGGGACTTAATGAAGTAGTGATGGTATGAACTTGTATATCCAGATCGTTACTTCGTCGAAAATGGCATACGTGATTATATGAACACGTTCCAATTGATTCAGCAGAATGCTTGCCTTTGCCTGATTCCTTCTCTGCGCATAGGTCGCGAAGATCAAAGCATCACTTGCTAAAGCCGAGGCCAGATGTGAGAAATGTTATCATAGGCATATATCTACGTCGCCAACTGTCCGAGCTCTTCAAGGGGTATCGTACAAATCCACTGTCGTGATACCGCCCTCCCACTCATGCACCATCCGAAGAAGAAAACTTTGAAAGGAATGTTGACAACAGTCTCCCCTTCTCATACCCAAACAGAGACATAACCATTCATTACTCGCCTACCTACGCCCAGATTTGCCTTTTGTCGCAACAAATACCAGCGTGATCAGATATGTCCAACCCTACCCCTCGACCCACTCCGAACACCTGGCCCTCTCCCCAGAGATCAAGCAATGCGAGCACGTCCTATGCACGCTTAGCGCCCTTGCCATCCGTCCCTTTGATTTCTTTGGTCCCTGCGCCCTAGAATAGTGAAGCGCAGTCAGTCAGCATGGATTGGTCTTCTGCTCAACAAGGCGCCAAGCGACATGGGAACAACAACAACGACAACAACAGGAACCAACTCGAGGCGGCTCGTCAAACTCAAGAGCAAATGCGCAGACGACGTACCTTCTTCCCCGGTTTCTTCTCAGCCTTGCCCACCGCCTTCTTGACCGTGCCCTTCACCTTGTCCTTCGCGGTCGGGGTCCGCTTGTTCTTTGTCGCAGGTGCCTTAGCGACGCGTCCACCTGTCGTGGCCTTTGCGCGAGGCTTGGAAGTATTTGCTTTCGGTTTGGCGACCCCACCGGAGCCTGAAGCTGGTTTCTTAGTGGTTGTCTTGGTCTTGGTCTTTGTCTTGGTGGTTTTGGTACCGGCGGTGGAAGGGGCGGGGACGTAGGCTTTGCGCGGGGCAGCGTGGCCGGTGGAGCCGCGTGTGAGGGCCATTCAGCAATATTCAATCTGGCGAAGGGAACGTTGGAATTGTGCAAAAGCTACAGGAGTTGAAGCGACGAGCAATTGGGTGTTTCTTGGTTCGTGGAAGATGTGAGAGCTGGGCGCGTTGAGGAGGAAGGCGGGTGTTTGTTTACGAGAGGGAATGCGCTAAAAGAGCGAAAGTGCAAATTAAGCGCACACAACCACAACTTCGAGATGGCTGCAATTCTTAGTAGTAACAGCCTTTCGTGCTGCTGTCGAGCAATGTATTATGATCGATAGCAGATATCATACTGAGGCAGCCCGGTCGCTTCTGCTTCTCACTAGATGTCCTTAGGTGGTCCAATTTAAGTCTCAAGCAAATTCTTTCGCTCCAGTCTCTGTACCTTTACGCTCTATGCAGGGAATTGCACCACCCGATGCTCTATCAGAATGCTTATCGTACATGCAGGTCCAGAATCATCAAATCCCATTCGTGACAGCTTTTGAGGAATCGTCGTGCGCTTGACTAAGCCTCCCCATTCTTTTCGACATGCTATCACGCTAGTCAGTAAAATTTACTTCAGGGTGACAGCACAGAACTTACAAATTGAAGAAAGCAAATTGACTTGGAGTGCTGCCGAATTTGTACACGAAGCGACTCGCCAAGTAACTGCCAAATATTGCCCGTAAGTAGTTATCGGGTACCTTGCGGTAATGTTAGCAGAACGTCAAGTCCGGTGCAGGAAAGGACATACTCGTTCAATTATTGTCGAAAGTCCCACTTTCTGGAGCAGTAAATTCGGCAGGGCATCTTCAAGTACCGAGTCCCTCAATGGTATATTCGTCCATAGATCTTGCTTCTGCAATTCTTCATCGAGTTGCGTGATTGCTATGCTAAGAGTGTCGCTAAGCGTACTTCGGGGTACACCAGTCTGCTGATGCTCGCGCCATATTGCCTCGAACTCCAACGCCGCGTTCCGCTTGATAACTTCTTGGACTTCTTTCACGTATTCTGTGTAGAATGGAGGAGCATTACCGTCCTCCTTAACACACATATTCTCCACAAATCCATCTTCGTCGAAAGAGAGTGACGCAAGTACCTCGAGTGAGGATGAAGTAACGCCACCCTTGTTCGCCGAAGCATCTTTGTAAAGTATACAGCCGGCTGCTTCGAGACGAAGCTTTGCATCTTGAGTAATGAAAAGATTAGCACCTTCGACAATGTAAGGTATGACGCTTTTGCCATCGACAATAAGTTGATTAACCGTCGCCAGATCGATAGATTCCGGTCGGCCTCCACAAGGCACGAACATATCATATTGTTTGCCGCCGCGTAGATGGAAGGTGTTCCGGAAAACCATACCATTATGCACGACCTCTCCTGACGGAAGTGTGGTGCTGTTTTCTTCGACAAGCACACGATAACCTTCAGGCGATAATTTATCGAGGTCGAAATTCGATATCATGGCCCGCTTCTTTGCCAATCGCATGAGCTCCAGGTGATCCAAACCTTGCGGATCGACGAGGACCCCTGATCCGTCAACAATCGAGGTATATTTCTCGTTGCCAAGGAGTATCTCATTTGAACCCAGATCTCCATCAGGCCCTCCGGTCTGCAATTTCCGTACAGCATCAGGTTGAAGGTTAAGTTTTCGATATATCCCTTTAACGTACTCGCGTACGGATAGAGTTGTCATACCATAGGCGTCATGAGGAATACCACCCAGTTTTGGGCTTTTGCCTGTGAAGAATGACTTCCACCAGGGAGCGCCCCGAGTTCTGGCGTGCTCCGTAGCCCAGTCAACGAGGTCGGCAGTGTTCTCATCAGGACCCATGAATAAGATCTCTTGCTGACCATGCAGGTCAACAATTGGATCTTTGATACCCGGGCTCGTGGGCGGGAGTAACAGATCCAAAATACTGTCTATGTATTTCTCGAATGCCACTTTCACCTTGTCCTGATGATTGACATCGAGAAGAATGACGCCTTTCGAGCCTCCTTCTGGGATATCCTTGTTCTTGCGTTGCTGAGTGTTGGCGAGGTTGTAATTTTCGTCGAACAAAGATCGTGCGTTGATTGAATACATTTCTCGATTTCTTGACCTTACGATACGGATCCCTCCACGGGCAATGTCTCTAAATCTGAGATGAAATCCACGAAACTCTGAGCTGATGATGAGGAACATCCCGTATAGTGGCTGGGGGTATTCGATCTCGGGTAAGAAACTCGGATTTAATCGGAAGCTCAGAGCTACTTTTGTTGGGGTGTAGAAATTCGTCTTGAGGACACTGGCATTGAAAACTCTAAAAGCGGTCATCACCATTTGGTCATGCTCGTTGCTGGCAGTCTTCGCGATTGCCTCCTTCAGCTCAGTGTCGCTGAGAACTCGATCCACTTGGAGACGGAGATAGCTAAGTGTAGGTAGAAAATCGTCATGCTCTCCTCTTGTCTGTACGTAATGAGTGTTGGCGAAAGAAAGATACAGCGACCGCACAAGATCTGGGTATCTGTTTATGATCTCCAGAATATAGTCGGACGTGAATGTTTCAGCACGTAGACGTTTCTTAATCTTCGAAAGCATCTCGGCATGGGCACTGTTGGCAGGATCAAGGAGCGACAAAAGCGAGGTGTATTCAGATCCAAGTCGGTTCATGAAGTGTCCGACAAATACCCATACACAGTGCGCATAGATAGTTTCCTGAAGACTCAGACGACCTGTTGCAAAGTGGCCTTGGAACTTGTTGTGTGGGATGCAATAGAGCAGTGAAGCCTCTTTCATGATCTGATGAATCGAGGCCTCAATTGGAGGGAAACGTGCATTTGAGGCCGTCTGTGGCAGCGGACGAAGATAGCTTGACATGATAGTCATCCCATTTGAGAATTGTTCGACGTATTTTCGTGAGCTCGTACATCCATAATAGTGGTAAAGGTCAGAAAGGGCGCTAAACATGCCCATAGCTGAACCTTGTCGATAGGCAATGACCAGGCGCCTCTCCCTCGTGCCCTGAATTTCGAACATTTCTATTACTGGACCAGTCCGAGTGACAGCCTGGTTCATGATCTCTTGATATACATCCTTGGTGTTCTGAGTCGCCTTTTGGAGAAATCTCTTTTCACCGATCACGTCCAGCCGAGTCTCTTGAGGGCCAGGGTTTGCCTCTACGAAGTTGCATTTATATACGAAGTAACATCGCAGCTGCTGGCCCTTTTCGCCGGGAAGATGGCTGCCAGAGCGAAATGTCTCCACCCTGTAGCTGTTCTCTCCTAGGGAACCATTGATATATTTTTCGTCAATCCTTTGCTCATAGCGTGGCCCATCAACTACGCTGATACCGGGTCTGCTTGTATCGATATAGACAGCGTGGTCCACGGCCTCTTTATCTAAACGAATCTCCAAACGACCATCATCTCTTGCATAGGCAGCAACTTTACCAGCGTAGAGCGAAAGGATGTGATTAACGATAGCAGGCACTGACTCGGTCTGGAAGTACATGTCGTCGATCCCTAGCTCGTTGTAGAACCAATGTGTTTCCGTTTCTACGAATTCCGGCGGAATGAAGCCTTTCTCTTCGATCTGATCCATAACTAGGAGCATCGAAGTCAGTCATTAGGACCATATACGTCTCCGTGGATTTGTGTCCCTACCTTGTTCCATCTGCAATTCTTTGCCCTCAAATTTGGGAGCGACATATCCTGATCCTTGCTCGTGGAGGACCCTGGGCTGTCCTGGCCCAGGAACGCTCAAGTGCGTCGGCTGCGGTGATGGCTCCCTCCCAGGCGTTCTCACAACCTGTTCTAGTATTTTATTCTGAACACCGTTGGGCGACGTTCGGGCCAGTGATTCTGTGACCGATGGTCTCACCGGTAAATTGACGCCATTCCCAAGATCCGCCGCTGGTTTTTCTGCCATGCCGTCTAGAGAAGGCACGCGATGTAGCTTGTAATAAGAGGCGAGCGGCACCGCTTGCAGAGGTGGGTTCCAATAGCGGCAATCTTCTGTCACACCGTTCTCGGAGAGATCAATGTCAATGGCGTCCGGCGAAAGGGTATTGGCCGCAAGCTTCGTGGCCACTATTGGGTGTTTGACGTGGGTAGGCGGACAATTAGGCGGGATTGAGTCGTCGAACAGATGAAAATGGTGGACATCGGCGCTGTCCAAGATGCCATTCTGTAGCCTTTTCTTGTGGCCCAGGAGGATTTCTTTGTCGTCGGGCAGGCTCTGGGAGAGGCCTCCATCGATGCCGCAGCTGACGGGCTTATCGGCCATGGCTTGGCAGGCAGGATTCCTGAGTCCTGAAGGCTGACGGGCTCCGGGGGATCGCCTACGGTAAGCTTGTCAGGGCCTTAGCCTACTCCGTGGGTAGAGTGCCGCACCTGCTGCTGGTGGCTGCACCACCGTTGCGACTAAGGAATAATTGCCCGGATTTCGAGCCTTACGGAGGGACTGTCTACAGCGCACCTGTTCGAGTTGATGAAGGAGGGTTTTAAAATGCACCACAAGGCCAGGGGGCATACCAGATGGTGTGCACTTGGGTGCTAAGAGCCTGCGATTTTGGGAATGTGGGATTCCCGCGCGCATGCTCATCGCGAGTTTGAATCTTCTTTCAAACCGAAAGGGCGCAAGTCGTCCTTTGGCTCGAGGTTAGAGATTTTCCAGTAGCTATGTCTGAACAATGTTTCATGTATACCAGAGGTTGCAAACTCTACCGTCGCCTAAGCACTCAGCATTAAGCGTACAGCGTCAAATCCTGAGGAGCTAGAGCCCGGCCCCAACTTTGAAGCTGTTGAAGATCTAAACCCTACCGTCACTTCATCCTCGCCATCGAGGAGAACCAAGTGAGCTGCGCCTAAGCCCTCGGGCTTGCCAACCCTCGGAAAAGAAGGGCCAGGTATGCGACAGGCGATCGCAACAGATTGTTACTCTATATAACCATCAAAGACGCATTGACCATCGTCTCATTCCAGTTTCACCCCAACATCTTGTAGAGGTAACCGTGGGTCTGTGGGGTCAGCTAGCGGCCGCTGTATAGCTTAGCTCTCTGCATAGGCCTCGTGGAATACCAGCAATTTGCTACATGTTGCAGCAGAGCCGCATCTGGAGGGTGAAGCACGTGCAACGTGGCCAGAAGGGAAACTGTCCGCCTCAGAGAGACTTGATTTAGAACGGAGTGGCGAAAGAGGCGCCTAATTTGGTAGTGTATTCTGTACTCAGGCAAGCATCCGAATCAAAAGCCGACCATTTGGCCCCAATCTCGTTGGGCCCTTTCTCCGACCTATTTTGTTCGAGAAGTGCTTGCCATGAACGAATAATCCGGTTCAGAAACGCTTTTCGGAGTAGAGCACCAACATGGATTAGCGACGGTGGTGCAACTCGTCATCATGGTCGCGTCTCAGTCTGTCTTGTCATAGTCGCTGAACCCAACATTCTCCATTCTTTGAGCCTGTTCCTCTACTGCTGATGTTTGTTTGTGGAGGTATTCATCAAGTCTGTGGCAAATACCTTGATCTGACAGTGCGAGTATACGCGCACTTAAAAGCGCTGCGTTGACGGAGTTGTTTATAGCAACTGTCGCCACTGGACACCCTCTCTGCGAAACGTTAGGGTTTACATTCTCATTTGCCACCCTCGCAGCGTGCAGACTTTCTCTAGTCAAGACTTACCGGCATCTGAGCGATACTGTATAAGCTATCAACACCGTCGAGGCAGCTTGCCTTGACTGGCAGGCCAATGACTGGCAGTGGTGTGATAGCGGCTATCATACCAGGCAAGTGTGCCGCCCCTCCGGCGGCGGCAATGATGACTTTGTATCCTCGCCGTCGTGCCCCCTTCGCGAAGTCGACCATGCGATCGGGGGTCCTATGGGCTGACGTTATTGTCACCATGAATGGGATGTCGAGTTCTTTCAGAATCTGAACACCTGGCGCAAGTATGGAGCGGTCGGAGTCTGAACCCATCGTGATACTCACAAGCGGCTGCCTCGTTCGCGGTTCATCTAACATTTGATCATTGACCTGACTTTCTCTCCGAATCCGATCAATATCTTCAATGAGTGGCTGCATACGAAGTTCTGCTGTAGTCATATCGCCCGCCAGCACGGTGATGTGGCCCATTTTCCGACCTGGACGGGCTTTCCCTTTGCCATACAAGTGGATTCGCGCCCCATCGATAGCGTGAGCAGCGTGTGCAGCATGCATGTGAGAGTCCGTTTTGACACCACCAAGAATATTTAACATGATGGCATTGACACCCGGTTCTATCAAATGTAGACTGTTAAGCGGTATAGGAAGACCAAGTATTGCCTTCAAATGTGCGTCATATTGTGATAGCGGGCAAGCATCTATCGTATAATGCCCTGAGTTATGAGGTCTGGGGGCAATCTCGTTCACCAAGAGGGAGCCGTCATTAAGAAGAAACATCTCGCATCCAAAAACACCTTTGCCCCAGAACGAGGCCACCGCCTTTCGTGCCATCTCTTGGGCCTTCTGGCGGGTCTCCCTGCTTATTCGACGCGCAGGGGCATAAACCAACTTGCAAATGCTGTCTTCATGGATGGTCTCAACCACAGGGAACGCTTTCGTAATCCTTGACCAATCTGAAGACGGATCGCTTTCAACTTTCACTACCATGACTGCAAGCTCCATGTCAAAGTCTGCCCATTTTTCGGCATAGAGCGGGCGATCCCGTAAACAGTCCAAGGCATTCTGCAGATCAGAGTCTGAATTTACCTTATGATTACCTCGTCCATCATAGGCCTCTGTTCTAGACTTCAGCATGAAAGGGTAGCCTACTTCACCAGCAACCGACTTCAATTCTGCAGTGGTATTACATTGCAACGAGGACGAAAAGGTAGTTGGTATGTCATTAGCATGGAGATGTGTCTTTTGACTGAATTTATCCTGGATAACCCGGATAGTCTTCCAGCTTGGGTGAATTTGCACTTTGCCGTCCAATTGTTCGAGAATGTCGGTGTTAACATGTTCGATCTCGACAGTCAAAATATCACACAGCTTCGCCAATCGCCGCACAGCATCAGGGTCCTTGAAAGAGCCGTCGATGTGCTCACCAGTGGCATTAATCTGCTTTGCAGGTGCCTCAGGCGCATCAAGACTTAATGTCCGGATGTTAAGACGATTAGCACTTTCTGTGAGCATTCTTCCAAGCTGCCCTCCACCAAGAATCCCCACCGTTTGCTCCATAGTGACGACTTGCAAATCACGTAAAGGATTGGGGTGAGCAAGAAAGGGGCCAGACGAGCTAGCATTTAAATAAGTGCGTAGAGACGATTCAGCTATCGTAATCGGCCCGGCCCGTAGGTATTTCAAATAAAGTTAGACTTAGGGCTTGCCAAAAACAAAGTGAAGCCTCTGCCCCTGAAAGCGCCCACTCTACATTACTTCAGCCCTTCACGACATCTTCTCCATATAGCTGCTAGAGCAAGAGTCCTATAACCAACTAATTCATAGTTTTTAAAGCCAATGTAGCCAAAGGTTTTTCAGATCCCTGACAAAAGCTCTTTCATCTACTCAACACAGAACATTCTCCTAAGCAAGCTAGCTACAAAGCACAACAGACCGACGTACATCTTAGAAAGGCAATCCAGAAACAGACGGACTGAGTTTATGATCTGTATACCGAGCCAGATCGCGTACGCACAAAGGCAACTCCAGACTGCCCTTTCATCGTGGTGAGATCCTCACCTGAAAAGTGATTCGCAAGTCTTTCTGAAGTTTGCACGAATTGATCGTGATTACTTGTATAGATTGATCTCTAGCTTTTCTCGCGTTCGTCCGCATCTTCTTCATTACATCGTGCAATCAAATTCGCCAATCGTAATCAGAAGTGACTTTCTCTAACCTTTCCACGCCGAGTCTTCACATTATACTCCATCCACTGCGCAACACCCCTTTTGCCTGACATAATCAGACATCCAGGGTTCATAACATGGCAACCGTCTAATCCTATCGCAAATGCGGGAGCTTCAGCGTCCATTATGACTAGGGCTGTAGGCAGAGGATACAGATTTAAAGCGTGTGCATGATCCCACATAATTGGCCGCTGTGATACGGGGAAAGGCGACAGATGGCCCTGATCAACGAGTGTTTTCACAAGCTTACGAGAAGTTTGCGTGTGTGATGGGACTTTTGTGTGACCCAGCTCTGCATTCTTGCTCCTGGAAGCCTCAACTGCGGCCAGGTTGAGGACGTTTTCATTTTCAGCGATATCGTTGTGAAGCATTGCGGACTGCTTGTCTAAGCTTTGGTCGTTTTCGCCGGTCTCGCTCTCATGATCATTCAAGCCATCGCAGTCTGTTTGATTGAAGCGGACGGCGTGGCGGCGAAGTCGACCAGAAATGTCATCCCGAAACACAACAATCTCGTGCACTGATCCAAATAAAGTTATCCTCGTTGGATTCGTGGACCATATAGCCTCTCCGTCTGCCTTAACCCCTGTCAGTCTCTCGTTCTCGGTGTTTGCAGTCGCAAATGCCCTCCGTATTCGTGACGTGAAAAGCTCTGGTACTGATTCCCGTGGCAGGACGGTTACTGCTCCCGAAGAAAACGCTGACGGCCAAGGGTCGTGATCGCCTGGCACAAAAATGAAAGTTGTGTTGTGCAGCATGCTCGGAAAATCTGAAAGAGCAGAGGCTAGTGAATCAAAGTATTCCTTATATTCGATGCTACCTCCGCTACCTCCTCCGGCCATTGCGGCATAACGAACGAAATTACCTATCAGCACGACCGCCATTGGCGTGTTCTCCGCTGAATCTGCCGCATATATCGCAAGAACCTTTCTGAGGGCCTGAAGTGTCTTTGCCTTGTCCAGATTGACTTCACCCAGTATGATAATTCTCGCCCTGCCTTCGCCCGTTGAGTCTGGGGTCCTCTTCCTAAATACTTGCTTCTCAATAGCGCGCATGGAATTACCAACCGCCCGTTCACTCCCTACGCCTAGGAAGTCGACCCAGCCGAATCCTGCCCCAGCTCTCTCATTATTGGTCAAATCACGATTGCCGTGACCAACTGTTATCTCTCGTCGCTCACATGGTGGTCCAGTCATACCAAATGCGACAAAAACGCCGCTCACATTTCCCCCAACGCCATTGTTACCATCAAGGCCAGACCCAGATTTGGTCTCTTGGTCCTCATATTGGCCGTCGACGATTACAAGCATGCCAGGCGCAAACCAGACCCCATCTTCTGGAGAAGGACGAGCGTGATGTAGGTCGAGAACGATGCTTCCTGTCGGATCATTGATGGTCAGATGTCCTGAAGGCGACCGAGAAAGCATCCCCATGAGCAGATGGTTACTGCCTCCTCGACCTAGGAGGTTAGCAATTGGTGTAAGCTTGTAAGTTTGCTGACGCAAAGCAGATGTGGAGCGTGAGAGCTGGGAAAGCTTCTGTCTTGCCAGTAAAATTGCAGAGGTCTGGAATGATTCGTTGCGCATAAGTCGCTGGTGGACCAAATGATACCTCTGACGTGCCATGTCTGTCTTTCGACCTGGCCCTGACATGACTGATGGGCTTGTAAGACAATGCTCAAAGTGTTTTTTTTCTGGATTATATGAAAGCCTTGGCTGCTCGAATGCATTAATCACCTTGAGCCATCGCCGTGGATCGCTCGCTTCATTAGAGGGTTCCTCGTTTCGGTCGCCTGATGTCGTGCTCTCACTCATATTCTCGAGGTGTTCTCTCTTTGGGAGGTTCGTGGCGGTAGAAGATAAATCTTCTAGTGATGCGCTCATCCTGGACGCTGGAAATCCTCGCCGGCTCAAATTATTGGGCAGTTTCCCAGCTGCAGACTGAATGCCGTTGAGTATGCCGTTGAGTTCAGAACCTTCTCCAGGGACCAGGACTCCTCCACCATTCAGTTTCCATTGCTTTGCAGCGTCGTCTAGTAGTCTTTCCGCAAGACCTGCTTCGCGCCATGCAGAACCGCATTGCTTCCCAATGAACGTAGCTAGTAGCTGTAATGCGGTTGAAGTGAGGTTGAGATTGTGTTTCTTCGTAAAAACACGAAAGGCCAACGGTCTCAGTGTGGCTGGTGGGAGAGAGATAGGCAAGGTGGAGGGCTTGGGGAGGTTCTTGTGGCTTGGGTTGTGGAATGGGTTGTATAGGCGTCCCAAAGGCAGGTGAAGAAGAGGCAATAGTGTCCGGGTCATGAATGTGCCCATGGAGAGAGCCCAAATTGTTGGCGTCGACGTGCAAAGCAGGCATTGTTGATAATGTCAAGACATACAATGATCCGCAAGAAAAAAGTTATGATCTACGCGTCGCGCGTCTAGGTTCTAAGTGCACGTAACCTTCGCTCTCCCGTAATTATGGACAAATATATTTCGCTCTCGATCGAAGACCCTTGCGAACGCTGTTAGGAACCAAGCCTTCCAGGAAATCATATGATGCACGTCTGAGAGCAACATCACTTTTTATCAACCCAACACGAGAGTCAGAAAGACACCATGGCGGACGATACGAAGGACCCTGACGTGGCCAATACCGATAGCGACAATGCCAATGGTGATAAGCGAATTGATCAGCTTGACGAGTTGGTCGCCAAAGCAGCTCATCAATATTCATTAAGCAATTATGGGGAAGCAGCAGAGCAATATGCGCATGCGACAGAGCTACAAGCGGAGATCTATGGCGAGATGTCAACCCAAAACGCAGACTTGTTGTATGCGTATGGGAGGTGTCTATATCACGTTGCAGTTCAGAAGAGCGACGTTCTAGGCCCTCAAGTTGCCGGCGAGAAGCCAAAGGACGAGCCTAGCAACGAAGAGGGTCAAGTTGGAGAATTGGGTTTAGACCATAAGATTGAGACGGAGCCTGAGGGTGTCATCGCGAAAGCCATCGAGGAGAGCGAAGAATATCAGAGACCATCGGCAGAAGTCGGCAAGAGCGAGAAACCGTATTTCCAATTCGCTGGCGATGAAAACTTCGATACGTCAGAGGAAGAGGAGGCCGGCGATGCAGACCACCCAGGAGAGGATCCAGACGCGGAAGACGATGACTTAATGAACGCCTTTGAGGTGTTGGACATGGCACGCGTCTTACTGATTAAAAAAATTGAGGAAGATCATAGAACCGGCAAAGGCAAAAGTGTGGAAGTGCTGCCGCAGGAACGTCAGTTACAGGAGCGTCTAGCCGACACTTATGACCTCCAGGCGGAAATATCGCTCGAAGGAGAAAGATTTCAAAGTGCTGTGACAGATCTCAAATCGGCATTAGAGCTGAAGGAAAGGCTGTTTGTGCCATCATCAAGCCTATTGGCTGAAGCACATTATAAACTGTCGTTGGCTCTAGAATTCTCTTCGGTCACGGAGCGGCAATCTGGGAATGCAGAGACAACTTCGGAAAAGGGAGCATATGTTGACTACGCAATGCGAGAAGAAGCAGCGAAGGAGATGGAAGCGGCAATTGCGAGCTGCAAAAGCAGGATTCGGACAGAAGAGTCGGCATTGCGAGAAATGGTGGGGTCGAATGGCAAGCTTGATCGAGAGTCCAAGATTGCAAGCGGTATTGCGGAAGTAAAGGAAATGGTAATTGACATGGAACAGAGGGTGAGGTCATATCCTGGGCCCTCCGTAAGCTTGCTAACAAACAGACAGCTGTCTGAGCTTCAACAGCCTCCTGTCTCCATCAGCGACGCTCCAGACAAGGGCAGGGTAGAGGACTCTAATCCTTTGGCTAGCATTCTCGGCTCTATGTTAGGCGAATCCCCTAGTGATCAGAAGAAGATACTCGACCGCGCTGCTAAGGACGCGAACGATTTGAGTGGCCTAGTCAAAAGAAAGAAGCAGGCTAGTGAGGCAGCCATATCAAATTCAATAGCAGATGAGGCGTCTTCCTGCAGTAAGAGGAAAATTGAACTTTCTAAACTAGATGGCGTACACGACAACAAGAGGTCCAAGCTTGAGAAGCCGAGCGGCCTGTGAGATCCTTCGGTCTGATTCTTCACTTATATTCAATCGACGGATACATATCATTTGTTCAAAATTAATGATACTCAGGAAGAGAAAACTTGCCGAGACACTCGATGATTCATAGCGAAAGCCAGTCGTCACCAGGTAATAGACTCAATCCAAACATATCATCATGGTTCCACTCCAAATTAATCACAGCGGGAATTTATAGGAGATGACTGGTTATTACCGCTCTTTATACACCTGTACCTAGTTATGGATCCCAGATTACCGCTGGTCGCCGGCTCTCTAAGCCCGACTTACCATCCCGACTCAGTTTAAAGACCTGAGAAAGATTTTATCTTGCTTCCTCTTCATTGCCAGAGAAGAACTCCAAATTCCAGCAAAGAGGTCCTCGCATTCATCTTCATCTTGACTATCAAATTCAACATCACTAACATCTTTGTAACGTTCTAATGTGCTTCCTGCTTGTTGGAAACTTGATGGCAGAAGATCGAGATCGTCGTGCTCCCAGTCACTAGAAGTGCATACCATCTTCGTTTCCAAGATATATTTACCAACCTTATAACGTTGGTTTTCATCTTCGGCGCTATCGTATTTCCAACCCAGCATCGAGCCACAAAACGAGCATCGCACGTCGCTCACAGTGTGAATACCGGTCACTAATTGACGCTGAGATGGCGGGTCTGTCTTCGTATTGGGGAGACAGACCGGCTTCCCACATTGAGCGACTAATGGGAGTGCCGCGGCAGGAGGACAAGGGGAAACAAGGTATGCCCGACCATGGCGGCCTGTAAAACCTTTACTTATAATTTGGGACGTCAGACATATATCGACCGCGCATTTTGTGCATCGAAGGTGTGAAGCATGGCCTGGAAAATAGCTTCTTTTCGGGGTAGAAACTTGACTATTGTTCGTCGTAGAGGCAGGCGGCGCATTTGAAGTGACTCTTCCTTCGTGTTTGCGAGAGGGGATTGAAGGAAGCAGGTATATCGGGAAGTGGAAGGAAGTTGGCGTCCGTGTGAACATAGCGCATTCAGTGTGAAGGGAAACCAATAGCATATTGCGGGCTTTTCGCCCATGCAGCAAGGAGTTTGAACATGGCTGGGTTTTGTGCATCAAACTTGCAAGTGCTATGGGAAGCGTTTGATCGAGAAGAGATAAGGTATACCATGTTTCTTCGCTGCTGGATTCTCGTATGAGTCAGGAGGGGCAGAGTAAGACTGAGCGGGGTTGGCGTTATAGAATACGAGTGTATTAAATCTAAGAAAACGCCAAGAATTGGTTACGGCTTGCGAGAAAGATAATATATTGCCTCTAAATAGTGTGGATTTTGATCTTACTGTCCAGCTGGCCCCTAATGGTCCACCAACGCCCGGCTAAAAGCAAAAAGGCGACATTGACTAGTGTTGTACAATAGTCAGCTTCTAAGACAAATCAGAAAGAAGCCGTGGTAACAAGGGTCTGAGCACTAAATCTCGCGAAAATCTGCTGGTCGATTCTGGTTCCAATTCCGTCGATTCTGCTGTCGATTGGGATTCACTGGCTTTCGGAAGTAGGCACTTTCTTCTTCGTTATTTGACCGTTGCTGGTTTGCAAATTGACCGTACGCAATCTTGTTGCCGTTGTTGTCAAAGTTCCACTGGCTTTGTATGCTTTGTGACCCATTACTTCGCATATTTGGTTGATTGAACCCATTGGTATAAGGTGCAGAGTTTTGAGGCGCTCCCATATTCATGTTTAAGTTTGGTTGGCTGTATGGCATTCCCCAAGAATGGTTCCAGTTCTGGCTTGTAAAGGTTGCTGGTGGAATCATCATCATCGAATTTTGCATACCCATGCTCACAGGAATGCCCATGAATCCATTCATGTTCGGAAATGACATAGGATTGAGGTTGGAATTTATTTGACTTCCGTTGGCGGAGGTTGCGGGATCGATGGTTCGATCTTTTGTTCGTGACTGGTCAAAATAGCTGGGTGTCTTGTTTGCGATTCTAGCAGGCTGTTCTTTCTTTGGGCTTTGACCTGAACGGGTATTTTCTAACTCCAATTCAGCAGGGCGCTTTCTTGATTCCTTGATGGCTAGTGAGGGCTCAGGGACAGATAGCTTTGCAAGTGGACTCTTGGATTCCGATGGCGCAAAAGATGGAAGAACGTCTTCAGATTTAGTAAAGACTGGATTTTCCGGTATCTCAACTGGCCTTGCTGCAGCTTTACCCTCCTCATATTTGCGAACTCTAGCCGCCATCTCAACATCAGGTATCAGATCATCAATCGGAACATTGTCAGTAGAACATTGGGGGCAGCGAAGATCGTTATCGAGCAAGGCGGTCTGGATGCATTCATGGCAGAACGTCCTACCGCAACAAGGTGTCTTCGTGGGATCTACAAACAAACGTTTGTCCATTTGGCATTCCAAACCTAGGTCTTGTAGATCTTTAGTGCTCTTCGCAGCGACATTTTGCGCGGCTACGGAAATTTTTGCCTGCACTTGATATCTGTCCCATGCAGCTTGATCCGGCTCTGCGACAACATATTCACCCTCAGAGTTCACCATTACCCCACTTGGCTGTTTTGCGTCATCTATCGTCCCGTCATTAACGATTGCAGTCGGCCTTTCAACTGTCTTGAGAAAAGACTTAGGAATGCCCGTAGTTCGCTTGATTCGAGGTCGGTTATCAAATGCTGGATCATTATTTGTCGGGCACTCCTGTATCCAGTGACCTTTTTCGTTACAACGATGACACACATATGTTGAAGCTGGCGGATGATCGGGCACGTTCTGGGGTTTTCCTTTCATTGGTAAAGTACGGTGCACAGGGGCGGCACTAATGCAGCAGGAATGGTATTAGCAAAAATGATATTGAATGGTAAATGGGGTCATCAAAGCGTACTTGGCCATCTGCTGCTGCTGCCGTGCCCAGTCGTCCGCACCCATCTGCAAGGTAGACTTTATCCGTTCTTCCTCACTCTGCACACCACGTATGTTGCCGAGACCATGAGAGAATTGATTGGTCGTATTCTTCGACGATGAAGTCTCTTGTCGATAGGCATTCTTCGAACTTTGCGGCATTTTTCCAGACACATATCGCGCTGCTCCCCCTCGTCCAGGCTTACTAGCAGGAAGCCTCTTAGCAATTACTGTCGTCGATCGCGGGATTATTGCAGTGTCATCATCGTATTCTACTGAAGCGTTAGTAAGATCACCACGCCCTTCTGATTTTACTTACCCTCATTCGTGTCCTCTGAATTAATGATCAACTCAAAATCCGAGCCGTCTCCTAATTTGCTTTGAGCAATTATGTCTCGCTTTAGTTCGAAAACAGAGATTCCAGTACCATCGAAAGTCACTCGAGAAGGCTCCTTCTGAGATTTGAAGCGAAAAAAGACTGAGGAAGACATTTCTGGGACGATAGAATCTGATCAGGTCTACCCACTCTCGTGAATCGCCCTTTGGCTTAGGGCTCCTGCTAATCACTTCGACTGAGCCGGTTCTAGAAACGAAGCAAGTCCGTCAACGAGATGCCAATGCTAATGCTTGGAAGGAGTCTCGGCGGCTATCCCTTGCAATTTAGTGATCAGCGAGTCAAATAAGCGTAGTGCGAACGTCGTTGATTTTTTTTTAGGTTCCAGCAATAACATCTATTCAATTCTGTTATTTGCACCAGGGCACAAAGATATTGCAGCTCTCAGGATGCAGAGATTAATAAGCTAGTGACCGTACAGTAAGGCCTTCACCAAGCTGAACTCGAACCCTCACGCAGATTAAATACATCCACTTCCCATCCAGTGTATGAATCCTTTGCCTTTGATTCTTTTCACGCCTTGAAGAGAATGATTCAGGCTCTGGTGTCCGCCTTTGAATACGAGGAGCTCGAAAGCATCTACCAGCCGTCGGGAGCTGTATCAAGCAGGAGGCCGATCATATTAAAACGTAAATGGTCGAGGGTTGTAGCTGGGAAACATCGATGTGAGATGCCGATGATGATTGTAGGATGCAGGATGACTGGGAACTAAAAGAAGACAAAGGCACATTACTAATGACAACGCCGTTTGATTACGACATAGAATCTACTTGCCGCTAATGTGTTTTTTACAGCTTACTAATCAGACCCTTAGGATTTTAAAACTCATTTCGTCTGTATACTGATATTCTTCGTGGAAAGACCGCCAATTTCGAGCCGCAATGCCACCTGTACACATTCTGGATTATGTGGCTGGCAATGTCCGATCACTTTGCAACGCAATTGAGAAACTAGGCTTCACAATTTCATGGATCAAAGAGCCAAAAGACATCGACAACGCAGAAGTATGCCAAGTCGCATTCTAAATTCCTGTCTACAGCTTTATCCGATCCAATTTACAGATACTAATGAATGCGTAGTATCTTATTCTACCCGGTGTGGGTCATTTTGGGCATTGTATGACACAATTTGCTTCTAGTGGATACCTTGAAGCCATTCGTAAACATGTAGATTCTTCTAAACCATTCATGGGAATATGCGTTGGGCTACAGGCACTGTTTGAAGGATCTGAGGAGAATGCAGACGTTGAGGGTTTAGGGTTCCTACCAGGTAGGTTGTCGCGATTCGATAGCAGCGACAAGAGCGTGCCGCACATCGGATGGAACTCTGCTGCAATTTCACAAGCTATTCTCTCTTCTCGAGGATGCTTGTACGGTCTAAAGAATGACAGCAAGTATTACTATGTTCATTCTTATGCTGTGCCGTACGAAGCAGGTGTGCTCGAACAACAGGGTTGGACCGTTGCAACCGCTTCTTATGGCACGGAGACATTTGTTGGGGCTATTGCTCGTGGTAACGTTTTTGCTACCCAATTTCATCCAGAAAAGAGCGGAATCGCCGGTCTGCGTGTCATAAAGGCCTTCCTGGAAGGCAGGCAATGGGCATTACCAAATAACCCGATACAATCGGCGATGAGCCAGGGTCTGACCAGGAGGGTTATCGCGTGCCTTGACGTACGCGCTAATGATCAGGGTGATTTAGTCGTAACGAAAGGTGACCAGTATGATGTTCGTGAAAGAGGAGAAACTTCCAAAGGCGGCAACGTCAGGAACCTCGGAAAACCGGTGGAGATGGCGCAGAGGTATTATGAACAAGGGGCCGATGAGATAACCTTTCTCAACATTACGTCTTTCCGGAATTGCCCATTGGCAGATCTTCCAATGCTGGAGGTTCTACGACGTACCTCCGAAAATGTGTTCGTGCCTCTGACCGTGGGAGGTGGCATTCGAGACTCCGTAGACGCCAACGGCAAGATGGTCCCTGCCCTTGATGTTGCAACACTGTATTTCAAATCGGGCGCTGACAAGATCAGCATTGGTTCGGAAGCAGTCCTTATTGCAGAGCAGTATATGCGCGATGGAAAAAAGCCAACGGGCACAACAGCTATTGAAACAATCTCAGCGGCTTACGGGAACCAAGCCGTCATTGTGAGCATTGACCCCAAAAGGGTTTACGTTCGTTCTCCGCAAGAGACACGGCATCATACAATTAGGACAAAGTATTCCGGACCAGAGGGTCAAGTTTATTGCTGGTATCAATGCACTATCAAAGGTGGACGCGAAGGCCGTGATCTTGATGTTACCGAGCTAGCAACCTCAGTTGAGGCTCTAGGGGCTGGGGAGATATTGCTCAACTGCATTGATAAAGACGGTAGCAATAGTGGCTTTGACCTGGAGCTCATAGATGATTTAAAAAAAAGGGTCAGTATCCCAATCATCGCTTCGAGCGGTGCCGGTAACCCAACCCATTTTGAGCAAGTATTCAAATTCACATCCACAGATGCTGCTCTTGGAGCAGGAATGGTAAGGTCATTAAAAACGCTGTTACCGACCCGGTGCTAAGACGTAGTAGTTTCATCGTGGAAATTACACCGTGAATGACGTCAAAACTTATCTGTCCAAAAAGAATCTACTAGTGAGACAAATTGAGGGCAGTGTAGAGCACTGCTGAAGAAAAAAGACACCGCCATAACAAGCTCATACTAGTAATCGACTGTTTCCAATGCCACCTGGACTTGTCCGAATCGCTATTTCGCTGAACGAAACAGATCACCACAACGTAAAGACGGCAATTATGGGTCTACCAGATAGACTAGACCTTTGCGTGGCTGTTGACCTTTCAGCACATCATCTTTGATGACATGAAAGCAACCTACTGGAGAAAATTGACGGAGCCCAACGTCTGCCTGTTGAAACACCGCCGCTGTCTACCAGAGTCAGTCCCGCACCTCTACAAAAAGTATGCAACTTACTGAATCGTCCATCCCGTAATGTTGAGAATACACGACTTCTGAAATCCCTACCTGTGTGATCTTGATACTACACGTCAAACAAGGGCAGCTTTTGGTGTGTCAATCAGAGGTCCTGAAGGGCAGCAGCACACTCACGTATCACAATAGAGGATCGAGCCTTCTCTGATTCGTTCTCTACCAGCTTCGAGCAGAGCGTTTTCTTCTGCGTGAATGCACAAGCATGTTGACAAGCCGGTGCCAGCTGCAGAGCCAGAGTTGCACCGCGGACCTATTTCAATCAGCTCTTCGGCGCCCAAACATGGTTCTTTTGACCCACATCCACCTGCGTTACAATTTTTTAGGTTTCTGGGGGTTCCATTGTATCCTGTACTAATAACCCTCTTATCACGGACCAATACGCAGCCCACGCGACGTTTCATGCAATTACTACGTTGGGCGGCGAGTGACGCCAGTTGCATGAAGTACTCATCCCAATTGGGTCGCAATCGCTCTTCGTCAGCCAGCGTGAGTATCCTAAGTGATTCATGCAGTTTCTGCATAGAAGATGTCTGGTTCACCAACCGTACTTCAGCTCGATCCAACATGCGAGCAGAGCCATCGTTTAGATTGTAACGGCTCGCGTCATCCCGCATCACAAAAGCTTCAAGAGATGGTGGACTCTGGTTGCAAGTCTTACATCTATGATATGATTGAGAAAGACAGTGCTTTATGATCATAGGGTAGCATACTGTTTTATTAGTCTTCTCCATCTGAGCCACACCGGCGCTTCAATGCTAACAAGAAGGAAGAAGGGGCGACGCTGGAGACTATCCAACATGGTCTCATCCCCCACATCTTGTGTCACGAAGCGCTGATGCCAATTTTTTGTAACATATTCCAAAAGAGCCTCGAAGTGTCCAAAATATTTCTGATCCACGCCCTTTTCAGCAGGAACTACACCACTCACGCCGTCAGAAGACGGCGGTGAGATATTTCGTGCAATGCATAATTTAGTGAAATTCTGTTCGTGGACCAGGAAATCCGCTACCGATGTCTTGCCGGCGCAAATACCTTTTCAGTGTGTAAGCGAAGGTGATGCATTACTCATTGCAACATTTCTCACCACCGCAGAGACCAATGAGCATTATTTTCCGCTGCGCTACTTACATGTCTGACGAAACGTAGCCCAGAGGTAGATATTAAGATACGCGTCATTAGTGTATGATTTAATACGCTATGAGAACCCAGTAAAGATTAGATAAGGGTCACCATCGACTCTCATGTGATGCCAGGCTGCTACCTTTTACAAGCGACCAAGTGCACGCTGCCGGAATGAATTCGAGTGACTACGCTGAGTGTTCTTCATCTTATCAAGAAGCGTTTCGTTGAGAGGAGACTCAACTAAATTTGTCATATTTGCTTAGATCTTTTTTCTACTATGACCAATTTAAGATTTGCGACCTTCTCGTCCGACGTCGAACTTCCTTTCTGGATGAATCTCGCGTCGCGAAAGGTCGACGTCGATCGATTAGATGAATCTGCTCAAGCGCTGCGTGGGTTTTACGAAATTCGGCCCAGTGACCCACCGGAAGCGTCTTGTCGTATGCAGCTCCATGGCAGTGCACTGAACGGCGATATGTCTGTACGTCACCAGTGGTTTGATAGGATTCAGCTGAATTCCGGTATAGCTCGCCAAGTGGGCTCTACCGAGCCGAAGGCATGATCAAGAATGTCAATACTATTGAAAGTTACAAGAGTCTTGATAAAGCAGCTGTTCTTGCTCAAGCTGCACGGACTGTTAGCTAATGTGTTCATTCCTTTTGGTATTGTTAATCATGTTGATACGAAAGTAGATTTGGGACGCCATATCTGATGGCACGATTCTTTCATGTCCTTCACTCCTAGCTTCGTTCTCTGTCATTTGTTTTGCAGATATTAAGAAGTACAAATTCACATATCTCTTCGCATTTCCTGCACTGCACTCGGACCCAGCATGGCATGTAATGCCTTACGTAGATACGGACGGCAATGCCAATGTACATCGGACAGCCGTTGAGATCATTTCTCACCTCACAATCCCAGAGGCGACGTCTCTGACAGCCGCAGTTGAAACCTGGCGGTCGAGTGTGGACTCAGGCCAGCGTGGGTTTTTTCTTGCGAAAAGACATCCGATGCATCCGAACTCGAAGGAAACACCCACCACGACCCCCTCCAATCAACCTCTGCCAGAGTATGAAAACGAAGTCAACTGGACAATAGGTTCTCTACGCTCCTTCGAGAACGGGTTTTTTGACGGCGTCCCTGAATCTGATCGCTTCATTTCCTTCGCAGATCCATCCACATATCCCTCTCATCCGGGTTGGATGCTACGGAATCTACTCGTATTGATTCGACGACGGTGGAAACTGCAAATGGTTCAAATCTTGTGTTACAGAGACGTCCAAGGACAAGGGCAGCGCGCAAGAAGTCTAGTCGTACCGCTTAGGATGTCATCGCCAGGCACCGAAGCGACACCAGAGACAGATCCAGACAGGTTGCCCAAAGTCACTGGCTGGGAACAGAACAGCGCAGGCAAGTTGATAAACAAAGCAGCGAACCTTGGAGAATACATGAATCCGCATCGGTACTTCTTATCGCCTACAGATGAACTTCTCCCGCTGACCGCAATCAAGTTTGGCAGATCAGGCTGTTGATCTCAATTTGAAATTGATGAAATGGCGAATTGCGCCGAAGCTTAATCTTGAAAGGATCAAAAACACTAGGTGTCTGTTGCTAGGTGCTGGAACGCTCGGGAGCTATGTTTCACGCAATTTAATGGTATGTCTTATTACAGCAATCACTTCTAGACCAGATCGCCGCTCACTGATACACCTTTTCTCTAGGGATGGGGCGTTAGAAAAATTACCTTCGTCGACAATGGGAGCGTCTCTTTTTCTAATCCAGTGCGACAACCACTCTTTACGCACAGTGACTGCTTGAATGGTGGCGTTAAGAAAGCAACCCGGGCGGCCGAGAGTCTCAAAGAGATTTACCCCAGCGTTGATTCTCAGGGTTTCGTACTCTCGGTACCAATGGCAGGACACCCTATCATGGATGCAATCAAAGTTAAGCAGGACTTTGAAAGGCTTCAAGCGTTGATCGAAGCGCACGACGCATTATTCCTATTGATGGATACTAGAGAAAGTCGTTGGCTGCCAACGGTAATAGGCAAAGCCTCTGACAAGATCGTTATGAACGCAGCACTCGGCTTTGATTCTTACGTTGTGATGCGTCACGGTAGGAAAAGCTCAATATTAGACCATAAGGAACTTGGGTGTTACTTTTGTAACGATGTAGTCGCTCCAGCCGACGTAAGCTACCCTGCTCTCCTGGTTCTCATGTCTAACCTTGGTCCAGTCGATGGCAGACCGAACCTTAGATCAACAATGCACTGTAACTCGCCCTGGAATAGCACCTATCGCGTCAGCGTTGCTTGTTGAGCTTTTCGTAGGCCTGCTGCAGCATCCATTGGGCGCTTCAGCTACAGCTGTAGAAAACCCCGCCGTTGGTCATGCGGATCAGCCTCTAGGCATTGTTCCCCACCAAATTCGTGGGTTTCTTGCCGATTATCGCAATGTGCTCATCAATGGTAAAAGTTACGAAAATTGCAGTGCATGTTCCCCAAGGGTGACCAATGCATACACCGATAAAGGATGGAGTTTTGTCAAGCGAGCTCTTGAAGAAACGGGTTATGTCGAGGAGTTGAGTGGCCTTGCGGAAGTACTTCAGCTCGTTCTTTTGGCAATGAAACGAAGCGTACTAACTGAAGCTTAGGTGCAGCGTCAAGCCGAGGTGGCAATAAAGGAGATGGAGGCTGCAGAAGCGAGCGATTTTGAAGACGAGGAGGGCGAACTTCTGTGATTTGAGGCCCTTGGCGTGATCGTGTGTGGAGGTCCGCCTCTATGTTTTTGGATGTTTTCCCACGAAAAGACGACTAGGTTGGTTATGTTGTCAATCTTTCGACCTACGATCTTGGTTTTCGTCGAGACAGAGGTCATCCCTTTTCCCCAAAGCCACAAAATAGGCTTCTTTAGATTCCTAATTAGACGTCAACGGTGTTTACAGGATTGCCAGTCCTGGACCTTTACGTTGCGAGAAGAGTCCGGCTTCTCCCGGTGGACTTTGACAAAAACAGCCTTCATCCGGAGCTCCAAACTCTTGTCCTCTTGTCCTTGATAGAACTTGCAAACGAAGTGGCCTCCTGATCGCAATACCTCCATAGCGAACCGGAGGGCTGCATCGCATAGGTCCTACGAAAGCTCGAGGTAAGGCAGTGCTTCGCAAGGTGCTAGTCTGGTTGGGCTTACCATGCTTCCCGCGTGATCTCGAAAGCTCACGCCGCTTGTATTCATCATCCTAAAAGGGTCACTCAGACTTCTCTTCCAAAACCCTTCGGTCTGCGGAAAGGGTTCGGACATATCACAGAGCACGACATCTGCTAAACCCTGTCTAGAGACTCTCAACCCCTCGACACTGCCCGCCGGAGCTTCTTCAAGACCGTTCTCTGCAACTTGGTAGGGTGAAACACGGCTAGCGGCTCGATTATCTGGACAATTCCAATCTCGCAAAAATCGTTTCAACTCGTCTTGCACCCCCTGGTTTAAAAAATTGCCCTGGATAGTGGAGACTCCCTTTGGGGGTTGGGATGGAATAATATCGATGCCGACAACGCGCCCAGTAGGGCCTACACGATCGACAGCGACCTATCTTAGGTCTTAGTGTAATCTGAAAAATGTTTGCTAGGGAGTCGTGTACCTGAGACCAAGAACCTGGGGCATAACCCTCCAGAGAGTCAGCTTAGAGCGTTTGTGTTCTTAGGCAGAATCGTCGTACAAGGTCTATAATGGTTTGTCCGCGACGAAACAACTTGTGCTTCTCATTGAGCTGTCTAGGCGCATGAGATGGTTCAGTCCGAGCTTTAGGGCAGGTCTTCGAACCTCGACGAGCTTGAATGCCGCACGACTTTTCAAGCCTTGCACTTTGGCCTTGACGGCATAGGCATCTTTCGCTTTTCTAGCTTGCCATCTTTTGCTCGATGATGCGAGTCGGAGATGGATGCTAGTGTGGCCGCGAAAGATTAAGCATCTGAAGGAATGGTGTTGACAGCCCAAGACTGCGCGATTGCCCCGAGTTCCTCGTGAATACTTAGATAAAAATGCTCTTTCCGATGAAAAGAGCATAGGCTAATACGTGCTTGAGGATACACTCTTTTTCCGATGAGCCCTGGTCGGCCAAAAGCGCGCCATATGGATAAGGTAAGGTAGCCCTCGGGTACCAAAAAAACAGCACATTCTAGTCTTGGCAGAAAGTTGTATGCTTAGATATCGTCTCTAGCACTATTTTGACAGCGAGATTATTACGTATAAAGTTATTAATACGTAATTTAAAAATGGTTTATATTTTTTTGTCAAAAAACGTTTCGTTGGTTATATATAGCTAAATCTTAGACTTAGGATGTGCTGTTAGAGTAGGTATTTCAGGTTCGGCTCGGCTCCAGTCAACCTTACCCTCGTTAGAAGAGTTGACCTATCCCTCGCTAGTCATCGGACAATTTCAGTGACCGGATAGTCTCAAATATATGGCAGAAATATACAAGGAATCCCCCTAACCAAAGTCGCTAGTGATCTCCGATGATTAGCGTATACTGCGAAATTTTTATCTTGAGGAGGTCACGCGTATATCTAAGACTGTCCGGTCACTGAAAATGTCCGGTCACTAGGTCAACTCTTCGCCCAAGGGGCCTTCAATCAAATCTACGTAACTTGGAGACTGCCTGTAGTGTCCCACCCCTGGGCGAGTTCAACGCATTTTGCAATAAGTTCGGCCATCTTAAGGCACTCGCTGTCGGTATTTCTTCAGATCGAAACAATGTGTCTCATTTCATACAATATTGCTTACGTTACCGGCAGCTTGCGGAACTATCGAATCAAGTCGCACATTTAATTCATATCAAGCTTCCTGTCCCTCTTTAGAGGCGATATCACACCAAAGCCATTGGTCTCCGTGACGTTTCTCCGAGGTCCCAACTTAGATCTTCTCAAGGCTTGGACTCCTCGTTGGCCTTTTGTACCACCCTCATCTTCGTCAAACAAAGTCTTTCCTGGGCCTCCGGTGAGAATCTTTCTCTTCGCCTTTCTCACCGGCCCAGGATTGCAGTCGTCTGAACAGCTCGCCCGTTGCTCCTCATTGCTTTCTTCGACAACTTGTTCAAGCAAAGGGGCTGCATTCAAACGTCTTGCCACTCCATTTGACTTATTCGCGACTCCACTTGATGAGTTGGGTGGTCCTGGGCGTGCCTTGCCTTGCTCCTGCTGAGTGTTTGATCTACTTGGAGCAGCAGCATCGCCATCAGAGTCTACGTGGCGCGTTGTCCGGTCTTGCCTAGCGTCTTCCCTCAGTCCTGGAGAAATCGGGCTATCAGGCGCCATACTAGCTGTCCGATTGAGGAACGGCGTTATAGAAAAGGTTGACTTTTCGCCAACGGCTGTTGGGGCCCTCCTTGTCTTTTTCCCCGCGGGCAAGTCTCCTGGTGTACCAATGACCGAATTCTCATCCATTTTTCCAGCTCTGCGCTTCTTTGATTCTATCTCATTGAACGCTGCACCGTTTGAGCGCACTGAAGGACGAGCAGCAGAGGCTCGCACCTGCTGTAATTCAGTCTGTGTCTCCTTGAGGTGGGTTTTCGTGTTCTTGAGCTTGTCTCTGAGAGATTCGAGCCGCGACTCCGTTGTTGTTACTCTACTTTCCCATTCGATACAATTATTTTGGGTGTCTCGCTCAGTCTTCTGTCTCTCCCTGCGCTCTTTGTTAAGAGTCGATTGCAATGCTTGAATTTGACACTCCAATCTAGCATCGTCTTCCTGCATTTTGTTTTCCCTAAATGCGTTTCTCTGTACGACTCTTTTCTCGTTCTCCAATTCTACTTGGAGTATATTCAATTGCCGCTGCAATGATAATTTTTCCCCGAGCAATGTTTGGTACCCCGAGGCTTGTGAACGAAGATGCTCCAACTCCGGCTTCAACGAGGATATTTCACGAGCCAAACTTAACTTTTCTGTCAAGATCTTGGCAGAATCCAGTGTTATAGTTTGGACGGAGCTCAGCTCTGTCTAGGCCCCGTCAGTATGATTACGCGCAGCTGGTCTATCCAACTTACCTTCAAGGTGTCAATCTCGCGGGCTTGGACGCGTGTCTCATGTTCGGCGACTTCAATGTGCCTAGTAGCACTGACTAGCTCATCTTGAAGCTCTTGTATTTCAAATTCCATGGTGTCAACCTTGAGGTCGCGCTCTCCCAACTCCTCCCGATGGTTGTCCGCCTCGGTTTCCAAGAGGTAAACCTGAACCCGAAGTCGTCGGACCTTTTCATCTGCGAAGGCAGTCTCCAAGGCTCGAAAGCTGGTCTTGTAAGACAGCTCATATCCGCAGGTATCGAGCGAAGTCTGCAGCTGCGTACACTTCCCAAGCTGTTAGATGGAGGCCTCATCTCGCAAGACGGGTAAAGGCTCTTACATCTGCTATGAGGCTTGCTGCTGGAGCCATTCAATTGGTCGTCAAAGCTTGTAAACGTAGCTTGATTTTCTATTGTTTATGAAAGACCGGTTCCCAGTTCGAATTTTATGATTGATTTTACCAGGTAAACAAAGCGGGTCTGGAGAAGTCAACCGGTGAATTTCGTACTCACATATGATAAGAGCTGCGTGCTGCGAGGCTGCGCACTTTGAATCATGGCTGCATAGCCTCAGAACTGGCTGGTCGGAGACTCTGGTCGGCCATAGGACCTCGCGATGACCGCCAGCTGTCCTCCTCAAATACGGTGGCAATTGACTCTATCAACTTTACCTGCGATGAAGTTTTTCCATGGATTGCTGTTGGCGCTACTACCTCATATCTGTCATTGCGCTCGAAAGAGTACAGATGTCAATTTCGACGAATATCAATCCAAATTCCTAGCATCCCCTCCCTTGAAGTTAGACGACAACAGCTACGAAGCTCTGACTTCTTCGCCACGGAATTATTCATTGGTTGTGCTCCTTACGGCACTCGAAGCTCGCTTTGGCTGCCAATTATGCAAGGAATTCCAACCCGAATGGGAAGTATTAGGCAAAAGCTGGGCGAAAGTATCCAAGAACGGACAGAGTCGGACACTTTTTGGCACAGTGGACTTCAATGACGGCAAAAGCACGTTTCAAAAAGTACTTCCCGGTGTTCTCAAAGCTCAAGCTGTCGCTAACGCAATCAGTTGATGCTTCAAACAGCCCCTGTGCTCCTGCTTTTCCCTCCAACTATGGGTCCTGATTCCAAGCCCGATGATCAACCCATCCGCTACGATTTTACAGCTGGGTAAGCAGGTCCAATGTCACAAGTCAAATCGGTTAATAATCTCCCATCTCAAGCCCACAATCGGCGGAACAGATACAACATTGGATACGCCGCCATCTTTCCTCAGGACCACACATCCCGATTCGACGGCCGCTGAACTATGTCCGGGTTGTGACCATGACGACAATCGTGCTCGGCATCTTGACTTTCTTGGGTGTCGCATATCCGTACGTTGGCCCCTTTCTCCAGAACAGGAATCTTTGGGCCGCAATCAGCCTTCTCATCATCCTACTTTTCACGAGCGGTCATATGTTCAACCACATTCGAAAGGTGCCATACGTGGCTGGGGATGGTAAAGGAGGCATCAATTACTTTGCTGGTGGCTTCTCCAACCAATTTGGAATGGAAACTCAGATAATTGCGGCGATTTGTACGTATCGATCTATCTCGAACTTTCTAAACTGATTGGTTGAAGATGGCACGCTTTCCTTTGCAACTATCGCTCTCGCACTTCGTGTACCTCGGATGACAGATCCTAAGCGGCAGCAGGTTGCAGTCATTGTTTGGGGAAGTGTCATGTTCGGCATGTACAGCTTTCTGCTAAGCGTTTTCAAGGTCAAAAACGGTGCATATCCATTCCACCTTCCGCCTTTTTGATTTTGGTAAACCAGAGAGTATTATTCCACATAAACAAGAAAATGAATTAATTTAAACGATAGAGAATCTTTAGAAGTACAACAGGCCTAGTCAGAAGTCTGAATGAGTTTTCTCTATATATTGTTCATATTGAGAAAAAGCTGATTTATTATGGTATTATAAAAAAAAACAAATTTTATATCTATCTTATATTGTATCTTTTCATGACACCTATCATGTTATCATAGGAGCCACTTCCAGCAGCTACTCTTCGAAGTGCACATCCATGCGTGCTGTATACCATCGCTCGTGGTCCCCCACCTTCTCTAAATTCCCTGGATCCTTCGACTCCCCCGTCTCCCCAACAATCCTGATCCCATCCAGCTTCACCTTGTCCCTATCTCCATCCCTATCTACCACAAATATAATCAGCAAGTGCAAGACCTAGAATTTTGCAAAGCGCAGCGAAATCTTCGCCGTACCTGTCTTCTCGTCCTAATCTTACGGCGTCAGCTCGATCGACTGCAACGCCGGCAAACCCTCTGCCTTGTCGAGACGGAGCACATTTACGCGATTGGAGTAGATGCGTGTTTTCTTGATTCGCATAGGTATTTCGACCTTTCTGTCACCATCTTCGGTTTTGGGAGGCAGAGAGGTGGTATGGAGGGCGTGGATCATCAGGGTCGATTGGAGGGGGATGTAGAGCATCAGCTGCTCGTCCGTGTCGTTTTTCATACAGTCTATGCCCTTGCCACATGTCGACGTGGCTTTGTCCTTTCGCTTCCCTGCAACGCAGAGGGATGATGGCTTTGGGCCATCGAACAGCGTCCGTGGTCCCGCTGTCGCTACTCGAGTTCAGCAGTTCTATGCCTCGTATGTCAACTTGGTCGATGATGTATTGGTAGCCTTGTAGGGCAGCAAGAGCTGTCCATCTTCCAGCTGTGGTAAAGCCACCAGCACCATCTGAGTCAGCTTCTGCGGCGAGCTTCTTGACGGCTTCTTGGAGTTTTGGTGGATTGGCACCTCTTATCTTCTCAGCGATTTTCTTGTTCTTGAATATGATGAACCTAGGAAGGCTGGCCGCATTAGCTCCTCTGACTTGTTGTACTTTGGCTCGTTGTGCTCACGCTGAGACTTGGTATTGCTGGGATACTTCATGAACATTATGGGTATTTACTTCGACAGAGGTGGTCCCGTTCGGGCGAGAGAGCTAGACTGGGAGCTGTGCGTATAGAGGAGCTATGGTCTTGCAAGACCCACGCCAATTCGCGCAGATTAAAGCGTGAACTCGGTGTAGCTCACAGTTCGGTCAAAGTATTGCCAACAGGCTGAGAAGAATTGTTAAGGTGGAGAGGAAAGGGCATACCTACAGTCTCCAACAATCATTGGTGAAGATCTCGGCAAATTACTAAAATGGGCGACATGGCTCTTGTGCATGGACGGTATCAAGGACTCCTCGGACAGCCAAGGCGCTATCCGCTAGTCCCCTACTAAATTTATTAGCGATTCTAGTGTATATTTTACTATCTTTAAACATTAATATAGCTATAATTATTATATATAATAAAAGTTAAAGATTTATATTTATTAGATTTATTAAAGAAAAAGAAATTATTTTAAAAAAAAGAAAATTATTTAAATATAAATATAATTAAAATATAATTAAATAAAAGTCTTAATATTAATAAATAACTTTATATATAAGATAAAAAAAGTTTCTTATTATTATTATATTAATTATTATATAATTAAAGAATATTTCTTTTATAATTATATTTTAATACTTATTTTTATTTTTATATTAATAATAATAATATTTAATTATATTAAAAAACTAGCTTTATTAAGAATTATTAACTTTTTAATTAATTTATTAGTTTTCTATTAAAACTATTTAATAATTTATTAATTATATTATTTTTATTTATTATTTTTTTTATTTATTAATAAAAAGTTATTAATTTATTATATTTATTATTAACTTTAATTTATTTAATAATTATACTTTACTTTTAAATTATTCTATTTATATAATTATATAATTATTTATTATTAATATTTTATTAATTTACTTAGTTAAATTTATTTTATTAGTATAATTTCTATTTTTATTATTATAAAAATAAAGATTTTAATAATAATATTTATTTAAATAAACTTTATTAATATTTATATTATTATTATTTTAACTTAATTAAAAAAGAATTATTAAGAATTAATCTATATAATTACTTATTAATCTAAGTTAACTAAGGCTCTAGTAAATAGGAGGTTAAAGATAGTAAAAAAAGTTTAAAAGTAAATATATTTCTTATATAAATATTTATAGTAAAGATATTATAAATTAAGTTACTTATATATATATATATATAATATATTAAGCTACTTAGTATATAATATATTATATTAGTATATATTATATTATAGCTTTTTATTACCTTTATATAGTTTTAATATAGTTATTTTATAAGTATATAAAAACTTAGATTTCTAAGTACTATAAGAGTAGCTATTTAATATACTATCTTATATCTATTAATATATAGTTTTATTTATATTAAGTAGTACTCTCTACCTTTATATTCTATATTAATATTTTTTCTAAAATAAAAAATACTTTTATTTGTATAAGCTATATATATATAAGTATTATATTTCTTAAAAATTACTTCTTTCTAAGAAATTAATTACTAAGGACTATAATATTTAAAGACTAAATATTTTAATTTTATAATCTACTATTAGCTTTCTTACTTAAATAAGTTTATATTTTTTATATTATTTATTCTATTCTAGGCTATAGTTTTTCTAGTAGATAAAGTATTTAATAATATTATTTACTTCTATATCCTTATTAAAAACTTTACTTATCTCTTAAGACTTAAAGTAATTTAAATTTTCTTTAATAAAAATAAGTAATATAAGTAAAAGTATTTAGTAATAAAGGTCTATAGTTAGTAGAGAGTATAGTTCTAACTATATAATAATAAAAATAAAATATATTCTTTAGAATTTAAATATAATAAGCTAGTATATAAAATAACTAATTTATTTTATAATTTAAAATAAACTAATATATTATTATAATAGCTTCTTTATTATTTTTATTATAGCTAAAATAGAATAGCTTTTATATAAATAAAGTAGAGCCTAATTATTTACTTTTATAAAGTATTTCTAATATCGCTAGTTAAATAAAGCCTTATCTAATATTTATATTAATATAATAATATCTTAAGCTAATATTTATATTATAAGATAATTAAAGGAAATTTTTAACTTATATAACATATTAAAAGATAAGAGGTTTAATAGTTAGTTTAATATAAAACTACTAGCTAACTTATTTAATAATAAGCCTTTAAGTACTAAAGATAATAAGTTATTTAAAGCTAATTAAAGTTATAAGAAAATATTTAACTAAAGGTTTAGCTTATTAAAAGTATTAATATAGAACTTTAATTAATTTTCTATTACTTAATTTATTATACTTATTTAAGCTATTAGTTTAAAGGTAATATACTATTAAATAAAGTAATTCTATACTTAGCTATTTAAATAAAGTTTTTTAAAAATAAGAAAAAAATTTCTTATTATAATTAAATATAATTACTTTAAGTATTTTTTAATCTATAGTATTAAGCCTATTAATTAAAGCTAAAGCTTATTTTAATACTATTTATATTATTTTACTTAAGATATAAGTTATTTTCTTTAATTACTTATATATTATTAATATTATATAATTTAATCTTTTATATAAATAAAATAAATAATATAAAAGTAAGTACTAGAGCATAGTTATAGAGGAAATATTCCTTAATTATTTAGTAATTAATATAGGGGTAATAAAGAACTTCTTTTACCTTATATATAAAGCTATCTACCTATACTAAGATATTCCTACTAGCTATATCTATATTAATATAAATAATAGAAAAACGAAAGCAGCGTCCTTGTCGCTATATATATAGCGCTATATAATTATATTATATAGGAAAAGGATCGCTTAGACTATAATAAAGACTTTGTTTATAACCTATTATATATTAGCCTTTTATAGTTTATTATGCTTTTAAGGTACTAGGTTTTTAATTATAAGAGAAGCTAGTAATAATAGTAGTAGTATAATTGTTTTTACCTATATTAATCCTATTAGTATTCTTATTTTAGCTTAATAGAGAGCAATCCTTTTAGTCTTAGCTTTAGTAAAGGGATAGTATTTATTATAAATATTAATAAGGTCCTTAGATTTATATAAGTACTTAAGATTATATTATAAATTATCTTTATATTTATATATCTTTTATTTTATTAAATATCTTAAAAGCCTTTATAAGGAGACCTACTTATTAACTATTAATTCTATTTTATAAATTAAATTATTAAAATATTCCTTATTTTCCTAAATAACTAATAATTAATAAATATTAAAAATATAACTATATAGATCTTTTATTATAAGAAAAGGCTTAAGCTATATAATAGATATAATAAGGTATATATATATATTATATAGAAGCTTAAAATAATAAACTAGATTTCTAACCTTTTTAATAATAAGGAAAGGGCTAATATATTAAAGATTAATCTTATAATTTAGAAGGCCTAATATAGTATAACTTTAATATAAAATAAGATATACTTTATCTCTTTACTTTATATTAATTTTAATATGTTATTTATTATATTATAGTTTTAATATAGTAATAGTAAAAGCTATAGCTTCTTTTACTTCTTTATACTTAATTTAATATAACTTTTAGAAATCTTTAGCTAAGAGGTTTTATAATATAATTATATTATTATAAACTTAAAAGTTATATATAATTTTATTTAGCGCTAGACTAATAATAAAATTTATAGAATTATTAATAATAATACTAATAAATAAAATAATTAATAGCTAGTTCTTAGCTAATAATTAGCTAATATAATAGTATAAAGTAATCTTAATACTTTAATTTATTTACTTAAATTACTTATTAATCTAAGGGTAATAAGTAATAAAAATAAGTATAATAATATTAAGCTTTTTAAAGATAGCTTTTTAGAATTCTAATATAAATTTAGAATTATAATTTAATATAAATAATTAAAGAATCCTTTAATCTTATTTTATAAAAAGTACTAGTATTTTATTTACTTACTCTTTAGCTCTTTATATAGTCTTACTAAGTTTAAGAGTATTCTTTTTTAAAAACTTATAAGTAAGTATAGCTAGAATAATAAAGTTATTAATATTAAATAACTTAATAATAAAGTCTATAGTAATAATATAGAATAGAATTAATAATATTATAATTAAGTTAAAATTATTATATAATAAATCATATTTTATTTATATTATCTAGTAAAGTAAGTAATAAAAGATATAAGCCTATAGCTTATTTATTATATAATAAGTAAAAACTAAGCTAGACAACTAATTATATATTTATTTAAAGCTATTATAGCTAAAGAGATTATAAATAAAAGAAAAAACCTCTTATTCTATAGTATTAAATATATATAAGTATTTATATCTATTACTTAATATAAAGTAAAGGAGATTACTTCTAAGCTTAAAATAGATATTATATAGTTCTTTATCTTTATTAAGGATCTTATTCTCTTTTAATTAACTAGCTTCTAATTAATTAGTTTCTAATTAATTAGTTTCTAATTAATTAGTTTCTAATTAATTAGCTTCTAGCTATAAAAGATTAAATATATATTTCTAGTAGCTATCCTCCTAGTATATAATTTTAAAGTAGTCCTTAAAATTATTTAATATTTTTACTAGTATAATATAATAGACTAATAAAATATTACCTATAATAAATAGTATATTAAGATTATATATTTAAATAAGAAGAGTATTTAAAATACCTAGATTATTATTAATAGTATTATTCTTAATTCCTATTAAATAAGATAAAATATTAAGAATAATATTTAACTTCCTAGCCTTATATTAAATATTAAGCTTATAATAAGAAAGGTATTATAATACTTAGACTAGTTATAAGTTAAGCTTATTAATACTAGAAGTTAATAAAGTTATTTATTTAAAGATAAGGATAGTAGTAAAATAGTCTATATAAATAATAATAATAATATATTTAGCTAATTTAATTATATATCTTATTTTCTTAATAACTTATATAATATTAACTACTTTAAGCTTAATAGGCTAATAGTTATATTTTATATTATTGAATAGCTTGCTAAGGAATATAATAAGCTAAACTATTAAATATAGTAGGTTATTAATAAACTTATCTATATTATAATAAAGTATTATTATAAAGCCCTACGCTTTTAAAGTATTTAAATCTATATAGAATTTCTATATTATATTAAAATAAATTAAATATATAAGATTAAAAAAAGCTTTCTAAAGA